TGTAGATGGGCCAGAACCTGGTATCAACAATCTTCTCGAGAACATTTACTCGGACAACAACCGCGAGTTGCAGCATGACTTCGGTCCAAAAGTGCATGAAGGACCTGTCCGTCGACGCAACACTGCCAGACAAAGCTTTATTACGCGCGATAGTAGCAACCGGCGAACAGAAGCCACTCTCATTGCTCACCTCCAATCCCACACTGACTGCGTCACCGGATTGGCTGTATCTCCAGATCACGCGTTCTTTGTTTCATGTTCAGATGACATGTCTGTCAAAGTATGGGACACTGCACGGCTGGAACGCAGTGTGACGAGTAAGCCGCGTCATACTTATAGCCAGCATCATGCGCGTGTCAAGAGCGTGTGCATGCTGGAGGGCGTGCATTGTTTTGCTAGTGCAGCAGAAGACGGAAGCTTGCATGTCATCAGGGTGCATGTCAACCAAAGTGGGTCTTTGCCAAAGTATGCAAAGCTTCAGACCATTCGAGAATATCGAGTGGACTCGCCTGGCGAATATATTACATGTATGATTCACTATAATTCAGGTAAGACTTTGTCTGTTTCCAGCTTAATTGGTGAAACAATTGTTTATCAGATGTCGCTTCGAATCTTGTCTTTGCAACAACACAGTCTGTAATCACTATCCTGGATTTGCGAACCATGCGAGTCTTACAACATATGCAAAACCCGCATCATTTTGGACCCATAACTTGTATGTGTCTAGACCGCAAACGCACGTGGATTCTCGTGGGCACTTCTATGGGTGTTCTCTCGCTCTGGGACCGACGTTTTGGACTGCTTGTCAAGAGCTGGCAAGCTGGCAAGACTTCGGGAAAATTTGCGAAAGTAAACCAATGTATCATCCATCCTACCAAAGGGAAGGGGAGTTGGGTAATGATTGCCGTCGAGAGCTGGAAGGGTGGTTCGGAGTCTTCACCCATAAGCCTTGTTGAGGTCTGGGACATCAAAAATGGTGTTCTGGTGGAGAGCTATATGACAAGGACCACGTCTACGCCAACAGAATGTGTTCCTGAACCTGTGGAGATTTCAGCAGTGGAAGCCTCGCAGAGCCCGGCTGCCGCTATTGCTGCTCTTGTCAATGCTAGATACCCGAGTGGAACTGCGCACACCAATGCGAACAAGAATGGAGGACCATCTCATGGCCCTCAGCGTGATGAGGTGCTTCCGGCACCCTCGCATGATATCCGTGCAATCGTAGCTGGTGTCGATTTTGGACATTCTGGATCGCATAGGTCAGAAATCGTGGATTTATCGGTTGATGCTCCCGCATCGAGTCGGAATTCTAGGGGGTTCATGGTGACAGGTTCAGAGGATAGAAGGATTAGACTGTGGGATCTCAACAAACTCGAACGAACATTTGTGGTGGCTGGCCCAGAGTCAGAATATGACAGGCCATCGTACAGGTGAGGGACAGCGTGTTTCGCTAAGGATCTTTTGCTCACTATAATTTCAAGCACTGTACGAGTCACAGATGGTTCGCCGTACATCAGTAACGTTGAGACTTGGGCACATTCGTCCAGCTCAGCTAGTCAGAGCAATCGACCTCCGCAAAGGATGTCGATGATTACTCACAACCAACAGAACCTTCTTCGGTCACATCAGGATATCGTGACTTGTTTGGCTTGCATCGATTCCCCATTCCGAGGAGGCATTGTGAGTGCCGACAGAGCAGGGGTGATCAAAGTGTGGAGAGTCGGAAGTAGCGACTCGTAGTGACCTGCGTATTTATTTTGAGTACTATATCTTGTTTACTCGCTTCCGTGCACCTTGGATGCCGTCTAGATTCTACTGTACTAGTACTTGTTAATTTCACCCGAATTTTTCGAAATTTGTCGCGAAGGGTGACTCGAAGAGTGCGCGCGCCTGATATTATTATGCCAAAAACAGACTTGGTCCTGACTCGGATGCTCAGATCTCTGACTCGGGCTCCCCCATATCTGACCCGTCGTAGCATCTACAGGTCACAAGTTAGCTTTCTTCGCATTTATTCGACAGCCATGGCTACTCCAATCGCCTCTTCTTCGCAACCTGCCCAGATACCCGCCCTCGATGGACCACACGCTGGAAACGCAAAAAAACCAAAAGAAAAGAAGGACAAAGCGGCAGCAGCAACATCTCAGTATCCACTTGAAGTCAGCAGTCTTCACAGACGCTCTCTAATCATTAACTGACTTATGAGTAGCTCCAACCACCGCCAGGCTTTTTTGATCATCGCATCAAGATGTTCGAAGAACTGCACGCAAAATACAGTGAATTTGTGCAAAGTATGTATGATATCTATTCCAAGATCAATTATCCTGATCACTGTCTCAGCCCAGCCGCGCGAGGAGATCGTTATCACGATGCCTGATGGTTCAGAGCGTAAGGGCACTAGTTGGGAGACTAGTCCCATGGATGTTGCAAAAGAAGTTTCAAAGAGTCTGTCAGAACGAATTGTGATCGCGAAGGTATGTGACTCCATTTCTTGATGTTGAAATTACGACGTGATTCTCGCAGGTCGATGGTGATCTATGGGACTTAGAACGACCACTGGAGGCTTCGTGCAAACTAGAATTATTAGACTTTGAACATCCAGAAGGTATGCGGGGTTATACATCACCTTTGCACTTTGTGATTGACTATTGCAGGCAAGAGGGTCTTCTGGCATTCATCGGCACATGTTTTGGGTGAAGCTGCTGAGCGGCATTACGGTTGTCACCTATGCATTGGGCCCCCAACCGACGATGGTTTCTTCTATGAGATGGCTATTGAGGACAGGTAATTGGTCATAACTAACACTGTATTGGTCAATCATTGACTTTAGCAGAGCTGTTACCAATGCAGATTACCCCGCTCTGGAGAAGCTTTCAGAAAGTGCTGTCAAAGACAAGCAGAAATTCGAACGCCTCGTAGCTTCGAAAGAGGATTTGCTGAAAATGTTTAGCGTATGTCCGTCGAAATTTTATAGAACACCCGCTCATCCAATATCATCATAGTACAACAAATACAAGAAGCACTTGATCGAGACCAAGATTCCAGACGGTACCTCCACCACTGTGTATCGTTGTGGACCGATGATAGATCTCTGTATTGGTCCTCATATACCACACACCGGCAAGATCAAGGCATTCATGGTTACCAAGGCAAATATATAGTTCAGAATTCGCTCGATATCGCTCTGATCCAGCCCTTGTAGAACTCTGCATCGTATTTCCTGGGTGATGCGAATAACGACTCATTGCAACGCATCTATGGCATTTCGTTCCCAGATAAAAAGCAGTTGACCGAGTATAAAGCATTCTTGGTCGAGGCTGCGAAACGGGATCACCGCAAGATAGCTCGGGAACAAGAACTATTCTTTTTCAATGACCTCAGTCCCGGAAGTTGCTTCTTCCTCCCTCATGGTACTCGAATCTATAACACTCTAATTGAGTTGATGAGGGTGCGTTCAAGCCTTAAATAGTAGGAAGTTTGACTGACGTCAGCACAGTCCGAGTACTGGAAACGTGGATACCAAGAAGGTGAGTTCGTACATTATTGGAACAACATCTAATGCTGAGCAATTGGTCAGTCATATCTCCGAACATGTACAACTCAAAGTTATGGGAGACTTCTGGGCACTGGCAAAATTACAAGGACGACATGTTCACCCTTGACGTGGAGAAAGAGAAGTGGGCATTGAAACCTATGAACTGCCCAGGTCACTGCCTTATCTTTGACTCTCGGGACCGAAGTTACAAGGAACTTCCAATTCGCATGGCTGAATTTGGTATCATACACCGAAACGAGGCTTCTGGAGCTCTTACTGGTCTCACTCGTGTTCGGCGGTTCGTGCAGGATGACACACACGTCTTCTGCCTGCCCTCGCAGATAGAAGATGAGATCGCTGCACTGTTCGATTTCATGCAACACATCTATGGCCTTTTTGGTTTCGAATTCCACCTTGAGCTATCCACTCGCCCCGACAATTATCTCGGCAACATCGAGACTTGGAACGCAGCAGAAGAGGTATGTTTCCCTTACGGCGCACCATAAGTGGCACACTTACCATCTCGGATGCACAGCAACTCACCAAGGCACTCGATAAGCAATATCCAGGTCAATGGCAAATCAATCCTGGCGATGGTGCATTCTACGGCCCCAAGATTGATATCACCATCCGTGATGCCCTACGCCGATCGTTCCAGTGTGCCACTATACAACTCGATTTCCAACTGCCTGAGCGTTTTGACTTGAAATACCGCTCCGCGGACGAAACGACCAACCCTGATAAGCCCCCTTCACGTCCTGTCATGATTCATCGCGCGATCTTGGGAAGCTTGGAACGTTTTATTGCGATCATTACGGAGCACTTTGCAGGAAAATGGTGAGTCTATGCCTTGTTTTCTTTAACGCTTGGCTAATAACGAGTCAAGGCCATTTTGGCTTTCACCGCGTCAGGTGCTCGTTATTCCTGTTGCTGTACCATATGTAAGCATGCTCTGATAGAACGTGACAATCCTGATGACACGTATCATCTTTACAGAAAGAATATGCCCAAGAGATAGCCACCCGTCTAACCGATCTGGGTCTTTTCGCTGACGTTGACAACGGAGCAGATACTCTACCGAAGAAGATCCGCAATGGTGAGATTGCACAATACAACTTCATCCTTGGTGAGAGCGCCTTTTACATCGGATTGTCCTGGCATATTCACACAACTCAGTGGTCGGGCAGGAAGAACTTGATAGCCGTTCGGTAAACGTACGAAACCGCGATGACGTCGGCACTAAGTCTAAAGGCGAGATGGCGCCAATTGTAGAGATTGAGCAAAAACTGTTGGCGCTGAAGAAGTCGCGAAGTCTCACAAACAAGTTGGTGTAACAGTGGATGTAGTCTGTAGAATAGGTAAAGAATCATGTGAAAATCGGCGCGCATCGGCTAGACACAAGCTGTGGCACAGCATAACTCGACACTATTTTTAGAATACTAAATTCTGGCGTATTCCAGACCCTTCACTATGCTCCCAAAAATTGATTGCGCTTTCACCCGGAAGTGAGTCAGGGTGACAGAATAAGACTCATGAAACATACCAAGTTCTGGATTGCTTCTCGCTCGGAAGGCGGCAAGCCATTGATCTGATCTGGAGTTAAGCTGAGTACCTGCATTAGCATTTGCTGTACATCCAGGCACGTGAGTTAAACATCTAAATGAAGCAAGACAGATCAGACAGACCCTTTGAGCTGGATCAATGTTTAGGTCGGGCATAGGAGCCGAATGGGACGGTGGGACTGCGTGGGGCGGAGGCCGATACCAAGACTGTTGCTGTGGTGGAGCTGGCATATGCGACGGGGGCTGTTGGTGCGGGAACATGCTCGGTGGAGCAGTAGACGCGGGTGGAGGGACGGACATTGGCGGTGGCATGTGCGGTTGAGGCTGGTGCATGGGTGGAGGCTGCTGGTATTGCATTTGGTGGTGGGGCTGTTGAGAAATTCCTGCACCTGGAGGAGCACCGCTACCCGCAGTGGCTTGAAGCATGCGCTGTGCAATTGCCGTTTTGCTCGACGTTTCACTCCACGCCGAAATTATAAGAACATACCTGAAGAACACTCTGGTCTACTATTTTGTTCAACAGCAATGCTTGGAACAATGCATATGCATACTGCGGATGCGCAACAAGTAGTGCCCTTGCTTGGTCCGGGTGGGTAATCACAAAAGCCTACACAAACAAGATCCGTGCACACATCATTAATTGTGTCACTCGCCGGTGCGAACCGCAGCACACCTTCATCTGGGCAAGAACTTCGACTAACTGAGCTGGGCTCATAGTTGCAAGTGTCTGGCTGATGGTATCTAATGCAGTTGACCCAGGAGCTATGGGCACACCAGGCGGCAAACTTGACAAGAAAGAATTTGGGTCTTGAGATTTGGGTTGATCGCGAATATTGTCATATCGCTCGCGGTCGCGATCTTGTTCACGGTGCTCACGCCAGCGGCCTCTTGGATCACTCCCATCGAGCAGCTCGCCTCGTACAGTGGTCTTGCCTTCGAGGAAGGGGTCGGAGTCGGCGAGATCGATTCGTAAGGGACGGCCACCAACATCGGCATTATTGAGGTTCCGCACAGCAGATGCAGCGGTTTCATGATCTTCAAGGCACAATGCGAAAACACAAGTTTGAGTTTGTGTATACCGGTACGGGTAACACAAAATGACAAGGTGAGAGAGACGGATTGAGAAGCACAGATTATGCAGATTGCGGAAAAGAGCCGGTTTGAAGTCAGACATGGATCAAGGTGTACCAAAAAGAAAAATGAATTGGATGTACCAGCAAATTCACAGAAGCCATAACCTCTAGGTTTCCCCGTCTCTCTGTCAAAGACCAGTCTAAAAAGCATTGACGTGAGCTGATGTGCAGGCTAGGGGGAAAAAGTGGAGACGAACCTGAAACCTACAACTTGACCGACCGACTTGAAGACATCGATGAGCTGTTCCTGTACAAAAGGTTCTGTCGGAATGATCACATGAAGGATAAATAACTTTCCTCCCCCATGTTGTAGGGGACATTGCCCACTGCAGGGAAGAAGAACTTGTAAGTGAAATGAGTTGAATGCGAAATTTCGGTGTGTACCTACCGAAAACAACCTTACTCATCTCGAGACTCGACTAGAGAAAGCAATGAAGATTTGAGATGACCAGAATGGTGTCGAAAGTTCGAGGCTTAGACGCTCAGTTAATTTCGGATAAACGGTCACGGGATATGTGACATTGTGACAGAGATTATTTGTACACCCAGCCGGCAAGACCCGGTCCATAGTCATTGCGTCAGCATGGCCGCCTGGCCGTTGTACTAAGCATCGAGTTGCTTATTATTATATTGGCTGATTCTCTCGGTGACAAAACTCGGCCGATTCTTTCCTCGACTTGGCATGGGTAAGACGGTATGACTCCTTCACGTCACGGTTGCCGCTCTGTATCATATACTTGGAGTCATGGGGGAGTCCGAGTCACAGTCTTCTGGGACCAGTCGTGGACATATGGACCTCGGATCTCCGATCAGCTCCAACTTGGGGTAGACTCGACGTATCGAGAGTCATTCGAGACCCACTCCTTGGATGCTGTGTGGGATCTGCGGAGCATAGCCTCGGTCGCTGTGTAGCTGTGCATGTCCGATGCGGAGTACTCCAAGCTTTTGAAGTCCATGATTTGCCGATCATATCGGCATCCTGCGATATATAAAGCCAGAAAATCTTACCGATAAAAACAAAACATTCGCTACATATATGACCGTCACCACTAACACTTCTACCCAACGCAAGCTGGCTCACTCCCAGAATACCGACGAACGATTCCAAGCCTTGGATCGCGCCTTGGCAAGGAGATATGTATTGCGTCTACTTCATGAACGGAGGTCGCGCAGCGTCCATGAGCAACCACAAGCAGACGTGGTATTCAGACCAAGGTAAGTAATACGCTGATCATTCGAAAACATTTATTTTACCATTATATTCAGAGTGGAAATATGTGATGACCCATCTTCCTCACGTATCACCGCCGCGCTTGAACTTCCTGGCATGAGAGCAGATGATGTCCGAGTGTCACTCGAGCGCGATAATCTTCTCGCAATTTCTGGAGAACGTGTATCTAAAGCGCCTTCAAATCACTCCGCGTCTATCAGATTTCCTGTGAGAGAGATCAAATACGGAAAATTTCTTCGTACACTGGATGTTCCATCCGGTACAATGGTTAGTCTATCATCCGTGGCTTAATCATTAACTTCTGACCCTATTTGTCCAGATGAGTACCATATCAGCGGCAATGAGCGATGGCATGCTGCTTGTATCCTGGCCTCGTTCCCCTCCTGGCGCCTCAACTCGTTCTCCGCAGTGATCGATACATCTGCCACGCTGTGGCATCATGTCATACCTATCCTTTCTTTTGGACTCCACTCCCAACTCCTACATTATTATTTTGTATGCTATGCACATTTTATAACTCTAGATGAATTTCTGATTCATACACGGTATAGGGGTTAATTGTTACTATAGATATCTTCGGCTTATTATGCTTCTTGATGCAGTTTTGATTGCCGTTCCATGACTTGTAGCATACACGCGTACCTAGAGTCCCTTTTCCTGTGTTGCATGAAGACACTGGATGGACGCCTCGTGTACTTGTTTGTGGCAGAGGAAAATTCACACCAACAATGTCAATGTATCACTAGTATCACTATCAGCACAATTTTGGGCTTCGTCTACTTTGAGAAAGCAGCGCAGGAATGAGTCATTGACAATTTTGGGCTTTGTCTACTTTGAGAGAACAATGGATGTATGGAAAGAGTCACCAGGATCCTCCGGACTGGGTTGAATAGAGTTTTTTTTCTGTCATTGATTATTGTCCGTTGGGGCGATGCCCTATGTTAGATAATACCTACAATTATTTACTCGTGCTTAGAATAGAGTGTACTGCTCCCCGACCGACTTGTCTAGCTTGTAATTTGTCAAGATGCTAGTGCGTACAAAGGAAAGCCGATAAGCAATGAGCTCAGTAGCAAATGCAACTTCGGCGGCGTCTGGCGTAAATGGCGTAGAGTCCGAGTCATTGAAACTAAAATATCATATCTATGAGCCTATGCTTTTAGTCAAGATGAACCAATGGTCAAATTCTCACCCGAGTCAGTGCCATCGAACAGTATCCAGTTCTCCGCAGCATGTGCCACGGCGTCGGTACCGCTCGTTGAATCGGGTATGTACCGTCGGATAAATCCAAGGACTGGAATAAAATGAACAGGGGTGCCCGTGGCTTGGCGCTGACGCGTACAAAATCGGGCTTATCAGCATGGCCCAAGCACCATAGCAGTGTCACGGTGAGGCTCGGATTTACACACCGCATGTTTTCCTGTGGTCATTTGCGACCACTGACTCGAACAATCTACTAATACAGCCTCAAGAATTCTTGATGGGAAAGTCTCCTGAAGTGCCATAGAGACGATCGCTTCGCCAGAACGAGTCTCGTTGCACAGTTTGCTGTAGAATTTTTTGCTATGAAATTTGTGCCACTGACAGGAGTCCGGAGCCGAAACGACTCGGGTGCGAAAGATATCCAACTATAAGATACATGAACGAAGTCATTGCGCTGGAAACTCTGAAGTAGGGTCAGCAAGCAACCCCAAGACGGGATGGAATGCACTATACAACCTGGAACTGCCTCCTGTCGGCTGCGGAAATGAGTGCATCGCGTGGAATGTGAAGAACGCACAGTTTTCACGGGACTGCAGCATCCTGCGCTCGTGACAAGCACCGCTACTGCTTGTACCACAGAGTCGTGTTATCTGCTCTTCTACAGAGCCCGTTCCACACCCTGGATATGATACGCAGAATCGGAAGAGCCGTTGATGGGCGTTAGTAGTCAAGCGCCCGGCGTTCCATCCAGGTTAACCTTCCTGTTGTTGTTCATGCCAGGGGTGGGAAGATATGTTACGGAGACGCTCTGCGCGCCAAGAATCCAGACAGGGCGCTTACTGCTGTTTGAGTTCAGGGATGTGTTGTGGAAACGCGTATAGCGCCAGTCATGTGTAGCTCGAATGTCCACTTTTGTTGGGTCATATGCCAATATAAGTCGACCAATTTGAGTGCCCATCCTTGAACCATATAGGCTATGGAACCCGCTGTTATGGGGTTACTGAACACGGGAGTGGTTACTAGTAGGAAGCCGAACAAGATGGTTATAAATAGACACATTCGGATTTTTGATTGATCCAAGCACACGAATAGGTACAAGCCGTCACTGCCTTACCTCCGCCATGAACAGAGTAACGTACAGTTGTCGCTTTCAAGTTGGCACCGATGAGTGAATGTTGACTTTTGGGCGGTCCTCTGATCCTAGGCTGCGAAAAGAACAAAGCTTAGGGCAGGTACAACCGTGGATGCAAAAGTTAGGGCAGTCTGCTTCCCCTTCCAAGTTGCTCTCGAGGTATGTCGCCGTATTTATTTCCCGATTATAATATTGTCCCGTACGCCAGATCGACTGTGGGGCACATGGAGGTGTGCATCATTTAATAGTCCAGAACCTAACGCGAACGTCCAGAACCTTATACGCTACCAGTACCAGTGGGGAATGGGGTCAATTATTGCGTGGGAGAGCAGTCATCCCTCATAGTGTTCACTCCGCTTTCGGCGGGCATTAAATATTTCGAAGCGGTTTCGAACAAGTCAAAGGGAGCCACCTAGAATCACTAAAATAATAACCATTTAATGTAAGATCAACCATGTATCATCTCCGCGGAACGCTGAGAGCACCTTCCTCCCCTCAGCGCCCAACACATCCGTTCCGAAGAATACCTTATTGTTAATTTTGATCCCTCGCGACGTCACTCAACAAACACCTGCACCGATGGGGATAGCTGCCTCCCCTACGTACCATCCGGAGGGAGCCAATGTGTCATTCCTGCTCGGCTACTTTCAGATGCGCAGTCCTTTTCGTCCAAACGCCCTGGGAATACAGACTTGGAAGTCGTACAATATGTAAGTGCCTTAACGCTGTTCATTTGGAAATTACAGTTATACCGTGCTCACCGTATCTTGCAAGGTCTTCAGCGAACGGATACCCACGGCCTTCCTTCTCCAACCCAACTGGACACTGACATCAAATATACATAACGATGGAAGTAATGGAAGTTTTAGCTTGCTATAATGTACGAACATATTAAAAATGAAAATGCCAAATCAGTGATAGCAAGTTGCAGTACTTGAATCGACCACGAACCAGTCAACGAGCTTGTTGACTGAGATGAGACGAGTATCCTAGAGGAAGAGATTCATCATATACGAAGGAAGACCACCTGTCTTCCAACATCGAGTCACCTTGCTGTCCTTGTTGGGGACCATAAAGCGAGGAAGCGCACGGAGAACGACAGTATAATGCCCCAGAAACATCTCGCTGAAGTAATTCCAACTCAGGCTGCCCGAGCGCCCCTTGCGCAAATGCATAGTCAGGAATGCCAATAAGATGCGACTGATCATCATTCTGTTGGTTTGGGGAATTGTTTTGAGTAGCTGTCGAACTTGCAGGCTGCGTAGGATGTTTGCGAGACCATGAAGCCTGCTTGGAAGGGTTTGTTACTAGTAGTGTCCGACCGCCAAACACCTCTAGTTCGTCAGGTTCATCCTTTGATTCAGGAGACCTTGAACCTGGTTTGTGGCTGACGTGTTGAAGAGGATTCATCTTCGCGTTGACCGCTTTTTGATGAAGCCGAAGTAAAATTGGCTTCAGAGGCATGACAATGAGCTCTGGTGACTGATAAATACCCTTGCTCAAAACTCACCAGCGCCCTTTTGGCACGGCTACAAGTCTGCGCCGCCTGGTAGTATAAATTGCATGCCTTTTCCAAATGCTCCAATGGCTCCGGGTCTAATTTTATGCCGAGTCTTCGGATGGCGACGGTGCCAACAATAACCTTAACAAATCGTATCAACAGAACCCGCCAAACAAGACATAAATTCGCGTACTGCTGCTGAGAATGCGAAGGTCCATATTCGCCACATTCGGGAACATAAAACTGGCTGGAGCTTGAATTGGTCGATAGTTGATGTGACCAGGGTACTGGCACATTGGTAGGCAACCATGAACGATCTGCCTACAGGGCTTCTAAGTGGATCTGAAGGAAATTCTGCCATGGCCTGTGCAAAGAAGCCTCTGTGTAAGAACATGAGTGCTTCGCACTTCAAGTCAGCCAATAGGAATGTAAGACCACCACCACACGCACTGAGATCTTTGTAACCTGCTTGAACATAGCTGGCCATCCCTGCGGGCACACGGTCAAAGTGAGTCGAATCCGGATATACAGGTACGGAAAATTCCCGTATTTTGCGATCCAACTCGAGGATGGATTGGTAACTAGGTGGCTTTACAGCCTGAGTTACTTCAATGACCGGTACTAGACACTGAATTGCGTAATGAGAACTCCAGCTACCCACTTTGCGATGGATTAGAGCTCTTTCGCGTACAGTTATATGGCGAAACGACCTTACACGCAAGGGGTACTTCTCCCAACCGGTATGTAGCCTCCTCAAAGTCACTCGGGATCTGGCAGTCAACGACAGCTGGCATAATCGCGGGCGGACGTCCAGTAGCCAGGCTTTGCCAGAGAGTTTGGGAAAAGAGAGCCCAGAAATATGAGCGGCGTTCGTAGGCGTCTGCCCCCTTCAAACCCCATCGCGAAGGGTCCTTGTCTACATGGTAACATCAGCCACGTATAAATGGTTGCCTTGCGACATGACATACGGAACCCAATCTAATGATGCTCGTCAGAGGTCTGTCTGATGATCGTGACACCTATGTCTCGGGACGAACCTGAAGTGCGGCTTGACTAGCAAGGTTAAGACATGAATAACAAAGCTCCGTGTTATCCTCGATGCCACTCATGCCATAGTACATGCTCATAAGATGCAATGCCTTAATTGTGGCCATAGACCGCTCCGAAAATACAGATTGCAAACACATAGCAGCGCGTGCCACTCTTTGATAGTGACGAGCTTCGGCATTATACGGGGGAAGGTCGGGATCAAACAACGCTCCGATCGCTAGTGCACTGAATAGCAAGGCCAGTTCGTGTGGACCATAATGCGACGATTCCAATGATGGTATCTCCGTTCTGTATATCAATGGGATGAGATGGCCAATCACGTACTGTCGCGAAATTATGGGAAACACCCATGAGAGAGACTTTAGGAAAGTCTCACATAACAAAATAGCGCGCTGGATTTCTGGTAGGTAGGATTTCATGATCTCAAGGATTTGTTTTTTAGGGATACCTGGGGGAGTGAAAGGAAAGACCTGATCAAGGTTACTGATCAGAGGGTGCAGGTAATCATCCTCGATTTTTTGCGTCTTGGTTGATGCTAACGGAGTTTCAGGGATAAATTGTCTTTCAGCCTGTGTGATCATTGTTGGCTAGGCGTTCTAGAAGAGCGAATGAGACAGACCAGCAATAAACTCTGAAAGTCAAGTAAGTGTCTAAGCGTGTCATGTGAAAATGTCTGGTCCGCACCTCAGAACCTCCGGAAGGTCCGAAGAAATGACCAGGACCATACTGTGGATCGCCATCAAGGTACAAAGAGCCTGAGGCGTTTAAGTGACCATGTAGGTTGGATTCTGCCGTCGTAGATGTGGTGTCGACGCTGCTCCCACTATCAGCCTCTTCAGTTGAGCATATTTTGGTCAGCAAAGGATGTGGCTGAGTGGAAGTATTGGTTTGTAGGATTGCAAGAGCATCCTCGAGTGAGCGCATTCGCTCTTCCAGCTTGGCGGCCTTCTGACGTAAATATTCTTCAGCGACACCGACGAAGCTGATGGAGGAAATGCCATTTTCAGACTTGGCACGCATGTGCACGCGGCAGAATGATGCTTACCGGCTACCTTTTCCTGGAGGCATCGTGCCTATGCACCATTCGTATGGAAGATGAATATTTGCATGTTCGACGTCACGAATGAATTCTTACCATTAGGGCAAAGCATGCTGCATCCTCTTTTGACGCAAGTAGAGCATGGTACTATATGGGTACGATCAGTCCGATGTCCAGGACAACTTTAAAGTGGAAGATTTACCTTGCCTGTCACATCGGGCTTTGAGTCTGATGAGATATAATGAAAAGTGAATATCACAACAAGTGGGATGAAAACCGACCGACGACACTCTGCGCATGCTATCTCTCCTCTTGTTCGCTGCCTTTCCTTGTTGCTGCTCATCACAGACTCGAACTGAAACCAAGGTCGGAGTTTCGAGTAGCATTAGACCCTATATTTGAATGTCGCGGTTTAAATGAGATCCTCGGAATCGGATGCCAAAGGAATATTATTTTAATAATAGAAATCAATTGCTTGGCAAGTGACTGAATTCCTATTGAGTTCCCGGATACTGTAAATTTATGGCATGAAGGGTTAGAGTTCGTATATCTAAGGATGATCGGAACCGGTAAATCATTTCTTCCACACTAGTACTACCTTTGACGACTCGTTCCATTGGATGATATAGACCAGTACGTCAATACTCAGTCACGGTGATCACCGAGCTCATGGTCGGGTTACAGGGTCCAAGAATGGAACCTCCGCTTCACCCTCTTTGCTGGCAACATCGGATTGGTGACTACCCCCCTGGAGGTACAGGTACGTCCATAATGCTATATTGAGAATGTAGGCCATGCATAACCCACGAGGTGTGATATCCCTGATATAAATTGCTAATCGCCTTCAACCTATCCCCTTATGACAGCCGATGCTTACTGAGCGTATAGGTCCCGGGTCGGCAGAATATACGTGCGTTGATGATTTTCGAGATGTCCAAAGCCGCGATGCTTCCTGCTCTCGCGAAAATGTTCATTGACCATCACTGAACTATGAGTTATTATGAAACAGTGTAGCGCCGCATTGCCACATGCCCACATGGTACGTTTACGCGACGTGCGTCTTCGGCTTGAGGTAACTTCAGGATGTCACGGTCGTGCCACTCCTGCAATTTTACTCCATGTAAACAGAGCTTAAACATACATTTGGACTTATCTTTACACAACTTACTACAAACGAGCTGAGATCTCGGGCGCCGTGTTTTGCGCGTCCGAGCCCTCCACGGACCAAAGGTAACCTATGTACATAGAGACCAGTGACCAATTGAGCGCTGTTGGAGATTGACAAATGGAGTAAATCCACCCCAACTAGTGGATTGCCGGCATAGTCGTTGTTGCGTCATGCTCGTGTGTGGGGAGGTCGACAGAATTGGTGAACTCCGAACGGCAAATTGCTTCGGCGCTGACTATTGACCGACATGATGCTTGTGCTGAAATTTGCAATTTCAAGGACCGATTGAGGCCTACTTGAGTCCACCAAGTCCCACATGGTTTCCAATGTGAGACGTCAGCAGCTGATTCGAAGGCGTTGCATGTGGTGACTTTGGCTCGTGAAAAACGTATTTGCAATTTCAGCGCCCGGGTTGGGCGGGATGGCTTGGCTAGATAGGAGATAAGGATAATGTGATTAGTACATGGCTCTTGGAGCACAATGTAGACAGTTTGGCCTCGAGGAGTATGGTAGGGCGTTGGTAATTGCGGCGGCGGCGATGCTATACCTTGACTTGCCGCATGGTGAACGTGTCTAGCTCTGTCTAACTTCGATCTCGGAGCTTTAAATTCCATCTTCCCGTGCAGGGTACAGGCACCCGGTAGGTGATGTTCGCGGGAACATAAGCGCTATCAAATAGCCGTATGATATCATATAGTTCAAGTGCACGTACATCGTATCCACAGTCGAAATGAAAATTATCGCCCATCTGGAGGCGTAGGTTGGGCGGACTTATGATGCATTCATCATTTGCACGGACGCTGCGGTGTTATGGTTCAAACAATTTCATTGTCATGCATGGGTAACTGTAACCATATTGCTCTAAGGAAGATCAACTAAATTCAATTTCCGCGTTCCCAACGAAATGAATGGTACTCGCGATGATTTATCAGTGAGGGTTGCTCATTGCCAATACGTCGGAGTATAACAAATAATTGTCAACGTCAACGACCTAATAACGCGAAAACCGGGTGTTGCTGTGTGGAGAAAAGTATCATCCAGAAAGCAGCGTCTATGTAGTCATACCTAGTCATCTATACTCGGGCGCTTCACTTTGATACTGTTGCGTGGTACTACAATCAGCGCAAGGAGGATAGAAAGCAGAACGAGCGTACATGTCGTGTGTCGTCTACTGTGCAAGGCTGAATGTCGCTCCTGTCTGTGCTGCAGCTCGCGCTATTATTAGCACAACTCACCGACTTACTCTAAACTGATTAGACAGTAACGAAGGAGGGCGAGCTTCGAATTGGCAAAGTGGATACCCTCTCAATAACGTGGTACTATATGCGAGGTTTTCATAAGCATGGACAGCGCACCCTGGCATCCCTGGACTGACCAGATAAACGAGGACAGTCTTGTCTTCTTTATGATGCTGACTGTCTAGAGAATGAGCAATAAAATTTGAAATGTCATAGAACAGAAAAAGTAAATTGGTTTGTTTTGCCAGAGAAGTGCCGATATTGTTGCTCAGCATGTGATAGATATCGAATCATCTTGGCTTTATTCTAGGACCGTCGGATGGCACTGGTTAAATGGATCGCTATAGAAAAACGAGCATATTAATTCTTACGACCTTGACGACTAGAAAAACCTAAAATCGCACATATGTGTAAGGCGGTGAATTTGACAGCAAGCAGTGACTTGGGGCTCTTTGGAAGACGAAAAAACCTAAAACCCCGCGCGTGTGTAAGGTAGCAGTTTAGACGACAAGTAGTAACTTACAAGCTCTTGTGGGGATGGATTTACAGATATGTAGGATCTGGTCAATGCCTTCATCAAGTCTAGACCTTATCAAATATGACGGTGCGGGCGCTAAATCAACGTGAGTTCTTGCAAGCGCCCGAGGTAAATATGCAACATGCCAAACGGGAGGAGTATATATAAGTTATGAGCATATAAACGTACACCAACATTCGACAAGGTAGCCACACCCTGAGAGGGACGACGACCATACCAAATCGTAACGATCCGGACCATCATCTTGGCGATCGCCACGGAGACTACTAATAGATTGGTATTTGTAGTCTTGGTGAATGAAACAGTTTGTTGGATTCGCTGTGAGGAGGGGATCGGATCGTGATGAAGGACGTACGAGGTTAATTGCACCAACGAATCGATGTTCGAGGATCACTGACGTTATTCTGGAGAAGATCTCCGGGACTTGTGGCATGGGGGTTTGGGTGTATTTGTGTTCGCAGCGTGGACCCGTTAAGTCCGTTAAATGTCAGGTCCCTTGGGGGTGTCATCTTTTTTCGGATCGGCGGGTACATGCGGAGGCACTTCTTCATTCCTTCATTCCATCGTGTTCCATCGATTATAGGTATTGTTGAGATTGTACAGAGGACTGCTAGACATCGTTGGAGAGGGTGTTGAGAGTAACGCCACAGCCTAGATAGATAGTTTAGCGTGACATGTGACAGGGAAGTGTGACTGCACATTGTGTTGACTGTTGGCTTGTTTTTTCGCGCAAGCAGGCAAGACACGACAACCATTGGCGACCTGTCATCACGCCATTCTGGCCTTTAGTTCAAGGGCATTACAGGATAACACAAGAGACTTCGAATTTACTACTTTAACCCTTCAACTTGCTCTGTGCGTTATTCTTTTGCCGAGTTTCGTTCCCTGGGAACGGTTCCGCAGCAGTCGTTCCGAGTTACTTTTGAGTCGCAGGACAGGTTTTTTGTTGGTAAGTGAAATCCATTGGTACAATCAAAAGTAAACGCAGGTGCATGCCCGCGCTTTCCGGCCGGTCAATAAAATCTCATCATATCCATTTTCTCGTTTAGCATTTGTTATCACAGATCTTCGACGCTATCTCTCGATCCGAATTCCTCTAACTTGGTCAGAACCTGTTGTAAAACGTAAGCTCCACTTGTCCCCTCTACCGTCCCCCCATGTTAACTATATATTCCTACTTAGCACTAACGTCTGGGTCGGGCGCTAGCGACCCTAAACTCGTGCGTCTCTCATGCACCTTCTACTCGGAGACTCTGTCCTCATCATCTAATAACTTAGACGACTCACAATGAACTACCCCCCGCAATTAGCAATGCAATCTGGTTCAACTCAACTAGGTCACAACCAATTCTCCCAACGACCTACCTCTTCCAGCATGTCCTTCGGAATGCCCATAAACTCCAACCCCGGCATCTCCCAAATGAACGGTGCAAACATGCCCATGAATCCCGGCAACAACATGGGTGTACCCATGAACCCAGCCATGTCCATGAATCCACACAACATGCCCATGAACAACATACCAATGAACATGAATATGAACAACATCAATCCATCCCTACTCGCCGCTTTCCAGAACTCCCAAAATTCACAGAATGGCATGATGCCCAAATTTCCAAACTACCAGACCTCTCAGCAATCCATCCCCCCTTCCACGCCTAATCTCGGCTCTACCCAGGGCCAGGGCCAGTCCATATCGCCCTCGCAGCTCATGTCAGCTTCCCCCTCACAACTCATGGCCCAACAATTACATTCACAAGGCTCTAATTTGACGCTCACCCCTGCACAGCTCCTTCAACAGCAGCAAGGTGGCATGAGCCAAGGCTCTATGGGCACCATGCACCCGGCTATGAGCGGAATGGGTGGTATGAACATGGGCGCCGGTGGAATGCAGAATTTGAATATCGGCAACGCCATGCCCAATACCAACGGAGGTGCGATGAACATGCCTACCGGTATGCAGAACATGAGCGCGAACATGGGCATGTCCAATGTGATGAGCGGTATGCCAAACCTCAGCAACAATCAGGTACGCATGACGCCTCAGCGTTGGGCGCAGATGTCGCCACAGGATCGTGCTATCTTCCAGCAGCAGCGACTTGGCCTAGCTCAACCGCCAAACGCTCCTAACCAGCAACACCACGAGCGGGGTCCAAGCCTGACGCACGACCGCCCACCGAGCCAGCACGGAAGACACGATCGTGGTTCTAGTCAATCCCATGACAGGCAGCCCAGCCAGCAGCCGCAAGACATATCTCAGGTCACCGATCGCCCCTCTTCATCCGCTTCCATTCGCTCCCACCACTCTCATCATAACCTTGACTCTGGCCTGATGCCCCCACCATCCTCTCGACCTGGTACTTCCAGCAGCGGCATGGGTGTTTCAAACGTTAATCCACGGATGAATCAGCAGTCCATGAATTTAAACCCGCACCTTAACATGACGCCCAATGCCAACATCAACCTCAACATGAACGCCAGCAGTAACATCAACCCTCACATGAACCAGCCTTCGAATATCAACCCTGTGATGAACCCACCTCAGGCCCAGCAGAACATGAGCTCCCTCATGCACATGAACATGGCTCCGTCGAATATCAACCATCCCGTGATGAACCAGGTGCAGAATCTGAATCCGCATCTGAATCACCCTCCGACGAGAGCGGATTCTGCGCACGGAATTGCTGCGTCGCCAAAGCAATCGCCAAGGATGTCAGGGCTGATGAATCTTACTGGTGGCCCTCCTGGAGGCATGCCCGGTAGCATGGGTGGCCAGATCAACCTTGGAATGACAGGCATGCCAAGTGGTGCGATGGGAATGCATGGCGCTCCCATGAGTGGCGCCCCTGGTGGTGGCATGATGAACATGAGCATGGGCGGCAATATGAACGCGACCATGGGAACAATGGGCAATGCTGGTGTAGGTAGTATGGTGAATATGCCCAGCATCGGCGGCATGGGTAATCTTGGCTCGGTGAACATGAATGCCAACACTATTGGCGGTTTAGGAGCCGGCGGTAGCATGCTAGGCGGAGCGGGGGGAGGTCTTATGGGCCCCCCTGTGATCCCTCAATCCATGCAGCGACCAGAAAGAGACCAGATAGTGCAGAGAGAACGCTCGAGCTCGCTTCATGCACGTGAACAGGTGAGGAGTGCACCTCCGTGTTTCACGTATCATAAACTGACTCAGCAAACTTTCTTTTACCTGTTAATTTGTTATCGCCCACTGTCGTGTTCCAGAGTATACCTCCAACATCTGCTGCACCGTTTATGGGTCAGAGTCTTGATAACACCGGTGTCCAGGGATTGGGAAATATGGCTGGTGGCATGGGTGGGATACCGCGGCAACAATCCCAACCGCCAATCAACGCACACCAGCAATCCCCTGCCCGTCAAATACCCCCAGGCCACCGCTCCCCCATGCCTCTTGTTCGCAAAGCCGGGGAGATACCTGCCACTCCGGCGCTTTCCGGCACCCCAAACCCCGCCGCACCACATCCAAGCGCAGCTGCGGTCCCGAAACTCCCCCCTCATCTTGCAGGGCTCAATCCCGCTGTAACCAAGATCTCGTTAATTCCCTATACCGTACACCCGAAACCCGAAGCAACCACCGATGGCGAAGATGAGAAGGTGCCTGTTGAAGGTGCGACTGATTCCGAAGATGCTGGTGCTTCCTCGCAGGTCAAGGTCGAAGATCCAGTAAAATTGCTGACCCCATCGGAGATCATCATGTTGAAGGAAATCATGAAACGTGATACAGCATACGATGCACTACACCGTACCAAACAAGCACGTATGGCCCAGGAGTTGCGCACGCATGGTCCAGCGTCGCGAAGTGCCTGGTGGGAACGTGATTATGTTCAGACCATGGGCATGAACCGTAGGCCCGAACGTTTCGATGTGAGATATCCAAGGGCACCCAATGCGGACCGGGGCTCGAATATCAATTCGAGGAAGAAGGGTGTGAGGAGAGAAGGCATTCGGATGTGAGTTCTTGCTGTGGCTTCTTTTGTTTGCAGGAATTGATTGATTCCCGCGGGTTCAATAGTCCTAGGAAACTTCCACCTCAGCTGGCCAACCGCCCTGAACAACTCGTGCCGATCAGACTCGAGTTCGATGTGGAGCATCATAAGATGCGCGAGACCTTTGTATGGAATCTGAATGGTAGGTCTCTTGCCTAGAGTGGCTTTCGTTGCTGACGTTGTGTAGATCCTGTCATCACTCCTGAGCATTTTGCGCAGACGCTCATTGAGGATTATGCACTGCCTCAGAGTTACCATGGTGTCATCACGAGAGCGATTCAAGAGCAGCTGAGCGACTTCAGGGCTCATATTGCTAGCGTAGATGGCGACTGGAAACCTCCATCTTTAACGAGGGAGATCGCAGTGATGGATGGCTATAAGGCAGACGAAGAGGACGGGAATGACGCGGACGTGCGGGAGATTGACGCTGAAGACGTTATCGATGACCATAATCGCAAGTTTCTTGAAGATGATGACCTGACCTTGGTGGAGCGGGGTAGTCTTGACGACGAGGACGTGAAATGGTGGGAATCATGGCGCAAACGATCACGGCAAGAAAGCGCATTTACTCGCAGCATATCCTCGAGGAACCAACGTAAGCGACGCAAGGTGGCCTCAGTCACAGTCGAGGAAAGTGATGCATTTGAGACTGACAAGGAAATGCCACACACCGTGGATGAGATCGAGGTTGATGAGAAGATAGTGCATGAGGACTTACGGATCTTGATCAAGGTATTTGATTGATCCACGGTTGTATTTCGTGGACTGGCATTAATCTTTGATCCTAGCTCGACATTATCGTCGGATCTATGAAGCTGGATGATCAGTTTGAATGGGATCTTGAAAATGTGGATGCTTCCCCTGAGCAATTCGCTGACGTGTATGTCAAGGAGTTGGGCCTTGGTGGGGAATTCAAGTGCGTAAGGTTGTGTGTCCATGACTTCGTCATTAACCTCTTCTCTAGAACGGCCATCGCGCACTGCATACGCGAACAAGTTCAAATTTATCAAAAGTCGCTGTTCCTCGTCGGTCACCCCTCAGATGGTTCTACTGTTCAAGACGATGACCTGCGCATGTCTTTCCTGCCCAGCCTCGCATCTGGTGCTAGAGCAATGGATCAAGTACCATCGTTTACACCACAGCTCAACTTTTACAGTGACGGAGAGATCGAACGTAGTGAGAAAGAGAGGGAGAAGGAGCTCACCAAACGCAGGAAACGGAATACTCGAGGACGTCGAGGTATCGCTTTGCCAGATCGGGAGCCTAATCGCACGTACCGCACACCTGCCTTGGGTTTCCCAGAGCTGGATGCCGCAACCCTTGCGTTGGCCGCCGCGAATGCACCAACTTCGAGACGTGCTGCGGCCGCGGCTGCTTCTCTCACGATTGCCAACATGGTCGCCTCAGAAAATGGCACAAGCATCATGCCGCTGCAGCTGCCTCCCCAGCAGATCATATCTACTGCTGTTACTACTGGAAAAGAGAAGAAACCGAAAGGGTTGTTCAAGGCACCATCGTATCCTTCTTCAGTCCTTCGACCTCGTGCTCAGGTCACTGCTCCCACGCCGTCGACAGCGGTTGAATCGACATCGATGTTGCCTTCGTCGTTCCTCGATACTGAAGCACCTGCCTCCTCAGTTAGTGTCCCTGCCCCAGATTCGCGAGCTGTCGCAAAGAAGGCCAAGGAGCTCGAAAGGGAGGCTAAGGAAAAAGAGTTTGTCGATGGACAGCATGCTAATGTAATCAATGGGGTGTGGCACTGCTCCAACTGCGGCTGTCCGGAGAGCGTTGCTATCGGACGAAGAAAGGGTCCTTTGGGCGACAAGTCGCAATGTGGCACATGTGGTGCGTTGATGTTATTGGCTGATCAACAATACAGTTCTTCCTGACGCTTGATCGTTATTCAGGCAAATTCTGGCATCGACACCGTAGACCCCGTCCTGTAACATATAACCAAGATCCCGACTACCATTTGAGCCTAAGGCGCGAAACAGAACAGGTCAAAGTCGGGGTGAAACGAAAAGGACGAGCGCCAAATTCTCAGGTGGCTGCTGACGGCCAAGATACTCCTAGTCGACAAAAATCAGACCTCTCCGTTGATATCTCTACTCGATTGCCTGTTCCAGCTTCGGAAGACGACAGAGCCATGTCGCCAGTATCCACTGCCTCTAGTGATACAGAAGCTCCTCTTGCCCAACGCGTCACAAAAATCAACGGCGTCAATCACGCAGGACTTGCGTCGTCGTCTGGGACTACTCCTCCAACAAACGGGATTGTGCGTCCCAAATCACCCACGGAAAGTAGTGCTCCAATTTCAAACGGCTCATACGTGAGCGTTTTTCCTCTGAGACCAGGATCTTATTGATGCTGAATGTTAAGTGAACAGGCCGCTCCGCCATGGCTAGCTACAGCAATTCGTTTGCTTCAAGAACAATACCCAGATGACAAGTTCGAAGCAATTTTGCGTCGACCTGCCCCGCCTACTATACCAGAGTGGAGGATGAAATGTTTGGATTGCCCCGGCAAGGTTTGTCTCCACTGCTTGACTTGGACCAACGAAGGCTCAATTTGGTTTGCAGCTATATAACTCTGGGCCTGGGGATACGCTGCAGAACTATGAAGTCCATCTTAGAAACCGACAACATCGCTTACGGGTGAACGCCCGCTTGACGCAGGCGCCAGCATCATAATGGACGATTTGCATTGTATTGGCTGGCTTGCGCTATTTTAGTATTTTCTTTGTGCCATTTGTTGTGTTCATCTGCTATCTGTATAACGTATATACCTTTGATGTAATCGCTATTGGATTACGTAACCCATTGGCAAACTAAAGGGCGGATTGGCAATTAATCACAACTCTCAAGCCCATTTAATGCCAGTGGTACATGCCAGGTTCCGGTCCCTGTGACAACTCTTTATCTCCCTACTCTGACCATGTCTGACATGGCAGTTTGGCGACCAGAAGATGACCCAAACATCAGACCTCCACTTCAGGAAGGCCAGGTGTACAGGCCAGACATACTCAACCTGATTGAGACGTCAATTGACGAACTGAGTGCAGAGCTGAGGACGCTAAGTCTCGATATCCATGGTAATCATTGTGCTTCCATTTCGTATCAATGCATCCTACGCTCACGCATCTTCTAAAGGCCACCCAGAGCTTAGGTTCGAAGAAAAGTATGTTGCATCTCATCGTACCATACGCCATAACTAAGAGCTTTGTCACAGATATGCCCACGACGCATACACCGCGTTCATTGAGAAACATGGTTTCACAGTTACCAGAAATTATTATCTTGAGACTGCCTGGGTGGCTACATATACCCATGGACAGGGAGGGCGCGTTTTGGGTATCAACTCTGAGATGGATGCGCTCCCTGGAATCGGACACGCTTGTGGACACAATCTTATTGGGGTATCCGGAGTAGCAGTAGCCCTTGCAGCTAAGGCTGCTATGGAGAAGCTGAACATCGATGGAAAAGTGGTTCTACTGGGTACGCCTGGTGTGTTGTGCCTGCACTCGTGATGTCATTTGCGGGATAACACGGGACAGCCGAGGAGGGTGGCTTTGGCAAAATCATGCTGTATGAAAAGGGGGCATATGACGAGATGGATGTGTGCCTCATGTCAGTTCCTTTACCTGTGGTCCATGCTAGATGACCAGCATGACTTATCTTACTTCAAAGGTGTCATCCTACTCCTGGCCCCCGCCACTCCATTAGTTTAACTAGTTCCTTGGCTCTTTCTTTCATCACTGTGGAGTATCAAGGTCATACGTGAGCATTTTTTTTACTCTTTATGGTCAGTCAGTGAGATCTCATTCTTTACATTCACAGTGCTCACGCTGGATTGAGCCCTTGGGAGGGAAACAATGCACTTGATGCGGCTGTTCTAGCATATAATAACATATCTCTTCTTCGTCAGCAGATTAAGCCTACTCATCGCGTGCACGGCATCTTTGAAGGAAAGAATTGGGCTCCAAATAGTGAGAGTTTCACCTCTGCGTAGGAACACTTGAAAGATAATATTTGGAAAATCAGTCATCCCAGACCAAGCTACAATGCAGTAAGTCGGTCTTAGGAATTGCTCGCTTAAAGCACCCTAAACTCGAGTGTAGGTGGCTAGTCCGCGCTCCCACGACGTTGGAGATGGAAGACATCAGGCGGCGTGTCACTGCCTGCTTCGAGTCAGTCTTCACTATCAACATGTTGAATTGATCAAATGGCATCATCTCTTTTTTTGTCACAGAGCAGCTGCACTTGCATCTGGATGCAAAGTCCAAATTACAATTACGTCGACAATCAACGAAATCACGCAAAACAAGGCACTTGGTACGAAATTACGGGGTACAATGACTTGGTACTGAACATTGTGCCAGGTGATGAGCTTGCTGACGTTGTTCTAAAGCGCTACGGTGCTATAGACTACGAATGGGGAATCAAGAATGCTTCTACTGATTTCGTGAGTGTTTCACACACCCAAAGAGTGCGATAGAGCTGATGTTTTGATCAAAAAGGGGAATATTACATACTGTCCGTCTAACTTTCATGACTAGGGTAGACGACCTTTGCTAATGAAGTTTGTCAGTGATGCCTGGTATTCATCCTGGTTTTTGTAAGTAACGTAGGTTCCGAATGAACCATACTAATCGTTTTTTCAAGCCATCCCGACCATTCCAGATGGCGGGAACCATACCCCAGTATTCACGGAAGCCGCACGTTCCAAAGTATCCCATGACGCCTGTTTGGTAGTTTCGAAGGCACTCGCGGCCGTAGGCATGCGAGTGTTGACTGATGAGGCGTTCCTAAAAAAAGTTTGTGTTACGCGTCGTTCAAGTAACTTTGTTTTGATTGCGTTTTGCAGGTGAAAGAGACATTTGAGGAAGAAAGACAACTAAGAGTGTGACTGCTAGCCTTCAATGCGGGCGCCTTGTAAGATGAGAAGAACGAATTTATCCATGTCAAACATTATATTGAGATTGTTCTCTTCAGTTCTTTGGCTAACCTCAGATGATAAGCGTATGCATGATCAACTTGTCTTACAACGACTCGCAAGGTTCAAGCATGGACATAGAGTTACCAGTAGGTTGCGATATATTTTTTTCACTTACTACACCGTAGCAGCTATTTGTCTCGTCTTTTCAAAAGTGTTGGCCATAGCCATGACAGGACCATCTCGCACCGGCAGTTGTACATGATGTTTCACCTCTATTCCCTACGGTTATATACCATCGCGCAATGTTCGTACTGGTCGGGTTGCTGCCAACGAAGCTTGAGACTTGAATTAATATTCTGACTCAGCCAAGACTGAGCGCATGTTGGTTTTTCTCAAGTTTATCTAGACGCCCACAAGATCTTCTAAGTAATGATCGTGGAAAAGAGTTCAAAGAGAAGTACCAGTCTCCCAGTCTAGAATTGATTATCAAACTCCTTTAAGTTGTTTCTGACATGGCAATAGTTCAGGCTGATGTTCTTTGGCGGCCAGAAGATGACTATAAGGCCAAACCGACACTGGAAGAAGGAGACGTTTATCGCCCAGATATCCTTAAGGTCGTAGAAAGTGCCATCGAGAGTCTCAATGGCGATCTACGGGAACTGAGTCTAGATATTCATGGTAAGATAATGCATTTTGCCATCACAAGAAATACCAATGTATTAGATGTGCAGATCATCCGGAGATTAAGTATGAAGAAAGGTATGCCCACATTTTGAATACAAATTGCAACCAACTTCGACGGGAAATCAAACTAATCATCGGCCGCTCAGATACGCTCACGATGCATACGCCTCTTTCCTAGAGAAGCGCGGTTTCGAAGTCACGAGGCATTACCTCCTGGAGACTGCTTGGGTTGCGACCTATACCCACGGGCGAGGTGGACGCGTTCTAGGGGTGAACTCAGAGATGGATGCACTCCCGGGCGTTGGACATGCATGTGGGCATAATCTTATCGGCATCGCAGGCGTCGCTGTCGCATATGCGGCAAAAGCAGCGATGGAGCAGCTCAATATCGACGGGAAGGTGATTCTTCTTGGTACACCTGGTATGTCATTTTCTTTTGATTGTGGTGGATGGATCACATACCCTCAATAGCGGAAGAAGGTGGGTTTGGAAAAGTGAAGCTATGGGAGAAGGGAGCATACAAAGAGATGGATGCGTGTCTCATGTCCGTGGCCTGGCCGGACTGATCATATTTTCTCGTCAACTCACATACATGACAGGTGCCACCCTGGTCCTGGGCCCCTTCATTCTATCAGTTTAAGCAGCTGTCTCGCAGTTATACGTTTGGAAGTAAAATACTCAGGCCACACGTGCGCTCTCTCAATGTTCATCCTCTTGCCTGAACCCTGACTCGTTCCTCACAGTGCGCACTCTGCACTTAGCCCCTGGGAAGGAAAGAACGCGCTGGATGCAGCTGTTCTGGCATATACAAACATTGCTTTGCTGCGCCAGCAGATCAAGCCTACACATCGTGTGCATGGAATTATCGAGGGCAATAATTGGGCAGTCAGTGGTAAGTGTCTGTCATCCAGCGCTGGGTATACATCTGAGAGCGTATGCGACAGTCGTCCCGGATAACTCAAAGATGTAGTAAGTATGGGTTCTAGCTACGGAGACTTGATGCAGGTGGTGACATATTTCAGTTATTATATCCGTGCGCCAACCACTATTGAAGCGGAAGAGACGTTCAAGCGTGTCGTCCCCTGTTTTGAGTGAGTTAATATCCGTTATTCACGTCACCCAAATCTCAGACTTTGCCCAGAGCAGCAGCACTGGCAACCGGGACCAAAGTCGAAATCACCAGAGGACACACTGGGAACGAACTGGTGCAGAACACAATCCTTGGTGTGTCTTCTTGATGGCAACCCCGTTATTCTCCTAATTCTCGCCCAGGTAATGAACTGTCTGATGTGGTTAGGAAGAAATACGGAGTCATTGACTATGAATATGGGATCAGTGGTGCATCGACTGACTTTGTGAGCATGCTTGTATAGTATCTCAAAGGGCTACACTGATTTTACCCCAGGGAAATATTTCATATTGTAGGTCTTGATCGTAATGTCTGGCAGAGACTTTGAAAGCAATTATTCACCAAGTGATGCCTGGTCTACACCCCGGGTTTTGTTCGTACAGTTTTCCCTTCTGTCGCTAATAATTTTTGACTCCAAAACCACCTCCCAGCGATACCAACCGTTCCAGGAGGCGGTAACCATACTCGAGCATTCGCCGACTCGGCACGTTCGCAGGCTGCTCATGATGCATCTCTCACTGTCTCGAAGGCTCTCGCTCACGTTGGCATGCGCGTGATCACGGACGGTAGATTTCTGCAGCAGGTAAGATGAAGTCTATGCCTAGCCCGATGATTACTACGACATATTTGACTACAGGTGAAAGATGCTTTCGAGGAGCAAAAGAACAACGGAATGTGACAAATGAAAACAGAGCGCACACATACACCAGCAATATAACTACATAGCAAGATTTACAGATCCAATGATTTCTGATTGCGCTTTGACTCCAGACCAAACCTTGCTGATCGAGTTGCTCACCACTTTTCGTGAGCAGGACGCACTGTTTGACATAGAGTGAAGATAGGGTAATGGCAAATGGGAACCACACTTACGGTCAATTTCCCAAGTCCATGCTGAACTATCTTGCTTGACAAGGTACAAGTAAGACTGAGCGTTGTGATCAGTTCAGACGCGTATTGCCACAAGAATGATCCAACCTTTGCGATAGATTCAGGATCAAGTCGAGCATCCTGATTAGCCTCCCAAGAGGGGTCGTTGCGATGAGACTTGGTGCGGTCAGTGAGGATGCCTGTTCCTCATTAGATGATACTTCGTAGATGGTGGGATTAGGCTTACCGCCGTCGATAATGCTCTGAGCAGCGCATTTGAACGTCTATAAATATTCTTGGCACTAGAGGACGGAGACTCACATGAGCAACCTAAAAGTTAGAATATCAGCCCACATTAAATTCTAAGGCAATGTAGAAGATACCCACATGTATATTCTGCTTGTCGAACTCCTTAGCTAAGCTCTGTGACAAAGCCCGTATGCCAAACTTGCTCGCAGAAAACGCAGAGGTCAGAGTGTTGCCTCGGATGGAAGCCGTTGCGCCAGTGAAAATGAGGGTACCCCTTTTACGAGCATCGCCAGCAACTCCGCCCTCGTCTGCGGTCTCAAAATCGAGCTTTGTGAACTCGAGAAGGGTCTCGCGTGCAAAGGCAAAAGCCGCTAAAATGTTAGTGTCGATCGACTCACGAACTTCATCTTCTGTGATGTTAAGGAATGGCTTCCAGACACCATAGCCAGCGTTGAAGACTGCAACGCGGAGAGGGGAGGATGGCCAGTGAGATTTGAGAGAAGCAAATGCGGACTTGATGGATGCGGTAGTGTAGTCTTTGAGAGGGAACGGTGCAGCCTGTTCCAAAGGAGCGGGTCAACATGACTGCATAGGAGCGCGAATATGGATATGAGACAGATACAGCACCTCTCCACCTGCTTGGTTGATCTCTGTAGCGAGTTTATTGAGGTAATCTGGTCCTCGGGAGATCAGAGCGACTCTGTAACCAGATTTGGCGAAAAGACGGCTGTGTGTTTGTTCATACACCATCAGTACAAGTTGGTCAGGAAGGACGTGATATTATGTACGCGGTTGCAGCTCCGGTCCCTGTACAAGACGTCAAACCATACGTGTTTGTACACACTGAGAAAGACTTACCAGTGCCATTACCAATACCAGCGACCACGAACAAAGGGCGGACTGAAGACATCTTTCAAGTTGATGAAGCTATAGGAATGGAAGAGATATCTACACATAGCCCCTCAGTGTGGTGATCACAGATCAGTCAGCTGTGTCGTCACATGTCGTGAGACACGGGGGTATGGCGGAGAGGATGACTAAGCGATGTCAGCGGGTATTATTGGCGAGAATTCCTCACGAAATTCGACAGTCACATAGACTGCTCTTCAAGTTGATGTGTGCAAAGTCAACGTCGATACCATTTCAATATCCAATGATCGCACCCTCGCAAGTTCAAAACACTTGGACAAGACAGCGCAACTATGGAACCTTGAAACTAACCAGCCCATCGCAACACAACTCCGATACTGACAACGCATCTTCTCTCCCAGGCTGATGCTACACTATGTTCAGCCCCAAAGATCAAAGACGCTCGTCAAATACCCTAAGGGTTTTTCGATAATGTACGTGATATGCATCTATGGTTGAATGTTAGTGTAACCGAATGCCAATGTGGTTACTAGTTCCAGTCTAGCTCGTGTACTCATCCATCCCAATCTCATGGGCAACACAACTTCGGCCGCTTTTCCTCCTTCTGGCGCCGTCCAAAGTCATTTAGGGCCACCGAACGCGAGACCCACCCTCAATCCCAGCCTCTCAGCTGGGCTCGAAACATTGTCTCTGGCATGCTGCACAAACGAGATGGATCAGATATGGAGATGCGAGAACCACCAGTTGTCGAGGTTGCATACACAGCTGCAAAGCCTGTACGTGTTTGCCTTTCATTCTTTTTTATTACCGATTCCTTTCCTGAAGAGGCACTATCACGCCGCGTGAGAAAGAAACTAGCTGCTGGCTCATCTCGACCTCCCAATCCTCATACTACGCAACGATACACTGGCGTAGCAGCACAGAACACACCATCATTGTCACAGATTCCACCTCCCACTGCCGCTGCCTCGACAATTACCGCTGTCCCTGTTGCCCCAGGGACAACAGGTACGATTTCGCGTCCTAATGTCATCGTTAGACAGGCCGGATGGTGGATCTGTCTTGTGCTCTGGGCTACTTGCGCGTCTGTTGAGTACACAATCAATCAACCATAGGGAAGTGCTCTTCTTTGGTATTTCATTCATACTTTGATATTTTCACAATAATTAGCCGTTATTATGGTATAGTTAGTTCATCGGCATGTAGTATAGTGGGGAACCCATATATAGGGAAGATGTCGATGAAGGTTCAGGGAAATGAAGAATATGTGGATATTCTTAGAAAACCGGCCTAGGTTGGGCACCACTTGATCTGCACAGCACACGTTCAAGCTGTAAAGTAAACACAGGAATATAGTATGAAGGACGCACCTGCAACTCCGACAACGACCTCCCATCTGACCAGACCGAGTCGTTGTGCAGGTAGTGCCGAACCAAACAAATCCTTGTCAATAACACTTTGTCGATCATGAAACACGAACGCTCTTTTAGCTGCACGTTTACGATCAAGCGATGGAGACTATCTTCGATGGTTCAAGGTGGTTGCTGTGCATGCGAGTGCAGGTAGTTGATCTCCTGTAATGATCCCTTCATCCTTTTGAACGTGAGACTTAAAGATCATCGCTTCAGATATTTCTTTGTCGCCTTTTGTTGCTGATGAACTTGTCAGAATCTTGGAACTGTTCAACCATCTTCAAGGTGCGATGAGTCTTTTTCGAACCGTTTGTCTTGTAAAGTTTGAAAAATATTGTACATTTCTAGAGTGCTCAGGAATCCGATTTCCCTCATTGTACTTGTGTCATTGGTACGTGAAGCTATAAAAATAGTGCAATATACCAAGGAGATTCACTGTTTTGATGAAAGCGAGGTTCATGCATTACTTCTGTATGTTCAAGTCTACGACAACGGCCATGCTGGCATTAATCGTCAGTGAATGTGTGGTTATTGCTATGTTTATATCGTGGTTCATCTGGGCAACAAGAGAGCTAGATATCTTCAAGCGACTGGTTGAGCTCATATTATCTGCCAGGAGACACGGTTCGCTAAATTTCATGTGAATTGATTTGTTCGCACATAACAGTTTGACCCAGATCTGATAGCATCTCATCCATTTCACGATTCAACGAAAACTTCACGCCAATTCCGATATGCAAATTCTTCCTGATACTCTCCAAATCACTGGTCACTTCCGCGTCAGTGTCAACGGCCATATTCAACCGACGTGAAAGCAAGAATACGACTCACTATGCAGTAGTGGAATTTGCTCTATCATTCAGGTGAGTCATATCATCAGGTCCAGGAAAATGCTGTTACTCACACATATCTGCCAATAGCAGCTCCCCTTTTGGCAATGCGAGTTTTGAACGCAAAACGACTTACACTTGTCGGCATCACTAGTAGTGGGCACGGCAGAGATTGATGATACTAAAGCAGCAATGATGGGGAGGACAATTGCAGAGGAGAAATGCATTGTTTGCGACTCGTGTGTGTGGAATCTGAAGGGGATAGTAGGTCGACGTTTTGGCTTTTTTATTGTTCTCTGGACTTAATGTTTACGCGGACGTGCCTTCAAGTGTATACATATGATCAATTATATTGCAATATTGTTGCTGCTGTTGTGGGCAGAACCTCACCGGCAGAATGTGACAGAATTCCCGCACAATGTTGTCAGGTTCAGATTGAGGTCCGAGGTTCTGCCAGTTCTGCCGGAAGAACTACCTTGGAATAGTTCTGCCACTACATATTGCCAGTGCATGTCCAGTTTCGAGCTCTCGACTGTACCAGCCCTCCAACTTCCCACAAATTATTATACGCTAATGTAGCCAACCATCAGGAAAACATTCCGATACAAACCTAGACTAAGTATGTCAAGTTTAATAATTTTTCTGACATATTATAATTTCGCAAAAGTAGACAACTTAGCAGATTAGAGAATCATTTTTACTGCCCACCAGATCCTACTCGTGTTGCATACACTACCTGCCAGCACAAATCACATGTCATATGTTGTAACACCTCGGGCAAGCAGAAACATTCGACTTCGGCCGCCGAAACAGGTTGTGTATCTCATGAAGATGAAAAAAAGAGTCTGACTCTGGTATACATTGCTCACCTCAGCTCCTGCCAAAAAATTGCATGCCCAGAGCGAGGTGAAAGATTCTTGCCTAGGACACACATGTTTCGCCGTCGAGCCAGCGTTAGGTGCGAGAATAATCCCAAATGTCGCGATTTTGTCACGATAGTCCATTGTGTTGTCCTTACTTCTGGAATCTGCAACAGCTCCGAGACTCGAATTTTGCGGTTGAGAATTATCCCTTGCACGGTACGCTATACCACACATTCCTGCAACGTACCCAGAATTTTCCACCACGGAAACGGTGCAGGAAGGGTCTTTAACAGTCACGTGATCGGTAGATGCTACACCTACCGTTCCATCATTCGTTCTAGATTGCTCCAAGTTTGACTTCAAGTTATAATGATCCATCAAATACTTCGTTACCATTAACTTCTATAGTATCATCAATTTAGGTGGATGGAGTTCAGCCAACTCAGGAGGGAAGCGGACAGTCTGGCCAAGAAACGCGCCCAGTGAGTTATCAGAAAGGCGTGTGCCTTGAGAAGAAAACAAGTATATTTCGGAACTGGCGAATCTAATAAGATACCTCAGTGGTGGTGGCCAAGAGCAATATGTCCAGCCTTGCTGTTCTGCCAAGCGTCACGGCGTTTGGCCCAAGTGTATGTCCCATATCCTGGAGCCCGATGAGGTGGTTTATGAATGAATGCAGCAAGCGACACGCACCAATAGCAAAGGGAACTATCCAGTAGGGAACTTGGGCAGCAAGACGCCTGTAGCCGTTGAATAACCAGCCTCTAATTATGGCTTTTGAGCCCCGCTGTCTGAATGGCGAGACAGCTTGCAGTGCCGAAATAAGGGGAGATAAAGAGCCCGCATCATGATGAGAACACGAGAATTGACGCGACAAATAGGAAGCACAAGTCGAAGTTAGTGACTTGTTTCAAGAAGACAGTAGAACAGATAACGCACTGTAAACAACCACTCCTCTCTGTTTGTGCATGCTGGTGTCACCCCACCAAGGGTTCTTTGGAAAAAGAGGTAAGAACAGCAGTATGGTGCTTGTCATGGGCTGCACGACCACTCACATATGATTTAGCTGTAAGCTTGAAATTAGCACAACTGTTCCATAGCAAAAAAAGATGAAAAAATATACCTCCAGGCATTCCATCTAGACGGGTAGCAGTGGGACGCATGACGGGCGAAGTGGTACACCAACGTTGGCTGAATCGTATGTGCTGTGTTCGATGTTTAGACCCGATGTTTCCCGGCAGAAACAAACAAGAACAAATTTTGTCTCATCACACTTGTTGTGACACGGTTTATTAACTACTTTATTTTGAAGTGTTTTGACCAACGACGACTACCAAGCTAAAAGTACGTGTCATATATCATGACTTTCGACCCCAATGTCTGAACCATGATTGACCAGGTCGCGCCCACTCTTTTGCTTCCAAAATGATAAGCCACCAGACGCTGTACAACCTGGCAAACTATCTTGGTGCCTTTGCTATGGTCACCGTAGTTGCATACCATTTCGTTGCTGTGAACGCAAGATATCTTGCTAAGAACGGGGCCAGCAGTTGAACTCGCAGAGGGTGCACGGATCATCGTGAGGATTGTATGCACAACGTATGTTGCCAAAGTCCTTTCTAGCTTGTACACATCTGCTGATACATATTTATTCGAATAATCCTTGCAGTAGCTCTAGGACTATTATTTCGTCAATCATACTGCGGCTGCTCTCTCCAATATATGGTCTTTTATAGACAGTGAACGACAAAGAAAAAAGTCTACTGTGTGTCTCTGCAGCATGTTACTCAAGTTTCACTGATCCGCTGCCACCTCCAGGCTCGGATTATTAGCAATCATGGATTCCTTTCTCGAGGCTCATTTTGCACGACCTCTATCTCGAGATTCTTGTCCTGCTTCTTACAACAACAACAGGAGTCCATCAGAGTCTGTCAGTAATACCTTGCGCTGTTTCAGCCAATTTCACGTGATAAAGTGTGCCAAAAGCAATGAATGTGTATTGGATAGGTGACATTTCCGCACGACTTCGGCACTTTCAACCGTCTCATCCAATTTTTCCTCGATCATGATCGACCTCTTAATGAGTTGTATTAGTGAGAGAATGATATCTATGTTCAAAATTGTGTTTGAAGTAGTTAGAAATACGATGTTTTGTGAAGGTGCTGACTCCCAAAGCCGAATTTCCAAAAAGGGGGTCTAGGACTCTGGCTAGTCAACTATAGGTCACGGTGGAGCTCTCACCATCACTGCGGCCATTTCTTTCTGGCAATAGTATTTTCTTCCAGCACAGTCCAGATTGACCCCGGCCTTGGTGATATGGTATCAGAAGCAGACCTCAAAGCCTTCATCAGCCGCCATCGTGAACTGCTCTCAAAGGAACGTAACGCAGAGATCGAGCGATCATCTCTGTTGCTCACAAACTGTGGTCAAAAGCTTCTGGAGCAAAAAGGGCTCGCGCTGGGGAATCTTGGTGTGGTTGGAATCAACTTAGGCCTAGGCGGGAAAACGTGTGGTGTCATTCATTTCCTCCTACCTTTCCGTTTCCTGATTGCAGTCTTACGGAAAAGCGCAGATTAGTCGAACTGGAGCGCCCTGCAGCTTTTCACACTTCACAGTTATTTCCTCCTCATAACTTCAGGTATGTCATTGATCACACACGTGTAGATCTTATAGTTTAGGTCTCAGAAAGACCGGGAGACCTCGCTCGCATCGAAGAGAATGTATCCTCGAATGCTACCGCCAAAAAATCTGCCAAAAGCAAGAAGACTGCATCTGCTGGCTCAGAAAGCTCACATACTGCAGAAGGTGTGGTATACAAAGTATGACATTGTACAGTTATAGTGAAGTAGTCACTGACTCGCGCACTCCAAAATAGGTGTCAGATACCCGCATCGTCATTGCAATGGACCCTTTAGATTCCAGATCGGACGATCTTGACCTTCCTGAGCGTTGTCGAGTGCTCAAGTTGGCCAACAGCGTCACTTATGACAGGTAATCACACTATTCTTTTTCCATGCGAGTCTTGAAACTGTGCCATATTCAAGAATGGATAAAGCGCTTAGCCAATTGGAAAAAATCTGCATTCCTTCATTGAGACAGGCAACTAGACCATATAACTCCACTCACCTGATTGCTAACAGCAGCTCAAACAGTCCAGTGACAAAGGTGACTATGAGTTGACACCTCTCATCCAAGTTTTACTCGGAATATCACCACCTTCCGAAAAGCTTCCTATTTCGGACCTAAGGTTATTCGACGAATCTCTAAATCCGAGCCAGCAACAGGCTGTCAAGTTCGCCCTTGAATCCCAGGAAGTCGCTTGTATCCATGGTCCACCTGGTGAAGCTACCAGTCCTCCTACTCAATATAACCACCTGATGACAATAACAGGGACAGGGAAAACACATACCTTAATTGAAATTATACGGCAACTCGCCTCTCCTTCGGAGAATAGCGTCAATGAGAAACAGAAGCGCATCCTTGTGTGTGGCGCTTCTAACCTATCTGTCGACAATATTCTAGAGCGTCTTCTTGCCATACCACCCCCTGAGAAGGGCAAGGGAACACCCTTGACAACTACCCGCATAGGCCATCCCGCGCGTGTAATGGCTCATCAGGGCGTCTTAGAGGCAACGCTAGAAGCGAAGGCCAACAAGAGCGATCAAGTGATTCTGCTCTAACATTTGATGAGGTGGTTGGTACTGAGACTTTGAATTAGGCCGCACTTGTAAGGGACGTCAAATCTGAGATTGAATCAACCCTCGACGTGCTTGCTGGTAAGGGGAAAGGCTCCAAGAAACCGAGAGGTTCGGAACGGAAGAAGATGTGGCAGGACGTAAAGGCTCTCAGGAAGGAGTAAGCACAGACTCATTGCTCAGACTTGGCGTGCATACTCACTACTAGTTCAGATACAGGCAGCGCGAAGGCAGAGTTGTTAAGACTGTCCTCGGAGAGTCTCAGGTATGGCCTGTGATACTATTATGCCACCAGGACGATCATTGATTAACTACAGGTCGTCCTTGCTACATGTCATTCCGCTGGTAGCAGGCAGCTCCATGACCACAAGTTTGATGTAGTCATTATTGACGAGGCAACGCAAGCGCTCGAAGCAGTAAGATGATTCTGTTTCAGATGACAGTCATTCATATACCTGCAGGTGTGCTGGATCCCGATATTCAAGGCGAGAAAGCTCATACTGGCGGGCGACCCGATGCAATTGCCACCTACAATTCTCTCTATCGACAGACATAAGAACACATCGGGGACTGCGACACAAAAACAGAGCGCAAGTACTGCGAATGATCAGAAGAAGTCGCAAGAGTCGACAGCATCAAAGCCTCAGCTACCTGAAGAAGACGAGGGCATGAGTCCCAGCGATGTGGATTCCGAGGCGGAATCGGTCAAAGGAGATGAAGTCATGGCACAAGATGTCACAACCGAAGTGTCCGAAGGAGGATCCCAGCCGAATTCGAATCCTAAACAAAAAATACAAAAGGAGGCAAAGAAACGGACTGGCTTGCGACCACCTCGTACATTAGAAACAACGCTCTTCGACCGGCTCGAAAGGATGTATGGTCCAGATATAAAACGCTTGCTCAATATTCAATACCGGTAAAGATACAAGTCATATTCAAGTTGCACTGAGCCCACAATGCACACCTCTAGCATGCACTCGCAAATTTGCCAGTTTCCTTCCAAAACGCTTTATGCGTCAAAGCTCGTGTCTCATCAATCTGTAAGATCTCATCTCCTCAAGGACCTCTCCACTGTCAGTGCCTTTACTACTACTGAAGACGAGGACACCGTCAAAGAAATACTGGGAACGCCAGTCGTGTTTTATGACACTGCAGGTTGCGAATACTTCGAGCGAGCAGACGGAGATAACGACGAAGGTAGCCGCTGCAACGAGAACGAAGCAGCCGTGGTGTCAAAATGGGTCGAAAGGCTGGTGGGAGCTGGATTGCTGCCATCACAAATCGCCCTGATCACTCCGTATGGGATCAAATTCTTCCGAGCTGAGATGCAGGTCGGACTTATTATTGTGAATCAGGTACCAAGCACAGGTTACTCTTCTCACTTCCTTGCTTAGACCAGTATATGGTCTTGAGCTTGAGATTGGGACAGTTGACGGGATGCAGGGGCGAGAGAAGGACGCTGTCATTATCAGCTTGGTGCGCAGTAACAACAAGGTACGATTTGTCCTCTCTACTGCGCTCTCCATTGAACATTTCTAGCGCGAAGTCGGGTTTCTGAAAGAGAAGAGACGTATGAATGGTGTGTAAAATTCTTTCTATAGGGGCATCATCCTCATCAAGTTATTCGGTAGTCGCCATGACTCGAGCCAAAAGGCACTTGGTAAAAATGCAAAATATCTATCCTCATGGTGTTGACTAACCGGGACTCGCAGTGTGTTGTGGGCGATTCGTCGACTGTGAAGCATGGCAGCCCGTACTTGAAGAAATGGCTTGCTTGGCTTGAGGCAAATGCGGATGTGAGGTTTGCAGAATTTGATTCCATTTAATCGATCTGCCAGGCTCCTGATCAGATCTAACCTTGTGATTGTAATTATTGGGCAGTACAACACAAATATATAGACAGTTGCCGTACAGAATGAATGGGTTCGTCGCATAATGCAACTCCCAAGAAGCCTCCGCTTCTCTAGATCAGCGAGGACGATTACATGAGTACAAGACTAATGCAAGAAGTAATGCAAAACAAACTACAATATAGCGTACAGTACAACAATCAGAAAATGAAGGCATTGTTATGTAAAATGAGGGGAGATGATAGATGAATAACTTAATGGATACTTGTGATAGGAATAGTACGCCAGGTGGAAGCCAGCCAGCCACTCAGTACTCCTCGACATCAGTAAAAGAAGCGTAATCAGATAGTGTCCGCACATCTTCATACTCCAGCACAACTTCTCGCATTGCATAACGCATGATCGGCGTCAGGGGTACCAGTTTGGGGCCAATCACTTCGTCGTGCTCGTCTTCCTCGTCGATCTGCCCGAGCTCCCGCGTAGACATATTGATGGGATTCATCGCCATCATATCGCCATCTTCAGAGGACGCACCAAGTGTGCTGCCGCTCCCGATATTGATAGGACTGGGTATGATACCCACTGGTGGGCTAACGGTGATAGACATTATTGGTTCCGAGCGGGCTGGCGAGTCTCCTTCGTGCGTCACTGGGTCTGTCCAATGCAGATTCAGCACCCGCCCCTTAATCATTCCATCCACCGCGCGCACACCAAGCTCCCGACAAAGCAAAAAATATGGCAGGTGGTTCGTCCCCACCTGACTCAACTTGCTCATAACTTTGAGTAGTTGCATCGCGCTGAAGTCGGCAGAATATTCCTCGCTGACACTGCCGGGGTCGCGGAAGGAGTTTCGAACAGGAGGATATGATTTGAAACCAGCAGGCCCGAGGTTGGCATGCAGGGCGTCAGGCCCTGAGGAGCGCGGGCGGGCGGCAGGTGTGCTAGGTGTTGTGGGGTCTTGGCCGCCGCTCGTCACTGTGGTGGCTTGTGAGGAATGGATGATGTGAAGGTTGAGGACCGCATGTGCTTGAAGGAAGTGAGAGCTTTGCTTGACTGTGATGCGACGTTAACGGCTGCCAGTGTGTTATAGCGATGTGTACTTACTTTCAAAGTTTCCAGCTGCATTGACTGAGAAATATCCGTCAGTATTCCAATCGAAGAGATAAGACTGATAATAACATACTATAATCATTAACATAATCATACCAGTGTGCTAACTTGCCACCAAATGCATCATATAATGAGTCAAACGACAAGCCTGCACGTAAATGTTCTGGAACGCGAGGTAGCATCTTCTCGATAAAGAAGGCACGCGTCTCTGCCTTCGTGCAATCTCCGATAGTGACGATCTACATCAACAATAACGATCAACTCCTGAAAGCCACGCAGGGTGTCAAGACGTACTTTGCAGTGTTGCATCGCATTCAACTGCCGTAGCCATGCCTGATAGAAAGGATCGCTGGTGGCGTGAATTACATGACATAGCCTGTCTTGCTTCGTGAGCACCAGCATCGAGTCTAGGAGGCATTTCATCGCGTCAGATGACTGGATCAGCCCAGGGCTGTGATGATGATTCATCAGCGCCTAATATATAGATTCAGGTAGGTGCACCCACAGTTTATGTGCTTCGTCGAAGAACACCACCGGGATCCTCTTGGAGGCCTTCTCATGCTCCTTTTCGCGAGCGCGGGAGTTGGCCCTTGACGAGGACAGTTCCTGGTTGTGCTGCCCATCGCATGGCTTCTTGCCTTTGCGTTTGAAGACCCACCGGGATTTATGTGAGGGTGAAGGTGGTGAGCTGTTGAGTTTTGTCCGGTCTGAGGACACATCGGAGTCCTTCTTACGCTTTCCACTTTCTGGTGGCTGTTCTGACGGTTCAAATTCATGGTACTTGAGAAGCGAACTCTGAATCAAGAAAGTCAATAAAACACGCATTGGCAGGTGGAAATACGCGCCTGGAAGAGCTCCATGAGTCTCGCAATATCGCTCGTCCTGACTTGCGAACCAGAGCTTCCAACAGGAGAATCGTTAAGCCTCCGTTCGACGTTCAATCTGTCGTGCTGTGATCATATTAGGAATAGCATTCTTCCACGTAATTGGTTGGCGAACCTTAAATTCTAGTCCCTCCTTCTGGAACTCCTCATATCCAGGCGTCGCCTTCGATATTTCGTCAAAGAATCGCTCCATTTGCTGCGACATACTCATGTAAAGACTCGTCATATCCGCAAAGCCAGGTATGCGTAAATCGAAATGAAGAACATGATAGATATTCCGCGAGAGAATTTCTCGCAGGAGGGCGGTCTACAAATCATTTTTTAATGAAATGGGCAATCGCACTTGAACAAAATAGGTGAACCGACCTTCCCAACCGAACTTGCACCGAACAAGATCGTAAACGAAGGCTCACCGTCCAGGATACGTTCGATCACACGCATCTCGGTTTCTCGCGGAAGAAAGCATGGGAGGCGAGTGAACGCGTGTTTTGTACGCAACGGAGATCGGTCGTGCGAGTCGCGTGTTCCGTTGATCTCGTTGCGTGCTTCTTCGAGGAGGCGCCTTGACTCGCTCAGGGAGCGAAGCGTTTCGGAAGGCTGGGAGTGATTATGAGTGAGTTGAATTGCCCAGTGGTCGGAGACACACGTTCAGAAGAACACTAAATACTTCGCTCATACCAAACAAGTTCCTCCGTCCAAGGTCAGCGCTGTATGCAGCGGAGCTTCTGCGATGTGGTAAGTTTGAGCGGAAGAGCCAGTGCATGGCGTTGGAGGAATATTGGGAGCGTGGGCGAGGGATGGGAGAAGCAGGGCTGGCCTTGGTGGTTCTGGTGCGCATAGTAGTCGAGGGGTGTGGAGACGCCAGCCTTATAAGGAAGAGAAGTGGTGATAGTAGTTGGTGTGATTGGAGAAGTGAATGGCTGAAGGGCAGTGGCAGGTTAGTTATGAGTGTAACTTGCAGTCAGGAAAGAGGCACAAAGGGACCATACATCTTACGCGTGTTTGTGTGCTTGCGTAAAGGATGGAAGACTACTCAGCTTGCGCAGCACTAAGTCCACGCATCTTCATCGTTTGCATGAGCGCAGTTGATCGATGTGTCCACGTTGTTCGCGCGAGGCAGCTCTCTTGCGAGTCACTAAAATGGGATTCGGAGGAATGATGACGAGAACAGAGGCATATATATGCATGGCATTATTGTTCTTCAAGCAAAATCTCGGGACCCGTCATCACTTCGAATTCGACGACTGACTCATCTGACACCTGGGCCGTGAAGCGAATATAGGCCAGACTGACGCAAGGATAGGACAAAAAGCGAAGCCATAGTTGACGTTGTGGTAGTTGTCCCCTTATGTTATTCCAGTTAGAATACTTTGGATTGGACAAACAACGCCTTTGGATATAATGATTATAAGCTGGACGAGTTTTCATTAGAGTACGGGTAGTAACACTGTGGCTGTAGCTGGCAACAAGGTGATATGACAGTGTTCGCATGAAGCCTCAAACCAACGTGGGATGAGCTTTCCATACTTCCAGCTCAACATGTACACTGCCTGTCGTCTGATTAATTGGGGCTCATGCACCCGCATGTCACTGAGGCTTGCCGTCCATTCTGTCAAAATGCAGTCTGTCAAACTTACTGCCTCGCTACAGAACAAGCACGGATCCAAAAACCGTGGAAACAGGAAATAATGATTGCAATATGATAGCACTCGTGCACAGCGCCCCGGCTGAGCGACAAGCGAGCTTGGTACTACGATGATCGATCTGATGATAGTCTGCACGATGGGAACTAGTGCGAGGTTTGACGACGAATGATCCGATTTACGAGTGGATCATGACGAACAAGTGGCTCATCAAAGGGGAATCCATGGATAGCACTCCTCGTGCTCGACCGGCTGTCCGATAGCACCCGACGCCGATCAAAGTATTTGAAGCGAATATTCGCTTTGCGCAGGAGAAAGATCTTCACCAATGAAATCGAATCATATGGGAACACTTCTGTGCGCTTGACCATCAAAGATTAAACATTAGATTACCTCGCAACCATGAGCGGCGGCGACCTTTTCTCATCAGAAATATTGATTTCCTAGAAAATTTTCAAACAGTGGCGGAACACCGTTATTTTCGGCGATAACAGGTCAGCATATGTCGCGAAAAAAAATCACTGGCGATCGTTTGTCTCACTAGAAAATCACATGCCAGGACGATCAAAGGACGATGCTTTCTATGTAGGGAAAATATTAATTCATGCTCACTGGCTACTGCCGTCCGATGAACCCATGACCTCAACCTCATCATCAGACTCAACAAGGCGTCCCCGTCTCGAACGCGAGGGACGGAGAGCAAAAACGCTATCGACCTCGTCTTCGTCAGAGGAAACTACAATAGGTGCAATTCGGCCCAATCTACTCGCAAGTGATGGTTCATCTTCCTCAGAGAGAAGATCAGCATCTACGTGCGAACCGTGGTCTTCATTATCGCTGTCATCGGTGAGCTCATGTATATGCGCCAGCTGTTGTATCGGGCTCGGAGGAAGTCCAGTGTCGTGTTCGTCATCGATGAAATCGCTCTCATAAGCGGCCTCGTCATCTCCTTCATCGTCATCGTCTTCGTCCTCGTCCTCTTCATCAAAGCCAAAGCGCCAACGGAACACTGGCCAACCCGGGTACGAATCGCCAAACGCTAAACCATCATCTTCGTCATCCCCCTCGCCTTCTTCCAGACCCATCCAGCCTGGATCATCTTCAGGGTCAAACTCTTCCACTCCTGCGCCAATGTCCAAACCGAGTTCATCATCTGACCAATCTTCCACTCCTTGGTGGCCTAGATACCGTCTACCGCATGACGTACACACGCCATCCCAAATCTCATGCATGCAGTCCAGACACCGGTATATCCCTCCATCCTCCGTATCAAGCATTCCGACGTCTTCCCCACGACGGGGCTCGGCATCTGCCTCGTCTGCAAGAAACCAAGGAAGGAGATTATGAACTGATTTCCGGAAGATGCCGTCCCAAGGATCTGTGTCCGCGGGCCGATCAACATTAGCTTGCGCCTCGAGATGCTGAGGCACGTTGGTAAGGCCGCTCTTCCCTACGAGGTGGGCTAGATTCTTGATAGTCCATATCTCTGCGGGACGATCTCGCACGACCGCTCGGCAATGTGGACACGTCTTTTTCCGTACAATGGCTGGTGGGGCAGGTCTATTATCAGCAGGCGGAGCGTTAAACCATTGAACAAGGCAGTCATAGCAAGCCACGTGACCACAAGGAGCGAGTGCATAAGGCTTGTACATCACGTCGAGGCATATCTGACACGTCAGAGTTTGGCAAACGTTGTTGAGAACACTTTGATGTGCAGCCAGAAGCTGATACGATAAATAAAATTGAATTAAATATGACGTGCTATAATGAAGTGCGCACCTCGCCCTTCTCCGTCAATTCCTTTGTCAGTTGCGAAATCCTATCTTCAGGAGTCAAATCTGGGGGGCGTTGCGAGTTGACATGTGAGGACTGTTTCGTATCACTGAGATTAGTGGTTTCAGATGAAGCGCTTCCTTTCTATGCGATACCATTATGAGTGAACTAAATGAATTGAAACAAGCAATTCTTTAGACATACTGGGGCAGTCGATTCTAATTTCACTTCAGGATTCTTCTCGTTATCACTCTCGTGACGAAGAGGGTCTGATAGAACCCTGCTTTTGCTCCCTGACGGTGAAGTGGACGTAAATCGAATGATTTCATTGCACGACACTGGCGGCCGGTGAGGCTGAGATGAGTTGCTCTGCATATGATGATGATCCAGTCTGATAACCACAGGTTCTTTCTTTCTCCTCTTCTTACGTTTCTTTGTGTCCCGTCTCGTGCTCGTTTCTGGAGACCGATCGACTCTGAGTCTTTTAGAGTTTGAAGGGACAGCCTCCACGTCTGATGTAGATCGTTTTACACCCTGGGTTGAACCACTGTGTTCCGGCATAGTTAGATACGTCAAGGGTTTCTGAGCAACTGCGTTAAAACACGACAGTTCAGGAAAGACAAGATACCTGACGTTCCGCGCTCGCACGAAAGAGATGATGCTTAGCTAAGTCCTGTGAAGGAAATGTTGGTCGAAAATTCAAACCTACACGTGATCCGTGGGAAGAGAGATTGAGTCGGGATTATCCTGGCAGCGACGTGAGACGTTGCCACAGATCGAAATATATGCAGCGGTTGTCTTTTCCAATTGACAAGGACCAATTTATGAGTTACCGACTGATCTGTCGTCTCGAACTCACTCAGAGCTCAAGGTCCTTCAGATTCTTTGTGACCAGCAGCGGCATTGGTTTCCGACTCAACTCCGCTTTCCAAAACTGTATCTGGGTCTTGAGCTTAAACGTATATGTTTTGGATGCCTGAGTTATTAATAGACGGACATGTATTTGGACTCCGGACACCGTTCCTTAAGGATTGGGTTAACAAGCGAATTTAGTATTTGCCTGTATCGCTCCAAGGTCGAGCTTCTGTCGCGACTGCGATTAATTGATCTCATGTCCTCCATGTAGATGTTTCTCTGAACCGCGTAGAATTCGTTGTGAGGAGTGTTGTCGGCGCGACCCGACCCGCTATGATGAAATATTACGTGTTGGGCGTCTAATCTAGGTTGCTACTAGTAGCATTACGCAAATCCCTGACTGAAACTTCCACCACCTCGCTGGCATGCCCTTATCAACTGAGGAGGACAAAAAATCTGATGCCATAGTACCAACTCGATATCCATCCTCGAGTAAATCTCGCTCGCAGCGTACACTTATACACGCTTCCCCGATGCCTGCGCATTTGGGGCCCGGGCATGTCCGTGCTGACTCCAGTATCGCCGTCACCACACACTCTATGGAACGGTCGCATCGACGACATGAGTCACATCCTGAACGAATCTCAGATTTCCTTTCAGGTCGGAATCCTCATCGAAATATTCCGAAGAAAGGGTCCGGTAGCACTATACACCAACATAAGGGCGCCGGTTTCATACCTCAAAATCCTTCCATGCAAACTTCATCCATGCAACCCCTTTCGGGAAGCAAAGAAGACGTGTGGGGTACCTACAGGCACACCCTGAAATTCTCGTTGGCAGATTCAAAGAACCATAAATCGCACAGCCGTCACCCATCTCTTATATCTCGCCATCGCGGTTCGCGCACCAGCGATCGCTTTTTATCACAATCGTCATCCATAGACATGCAAAACTTCCTTCCCCCACCCGTCGTGTCTTCCTCTAATCGTATACCCATCCATGATACTCCTTCGGACTATGATAATTTCACAACGGAAAAATATACCCCCCTCCTTGGAACATCCTCATCGCCTTCCTCATCTACACGCCGCTCGCTGGCATTCTGGCTCATTCTTTACTTTTGCTTCAACCTTGGACTTACCTTATACAATAAGACCGTCCTCGTCCACTTTCCTTTCCCTTACACCCTCACTGCATTGCACGCTTTCTGTGGCACTGTCGGAGGCCTCATATTGCTCAAAAATGCTACATTCGTGCCTGCTGAACTCACCGTCGCAGATAACTGGGCGCTTGTAGCGTTTAGTGTATTATACACTATTAACATCGCCGTCAGCAACGTATCCCTGCATATGGTCACTGTGCCTGTAAGTGATGACATATTTTGCACGATATAGGAGCTCATGATGAGCGTCATAGTTTCATCAAGTGGTCCGTGCAGCCACGCCGATATTCATAATTCTTCTCTCGATCCTCTTATTTGGTACCCGGAGTAGTAATCACAAGATAGTATCCCTGGTCCCTGTCATGGTAGGCGTTTGTTTTGCGTGAGTTATTTCTCGCCTCATAACATCTCTTACTAATTTCCATGTAGTACGTATGGAGACTATTCGTACACGACAAGCGGGCTCCTTTTGACTGTACTGGGGACGGTACTTGCTGCCGTGAAGACCATCTACACTTCTATCCTGCAATCCACTCCGTCGACGGCTTCTCCGCAACCCCGCATAAATTTTGTCGTTCCTCCGCGATTAAAACTACATCCGCTGGATTTGTTGACGCGGATGGCGCCGCTTGCATTCATCCAGTGTGTTCTTCTCGCATACGTCACAGGGGAATTATCCCGCGTGCGTATATGGAGTTTAAACGAGATGACGCCCGGAAATGCGGCGCTCCTTGGGATCAACGGCTTCATTGCGTTTGGTCTTAATATCGTGAGTTTTACGGCGAATAAGGCAGCAGGCCCTCTGAGTATGACTGTTGCTGGTGAGTGATCTTTGCAGATACGATGGTACATGTGCTGATGAGCCTACAGCCAATGTCAAACAAGTGCTTTCCATATTTTGTGCTGTCGTTCTATTCGAGCTTACGATAACGCCGACGAACGCAATTGGCATTCTTCTTACGATCGCTGGTGGAGTATGGTACGCAGCTGTTGAATATCAAGAAAAGAAAGGTAGATGGAGAAAGTAGATGATGATCGAGTGAGATTTACTGTAGGCCCTTCGTTCTGGACACGAACATTAGTATTGGATGGCGCACATGACATCTTTTGGAACTCATACCATATCTGTAACATATCGATACCGCGGTGTAGCGCACGGCAACGCGCATGTATGGATCACACTAGTTGAACTGACGTACGGTCAAGTCCGCAGTCATCGAAACGTCAACGAAGTTCGACATGAACTTTATCGATGTCGCTCGAAGGAGCATCATGGTTTTATATCCGCGTGTCGCGTGAAGCTGTCTTCTTTAATACCAGTACTAGTCTTATTGCGATGGAAACCATGCAGCCCGTGTAAGTCACTTCCACTGAAGATATTCATTGCACAATTCCTGGGAGTTGGATAGACGTCAGCGTACCCATTCAGTACATATACTACCCAGTACTATTGTCTTTTTGCAACTGTAGTATGCTCGGCCCTAGCGATGAATTAGAGTTTCCTTGCTATGTAGCAACACTAGAAGCATATCCATTACCAAGCTTGGAATTTTCTTTGATCCGTATGAAGCCAAGTCCGTTTCACACTAGGCGGCCATCTGGTATGGAAGATGCCAATCAGATTATTCCCATTTTATTTACTTACTCGGATCACTGGCCTTAATGCGATCAGATGAAATCATTTGTATCTGATTCTATCACTAGTGCCACAACGTGCCAAGACGCTGACTGTGGGCGCGTCGCCATCTGTCGGAAATGACCGCGTTCGAGTCGGTACGGTTCACTTTATCCATCGCCAAATTCCAAGTCGTCGAAGTTAATCCCAACCGTCTTGTGTGGTTGTGTTTGTAGCTTGTTCGAATATAGAAGGGGTCCTGCACTAGAGGTTCAGGGGGCACGGTAACCCTGAGCTCGCCGTCTGCGAGGCGCCACAGTTGTCAGCAATTGTGTAATGGCGAGATTAGCATATCATTGACATGACCGACGTCATCGACGTACCTTATGCCCGGACCCCGTATTCCCATTGCACGGCGAAGCATTAAAATGCTCTCTTTTAAAATGAACTCAGCATCGAACCAGATCCATCTTTAAGGACGCGCACCCTCTGCCCACTTGAAAACAACTTGAAGATAATCACGATAACAAGACTAAATATAGCATGAAATGGATTAAGTAAGCACGATACAACCATTTTGGATGATTCTAGCGTTGAATCACACAATCACCGCTCAGTGATTCATTGAAAGACAAGGCTATAAAGGAAAGTGACACTTCTCCCGTAGACACCGTGGAGCGCTCAAATCAAAAGAACGAGTTCCAAGTATCTACCGTCATCTCTGATTTGGCTATCCCTGAAACAACAAATCAATCAGGCACGTTGTTGAGCGGGTCTTTGGATTTACCATTTTATCTTGCGCACTGTATCGAGTTCCGGGTGAAAGACCTGCCAAAATGTCAACTGGGTGAGACCGACGTGTGCGCGACAGACGCGGGAGTCGTGATGACAAGTAACAGTGACACGCGGCCCCCAATTGCAAGATGGCACGTAAATCGATCATCAAGCCATTGCAATATACCATTGAAACATATATCGAACGTCACTGTAACCTAGAGTTTAGGTCGTCTAATTCCACCAAGAGTCTGGTTTTGGATAATAGATAGCAATGCATATAATGTTTCAACACGCTACAAGGCAGATATCAGCTATGATAACGGGCGACCGCAAACACCGCTTACTGGCATGTCTATCCCCATTTCCTTGGCCATTCTGACAACCTCCCCAAGAATCACCTCCACCTCGATAGGCGACCCATTCTGAGCATCAAGGAGCATGCTCGGGACAATTGAATTGGCAGGGTCTCTGTGTAACTCTGCAGTACGTGATATAGTATCGTCAACGAGCGAAGAAGGTAGACCATCTTCGTTGTCTGGGTACCCCAATGCACGCCCTAAGAAAAAGGTAAGTCATACGGAGAAGTCATACATACAGTTCAAAATCACCTAGCGTAATCATCTCTTGCAAAACGGCACGCAGGACAGGGACGATATCAGGCGCTGTCTGAGGTGCAACATAAGGACTGTATGATTGGCCCTCTTTAGGTGGAGGTCGAAAGAACGCTGTAGGAGAACACCCGGTGAGGGTTGAGAAGGAGGAGAATACAATATTCCAAAATGTCTTGATAAATTTCTTGCGCTGGATCTCTGTTGCAATGGTCACCTCTGAACCTCCTGTTTTAAGCGCGATTCCAAGGTCTGTCAAGATAGCATCTTCTTCAGGACTATTAGTAGTCGTTAGGTGGTCTCCATGTCTGTACATTCCAATGGTAATACGATCCTGCGCCCACATGTCAGAAAACCCAGAAAGGTTTACTCGACGTATGAAAACCGTCTTTGCTCACAAATCCGTTGTGATGGACCACATTCTTCTCCACAGCATTTGTTGAAATATACACGACAGTGCTGATGATCCTGGGTTCGCCTAGATCGAGGGCCTTGACGCTGTGATACAAGTCTCGCTCCACTCCGAGTCCATTTTGGAGTAATACATAAGTAGGCTGGGGGTGCCTTTCGCTATACGGACGAGAGAGCAATGGTTCTAGGATCCGAGGCGTCTTTATCACCTCTGGAATTGCCTTGGTCGTCAGGAATACGTAGGAATACGGCCTATCAGCAGCTTCCGCCACCGATGATACCACTGTAATTCCAAGTTGCACGGTTATGGTCATTGCGGGCAATATCATGATATGGGTCTTGCTTACGACGGTGGGGTTTCCAGCTCTCGTGAGTGCCATACTTTTGGCTCTTGATATGTATACCCTTGGCTTGTAGAGGCGCATCAGCTTCGAGTTCGAATGGCTTGGGTAGAAGTTCACCATTGACGACGTCATAGTTACTTCGTGCGACAGCCGTCACTCGCACGAGCTTGCTGCTTTGAAGGATATAGGCATCTATGATATTAGTGTTAGTGCACGAACTCGTATTCAACTTGATAGTTGGGAGGAATGAAGACCAAGCTTCGAGTTGTTTCGTGACTTACAGATCGTTCCAACTGCACCCAGGCCAACAAGTAGGACATCTTTTGTGCCTGTAGTGAGCATTTGCAGTTGCAGGTTGATAGTACTAGTATCGTCTCACACGGACCTGCGCAGTGACGGCAACGCACGGACAGCCGGCAGCGCTATGATCCGACAAAGTCTCTTGAGAAATGAGGGGCAACCGCGACGCCCGATGTAGACAGTACATGCAATATACTACGAGAGTCTGTTTGATATTGTAGATATACTTGTATGTATTATCCACCACAAAGCGCGGCTCCAACGGACAATAAATAATGATAAAAAAATCGTAGATGAAAAGGGTATGATTGAGAACCATTACAATGTATTGTTGCTACGCCCCACGGTAGAATGACTGCATGCTCCCAGTCTTCCGAGCAGCAAATGGTGACATGGGAGCCATAGGGTAAGTACAGCTATCCTCGCTGACATCGATCTGGACTGGTGCAAAGGTCACCGTAGGACTTGTCGATTTCTCGAAATGTGTGCCTATGCTAGTCAGGCCAAGGCCGAGACGGGTGATGATAAGAAGAGGCGTCGTGGTCTAGGAAGATGTGAGACAAGAAAAATATAAGCACAAGGTGCTTACAGCAAGTTGAACATAAACATTGAATGCCATGAAACCAGATGGGCTGCCAGCTACATCCAAAGCGAACATTATCAGAGTGAAGCCGGCTGTAAGTGTACCGGACTCGATGATGGTAAACATGGCAGCCTTGTAGACATTGCGGCCGGTTAAATCAGATACCTCTCGTCCCTTAACCCAAAGACGATACGCAATTCCACATGTGATACCGGTATTGAGAAAAAGACCCAGTGACCAACTGGCTTTGCCAAAAGCTTGAACATTGTGTGAGAAGAGGTATTCGTCGGGCCGAGAAATCAAAAACACGGCTACGCTAGCACAGGCTAGGCCGAGACGATAAATAATTTTAGCCCTTGATATAAGAGCGCAGCAAAGTTAGTGAGCTTACCGATATGTGCAACTTCTAAAATCAACTACCAATAGAGACGCTCATAAGGGAGATGTGACAAGTAGAATCGAAAGATATCTTACCGAAGGAATGACAAACTTCCAGCTGTGGTTCCAAACAACGTAAAGCCTCCAGATCTGTTGTTATGTGTTACTTCAATGTCCACGCAAGCCGAATATTATTCACCAGTAGCAAATCTTGAGCGAGTACCTAAAAGAAGGGACAATGAGGAGCGATTGGGGGCAGAATAATGGTACGCACATTGAGGAGAAACAGTGACAGATTTGTCAACATAAATGATGTTGGCGAGACGACGTAAATATTGCTCCCATTAGGGACAGATGTTATGGACGGGGTTGTGAATCCTTGCAAAGACAGAAGAAGGGAGATGACGGTGTGTGCTGTCGAGACTGAGATGTGGAAGATACACGACGCAACGAGGACCCTGATCAAGAACTAAGCGTCAGTAAGTGATTGGCAGCTATTTCGAATCACGAACCTATGCGGCCTTCTGTTCTGATTCACCAAGGTATATATACATGCAAACAAAAGCACGCAGCTGGTCAATGAAGATGAGCACAAAAATTTCTCAAAATATTTGAACCCACTTGATTCCTATGAATGAAAGTTTAGAACCGTTTGTTTCTCAGAGGAGTACATACCGTAAACCACACTTTCAAGCCATACTGAGACTATAAACATACGATCCAAGTTCTGCAGCGGGGGATGCATTTTTGTTTGTCATAATCATGAAGGGGATGTCCAATGTACGGACCTCAGCATCTTATAACTTATTGGTGTGCCTTGGCCCTTGGCAGCCTTGTTATGTCTTGAAGCAGCCTGCCACCATCTCTGGGATATTGACATATTACCGGCAACTGACAGAACAATGAAAAAGTTGATGTGCATGGGCCATCTCAAATACTTTTCTGTTTGTCTTCACTTGTTGTGGTGTTTTGGAACGACCCTCGGGAGAGTCGTCTTTGTTGTTATGGACGCGACCGTGTGCTCACCGTGATCAGGGGGCTTTTGGACAGGTAGTGACAGTGAGGAACTCAGCGGGATTCAGAGAACATATTCTCCGTACTGCATGTTCTTCTCACATTGTCGTCACGCGTCACCGATGTCACCGTGGTTGTTTTGACTTACATAATGTACATAAGTTACCCGTCTACAACCGCTTGACAGGCTCCCTGAAGCTCCCTGTAATTAATTAAGGTGACCCTGTCCGTCCAGAACCCCAAAATCGGCCCTCAAAAATGCAACTTTTCGAGTGTCGACATGCTAATAACTCAGATAGAGGTCAGTGGTCACGTGGTGTGACACGCGCGTGACCTCCGCCAAAGTGTGACGTTTTCGCGTCGTGCAGCTCGTGCTCCTTCGTGCAAACACTGGGTGCACACAGACAACTATGGAGGTATGAGTAATCTGGAGTCGCTTCATCTTCCTCGCCATCTTCACCATCGGTTGAGCTGAGGTAGCAGGTGCATATTTCTAGTCTGGAATTTTCTGGAGCTCCCGTGGGGTGCGAGTCTGGGCACTTCCAAGGCTTATGTGGTACGCGTGCATCCCTGCGTCCCACAGCGGGACTCACAAAAAGTTGATAATTACGAGTGATGAGGTCATGCATCGGTCAGTAGCAGCAGCCACGTGGACCTCAATCATATCTGTTGGACTGGTCTGGTTTATGGTTCAGGGTATAGGGTATGGGGTTCGGGTATAGGGTCTGAGTTAGCAATGAAGTCATTGTACATGTACAGATCGGTGCAGAGTAGCTGAGACAGCCACTCCACACATCATCTTAAGGCAGCCTGAGATGATGCACAGACGGGATACATAGTGCGATGAATGTTTGATATTATGGCAGAGTATTCATGAACCACTAGGAGGAGAATCGGGGTGGAGCGTTGATGAGGAGAACAATGGAAGACTTTGGATATGCGAGAGGAAATAGGATCAATCCGTGTGCAGAGAAAAGTACTATTGGAGTGGAGAGAGGGTGATCGGATCTTTCGACAAAAACTCTCCTCCACCATTAACGTGGGAGTCGGGAGTATTTAATAAATGTTGATCAAAATGATAATGCAAGCTCTCACGTGATGTGAGGAAGCACAAAAACCCTCCTTTTTGGCGCTTGCTGTACACTTGCTGTACTCAGTACTGAACCTCCACCTTGCAACGTTGTACATATACATAGCAGTAAACGTACTTTTAGCATGGCTTACAGAGGCGACCGAGGACGAGGTGGTTTTGACAGAGGGAGAGGGGGACGAGGAAGCCCTGTTCCCAGCGACCGGGGTCGGAATTCACCCTCTGGTTTTCGTGGAGGTGGCGGCACGGGTGGTGACCGTGGTGGTCGAGGGTTCGACAGAGGCGGTGGTGGCAGGGGCGGTGACCGTGGTGGTCGAGGATTCGACAGAGGCGGTGACCGTGGTGGTCGTGGGTTCGACAGAGGCCGGGGAAGGGGCTTTGGTGGTCCTCCAAGAGAACAAGGCGGGTCAGTGCTACGTTTAGAGCAATTCCACGCTCGAAATTTATTTACTAAAATTCCTCTATGCAGAGTATTTCTCGAGAACCAACCAGCTACCGTCGACGCTCGAGTAGCTGATAACTCTGACAAGGCGCTCGTCGCTCGTTTGCATACCACTCAGCTTGGGAATGACCCTGATGGTATGCCCTTGCGCCCAGACTTTGGCACTGTTGGGGTGCCAATCAAACTTCGCACCAATTTCTTCCCTGTGCGCGTTCCCAAGGGACCGCTTTACGAATATGACGTCGCTATTACGCCTGTTGCTGGAACAGCTACTCGTCGGGTCAAGAGTCGCATATTTCAGCTCGCAGAGCAGACTACTGCGTGGCAACAGTCTGGGATGCGTGGTAGTGTTGCACACGACAGCAGTGCAAAGCTTATATCGGCTCGTGTTCTAGCACAGCCTCTTACAATCAAAGTACCGTATTATGACGATGACCAAGCGGGGCCTCCAGCACAGGGTGGCAAAGAATACACACTCACAATCAAATTTATCCAGGAAATTAACACACAGGATCTCATGAGGTGAGCAGGTCATGTGTTTCGAAAATCTCTCTTACGTATATCTTGCAGTTACTTGAAAGGGGATAACCAATATCGAAACTACAACACCCTTCCAGTTATTTCTGCATTGAATCTCATTCTCGCCGCCCATCCATTGCGCAGCGGCATTAAAGTCGGTCAAGACCGCTACTTCTTTCGCTCTGCTGCTATTCCGTCACCTCTCGGTGGCGGTTTAGAAGCATGGAAGGGCTTTTACTCTTCCGTCCGTCCAGCTCATCATCAGCTGATGGTGAACGTCAATGTCTGCACCACAGCGTTCTATACCCCTGGAAATCTTGCGGTGCAGATGATGACTTTCGACAACTCCAGTTTCGGCGCAGGAATGGAAGCGTTCTGTAGAGGCGTCAGGGTCAAAGCTACCCATCTTGGCTATCGAAAGACTGTCAAGTGTCTTACCCGCCAGACCGCACGCCAGTACACCTTCCCGTGCGACGAACTTGGAGGACGCGTCTCGGTAGAGCAGTACTTCTCGCGTAGTGAGTATCGTGCTCTCTCCTCAAAATGCTCACGTTATATTATTCATAGAATATAAGATCAAGCTGAAGTACCCTGACCTACCTCTTGTCGATGTCGGGGGGCAGAAGAAGAACTACCTGCCAGCCGAAGTTTGCGAAATCCTTCCTGACCAGCCTTTCCGCGGCAAGCTTACGGACGATCACACTGCAGCCATGATAACAGTCGCGTGCCAGCCACCCAATGTCAATGGCAACGCTATCGTGAACAGTGGTCTCAGAGAACTTGGGTTTGTAAACCCAGGTCCCACACTCGGCTCGTTTGGTGTATCCATCGGACCCGATATGGCAGTTGTCCTCGGCCGGATCCTCCCAAGACCTGGACTCAAGTATGCCAACAACGTGTCGCCCGCAGTTGATGAGAGGGCTTCGTGGAATTTGCGGAACATTCGTTTTGCTGTGGGCGCGCGCCTGGAGAAGTGGGCTGTCCTGCTCATTGGCGATCGTGGTAGAGACGAGTTTCAGGGACCCCAAGATCCTGCTCTCCGTACCGTCATCAGCGGGTTCATGGCCATGTGCAAGAATAGCGGGATCGCTGTATCAAATGAGCAACCCCCGGTTGTAGCTGCAAACCTCCCGCCGCAAGATAGAAGTGACCCGCTTAGGAAGGGCGCCATCACAACTATTCGTGAGAGTCTGATGCAGTTGCGTCCAAAGCCTTCCTTGGTGCTCGTGATGCTATCAAATGGCGACAAGAACATTTACGAGGGACTGAAACACTTATGCGACGTGTACCTCGATGTCGCCACTGTGTGCGTACACGTGGGCAAGATTAGGAAGGAGAAGGGACAGCCGCAGTATTTCGCAAACGTGGCCTTGAAGGTGAATATGAAATTGGGCGGCGTCAACCATAAACTCGATGAAAACACGGGTCACTGGCTCTCCGGCGAGCCCACGATGGTAGTCGGAATGGATGTGACCCACCCTGGTCCTGGAAGCGCAAGAGGAACACGTAAGTGCTACCTTCGCATTGTTCGAATAGGTACTCATTCCTTCGACAAAGCCTCTATTGCCGCAGTAGTTGCAAGTGTGGACAATCATTTCGCTCAATACCCTGCAAGTCTAGAAATCCAGGAGTCGCGAAAAGAGGTATGAACTTCAAGACAGTTCCTTTTTTTGTCAATAACAACCTACCTAGATGATTACCAACCTCAAGGAGATGATGGTAGCGAGACTTCAACTTTTCCGGCAACGCAGCAAGGTATTGCCTAAACGCGTACTGGTTTATCGTGATGGTGTTTCCGAGGTACTATTTCTCTGCTGCGCGGCTGGGTGCATGCATTTCGCTCATGATAGATTTCAGGGGCAATTCAATATCGTCCGGTTGGAAGAGCTTCCAGAGATAGTGAAAGCTTTCCATACCTTCGATCAGCCAAAGAAGCCTTATCGTCCCCAACTCACTATTGTGATTTGTGGCAAGAGGCATCATACCAGGTTCTATCCCACTGAACGGAAGGATGCTGCAAATGACGGTAATCCAAAGCCTGGAACAGTAGTCGATCGTGGGGTCACGGCAGTATATGACTTCGACTTCTTCCTTCAAGGTGAATTTGTTCCTTGAAATAAACTATGTTTATCTAGTTACTTATACATTCCCTACAGCCCATGGCGGTTTGCAGGGTACGACGAAGCCGACCCACTACTACGTCGTCCATGATGAAATTGGCTTCGGATCGGACAGTCTTCAGGGCCTTACGAACGCCCTGAGCTACATGTTCGCGCGTGCGACTAAGGCCGTAAGCCTTGTCTCCCCCGCATACTATGCTGATGTGGCATGCGAGCGTGGACGATGCTACTTGAGAAAGCTCCTCCAGGGCCAAATTGGGGATGGTACAACGGCCAGCGGTAGCGCCAGTACCAACGAACAAGATGTTATGCGGGAAGCACAGGCACTCTGGCGTAATGGTGTCTCCAAGAACTTGAAGGATACCATGTTTTACTTGTGATTTATGCGCATCTACTTTCCTTTTCACTACTGATCCGTCATGGTTCTCGATCGTTGATAACTATTACTTACGAGTTTTATCTTGACTGGTGCTGTCGAATTGCTTGATTTCTTGGATTATCTCCAGCTATGTTTGTTATATTTCTTTTTTGGATATAGAAACTGCATCTCGTCGAAGTTATATATCTCCTTGCACAGCCTGATGAGCGAAAGTTCGAGTACTTCCGAGCACCGCCGACGTTGGGTAGACGATGGACCCATCCGAACTTCGTAATTTAGGATGTGTTATGTTATCGTGCATTTGATCGAGCTACAGTCGCGTTTCAAAAGCCGTGGTTTTTCGGGGAGAGTACGTGCATGCAATTTTAGTACTTACTAACAAGGAAACTGTGACGAGAAGGCAATGCCGTGTGTGCGCAGTGCGCATGTTCGATTCCATGATAATCGACGAAGATATTACGAAAGTACAGGGCTTGGGTGATTCAGTGCACGTCCAACCGCCTCTCCGGTCGGATCATGCGTGATAAGGCGCCCTCTAGGTAGTAACCAGGTCTATATTCCGCTTGGTATCACTAGGAGATGGTCGTGACGATTGGGCCGCGGGCTTACCTGGCGGCAAACTGCACTTTGTTGTATGAACGCTCCAATAGCCAACGTCGTGTTTCAGGAACGAATGTGAGAAGCGTGAGCCAAAATGCCGACCTTGGCACCAAATCTTATTGTTTGGATTTATATCGTGAGGTCATCCTGAGTCCTGACCTATCATCCTCGACCTTAATTTTTCCCGTCGTGGACCCATGTCTGAGTTATACAGGAAGGTGACCGATTTTAGAATGGCTCCATAGGTGGAGCCGACACTGCCCAAGTGTGCCTATGGGCCACCTTGGTTGGTGGGTGGCAATTTTCAATGAGCCAACGCCACCTCCCTTGGCATATAAAAAGGGCCTTGAAACTTCAAGTAAAGTCAGCAAATCCGACGCAGATAACCCACTCACAATTTTCAACGCCCTTCGTCTTTATCTATTACGCATCCATGTATGCACTCGACACAACCGTATCAATGACCGATGTTCACCACCAGAGCATCGTAAGAACCATGATTTGTCGTCCTGTAGCGCGATGCTAACACATTATTGCAGGTTGCTCCTGTCGCAGCGCAGAGAACCATGAAGTGTTCTACTTGTGGTTCTCATGATCCCCCGGCAGTACACGTTTGCCCAGGTCCAACTGGTCCGTCTGGAAAATGAGCGGAAACAGCCTGTGTTGAGAGATGGTGGAAGACGGTGCTGAGGAATGGTATACTTGTACCCATATGTTAATCTGCATACGTTACCTTGGTACAAAGCACATCTCACAAACATCCAAACCATCCATTCGGGTTCTACATTTCCTGTATTTCATTTGTACACGTTGTGTTAGCAATGGGTTTCAAAATCACTGGGGTGAAACCGGAAACGAGTTCACCGTTGCCAATCAGATATCCTGTCCTTTACTCCCTGGTACTCCATGTTCAGCAATTCGGCAACTTTGTCGCTCCGTGGGGCAGTCACGAAAAATGTCAACAAATGAACCTGGAGAAAGTCCAGCAGTTCTCATTCGTGCATCGGCTTAAATGTGGCGCACAAGCCCTGGTATTCGTCCAGTATGTGACGTTTCTCGACCGGCTTCCATCGCCTTGGGGTCTCGTTTATGAACGCATTGGCATACGAAGAGCTTTTTCGCTGTGGAATCCTGGGATCCCGACGATATCATCTAGCTTGGCCTATACGGCTATCTGAGGAAAGTGGAGCATCGCAACTGTCACAGGCAACATGAAGTCAGCATAGCTTTATCGTGCCCTATAGTCTATGGACAAGGCTAATGTAGCCTCAAAAGGCTTGAAAGTTCTAGCACCAAACACCTGTCGTGGCGGTGGAGAGAGGAGAGCGTTGTTCGTTCGGCAATATTACATAATATGTTGGCCAATACCAAGTTCGGCCGCGGCTACCGATCAGTCAAGTGCCCATCCCATCAAATCCGGCCCCATGAGTGCTTTCATATCTACAACTAGACTACAAGCCACTCTATCTTTCTACTCTTGCCATGTCTGGTGTAGTTTGGCGACCAGAAGATGATTCAAAGATCAGACCACCACTTCAGGAGGGCCAGGTATACAGGCCAGACATACTGAGCGTGATCGAGACGACCATCGATGGACTGAGCGAGGAGCTGAGGGCTTTAAGTCTCGATATCCATGGTAATCACCTCTTATAGCGGCATTTCTGTCTTCTCTCAACGTTTTTTATATTCACACATTTTTGAAAGACCATCCAGAGCTGAAGTTCGAAGAAAAGTGTGTTTAATCTCATCGTACGCCATAGCCACGCGCAAATACTCACCATCGTCACAGATATGCCCATGACACATACACTGCGTTCATGGAAAAACATGGTTTCACAGTGACAAAGAACTATCTTCTTGAGACTGCCTGGGTGGCTACCTATACCCACGGACAAGGAGGGCGCGTTTTGGGAGTCAACTCTGAGATGGATGCACTCCCTGGGATCGGGCATGCTTGCGGACACAATCTTATTGGGATATCCGGAGTAGCGGTAGCTCTTGCAGCCAAGGCCGCCATGAAGAAGCTGAACATCGATGGAAAGGTAGTTCTGCTCGGTACACCTGGTGCGTCAGTGTCTGCAAATATTTGTGATAGTGAGCTTCGTGATAACACTCGAGGCAGCCGAGGAGGGCGGTTTTGGCAAGGTCATGCTGTATGAAAAGGGTGCTTATGATGAGATGGATGTGTGCCTGATGTCAGTTCCTCTCGCGGTAGTCCAGATCAGATGACCAGGATTACTGAACTTACTTTAAAGGTGCCATCCTGCACCTGGCCCCCGCCACTCCATTAGTTTGTCTGGCTGCTTGGCGCTCTCTCGCATTACGGTGGAGTATCATGGCCATACGTTAGCGTCTTTCATACTCTTCGTCAACTTGTAGTATTCAATTCTTCGTGTTTACAGTGCTCACGCAGGGTTAAGCCCCTGGGAGGGGCAAAATGCCCTGGATGCGGCCGTCCTTGCATATAATAATGTTTCTCTTCTTCGTCAACAGATCAAGCCTACTCACCGCGTGCATGGCATATTCGAAGGAAAGGATTGGGCTCCAAACAGTAATATTTCACATTCTATAAAAATGGTTGAAAATAATTTTTGAAAAATCAGTCATCCCGGACCACGCTAAAATGCAGTAAGTCGATCTTGGTAATCCCCCGCTTCGAGCGCTCTATAGACGAATATAGGTGGTTAGTCCGTGCTCCCACAACATCAGAGATGGAGGATACCAGGAAGCGTGTCATTTCCTGCTTCGAGTCAGTCGCTACCGACATATCTATTTAGTCAAGCGACGTCATCTCTATTCGTCACAGGGCAGCTGCACTGGCATCTGGATGCAAAGTTCAAGTTACGATCGGATCGGTAGGGAATGAAATCAGGCAAAACAAAGCACTTGGTATGAAATCGAGGCGTGCAGTGACTTAGTCAAAGTACTGAACATCATATCAGGCGATGAACTTGCCGATGTTGTTCTGAAGCGCTATGGCGCTATCGATTACGACTGGGGTATCAAGAGCGCTTCTACTGATTTCGTGAGTATTTCGCACTGCCAGAAGTACGATAGTTGATGCTTTGAATCAAAAAGGGGAACATTACATACTGTGCGTCTGACCTCCAAGATTGGGAGTATGCACATATCTAATGGAGTTCTTGTTCGTCAGTGATGCCTGGTCTTCACCCTGGTTTTTGTAAGTATCGCAGGTTTCGAATGTACTATACTAATCGTTTTTAAAGCTATCCCGACCATCCCAGATGGCGGCAACCATACCCCAGGATTCACGGAAGCCGCACGTTCGGAAGCATCTCATGACGCTTGTTTGGTGGTTTCGAAGGCACTCGCGGCTGTAGGTATGCGAGTATTGACTGACGAGGTGTTCCTGCAGAAAGTAAGTGTCACGCGTTCTCATGTAACTTTGTATTGATTGCAGTTTGCAGGTCAAGGACACATTTGAGGAAGATAAGAAACTAAGGATGTAATTACTACCCTTTCATGGGCGTCGAAGAATTTGTATATATCAAACACAGCTACATCGAGTGCGATATCTCTCAGTCTTTTGTTAACCTCTTATGTCAGGACTGACATCGAGATAATCATGAAAGCGAAACAAACTGTGGGAAGCGCCAGCTGTGGTACTCTTGAATGGTAGATTTGAACTGATGGTTGCAATAGTGGATGCATAAAGCAAAGAAAAGAAGAATCAGATACCTGTTGACTTCGTAAATTTGACGGGCCAGGATCACATTTTTAATCGACAGCATGCGATAAAGCTCTAGTACAGTACACAGTGGATGCAGAGAGCGAAAATGCAGATCACAAACGATACAGTTCGTACGTGAGTAAACAAGGTCAGCTAGTACATAAAAGTGACGCGAGGAACGTGTCAAACAAATGGATTATGCAGTAAAGAAAGAGCGAGCCAGAATTATGGAAGTTTGCATCAATTCGAACCGGATGTCAACAGGTAGCGCGAAGGAGAAGGAGACCTGCTTTCACGTTTCACTGCACCGTTAGCTTCGTGTGCAATGAGAACACCAGACCCATCCGAATCGTCATTGTCTTCAGGTTTCGCACTGACAGAAGTGAAGTGTTGTTTTGCTTCCTGGACCCATTCTGCGATTCTAAAGCGCCCATGTGTTTGGAAGTGTTGGACGAGACAGAATGTAAGGTATGCCATCGCGCCGAATGTGGTGATGACGGAAGAGAAGAGTAATAGTCCTCCTAGTACCGAAAGGAGAACCATGGCTGCGGGAAGGTCAGCGACTCGTCGTAACTTGGGAATGATGTACGTACTGAACACAATTTCAAATGCGACGGCAGCCGCTAATGCGAACGCAAGAGCAATGGACATGCAGCTGCAAACTGCGAAGATGGACAGGCCTCTGAAATCTCATTGAATGTTGTCATGCCGCGAACAAGCACTTAACGCACATGAACGACAGTACCGGCAGGATACTCATAACAGCGAAGAGGGCCAGAGTGATCGTAACCCATATCTGATAAAAAGATTGAATCCTACTCATGAGATCTCCCGAATGTACGACGCACCATCGTCAACGGCTGACCCTGGAAGTATCTGGAGATTTTGTCTAATGCCGGACGCGCATACTTGCGCTCGATACTGTCCAAAAACTTTATCAGTCACGGTGGAAGCTAGAAATGACAGTGAAACGCGACTTACATATCAGTGTATGCTTGGACGACAATAGTGCTCCCTTCGAGGTAAGAAGCAAGCTCATCCAAGCCCGCAGTTAACGATTCTACGCCAGTACTTGGATTATCGTCCATGTCCTTATATCTGTTACTGATTCCTGACGCTGTGGAACCGGACCAATTGCAAGGACTGAGGCGTTACTGCTAGTGGTAGTCAAAATAAGCACCAGCTCCTGAATAGCGACTTATGAACCACGTGTCTGATTGCACCCGGTCCCAAACGTCCGAGTCCGAGTCTTGCAGATTTGCACTCGGTCTAATCTTGCAGCCCAACACCATGAGCGGGCGAAAACTCAATCCCCAAGAGCAAAAGCTCCATCAAGCTGCGCTTTCCAGTACTGACAAGGTGAGTTCGACTCTCCCTACAATTCATAAGTACCACACTGATCGTATCCCCGATCATCATCAGGTATTAACATCAAAAGAAGCTGAAAAGATCATCTCAGATGTGTCCGCACGCACTGCAGCAGTCAACTTCCTTCTGGGAGCTGTGAGAGCTTCCACGCGATGCAACTTTCTACGATCCTGACAGGCAAATCAGGGCATGCTCAAAGTCCTGTCCAACGCAGCAGGCGTCATCTCCTTCCGAGCTGTAATGAAAAAGGAGATAGAAGTGTGTGTATTATATTTCCATTGTGCTTCCACTGAGAGCCACCTGATGTGCAGATCGCAGGAAAAAAGATATGAGCGGTGAAGAAGCTATGGTGCTCGGTCATATTCAAGCTTCAGCAAACGAAGGTGAGTTGCCACGTGTCGAACCAAATGGCAAGACTTATCTTATTTCCTGTAATGCACAGGAATATGGACCAAGCACCTAAAAGCCAAAACGGAGCTGCACCAAACTGTCATCGATAGATGCCTCAAATCACTCGTTCAGAAGCAGCTCGTGAAGGTTATCAAAGCTGTCAGGGTGCGTTCTACCATTCAAATTTCTCTGTGAATTTCCTCATATGCTTGCACTGTGCTACGATAGCACCCAACCCGCAAGATCTACATGCTCGCGCACCTTAAACCTTCAGTCGAGCTTACGGGTGGGCCATGGTACACCGACAACGAACTCGATACAGAATTCATCAAGCTCCTCTCAACCGCATGTCTGCATTACATTCGTGACCGTGTACGTCTCTTTCCTTCTCCTATAATTCAAACTCACAGTATCCTTCTCCGGCAGTCCTTTCCCAAACAAAACATCAAAACATCTTCCCTGAACGAATACAGACTCTACTCCGTTAGCGCTGCGCCCTCCTACCCATCTGTCCAGCAAATACAGCATTTTTTGAGTAAGAGCAAGATAACAGAGACGCAGTTGGGCGCCGAGCATGTCGAGATGCTTTTGAGAGTGTTGGAGTTGGATGGGGAGATTGAGAAGGTTAGTTGCTTGCTTCATTTCATCGCTTTCGTTGTCTGATGATTGGTTGGTCGGTTTATAGTTACCTGCATTCACAGCATCTGCTTGGGATGCAGTCGACACTGACAATTCGGTTTCCGAATCTGGCTCAGACTCGGATTCAGATGCGGACTCGGACTCAGACTCGAACTCAGACTCAGACGTAGTCACTCGCACAAAGGGTAAGCGCAGCTTATCCAAAAAGAAGAACAAAAGCAAAACAAGAACTATCACACGAAAGCGGCGGCTTACGGAGGTAAACAGTTCTAGCGACAGTGACGAGTCTGAGTCTGAGGGACAGCAGAAACGTAAGAGGAAACGAAGGAAGGAAGAGAGTGACGAGGAAGAGGAGGAGCGCAAAAACAAAAACAAACGGAAGAGGCGGGGACAAGAGGGTGAGAGCGGCAGCGAGGATCCTCATTCAAAATCCAAATCGAAGTCGAAGTCGAAGTCGATGAAAACGAAGACAATGAAGCCATCCACAAGTTCAAAACGCATCAAATTTGAATCTTCGGATGCAGATGACAATGTCGACATCGGAGGAGCCTTCGTCTACCGAGCTGTCCGCCAAGAACGAGTAGCGCTGGGATGGTCCCAAGCTCCATGCGGTAGATGTTCAGTATTCGACTTCTGTCGCGACAAGGGGCCAACGAACCCACAAGAGTGCGTGTATTACGCCGAATGGCTGAAGGGGCTCCAGGGGGTATGAAAAAGGAGCAGGAGGTTTGACAATTTTCATTTCTTGTGTTGTTTTTTATTTGTTACAATGACAATAAGTTATACTTATTTATCGGCATCAATTTTTTCAGTCGGAGGACGACCATCTACAGAAAATCACATCCCTTTTCGCTGTGTTCTGCTATGCGTAGCCTGCATGGCGTAATCGGCACTACTGCTCTAATCGATGGGTAGCCTGGACTGGCCCAAGCTGTATGGATATTGATCCAGCATCGTCTACTCGCAAGGCCGACCTTGCGATAAAGCTCTGTCCCTCCCGCAACCCTGTCTGCCCAACCGTACACTGCCCTTATGGTAGGTCATGAGTACTGATGCGTCTGGCTGACCCTACAGGGGTTCAGCTGCAGCGTCGTGTTGATCATTTACTGCCAACATTCACATAGGCTCTGGCAGTACTAGTAGTAGTCCTAAACAGAACGAGAGGGTACGAGCGATAGTAGGGGTAGCGACTCGGACAGCCCCGGACCCCCTGCCGAGAGCTTCCGCAGGTTCGAAACCGCTACAAGCCTCCGTCTGGCACAGCCAGACCTTATCCCGTCGGTACCTGCGGCAGGTGCTGAGGAAGTGGTCAGACTCGAAGGCGGTCGCTTCTAACATGGGCTTGGCTACCCTGTCAGTTCGCTAACTCTTTTTGGTCGTCACCTACTTCTTGGTTTTTGGCACATCGATTTGTTAGTTGCCCGTGAAAAGGATTTCTGCTATCCTTAGGCTGTCGTGCAGTCACATAATTCGAATACAATGGCTTCCAGCTTGATGAACCAATTTAGGTTTTGTAGGATGGAATGAGCCAGCTTCACAAGCCGTCGTAGCACAATGGTAGTGCGTTGCCTTCCTAAGGCAAAGGTTGCGGGTTCGATCCCCGTCGTCGGTAGTCGGTGAACTACGAGCGGTTAATTTTTGTTCGTCAGGACTGGACTCTGGTGTCAGTCGTCTTTGACATTGCCGCCCGTTGTTTTTCTTTTAAACCTTGTTGGTAGAGTGCAAGCATTCGACTAAACATCATTGCGTGATAACAATCTCACGGTTTAGCTTACACTGGTACTACCTGATTACTTTGAATATTCCACTGTCACTTCAACGCTTTCGGACACTGCACCAAGCTTCAGCTATTTCAGGAAGAGCAAAGTTGCATTCTGGTTGCATTACTCGGAGTGTCAGGTGAGTAGTCCGGGTCCCCTTTGTAGACTCGCATCTACTAGCATGTAACTAACAGTGTACTGAATGTATAAACAGGTATAGTCGGGCAGGATGATTCCTATCTGTGAGTTCCATCTTCATCCTCTCATTCCCCAGTCATGTCCTTTATAGTGCAGGACTTCTCCTGGAGAAGAGTCCATGGTATAATTCGTTGTTCTTCCAGCTTCAACACCGGTTGTCAGATGTCTAGTAGAGTCTATCTACGCAGACCAACATGAACGTACATACAACGTGACATGGCTGATACTCTCCGGCCTCCAACACAATTCAAACACTACTAGATGCCACCAACCTCGTCTACACTCTTGCCCAAGTCCTCCGAAATCCTCCTCGCATCCCGTATGGCGTCACCAAGCTCTACGCATATTGGATTACGGTAAACTACCATGAGGCATACGACACGTATGTTGGAGCGGTGTATCCGCAACTGTGTGCCTGCGTGCCGCTAGATGGCAAAGTGATGAAGTGCGACAAAGGAAGACACTGAGTGGCTGACTAAGCGAAGGTGCCCCTAAGCCGGATCTTTGTTCAACCATAAATCCGAGGCGAGGGAGGACATCATGCGTGCCAATAACCCCACCCCTGATGATTCTGTCCTCGCCACGGGTGGTCGGGAAAAACTTGCCCTGTGAACAGGGCCTTTGCAATTACGATAAGGTACCCTTCCTCAGGCACAAGCACGCATACTTGGTGCATAGTATCGCCGGTTCTGGATTTGTGGAAGGAACTGGTCACTACCACAGGTCCAGCTGTTTTATTTGTCTTTGTGGTTGCCTTCTCTTTACCCGGACCGTGCGGCTAGCAATGTCCCTGCCTCTGGCAGCGGTTTCATGTATATCTACGATGCCTACATATCTGCCAACAAAGCGATTTTTGAGCCTGGACACCAGAATTACGACCTCTAGGACGCTGCGCTACGCTCCTTTTGTCGCCACCTAAGCTTAGGGAATTATGACGTGCAGGTTCTGGACTCGGACATATATATCGTTCCTGAAGCGACTTCGCCGCACTAGCCAACAAAGGATACACACCTGTTCTCTCAGTGCCCACACGCCCCTGGTTAAGGGCCTGCAGTGCTTACGAAGGAAGTCGATCTTCTCCAGGCAAGTATAAGGGTCATTTACTGGGCGCAAGCGTTGCTAGGAGAGTATTATATTCGGGGTACATAAAGTAGGGTATACATTTCAGTCCATAAATTGAAAGAAGCACAAAAAAGTCCATTGTCGAACATGGGGCGCAAGAGACAGCAAGACGACAAAGCTTGAGACAACAGGAGAAACAGTCTTCCACGACTGAACACAAGAAATGAAAGGGGTGAAATCGGAAGGATAGATGTGCGAAGCCATGCACTAGTTTTTCATCCTGCGGCGCCTTGACGCAGCACAGGGATTTTCAAATTTTCTTGGACAAGGGTCGAAAGGGCAAGGAGGGAGGGAAACAGGGACCCATGCCAAAGGATGCCGAGGTCGAAGAAGGGGGAGACGTAAAACGAGCGACCTGACGAGAAAAAAAACAGCAACTACCCTCAAGAAAACTCACAACTCAACACCAAAACAGGCAGCGAACGGGGATGAGAAAAAGTGAATAACAAATAACGCCCCGGGCCAAATGTGGAAGACGGTATCCAGCTGAAGTCATGTCGCGCTTGATGAACTAGTAGCACCATGCGCCAAGGACGAATTAGGATGTGAAAGAAAGAGAATATTGAGATGGTTTTGCAGACAAGAAAACAGGGAAGAAAGCAGGTGGCAGAGATGAAGCAGGGTATATGAAGCACCAGTTGCAGATTCGAGGGATCCAAAGGGGAATATGGCCTAACCAGGGGCAGCAGAAGGGTCCAGCATGCAGATAACAACCAGCAGAAAAAAACAGGGAAGGGCCTCGAGGGTACGGCGACAGAACCTAGGCAGTGAGGTCAAGGGTCTTACGTTCATCTCCGACCATCACATGAGCACTAGGAATAGGATGCCAAAGGCGACTAATCCATCGCTTGAAGCCTGAACTTCGAGACGGGGAGCCAATTACTTTCGGTGACAAATGCGTAGGAGATGCGACAAGGGTCGCGTTAGGTGACGGAGTAGCGGATGGAGGCGATGGGGTGATGCGCAAATTTTTTCGCCCCGGACGAGGCCTCTCGGCTTGGTCGATACGGCGGATGAACGACTCGAGGCTTCGCACGGGAACTGGACCGGAATAATTGTCACATGGCTGAGGTTGTGGAACACATTCTTCGCCCAAAAGTGCATTACGACGCAGGAAATGGCGCAACGACCAATTCGATGAAGCACGCGAGATTTCAGCAGCCCCAGAAGCCCAATTAGCACGTGTTTCGTCATCATTCACCAACGTAATCCCAGTCGTTGTACAAGCAGGACGAGAGGCTTGATGCTCCCTCTTTTCCGGTGCCGGTGGGCGGGAGAAGAGCTTGGCAGCGATTTTCTGAAGAGCTTGAATGCCATTCTTAGCCTTGATTCTCCACAAGGCTTGAGCGCGGTGACGCTCGCGCTTCAACACTGGGGAAATGAAATTGAAATTGGGCAGCGGGTCGTTCGATGGTTCACACTGGCCAAGCGACATGGGAACCGTGGATGGAGTGTCTTTCTCTTTGACCACTGGAGTGCAAAGCAGAGGGAGGGTTCGTTTCTCGACTTTCTTCCAGTCACTACAACCATTTCAGCACAGGGATCGAATGATCAGAGTGGACTCTTACATCGACGCAAAAAATGGGTGATTAAGCATAGCCTCATACAAAGGCCTACTTGTGACCTCCTTCTGAAGCATCTATGCGAACGTCAACGACGTTGAATAAACGAACACAGACTGAGACGTACATTACGTAGGAGATCCTGGGCCTCAGAATGGAAATCTCTAACGAGGAAAGGCTCAAACCCAACAATGCCATCGGCTATGTGAAGACCGTCAACTGTGGCCCAAGGAGTCTAAACCGAAGTAAGCGATGATCCAACAAATGATGCAGGACTTGCCTTTCCAGCAAGCATCTCGTACAACATGACACCGACCGCCCAAAAGTCGATCGCGAAACCATACTTGGCACCCAGTATAAGTTCAGGCGCCATGTACTCTGCAGTACCGCAGAGTGAACTCGCGAGGTAGGGTGCTTGTGATAGGCTGGTGAACGTTCCTGTGGGGTTGTAGGGAGAAAACGATTTCGGATCGTCGAGTGTGAAGACCTTTGCTAAACCTAGATCTGCGATAACGAGATGACCACGGGAGTCGATAAGGATATTTGATGGTTTGATATCCCTGTGGATCACTCCTTGACAGTGAAGATGATAAACACCAACAAGCTAACTTGGTCAGAAGGCAGATCACAACCATAATAAGAACACTCACAAGTTCTGCTGTGTAAAACCTTGCTTGTTCGACTGGAAGAATCCGGCGCGGATAGGTGCGAATAACGTCATGGAGATCGCCTCCTGAATAGAACGCCTGTCATAGAGCGTAAGCCAATCCAACTACGCATGTGTAATCACTCACAAGAGCTAGATAGAGGCACTGTGCGTCCTGAAAGCCTGCCTCGACTTGCATACAATGAGCATCACCTATGACCCGCTTCAGGGCATCCAGCTCAACTCGAAATTGCTGGAGGTCGCATAAAGCAGCGCCTTGCTTCCTGATGACCTTCAACGCCATTGTCTTGTTCGTAATCTTGTCTTCGACACGGTAAACAACACCGTTTGCGCCAGCACCGAGCCTTGCATGGATAATGAAGTCACTGAGGCTTGTTTCATTCTTGAAATGGGATCGCGGTACAACTTCGTTGACGGGGCCCGTCGAGTCGTTGAAAACTGTTGTGCCCAACATATTCTGGTTGGATGGTACCATGCGATTAGTAGCATGGATAGGGCTCAAGATGTCCATTGCCTGTGGCACTCCGTAAATAAGCACCGCTGGACATCATAAAATCTTACATACTTTGTGGTCTCTGGCAAAGAATGCCTCAATGAAGTCCAAAACAAATACCCTTCTCCTGATGTCGAGCACGTCCGGGTCGTGGTACGCATTGTCAAGGCCTTTGATCACCTCAGTCTCTCCCACGGCAGAATACATGGAAGTCGGGACAGGCGGAAGGATACCAGTTGCAGAGATCATGATGCTTGCGCTAGAGGGCCATGCGACGATGGCGACAGCGTGACCGCTAGACGGTGCAGGAGTAAAAACAGGCACGTCATACTTGGGCGCTGGGACGCGGTTGACCTTATTGAAGGCAAAGGAGTTCTTGGTCGACTTGATGCTATTCCATACCTTGGACAGGGACTTGGCCTTGGAAGCCTCATAATGGATGGTGATAACAAATATAAAGGATGCTTACTGGCTTCGCGATCAGGCACTCGCCCGCTCGTCCTTCGTAGAACAGTTGAAGAGCAACCATGTTGAATGCTTGATGTGAATAAAGAGCGTCAAATGTAGAGAGAACGTCGGGAATGCAATTGATAGGGAAGATGGCGGATGAAGAACTTCATCGACAGAAGGCGGTCTTTTATTCATATCTGCCCCAGGCTGAATTGCAATGAGTACCTTCGGAAGTAACGGTCAAACAAGTAATTTGGATTCAGACTGGTTGGCTGGACTGGAAGTTGCTTGATAGCATAAAAGAAAGACGGGTTCCAGAAACTCACCACAGCGATCTATGATGTCATTAGAGACGCGTGTAGGACCAGTTTAATATATGCATTCGTGCTCTGGCCTAGCCGAGTATCCTACAACGATATTGAAACTCCAATGCAGATCAGGGAGAGTTAGTATAGTTGCATGTTCAGTCAGAATTGTCCTTGTACCTCGAAGATTTTGTCAACATTCCTGGGATACCACCAAAGGATGGAATAACTTGGAAGACTGCCAAAGCATTATCTGAATCATATCGCGTCAATACGTGCACAAAAAACGACTGCTCGGTTGAGAATGATCAGTAGAAGAATTTTGAGAGATGACTTGCCTGCTTGCCAGGCTGCTACCACTGCCAGTGAGTACGTAGATCGTGCATCATGATATACCAAACGTGGCTCCGACACTTGGCAATGCAAGACTGTTAAACTCATTTGTTTTACAACCCTGATGCTGACGGCAGAGATAATAAATAGCACTTTGACAACCTGTCTAGCTTCCGCAGGAGAAACTAGCGTAACGTCGTAATGATGTTCAACGTTGTCCGAGACTCTGAGTTCAATCCGACCCTAAGTTAACAATCTGCTTACATAATCATATAAACTTTTTTTGCTGTCGCAAGTCTCACTAGGCCCACAGCTTGTTCTCGAGTGAAAAGTCCTCAGCGATGGCGACACTAGTTACGCTGCCTTCCCTGCCTCCAACCTGGTCCCCACCCTCGGAACCAGCCTCCTCCATCTCTCGTGAGTCTATCTTGTGATTATTTCACTTGATAACATATTCTCATTCACACAGCTCTTGTCCAGCGTAGGCTCATTCCTGCGGGTGCAGCCTACCTGGCTCACATAAAACGCACACTTAACAACTTTACCTTCGATGAGTATGACAAACAGCTTGAAGAGGAGCAGAAGCGCCTCGAGTTGCTTAACGCCGATGGCCTGAATGGGGAGGACGACCTTGGCGTCGGAGATGAGGAAGAATCCCCTGAACTCCTTCTGCTTGACGCAAAGGAGTGGAAGGTATGCATATCGGGTCTTGTTTGCTACGATCTAAACTCTATCATTTGCAGAAACAAGACCATTATCAGGTCCTCGGATTGTCACACCTGCGATACAAGGCGACGCCCGAGCAAATAAAGATTGCCCGTATGTGGCGATGTTAGCATCCTCGGACCTTCTGACATATCGCGACTCCACAGATCGTAAGAAAGTTCTAAAACATCATCCAGACAAGAAAGCCGGTGCATCGCATACCACGAACGATGATGCGTTCTTCAAGTGCATACAAAAAGCAAATGAGGTTCTCACGAATCCTGAGCGGAGGCGGCAATTCGATTCTGTCGACCCCGTCTGCCTATCCCTAGAAGTGGAAGATCCTTCTGCCTCTGACTTCAAAGGCCAAGAAAAAGACACTGCGCTTTTTTTTAGAACATTTGCACCTATCTTCGAGAGGGAGGCACGATTCAGCAAGAAAACGCCCGTTCCAATGTTAGGCGAGAATGACGACTCAAAAGAGAGCGTCCATGCCTTCTATGATTTCTGGTACAACTTTGACAGTTGGCGATCATTTGAATATCTAGACAAGGAGGTGAATGAAGGTAGCGATAAGTAAGTGATAAGATGCACGAGGCCGTGTCATTTCAGCTTATGCACTTCTCCCGCAGCCGTGATGATAAAAGGTACACCGAGAAAAAGAACAAATCTGAGCGCGCTCGTCGAAAGAAAGAGGATATCACTCGTTTGCGCAATCTCGTGGACCTTACTCTTGGTTTTGATCCTCGAATCAAGCGGATCAAACAGGAAGAAAAGGAGGCTCGGGAGGCGAAGAAGAAAACCAAAGGCGGAATGAACGCTGCTGAACAGAAGGCCAAAGCAGAAGAAGATAAGCGTAAGGCTGAGGAAGAGGCTCAGAGAAAGGAGGAAGAAGAGAAGGTAGCACGGGCAGAGGCCAAAAAAGCAAAAATTGCGGCAGCAAATGCAGCTAAAAAGGCAAGAAGACAACAGCGCGCCGCGGACACCGATGAGGCTGCGCCATCGTAAAATTATCCAGCTAGTTTTTTTCATCCTGATACCACGCGCCTTGATACTCTCACCCGCTGCGGAATGTCATAAGTATTGAGACCGCATTTGCATTTCGGAAATTCTGGATGTAAAGAACCAACACGCTTCGAAGATGTGATACACCTATATGTACCTGTAAATGGGAGTTTAGGGAGTGAAAAGAAGGTAATATCCGATGGGTCAAATTGCGGGTGTCAGTTTTCTATCCCAGCTCGCCGCCACTCCCCTGACACGCGCCCAAAGCACAACAAAGAGAAACATTACTAGAAGGCAAATAGAACCATCGCGAGGATGGCAGATTGTGATAGATTGCAAACTCGCGGACAGGGTGACAGTGACGTTAACGTGAGTGAAGTATCAGACCATCGTCTCGGTCCGCGACGAAGTTTCATGAGGAGTAAGATGATCAAGTTGAGATTGACATTGGAGACCGCCGATCAGAATTGATGAAGGTTGGCTCGCGTATCACCGAGCCGTGTTGAACAGGCTGATACGATACTGTAAAGTGTGGATGGATATCAGAACATAGAAGCTTATGGAAACTTGGGGTCTGCCATATGGAGACCACGCGCTCGATTACAAGTGTTCCAGGAGATTATTCTTGGGAGATATGATGCTGCCGGCTCCAACTTGAAGGTGAGATGTGAAAACGTTTAGCAACATTTTGAACATGAATAACATTGGGCACGGGGATACCACGGAGTTCGAGTCCAAAGTTTCAGCGGTTGTCAGAGGAAAACCAAAATACAGCAACAACCGGTCCTCTGGCAGAAAGAGCTCAATCAGCGGAGACATAACTTGGTGCGTGCTAGTTCATGTTTGGTCATTTATTGTTCTTTGTTTGGATTTCGTGGCAAAGAAGAGATGCGAGTAGGTCGATTAAAGGATGGCTACTCCGGCCCTGTCAACCTTCGTCAACAGTCTTTTTCTTCCTATTTTATGGTCCTTAAAGACCCTCTTGCCCTCGTACCGATGTTTCTCATATCCTGCTAGCCTACACTTTCACGTCGCGGGCGGTGAAGTACCACCATTTTGTCCGGGACGGTACTACCCCTTGTATTTTTTTTCTTACCAATATCATCTACAAACATGGTAGGAGACCCAACCAATCGTGTTCATCGCCATGTCTTCTAATCCATCTATCATTCAGGTTCTCGTCAGTGATAAGAAATATGCATGGTATGTCTTTCATTACGTCCTAGCCTCATGACTTACCCTCAGATGAACACTGCAGTGAAACGTGCATAAAGGGGCATCGCTCATCCGCATGCAAACACACGGATCGTCCCCTTTTCGAAATTAAGAAAAAAGGTCGTCCAGTCACACAGTGTGAGCACTGTAGAGAGCTACGAAAAACAAAACAAGTACACGTCAAATGTTCATGTGGATCTCAAGATCACGGCACTCCCAACACCCACGAGGTGTCCCACAGCAAGAAGGGTACGCCTCATTTGTTGCTGAAATTAATCTGTCTTATCTTTAAGGCCTCTTCTTTTTATTTAGGGACGCCGAAGTTACCGGCGACCGCTGCGTTTCCTCATGGCCTTCCAGAGGCCCTTGAAACGCTAGCTACATTGCTGCCGGCATCGGACGACTCAGACCACAGCGGTAGGCCCGAAGCGCCATACTTTTCTCGTCATCATCTTTAGTATTGACTTTAAATAAGGTGAAACCTCTCCAACTGGCTGTAGATGTAGCTCCGGTGGCACCTGCAATTGCTGTATCCCTCGCAAGCCTGCGACACGCCGTCGCTTCTCCGGTGCAGAGCCTCCTAAACGAGACAAGCTTCATCTAGACTCCTTAAAGCACCACGAATCCCTATCTCCTCCTCTTTCATCTCATGTCTTGGCGCGTATTGCTGAGCTCCGTCCAGTACTTCCAAAACCGGCTCACAGGCAACTCCCTCTCGATGGCTCCTTACATAATCCATCTTCGAGTGTCACTCACGGTCATAACATCCGCCATCATAACTACGAGTTCAGCCCTTACGGTCGCGCTTATGGGTACACTCATTCGGATCACCTTCATGATCAAAAGGGGTCGTCATTGACCAGCGATCCCCGCACATTCGCTGGACGCCCTGTTCAATCCCCACAGCAAACCTTAGGAAGTCAGCCGATACCAGATACCTGGTCGCCTACCGAGGTTTTCCCCTCTGTCTGTGCGTGTGGTGACTCATGCATGTGTCCTGGATGTACCTTGCACAACAATCCACCAATTACCGGTGGTGCTACCTTTGCCTCGTGCAGCAATCCATCTTCCTGCGCCTTTTGTCTCGATTGTACCATATTGTCCATACCAGCAGGCAATCCGCCTCCTAACATTGACTCGTCCTCTGATCCATCACAATCACAAGAATTTGATGAATGGCTGAGACAAGTCGCCCTTAGCCCGGGCGTCTCAAATGCTCAATCGAACTTCAACCCGTATGAACTGACCACGCCTCAGACACAGTCCTATCAAAGCGGAAGACCACGGATACCGGAAACTCCGTCCCCGCCGGTAGGGTGTTGCGGCGGGCGGTGTAAATGTACTCGTAATTGTGCTTGCCTTCCAGACTGCTGTGGGTGCTGTCAAGGTTGTCAGTGTGATAATCACTGTAATGATGCACGGTCCCGAACGACGTTTGCAGTATCTGGTGAACGGGGTCCGTGTTGCAGAACGGCTGACTCAAATACAAACGCTCTTTCAGCTGGGAGACGCCTTCCTGAATTCATGGCTATGACGAATATCCGTGATCAATTGTCCGCCTCTGGGGCAGGTGCTGGCGGTCAAGGGTACTATGGTCAGCAGGGAGCATTTGTGGATTACTCCGAGCCTCCGAGTCGATCGTCTTCCGGTTCATCCTTGGCAAGTCGTGTGCCAACGAGACCTCCATCCGGCCTGGTGAGTACTTAAGGTTGTTTGTCACAAACCACGACTAATCTGTAGTGTTCACGATCTTATAGGGTTCTAGGCTGCTGGGGCACAGTGGCCCTTCCAGTAGTAGACCGCCGCCGGCACACGGACCTTCCGGGAGTACCCGTGGTTTTACTACCTATGCAGAGTCCGAAAGGGCTCGCGGGGCTGCACCGTACTCGAGCTATAACCCGTCGCTGGATGCCATGCGCTTCGACTAGGGAAGTCTGCCATGAAGTGAATTCTTATGGATCTGATGTTATCGTCCTTTCATTTTCACGTTGTGTTGTCTACTTCTTGTGGCTCGCTGGTTTACTGATGGACATGCAGTGGCCGCGATTGCCTCCTATTCTATATTTTTCTTCTCGCTATGTTTTTTTTTGCCTTCTCTCGAGGCCACGTCTTGCTCAATGGACACGATAGAGACCATCTAGAACGTCTACTGAGCTTCTTTTTTTTTTCATTACCACTCGTAACTTTCATGTACCTTACTACAAATTTCACAATTATCCATCATTAGCCGTCCAGTTTGTACGATGGCATTCACTGACTCATGTTCCCAACATAAAGTTTATTTTCATCAAAGTCAGCATAAAACATCCATCAATTCCATTCGGTCCCCCTGTGAATGGGTCAAGACATTTTCCTTGTCCTGATTAGCATGGCTCTCCGTTTCCGAACACTGCAACTGCTCCAATAACACACGATTATGGCTCTCTACATCGATCTGATGCGAAAAATCAGGTAAGCATTTTGGCATGCGAACAATATTCGACATGCCTTGATCGGCGGAGGCCAGTCGAGATCCAGCAGCTCGGCACCTTCTGGCAGCGCCCTGGAATACAAGAGAAGGTAAGGTCCTGCACCGAGATGCAGGCCAACCGAGTCCTCCAGAACATTTTCCTCAGATACCTTTGGCATGTGTGAAGTTCACGACAGGTACATCAAGGTCTCGCATACCTGGCTAATAGATGTATCCTCTATCCTCCACCACACACCCTTCTCTTGTACATAGGAATAGAGGTGCTTCCTGCCATATAATCCGTCGTGGACTAGTACTGCACGGAGATCATACTAGCGACAGATTAAAAACTGTTCTGGCTAGAATGCAACGTGAACTAGATGACTTACTCTGATGCGTTGGAGCTCAGGGCAATCTAGGAGCGTTGCAGCTTGATCACGCATCTTCGTGATGTTGATGTCCGAGACTATCAGGGATATTGATGGTTAGTAGCCCGTCAAGCAAAAATACCTGCGCGCTACCTTGAATTTCCTTCTCTACCTGACCAAGGATGCTCTTTAGTTTGTTAGCCATAACTTGGGTGGCACGAGCACGCTCGTCGTCGCCCTTCGCATCTGCCACATTCTCGTAATAATATATCGATGACCGTAGGTCCGTTAGGGTGTCTTTGTCCTGAGAACCAGTCCAGATTAGTGCAGTGGACGATATAGCAAGCCGTAAAGGACCAACATTGAAGTGCGTCAATGACTTGTTATGCAACACCAGCTTTTGAATTTCTGCATGGAGGTCCCGCTGCTGCCCTCTCTTTCTCTCTGCAAGCTCAATGTTTTCCTTCAGGAACTGGTCGAGATAGATGTGCTTCGGGTATTTAAATGACTTGCGCTCGCCCGTGACAGTGCCCGAGCGCGCGAGATGAAACGCAATAACTTCCGAGGGCTCAAAAATAACCTGGCGCTTGATATCGTCCTGATTATTGGAAAGCTGCGCAGAAAGGCGACCAACAAGGTCATTTGTATCACTCCGTCCAAGGGCTTCGACCCGGACGATGGAAGCATCTTGCAGGAGCTCTCCCGGTTCGTCGTCAAAATTGCTGTTTCCATATTGGAACTGCATAATGCGCTGTCTACGCATCAGATATAAGTGAGATAGAGAAGAGCAATCGATGCCACGTAGTACTTTGCCTGTCCGGTACGAATGAATTCATTTGTGAACACTTTGTCGAGGGCGCCTGCCACCTTTTCGAAGAATCCTGGTTCCCCATCGATTATAACGCATACACCCAGCTCAAAGAAACGCACGTTGAGATAGCTCGCCTGGCGGTTGGGCCGGATTCGACCAGGGCTCCGGCTTGAACCCCTCCAGCACCTCATGAGCGTCCAGATCCACAAGCTTTGCGAGGTCCATATTGGTGAATGTTTCGACGAGCTTCCACATGAGGAGTTCTTAAGCACTGTCAGCGATGACTATAGAACAACATAAAACACGTTTACCTGGTCCATTCTTTGGGGGTTCAGCTTCTGTTACACCTTCTGGTAGAGCTGGCCGCCAATTTGCAACACGTTCACGAATCTGAGGAACATAGAACAGCGCGTGCAGAATCAGAGCTGCGTAGACCATCGTGTGTTTCGTTGGACGTAAAGTGACAGGCCTGTAGGGACGCCTTAGTAGAGACAGATGAGATGAATGAGTTAGAGACATACCAGCCTTCCTTCCGCCACTGCTGATCGAGGGGTAAAGGCTGGTATTCGTCGCCAGTATCAGCCTGCTCAAAGCTAGCTTGTATAGCGCGATCCAGGTCGTCTGCAGCAACATTATTCTACCAATTGAATACGGCATGCATCAATACACAAGGTGGTAATATGAAGCACAGACGTACCTACATTCGAAGGTACCATCGCCCAATTGGCATCAGGAGGCCGTTCGCTCGGTCCAAACATTGGACCCTCTTGGGAGGCTGTCTCAAGTGACGCTTTCAAAGCACGCGATAATTCGTCGTTATTGTCGTCGTCACCTGTGAGGTCGATATTGATTGGTGAGTTATGGCGAACAGCAGGAGCAGGCAGCGGTCTGGGCTGGTTTATTTCCATCTGCGAGTGCGACGTCCACAATGACGATTGCGCGTCTTCTCCCCTGTCGCCCTCGATCATGGCAGAAGCTGCTTTCTCTACATCGCCATCGAATTTCCGTAGGACGCGCCTGGCCACTTCATGATCCACGCTTCCGTCCATTAATGTGATTAGAAGCTCAATGTTATTGGACTCTTTCGCCTCATCGTGATGGTGCATAGTTTGCAAACTTGCGAATAGATAAAGTTAAGTGTGCTAAGGTTGGCTGGCAGAGTGGTTAGGATCCAACCTTCTGGCTCAGTCACGGTGGCCCACGGATATATCAGGCATCTTCCGAATGCGTCTAGCTCGTTAAGGCCCATAGACGTCTACTTATAACCATGGCACTCAACCATCGCGCAAAAGGTCCCAGTACTACACGGGTTATACATCGTTACCCAAATCATGCATTTTATTATTGAAGGTTTACAATATAGGTTGGAGTCAGCATGTCATTTTATAGCGGAAACATTGTCAACCAAATTGCCAGAGGCCCGGGGAAGCAAGGATGTAACACATAAAAAACATAAGAGATAAAGTCCTTTCGGATGATACAAATAAGCAACAGGATAGAAGGGATACAACGAGGGAATAGCACTGTGGTGAAAAAGAAACATTTTGGGGTGTCTGATAGGATGTAATACATTAGGTTGCGAGAGAAAAATTCATCTTCTAGTGTTTCATGTCCGATCGGGTAAATGTGGTATAGTCCACTTGATTATATTAAGATGTAGGACTATCTGCGTAGAATGTCAGGACATTGCTCCTTCCTTGTGACGCAGAACACTCACTATAAATACCGCCATACTGCGTGCTCATGTACATAGGATCCTGTTGTGGCGGCGACTGTTGCTGTGGATGAGATTGGCTATAAGCCATCCCCATCTGTGGAAACGACGTATAGTCATTCCAAAATTGCGGATACCGCCCTATCCCAGGTTGATCACTGGTATATGTACCAGAACCGCTCCCATGCAAAGCCGACCGTGCTTGTCCTGGATGCGAAGTCGAGGACTGAGAGTTCCCCGCCCGACGGCTATCGACCAAGCCTGTGCTATACATCTGCGGAAGCACAGACGTAGACAATGTGTTTGGGAATGAGAGGTAGGAAGATCCATCAGAGGTCCACGGGTAATATGATGGCTGCGAAGTTGAGATAGGTGCCCCAGCAAAGTCAGCATGTCGCCCCGCACCAGACTCCTGACCGACATCATGCGACGTTCCACTGAACTGAGTCGATCTCCAGGTGTTGGCATACCCTTGTCCTGATCCTGGTATGTTAGGCGAGCTGCTTGAAGGTAGGGCCTGTAACTGCGAACGCTCGTATGCGTCCTCTGAGTCTATCGAATGCTCAGCTGTTCGCTTCTGGCGGTCCCGAGAAGTGAATGAAAGGCATGCTTGGCTAGAGTTCAAGGGATTTGCCATGACGTTTGAACCCCGAAGAAGCTCATTGGCACGTGCTGCGGAGGGCCAGACGACTTCCATGTCTTGCAGTGCATCCATGCACCTGAATAGACCTATCCGTGATTGAGGGTCATTCGGGAAGATGGACGCTGCATATAAAATGAGGATACGATTGGGAAAGAAAATCAATCGTGACTTACAGCTCGTGACGTGCATGATACCTGCCGTAAAAACATAGAAGCAGAGAAAAACGGGTGCGCGTTGCAGACAGTACTTTTCCCGATAAGATGAAACTAAATCCATCTCACGTTAAAAATCGCTTGCAAAGGGGGTAATAAAATAATTTACCGATAGATGAGATGTGATTTGCAGCACCCACGCACAGCTCATAATGTTTCTTGCTCGTCGCACACGCTTCCGCATCGTGAGCACTATCCGATTTCCTGAAAAATTATTAATATCAATAACGGAGGAATATCAGGGCACCCACCCCTTATTCAGAAGGTACGTGTTCCTTATGCTATATGCCCAGTTATTTCCAAAGGAATGACAGACAAACGAAAGGAACTCACAAGGGGCGATGCAACAACAATGTTGTACACCAATACTGCATGTGCAATGTCAAAATATGGGGCGGAACGACCGCGCCCTGCTTCAATTGTAGATGCTCTGGCAAGTCGAGATACCACTTATTCAGCAGCTCCTCAAGTTGTACTGCTTCAGTGTGCCGAGAATTCACCGGATGAATAGCATACAGCGACTGTACGAGCTTAGAAAGAATAGTTGCTGATACATGGACTCAGCTATGGCACTGCACGGTGGAATGAAAGTACTCACAGAGCTTTGCAGAAGCATTAAAGCTAGATAACACGCGTCCAGTTATTGAACACCTCATCTCTGCACTAGGTGGATACCCATGTCCGCGGGAATCAGGCGGTGGCGACTCATGAGGAATCCACAAATCCATCTCCTCCGCCTAAGTTTTAAAAATACCCATCAACACACCGGATTATAATCGATGATAACGTATTTCCGCACCTCATTCTCGCCCGGTAAGAGTGTATCGTAATCCCGCTCGAAGATCGCAAGCGGTCTTCCGATATACGAACTTACATACCCATCAAGCACGACACATCCCCACCATATCCGCCGCCGTTCCTGTAGCTCCCGGGAGCCGAACAAACGCCCGACGTCGGCACGGGCCCAGCCGTCCGCTGCACGGTGCATACCGAGATCCTGCGCCATGCGCACTGCCATGCCTGTGTATACCCAGGCTTGTGCCATGGCACCAATGCCAATCTCGCGGTACCCGAGTAATAGAAGAGCTTGCACGGTACTTGGCATCGAAGATGCGTAAGTGTTGTCGAGAAGTTTTTTAGCGACATTAAAGTACTGATCACCTGCAGTCCACATCGGGATTGGCTCTCGGACCGACGACGTTGATGAGGGGGGAGGAGAGGACGGTGGGAGGGATGACGACGCTGAATAGCGTTCGGCAATGGAAAACATGCTGAGGAGCAAAAGCGGAGAAATATTGCGACGGGCACGGTGGAAAGGCGACGGAGATTTCGAACCGTGATTATCGGAAGCAGGCGATGGCGTATCTGCTGCAGATGGATTCTGATGACTGACATAAATGTGAGTGGCAGTAAGAAGAAACCGATGAGGCGACACTCACACTTTGTAACCCTCCCAGAAAGCTTCCTTGTGCAAGACCGGGAACGCCGAATGTACATAAGTAAAATATATCTCCAATAAATGCTCCTGAACAACTAGATCAGGCATCACGCTACTCAGATCTTTGTCCGTGACAGATACACCCATCAAAGGGCTATTGGTTGCGATCGGGCTTGCGGCAGAATTCGTCAGCGAGTCAATACCAGGAATTACGAGTGACGTTGTATTTGTATCAGATGGAGGGAGTGGTGGCCAGACACGGGCCTTGGGGAAACGCCTGTGACATGTGAGACATTCATGCAACATATTAGCGAACAAACCGCTCACCATATTCCACCTTCATTTCGAGCTTCCTCCTTCGCATTATATCCTAGCAGGTAAAGACCACTTGCCTTTCCGTGATACCGGACTTGTTCGTCCTCGTTCAAGGAAAGCTGTCCCACAGCATCAACAACGTCGTCTTCGTCTTCAGAATCTGTACTGGCAGGTGCTTGTGTGTGTGAGTGGTCGGAGAGATCCGGGGATGACGATGAACCAAGTCGCCGGCGTTGACGTCGTCCATTATCATCGAATGAGAGAGGTGGCGAGAGCCTAGATTGTGAAAGTTGGATCGTGCGCTGGTTGTTAGCACCAGAAGGCGAGCGAGATTGCGATGAAGACGGGTGGGAAAGTGATAGAGATGACGAAAGGAGAGATACAACGCGATCCTGCCATTCATTTGAAGGGCTGTACAAAAAGTATTTTCAATGCTGTTAAACAACGGGGGAGAATTAAATTTACTGTGTTGACTGTAAGTCAACACCACTGCCCTCCGTTGCAGTGGTATTACTGGAGCGTGGTTTCACATTGCCACCTTTTCGTCCTTTGACACCGTAGGAGGAGGCATCGACTCGATTGAGGATCTCACGAGCAAGAGCGTCCTGATTGGAAATTTATTAGCATGTGCACCGAGTCAGATATGTACGTCGTTGACAACAAATGTAAGAATGAATGCGCCGGGACAATAAAAATTTAGGATAACCGAGGGACTTGGGAACATCGAAAGAGCAAATGAATGCAAAATAGAAATAAAACATAGAGTCCACGAAAAACGCTAACCTGTCTTAGGGTGTGCAACACATCCTCCAAACCTGCAGCGTTGCCTGAAGATGGCTTATCTTCTTCGCCATACCTGCAAAAAAATTAGTGAATAGTTTTTGTGTCCAAAATAATGATCCAGACGCACCTTTCGCTATGCTCTGCCTCCACAGCGAGGAGAACACCAAGTAGGGCTTCAGTTTGGTGCAGCCGAGCTTCGATGGCGTCAATGTACCCCTTAGGGGGGCCGCGCTTGCGCGAAGGTCCGAGGAATGTACACGCTACAGATTGAAAGACGTAATGCCGAGAGCGGGCAATCGGATCATTGTAGGCATGAAGCGTAGGCGTTGATACGAAAATAAAAGGTAGTGACCTCGATTATAGGCACGGCATATCATATGTCAACAGTGTTCCAGATTGCCAGACACACGTGGCAGGATGTCATTATCAAAGGTGGTTGCGAAGGCCACAAAAGGGAATTCGTGATGTCCGGTTGAAGAGGAAAGGCGACCACATTCAGGGTGGCATCAAGTGGCGCGGATTGATAGTAATATGGATGGATACCAAAGAACAGATGAGGAGCCGGAAAATTGCAAAAATGTGGAGAGGGGGTAATGAGAAGGAAGGAGCGAGAAAGTGCGGTCAGAAGATTGCCGACCGTGTAGAATTAGGCAGACTTACGCGTGCCCAGCATGATGCAGCTTTTGCAAGCCTCGCCGTCTCCTGCGCGCTCGCACTTGCATTTGCTTTTGCGGCATTGATCACAAGCTGAAAGATGATAAATAACGAATTAAATAGACATTTGAGACGAATAGGGACGATACCTTTGCTGCTCCTTCTCCTAACGACTCTGTCCGAATAGCCAGATGAAGTAGCGGGGGCGCCAGAGGAGCTAGGAGGGTCAGGTAAGTCGTCGCCATCATCGTATTCGTCCGGGAATGATAGGGAATTTAAGTCGAGAGTGGAAGTAGCTGAGCGTTTGCTAAGCCATGGATCTTCGGGGTGTGCCATAGATCCGAAGCGGTAGTACGGACGGTCTGGGAGTGTGGTCGATGTTGTAGTAAAATTATGGTTAATGTGCGTAGTACTATTAGGCGCTGACGCAGATGACGGGAATTGAAAAGAAAAGGTGTGGGGTGGCGAAGGTGAAAGATCAAGATAAGGTGAGGATAGCTCCGATTTTACGCTGGCAGAATGTGAACGGGCAGAGTTGGTACTGCCTGTGGTATTTGGAGTGTAATGTGGTGTCGGGTGCGAGTCTAGTACATAGTACGCATTAGCTGGGATAGCCATCACAATAATATGAAGAAGGAAGGGTTTGAAAGAGGACAGACATGGATCAAAGGTCTTGGGTCTCGTATTTCAAAGATTTCTCGATCTCTTGCCAAGCCAACTGTGCGATCTACGAGCTGTGACGACGAGACTCAACCCTTGATTCCAACTCCTCGGAAGGAACGACCCTTGAAGTCCATCCCCGCTTTCTGAATAAGAGCAAGCCATCACTTACCGATTAATCGCTGCCCCAATGTACGTTATTTTGCGAAAGGCGTGGCGTCAGAAGCTTCAAGTTTTCAAGTTGTAATCTTCTTAGTACCGGTCAGGTAGTCAAGGTCACCTGCGTAAGTCTCATCTTAATGCTTACAATTCAGCCCCACTTTCTCCTTCTTCCCACTCACTTAACCCATATGTTCAGTATTTTATTATTAGTGCACCTTTATAACTTCGGTGCCATCCGTTGACCCCGAGGAGAATCTTATTTCTTCTATCGCCTTCAAGGGCGTCTCCAGCGGTCCCAATGTGTTATACTACCGGCGTACACTCACCGCTTCGTTAGACCAAGTCATTGGTACTACCGTGACACCCCGTCGGAAGCGTTCCAACATCCGATACTCCCAGCTACATTGTCACCTGACAAGCCGTATACTAGATGGAGAAGGAAAACTATTACCGGCTAGCATATGGGTACGCTTTCGTTACCACCATCTTCTTAAGGAATCTCTCTAATAGTTTGCCTATGCCCTATGTCCGGCATGCCACCAGATCACCTAACGGCTTCCGAGGACCCGTAATCTTCGCATTTCAAGTTTCATTCCGAGGATATTTATTCGCTCCAGAGACCAGCCTAGTGCTTTTTTTGTCGTCCTCCAGTTTGTTTTACAAATAGGTGTCAGTCTAATTCTTGTTTGCGACTCTTCTGCATTTTCAAGTGTCACCCCATCTGCGCTGGACTCCAAGGATATCAAATTCAATTGAGATCAGAGACCGAGTGAAAGGTCTTCCCCACGTGAACCGTCTCCGTCTTCATCACTTCCTTCTTACCAGGGGGTAGATTCAAGTAGCTTCTCTGCTGTGGATCGCTTTCTTCCTAGCAATCATTGTTTGATCGCTTTGGCACTGGCCGCCGGTACCGCCCACTGCAGCCGTGTCCAGGCACAGGTCCAGACCAATTTGATTTGGTTAGTTCTCCGTGTTCGCTCGGCCACGTGGTTATTTCCGTGATTGCTCCGAGATCGACCCGTTTCCTCCCGTGTCTCGTCTCCAGCAACCAATCTCGTCGTCGCAGATATTTTCCTAACCTACTACAATGGGCCTCGGTCCACGTATATGTTAGACACGTAGCATCCGCACCTAGCAATATGGGTCAATTTTCAAGCAATGTTTCGAAGAACAGTCGAGAAAAGCACATCATGAGTTTGTATTGGGTTTGTACGTACATTCAATTAAAGCTAGCTCCGAGTCGAAGATTGAAGTTCAAGACAACCAACCAGGGACGTTAATTCTTCGATTTCCTTGTTCCTGATCTCAACTTGAGATTTGTCGGGTATCCCGAAAGACGCACTTATGGTTGCGCATACGCAGCGTAAAGACTATACCTGTGAGCACCATTTCATCGATCGCCGCCGTGAGCGAAATCTAGTAAACCATTCCGTGTTTTCTTGAAATCTTTCTATCTCAGATTACTCGCTGTTTGCCGTAAGCATCGAGCAATTTGAAATGCCCATGCATTAACGTTATTGTATCAGGGAAATTGCGCACGAGTCTTTTCAAACACTAGCGATACCTATGTGATAAATTTTCAAAGTCGTATTCCGAGAGATGAATCAGGCAAGCACTAACAATACATTCGTTCTCTTCGCACGCTGGTATAATGATGTTTGCAGATCTCGCCCTAACTGGATTGTAGGTCCACATTCAGTTGCAGCCACTTCGCACGCTCTCCCATGGCCCATCAGGTGCCTCGAAGGGAACCACGTGGAAAGAAGATGAAGATAAAGATCAGGATGAAGATATGTACATCTTGTCGATCGAGATGAAGTTTCCTCGAGTTCTGTCGGCAAGAGGCCCTTGCTATGTGGGCTGTGTGGCCAATCATGTCAAAGACAAATTACAGGCGTATGAAAAAGCCTCATTACCTGGATACTATTATCACACCCCTACATCCGGAAGGATCCCTCCCGCGAAAGTATGGCACGGACAAGTCGAAATTTCCGAAAAGAATGGAGCCTGAGCTAAATCCGCGGGCCGGTTCCAGTTGTCGTTGGTTGGCACGATGGTTCACGGTGTTTTCTCTTGGTAACTTCCATTCTGCCAATCTCGTGACGTCATGCAGCGGTGTCACAGTTCTGTTGATAGAGGCTGAAACAAGGTCCCACCGGAATGGGGCAGTCGTACGATAATCGGTCACTCCCGAAAAAGGGCAATAATGCCCGCGAGCTATAGGGCGTTCCGTAAACCACGCATGGTTGGAGAAGTAAATCATATCATTCCCGCGAACCACGCATGATTAGACAAGGAAGCCACTCATCTGACCGGAGGGATAGATGATTAGATTTCGGTCGTTGACGAGTTCCTGAACAGTCTCGTAATAGGGCAAGCAAGATCCGGATGCTTGGGTTACATCGAAGAAGGCGCGCTACGCATACGATGACGATGGTAGAGTCCATAGCTAGTGCACCTTTTGCTGAATCGGGAGTCGAGCAGAGTATACAGTGGCACCACGGCGTGTTTGAGTCCATAGCTCAGTAGGCAGTCAATATCCACAACAACCTCGTACGATTCAAGGAGTGACCTGGCAGATTCGGCTCACCCAGTCCGACCAAGGTAAAACTTGCCGCAATCTTCTTGGTGACTCCAAGGGTAAGTTTGGCAATCTTGGTACACCAATTCGACCACGGAAAACTATCCCCATCGTACCACAGGTATGAAGTCCAAAATTTCGGAGAACTGCCACGATTCAGAACGAAAGCACCGCGTCAGGCTTTAATTCAGCACTGTATGGTATAAAAGCGACATTACCGGAGTGCGCACAGCACAGATAATGTCCTGATCACATATGACTAGATCTGGGTTTTAGGGTGTGTAGATCAGGAAGCGCCTAGGCCTGCGTTGACCTTGGTTTGATCTTGTTATCAACTTGAAAAGCTATGATAACGAAAAGTATCGTACAATGCTGGGCTCACTGCTTGGGTAGATCAATTTCTGATCACATAGAAACTCCGAACTGGTGAGTGGATCCCGAAGAGTCATGACTGGTATTTTCCAAGCTTTCGAATCGATGGAAAATGAAAGAATGCAGTAGAGATTAGTGGAACAACCGGGAAACATGAACGTTGGTGGCGGAGTTATGTCACCGTGGGGTCTGTCCACATTTCATCATCGTCCATGGCCGCAAACCTAGCTTTCCAAACAAACCAACCCACTACGGTTGACTGCAGCTATAAGATCCTTCCGCCAATCTGAAGCCTATCACCCTAATCAGTCATCATGTTTGGTTGTTGCGTTGCTGGTCGTCTGCTGCAAACCAACCTGCAACAGATGGATGAGACACATGCCCTCTTTGAAATCCCAGCTGCTGAGAAAGTTAATCATGTATGCGTATTTTTGCTTGGTACAGGTCAGTGCTTCATGCTCCATCCCTGCTTCGAATGACAATGACTTATCATGTGCCGCTGATCTATAACGTAGTTCCATTCCCTGATGGATTTGGCGCAACTGTCCACTTTTTCTGGCCCGGAAAAGGTTCACAAGTACTTGGCATGTGCGCTTACCTTCCATTAACCGAATGTAAAGACCATAGACCTTACTTGCGAACTTCAGGCTTTCGAACGACAAACCATCAGCCATATTCCGCCTTCGGTCAGCGTTCTCTTCCACATCAGCAGCCCCATCAGGCATATCAACTCCTTCTGCGTTCACATCCGCAACTGTGTCTTCTGCACCCGGTCAAATCACCGCTATACTCGGATTTGCATTAGAACCCCTTGAAACGATCGCCGCGCAACTTGCTTCTCTCCCCCAAGCTCAAACTCCGAACGCTATGAATATAACCCCCATCTCAACACCGATGTCATCACTAGCACCAGTAACCAAACCTGCAGATCCATCGGTGCTTGCGGAGAAAATAGCCAAGCACCTCTTTAACTACATAGCGGGCTTCGTGCCAGCAGGAACAAATATAGGTCCAGAAAGTACTGTTTCAATGGGCGTCATTGCTCGATGGTACGAAAGCTTTATAGGGAAGGTGAGGGCAGGCGGTGTCGGGTTTTTGGAACGTAATGAATAGCTTCTGCCGGGATTGCATATTTGACTTTTTCGATCGATTATGACGAACTCGATTTCATTCGTGAGAGGTTCAGGGAATTGCCGCTCACTGATTTTGAAACTAGCATCTGGGTATCAGGGAAACATCAATCTGTGACTCTGGTGGAACGCACTGGCTACGAACCTACAGCATGCACGGGAGGTTCATAAACATGAATTTTGTTTACTGTGGTGTCACGATGAACAATTCATCCTATTATTCGGGTTGTGGGTGTGTTCCATCATATGAGAACTTACATTTTTGGTCAGGTGGTCTCAGCTGCTTCAGAATTACTTGTCAAGCCATTTGTTCTGCCTCGAACATGTAAGGCAGCCACTACTGGAGTCATTTTAGGCTCGAAATATCATATCCGGCGACTAACTCTTTCGTGCAGCATTAATGGACTCGGACAGCTCGCTGGAGTGTTCACGGGAGTTTGCAATCATGCGAAGCCCGCCGTCAGCGCTCAGCGCTCGGTTCGTAGTACGGCAGCGATCACCGTACTTACTATCTGCAAGAAGCAAGAAGGAATGACTGTCTTCCCCAAGTTCTTCTATCCTTCTTGATAGGAGACCAAAGAAGCACATATTCCTGTTGGCCCACATTCCTCGGCCACGAATTGGAATTGGTGTGTGTTGTAGTTATGCAGCCTTTTCCTCCGCTAGTGGAAATTTGACGGTTTTATATATTTTTATTTCAACATCCAGTTGAGGCCTTGAGGGCATGCATAAGCAGGCTACCGGGACTCCTGACAATGCCTATAGAACCCAGCCATCGATCCGGACAGAAACTAATCCAAATAACCGTTTGTCCCATGTTAGAATTCGGACATCTACGTCTGGTTTTGGCCCCAACCTGGGCAACCCCATCCGGACATCATGTTTACGTTGAGTCACGAGGCTATGGTATATCAGCGTAGGAGCGACCCAACACAAGTCCTTCGTTCAGCTCTACCAACAACATTTCTTCCAGCACTCCCGCTCATTGCCTGATGCGATCGCTATCTTCAAGTGTCCTCAATTTGCCTTCCTCTTCATTCTCACTTTTCTGCACCTAAGACAATACCTTCCAACCCCCAGAGTATCAATTTCCAGGACGTTCTCATCCTCTTCGTGCCTGTCAATTTTGTAATTTACCTGGTCGAATGGCAGTCAGACTCCAGTCAACTTCAAGCTCTAGGAATCATAAATACAGCTGCAAGTAATCTGTGTCAAATACAGTCGAAACGAAAATATTAATGTTATTCTATCCAACGCATCGTTCGTATCAGATAATAATCAGGTCTCTGATATCACAGGACCCGAAACCCGCCCAGCACGCTCAAGAGTTCCATCCTGTAGTTCATACGCGGGTCGATACCGCGGTAGGGGGCCGACACTATTGACGCTCCTGTCATTAACCTCGACTTGACATTGAGTATTTGGATCGCTGGCCAGAACCTGGAAAGGTCCTAGTGTTTGGATAGAGCTCCTAAGTGACTCTGTCTCCCTCAAATCAGAGACAGGGTCAGCAAGGCATGACTGGTCGGGGTTATTGGCAATGATGGTAAAAGGACCAAAGTCATTCATAGACGACTTTGGTGGAGTTGGTTCAATAAAACACATCGTATTTGGATTATTCGCCACGATCGTGAGTGAAGAAGGAAGAGTGTGGGACGAGTCAGGACCCGTGACAAGTAGCGCTGGATTTGGGAGTGTGTTATATGTAGATCCCAGAGACGTGTAACTGCGCGGGCGTCAATTGAAGTTTGCAAGAAAAAAGCATGCTCACCCCTCGTCGTACAGCGTGCAGTACGGAATCTTGAGCTTCCTTAGGAATGTCCAGACATCTGAGTATGACCAATTGATGATTGGGTTTATTCGTTCGAAGGCGGGCCATCCCGGATCCGTCACATTTCTGTATGATAGGGTTGCTACAAGTCATGAGTACTTGCATCGCGCAAGAATAGCGACACTCACTTCCATGGGGGTCTGTTCGTCGTGTGCCCACCATAATCGCTTGAATATCTGGGAAACGTGATTTGTACAACTCCAGGGCTCGCCGCATCCCTTCACCACCCCTAGCTGCTCCAACAGGCTGAGTTTGGAGGCTATGCCCTATATAGCCACTGCTCCCCTTGAGCGCTGTTGGGGTCGACACACCGGGTGTAACACTTTCTACAGGCAACTGAATGTCCGAGGATAGATTGCATGTGAAAAGCTCGAGGAGGTAGTCTTGCGCTGCTATCTTGATAAACTCCTCCAGTGCAGGGAATGGTGATGGGTCTGGAATGTATAATGCGAATATAGACTTATGCGTGGACGACACCTTTCTGGCGAGAACTGCAGCATATAGATGTAGTAGGACGGTGCCTATGGGACGAAGGCATTAGTAGATGTATATCTCAGGGGTCCTGCTGACGCACAATCCTTCCCGCCGTTGAAACTCAGGGATACGTGGTCTTGCCTATGAAATGAGATATCAATGATGAATCGTGCATGAGCAAAGAAAAAACTGCCGCTCACCCGTATTGATCCAGACACTGCTCGATGACCTGCAATGCCTCTTTTACAACGGGTGCTACGGGTTCATTTGACTCTGCAAGGTTGTAAACCTCGCTCGCTATCTTTTGGTAGTCCATATCGCTCCAAATGACACAGGTTTTGAAGATGCTGAGGGTACAACCCAACGACGGTCCAGCGTGGAGAGAATCTAGGGAATATGTTGCTAGTAAATATGGCTGAGAGAGATATCATACAGCAATGGTGTGGGTACAAAGTTATTGTGGGAACAAACGGCCCGGCGATCTCGACCAATACCATTATCTGATCCAAATCTGATCAATTTCACAAACGCTCCTCTTATAGCACTGCATAGTTATTTGAACTTTCTTTCAAGTCAACAACAATGGCAGCCGTGGTACTTGTCACTGGAGGCACTGGACTTGTCGGGAAAGCTATCGAGTACGTTATCGAACACGAACCAGAAGGCTCGCGCTTCGGAAAGCGTCCAGGAGAGAAATGGATCTTTGCTGGCTCTCGCGAGGCCGATCTAAGGTACTGTCATAACGATTATTGTCCCGATAGAAAGTATCAATTTGCAGTGCAGAAACCCAGAAGAAACATTGAAATTATTTGAGAAGTACCAACCCACTCATGTTATCCATCTGGCTGCCCTTGGTACGCCTGAGTTCGGGTCAGGATGAGCCCATCTAATCTGCATTTATATAGTGGGTGGTCTCTTTGCGAACAGAGAGCGGAAGGTAAGGATAAAGATTTTTCGTCGTGCGCGATCTGACCCCTTACAGATGACTTTCCTTCGCGACAACATGCTGATCAATGACAACGTTCTCCACACTGCTCGCATCAAAGGGACAACGAAAGTAATCTCTTGTCTTTCGACGTGTGTCTTCCCGGACAAAGTCGAATATCCTCTCACAGAGGAGAAGGTTCACCTTGGACCACCACATCCGAGTAACTTCGGATATGCGCATGCGAAGAGAATGGTAGATGTCCAGAACCAGTATGTCACGATTCCCTCAGGGTACCCTTTACTGCGGTTCATATATACTGTTTAGTGCTTACAAGGAGGAATTCGGCTGCAACTTCACATCTGCCATCCCGACCAATGTGTTTGGACCGCATGATAACTTGTACGCTTAACCACTGCAAAAGTCATCATGTCCTAATTGATTCTTATATAGTGATCTGAAGCATGCGCATGTGATGCCAGCACTGATCCACAAATGCTACCTATCACAAAGTCCATTTTCCCTCGTTTCGAATGTTCTGCATACTGACACGTTTCCAATGCAGAGAACAACACGTCACTCAAAGTTATGGGTGACGGCTCCCCTCTTCGTCAATTTATCTACTCCCGTGACCTGGCCAAGCTATTCATATGGCAAATGCGCGAGTACGAGTCTGTGGAACCTGTCATACTTTCAGGTGAGCGTTCATATATCTACTGATGTGAATTTTATTGATGAGCTCTTAGTGCATGAGAATGACGAAATCAGCATTCGCGATCTTGCGAATTCCATCGTCAAAGTCATGAACCACCCCAACAAACCCGAGGTATGTTCCTTTTTACTGCTCACGAAATACCTGAGCACAGATGCTCTTGGCATGAAGTTCGAGAACGAAATCAACGACAACGGCCAAGACCGTAAACCCGCATCGAATGCAAAGCTCATGAGCCTGATTGGCGACTTCAAGTTCACGCCATTCGAACAAGGTTTGTTGTCCTCGTTTACTCACTTCAGTTCCCGATAATTGACTGTTTCGCACAGCTCTTGAGGAGACGGTGACGTGGTTCCTCCAGAACTATGCTAACGCGAGGACTGGACCATCTCACGCTTAGACAGATTGGGGTAAACGGACAATGTCATAGAATTACAGTTGCGTTTCACTATTTGCCTGCTTTTCATCCCTTGCCTGTATATGCAGATGTACTTATCACTATACCGACCATACTTTCTCGGGAGTTGTCAAGGGCAACTTGAATTCTGATACCAATGTGTTCATCACGTTCTCCTCGCCTGAATGACCGAAAGCGAAAATGCAGCATCCTCCGCAACGACACCTGAAGCGCGCTCTTGGCCAGAGTTGATCAGGCTTGGCGTTGGTGGAGGGAGCGGAGCGCGACGTGCCGTAGGTCTCGGTGGCAGAGCCCAAACTATCTTCAGTGAAACCGTTCGACAATGGCGGATACTTTGTATCCTGCTGGAAGAACGCTGTTCCAAATGAAATCCAGCGGAATTGGTTGCCGTTGTCGTGAGTGAGCTCTGCGCTATCCGTGTGAAGCGGAAACAAGTTTAAAGACTTCAGGAGATTCGCGCAAGACCACAGCGGCAGTACGTTGAATGAAGGAGATTCACGGAGGCGGAATTTTCCGATTGCGAGAGAGAACCAAATAACTGTGTCGCTGAGTGCATACTAGTAGACGACGAGACAAGAAGATGTGATACTAGAAGCGAAAAGAGTCATTCCATCAAACCCCAGGGGTGCTGATTTGTATGCATTACGAGTGCACCAGAGCGAAAACGATATTGTGAATTGAGATCTGACATCAATTTAAATGAAAACATATCCTTTGACAGTATGAGAACTGGCGAGGCCGCCTTCGTACGTCCAGCCTACAGGGTCATGTTCAGATGACCAATCTTCCGACAAGGGGTGTGTACAAGATCGTCATCGACAGCCCGCGGAGTGCCAGTGAATCTGCTGAACCCTGAGAACTGCAGACCAGCTGCAAGGTTGGATTTATCGGAAGTTTGCTCACGGCCGACGACGGTATAACTATTATTATCTATAATCTCAAGCAGCATAAGAGGTTTATCCATGGCTTGGGAGCGAGATTTACACACATGTTGCGCCACAAGGCTCCAAGCGCACCTGTGTGGTTTTATCTCCAGATAGAGTGGTGCACCTGCACCTAGTATATCTTGTCCGGCCATCACGGCAGACAGAACTTCTTCGGATATCAGGTTCTGATGAGGACCCAGGCTCCTACCAGGCCCCCTGAAGCTCCCCCATAGGTCTGTCCGAATTTTAGCATTTTTGAGGCCGAAAATTGGCCAAATCTCTGTCCGAACTTAGCATTTTCGAGGCTTTTGGAAGGCCGATGAGGGCCGATGTCTGTCCGAAGTTAGCATTTTTGGGGTAGTTTCAGCTGTTCAGGTGGACTTCAGGGCAGGTCGTGTAGCAACTTCGAGTGATGTGGTCCCATAGATTTTGTCAATGCCAGCACCACACTCTCATAATGATGCTTCCTGAAAATCTTGTGCAGCAAATGTGCTGAATTCGAAATATAGAACTAACTTGAATATATTCTGCACAACGGAGAAATTGTCACACTTTGGCGGGGGTCACAGAAATGTCACACCACGTGATCACCGACCTCTGTCCGACTTAGCATTTTTGACAGTCAAAAAGTTGCATTTTTGAGGGCCGTTTTGGGAGTTCCAGATGGACAGACCTTATAGGGAGCTTCAGGGGGCCTCTCCTACCCAACTGCGAGGTGTTACGAACTTGGATAGTATCTGTTGGCAATGCTCAAACAGAGCGTGTGTCGTCAACAGTTGAGGACGTCCTTGGGCTAGCCCAAGGTTAGGGGTCTTACTTGGCGAGGCTTCGGCAAGTAAGATTTAACGCCTATGTCCAAATCGGGTAGCTTATGTCAAGTGGGGCTCAACGATAAGCGTATCTGCCAAGGCTTACGACACCCGAAGGTTAATCGTAAGATCTGCGTTAATAGAAGGACAGAAGTCCGACTAATAACAGGGGCTTTGCTCAATGACGAAGTCGATGAGTAAAGATCGAGACTAGAGACTTATCCGCAATGAGCAGATAAGAAAGTAGAATATAGACTGCTGGCTAGGCAGAAGGAATCACTCTTGTTAGGAGTAGGAGGTCAAGAACCAAGTAGATTCAAGTTAAGGAACTAGATACATGGTAGCGAGTTTATATAAAGGAGAGGACATGTATTAGTGGATGATAACTTGTACTACCGGAAAGGGAACTGGTCAAAGGGTGATACTAGAAAAGGAAGGCACATTCGAGGTGAGTCATAGGTGAACCAGAATGTGCAGATAGGAAATGAGTCAAAGAACAGAAACAGGAAGTGAAACAAGCAGGGGCACAATCATGCAACTGCGGAGCTAAATATAAGTACAAATGTGTGGCTGCACACTGAGTCATAGATCAAGAAAGGAAACAAGGTAAAGGGAATGTGGTGTGCATCGTATCATAGGTTACCATCCAGACAGTAAGGGTAAAGGGGACTGTCCATAGGATCAGTCAACAAGTGGAACGGAGCATGGGTATGCTTCATCAGAGAAAGGGTCCGGCCAAATGTACTGGCTCTGCTGGAGCGACAGGTAGAGGGCGAAGGGGAATGCGAGGATGACAAGGATAACAAGAGCAAGGTCGGGGTAAGGGTGTGATGCAAGGGTGGAGATGAGGAGGATGAGGAGAAAAATGGTAGGGGCCCAAGCGTCTAGATGTTCTTGTAACACGAGGTTGAAGAAGGACTACTAGGGCAGGTTTGGGAGATCACATGCTCAAGCAAAATTTCAATCCCAGCACCACCTTATTTCTTCAACCTCTCAGCAGTGGCTGGCGGATAACATTTGTAAACATTGTCAGCCACAGCGGCTAAACACTGCTGACACAGTGTGGAGCATAAAAAATATACCTACTGAAAGCAATATATACATTAAATAAATTAATTGTTTAACTGCATGACTGAACTACCTTCCAATTCAGACTCAGAAACCCCTAGCTTCAGTGACTTACAAGCACTTGCTCTCAAGCATTTTGGCAAGCGGCCATGTCTTTGGCAGATGAAAGTTGCTAAAGCCTTTCTCTAGAAAGACCGTGATATAGTCTGCATTGCTGGCACATCACTGGGGAAAATTATGTCATTTTGGTTGCCTCTTCTCTGGAAGAAAGGTCTCCAGATCATTGTCACACCTTTGAATCAACTTGGAAAGCAGAATGTGGACTCACTTTCAAAGGCTGGAATGCAAAGTATATCAATTTCAGCAGAGACGGCTAGCTGGAGTAATTTTCATGTGAGTATTGGCTCTACATCAAAAAACTATGTGACCTACAGTGTTTATGATGCCAGGATATCGAAGACATGAAGTACCTGGTCATGATAGTCAGTCCAGAACAACTGATGAAGGCAGGAGGAGAGTTTGAAAAACTGCTGCGCAAACCCGAGTTTAAACAATAGTTTATTTAATGTATATATTGCTTTCAGTAGGTATATTTTTTACACTCTGCACTGTGTCGGCAGTGTTTAGCCGCTGTGGCTGACAATGTTTACAAATGTTATCCACCAGCCACTGCTGAGAGGTTGAAGAAATAAGGTTGTGCTGGGATTGAAATTTTGCTCGAGCACGTGATCTCCCAAACCCGCCCTAGTAGTCCTTCTTCAACCTTGCAGCAGTGGTTGGGTAGGAGCCTGATGAGGACCAGGAGTGCACCATGTAAAAGGATATATAGGTATGCGTTCCCGTCATGCCATCAGGAAATTCTCACATTTACTTTATGTACTTAAATGACTGAATAAGCACAAATAAGTATGGTGCGGTTCACTTAGAGGCTGCTACTTTTGTCCAAGTGCCAAATTCACATACCCTGTAGGTATAATGTATCAATACCTACATCTGCAAACCAGAATGATCTGTACAGAGCTGTACAGCGCACAAGCTCTACTAGTGCCTCCGAAGTCCAGTCCCAAACCTAGGTTCGAACTTGAACCTTTGCGGACTGGACCATTGGTTCAGTCACAGGTCCAGTATATCTGCTGGACTGAACCCCCTAATAGGTCCGAGGTCTGGTATTTTCCTGGAGCACGTGAACTGGTCCAGACATGTCCGGACTGGTTTGAACCTGATGTATTTTTATCCAACTTAGATTCTCGAACCGGCAATGAAGCCTCATGTTTTTGGTAAGGTTTTCTGTTTAAGCATTGTGCTTGCCTGTCGGTTTACTGTCTTCCCTCCCTTCTAGCCTACTTGCAGTAACTACATTGTCCTCATCCATGTTCTTCTCTTGGTCTCTTCAGCAATGCAACTTATCAAGGTGCTGGTATGTTCACAACATGTTCACTGTTTGTCATTGCTAACTTCTAATATCATTTATTTCAGGACATACTGTCTGCACTTTTGATTCACCACACTGCTCAGGCTGTTCTGGCATTCTTTCACACTCTGGTGTTTTCTGGTGTGGAATGTTTGTGTATTGGGGCTTTATGGTGCGCAGTCATTTTGAATTTAGTTAAAATATACTTACTTGTTGTATAAGTTGGACATTTTCACTCCCTGCTACCACTGCCACCATGTCCTCCGCACGTTGCATTGATGGTTCACTGAAAGATGCCAGCAAGATTGATTGGTACAATGATGCCAATGATGACACTCTGATGCTTCCTCCCCCTCCCCCTCCCCCTCCCGCACATAATGACACTCTCAGCTCTTTCATATGTCGCTCAGGTTGTGCTGTCAAACCTACAGAGAAGGTCTGTGAGACTTCCAGCAGTAATTCAGTCAAACTGTCAGCTCCAGGACCTCCTCGAGGTGCCTCTGCACCCAAGCAAGCATTTTCTGGTACTGGCAGCCAAGAGGATGAGGATGAGGACACCAAAGAAGAAGCCCCACCACTCGAGGATTTCACGGATGACAAAGAAGAGAACGAGAATGAGGAAGCTTACCAGAGAACGAAAAACCTTGGTGACCAGGATTGTGAAGACCATAAATCTCTCAAGAAGGATGAACACAGCGCTGACTTGACTATGGTCTTTACCTTTGAGAAAGGTTGTGTCAACCCCCACACCCAGAAGCATGAAAATGGGTGGTGGTGTGAGGTATGCAAGGCTAACAACGTTGCACTACACCAGTGCTTTTTCAAGGGTGGTATCTCAACTTGATGAATGCACATCACACGCAATCCCAAGTGTCATTTCCCAGTTTATCAGGACATTGTGTGGTGCTTTCGGTACTTGCGAGTGGCGGTCCCTAGATGCAGGTATTTTTGATGCAAAGACAATTCATTGTCTTTGTGCTGCAGATTGGTGCATTGAAACCAAGGACACGTACTACTACTAGGATGCGCTGGGTCACAGATGTGTCAGCAAGGTCACATGAGTGCACATTTTACACCAAAAATATGGTCATGCAAAGGGGTCCATGTGCTGCAGGCGTGCGGGAAAGCTGCGAAGGGGTCACTCTCTCAGAAATCAGAGGTCTTGTGAAGGGGTTGATGGTGAGTCTGTGACTATCTTTCCTTGCCTATCAGTATTGACTCAAATGAACATCTCAGGAGTCTTGTGTATCGTGAGAAGATGCACTTGGGTGCAGTAATAGGTGAGTTATGTTGCCGTGATTCTGTACTAATTTAAGCTTCAGTGGAATATTGTATGGTTTCTTGGTGAATTTCACTGACAGCTCACTTCCTGCAGGTCCTTAAGCTTTACAAGATGCTTCATCATCCCAAAGGAGCACCTGTATGTCCATGCAGTTCTACTCTCTTCCAAATGGCTGACATCAGGAACACCCATACATATAATTGGCACATCCCATCCATGCAATCCTACTTTCTAAGTTCAAGTAATGGCAGTGCCCATCCACACAATCCTACTCTCTACGTTCAAATAATGGCAGTGCCTGTCCATGCAATCCTACTTTCTATGTTCAAATAATGGCAGTGCCCATCCATACAATCCTACTTTCTATGTTCGAATAATGGCAGCACCTGTCCATGCAATCCTACTTTCTACCATTTGAATTAATGGGAGGAAGCTTGTAGTTATTGTCACTGGTGATGTACAATTGCCATTTGTCCTTACAGGTTGTCCTTATGCAACTCAGATTGTCTGCTCTGTCTCTCAGAATTTTCGGTTGTACTACTGTGACATTAAATACATATGGTGAATCAGGTATGTCAATTCACTTCTTCCTTTACCTCAAAACCAAACTCATTCCCCCGCATACAGGTCCTCCACATCCAACTCTTCTTCAATCTCTTCTTTGGTACACTCCAAAGCAGTGGTTTGCATGGCCTTTATTACTTTCTCCATTCGTTTAAAGCTGCTGATATGTTTGTACACATTCTGAATTATAGTTGCCTGAAAGCCCAAGCATGTGGCAAGTTGCTTGACATGCTCGTCATACCCAAACTGCGCAAAGCGCGCAATATCTTGAGCATGGATTTGATGGTCCACATGGACATCGACAGTTTCGGCATCTGACTCAGTATTTCCTCCTTTGACAGCTTGTCCCCCAGGAGCCTTGGAGGAACAAGAGATGTTTTGAGGATGTACAGGTGACATTGAGTATCAGCTATACGGCAGTACAATTAGTTTTGTAACTAGTTTGAATTCAATTTGTTCATTCCCACCAATTAGGATTGATAACAAATTTCTTGCAATGGCAATTTGGCACAAACAATATAGTTATGATTATGTGGGTATAAGATGGACACTAGTAGTGCGTGTCAAAGTTCAGGGTCAAAGAGTGAAGTTCACTGGTAGGAGACCCCTAATTGCCACTCTGCCTGCCCTTCACTCTATCCTTCCTGTTGCCACCCTCTAGTTGCCTCAGATGAATCAATAAGTGATGTCTGTGTATGAACCAGACATACTATGCAAACTACTGTCAGCATTGGAACCGAAAGACTTGCAGAAAAACTTCGAGGCAAACTGGAAAGATGTGGTAAGTACTGGCATGTAGAACATATATTGATACTGACCGGCTATAGGTGAAAAAACATGGACAGGACATACCAAATGCATGACCAATCCAAGACCCGGGTGCCAGTGTGAATGGGAAGCTGAAGTTGTTGAGTACATCAACTACCTCTCAGAGAAGACACAAACATGATCAGCGAAAGCACTCACCCGACCATGCCTGGACAGCAGGATTCCAATACTTGACCCTCATTTCCTGCCACCATCGTACCTCCATGCCCAAAAGCGCAATCAGTCTGAGCCTGCTATTAATCCAGAGGTCTTATACCTGAAGCCTCTTCATGTCATACACCCATTCTACCACCCTGAGCTTGCAAGGTGTCCATGATGTGATTGTACAGATGGTGTTTTGTGGGATGGATGGACTGGGACTGGTCCCCGGGATGTTCATGGATTAATGCTTGATGAGGCAGCGATAGGCACACAGCTCTGCTGCGAGAGTTGCAGGAATAATCCAACAAGTAAGAAGGGTCTAGAAAGCAAGTGTGAGCATAACAACTTAAACAACCGAAAGATGAACCTCAAGGGACACTGCTTCGCAATGACAAACCCAGACTTCTGGTGCAATTGGTTCCACTGGTCCATTCTGGGTAAGCTTGATGAATTTTGGCTGGTGATTGATGTTCAGTGGCTAAGTTACATTCACTGGCAGCAGACGTACTGATATTTTTCTACAGATGCGCTGTTACTCATGAGCTGTTTGACCTAGTCATCGAGTTGTGCCCATCATCTATGGCAGGAACTCTTGCTGAAAACATCCAACGTGAGTGGCACTATCTACTTCTCAAACACTAGTCTAACACACCTTCAAAGAACTTCATTTACCTGAGTACAACAGGTGGAAGCTGGAATACCTTAAAGCTTGGAAAGCACGTCAAACAACATGACATGGGATGGATTTCTTTAGCCTGAATCCACTTCGGGCATTCTCGGATCCTTACAACATAAAGGAGTACAATGCAAGGCCAATCTCGCATGACATGGTCAGCAAGATCTTCCAGGAGTTTGTGTCAGCAATGCAGGAAAGGGAGTCAGAGGAATATCTTCGCACTCTCTCTGGTGAGAAATTTCTCTGCTATCAGCACTTGACACTCACCTTGTGTGCTGAGCAGGCATAAGCATTTCGTTCGACAACACATTCCATGCTGCTATGAAGGCAACCATAACTAACCAAGAGAAACAGAAGTCGAAGGTCCTGAAGGGAGGGATTATAAGTCTGATGAATGAGAATAACGAGATTGTGGGCTGGGTAAGTCATCTTTCACAAACCTAGACTAATACAGCTGACTTGGATTACTACATTAGTGCTTCTGTCATGCCCAGTCAAATGCTGAAATAAGTGAGCTCCTTCATCAGGAAAAACACTATATTTCCGTAGTCCTGGTGGCAGCTATATAGCACTATGTAGGCACTTGTAGGTGCTGTAGCAATATATAGGCATGTGCGATACTATTTCGAGCTATGTAGTACTATGTAGCGCAAAGCTTCACTACAGGCAGCTATAGAACTCAGTCAGGCAAAAAAAGTGACTGCAGATGACTACAGGTTGCACCTGGCTTCACTACACGCAGCTATGGAACTTAGTCAGGCAAACAAGTGACTGCATATGGCTACAGGTTGCACCTGATGCATGACACTATATACTTACTACAAACTATTTATGACAGACATGCCAAATATCTCACCATCAATGAATTGATTAAAATAAAAATCATTTGCTGCCTCATATGCATTTCCACTTCTCAATGTCATATCCACTGATTGTCCCATCTTCGGTATTAGGTGACACGGTTGTACGATTTCATCAACGTGGATGACAGCAGCATTGCGGTGGAGTTGGCGTGTCAAGCAAGAGACTTGTTGCAATCGAGAGGAAGGGTCTGGATGTCTGAAAGGTATAGCACGAACCTGAGCTACTTGCACACCTGCAACACATCACAGTCAAATATAAGCGTCAACAAGTCCAAAAAAAATACCTTCAAGAGTGTGCAAGGGCAAAGACCGAGGCCCATCTGAGATCAATGCCATGTCAAAACAAGCAGGGCAACCAGGCTTACAGCCAGATGCTACCACTTCTGGCCTTGCTCTAACATGCCACCGGTTGGGAGTGTTGCTCACTCGTTGATCTGGTGGTGCCTCGATGACCACTTGACGATAAATATTGAAATGGTCATGAATGCCAGGTACGATGGTGATATGTGGAAGGTTCTTGCACAGGAAAGTTTGCAGAGCAGAGAGAAAATCGATAGCACCATGCGCTGTCACAATCTTTTCGACTGTCTGGTGAGGATGTGCCAGAACCTTTGCGAGGGTGTGCCCTGTTGTCATTGTGTTCAAGTTGGGAGATGCAGCCTCTTTTTCTTCCAAGTCCAAGTCCGAGTTGAAGGAATGATGCTCTGTGTGACCTGCTGGCAGGGGAAGCTATTGTGATATCCAATTCAGGTACACACCACGCAAAAACACTGCTTCCTGATGTTGAAGCCATAAAATCATCTGTTCTTCCACAGTAAGTGTCCTTTGCAAAATCAATGTGCAAGCGCTCAGGAAGCTCGGTGTTAAAGCCATCAGCTGCACCAAACAACATGATCGACTGGACGTAATGAGTGAGTTGATGTAGTTTTGGTATATTGAAATGTTCTCGAATGGCGAGTTCTTTCAGGACATCTTTATTCACATGAAAGACTCCCAAGGCAGTTTGTAGGGCTTTGAGCATGTCAGTTGTGTGAATTTGGAGCCAGGCATAATAGAATAAGTCAAGAATTGATTGCACAACTACCAAGACATGACTGTGCAGCACGACATCAACAAACAACCATCTTCAATGACTCATCACACACACACCTAGGCACTGCTCCGGTAAGTAAGCCAATAAACACTCACTGCATCTCTTTATGCTCACTTCCTGTCCATTGTTTCACAGTCAAAATACCTTTCTTGAAGTGACAGAGTCCTGGATAATCTGGGATGGCCTTGAATCGCGCATCCATCACATCTTCCCTGATAATATTGATGCACCACTTCATGAGGTGGTCTTTAAACACACCTTTATAGATTTGATGCAAAAGATTGGGGGTGAAAGCCAGGAAAATGTTGGCATGAGGCATTTCGGCCCAGAATGGTTTATAAACTGCACGTAGACCATTCTCCTCAAATTCTGGAGGATGCTGACCAATATTGCGCCTTTCTAGAATATCTTTTGTTGACTCTGGATCGCGCATTGCAGACTCAAATCCATTGCCTCGCTCATTCGCTGCCACCAGACACTTGGGACACCAATTCTCTTTACAATAGGAAACCAAACACTGCTTGGGAAAATCGGCTACATATGCAGCCAGTATCGGGTAGACATGACAAACCAGCGAGTCCACACACATCATTTTGACTCTGTTTTGTCCAGCAGCAATGAGAGTATGGAGGAATAGGGCCATGCAATGATGAAAGAGTCTGCATCCAGCCAGAGAGCGCGCATCAGAAGTGAAGCACTCTAGCTTTCCTGCAGGTAAGTAACCAATAAACACTGTGGCTCGTGCCGATGCCTGACACCTTTTTGCTTTGGTGATATTGCCAATAGACATATACACAGACCATGCTGACTTGTCTTCTTTGAACTGCAATAAGCTGGTTTTGTCCAATAATAGAATAATCAGTGCTATCATGGCACCTTTGGGCAGGGCTTTCTGCTTACAAGGTCAGTACATTTCTTTGTTGTTCTCTCTCAAACAGTCTTACTTGAGTCTCGCCCCACCAGTCGGCCGTCCACATCTTGTCAATCACTCTATGTTGCCCTGTGCGGTCTGCATATGCTCTGGCAGGTGAGTAGGCCATATCTTCCTTGAAGAAAGGGTTGCCGATAAGCTCTTTGACACACTCTACAGGATCACGGCTCCAAAGTTCGAGCTCTTCTTGCAACAGTGCTCCATTCTCATCCTCAAGGTTACTACACACAGTAATCTTCCTGCAACTCTGTCCCGGTCCATGTGGAAGTTCATCAATCTTCTGCAAGAATGAGCGGTTGTTATGAAATGAGAGTTTCGTACGGTTTTGTGTCTAGTCATCATATCAACATTGTGAGTTCAGTCAATGCTTTCAATGTACTATCGGTAACTTCAAAAACTCCTCAGTCCATGTCTGACCAACATTTTTAATGAGCCATTGGGCCAAATCCCACTCTTCCCTAGTGAGTCATATATCTTGAGATCCCCTTGCTGCACATTTGAGCACTTATGCATCTTCAAAGGGAGAACATGGATCCTCGCCATCTTCCTCTTGATATCTCCTATATCCTTCAAATTTAGTCTCCCCCTCACGCAGCGCCCATCCAGCATCTGGTATAGGTTCAAAATAATGCCCAAATTGTGTCCCACCATCATCCTCAACTTCTTCAATGGTGACACAACAAGTTTTGCTGTCCGGGTGAGGGTGAACATGGGAAAAGTCTGTAGGCGCTAGCGAGAACGAGTGCTCAGTAAAGTCAGGAAAACAATACTATATTGATAGACTACCTAGTGAGAATGAGTGCTAGGATACATCAGTGGGAGTATGTATGAAATACAGGCAGTTCTACATACCTCAGTAAAGTCGGGAAAACAATACTGAGGTGTTAGTGAGGAGCATGACGGTGTATATACCTGTGGGAAACACTTAGGTAATGTAGTACCAGAGGATCGATGAGCGGAAGTGCCATACAGCGCAGAAGTCAAGAACCAATGAACAGTGTGGTATTGAAGGTGATCAAGATAACAAGATAGTAAAGGAAAAGGAAACAAAGTGTCCATCTATCAAGAGTAAGAGTCTATTGAGTGTCAACACACCCCCTCACCAAGATACCAACTGTAGGCCAGTGGAGTGCTTCAAGAACAATGGACAAGGGAGGGCCTTTGTGAGTACATCCACGACATTGTGATACAACAGGAGCCACTGAGGGAGGAAGAGTCCATTCTCAATGTGTTCTCAGATGAAGTGGTAACAAATGTCGATGTGCTTCAAATGGACATGGTTTTTAGCCTCTTTTGACAGTGAAATGGCTCCAGTGTTGTTGATGTGTAGGACAATTGGGAGAGGAAGTGAGATGTGCAGCTCCGTGAATAACGACTTCAGCCAGATACCCTCCTGGAGGGTGTGCGTCACAGCCATATATTCTGCCTCAGTTGAGGGCAGTGTGTGCATGGTCTGTTTCTTCAAGACATGTGTGATCAGGCCGCCGTGAAGAACCAAGTGTATCCTGAAATGGATAGGCGATCATCAGGTGAGCTTGCCCAGTCAGCGTCACTGTACCCATGGAGGCCCTCATCTGCATGTTCACCCCCAAAGTGCGAATGCAGATTGGCAGTGCCACTCAGATAACAAAGCAGGCACATAGAAATGGGGGGAGGGTCGAGCACAGTGCTGGGCCAAAGCATTCACAGCAAAGGCGATGTCAGCACGCATGCAGACTGTGAGATAGAGTAACTCTCTGACTATCTTTCGATAATGGGTGGGCAGGTTTGGGACATTGTTGTAAGTGGCATCATCGTGGCCGAAGGGATGTTTGGGGTCAAGAGGTAGTTGTACCAGGTTGCAGTCGAGAAGGTCATATTTGTCAAGGAGGTATGTGATGTACTCATCTTGGTGAATCCAGAGATCACGACTGGAGTGATAGTGTTCGAACTGAATGCCGAGGAACTTGTGGATTGGCCCTAGATCTTTGATGCCAAAGTGTTTGGCAATGCTCCCCTTAACATGGGCCAGGAAGGACTTTGAGTTGGAGGTTCCCATGCCATTGTCAATGTATCATCCGACAATGCAGAAGATGTGGCCGGTCCCACTGGTAGTTTTGTCATAAATGAAAACAGCATGATCAATGGCACATCGCGTGAAATCTAGCTCTGCCATAACTCCCCTCACTTGCTCGTACCATTCCATAGCTGACTGCTTCAAGCCATAGATTGTACAGAGCATTAGCCACATGAGTAAGGCCCAATCACCCTCCTCAAATCCTTTGGGCCGATGCATATAGATCTCCTCTTTTAACACCCCCCACAGGAACGCACAATGAGCGTCGAAGGTGTCCAGGTCCCAGTCGTTGCAGCATGCTAAGGTGGCAATGAAGTGAATGGACATGATCTTGATGACTAGGGCGAACATTGCCCCATAGTCAACACCTGGAATTTGAGAAAAACCTTGGGCAACCAAACATGCCTTGTATACCAGTCCTCCCTTATTATCCTCCTTAAACTCTAGCACCCAGTGGTTTCCTATCGCTTTGCAACCCTCCAGCAACTTTGTCAGCTGATAAACACACATCTCCTTCATGATGGCAAGTTCCCCTTCCATCGCTGATAACCACTGCGCACAGTCAGTCCATTTCACCACCTCATTGTATGTTACAGGGGAATGGACATGTCGTAGTCAGGACTGGCAGGATTCCATCTGTGATTGCTTTGCAAAGCGATGTGTGCCTGTTCCTTGATGCAAATATTAGCCTCAACTTCTTGGACGTCAACGTTAGGTTCAACATTGCTAATGTCCTTCGCAGTGCCATCCAAAGGTGGTAAAGTCACCCCCTCAGTGAGAGAGGGTAGAAACTGACCCATTCGTTCTGCGCAAGCCTCTCGCAGGGACTGAAGGTGGCCCTTAGAGGCCGCGATGTCATCTGTGAATGCCTGACCAGCTGGTGTTAGTACTTGTTGGCGAGCGGAGCGACAAGGCAGAACTGCAGGAGGTTGAGGTGCTGATGGAGATGGAAGGGGGACTGCAGGAGGTGGAGGAATTGGAGTAGTTGGTGTCTGACTGATGGGGGCATTATCATCGGAGTCTGACTCAGTGTGAGCAATAGAGGGTAAGTTCTCGTCAAAAATGATGATGCAGGCAACAAAGAAGGTTCCAGAGTCTTTGTTGCATAAGCAGTAGCCCTTGGTGCCCTCTGGGTACCCAACGAAGATCGCGTGGCATGAGTGTGGTCTGAGCTTCACTTGAAGTTCTGAGGGAATCCACGCAAAGCAGCGTGCTCCAAAAATGCGTAAGTGGGAGAGGTCAGGCTTCTGCCCGTTCCATATCTCGAAAGGCGTGATGCCTGGTTCCAGAGTGGTGGACTCACTACAGTTCCATAAGTAACACGCTGTCAATGCAGCCTCCCCCCACAGGGTTGCCGGTAAGCCTGCAGTTTCCAACATGGCGAACAGTCGACCTTCAATAGTATGAAGAGCATGTTCTGCCTTGCTGTTCTGCTGGTGTGAGTATGGCACAGACAGTTCATGCGTGATGCCTGCGGAAATCAAGGCCTGTGTGAAGGAAGCGCCTATGAATTCTCCACCATTATCAGAGCAGAACACCTTGACCCTGCGACCAGACATAACTTCCCAGCACTTCCGGATAGTCTCCCAGGCCTCCAACACTTGATACTTAGTAGCCAGTAGTTGTAGGCTGAGCAAGTTGCTGTAATCGTCAAGAAAAATGATGAAATGATGTTTGCCGTGTGGAGTCACAACTGGGAATGGTCTGCAAAGGTCTGAGTGCACCAGATCAAGGGTATGGGACGCTTGTGGGGAAGTGGAAGATGGGTATGGTTTCTGAGGATGTTTGCCCATTATGCAGGGCTCGCAAGTGTGTAATGGTTGAGTGGGGTCAACTTTTGTGCCAGTGGAAAAATGATGGAGGTGTTTTACTGCTTCACTGCTGGGATGACCAAGTCAGGCATGCCATAAGTTCCATGTCAGGGGAACCTTGGCAAATGCTGAGATCTCAATATGGGGAGTGGGCGTAGATGGGGGAATGAACCTTAAATCCAGGTATACCAGATTTCTCACCAGTGGTACATCACCTAGCTTCTCACCTCAATATGTAAGCTGACAACATGGTGGCTCAGGTAAGAAATGACACCCCATCCTTTTGTCACCATTTGCCCTACTGACAAAAGGTTAACCATTGTGCTGGGGGCATGCAGACATTTGCTGAGGCAAATATGTTGAGTGCATCCATTGACCATGAGGTCTGCAACACAGTCACCTCGCCTGGAAGTGATGAGTTTGCTGTGGTTCACTGTCTTAATCGTGACCTGGGTGCTAGAGTTGTAAGTCCAAAAGTACTTCCTATCCATTATGAGTGTTGACATCATTCCGGAGTCCAGGATGGTTGACAGTACTTGGCTGCTGATGCACGTGATGTCAACCCCTTCTGGCATCGACTCAGGATGGAGTTCTTCTATCATTGCACGGGACCAATCACGATGATGGGTAGAGGAAGTGGCTAAGGCAGATGTTTCAGTGGGTGATGGAGTAGTGGGATTAGCAGCAGGCTTTTCTGTAGCTGTGGCGGTGACTTCTTTCTTCTTGTTACCTTGTTCTGCACGCTGACTCCAGGGAGCCTTTCCCTCCATTCCTCCCCCAGGTTGCAAGCAGTGATCCCGGTCGTGCATCAATGATCTAGGGAGGCCATTGCATGCTGGATTCTCACATGCTACACCCTTCAGATTGTTCCTATGGATGCGCACTCCAGTTGCCAGGTTGACCACCTGTTGTTCATTTGAGCGTTGAGGTGAGTTGGTCACTGCATTAGTGTACTCTGATCCTGGTCTAGCTTGAAGCATCAGCTTCCCATTCTGACAGTTTGCCTCCTCAGTGAAGGACGTTGCCACTTCATTGAAGGTGAGTATAGGCAATGTGACTGAGCCAGAGGTCGATGACGGAGAGATTTTGTAGGCGTTCATGGTGAGGCTGCAAAAAACGACCCACTGAGGTGTATCTGGGAGTCTGTTGAGGAGCTTGAAGATGCTTTCCTCATTGGTGAAGGTCACACCTATTTCAGCAAACTGTCGACAGCCATTCTCGAAGGCCCTGAGGTAGTGTGCTGCATCCTCAGCATCCTTGAGTCTCTCTCTGAAGAGGAGGGCTCGGAGTTCATATTGGGAGGTAATGTCTAGGCGCGCAAAGTGTTTCTGTAGAAGTTCCCATTGCTGACGAGCCGTTAGCTTTTTGCCAAGTATATTCTGGACTACTGGGGAGAGTCTGCGGCCAATGACCACCTTCATTTGCGCATCCTCATTTAGCCATTCCTTGATGCTGACAGCTTCAGCAGCGGTAGGCGTGGTGGGATTGGCTGGGATAGGTATTGTGCTGGCAAACTCAGCGTAGTCTAAAGGATTGGTTCCACTACTACAGTGGTTCCATAATCCCTCTCCAACTAACACAAGTTCTACTGCTCGTTGCCAGCTCGGATAATTGTCCGAACCTGTTAATTCAGGAATATGTTTGAACTTTCCCATTGTTCGCAATGAGGTTCTGTGCTTTATTAAAAGTGAGTGTACTCATCACTTCATCTATTGTTTTGAGCTGATTAGAGCTCAGGGCTCATAACCTGTAGGTGCTAGCGAGAACGAGTGCTCAGTAAAGTCAGGAAAACAATACTGAGGTGTTAGTGAGGAGCATGACAGTGTATATACCTGCAGGAGATGCTTAGGTAATGTAGTACTGGAGGATCGACGAGCGGAAGTGCCATACGGCACAGAAGTCAAGAACTAACGAACAGTGTGGTGTGCCTTTGACATTCAGGATGTCCTGTGACGTGTCTCTTGAGACCTTCGCATGTTGTTGTTACCTTGCCGCAGAATACACAGTGAGGTATGGTTTGTAGAGGCATGGTTTGTCCGTCCAGTGCTCTGTCATTACTGCAACTACTTACTAGTACCGTTGATGCCACAACACACAACACTACATGACCCCACACACCAACACAACCCACTGAGGCAACATTTCATTTTTCACTGCCCTCACCCTGAGCTCTCACCATCAATGGTAAAATTTTCTTCCAAGAACCTACAAGATTGCCTGCCGCCTTCGATGGTCAAACCGCCCTCCACCATTGATGGTAAAATTTTCTTCTAAGAACCCACAAGATTGCCTGCAACCTACATGTGCACCATCATTCTTGTCTGAATTACAACTGACTAAACTGACTAAACTAGGGTAGGGTGCTTATCGTCAGCCCTGGCAACACCACCCACTAGGGCAGGGCACTTATCATTAGCCCTGGCAACACTGCCGTTGATGGTAAAATTTTCTTCTAGGAATGATTGCCTACCGCCTTTGATGGTCAAACCACAGTCAATGGTAAAAAAATTTTCTAGGAACCCACAAGATTGCCTACCGCCTTCGATGGTCAAACTGCCATCAATGGTAAAACCGCCATCAGTGGTAAAACCGCCATCAGTGGTAAAACCGCCATCAGTGGTAAAACCGCCATCAGTGGTAAAACCGCCATCAGTGGTAAAACCGCCATCAGTGGTAAAACCGCCATCAGTGGTAAAACCGCCATCAGTGGTAAAACCGCCATCAGTGGTAAAACCGCCATCAGTGGTAAAACCGCCATCAGTGGTAAAACCGCCATCAGTGGTAAAACCGCCATCAGTGGTAAAACCGCCATCAGTGGTAAAACCGCCATCAGTGGTAAAACCGCCATCAGTGGTAAAACCGCCATCAGTGGTAAAACCGCCATCAGTGGTAAAATTTTCTTCTAAGAACCCACAAGATTGCCTGCTGCCCTCAATGGTCAAACCGCCCTCCACCATTGATGGTAAAATTTTCTTCTAAGAACCCACAAGATTGCCTGGTGCCTACATGTGTGCCATCATTCTTGCCTGAATTACAACTGATAAAACTGACTAAACTAGAGTAGTGATGCCATGAGCTGCAAGTAGCAGCTCCAACAATTGGACTTTGCATGCCTCCTCGCAATGCTTCTTCTCTACGTTCCAATGCAAAACTATCATCTCCCGCACAAAGGTTTGGTGAGTATTAGGACCCTGGATGCGCTCTAAGAGTTGTGCTTTGCATGCCTCTTCACAGTGCCTTATCTCAGCATCCCAGTGTTCTAATATAAGTGTTTGAAGGTAAGTCTGAGATGCTTGGATGGGTCCAGGTGTTTGACGAAATGGTGGCAATTGATACAGGACCTCAGGACCCCCATTGGCCTGCCCTGGAGTATGAACCACATGAAAGGGACGACTTGGAGGAGCAACAGCCCTGCTAAGGCATCAGCATCTGTTATCGCCTATAGTCGAGTATCCTACCTTTGTACAACTTTGGTATCCATCTCTGGGTTAAAATAAAAGTCGATCTGTCCCTCTTATGCTGTTATATTGACGCCGCTCAGTTAGATGAAACTTTAACATTCAAGTCAACAAAACTCAAAAATTGTTTGTTGATTGCACACCGCAGCAGGGTTTTAAAGGCATGTCTGTCTATTATTTTGTTGTCATTGTTACTTACCTATAATCATGGCGGCGAAAGCAAACTCGAAGAATCCGGCCAAAAAGTCAATTTTGAAGGTGCAGGAGGACCTATGCACTGAGATGGAGTCAACTGCAGGATGCACTGCAAGCAGTCAGAAACACTGACCAACTGAACGAGAGACTTACAGACATAAGTAGGACTTAGCTTGATGTTCCTGCTCAATGTGTCTGACACACTTCTGCTCAACAGTCTCATAATCTCATCAAGGAGAAGACCGCCACAAAGACTTACAGGCAAAGACGGAGAAACATAAATTGAAGGCTTTGCGTGCTGCATACCAAAAAAATCCCGAAGAGTTCAACACTGAGCCCACTGAGCTGCACAGCAATATTGACAGGGATGAAGAAAACATGGTCAGTATCGTGTCTCATTCTCCTGGGTGCCGCATTGCTCACAACATGGTAGTTCTTAGATCACTCTGTACACACTAAGGTATCTATGCAGTGTGCACTCATGTTCAGTGCAAGCAAAACTCCTCCAGTTGTCTCAGCTCCGAAGTCTTTCTCACCTACCAGTAAGCCACACAAAGGTACTGTAGCTTAAGTTATGTACATCTCCAACACTAACACACATTTGTCAGCTTCTGTGACTGTTGCAAGACCCACAACGCTCAGTGGTGACAGCAGCAGTGATGACACTGAGAGCGAGGATCACAGTGACAGCGACTCCTCACCACTGGTTGTCAGGACCAAGTGCCAACTGCAAGACACTGCTGTTGAAGAAACCAGGCCAAAAATCATGAAAGCATTAAATGGATCACACCAACAATTGAAGGCTAGTGATTTTGACGAGCTCACTAAGGATTTGCTTGCTACTGCAATATCTATCTATTGCTGTCTAATCGTAACACAAGATTTCTTTCCTGAAACACTTATTGTTGAGATGAAGCTGGCCAAGGAGGCATGGCGTGAGGCATCTAACTTAGCAGACCTAATGGTTCAACTCACTCCTTCGCTGGTCAAGATGGTAAGTAGTCCCTTTGTAATATCCTACCCTGATTGATGTTATATGTTGTGCAGATGACAAGGCGCACTTCACATGTGCATGAGGAACTCAAAACCAAAATGCGGACACTCATGGCATCATTCTTTGGCTTCCGCACAAGTCAATCAACAGTGGGCATTAAACAAAATTGTGACCTGGCAGAATCACTGAAGGATGGATTGTGCTTTGTTTTTAAGGTGTGTTACTCATTTCAACTTGGTCCACCATTGGTGAATGTCTGACTGGCAGAGTAACAGGACTGGGAGATGAAACGTGGCATTTACAAAATGGAATTGATACAGTCAGCAGTGAATGACATGTGGTTTATGAACCGCAGTGATGAGGGTGTTATTCACAGTAAATATTTCGAGCCTTTACTAGTTGAAATTATTGCGCTTATACTCATGGCTGTGAGTGTGTTCAAACAATCCAGTATTGATGTCGCAACTGACTTGTGAGATCTGACAGATCGAATGTTGCATCAATGAGTGGATAACCGGAGTCAAGGAAGACATTAAATTCTTGGCAGCTACCTATTCTCCCATCTACCAGGTTCACCTCAGCTTCTTGCAGTGCTTTGACAAGCATACTTCTGCTTACAAACTACTTGGTAAAATCACTGACACTATCCTTGATGTTGCTCGGTACGTTCCTAACCACTGTTGTTCATTATTGTGACTGATGTTGTTGGGAAGACTCCATGCTGGTGTGAATACACTCCAGGCAGCTCAGGCTACTCCCACTGGCTTCACCGATAATATATTCAATGATGCGATTCGAGAGTATGAGCAGGAGACTACAAAAGCATGAAAGGGGAGGTGCAAGATCATGGAAGTGTAGAAGCAGGTGATAATTGGCCTTTCATGAGGCTGCTGTGTCAATATCTTGGGTACTATATACATTTTTGTGTGCTATGCGCTAAATTATATTCAGTTTTGTTGATTTCGGTCAGTGGCATAGATCAGTTCCTGTAGCTCAAAAAAGCGAAACGAAGGTCCTATGAGCATTAGTTATTGCAGCCTGTAGATAGCTACAGTCAAAAGCAAAATGACTACAAGGTCCTACTAGTGTTGGTTATTGCAGCCTGTAGCTTGCTACGACAAGCTATGGTCAAAAGCGAAACGACTACAAGGTCTTACTAGTGTCAGTTATTGCAACCTGTAGCTTGCTACGACAAGCTACAAGTGGTTCCCATAGCACTATATAGTGAGTCATGTGCCTATGTAGCTGCATGTAGAAGGGACTTGACACATTGCACTACAGGTACTACAGCGACTATATAGTACCCTGTAGTCAAGGGTATTTTTTCTGATGTTGAAGGCCTCAAGATACGCTGTGAGGCTCTTGACATCCCTCCACCTGAAGTATTTGTTGCCGACAACTGCTGCCATGTCTGCAGCGCTGTGAATGTTGTCTTCCCGGATGCTACCATGAAGCTTGATGTCTGGCATTTCATTATGAGGCAAGTACATTTTCCTTTGCCTCTAACAATCTACAAGCTAATTCTAAGCAAGGTATGCAACTGTAATCCTTAATCCCTCCAAGAATCCCCACCGGAAAGAGGTAATTGCGGAAATCTTGGCCTGTATCCTGCAGACACATGCTGAAGGCAGGAATCCTGCGAAGTACTGGGATCAAACGGAGCAGGAGACAAGACTCACCTCAGCATTTGAGAGATGGGCATGCGAAGGCACAGTTTGGTCAGCAGGGGCATGCAGAGTGAGTACTTGTCCCATGAAATACTATTTCACGCTAACATCAATGTCAGGTTCATGAGGAACAGCTCAAACATGTATGGAAAGGCTGCCTTGAACGTCAGCAGGACATACGAACAGATGGAAGCCATGTGGAGGGGTCTCACAAAGGCTGGAACTCACTCCAGCATGCACACATGAGCAGTATTGTGACCTTCACAAGCCTTTGCTACGACTTCGTTCTTCAATGAAACATTCATGTTGCCTTTTCAAGGGCAAGAAAATCAGACTTCATTGCGTCAACTCATGGCTCTCATCATGTTCACCTCGTCAACAGGATTGCGAAGCAATTCAACTACCTCTGGCTTGAAGAAAAGGCTACCAGCACATGTTGCCTGCCAGAGCTCATTGAAACCCTGTCTGAGGAACATTTTGGGCTTGTTGAATCAAGTTTTGTGTCTACATTTGGTGGGCTACTGGATGTCAAGGCCGAAGAGTCACCAGTGGAGCTTGATATGACTGGCCCAAAGTTGCTTGAGGCACTCAGTGGCAAAGGCGATGCACTTGACCTTGCCCTGCAGTCTGCAAGGTTCGATATACTTGAGGAACTTGACATTGACCCACAGCTTCTTTCCCAACCTCAGGTGCCCTTTGATGTGCAGCTGCTGTCATTGTCCTGCCCTCCTGCAACCACTGCAATCCCCACAACCACAGTGGCAGAAGTTGCTGACACTAGCAAGGCCCAGTCTCATTTGGCCGTCATCATGGCAAATGCTCAGCTACAACCGATAATGAAGCGCAAGGCAGATGACATCATCATCATCTCAGAAAATGAGTCTGAAGATGCTGACCAACCCAGGGCAGCAGCATGCAAGCCACCCTGCAAAATCATGTGGCATATGACCACCACTACTGGTGGTGATACTCCAGAAGTCACTACATCACTGTCAACTCAGGTAAGCCCACTCTTCCTCTTCAACAATCCTCCTTCTATCAATGACTCATCTTACGAAAAATACACAGCCTTGTATGAAAAACTTCATTTTCCTTGCAGTCTCCCTTCTACTGATACCTACTTCCCTCTTCTACCAACAACTCATCTTACAAAAATACATGGCCTCTACCTCCCTCTTCCTCTTCTACCAATGACTCATCTTACGAAAAATACATGGTTTCATATGAAAAACTTCATTTTACTCCCATTCTCCCTCCTATTAATACCTACCTCCCTCTTCCTCTTCTACCAATGACTCATCTTACGAAAAATTCACAGCCTCACATGAAAAACTTCATTTTCCTCCCATTCTCCCTTCCATTATACCTACCTCTGATCCGCATTGCAGGGGATTTCTCCAGTCACACTGGACCACTACCTCAAACCAAGAAGCCAGCTGCCATACTGCAAAGTTCTCTCACAATGACCATCAGATGCTTTTGAGCAACTATCGGATGAAGGGCGAAAGGACAGATCAAAATGAGAGTGCTATAACAAGGGTATGTAAGTACTCAGTCTTGAGAGTCGAAAGACTCAGAGACTACTAGCTGACCTATAACGAGAGTATGTAAGTACTATAGTAGTCAGTATCGTAGTAAATGAATGTAATGAATGGTATCATACCTCAGTCTCGAGAGTCGAAAGACTGAGGTGTATGAAGGCATTGAAAACTTCTGATGTACGGTAAAATGATTATGTAAGCTTACTCGACAATAACAATAGTAAAGTCCTTATCGATCAACAACTTTCAACAGATGCCAGTGCCAGCACTCAGTGTCAACTTCCTGCAGTCATACCCAGCTCCATTCCTCCAAACCCAGTTGCAGTGATCAGTCCTGCTGGTACTACCACTCTCGCACCCATTCTGAGGCCTCCAGGGATGACCCGTTCTCAACACTTCTTCACCATTGCAACAAGAATTGATGCCCACGCCATGCAAATCTCTGGCAATACTGAGTTCCACTTGTTCATGGACATGCGAGCTGAGTTTGCATGGATCTCCTTCAAGATGATGCCCAAACAGTGGGTTGTAGCTACTGAGACCTACAATAACCATCTCAAGGAGAAGAATCATGCTAATGGGCTCGAAACAGTGAAGAAGAACCCTTAGGCCCTTCTCCGAAAGCTTGGTGAGATCGAGGTGGCCATGATGAACTGTGTGGCAAAGAGTGAGTTCAAATGTGAGTTCAACTGCTTCACACAATGGGCATTTTTTTATGTGCTAACTACTTGTACAATACAGCATGTTCTGGTTCAGAAACCTTCTGGAGAAGCACTGTCAATGTTACAAGAACATCTAGACGCTTGGGCCCCTACCATTTTTCTCCTAATCCTCCTCGTATCAGCCCTTGCATCATACCCTTACCCCGACCTTACCCTGGTCATCCTTGTCATCCTCGCATTCCCTTTCGCTCTCTACCTATCGCTTCAGCAGAGCCAGTACATCTGGCCGGATCCTTTCGCTGACGAAGCATACCCATGCTCTGTTCCACCACCTGACTGATCCTGTGGATAGTCCCCTTGCCCTTACCGTCCAGACGGTAACCTATGATATAATGCACGACGCATCCCCTTTGCCCTTTTCCCTTTCCTGATCTCTGACTCAGTGCGCAAGTCGCACATTCGACTTATAGATAGCTCCGCAGCTGCACGATCGTGCCCCTGCACGTTTCACTTCTTATTTCGACCTTTGACTCACTTTCTTATCCAGCACGTTCTGCCTCGCCCGTGTCTCAATATGAATGTGCCTTCCTTTTATGGTTATCCCTTTTACCGATTGCTTCTCTTGGTAGTACAAGTTATCATCCACTAATACTTCTCCTGTCCTCTATATAAACTCGCTACCATGTACTATATTCCCTAACTTGAATCTACTTGGTTCTTGACCTCCTACTCTCACCAGAGTGATCCTTTCTGCCTCGCCAGCAGTCTATATTCTATCCTCTTATCTGCACTTCGCAGATAAGCCTATAGTCTCGATCTTTACTCATCGACTTCATCGACGAGCAAAGCCCCTGTTAACTAGTCAGACTTCTGTCCTTCTAATTAACGACGATCTTACGATTAACCTTCGGGTGTCATAAGCCTAGGCCGATATAGCTTATCGTCTCGCACCCGCTTGACATAAGCTACCCGATTTGGACATAGGCGTCAAATCTTACTTGCCGAAGCCTCGCCAAGTAAGACCCCTAACCTTGGGCTAGCCCAAGGACGTCCTCGACCGTTGACGACACAAGCTCTGTTTGAGCGTCGCCAACAGATACCATCCAAGTCGTAACAGTCAAGCTATTGAGCTCATCAAGGCTGAGCCTGGGAAGAAGGTGCTCATTGCTTTCTTGAAAGATTTCGTGTTTGCTCACTCTCTAGTATCTACCCTTGCTTCCCAGATTTGCAAGGCACACACATGCTCCTGCTGCAAGACCATTATGTACCCCAGTCCCAAGAACTTGGGGTACAGCCATCAATGGGGCTTTTGTGCTGATGGCGCCAAGCAGGTGTCCAAAAACAAGCTGCCTCCACCTCGGCCACAGCCACTAGGCATATTCTCTGAAGGCAAGCACTTCCATCTACGCGCCTTCCTCGAAACTGTCAAGCAAATCTATGAGCAAGTGTTCCTACGGGGTGAAAGCCCTGCCCTTGAACAGGAGGCATTTGCGACCATGCTGCTGGACCAATCAACAACACTCAAATCAGGGACTGTGTTGTTTAAGTTGTATGAGGAACTCAAGATTGATGGAACGACACCGGATGTGCTGCTCACTGTGCACAATGGTGTCAAGCACCTTCGTGTCAAGTATCTCCAGGAGCACTGGGCCACCTTGTAGTATTTTTTTAAAAACCTTCATTCCAATTCATGCTATTGACACTTGTCTCATCCTCATTTTTCTTAGCATTTTTCACTACCCTAATGTCCACATTTTGTACATACATTGACTTCTTCTCGCCTCCATCTGTCCCCATCCTCCACTTCGCACCATTCTCTCCCTGTTCCGCACAATAGCTAGTGTTGTGTCCTCCTTCCTCTGTTTTTTCAACAAATGTGTCGGAAATTTCCAAAGGTGCCTTGCAAGGGACCCCTCTTGAGGTTAATTGAGGGGTTGCAAGAGCACCTGAAAATTTTCCAAGTTAATTGGAAAGAACTTGCAAGTGTGTTGCAAGGGGCTTGCAAGGAGCTGTAAATGAAGCTTTTGTCAAGATTTGTCCCTAACCTATCCCTAAATGAGGTTGCAATCAGCTTCCAAGTGTCAATTTAGCCTTGCTTACAATTTTTTTGGGTCTGCTTTCAAGGCACTTCAAATGGGCTCAGTCAATTGAGGACTTACAATGCCCTATAAGGCATGCCAACCAAAAATAACTTTTTCCGACATGTCACATGACTTTCAAATTTAAGGAGGCATTCAAAATGCCAGAGTAGTCAAAACGGCTCCTCCTTGTGCCGAGGAGCCGACTATTATTGATGACTAATAGTAAAGCAGCACAGATAAGTACAAGAGCCCCAGGCCAAGATGAAAAGATGAAGTATGCTTGCTATAAGACTATATAAAGGGAGGGATAGGGAGGGAAGAAGATAAAAGAATTCAGGTAAAAGAAAACAAAGAAATAAAGTAATAATACATTGATGCACGCGCGAGAATTATATACTAGCATCACCGAAAGGCGGATCATGCAGAGGACGCCCGTGAAAGAGCATTGTTTGCAGAAGTGTCGGATTTTTTCATACATATCTCTCCCAAGTGCCAGAGGTCCAGCGACCAATGGCACAAATACCTTCAGGCGACATTCCAGCTGCAGCGAGAGAGGTAGCACCTCCGGCTCACATGGAATGACCCAAGTAGGAAGAAGGAAAGAATCGACGAAAACGGTGCATGAACCACGACCGAGTAGGAACACACCCATTGTCTTTTAACCAAAGACATGGATTTAAAGGGAATTTTGAGTCGCAGGAAGCAAGGAATCGCGTAATGATAGGCAAAGGGTCAGAGCCAGCAGAGACATGCTGGATGACAACCAAATTACCTTCATCCCACGCATCCATCTTGTCCCGCTGCACTAAGAATGTGAAATCGGACGTTGAGACTGTGACTGAGGTGCGAAGGGTGAATTTTGCAAAGTCCTTCAAAGAAGGATCATCTGGTGCAATGAGTTCTCCTAGACGCAAAAGACCATAGAATCCACAATGAAGTTGCGTGATCCAAAGTAAATCATCATGTGTCAATAGATGAACTAGGGAGTTAAAGACACAGAGTAAGTCATCTCTAAGAAGAGGCTGCTTGCAGAGTAGTGGACACCCAAGAGAGTGCAGTGCTCCGTCTAATGTACGCCGAACGAGCAACGAGTGTCGAGCTTTGCAAACAGTCAGGGAAATGAGGCTTGAGTTGACTGACAATTCCCAAAAGATAAGCTTCAACAGAGCGTGCCTGGATATGGTGAGACATGAAGGTGACAAAATAGGATAAAGTGTCGGGCATAGGTTTGATAGGCAAGTGATGGAGTTCGCAGAATGTAAGATATGAGTTGAGATGAGAAGAGTATGCGTGAAAGGTACTGGGATCCAAAGCAAGACCGAGGAGAATTGAACACTCATGAATAAGGTGTTCAATCAACCAAGCTGCCCTTGAGGGCTGCTTGGCCTTTGATGAGATGGAAATCATTGTTTGGCAACCCCCAGCGTATTCTGAGGGGGTAGAAAAGGTTGGATAACGAGTCCAGGAGAGGCTGAGCAAGCCTTGTCATTCTTCCAGTGCGATAAATGGTCAGCTACAATGTTGCAAACTCCAGGCATGAAAAAGACCCTAAAGTCAAGCTCACTAGCCAGTATTGCATCCACAGCTGTCATAAGCAGCCAATTATAGGGAGGTAACACAGCTAGGGAGTTGAACATAGAAACCGTGTTGAGATTATCCATGAAAATCACGAAACGTTGACCAGGAGCAAGGCGTGAGATGGCATCAAATAATGCGGCTGTGACAGCAAGAGCTTCATAATAGAATATTGTGCCCGTGGGCGCCAATCCTGGCAAAGGCGACTGGAATCCAAGATTGAGAGTAGGGAACCAGTAAGCCATTCCAGATCCTGATGCATCAGTATACACTTGCAACACTTCATCAGGAAGGTGCGAGAAGTTCCATGAAACCAACTTGAAGAAAAATACTCCTTCAGCCATGCGCAAATGATGAACAATCCATAAGAGCTCCCGGACAACATCACGGTTTACCCATATGAGTGCTTTTGAGAAAAGCTTCCCGGCAGTTTTAGCATATAGAGCCGATAGGCCGGGTCTGAGCAAGGGATAGATGTTTAATGCCCAGTTCAACCATCCAGCCAAACATTGAAAATCCCGAAGAGAGCGACGAGATCCTCGCTGAGCAAAGTCATTTAACTTTTGAATGAGACGGTTGCGAGAGTCCAAAGACATGTAGGCACGCATGAGGTTAGGGCAACATCAAAACCGATGATGGGGAGTTCAAGACTGAAGATTTGTTTCTTTTCCTCATGCAGGAGTCCTATAGTGTCCCAGAGACGAAGTAACTTTACCATGTTGGCAGGGAGTAGTTTCTGGTGAGGGTAGAATACGAGACTTTGCTTATCCTCGAATGAGAAAGAGTCATCCACATAAATATACAGAAAGTGAATGAGAATCTTGAAGACCGCAATCCAAATGACTAATGACATGAAGGTGTGATAAATTTGTTGAGACGCTCGGCCTCCAAATACATTCCTGTGGTCAACATAATGCCGATTCCCGAAACTCACAATCTGTTTTATCTGCCAAAGCGGGTGCATGGGCATATGGCGGTAAGCCTCAGAAACATCTGCCTTCCAAAGATGGAGTTGAGTGTATGGCCACTGATGCCTAAACACCCAAAGTCCATTTGCAAGATCGTGGACGTTATCGAGAGTGACTCCCGCAATATCTTCAGGTGAGATCATCGAGTTTAAAGCGAATTTTCCAGTGCTGTGATCTGTGACCAGCCAGTGCTTATTGGTACCTGGCTTAGGCACAGCATGAATTGGCATGCTGTACATTCTGGGTAGCAGACCTGGTCCGAATGGCTTAGAATAACGCTCTACCTCGACTTCCTTATCAATCTGAGCTTGAAGAAAATCTCTCTCCTTGTTCGTCTTAGGAGGCCTATCGGAATTGTCGAAAACAAGAGGCCATTCGTCTGGATGAGTGTCAGCGAAAGGCCAAAAACCTTTGCGAAGGCCCGTAATAACTGAATGTACGAATGGCTGATTAGGATGATCTGACAATAAGGACTCGAAGACAGTCGATTTTGATAGGAGTAGATACATTGAATAAGGAAGGGTTATCCTTGATGGTCTCGAGTGCCGTATGATTAAGAAACTCTTGAGAAGGTGGACATGGTAATGGCTCAGCAGACTCGGGTCCACAGAGCTGTTCGACTACAACCCAACATACCACCTCCCCATACACCCTTTCGTTTAAACTTCTGGCCTGCGAGTGATTTTCTCATTTAGTTCCACCTCGGTTCAGACACTCTGATTTCCGATGGGCTCCTCGACAACCTCTCCTGTCACAGCAGTGCGTAAACCTGCACTCACCCTCCGACTTCTGACAGGTGCCTCGATTCCATTTATGACAGGGATCATCCCTTCCTCCCGCTCCTTCTCTCCGATTCGCTCTGCCCCCGACATTAGATGAGGATGAGGCGGAATTGGAACCAATGCCAAAGGAGGTGAGGAAGGTCGTTTGTAAGTGCTCAAATTGGGGTTTAATCAGTGAGGCATAAGTTTCACTACATGGCCACTTGGTTTCTGACTGAACGGTCGAATTCAATGACTTGGGAGTGTAGCTGGATTTCCATTGCATGGAACAATTGGCTAAGGTAGGTGTTATACTGAATGAATTCATCTCGACACTGGGGGAAAACAAATGAGATGGCCTCAATATACATCAAGAAGGCAATGTTGTGATCTGACAATGTTTTGATCCCTCCCGAGGATTTTGATACCCTGAGTGCAAGTTCGATTTCATCATCAATGACGTGTGTCTTCTTGGGATCCAGCTCGGTCATATGGGCCGAGTCGAGGACTTTCCCAAGGTTGACGTATTTCCACTTAACGATGTTGAGTCATTCACTTGGAGGGAAAGGCAGACATCCTGGGGTTGATAGGATGTTGCTGACAATGCCTTTGGGATCGGCAACGAAATTGTCGAGTTGCTGGTATGTTTCTCTGATATCCTCAGGTAGAGTGGCAAGCGCTGATGAGCATTTGTGGGCCCAGGGAAACTTTCTGGTGTCAATGGTTTTTGAACGCTTTGAACTGGGCTCATCCTCATCCTCTGAAGAAGAACCGGTTCTTGATCCCCTCTTTCCAGCTTCACTCTCTTCTCCAAAGTGACTTCCCCTATCCGATCTATCAACTTCCTCTTGCTCGGAAGACTCATCGTGTTGATGTCCTCGATCCAAGGCTCGAGCCCTTGAGTTGTCGATGTCATTGAGCATCCCGATGAACACTTCGAGTGCTTCATCAAGACTGTGCCTGTTTCCGATAGCGGAGGAAGAAAGGAGAAGTTCTCTGATTTTGAGGATGATGGTAGCTTTACCGGATTGTTGCATTCGATATCTGTTAATGAGCTCGCTGCATTGCTGGACGCAACTAAGGTCAAATGGACCCTCTGAAACTTGCTCTGTCAACATTGCAGTTTGAGTGGTTTCTCCATTTTCAGACATGAAGAAAGCTTGTAAGAGTTTGTGATGTAACGAAGTTATTAAGTGCTCTAAATATGCTAGTAATGCAACGGTAAAGGTCAGAAAGAGGGCCTGACACTAAATACTGACTGTCCAGCATACCTAGCAAGGTGATGGTAAAGGTCAGAAAGAGGGCAGGCCTCTATTGCCGACGAGTCACCTGCTAAGTAAGCTCATACTCTGCGATAGGAGCAACTGAGACCTAAGGCTAGGTCCAGACATGTGAAATAGAAGCACACCAGTTACGGCTACCAACAACCGGCGCAGAATTCATGCCCACCGAAGTGGAAATATTTGAGACAAACTCAAACAAATAAAGGTCAACGTCGTTCGCAACGACGCAAGGAAAACCTGCGACCCATTAGCTTAGTATAAAATAAATTACACCCAACAAATGGTCCTTCACGTGCACGACCATTTTGGCGTCACGTGAGACCAAAAATGGTCCATCCCTTCGCATGGCGAAGTTGCCTTTTACACCTGCGGTAAAATGAGGCAATAAAACTGACTTAGCATGTACAAGAGGCTTGTATTAAATGTACTTAGGTGTACAGTGATGTTTTACCATTGAAATATGAGAGATACAGGAGACACATATAAGACTTTAGACTTGTAGTGATCATGATTAATCTATGCGATAACTTCGATTCATCTCTCGAAGTTAACGAAGCGAAGCGAAGTCACTTCACTTCGACTGCAACAAGGCTACTACTAAGTCGGGTTCTGATCAGGACACTATTTACTTGCGGCCTCCTGACTTCTGCTGGCTTTTAATGACCTTCTTGACAATCTTTGCCTCCTCTACAAGGAATGCTCGTAGAATTCTATTCACACAGTTTAGATAAAAAAAAAAAAGATGAGGCGATTTAGGAACGCACCGCGACTTGACACAGTCTCCGCATCGCGAGCCACCATAGGCCCTGCACACAGTCTTTTGGCGCTTTGAAATCGTTGCATATTGGCGGGGGCGGAGAGCAGGGACCTATAACCACATACAAAGAATCAAAGTCAAATTCCATCCAACAGTTTATTCAAAAGAGACATACACCAGGAAGACCAATACCGCAATCACCGCATTTCGGCTGAGTAGCAAGTTTCTTGAGGTGGTGGTATACGAGTTTTCCACCTGGGGTCTTTACGATGCGTCTGCGGCTTGAGGTGGTGTTGTAGGGTTGACGTTTTCGGAGGGTGACGCGTTGAGCCATTTGGGGAGCTGTTGATAGGGTTTCGTTAGTGAATGCTGTCAAGGCTTTCTTTTCCGATTTTGCTGGCGACTTCCTCGTGGACTCACATTATTTGAGCCTGTGTCAGTATTAACATCATTTTGTGGTTAGATAGCGATGAGACGTACCTTGAAGAGAGGTCTTGAGGTCGTTTGGGCCGCTTCAATACACCAGTTCCAACGGAGGGTTGTGGCTGATTGCTGATATACAGTACCTCGGCAATCTCCGGCTGGTCTGCATTGGCGCCAAGTCACAGTGCTTCCAGCAATGTCACGGTGCGGAGTTACTTGCAGTCATTCGCGATTCAAGTAGTAGGTGCGGTACATACTAAGCTAAGCCCCACTACTACTCGTTAAAATGCCCGCAAAGACGGTGATTTCATCCTGCACACCAGCCTCGTAGCATTCACAGCCCTCTTTCTACCCCAGACATCTCTCTTACTCTGGTCATCGCTCGCAGATTACGACCATCCAGAAACACAATTTAAAGACGCACTGACAGATAACCCGGTCGTCACGCTCGCTTGGATCATCATAGGACTGGTAGTTCTTCAAGTATGGTGGGCGGGCTGGATCAGGCATTGGTGTTTCGAGCGATCAGATTAAATTGGATAGATATCAGTTCGATCGGGGGAAATTCTCGGTGTGTCTGCTTCCTCGTAGTTCGAATTCAAATTTCACATCTTCTCTTAGAAATTAGGAAGAGCGGCTGTCTTCACTTCATGTATAGCCTTGGTGTTTTACCAACTATAGTATTGTTTGGTGCACCGTCTGCAAGGTAAACGATTGATGCATCCCATGAAATTTGTGCTGATCGTATTATGGAAAGTCACATCCCTCATACATTCTTGCTGGCAATCGTTCTAGCACTACTATCCACATTCGCACCAGCTTATGCAATGGGCCACCCCTCCTTCTCTTCCGACACTTCGTCCTTCATCACCAGACTTAACTGGACACGTTTATTCGCCGAGCTTTCGTGGGTTAATTCGACTTTTTCCCGCTCCATTATACATAGCCTCGTCGTAAATGAAGCTAGGAAACTTGCTGGCGGTGATGCGCATGTGGCCTTCTTTCACTCCATCCATAAACGGCCTGATACAAAGTCTACTAAGCAATGTATTGGAAGAGCTTTGCAACTTACTGTAGGTCCGCATCAAATTCCTCAAGGCGCCGCATGGGGCACAGAAGTCTTGCAGTTTGAGGGTGGTTCCATCCATAAGGTCCTGTCGTAACTACGCCTACCGTGACAGCGTGATGACAGCGTTACCGATCATGGAATTTAGTCGTTCGTCGTACAATCACTGCGGAAACGAGAATTTAGCTCTACAGGGTTAAGGTAGAAGTAGCGATGGTAAATATACCATAACCAGAGAATGCCCAAAATGACAGGCACACAAGCTCCAACCATCGAAAGGCGCTCTGAGAACTGCACGATGACCCAAAGCCGATTGTACACCAACAGCCTGGTCTATCGTGCGTCACTTTCACCGATTGCCCTAGTGTCCATGGCTGTAGCCTGCCTCAACAAGCTGGCTTTCTATTCACATAACAGACAATGGCACGCTTCACGGTCGTGTGATCTAAGCCATTCGCATCTCAGGTTACCATCGTTCCCAGTGTATTTCGTAGCTCAAAGGCTTATCTCCACGCATCTGGAAAATTCGGTCTCGTCTTCTGTAAGGGTGGAATTGATATGGGTGAAAGGAGATATGCCTCGCGTCCATACTATGCACCAAGGTGACATAAAGCCAAGACACGCACCTTTTAATGTCCACCACGGTGCTACCCTAATGCAGATGGAACGTCTTCTCGGTGCTAGTTATCGAGTGCGTGCATACTAGGCGGAAGCTTGGGGACATCATTGTAGAGGCCTGCTGGCGCTCGGCCTTCCACTCCGGGTGTGCTTCCTTCGCCACGTTTTCTTATCATCTGTCGTCGAATGTTAATGGCCGTTAAACTTGCCTGTTTGTCGAGTGGACGTACAAAAAGCAGCTCAACTATTACATTTGAAGGGTGTTTTTAATTGATGAAAGAGTGAAATCGTGTTATGAAGCGATGGTCGAACCTAGTCTTGGAATGGCATTCGGTCAACCCACGACGGCAACGTTGAAAATCGCTTCCCCGTCACTAACTCCACTCTCTCCTTGAAGTCAACAGCGTACTTAAGCGAGCCCCAATATCAATTCAGTACAGTCCTTCTCTCGATCCAAAAATTACAATGCCTAGAGTCCAACAAATTTGCTGCAGTAAGTCCTTTGGTGGCCCATCTCCTATCACTGCTCGTCGCTCATTTATCACGTCCAGTCGGTGCTGGATACGTCGGTAAGCTGCTGCTTCACAGCATCGCCGATCGCTTTGAATACCTTGAGTTTACATCTGCTTTGCAGGCGGTCCAACCTGCGCCGTGATCGCACTAAAATGCCCTCACATTCGTGTTACCATCGTTGATTTAAATCAAGCCCGCATCAATGCCTGGAACTCTCCAGACTTCAACCTGCCCATATATGAGCCTGGTCTGGAGGATGTCGTTCGCCAGGCTCGCGGACGCAATCTCTTCTTCAGCACCGATGTCGATAAAGGCATCCGGGACGCAGACCTCATTTTCGTATCCGTGAACACTCCAACCAAAAAGAGCGGTGTCGGTGCTGGCTTTGCTGCAGACTTGAAGTCAGTTTTCGATTTTTTCCCCTTCACTGCATCTGTCCTCCCCTTATATGGCCGTGTGCTGATGAACTGTATCTCAGCTACGTCGAGCTCGCCACTCGGCGCATCGCAGCTACGGCGACGTCATCAAAGATCGTCGTCGAGAAATCTACCGTACCTTGCAGAACTGCGGAGTCGATGCGCACCATACTCGATGCCAACAGCAAGCCCAACGCACGCTTCGATATTCTCTCCAACCCTGAGTTCCTCGCTGAGGGAACCGCCATCGATGATCTCTTTGCTCCTGATCGCGTGCTCATCGGCTCTTTGCAGACACCGGAGGGCAAAGAGGCCTGTGCGGCGCTCTCCGAAGTTTATCAGAATTGGGTACCGTGAGTGTATCCATTACATTGCGGAGCCTGATGATGTGCTGACCGACTATACAGCAAAGAAAGGATTTTGACTGTCGGCCTGTGGTCTTCTGAGCTCTCGAAGTTGGCTGCGAACGCCATGCTTGCGCAGCGCATCAGCTCCATCAACGCCCTTTCCGCCATCTGTGAAGCCACAGGCGCCAACATCGCCGAGGTCGCTCACTCAATCGGACAGGACTCACGCATTGGCCCGAAATTCCTTCGTGCATCCGTTGGTTTCGGAGGTAGCTGCTTCCAGAAGGATATTCTCAACCTCGTCTACCTATCAGAGAGTCTCAATCTCAAGGAAGTAGCTGATTACTGGAGACAGGTCGTAACGATGAACGAATACCAGAAGAAGAGGTTCAGTAAGCGGGTTGTGGATACACTGTTCAACACTATTACTGGCAAGGTTCGTAATTTTTCCGCGCATCTATCCAATCGATTTTGATTTATTTTAGCGCATTGCTGTTCTTGGCTTTGCCTTCAAGGCTGATACGGGTGACACCCGTGAGTCAGCTGCCATCACGCTTATCCACAACTTCCTGCAGGAAAACGCTTTCGTCAATATCTACGATCCTCAAGTGGAGTCGGATCAAATATGGGCAGACCTCAACGAGGCTAATCCTTGCATGACCCTTGCAACGGGTAAGCCACAATTTTTTGCATGACACGTTGACAACTCATATTAGCCAAGTTCAACGCCAAGCTTTTATCTGCTCTTCTGCATTGGAAGCCTGCAAGAATGCTGATGCAGTCATTATCGCGACTGAGTGGGCCGAATTCAAGACGATTGACTGGCAAGCTGTGTACGAGGGTATGAACAAGCCTGCATTTGTCTTTGATGGGCGGTTGCTCGTGGATGCAGACAAGCTCAGGTCGATCGGCTTCAAGGTGGGTTATTGAACCAGGTGTCCACCCGAATAGCAGTTCATTTACTGATGGGAATGCCGTTCTCTTCAGGTGACTGTCATCGGCCGTGGAGAACGCCTCTAGATCCACCTTGACCCACTTTGTTTCATCATCCCCAGAAAGGATATATCATCCATCGGACGGTTCGCCCGCTTAGCTTCTTACGGATAGAGTGCTAATATCTTTTGTACTTCAATACCCTTTGTTCTCCTGAGTTGTACTGTTCAGGCCTCAGGATGTACTTTTCTGCATACTAAATACAGAAACATGAACATTTGGGAATGGAATCTCATATAATGAATCTCATTTTCTCTTTTCTGATTCCATTGTTTATTACAGATGTGGTAGCTTGGACCATGTAACAGGGGCAAGTTATTATCTGATGGTTTCAGTATACCTGATAGGTTAGATCCAGTATCCCCAGTTATCCTGCCGCAGCCTGGATTGTCAATATCCTCCAGGAGATTGGTATTTCGAACGAGGCTGATAAGAATCATGATACATACGGCAGGACACTGATAGCACGAGCAGTAGACGTATAAATAATGACGATATCGATATCAAGTACATCGCAAAACTCAAAACAGTATCATTACAAGTCTGATCAAATAAATGTAAACTTGACGCTTTAAAGATCGAATCATGGCATGCTATAAGAAAAACCCTTAAGCAGTATAACGCAGATCTGAGAACGAAACAACACGACACGAGAGGCACGGCTATGAAAGAAGAAGAAAACGGTCTGATGGGCATGAAATAAATAGAGGAAACTTCTGATTGTTCGGAAGGCCACGTATTTGGCCCTTAAGCACCAGTCACTGATACTCCTTGATCAGGAGGTGCAGTTCTACTACGATCTGGAACGGTGTCTCGCACCATTCGGCTTGTGTCCGATGATAACGAAATCAGGCCACAGCGGGCACTGCACAAGCCTGTTGTATCTGCTGTATCCACGAGCATGTGACAACATCTTAGTTAAACGACGGAAACTTGGCGATGGTCATCAGCCGATGTTTCCCCAAATGGATGAAGTCGGATAATGCTGTATCGGCCGAGGATGCGGCGGCGGCGGCAAAGGCACTGCAGGGGAGAGGTTGAATCCACCCTGTTGAAAGTGCAGCCCCGATTGTGGTGGAAGAGCAGCGGGAGCGATCTCCGTATTCAAGTACAGTGACTCCTGTGGGTACGCAAATGATTGATGACTCACTGCATTTAATGCAGTCTGATATGAAGGCGAGCTCTGAATCGTACCAGCCGAGTGGCGATGCCCAGGACCGGATGATCGTGAGGCGGAGTGACTTGTGTGAATGTTTGATGGATCGTGCGTAAACTCAAAGGAAGATGACCACGGGGAATGTGACTGTGCAAAAGAAGACATGGGCTGAAGTCGGTTAGCGGAGTGTATAGCTCGGTTGCTTGGGGTCGATATATTGTGCTCGACGCTGTAAGCAGGCAAGGCCTGGTTGGTTAATAACGCAGGTCTAGGACTGAGATTTGGTAGGTTCTGATCAAGAGTCGTTGACCATATAGAAGGTGGAGCGTTCGAAGGCCCGGAGCCGAAAAGAAATTGAGACGGAGGTGCGATGGACTGACGGCGGGGAGATCGTGCAGTATCACCACCAGCTTTAGAGAAACTGTTTAATAAATCCTGTGCTGTCGTTCCTGTGAAGGTAGAAGGTGGCGATATCGGGGCCGCACGACCTGGGGACGTAACAGAGGTTGCACAGGGATTGATGAAGTTGCCGTGAAGCATGTTTGATGGCAATACAGGCGTCGTTGGCAGAGCCAATACTGCTCCCGGCGGCGAAGTGGAAGCCCTAGAAATCACATCAGACACATGGAAACGAAACAAGCATTATTTGACCTTGGATCCCAAACTACAGTGTCATCACCCTGTTCTTCATCTTCATCTTGTGACTCGGCGTTGAGTACAGTTCTGAAGGCATCTTCAACCGGGTCATCGTTATCAGTACGTCCTGTGTCGGTTACAGCATCGTCCTCCGCACACATCTCCAGTGGCATCATGTCAAAAAGATCAGGACATGGGACTACAGGCATGATAGGCGTCCTTACAGCCTCCGCACTGATTGCCTTTGCCTGAGACCCAGCTTCAGGTGAAGTGACAGTAATTTCAAGCACAGACTCAAAAGTATCACCCTGCAAGTGGATCGGAGAATCCTACAGTAAGGTAAATCCAATTGATTCAAAGGCAGAGCAATCGTTCCTCACTGGTGATTCCGCGAGATTCTTGAGATCTTTGAGCAAATCAGATATCCTCATTAATTGTTCTTCGTTTGGATGAACGTCCTCGCGGCCCTGCAGCCCAGTGACGGCCAATCCATTCCCCCTGCGCACATCAGCATCCGCGATCATGGGAGTATCGCCAATCATGAGGCTCCGCAATGGAAGAAAGCCCTTAAGGTCGATGTCTTCTTCCAGCGGAGAGAGCAACGAAGGTAGCTTCTCTATTGGGAATAGCTTGTATAGGGTGTTGTAAAAACGTAAGAAATGCCGCCAAAAGACCGGCATGTCTGGAACGAATACCCCTGGAGTTTCCTCGGCGTGGCTTGACCCCGCAGGGGGTGTGGCATGCGCCACATATTTGAGATTTGCTAATAACCACTTGCTCGCGACACGCAATGCGGGTAGAGTGCGCCTGAATGCTGCAGTGATACGCTGCGCAAGGTCGTTCTCAGCTGCATCTTCTGGTGGAAGGTCAAGTTCTTCAGCGCCTATCTCCAGGAGAGATTGGTGAATGGCAAGAACATGCTTCAAAATCTGGGATTCGACGATAGCTGGGTCAGGGATCCCTCCGGACCTCCTATTCGAAGGTGGAGATGTGTCCCGGATCATGCGATGTTTCCACAATGCTCCCTCTGAGAGAACAACGACCTTGGTCACGGTATCAATAGGAAGAACACGCTCTGAAACAAGAGCCGTGAAATCCTTGACGACATCTGCTGCATGCACAATTGGATTTAACCTTGATCTAAAAACAGCACGGAATTATTCATCCCGACAGCTAAAATTATCGATCGAATCCAATCACTCACTTATCTGAACCTAATCGCCATAATGCATGCAATAGCACAACTCTCTCCTTAAAGGACTCGACTCTCAAGCGTGGTGGTAAATCACCAATATCAGGGGCCATTTGTACCCCTTCCCGTGTCCTCTTGGCATGCTGATCAAGCGATTTATTGAGAATTTTCTTGACATTCTCGGATGCAGTGTCATAAGGCTGACGAACGCAAAGCGCTCTATAGTAATGGAGAAGCGAGCTGAACATGTCATTCTGATAGAAAGCGAGAATGGCCAGCTGATGTGATGGATTGCCCTCCGAAGGGACCAAAAGGCGCGCTTGTTGGTAGCACTGGACAGCTTTGTCGTAGTTCCTGGCGCGTGGTATTGAATCAAAGCCCAGAGCGCCGCCTCTTCTGTTGCGGCCGCCCCGCCTAGCTGGCACTGTGCCGTCTTCCTGACCAGCTCGCGGACGCCCTCCACCTTCGTTGTAAAGCTCCCGATATCGCGCCATGTCACCTAAACATACTATCGCCTTGCTAAGAATCGCAAGGCTGGTTTCACGTTCGGCAGAGTTCGTGGGAGAGGGCGTATTGCCTTCAAGAGGAAATTGAAATTGGTTGCGACCGAAACTGGAGTTTGGGACACCTTCGTGTCCCCCAATGGAGCCATTGGGAGTACCAAGGTCATCTGGAATCGCGATGTTCAAGACAGAGAGTGTATGTTGTGCTTCGTGAAGTGCAAAGGACCGCTGGTATCGAGCTACCAGTTGTGTCCAAAATTTCTCTTCTTCAGCAAGAAACTGGCGGAAACGTTGCATCAATTTGCGATACTCCACCGGGCCATGATTACTCTGCCTGGGCTGATGGCGAGGCGCGGATTGCAGCGTTCGATCGAGAGTTGCGACACTCTGCTTGTAGTTAGAAATAAATTGATAAGATGTCTGCATCCAAAGATGAGTTTCCGCATCTTTAGATTCCTTGGCATATGGCTCGACGAATAATAAGCGAAGATACAGACGTCGGAGACTGCGGACACTGTTAGGGAAACCCGTCAAAAAGGATTTTGGGACACAAGTACCTCTTCCTTTGAAACTCAACCTCTTTATCCCATGGAAAATGAGCTTTGAGAAGTTCTTTCAGACTTTGGTGTATTGATTTTGCCTCACTAAGTTGAGGATCAGTTAGGAATCAAGGAAGTTGAAGATAGCAGCCAGCACCTTGTAAGCTGGAAGGCAGAATCGGTCATTGTATATAGCGTGAGCGCGTTTAGGCGGAATATGTGTCCATTTTTTTCTACTTTCACGGACGTCGAAGACAAAATTCAGCGCTCAAAAGTCGTCTGCGATGATGAGCGACCGTGAGACAAACTGGCTGCTCACATAAGTTGGTAGACATAACCTTGATTAAATTTAGAGTACTACCGTGAGTTCACTAAGGGTTTGACCCTGCTAACTTCAGGTTTCACCTTGCTCCGTGGTACGTAGTTTTATTTTCTGCACCTCCGGTTTATTGCGAACGCACTAGAGTTTGGAAGCTTACAGGATGATGTTGAAATATTCATGTTATCATGAAAGGGCCGGCCGCTTTAAAAGTTTAGCGACCAGTGACTCGGATACTAAAGCTGTGTACAACTCGCAAGTCACCGTGATACTCAGTTGAGAATTCCTAAATCCTTTTGTTCTTTATTCTGATTCACGCCTTGGAAGCGCATCGGAAGAGCTAGCACACGCATACATCGAGCGAGTCATCAGGATTGATGCGTTTATAATTGGACTTGTGATGACTGAGCACTGAGGGTCCAAGTACAGTGAGCACGGTGATTTGGAAAGCATCGCAACAATTCGTTGTGCATGCCGACACGGTTGCGTTAGCGGAAGATTCAATAGAGGCGAGGTCTCGCTTAGTCTCATAACACTTGGAATTGAACAAATTCTTTGTAGGTGGAACAAACGCTATAATAATTGGACTGATTTGATGCAGCGAGCTGTAGAGCAGGGTGGTATAGGCAGCATAGTTGATTCACTAGCTTTGAGGCAATTGGCTGACTAGTTATCTCACGTGATGATGTTTATATCTGAGCGAGGCGTAGATCCGGCGTAGTTTGACATTCATGTCCACTTGGATATACGCCACCAGTGGGTCTAGAATGGGTTGAAGTTTCTTATCTAGTAAGTCCCGCGTTTGTATGGACTCATCTCCGATTGTGCTCGACCCTCGGTTCCATGAGCCTTCAAGGAGGCTAAATTGCAGGATTAAGCGCCTTGATGGGAGAATACGTTTGTGCTGACTGCGGTAAGCTGTCTTTCCTCACGATCAAAAAATGATTGACGCCGACCCAGATTATTTATACTCAGAACATCTTGTCACAAGTACCTTCACACACATGATCCCAAGGAATCTCAGGAGTACCTGCGTCGCCATCTGCGTGCGTAGGGGGACGTGCCTTGAACAAAAGCATATAGTAAGACTGGAAGCGGACAAACAGCTTCCTCCAGGGGAGATTCTCACATCCCGCACTTTCGCTTCAGCTTGATTCGATTCGGACCATCCACAAATCAATCTGACGGATCGAAGACGCTTGAGGGTATGGTTTGGTAAAGTTGTTACTCTTGCGCCATCGCATTTTGCTTAAGCTTGTGTTCGTGCCCTGGAATCTTTCAATAAGACTTTTTCGGGATAGATTAAGCAACCAATCTTGGATGTGAGTTCATGTTACATGTCCACTAAAGTGTAGTGCTGAGACATCTTATTCTTGCATGCTTGAACGGGTTTAATCAGATTGTCAATAGAACACGTTAATTCAATTATAAAAGCTTCAAGTACAATGCAGCGTGTCTCTCCCACCATTAACCCTAACTCGAAAAGGACCCGCCGTTCTCCTCGACCCCCGCACTAGCCATTTGTCACAGCCAATTCACTTACTTCCGTACCCGTCCTGCTCCCGATGCCCCCGTTCTACGAAGTGGCTGTCGCTCGTTTTGGGCAATCATCCTCGATAGCCAAATGGGTAATCGTTGTCGTATTCACACCATCTAGCCATTCATTGGTATATCAAATTGCCGGCTCGCCTGTTGACTACAGCCTCGAAGCACCGCAATCAGTCACACTCAAAGATGGGGAGAATGGTTATTTGGGGAGGGCACCTATAGGATTGGTGGACTCCGAGAATCTACATCTGCTCCACAGCACGCTCGCATCTACTCCCGTCATTCGAGGAGATGCCTCCTGGAGCAGCCACAATTGGGTTATGGAGGGTATAGCTGCTCTTCGCAGGGTACAGGGATATCATATCGACAAGCATGTGTCAATGCAGTGGATATCGGAAAAGCTAGGAGGAAAGTAACTCGGGCCACTGGTGACCGAGGGAGAGCCCGCTTGCCGACATCAAGATCTTTGGGTGGACAGGGATAACTATATCGGGGACATTAAGGGCAAAATACATATAGAGGTGGAATGATAAGTGTATTTTGGGACACCGTGACTGTATCATTGCAGCAGATTGTACTCCTGTCACAAGTATTCCAGTAAAGCTTACCATCTTCGTTAACGGAGGCGCATACCTTTGACTATTAGCTTCGTGCAATTATGTAGGATATGCAATGTGTTGATCATGACTGGGACTGTACATCATATCTTCGCAAGCGGTGCGAATCAGAAGTGCACTGGCAAACGCTGTCGTTGCTTGACATAAAAATAGACTTTGTAAGCCCATCGACATTTGTGGCCCCGAAGAATAAATAACGACACCTATAGCGTTTCACTTGCCGAAAATACTCACGTCCGGGCAAACCTGGATCCCATGTAAACACGTAATGATATCTTGTATGATATACCAAAAATTTGATGACGAGACAACATAGAGACCGTGTTTACAACGGCTTCACATACGACATGCGTCGCAAATCGAGGCCGCTATGATTTAGTGTTCAAGCAAGCGAGGGAGCATATCGGCAACAGAAGCTGAAGCCCTCGTTAAAGGATCAATCTACAGGAGAAAAAAACCACTCACTACATTTGCTTCGCTTAGTAAAAGTAATCATTACCACCGAAGTTCTCGTCATTTGCACAATTCGAAAGCTCACGTCAGAATTGACTGTCAACTTCCCATGGTTTCTTCCGCACCAAAGCTATGGAAGTGCTGGGAGGAGCGTCCTGGAAGGAAGTTATAACCGTGTATATCATGTCTAATTATGCGACAAACTTACATTAAGCATTTCAGGGATGACTTTGTTATTGGGTATGTTATCGGTCTTTCCCTGTTCTATCAACATCGTCAACTCAGCGAACGTCAGCAAACGAGTTTCGCCGTCTCTGGAGTTCGAGGAAGGAGGTGATAAATCCGTGGTCGCAGTGAGATTTTGGGAGTTTACAGTATTCTGATGGGATCGAACATCCTCTACGGTCAGGTTTTGGCCCGCCACTCTGTTGAAATAAAATAGCTGCGTTCGGAGGATGGTTTCGACCCTCTCAGCATCAGTCTTGCCGCTCAATGCACTGTGCGCAAGTAGGTCCGCTAGCCCTTGCTTGCCTCGTAATTTTAGGAAAAGATGTATATTTCTCAGCAAGCAAGCACCTACTTGATAAACTTCATCCGAGGAGAATGGAAAGGTAAAGAAACTGCGCAACGCAGTTTCTTTCCCACCAGTCTCATTAATATCAGACTGTGATGGGGTTTGTTCTGAGAAATTTGTTCCGTCCCTGTGGAGCAAGTGAGTGTCGTAAAAGCAAGGGTGTCATCGTGAGCTTCACATGGCAAAAATAAATTTATGGAGCAAGGTGTATCGGTCTCCGAGAAAATCAAGAGTTGATCAAGAGATGCTAATCACTGGATGTCGATGAGATGTCTGAGACTGGGTCACTCACTGGGAAGCGACTGAAGGCATTATTACATAACACACTTTCCCCGACTCGGACGGACCCCGTGACGTGTAGCGGATCGGGTTGTATTAGAACACGACTGTGACAACCTTTCTCTTTCCACTGCAATAATGTCTTCAGGAATCTCTAAAATCACAACTGAGCGAAACCAGCGTACTTTGCTGGAGTTAGTAATGCACTCAGGGAACGGTAATGCTATTTTTCAGAAATTTCTCCGAGGCCCGTCATGAACTCATTACTATCCAAGACATTTGTGCAGATTGTAAGTCGCGGAACCCGCGATGGGCTTCTTACAGCCTGGGCATTTTCATATGGTATGTATGGCATGCAATTTAATTGCGTACTCGCAGACGTTTATCAGATGCAGTGTCAACTGCGCGAGCATCCATCGCAAGCTTGGTACTCATATCACGAAAGTGTGCGTCAGAAAAACACATAATTCAACTTTCAATTATTAACTGGCAATTCTGCACAGAAAGAGCATTACCCTAGATGCATGGACAAAGGAACAAGTCGAAGTAGGCATCTTCGTATCTGCTGACATGAGAAATTAAGCTCGGAGAAATTCTCTTCCTTGTTCACAGGTCATGAAGCAAACCGGAAATATCAAATCAAACGCCTTGTACAACCCTGACGAAGCCCGCCACCCCCCACCTACCAACATGATGGAGGCCGAACGAGATAGCGAAATCGAGAAGTTTATCCGAGGTCCGCGAGCCTTCTTCAAATTTGTCTTTATATGTCTGATGTCTTATCACAGCCAAGTACGAGTTTAAGTGGTTCATGAACTGTAAACCTTCCAAATTCGTTTCCCCTACTCGTCCGTATCCCAATGCTGCGACTACACGGCCGAAGTCAACTCCTGCGACCGACCCTGTCTCATTTAAACGCAAGTCCTCTCCTATTCCTCCCCCAGTTCCTGCCAAAAATGTCACCAGTGGGAGTACTGGAGTGTCTAATTTTCTTCCTGGCGCATTATCTCCACGATCTACACCTGTGCAACCCGCGAGATCCATATCTCATCCATTGCCTACACTCACTTCCTCCGCGCCGACTCAGAAGCTATCTGGGAGTGAAATTTGGGGTGATCTAATTTCATTACAAGGCCCTTCGCAATCGTCTTCTCTTCCATTACAGTACCAGTCGCAAAACCCCGATTTCTTATCGCTTTCTTCCCAGCCCCACTCTACGTCCCTTGCCCAGACAACTCTTGACGTCTCGCCCACTCTGTTCTCGACTTTCCAGACATCCCACATGATGCCCTCGTCGATGCCATCGATGAGGAATACCACTTCAGTTACACCCATACATTCCGTAGCTGCTAGTGCGACCACGATCGCAGGTCCACAGACTCCGTTCCAACATCAATTTTCGGGCTATCCACCTTCTAACAATCTCAACTCGTTTCCTCCACAGATGAGTGCCGAGGTTTCAAGCGGGACACCAGCTATGGCACCCCCTCCTCAGCAGAATTATCTCGCTCAATCGTTCAGACAACCCTCTCAGCCGATGCTTGGTCATATACAAGACTCTAGTTTCATGTATGCACAACCCCAATCACAAGTATTTCAACAACAGTACTCCCCACAGCCGCCGTTTCCTGCTACACCAGCATTTGTAGCGCAGCAGCAGCCGTTTATGAATAACACATCTTTTGGAGGGTGGCAGGGTATGCATGGCAATTTTTAATGAATAGTTAAACAGGGGACTCTAGATCTCGCTTGGATTCAAACTCTTAATATCCCTACGCCCTTGCGATATAAATATGTTTAGTTGCACTTTCATACTCATTCAAAGCGTGGATTCTTTCACTGGCACATTTTGTATTAGGTATGTTTCCGAAACGTTCTGCATGTAGCCCGATTACAGTCCCGCATGCCATGTCATATACTGCAGTTCATCATTAGGCCCAACGACGGCGATATCTTCGCTGAAGCTTGAAACCGGTTTGGATTCTTTAACCTGTATGCTTATTCCTAGTTTCCCTCCTTGATCATTGTTGCACTGAATACGCACTCTGGTAAGGAAGATCTAACTGTGGACAACAGACTTGGAGGCCCCTCATGATCATCCTGTGTTGGTGCTTCTGATGCCCATTAATTTGATTACACCAACCTCGGTGATGCTCTAATTTCTTGCTCTAGGGCACTCTAACCCTACCCCGGAGTTATATGCAAAAGTTTTTCTTTCAGCACGTGTGTACGTATTCTCCCGATTATTGACATGTCAAAGATCGGTGGTTATTGATTTATCGACAGGTAGACTGAGACCAGGTTTTATACAGAGGGGATTACAACAGCGAATACTACAATGCTCTGCTAAAAATGGCTGATACACACCAGGCAGACAATGAAAATTCGGAGGCTTGGAAGAGGGGATTGTGATACTCCTTGTGGCATGCGGCACAGCGAGATGCCAGGGGCAGCCTAGCTGTTTTATTGTCCCTGACAGGGCCTGACTCGCGCTTGTTAACAGCGAGGTGGCATGCATATGTTACCGCGGTGCCGGACAAGACAGGAAGCCCAGAAGTTGGTGGAGAGCGATAATATTGCTTCCATTGGCTCACGTTTCATCAAGATACAGGGTCTTTCAAACTCTGGTGGACCCGTCATTCATACCTGAAACAGGTGAGCAGCTTTTACTTGAATTCTTCACGATTTTATATTGATCCCTTTCTTAAGCGACCTGTCTGCGTTACTCGTCTTTCGTCTTTCGTTGACCCTTGCTACGGCAGGAAGTAGAAAAAATGTAGCGAGTAACCAGAGCCGATGGCAGCTTCTGAGAGAAATTATCAATAATACTCCCAGAGGCCGATGCGATGCGAAACAGGGACTTGGCCAAAGGCAGATTTTCTGTAAACTGTGCTATGTAGTGCATCGCTCATGAAGCAGCGGTGGGCTCGGGCTCCTTCCACTGCAAACTCTCGCCGTGCTTTTTATCAAGCTTTCGTTCAACCACTGGATCTACTTCATGTTCTAGTCTTCTGCATAAATGGTTTGTTTCTGGATATGTGTACCATATAAATCGTACAATTTCTTGCTGTATGTAATAATGAGTTGTGTGGCGGTGCGATAAGATTTTAATTTGGAAAAATAGCTCATTTCTGATTGCTCGTATATTCGTGCACAACGACAGCCTGGAAGGTAGTCTTCGATTGCACGATGGCCAGTACGTCCCTCCCTCCAGGAACTGCACCCGTAAAACGAGAGTACGTTTTTCCGGCTTTTCACTGCCTTTGAAATGGTTCACCGTTCGCAGATTCCTGTTGTCCCCTGCTGCTCTTCCTGCGGTTGATGATGATGCAGCAGAAGGTTCAACAGCTAACACCGGAACATCACGTGTGGATCTGGCAAATACTGATGCAAGAGGCACGGGTGGCCGCAAAAAGTGGACCAAGGCGCAAAAGAAGGAAAAGCGTGGTGCCAATAAAGGCCGCAAGTTTGGCAAGGTACATGATCAACTTGAGCTATGCTGGAGAGTCGCGAACGGGAAAATATGCGAGCATGGAGATGAGTTCGTATATGTTGCTCTATCACCTCTCCGGATGCCTCTTATGCTATGTAGATGTCGCTTCACGCATGACATTGATGCGTATATGGCAGCAAAACCAAGGGATATTCGGTTTCCTTCAATTACGACGATATCAGATATCCCTCCTTTTATCATGGGCACGGAGGAAGATGGTTCTGTGGCCGACGATAATGTTTCTTCTCTCGACAAACATACATCATGTCCCTCCTTTGCAGAATCGGGATTCTGTCGTTTAGGACTCAAGTGTCGTTTTCTAGGAGCTCACGCTAAGCTTGATGTTAACGGGGCAATAACGCTCGTCGAAGATGAGCAGACGATGGCCCAGACAGCGCTGAGCGCCACAGAACTCAATTTTGTTAGTGCAGACACCTTGAAACTACTTAGATCCAAGAAGGTTAGATTATCATGTCTACCCTCAGACACCATCCTACCCACCTTTTTGATCGCTATTTGCGTTACAGTATCCTGTGCCAATAAGCGACGCATACCTAAAAGAATTGGAGGCTGCTAAAGAAGATCCCAATGGACCGGAAGATGTAGCTGTCGGTGAAGATAACGTGGCCATGAATGATCCTCAATCTATTTTGTCAGAACTCGTTACAAAACGCACTGGAAATTCTGATCCCAGTGCTCAGGCTGATACTCCAGATGTTCGGATCCGCGTACAAGAGAAACGAAGGCTGGGCTGGAGTGGTAAAACGTGTATGAGAGTCTCTTCGGAATGGATGGAAACAAATTAACCAAACGCTTATGTTCAGATCTCGCGCCGTTAACAACGGTCGGCAACTTGGTACGAATGTCACTGCCCGAACAATATATCAATTAACCAAGTTCTTAGCCATTCAGACGCCTATGTATGACACTCGGAGCGGATATAACATGTGGAGAAAGTGCGTTATTATTTTTTGTCATTTTTCTCCTCTCATTCGCATAATCTCCCACGTCGTTCAATTTCGTGCAATAATATTGCAATCATCATCCAGTGGGCCTTGCGACCTCATTTCTCACCGCTTCTGCGTCCGAATTCTCGCTCGTTCGGCGGCATCCATCGGAGACCATCTTTGGAATTCAGCTTGCGGGAAATAAACCCAGCACATTAGTCCCAACTGCCGAAGTCCTCGGACGCGAATTTGGTGATGCAGGAGGTATAGACTTCGTTGATGTGAACTGTGGATGTCCGATCGATCTTGTTTTCAAAAGCGGAAGCGGGAGTGCTTGTGAGTTCTCTGGAATGGGGTCTCCCTGAAGCATACATAATAAATTTAATTTGATCCGTAGTACTGGATGCACCAGCGAAACTCGGCAAAATTGTCACCGGGATGTCCAGGGCGTTGGGCGAAATCCCGGTAACAATAAAGCTACGGACAGGTGTCAAGGATGGTCGTAACAATGCACATAAGATTATGCCGCGCGCTGCCACGGATTGGGGGATTGGTTGCATCACAGTGCGTCGCCATGATTTTATCTTGATACCTTGTCGGTTCATGCGATAGAAAATAGCTACATGGCCGCACCCGCCAGCAACGGTATACGAAATTGGCTGATTGGGAGTACATAAAACAATGCGTTGACGCTGTACGGGCTCGAGAGGAAGATGAGGGCTGTAAGTTCCATCCACCTCTCCTGCCTTTACCATCTGACGGTTTCTGGTTTTCACGCAACATCTACGGTACATCCATCCAGTATCTCCGATTCCCATTTTCGGTGGTGGCGATTGCTTCTCATCGCATGATTACTGGACCAATGTTTCATCCACTGGCGTTGATGGAGTTATGATTGGACGGGGAGCACTCATCAAACCATGGATTTTCACGGAAGTCAAGGAGCACCGAGAATGGGATATCAGCTCGAGGGAGCGATTGCAATTAATTGGCAAGGTAACCTTCAGTTTCCTTCCTCATATATCCACCTTGGCTCATATCTTCAAATAGTTCAGTGAATTTGGATTGAGGTTTGCCTTCTGTTCACTTTATCGACAATAACTGGTTAAGTCTGCATCACCAGTCACTTTGGTACAGACACAACAGGCTGTGAACACGACTCGCCGATTCCTCTGTGAAGCACTTTCATTTCAATACCGTTACGTCCCTATCGGGTTACTCGAACGACTCCCAGCCAAGATCAACGATCGAGCACCAACATTCAAAGGAAGAGATGAATTAGGCACGTGTTTTATCGGTCTTGTGGAGACTGGAAATTGATATTTATAACGAGTAGAAACACTCCTTGCAAGTCCGAATAGCAAGGATTGGGTCAGGATCTCAGAAATGTTCCTTGGTCCTGCACCCGAGTCGTGGTCATTTACACCAAAGCACAAGAGCAATGCGCACGGTGAGGAGAGCCAGGGCTGATGATTTTTCGTAGGACAAAGTCCCTGAGAAGTAAATCCCCCGAGCCATTGGGCTGTACAACTTACCTTTGCCATAGTCTCTTCTAGGCAGACCTTAGTCGAATGAAGATAGCCATTCCTGCTCTCTGTTAAGCGTCTGCTATCTTTGCTATATATATTTGCAAGGTCTCTATTACTCAGAAGAGGGGGCAGCTTCCAGCTTACTGTGTTTTCTTCGTCTCTCATTCTCCGCCCGAATTTCCCTCTCCATATCATTCAGAAGTTTCTTCTTTTCTTCATCTTCCCACCCACCCTCGGCCTTCCACTTTTCGGGTATGTGCATATGTACGCCCATGTGCGCCTTAACGGCGCCCGACCACCCGCCCTCACTCACTTCCCTTATCGCCCTGTCCACTAGCAGTTGCCTTGGAGTCATGAGTTCTCGTACATGTGCAGGCGGTGCGCTCTGCCGGCGTTTGATGGTGGCAACAGTAACTTCACCAGAACGTTCGCGCTGTCTTTGAATCGTTTTGTTTGCCACCTTGTCTCGACGCGCTTGTTTGCCTTGCGACACGAGTCCAGCAGGCGGTGCAGCACGATACCGTGAGATATCGCGCATGACGCATTCTTGCAGTTCAGCCTGGCGCTTGAAGAAGGGCTCATCTACCTCACCAGACGTTGTTAACGTTATCAACGACTATCCGGACAAATACACAGCTCACCCCACGTAGATTTTGCCCCTCCAGTGTACACTGGGGCCCACAGCGGGTGCTCCTCACGAAGCAGTCCAACAAACTCCCCTGCACATTTGTTTGCATGGTTTTCCAACACCTTGCTCTTCATGTGCTGAGCCGCATTCGCAGCCTTGCCTTGTGCACTCTTGAGCAACGCGTACTCGAAGAGACTCTCGTGCCGTAAGTCATGTGCCCAACTCTTCAATGTTTCCCGTTGCTCCCATCGACGCTCGCGCGCGCGACGTCGGCGCACAATCATCCCAGTTATGTGAGCAGGCTGGGGGATTAGGCGTGGAAGAAGCTTGTTGTCAAACGAAGGACGGATGAATGAGCCTTTGAAAATAGGACGATTGCGGAGCTTGGCTTCCCAGTTCTAATAAAGTTCTGTGAGTAGACAATGAAGGAGACACAGGGATACGTACGAATGCTTCTAGTATACGCATTTTCCAAGCACTTTTTTCTCGCTTGCAGGCAATCATTCTTTCATACCTGCTTAAAACGTTCTGAAATCTGGTATCGCCTTGCTCCGCGCGTTTGAATGATTCCAACCACTGCATTTCCTTTGTATCATGCCAATGATTTAAGATTGGGAGAATCGTAATACCTTGTATCCCATCACGAGTTTCTCTTTCGCAGAATGCGCCTTCACAACGTGCTGGTTCTTCCTGAATATCATTCGAACACGAAAACGGATCTGTACCCTATGTTAGACAACATAGTGAAAAGCATATCACTCACATTTTCCCCTGGTGCATGTCTGAGCAAACCCCGGTACAAAGACCAGAGAGTTGGAACACGGTGAGCAGAGAGTTTATAGAATGGAACTCTTGGGCGAACACGCTTGAGAGGCGAGATGACGGAGGCTATGCGAACACGGTGGGCGGTGGAACATGGGAGTGGAATCGGGACCGCTGACATCCTGAGGGTAAAGCTTTTCGCTCAAAAAGTTAGTGTTCTTGCAGGCTGAATTAATGACACGCCTCTGGTCAAGTATATTCCTCCCCACAGCACGAGCAATTCGGCGCATCCAACCAAGTGATGTGATGTGCAGATCTATGGATAAACATTGAATTGAATTGGGACGTGTTTGGGTCGCGTCCATAAAATGACACGAACGTTGTGACAGATAACATAGATATTATTGGTATTCGAATGTATACGTGAAAGCAAACAGTACTACTACAACAAAGCAATCGCAAGGCACAAAGTCAGTGATGTCTAGCATTCGACTATTACAAGCCGTTGGTTAATAATGCAGTCACAAGATACGAGATCAATAGCAAATCACTCGTACTTCGCGCAGAATTCGCGGTGGAACTTCTCTAACTTCCCGACATATTCGTCCACGCCAGGACACAAGCAGGTAAGACGGTAATGGTATTCTCCTTCCTTCTGCCCGAATCCACTGCCTGGCACGACGCAAATGCCTGTTGCATCTAGAAGCGCGAGTGCATAGAATGCATCTGGCTCTTTGCCAGCAGCCTGTGCGGCAGCTATCGCTTTTTCTGGGAGCGTGATCTTGGGGTAAAGGTATAATGCTCCGGGAGAGTCAACACATGAGACACCAGGTAGGTTGTTTAGCCGTTTTGCCATGAGCTTGGTGCGCTGCGCGAGTACTTCATGGATTCGCGTTGTCTCCTCTTTCCACAACGGGTAGCTTTCTTCGCCTTCTTTTGGGGGTCGCACAAGGCAGTCCACACCGATTTGCCCCTGTAGCGGAGGGCAAAGGCCAACGCTCACCATTTTGTACATCATCGCGCGGACGTCATCTGGGATGTTATGGCATTCGAAATAACCACCACGCCGCCCACACTCCCCTGTTACACCTTTGCTGATGCTGTGGAAGGATACCAGTGGAACCGGAGAGCCCAGGTCGCAGACAACCTTCTTGAATGATGTGAATGGAAATTCGGCCGCACGGTGCAGGTTGCTCTGATAGACTTCATCCGCGAGGAGCACGAGTCCATGCTCTGCGCACAAGTTCACAACCTCTCTCTGCGTCTCATCCTTCAGCAACGCGCCCGTTGGATTTCCGGGGTTGATAATAACAAGTGCCTTGGGATCAATACCGTCTTCCTTTGCCTTTTTAAGTGCAGCCTTGATTTCATCAACTGACGTCGACCACTCATGTGCCTCATCAAGATGGTACGGAATCGGTACGCCCGAAAATTGCGCTAGTGTTGCTGTATATAAAGGGTACTGCGGGATCGGGATGAGGACACCAGATTTGTGGGGTTCCGAGATAAGCATTGAAATCAGAAGCGAAACTCCCGCGGAAGCGCCGCCCGTCAGGAAGATGTTGTCTGGTGAGGACGGATGACTGTCGCGTTCTGTAATTACGCATCAGTTACGTGAAGATAAATTTTTCAACCCTGAGAGTATCATGGCCTATAGCAGGGCTAACGCTGCACAGAACAGAATGGTATATACACTAATCAAAACCAATGCGAGTTGTGACTTCCTTAAGAAATCAACTAAACTCGGCTGAGCGGATCAACTCGGCACATGGCGAATAAACGTTGCATTGACTTTGCTGTCAGACTCAGTGACACCAATTTATCTACTCACCATGAATAAATTTTGCGACATTCTGACGAATGAGAGGGACACCCTGGGAGTGCGAATATGCACCGATGGAACCAATTTCCTCGTGCAGTTCCTTCGCACGGGCAATGACGTCTTGTGGAAACGTATTGGGGGCGAGTTGCATCAGCTGTGGCCACTCCATGAGTGCAGCAACCTGTCATGGTTGTGAGAAATGCGTTCGGCAGCTCTGCAACTTTGGGAAAAGGGAAAATATAGAATGGAGCTAACCTGCCGATTAAAAGTAAGGGGAGGTTGGTCAAGCCCCTTCTGTTGGGGGTTGCCGATGTTCGAAGAGATAATGCGATCAAATGGCAGACCGCTATTGAGACCCTTCTCCTTAAGCGTAACACGATATTCCTCTGCCTTTATGGCCAACTCGCCGCGCACGGCATACTGCACGTTTCGAACGGCAGGGTTGAGAGAATCGACAGTAAGAGATCGCATGGTGGTTCTTGCCCAAAAGTGTACCGGAGGATGAAAGGACGATAAAGATCTGAACCTTGCAGACGCCTGGAGCATCGGAGCTTTCTGTTTACAGAACTAGTGAGAGAGTTGAATGGGAGACCCATATATGGTAACCAGAGTCAAGTGGTCAGTCGCACGTGACTCGGCACATTCCGCTTCCAGATTTTTTTGGTCGAGTAGCAGTATGCAGGGAGCTCAATCTGCAAGACAAGATTATGCCAGACTCTTTCTTCGCGTCGACAAAAACTAGGAAGCGGAAGCGGTCTGTTAGCACGGCCGAGGGAGCTCGGGGAGCTAAGAAAATTCCTGCGCAAGGGCAAATCTAGTTCTCAGGACACAAAAGTTACCCACGCAAGCACAAGGAGGGGGGCAAAGGGAGCCGCAGATGAGGAATTGAACTCGGACAGAACAGATTCGGAGGGTGGCGGAATAGATGACATCGACTTGCGCGCGGATATAGAGCCCGAGACTAGTGGTGATGAAGATGAACAGGAAACCCCTGCGGAAAAACGATTACGATTGGCGAAGCTCTACCTGGAAAGTGTGAAGGATGATCTAGGTGAGTACAATTGGACTAAATTTGTGTTCTGGGTTTGTTAAATATTGTGGGATTCAGCCGAGGGTGAATTTGACGCTGCTGAGATCGACAGAGAGCTAATATCAGAACGACTGCGACAAGACGTCCTGGAGCATTCTGGCAAAGTTCACCTCTTTGTGGCAGAATTTGTTTGTAGTCTTGTTATCTTCGGTGATAGTCTGGTTGACGTAGGTTTCGACAGTATGATTTCACCTCAACATCATCCATGCGATGCAGAGGCCACCGGTTCTCTGTTACTTCTGCGGTCGCATCGGACGATGTACAGTTTCTATACACATCAGGGAAAGAGGGAACCATCAATAAGTGGTCTCTGCAGTCTGGGAAAAAGATTGCGACGTTCTATAAACAGCGCGTCTCCAAAGGCAAAGAGAAGGCACTCCCTCAAGATATCCAGGGACACACGGACGAGATCCTATCTCTCGCCGTAAGTAGTGATGGTCGATACCTCGCCAGTGGATCTAAAGACCGAAGGGTGGGCGTATGGGATGTAGAGAAGGATGAATGGGTAAAAGGTTTTGGAGGACACAAGGATTCGGTTTCAGTATGTATGACATATGTGCATAATGTATACAGTGCTAATATCGTATTTTTGTTCTCTAGAGCGTTGCATTCCGGAAAGGCACACAGCAATTATACACTGGCTCGTTTGATCGGACTGTCAAGCTATTCGATATCTCAGTAATGGGATATGTAGAAACGCTATTCGGACACCAAGATACCATTCTCTGCTTGGATGCTCTCCGAGGAGAGACTGCTGTTACTGCTGGAGCAAGAGATCGAACGATTCGATTCTGGAAAATTGCTGATGAGAGTCAGTTGGTCTTTCGTGGCGGTGGAAAAAGTGCAATACGGGAATTGCTTGAAGGAGGTGTGTTTGAAGGTCACGAAGATGAGGAACACGTGAATGGGGCGGAATTTCATGGTCCGAAATCAAACAAAGGAAAGGAAAGGATGAAGGAGAGCAAATATGCAGAAGGGAGTATAGATTGTGTCGCAATGATTGATGAAACTACGTTTGTGAGCGGGGGAGATACTGGGTATGTTGTTCGACGTCCTATGAATCACACCACTAAATACTGCCCGAAGCTCAATATGTCTTTGGAACACCCAAAAGAAAAAACCTGTTTACACACAAACGCTGTGCCATGGGTTCCACGAAGTACAGTCCTCAACCGAGGGAGTTGTACGAACACCTCGTTGGATAACGGCCGTTGCATCACTACGTTATTCGGACATGTTTGTTTCCGGTAAGTCCATACCTTGTTGTCATAAATAGCGACGTGCTTAGTTCAACTCCAAGGCTCATGGGATGGTAGTGTGCGATTTTGGAAGCTCGATGAAAAACTCAGATCGTTTTCTTTGGTTGGCTCAATACCTGCGCCTGGTGTTGTCAACTCCCTGCAACTTCTCATCTTACCCAAAGGCGCATTGGACAATGCTCCTTGGAGAGAAAAGGAACAGCTGCCTCTTACAAAGAGCTCAGTTCAACCTGCATTATTAGTTGTGGGTTTAGGACAGGAGCATCGATTGGGACGGTGGCTGAGCGTGAAGGGGGAGGGAGTTACGAATGCGACAACAGTTCACATCATACATCCTCGGACATCACCAAACCTTTAGGGCCTTAGTATTGACATTGATATTATCGCCTGTAAAATGAGACTTTAGGTCTTTCTAGTCTACTACATCCTAGAGAGGATTTTGTGGAATGAAATAAGCTTTCCACGCACCTGATGGAAAAAAAAAGGAAATGCGAGGAATCCTTTCCGCCTAAGATTTCTCGGGTGTAAGCGAGTCGGTGAGCGGCAATGCAGCTCAGGGGCTAAAATCGAGCAGCGTCGTGACGGTGTGACAATTGAAACCACGCGACGCGACGCGTCGAACTGCCAGTGGCGCTCTACTTGTATGTTGTTCTCGTCGACTGACACGCACGTATAAAATCTCTTGACGCAGACGTCGACATTTTCAACGACCTTGTCCTTGTGCATCATGTCAGACAACGAGGTACCACCGCCAACAATCCGCAGTACCTGTACGCCCGTCTCACTCGCATAGTCCACTCATTCACTCATGGCGTTGAGCCAGACCAAGAGGACATCATAAAGATATTAGTCGCAACAGACAATCATATTGGATATCTTGAGCGCGACCCAATTCGTGGGCAGGACTCTATTAACACATTCAAGGAAATTCTCCAGCTTGCTGTCAAGCACGATGTTTGTGTTATCCCTCATACCTTGAACCCTTTTCCTAGAATTGTCTACAGGTCGATATGATTTTACTCGGCGGCGATCTATTTCATGAAAACCGCCCGTCGCGCGACTGCTTATACCAGGTTATGGCTCTTCTCCGGGAGTACACATTTGGTGACAAGCCTGTTCAAATTGAGCTCCTCAGCAATCCAGATGATGGGCGAGCAGAGGGATACAGGTACGTTCGAATTTTTCTTGATCTCTCTGGACGAATGATCACGGCCCTCAGCTTCCCAGCGGTCAATTACGAAGACCCAAATCTCAATGTCGCCATTCCTGTTTTCAGCATTCACGGTAACCACGATGATCCACAAGGTGCTGGGCCTGTAAGCTATATTCCTTCCTATAGATCCTTATTGCTCAGAACTTAGTCCTTTTTCGTTACCTCTGCGTTTATCCCCCCTTTGCCTCTCGCATGTGAGCACTCATCTACATTTAACAGGAAGGTGCTCTCGGCGCGCTCGATGTCCTCTCTGTATCAGGGCTTATAAACTACATGGGCAAGTTCGACCTCCCACTATCTAGCGCGTCGAACCCGAACCCAGTAGAGAGCGATTCGGGTATGCTCACGTTCTGCGCGCGCAGTGACTTGATGCTAATGTTTGTTTTCTTCGCTTTCATTCTAAGGTATATCTATCCGCCCCGTTCTCCTTCGCAAGGGTCAAACTCGCCTTGGACTGTATGGAGTTGGCAACGTCAAAGATGCACGTATGCACTTCGAGCTTCGCAGCAATCGTGTACGGATGTACATGCCTAGCGACAAGGAAGATTGGTTTAACGTCCTTGTGGTGCATCAAAATCGGTACGCAAATATTTTCCTGCCCATGCGTCTTGTTTAGTTCATCCCTTCGCATGTCTTTACTCTGGCGTATTCGTTTTCCTGCGTTCTTCCGTCCCTCGCACTAATAATACACCCATCGGTAGTGTTCCTCACCCTCCAACTCCAGCTGTACCAGAAGGCCTCTTCGACGACTGTATCGACCTCGTCGTTTGGGGCCATGAGCACGACTGTCGTATTGTGCCTGAGCCCGTCGCTGGTCGTCCATATCATATCACGCAGCCCGGATCGAGTGTGGCTACAAGTTTGGGTGAGGGCGAGGGATTGGAGAAGTGAGTGTCAGCTTCCCCTATTTCCTTTAACTCTAACTCACCATCCCCTTCTGTACCTTTGGTTCTCGAATACAATGAAATTTATGACATAGGCATGTTGCCCTGCTCCAAATCCATAACAAAGAATTTGAACTTAAACCTCTTCCTTTGCGTACTGTACGTCCGTTCATGTTGGGCGACGTCTTTCTCGCGGAGGCTGCAGAAGAGGAGGGTTTCGACGTGAGCGACCAAATTGCTGTGGGGAAGTTTTTGAGAGCAAGGGTAGGTCCCTTTTCGTTTTCACTTAGGCCTGGTATGTAGGTCGCGGACTCACTGCATGATTTAGGTAAACGCTCTCATCGACCAAGCGAACCAGTTATGGGACGAGCGCAATGCGCACGCGGTGGAAGAAGGCGAAGAGGAGCTTCCACGTATGCTGCCGCTTGTACGACTCAAGGTCCGTTGATATATCCTTCTACATGCTGTGATACAGAATATGCATATCTCACCCTTACTGATACTCGTTATTGGTAGGTCGACACAACTAACGTCCCCGCAATGTCCAATCCCATTCGATTCGGACAAGAATTTACTGGGCGGATTGCAAATCCACGCGACGTGCTCTCTTTCCACCGATCCAAAGCCCGCTCCGCTGCCTCCCGTACCACGACCTATGCAGACCAGCCCGAGCTGTCCATTGATGATCCAGAACTTACCACAAGCGAAAAATTGGCAAAGGTTCGCGTGCAAACATTGGTACAAGAGTATCTGGCAGCACAAGAGCTGCAGGTCCTTGGTGAGGCAGGAATGAACGAAGCGATCAGAATGTTTGTAGAAAAGGATGATGGATGGGCTATACAGACGTGAGTGTTGTTTTGCATTCACGGGATATTTTTATTAATGGCCTGATCATGCTGCGCATGTTGTTCTGATGTCATGGCTCTCTTTGTCTTTTGTGATTCACTGTACTAATATTGTGAGCTCATTTAGGCACGTCTCGAATGCTCTACGCGCGCTCATGAAAGGCGTACAGGAGAATGGGGAGGTAGATGAGGATGAGCTAGATGACGTTGTACGTTTCTAATCTTCCTCTTAAGTTTTTTACTTAATCTAAGCTGCTTTATGTAGCTCGTCAAACTGAAGGAGCAGCACAACCAGGACTACCTAGAAAAAGCAAAGATGGGGAAGACAGCCAAGGGAAAGGTGCGTTCGACGTTGCTCCCACCCCTTGAAATTACACCTCATACCACACTTTTAGGGCAAAGAAAAAGCCTCCGCCCCAGCGGACTCCGACGCCGACTCAATGCTCATGGAAGTCGACGGCGGGGAAGAGGAGGGATCAGATTTTGACGAACCTGCACCCCCTCCAAAAAAGAAGAAAGCTGCACCAGCGAAAAAGGCTGCACCGGCAAAAAAAGGGAGAGGAAAGAAGGCTGTTGCTGTGGGTCTACAAATTATGATATGGTGCACAGAGTGCTGACTGGAGTTAACGCAGAGTGAATCTGAGGAAGTTATGAAATTAGACGATGATGACGATGAGGAAGACGAGGCACCACCGAAAGTTACTAAAAGGACAAATCGTGCCGCGGTATTGAGGTTGGTTCTGGTCATGTTCTGGCTCCCTACCATATACACTAAAACCACCTAACTCTAGTCAACCCGCAAAGAAAGCTCCTGCGAAGAAGACAAGCACTACGAAAGGGAAGACGTCGACGTCCGGACAGGGCACATTGACTTTCGCGCCGTCAGGGCGGTCCTCTACACGGGCCGCGGCAACACGGGCAAAGGGCAAAATGGCCAATGTGGTAAGTTACATTGTAGTGTTTTTCAAGATTTACTCAATTGATTCTGTGATTTGTAGGTCGAGGTAGATAGTGATTGATTTCACGGTTCCACATGTTTCATGTTCTCAGGCTGAATACACTAGGAAAATGGCACTGTGGTACTTTTTATCAGATTACTGAATCTGACACACTGGACACATGGGTGCAATTGATGGTTAGGTACGTTTATGAATTGGAAGCTACGAACAAGGATGTGCGGTCATAAGTTTAAGCTGCTCGACGCTTCTCGGTATGAACAATTCTACCTAATTCACCCATAAAAGCACTGGTTTGCCTACTTTTGATTCTGCGAGGCGCGTAAGGTTTTGCCTTTACAAAGGCTCCGAATCAAGCCGTTTTCAATGACTAACAACTCCCACCGCAGTGATATCCGATCGCCGATAGGCTCACGCCCGGCGCTCATCTACCGTTCATTCGTTTCATTCAGCCTAAACGTGCCCTCTGAAAGTCCTAATGCATGCGACTCTATACGATCTACCGCATGAGATCTTCCTTCTCATAATTGCATACACGCTCTCCTTTGGATCCGTCCCAAGGTAACATACTGTGTGTCAACCACCAGTTCTACAACGTCGGCGTGGAATGGCTTTATAGGACCCTGTGCTTTCGCTCTCTAGAACAGCTAAAGCTTTTTGCACAGACGAGCGAGAACATGGGTGTAGCACCGCGTTCGGTAACTGTCGACCTGACAGGCAAATTTGCGAGATCAGATGTCTGGCAACATCTTCGCGAAGCGTTGTGCAGGTGCCGCGATCGTACTAGGAAACTGGGGTTAAGGGAGAAGCAGATCCCATTGGAGATTCTTAGTCTGAAGCTCCATTCATACTCACGGGATAGCAGCCACCATGTGTTCGAAGAGGCACTGTCCATTGCCAAGTGAGTAGATAATGACGGATGTCTTCCCAGAGGTGCATGGCCCTGATGTAATGTTGCTGCTAAAATTATGTTCTGTAGTCCCCGAGTATTTCGGTGGACCGGACCTGACCCGGATCACCACTTCTCCACTGCGGTGCGTACGCTCAAAACAATCATGTGGTTGAATAAAGTCTGACGGGAAATTTCCAAGATCGTTGCGCCCGTAGCAAGCCGCCTGTGTAGAACATTTGGCATTTGGTCCAACATTCAAGATATCACGGTCACTAACATCACCTTCTCCGTCGAATCGGACGATTCAGTAATGCCATTACTTCCAGAGATTCCCGGTCTTCGCACTCTCTATGTGGGTCAGGCGACGTTCCTGAGTGCAGGGTCTGTTGCGGCACTGTTCTGTGTCAATAGAATGGCGAGCCTGGAAAGGGTGAGGCTCGTGGATGCCTACTGTGAGAGTATTTGGGGCTCTAGAATTCGGAGGTCGGATATCGAGAAGGCAGTCCAAATTATAATGTTTCCCCAGGATGCGGCACAATACGAAGGTGTACTTTCACGCATTCGGAATATACTTACATGCGAGAAGAAGACGGAGCGTATAATTGGAGGGGATCGGGTGGAGGGTAACATCTTTCTGGTTTGAGCTGTAGAGGTAGAAATAGAGATATACAGAGACAGAAGGAGACGGCAGTAGTACATTACAGTACACATGGCCAGGGGTGACATTATATCTCGACTTCTCGAATACCGTCTTTGTCAACCACTTTGACCTTGTATTTTCCCGGGTTAACGACCAGACGCTTCGACACCTCATCGATGCAACGTTTCAGAACAGCAAGGCCCTCTTCCAGGGATGCTTCTGGATCATGATAACTAGTTAAGGGTGGTCAGCAGACCATCTCACCGAGTAGCAAGAAAGAAGGAGCCAAGGATCAACAACGTACCGGTCGAGCAAACTCAGAGCAAAGTAACTACCATATCCATGCGCAGCAAAGGGGACTTCCACCGCTGTCCCCAAGTAATCAATCCAATACAAGTTCGGTGCGTGCAAGGACGTATCATATCCGCCTAGCAGCAAGTTGACTGAGTACGGGCTTCGTGATCTCAGAGATTCCGCTATTGAACGGCGGATCCATGATGCGGCCGCGGCTGGGCGAAGAGGATACAAATTACGGATTTGGTACAGACGAATGTTGCGCTCGACGAATTCAGCGAACTGAACGGTATCGCCTGTTTCCAGTGTGTATTTTCAGAAATAATGGAATGGGTGCATATCAGGGTTGTACTGACCTGGTTCACCCGAGTACGCCATGAGAAGATGAGGACTGAGCTCCTTGATTTTGTCTTGGTCGATCTGCATCTTGACAATGGATCTGGCTGCAGTAGTATCAGCAGCTACTATCACATAGCCCTTGCCAGTTATTGCAAACGATGTTTCCATGTTGTGTTTGTGGTGGTTAGAATGAGGGCTTTGAGGACGCGTACTACTACGACGCGCGTCACATTCAATTTTTTGCCCAATTTGTTAGCCAACTCCCTTAGCATCGAAAAATGTCAGAAATAACAATGATTGCCTTAACGGGTTATTCAAACCTATAGTCGCCTTTTTTGTCTAGGCGCGCGTGCGGGCATGGAGGCCCTCCAGATCCCTGAAAATTCCTGCGCTCTATCGGTCCACCGCTTTTTTCACATCTTCGCATGAGGTGATATCGACATCATCGCATCTCTGTGTCCGAGTCAAAAAAACAACGACTCGGAGTTTCTGAAACCTTGCATTTGCTGTGGGTTCCCGCGAACTTCTATCCGCCCCTGTTTCTGAGGTATGCCACCCTTTTTTTCCTATTCAAAACCGGTGCGACGCTGTGATATGTCTGCTGCGCGTCTTGATGTCCGCAGCGCCTGTGTTTCGTTTGTCTTCAATCAGTGATCTACTTTCGGCCAAAAAAAAAAAAAGATATGCGCGAAACGCATCGCATTGTAAGCAGCGTCGTTCGTTTGTCAGTTATTCTGTGTGCTTACTCTCCTCGCATAAACAATCGAAATAGGACCTGTACTATTCCAAACGTCCCTGTAGTTCCCCGCGGTCAGTCGCCGGGGGGCCTGGGGATGCCTCTGGACACTTTAATCACGGTCAATCTATTCCCCTCTGTTCCCCTTTGTCCATCTGGGCTAATCTCCGACCCTGTGAAATGGGATTAATGGCATTTCGCGTTTGACTGTAACTAAAGCTTTTGTGGTGCGCATAAAGTGGCGGCCACTTTGAAGATAAACACTCCGTTCCCGACGCCTTGACATGTGCCCATGTGTTTCAAACAGACTCTTCGATCATCGGTGACAACTCCATTTAAACAAATCAACACCACAGACTGGTGCTGGTAGATTAGGTTACTCCTAGCAAAGTTGAGATACGCGCTAATAGGAAAACATGGGGATCTCCATCAGAATAACAACAGGAGGACGGACTTTGCCAAACTGAATATTAAACCTAAAGCCGCGTCATATTACGGATTCACTATCTAGCAGCTGTTGTCTGTCTACCCTTACGTTTTGTCGCTTCGGAACGTCATGTCCTGGTGCTCAATTGTTTAGAGAAAGGAATTCGTAGAACACCGGGTTGGTATCGAGGATCAGTCGACTGGACGCCCATTTAGCACTTTTACTCCTAAAATTTGGTAGCTAGTGTCGGTGCTAGATCCACGCGGATCTTGAGGACAGCCTTGGTGAATTTGTCCCCAGGAGGATTCACACGTTCTTTCTTTTCGACTGTTTTCCGCCGGTCTCACAGTGTTCGTCACCAACTCAACGTGGCCGCGTCTTCAACTTGGGAATTCGCTGCGTGGATCCCCCAGAATTAAGATGCTGCTGCTATTCTCTTGTACTATGACCTCTTGGAATCTGAGGTACCCAGTACGTACAGATAATTTCGCCAATGAACTTGGTGGCCTGACTCCCAGATTCACAGGAAACTCATTGCATCCCTTCAATTCAAACTCACGTGGGTTACGAGATATTCCACACTTGGCGTGTTACTCAACCTGGTACGGAGATCTGAGAACTGCCAACGACCAGTTCAAAGCCGCATCAAGAAGTTTTGCTCAAAACACACCCAGATCTCATTACGCCAGCAAAACTAATTTAAATATAGCCGAGCGAAAGTCTTGATGTGGGTCAACCCATTCGATAAATATCGGGAGGTATGCCAATCCGTTGAAACTAACTGAACCTCTGTCCAATAATGCCTTCTAGGTCATCTCCCGTTTACGCCAGCTCCTCTCCTGCTTATGAGTCATATACCCCTTCCTCCTCTTCCTCTTCTTCTTCATCATCCTCTTCCGAGAACATCATCTATGGCGGCACATCCTCGTACCCACCACCCCGCAAGGCATGGGTAGACCCTAAGAGCTTGGCCAACTGCGGAGATGCATCCCAAATACAGGGAAATGTATCCCCCTACGTCAAGCAACTTATCCTCAATACGTTCATTGCGTACGGAGCTGGTGATGAGCACTGCTTTGGTCATTCCGTTGCCAAGGCAGTCAAGTTCATCGATATCAGTGCCCACGAGAGCCACGAAAAACAAGGTCGTATGGAGGCAACGACTACTGCAGAAGTTCTTGTTTCAAAAAGTACGTTAGCGTGCGCGAGTCATATTTAGCGAGTACTCATAAGACGCTTAGGCATGTTGAACGGCGCGGGAATGCTCCATGGAGGTTGTCTGGCGTTTCTGATCGATAAGTGAGTACGAAGTGATCTGATGCTCTTCGGGATGTTCTGACAGACTACTACAGCTGCTGCAGCACTCCATTGGTCGCTCTGGGACTGATACAAAACATTAATGGAGTGGGAGTCACTCAGGCGATGAACATCATCTTTCATTCACCTGCACCGATGTACGTTGGTGTGACTGATTCCCATCGCTACCCACTCACACTTCTCTAGTGGATCGTGTTTGCGTATCATCAGCACTTCAATCGCTATGGGCGGCCGAATTATGAGCGCACGATGCGAGGTTTGTTTTCTTTGTCAATTGATCGACGATTTATTGATGAATTTTCTCTGCTCAGGTGATTAACAAAAAAACAGGCAGTGTAGTTGCCTCTGCATATCTCAACAAAATGCAACCGACTCTTTCAAAACTGTGATGATTTTGTCCCTTTTCTGTTATCGACGACTCACACTGTATCGAAAGCAATCTCTCCTCGCATGTACCAAACTAAGCATAATCAATAGGGTTGTATGATGATAGATACTGTATGTATTGGGATTTTATGGTGGTAACAGCCTAGATGATTCTAACTAGAATATACTTATCCTTGGTTCAAGATCGGCCGAAGGACCGAAGTGGATTCATAAATTTAGTAGAGAGTTACTAGTTACGCGAGGATCCCTGAATAGCCAGCCCTCTCAGGAGTATCCCGATCCAATACCATTCTTGCGGTGCTTCCTGACATTGACCGATCAGAAGTCCCGAAGACAAGCTAGCGGGTATCTCCGCAACCAAGCCAGGCCCCTAGACGATAATATTGCGGGTTGCTTCGCGGAACCTTTCATTATCCTATGTATGTATGATAGCCGTATTCAAGCTCGTCTTGTGGTCAAACGTGGACATAGGTAGCAAATGTCATTTATTCGACGCGACCGCCGCCTTCCACCGGTGGGAGTGGCTGCTCAGCGTTCCGTTGTACATTATTTATATCTCATCACGATGCGGGAAGACGAAGTACGAAGGCACGAAGAGTTTGATAAGTGAACCCGAGCCGTTGTTTTTTCTTATCGCCGTTTGTAAACGGTGCATCCTCGAGAAGCAATCGCATGACGGACGACGATGCAAGGCGTACGGAGCCAGAGTCTGAGAGGAATATATATACTCCACTCTCATGGGTTACGAGTCCGAGGTTTTTTGAGCATACCGGAAGCAATGTCCTAGTGGTGGAAGGTCCATCAAAGGAAGCAATCGTCATATTTTTGGCAAGTTTTTGGCCTCAGTTTTGCAAAAAGTCGATATTTTCATTTGATCTGAATCCTCAAAAATGACTTCTCAGTCGCCATCAGTAAAAATCCATCATTGATGTTTACCTGTCCGCAACTACAGCGTCGCAAGGGCAGCAGCTGCCAGCTTCCGCCATAAAGAACACACGTACGACACTGGTGAGAAGTTACGCTAGAAGGGAGAGCAGAAGCGTAGCGTCGCAAAACAGCAACCGCCTGCTTCGGCTAGTATGAAGCCACGCGTGTACGAGAGCGGTGAGAATGTGTAGAGTGCAAGCGAGTCGTGGAGGCAACCTGCGAGACAGGAACCGATCGGGTAACTGGGACGGACAAGTACATGTACAGTTAGTGTGCGGGATTGCCCTATAAACGTGTAACGAGACTCGATGAGATATGGGGTACCCTATCGACCCTTGTTCAACGCCGAGTTTCATTTTGAATGTGCTTCCTCGAGACACTTAATTCCGTTCGATTGACATCCATGAGAAAGTGCGTGGATGACGTTGTTCCACTGATCAAAACGTCAGGTCACTACCCAGTCCGACTCGGGTGCCAGTAAAAGGGAATGTGCCTCCACCGAACCGCTCAACACCCAAGTTGACATTCTGACAAGACTTCGAAAGAAGCGGTCTCAGGAAGTCGGGTATCAAGGGACAAATCTGGAGAGGGACCATGTGTTCACGAAAGCGCAGCCAGACGAGGCACAATCTGATGATAAGTTTCTCACAAGGGGATTGAGTTCGAGTAAGCTTCATAAGGTCGTTAAAGACATGAATGGGACTAAACCAAACTGCATACGCCATACTTCTTGCCAAGATGCGTCATCAACTAGCTCACCAATCATTGCGCCAGATGTTCAGAGTCCGCAGGTCCATCACGGCACTTCTTGTCTACAGCAAGGCGCTCAGCCACCTTCTCCACTTCCCTCTTCCAATCTGTTTTGAGGCAGATCCAAATGCTAACAGTCGACGCGTAAAGCAGAGCAACCGTGAGACCACACCAAAGCCCTGCGAGTTGCATGTCTTGCTTGAAGGCGAGCCACAGCCCAAAGGGAATCCCAATGACGTAGTAGGCGCTGAAGAACGCATAAGTAGACGTCGAACCAAATCAACGGATTTGACAGTTTACCTAAGATTAAGTAAAGCTCCAGTGAACTGATAAGGACAGGTTAGCCAAATAACGGCCGAAGCATGGTAGAACGCTTACCTGTTTGCCTCTAGCTCTCAATATTCCGGATGTAATAGCGCATGCAAAGTCGGGCATTTGGAACAAAGCTGCGACCGGCAGGATAGTTGCTACAAGTGCCACGACCTCTGTCAATGTGAGCCATACGTCAGGTGGGTAACTTTCGCTGTTGTGGTATTCGGACACACCGGGATCGTTGTTGAATAAATAACCCCATGACTTGCGGAAAGCCATCAAAACAGTACTGGTCAAGGTCTCAAAAAAGTGGTCTCAAACGCAAGTGAAAGGAAAACAAACGTAAAGAATCCTGCTGCCACAGCAGAGAGAAGAATAGCTGCATTCGCAGAAACTCCAGCACGCCTTGCATTCTTTTCCCCAAGAAGATTTCCGATACTGTGGTTTCAGTTAGGAATGATATGCTGCCTGCGCAAAACAGGAACGAACCGGACGGAGGTCGCAATACCCAGAGAAAATGCGGCTTGGAAAGTGGACGAACAAGTCGATAAAAGAACCGATTGGGTTGCCAAAGCTGTAGGCCCAAGTCTATATATGGAACGTCAGTTAATTCGATGATAATGGAACGTTACACTCACAAGCTAGCAGCAACTGTGAAATCGAGATTCAGCGTGTTTCTTCCAGACAAGGAAAAATACGTACGTCCGATTAGTTCCCACGACCACCACTCTGAAGCAACCTGACCTATATTGAAGATGAGTAGTTTTGGATGAGCTTGGAAGCGTGCACTATTGCTTCAGCTACTCACCAACGCCACCTAACCCAAGCTGGACAAGAAGACCTAAGGAAGTAAGGGATCGCCGTGAAATCGGATACCAGGCGGTCTTCTCAACAAAGAAAACGCCGTAGATGACAGAGGCTATCGACACAAGATTGTAGGAAATCGATGTCGCTATTGGGGCGCCAATGAAACCTAATCTGATCGGTTCTGGACCCCATACTACAGTGAACGCGTAAGTGTGTGAGATGATCAAACCCAAGCATTGAAACATACCCAGCAGATAATTCATGAGTACATTGAGAGGCGCTACCGACATGATGATACGAGTCGGCACAGCGAAGAGACCTTGGCAGGTATTGATGGTAAGCGTCGAACCACAGGTCAGAACAGACTTACACACCTTGGGACTGGAAATATCGGCTAAGGGGCCAATTAGGACAGTGATTCAGAAGATAAGAAAGCCAAGCTTACCGGGAAATACAATTGAATGCGTAGGCTGGCAGACCTAACGAGGCCCATTTCAAGTAGATACCAGCAAGCCGCGCAACCTCCGGTTCCTGCTTCAGTAAAAGCAGGATAGGCTCTGCATTGAACCAAATGGCAAACATAGGCTAATAACCCAATGATTCATTCAAAAACACGTTCGACGGTATTCGATGACTTACTATGAGTGTGACAGCCACGACAACGGCTTTTGGTAACGAATGATGAGTGACGAGCATCAAAAAGACAATCATACTCACTCATGCGCTGCGTCCATAATCCAACAAGGTGTGGTTGATCAGAAGTCCAAGCCCCGGGAAGCATTGTGTCTAAGGATGAAACGAGACCATGAATGATGCTCAGACCAGTGACGTTAGCAGTCATGAACCCAATAGTCGCGGCAGCAAGAGCGACGGTTGAGATATGGCCTATGGAGACTACGGATGCCATGATCATGCTGTGCTCAAAGACATGCGTGCTAGTAGTAGAAAGGTTTGAGTCAAATGACAGTACATTTGATGTATGAACTCACCCAAAGACAGGCAATGTGTATTTCAACAAGATACCTAGTTCTTCCCAGAACATTTGAGTGGTGGTAGGTTCATGTCCATCACTAGGAAAGTCTACCTCCTCCCTGATGAGTGGGATCAATGGCGCCAAGAGGGGCGTATTCTCAGTTGGCTGAAGCACATTTGGTGCTTGGGGAATTATTTTCATGAACGGTTGGGGCGGAAGAATATAAGATGAAGGGAAGCTGGTGCGCCTAACCTGCTTCGGTGGTGCAAGCAAGCCATCCTCTTCACCGTATTCTTCCTGGTCGTTCCTGATAGAAGAGGCTCCAGATTCTTCTTGATTTTCTTCTAAAAGGGGATCCGCAAAACGAGATAAAATGGCATAATCTTGAGGAAGGGAGGACGGTGTCCCAGATATCTGAGATAAGTGCGCCATTCCTTCAACTTTGGTTTCCGAGTCAAACGGAAAAAAAAGGTTAAAAAACTGGTAAGTGCAAATGGATAAGTGGGCGTTGTTTGATATTCAAATGGACTGATCATTCACCTGTTGAAATGAAGTTTTGCCCAATCTTCCACAGGTTGGGTGCTCGGTGAAAAGGAGACCAGAGATAACGGGGAGAAGTAGGTAAAACGGATTTCATTTCGATCAAATTTATTATATAGATTGCATAACTAAAAGATGCGGAGTTGATTGTCAGGTGTGCCGTCATGTGATATCTGCAGATTTAACTTCTGCACCACCGGCATCGTCTTTCTGATGGAGAGGATTGCGTTATGACGACTCACCTGTACAAAGAACTCAAACCATAATCCTATCAATGAACTCCATCAAATGAAATCGCAGAAGATGATGTGTATACTTATTTGGCTTTCATCTCCGATCACGTGATCACGCGCCGAAGTCGCGTCGGGAAACTCAACTAAACCACATATACCGTAATGGCGACAAAAAGCTGCGTCTCAAGGATCTATCGTCAAGGTATCCTCAAATCACCCACTCCGAAACGTACCATTTGCGATTCCGAACACACTTCACAACCACGGAAAGCCTTTGGCGACCTTGACGACGCAATGGATTCTGACAGTTCAATCGAGATGTTCGAGGGTAACCTGTTTGCACAGGAAAACCAGAAGAGGGAAAAGGACTCGAGTAAGAAGCAACCCAAGCCGTACGAGTCTTATGGCTTGTTCCATGCCTTGAATTCAATATGTCGATACATAGAATCCACCCATTCTTTTCGGAGCAGTCCAGTCGTAAAGTTGCCTTTACTTCTACATTGTCTAAATCGAATATCAAGGTGGCAAATCTCGACGAGAATCTCATAAGTACAGAATCCGTTGCACTGCGACCCGATAAAGTACTCAAGAAATCCCTGAATCACACGAGCACTATGGAGACTGAGGTATCCAGGTCAGTTCCAATCACATAGCCGAGTGTAGATCCTTACTAGAGTTAGACAGGGAATTCCTCCGAAGAAAATGGATGGCGACAGTAACAAAGCAGAAGCATACAACAGCGAAACCTTCACCAGTATGGCAGTAGCTCGAAGCTCAGGCCCCGGAGGGAGAATGCCCGAATATTACAAAGGAAAAGGTAGTCGAGTTACATTGTCAAAGTCTATTTCCATCACCGAAACAGTCTCCTCAATGCCTAACTTGCCCACTTTCTCCTACAAAAATTACTGCTTCCCCTCACCCGCCGTTGTCTACACGCGCTGCGAGGATGATGCCAACAGATTGGTTCAAACACTTGAAAGGTATGTCCACATGTAACTGTCATTGCAAAAGCAATACCGAAGCATTCAATGCTATTATAGTCCCCTTGGATTTGACCTCGAGTGGCGTATACAATGGAATTCTGGTGCCCAGGAACGACGAACAGCACTAGTGCAGCTGTGCGACAGATCGACTATCTTGCTGATCCAGGTAAGCCAAATGAAACGTGCGTTGTCCCTCACTTATGGTCTACTGCCACCTGAATACTTGGCTGTGTGGCAGGATTTCCGGAAAGGCTCTTGGTAAGTCAAATTAGCTGGATAGTGTCATTAATGCTGTCCATTCACGGCCCGTAAGGAAGTAATTCAGTCGCCAGACATCGTAAAAACAGGAGCGAACATCCACAGTGCGTAGCTTGGAGGTACCAGCTGTGATTTACCTGATGAAAACTGGTAGATGATGGCGAGAAATTGTATCGTGACTTTGGGATCACAGCCCAGGGACTCGTCGAGCTTGGTGCGCTTGCGCATGTCGCAGATGATGCTTTCTCTAAGATATACAAGCGACGGGTAGTCAGTCTCGCCAAGATGGTTGCTATGTACCTCAAGTTCAATTTAGCGAAGAGCAAAGAACGTACTAGTAATTGGGAGGCAGACCTGAATGATAAGATGGTGCATTGTGAGCTCCCAAACGTGATGCAGGAAACCTTTGACTGATGACTCCCGTCAAGATGCGGCGAATGATGCATATGCAGCGTTGATGGTACACCTGAAGCTCCTGGACTTGGCCAAAGCTGGCGACAAAGAACTTGATCCAACAAAGTATACTAGCTCAGTCGATCCACCTAGTCAAAGGACGGGTAGCACCAAGGTGATAGCATCACCTACGACGCTGGAATTCAATGCGCCATTATTAGCACCAACGCCCCCTCGCCCGCAATACATGCGGGCTTATAACCTATGGCACCACCGGAATACACCCCTTGATAAGATGTGCGACATATTAAAGACAGGTGGGCGAGTGGAACCTCTGAAAGAGAGTACGGTGATGTATGTAGTATCACCGTCACGTTGTTTCGAAGCTGAATTCGAACAGATCGTACGTGGTGGGTGCCATCCAGGCAGATACGTCGCTGCCGTTCGATATGAATAAGCTGTTAGAGCTGGTAAAGATGGAGGCGGGAAGTTGGTCACGACATCGAGCATGGTTGATGGCGACAGAGAGGAGCGGCCGTGGATGTTGTGTGCCGCCGGAATCGAAATAATTTAACGGCCGACAGGCTGGATGCCGCCGACTGGCCGCATTGCGGAGTATGTATGTACAGCAGCAGGTTGTATGGTATATAAGATTGGGGCAACGTTCCCATGTTGCAGGAACTCAAACTCTACTTCTGGATGGTCTGGCTAGGGGAAACTTCGGTAGACTAATTTCTTCATGGAAATTTGGCGATCAGCCTAAAGGTGCACGCGCATAGCTCACCCCCAAATTAAATAAATAGATTGAGGAAAAGGAAACTTTGAACTAAGCGCAGATAACTTAGGTCCCTACCACGGTGCCTGCGTCGGAATGTACAGCGATTCTCGCTAAAAGTGCAGAGGATTCCCTGAATCTACCTGAATTATGAGTAGTATCCCAACTGAAATCAAACATCCACGCGCATGAAGCACTCTAAGTTTAGGTAGAAAAAGCCTCAGTCATTTCGATCGCCACAAGACTGATTACATGTGACCTTCAGATACGAGGGCATCGGCAATACCAGACCATTGTGATCTGGAGGCTGAACAAAGACCGAGCAGGGAAGGTACTAGACCAAAGTCAAATATGGTGACATGGCAATACTTCATTGGAAGCCTGTTTCCAATGCATCGACAAATTCAGAACACAGTTGGGTCATCCCGTACTTATTACACAACACCAGTTGATGGCTATAGGTTGGTTGAACCTGCAAAGAAAGGCCACAAAAGGGCCATCATCATGCTTTCAAGATTTATTCGCTCACCAATCGGACTCGCGTCGCCGAACCAAAAAACAACAAAACTTGAAAGGCGCGAGTGGTTTTGATTGTGATAGATTAAATGGCAGCCTGTCATAACATGCTAGAAATAGTGCATCAGCTACTGAACGAGTTATTAGCCGTATCGGAGAGCAGGTACAGTGAAAATATTGATTCAAGTGAGACACTGAGGAAGGCAGTCTTCAAAGTTAAACTAGGTACCTGATGAAACGTATGAAGCAGTGCCACGTGACAATATAGATTGCTCCCGATTCAGCACCGTAACCGCGCGTGCATGAATTTTCCTACTCACGACTCACGAGCCACCATTCTCTCGCTCTTCCTCACGCACACCTCAGTTCATGATATAACTCCTCATACTTAACATCCATCAGCTACTACAGCAAATATTCACAGTACCAACAAGTGTTATAATCCTCTCAAACCAAGTGACACGTCAATTTCCGTCATGTCGCACAAGCATGATGCTCGTTCGCAGTCGCAGACCAGTAGACTCCTCGTCGTACGTCTAAAATCATCATATTTCATCGCCCTTCAAGTAACCACCGACTCTAATTGTAGATTGGCACAGTGCTCTTCTACCTTGTAGCAGCACTATGTGTACGTCCGTCTCCAACTCATTACCCTCCTCTTCATTAATCAATCCCTTTGCATGCAGATGGTCATGGCGTAATTCTTTCCCTGTCCCAAAATTTACCGAGCTCACTCACCCGTCTTGAAATACAGGAATAAATGGGTTCTCCAGACGACCGCTGCCCCGCTCTTCTTCCTCTTTTCCCAGCTTATCATTGCCGTCATTCTTTTCATCGCCGCACATGCAACCCGCCTCTTAGTTGTGCCTTTGTATGTAGACACTCAGCTTCTGATCCAGCTCGCCCCCACCATTGGGTTGAATGTCGTTGGATTGAGGTATGACTTGCATCAACGACACCAGGTTTTGACATTGATTCGTTTGTCTTGCTGCCAGCTTCAGCAACTATACCCTCAAGTATGTCGATGCATCTGTGTATCAAGTTGCACGCGGTCTCGTCCTCCCCTTCACAGTCCTTACCTCTTACTTCTTCCTCTCCGCACGGCCCTCCCTCCGCATTTTGTTCAGCTGTTCCATTGTTACCCTGGGCTTCTTCGTTGGCGTCTTTTTCGATTCTGTCCCCATGGTTATCGCCGGTATTGGCTTTGGCGTTGCAAGTTCCGCAATCACAGCAGTGCACAGCGTGGTCATCAAAAAGAGCCTGGATATAGTCAAGGGTAGCGCCATGAATCTGTCTTGGTATACGAATTTGCTTAGCGCGGTTGTGATGATCCCCCTCATCGTACTCGCCGGCGAGGTCCCGGCTATTACGGATTTATTTTTCGGAGTAGGCGTTGTCCCTAAAGAAGGAGAGCTGAGTGACTTGCAGACGTTCGTTTGGGGCTCCTTTATCACTGTGAGTCTTCAAACCGGCTTTGGTGACTTAAGTTGTTGTTGACTGATGTATCATTAGGGTGCTCTTGGCTTTATGATGAGCCTTGCCAGCCTGTTGTCCATCAAAGTTACGTCGCCTATCACACACATGGTGTCTTCCGCAGTAAGAGGCGTGGCAGCGTCCATGTTAGGAATGTGGTTATTTGGAGACATCATTTCGAGGCACGTGTTTTCCATCTTCATCGTGTCGTGTGACTGTATCTCTTGCGTCCGTTCGCCGCGAGCTCCATCCTTTTGTGTCGGCATGATTCTTGTGATTAACGTTTTCTTTCTACAGTGGCCGTGCATCCTCGATTGCAATCATTCTTCTGGGGTCCGTTTACTACACGTGGGTGAAACACGTCGAATCTCAGCAAACTTCCAAGGACGGAAGCAAGTATAACCGTGTTTCTCTGGACGATGTTGAAGCTGGAAAAGAGTTTAGCTCAAAACCTGAGTGAGAGTACGAGAGTGTACATTACCCGCGCAGGGAGCGAACGCGCATGGATATTTCTAAAATTACGCCTTACTTCTGGACAGAACATTGGCTATGAGTTGTGATAGATACCCTGAGTACTTATTTGATTCGAAGCAGATAATGCAATAGAGTGTCATGCGTAAGATTGTTATCACTGGAAAAGTACACAAGATGAATGTGGTCTGCTAGCACAATAAATTCACGTCCGAGTCGAGCAGACGTCAGCTTACCTCGCGGAGGGCAAGTATCGCCATGTCACAACTTTGCTCCTTCCTTTCGTTTGCGTTCCTCTTCTCTCTTCCGTCTCGCCAATAAGGCTTTACCAGCACGACTTGTAGTCTCACGCCCGAGTACCCCAGAGATCCACTCCCCGATTCCTGCGAGTCGAGCTAGGTCAATGGGACCTACATCCCATCGACTTTGCGCCGTCTTGGCGGGCTCGCCATTGCCTACAATATTTTAGATATTCAGCTTACAGAGAAAACTAAATGAGGCTTCACCGTATGGTTCACCGATATCGCCGAATAACTTATCTCCAACAAGAGCATAGACGACATCTTCCGTTGCAACATTACCCGTGGCGCCAGGACTATACGGGCACCCTCCAAGGCCACCAACGGACGCATCGAATGTCCGCAACCCAAAGTCAAGAGCAGTCATGATATTGGCAGTCGCTGTGCCATTTGTATCGTGGAACTACACAGTCCAAAAGAACACTGACTCAACCATGAGATAAGATACAAGCGAGCGAGTCTTACATGTCCGGCAAGGACTCCTACGTCTACCTCTTTCGCAACTTCTTCAAGCATCTGGCGGATACTGGCGGGCGTCCCTGCGCCTGTGGTGTCTCCCAAGCTCACCTCATAGCACCCCATCTGTACGAGCTCCTTCGAAACATCCATAACCCGCCTCGGATCCACGCGTCCAGAAAAGGGGCATGTGACGACTACTGAAACATATCCTCGCACCTTCAAGCCAGCATCAAGAGCTCTGCGCGCAACTGGCGCGAGACGTTCGAGAGAACCTGAAACAGAGACGTTGGTGTTTGCGAGAGAAAAAGCATCTGTGGCAGAGGTAAAGATCGCAACTTCGGTGACTGGAGGCGGGGGCTTTGCATGCGAGTTTGGAGAAGTACTAGGGGAGAGTATGTCTAGGAGATCATCTAACCCTTTCTGATTTGGGACGAGCACCGAGTAACCGGTTTTCGGGAAACTGTCTATGAGAGCCAAGACCTCTGCCGTGCCTGCCATCTGTGTGCCACGTCCGCATATTAAGGGTGTTAAAGTGTGTTGGAAGTAGAGACGTACCTGAGGTACCCATTTTGGGCTTACGAAGCTGCCAGCTTCGATATTACGCATTCCTGCGATAGCGAGTTTATTGATGAGTTCTGCTTTGATGGGAGGTGGAATTGGCTTGGGTTCATTCTGGAGACCGTCGCGAGGCCCGACTTCGACTATCTTTACGAAATTGGGGTTGGTTGGGCTTGCTGTGCTTAGCGTGGGCTGTGAGGTAGAGAAAGACTTGAAGGATGTCTTGAGGGTTGAGCGCAGGATCCGGGACCGAATGCATGAAGAGGTGAGGGATGGATAGAGCATGTAGAAAGGTTGAAGCGAACAGCGACTTCGCAGCCCGCCGCGGGAAGAGTACTTGCCACATTGATTGCCACGGATGTTTAAGTTAGCCTGACACTTTCCACCATCATTCAATGATGCGCCTATTCTATGTACCAGGTCATCATCAGTGCCTATCGTCTCCCGTGAAGAGATACGATCCTCACGGTATATCTTAATTATGACATCCGCACGAGTGTCAATCATCCGAGTCCACTTCGATTCGCTGGCAAGTCAATATTCAATCCATACCTGCAATCACAGGTTGACAGTTCTTGTAATCTATGTGGCAAAGAATGATCCAGTCTGACGACATGATATCATCTTATTGCCAACCGGACCAACTTTTCGAACATTTCTTCATCACATCGTTTTTCACTCGCATCATTACGTAAAAAAACGTGTCGTGGTCAGCGGCATCATGCCGTTGAGTGACGGCACAACGCAGAATTCACGTTTGATACTGAATGTTACACACCACGACTCATATGTCTGGTTACTAGGGAAAATACAGGAAACATCAATTCCCGCGACCACCTCTGGAGCTAGGGAGACTCGAAGGTGTGAATAATACCCTCGTCACGTGCCACAATAGGTTCAAGAACTGCCGTCTTCCTTGGAAAGCAGTAAAAATGATTTCGGGCATGATATGCCCATACCATCGGGTTAGAAGCGCGGCCCGTCACGGTTACGACGATCGTCAGATGCACCGGCCGGCAGGCTGGTCGTCGTGTGTAGCATGCCAAATACCGATGCCCCTTTTGTGAGTGATCAACCATACTTCCGCCAACTTAAAATGGCCCTAGACTACCATTTCCACTAACACAAACATCCTATCTCGCCAACAATATTAGCATTCGGAGTCTCGCGAATCACACAAGAACACGCGAGATAAACTAATTGTGATCAATATTGACGATGATTCACTAGGAACAACTGTCTTCATGATGCTCCTGCGGCCCTCTGGCCACGGACTCGGATGACCGCTTGGCATTATTTACCATGTGATCGAAAATCAGTGTATCGCGTGGGTACGAATGTATGTACCTTCATCCATACTACTGACCATCTGCATTCGACAGGAAAAATTTACCACCGAGATTCTCTTAATGTACGGTGTTTCCACGTCATACCGCTCGGTCAGTCGTATGATTAAGTTGCTTCAACCTATATCTATAGGAGGTTGTTATGGTAAACTACTCAGGGTCCAGGGATCAGACTGTGATCGCTGGCGAGAGTTCCCCCACATAATTTTATGATATAGGTTCCATCTTATACTATCGCTGTTCCTCCCGTTCCTCCAACATCCTCGAACGCCGGTTTATTCGTTCGACAGGGCAACAGGATGCCGTCTCCCATCGAACTGAACCTTACATCCTCTTCTCTATCTATGTTCGAGGAGAAAGAATTACTCAGCAAGTTGCCATCAACGCCAACGGCAGTATCGTATCTTTCTGCTATGCAACAGGCAGACGCTCGCACACGCAATCACGACAACTCCTCTGTAGCGTCATCCCCTACACTTTCCCTCTCGCCTTCCATCACAGCTTCCTCTGTAGCATCAACCCCTACACTCCTCTCGCCTTCCATTACAGCTTCCTCCGAGGACACCACCCTCAGCGAGGACGATGAGAACAACTGCCTTGTATATCCCCTTATACCACCTACCTCGGAGCAGGTCTTCACTACCGTTCACACAGAGTTTGGTCACTGTGCGAATGAGGCATATCGCTGCATCTCTAAGCATGACTACACAAAACCTTTCGAGGAGCATACTATCGAGGAGCCCCCATACTATATCTTCCTTGCCACACACATAAGCATGTTTATTCTCCACTTGTTAGGTTATATGCGCGATTTCTTTGGAAAGCGGTTTGCAAAGTCTTATTTCGCCCATCTTATGCCCCAAGATGTATGTGCCATCTTTTATTCTCCTTAAGCTTGCTCATCACACACAACTTGCGTGCGTAGGGCTATGCGCCGTTGAATACAAATTTTGATTCATTCTACACTCGGCGGCTCAGGGGTCGTATGACTGACTGCTTGTGCCAGCCTGTTACGGGTGTTCCCGGCCGCACTATTGTTATCCTCGACCGTCAGTCCACCGATAACAACTATACTCTGACATTCACTGGTGGAAAAACGCGTGCGCTGAATATTTCATCGTACAATTACCTTGGCTTCTCCCAGGGCCATGGCAGCTGCTCAGATGCAGTCAAGGAAAGCATTCGCCGATATGGCATCTCCACCTGTGGCACACGTCTTGAGGGTGGGAGCTCCGAACTCCATGCATCTGCTGAAGCCCTCATTGCGCGTTTTGTCGGCATGGAAGATGCGTTGGTCAGTTCTATGGGATTCGCCACCAACTCCACTTTCATCCCTGCATTGGCGGGAAAAGGGTCCTTGATCATTTCGGACGAATTGAACCACGCTAGTATTCGTATCGGTGCACGACAGAGTGGTGCATATGTCCGGATATTCAAGCACAATGATATGTCAAGCCTCGAGTCCCTGCTGCGTGAGGTAATAAGTCAGGGTCACCCCAAGACACATCGAGCATGGAAGAAGATTCTAGTCATCGTGGAGGGCTTGTACTCCATGGAAGGCACGGTTGTGAACCTGCCTAAGATTGTCGAGCTAAAGCAGATCTACAAGGTCTGTCCTGCAATAACAGTAATTTGTTACGAAGTTTGATCTTCTGTTCAAGTTCCACCTCTACATCGATGAGGCGCATTCGATCGGTGCGCTTGGCCCTCGTGGACGGGGTGTGACGGATTATTTCGACATTCCTCCTAGTTCGATCGACGTCTTGATGGGAACTTTCACTAAGTCCTTTGGTGCTGCTGGCGGATACATCGCAGGGTCGAAAACTCTTATTGACTGTCTCCGACTGCGCGGTCACTCCGGTCCATATGCAGAAGCAGTGGCACCTCCTGTGCTCGCCCAGATCATTGCCTCGATGGCCAGTATCATGGGTGTTGATTTGGCACCACAACCAAACAATTCCACCTTTTCTCTCAGCCCTGTGGGCTCGGTTGTCCCGTCGAGGGACAGTGCAAAAGAGCTTTTAGGTATGGTACCTACAAGCAGCCTGCCGACGTGGATGAACCTTCCTCGGGCTCTTGCAGACGGATCTGAAGCTCGCATGCGTATCCGCCGTCTTGCCTTCAACTCCCGTTATCTGCACGCGGGCCTTAAGAAACTCGGCTTCATCATCTATGGACATTCCTTCAGTCCGATTGTTCCCCTGCTCATCTTTAACCCTGGAAAGTTGCCTGTGTTCGTGCGTATGATGCGTGCGTACAGTCCACCGATCGTCGTCGTTGTCGTATCATACCCCGCCACTCCGTCTGAGACGGCCCGTGCGCGGTTCTGTCCCAGCGCGTCGCACACAAAGGAGGACATCGATACAGTACTGCGTGCATGTGATGAGGTGGGTGGAATTCTGGACTTAAAACATGGTTCGGGCGAGCGGTGGGGAATCAATATGGTTTGTGAGCGTGCCGTGGAGCTTGTACATTCTGTGAACGTTTGAACTCCTGCGTGATTAGTGTCTCCTTGACCCACCTACCTATGTCCATCCATCTATATTCTGTACGAATAATTTAACGAGGAAGGAATCAAGTGCTGTACTTTCCCAGCGCTGTTCCTCTTGGCAGAGCCCTACAGTCTCATAGTAAGTATTCTCCAACGGGCTTAGTCGCGGCTCAGGACCATCGGCTTTACTGGAAGGAGCTCACATGCATGGAGGCGAAGGGTATGATCAACACTGCACATTTATCGTTGATGAAATGTTCGAACGGAAGCAACGAAAACCTAAATAAATCGTCAAAAGATCCTATTAAAGATCAGCGAAGCTTTCTCGCGATTTTGTTGCAGAGATTAACTCGTTTTTTTGGAGCCATGACCGGGATGCCTTAGAAGCGTCTTCGCCGTAGCTAACTCTTGTACTAGTACAAACAATTTCTGTGGAGTGAATGGATTCTGGTTCCACTAGTGACTAGTAGTGCCAACTGGATAGCGACTCGAACTTTTACCACTTACTACCCAATTCTTTCGCGTAGCATCACGCAATGCCTGCATGACTCGATGATATCCGACTAGAGTATTTAGTACTGCATCATCATGTGAGTATGCAGGATCCAAGAATGTGAAATCATGTCACGAGCTCACATAAGTTATGTAAGGCCAGAGCTAGAGTCCATCATTCCGGGCCATTCCGCTCAGTCCCATTTCAATAAACGTCTATCATATTGAATTTCGGCCGGCGCGTATCTCTATTCTTGCTGCCTCACCTCAAGCTACAGCGGCATATCAATCATGAACTTTTTTGTCCGTGCCAGTGCTGCTGAAACCTGGGTCGAACTGAAACCTGTCCGACTGCTTCACTACTGGCTAAACTGCATTCCGAATCCAATCGTATATTGTAAGTTGTCACAAGCCCAATCTCCATCTTTGGTGTATTATGCGGATTTCTTGCCAGCTTGAGCATATTGAAGATGACACTTGGTATCTGAGGCAGTAGGCTCTCGCTCTGAACCGTCACGACAGTCCCCAGCGAAGGAAGTGGAGGGGCTTCCTCGGGTATCATTATCGGTATTCTTTGAAAGTCTTATCTCCAACGTTATTAATATCAGCTGCGGAGAGCCTTTTATCACTCTGTCCCTCTTATCTCCTGAAAATCCAGGCCTTGAAATTGTTCTCCTCCTCCTCCATTCTCGAACGACATGCCGCATTGGACTGAACTTGCTGCAGAGAAAAAGCAGAGACAGCTCAAGTCTATTCCACAAGAGTGGCTTGTGTCTCCTCCTCCAGACTCTACTCTGGACGTGACTGGTTTCCCGGAGACCTGTGGCCTTCTAACTGCACGAGAAATTGAGATCACCAATACTTCGGTGGATGTTTTGTTGGAGAAACTTGCGTGTGGTGAATGGACGGCTGTAGACGTTACCACCGCATTTTACAAGAGGGCTATTGTCGCTCAGCAGCTAGTGAGCCAATTTTCGAGGACATTTGCTTCACGAGATTGTTTTAACTGCCGATAAGGTCAATTGTCTGACGGAAATATTTGTTGATCGTGCATTAGCCCGAGCAGCAGAGCTCGATGACCACCTTAAACAGACAGGGAAGGTCGTTGGTCCCCTCCACGGGCTACCAATCTCTCTAAAGGACCAATTATGTATCAAGGGACTAGAAACTACCATGGGTAAGTAATGAGCAATCAACGATAATTCCCTAGATCTGATAAGTTATAAATCGCTGGTATTAGGTTATATTTCGTGGATTGGGCGATACGCAGAGAAAAACGCTGTGTTGGTCGACATTCTGATCGAGTGCGGAGCTGTGCCATTTGTCCGCACCAATCTTCCGCAGACAGTCATGGTGAGCGCACCCTCAACGTGATTCAGGCTACTATTCGGCGGTTGAACTATCTCTAGTGGCCAGAATCCTTCAATAATATCTTTGGTCGGACGACTAACCCATACAACCGCTCTCTGACCCCGGGCGGTTCATCAGGAGGAGAGGGTGCATTGGTTGCCCTTAAAGGAAGCCCTTTGGGGGTAGGTTCTGATATTGGAGGGTAGGAAGGGATTTGGAACTATGGGTAGCAATCTTCTGACGCTTTCTCGACAGTTCTATTCGTATTCCTGCCTCGTTCTGTGGCTTGTACAGCCTGAGACCGTCATACGGGCGTGTACCGTACTGTGGCGCCCTCAACTCACTCGAGGGTCAAGACTCGGTTCACTCCGTGTTCGGTCCAATGACAAATAGCATCGGCGGGGTCAAAGCGTTCATGAAAGCTATTGTCAATGCCAAACCATGGCTCCAAGATCCTCTTGCTGTTAGGAAGAAATGGAATGAAGACGAGTACAATCTCGCAGACCATGGATCCGGCAAGAATTTGTGCTTTGCGATCATGTGGGATGATGGCGTTGTTGTGCCCCACCCGCCTATCAGGAGGTCTCTGGAAATCACTAAGGCGGCTCTCGAGAAGGCGGGCCACAAAGGTTTTTCTTGTTAACTCTTCTGCTGAATTATGCTCATTCAGTGATAGTTGTTGACTGGAAGCCTATCAAGCACAGGTTACTTGGAGATACTACGGCAAGGAATTATGTTTTTGATTCATTTTACCAATTAACCTAGCGGCATCGTGCAGCGGAACATCTGGAACGCCGCTTCCGTTGAAGACTACATGATTACGACCTCTGTCACAGGGGAACCAGTAATTGCGACGATGGAACTAGATAATTCAGATGCTGCGGCAGCGCCCTTCCGTCCAAAGAAGATCGGTATCACCGCATACCAGCTTTGGCAAGTGCAAAAACTGCGCAGAGATCTCCGGAAAGAATATCTGGATCATTGGGAAGCAACGGTATCAGAAACTGGTACAGGTCGGCCTGTCGACGCTATCATCTGTCCAGCCTCATCATATACAGCGACTCCTCATGGGAAGAACAGGTCAGTGTCTTTGATTTTGCGGTATCTGGAACTATCAGTGAGAAACAGTGCATAGGTACACCAACTACACCACGGTTTGGAACGCGCTCGATTATCCTGCTACGACTTTCCCTGTGACCACTGTCGACCCCACTCTTGACGCGAAGCAGCCTCGTCGTGTTTTCTATGACGACTTTGATAGGGGTATTCACGAAATGTGTGAGCACTTTACCCAGCACTCGGCGATTTTGATGGGTGGATAATTGATCCAAATTTCAGACGACCCCGAGATATTCAAGAACGCACCTGTTTGCTTGCAACTCGTGGGTCGGACTTTGGAGGAAGAGGCAGTCATAAAAATGACCGAAATTGTCGATGCGGCGCTGTCAGCGGCCAAATAAGCACGTCAGAATTTCTGCATCAATATGATATACTTTGCATATCCTTATACCAGTGCACGCATATGTCTGGCATGAGCATCACTCAATCGAACAACCTGAGCTCTCCTGACACAATTTCTAGTGTGAAATGTTTGTGAGTACTTCAGGGGTTCGGGAAAGTATGCTGTATGAATGTCTGAAGTTGGATCTTGCTCGGGATGGAAATTTGAGTGGTTAGGACAAAGAATCAGTTGTTTCGGCACTTTCAGAGATTTTTGTTGTACTACTTTCAATACCCGGCTTATCAGAGTTGGTTGGTTAGCAAGTGCAAGCATGCGTGGGCTGCCACCTTGTTCCAGTAGCGATACAACAATAAATAGGTTTTCTTTCATCTGTATTGTTAGCTCACCATAAACGTCATTCGCTGTGCTATCAGCATCTTCAATCCTCAGGCTTATGTACTGGTGTTAGACTACTACTCAGAACTACACGACAACTTGCATGCCAACCCATACAGTCTATGTAGTTTTGAGAGCTCCTTTACTTCTTCTTCTTCTTCTTCCCGCCCTTTGAATTCGGATTCTGCCTTGATGGCCCAGCCGGGCCCGCAACGGAAGGCTCAGCGTCGAGACCACTCGCCCCCATGAAAATCCGAGCCTTCGTTGATAGGGCAACTCGGGCCGGAGTAAAGGGTTTAAGTAAATCCACGTCCAGATCAACCTTTTCAAATGCGATATCATGAGCCTGATGCACTGCTAGCAAAGGAACAAAACCATCAAATCACCTCTGCCGTCAATATGTCAACCATCCTGCTAAAAAATTCGGCAAATCCCGTCATATTCACCAGGATATTAGAGCAGCACTACGAGCAACCAATAGCTCGAACGCCCCGTACTGCGTCGCCGACCCCCTCAAGGACCGTGTGGCCAGATGGTTTGTCGTATAAAGATGCCAGACTTTTTTCCATATAATCACTCCACCATTTCAATGGTCGTTGACCATCGAGCAAGAATCGACTGCCGGACTCGCAGTTACAGGAGCCGTTTTGAACGATCCACTGGTATCCTGTTGCATTCGAAATGAGGTAACTGTTGGTGATCCAGGATAGATCCAGCCCCAAGGATTGCACCGATATCCCGCACCTCTGATGATAGGTGAGTAGTGCGAGCAACTCCTTGGCTGTGATGAGGTCAATTTCTGGAACGCTCGTAGGAATGAGAGATTGACGGAGAGTATATTCTGCAGCGAGCGTGGCTTCAACATTGAGCTGAGCACTCATTGCAATCGCAAAGCATCTCAAAGGCTCTTTCTCCATGCGGCTTCTAAGCGCTTGACGAGCTTTGTGCTCGAGCGTTTGCAGAGAATATTTCCTGGCTACTTCAAGGACAGGTATAATATCTTCAATCTCATGTAGAGGAGGATCCTCTGCAAGAGTAGAAGGGTAGCAGAATCTGAGCCAGATGTCGAGGACTCTGTGGTTTTCTTCCACGGGCACAATGGGCAGATCACCTTCGACCTGGTTTGACTGTGCCGCTTGCTCGATGATAGAGTCAAAAGACGACGAGGCGAGATTCAGGAAGAGTGTGATCACACGAAAATCAATCCCATCGGACGATCGAAGGATGATATCTGCTTTGGCATGCAGAAATGGCGGGGTTGCCATGAGGGGTTTCCTTTGTATGAACAGTATGGTCAAGCTGACAATATCTTCCTGGGCGACAAATCAGACTCACATTTGACTGTAGAGAGAACACAATGATTGATAGATTCTGGAAGAACAACAAAAGGGCGGTGTGGAAGAAACTCGATGAAGATATTGCCCACAGTGTATTGAGCGTACGTCATATATATATATTGAATCACTATATTCACGCATATATGCATTTGTCGTACTAGAATCTAAAAAAAAAGGTTACCACTGGAGGCTATCGGCGAACCATGGAGGACAGGGATATTCGTAATTCCTAAGACATTTCTACACTACTACACGCGGTCCTTTCCTTGAGCAACCCCTAAGAAACATCCCCTCTTGATATTCAAGTTCAACGTTCAACTGCTAGATCTGGCCGAGTCACGATTATTGGACACTGGGGCAGTACTGGCGCAAACATGATCTGCCAGATGACGTTAAATAAGTGTTTTACTATAGTATTATATATTGCCTTACGGATGGGAATAGTTGCGATCAGAAGTCCATCTCCAGCTCGATCTGTTGGAAGCTCTCAGAGTTTGTCCGTATTGTATAGCAAGGTACATACCGGAGCAATAGCCTCATCGATTTTTAGAGCAAGCAAGTCGCTGAACTCCGTCATGTTTTCTTTCACCCGGCCAGAGCAAACACTACAGTTTGCACCTCTGACCTTTTGGATTGTCCTGTCCGCTGCCGTCTTCACAGTATTCCCAGACGGGCTATCCTGTAATAGCTCATATACCTCCTGCATATATGTTGTCCACCACGCAACTGGATTTGAGCCCCAAGGAAAAAATCTGTTGTCGGTACCCTGTCCGCAGTTGCAGTATTCCCCACTGTAGTCATTGTAGGCACCACTCGACAGCCAATTGCAGCCATTTCTATTGCCATAATGATCCGTCATCCATTTGAGATCCTTCATAAGGCCTTGTACGGAGATGATGCATTTTTTGTGGTATGTTACTAGAGCAAGAAGGTCGGATGCGGTGATCAGGTTGATCTCCGCAAATAACACAGGGATTAAAGGTTGCCGTAAGTTGTATCTGGCAGCGGTGACGGTTTCATGCTTGAGCCGTGCGTTCCTCGCAATGGCGAAGGAGCGAAGGGGGTCTGTCTCAAGAACCTTGGGATTCGCTAGAGCCTGACATACTTTTCTCTCGATCAGGTCTAGTGAATACTTCCTCGCAGCTGCGAGTACAGAGAGAATCTCTGTGAGATTGTCAAGAGAAGGATCTTCCGCCAGCGTCGATGGATAGCAAAACCTGAGAAATGTATCTAGAGTTTTGCTGTCCTCAGACATGGCAATGACTGCTAAGCCATCCTTCATCTCTTGATCGGAAGCCCCGTCAGGAGCCTGAGGGAGGCCAAACAATGTTTCGAAGAACGGAGAGGCAAGGGAGAGGAAGAGCGTGAAAACTCGAAACTCTACGCCATCAGCTGATCGTAAGATAACGTCTGCTTTAGCGTGATCGAACGGGGCTGAAGCACAAGTTGGCAATTCCATTGGCGATTATGATCTGGGTGTCGTGAATATGGCCGATCGTAGCTAGTAAGCTGAACTCACCAGTTGAAACTTGAGATTTGTGGGGTGTGTTTGTAGGATGATGCAGAGGCTCTGAGAAAGTTAAGAGAATCGAACTGGCCCATGTGCTTGCGTGCCTGTTAGGGCGCAGACCACTGCATTCAGCATTCATTAGTACATACATGGTGTCTTCATCAACCTCGTGGCCCTTTTGTTTATATCAACCTGGGTATCTGCAAAGCGAAGGAGACACGCAGAAAGATAAGCCATGTCGTGATATTGAAACTGGGGCTGTGGCAAGGAATCATTCCGACCAGTGTCTATAAGCGCAACAGCCACTTTCGTGTTGATATGGGAGGCTATAGCTTAATCCCTCTCCGTAGTATGAGCATCTAGCACGATTATTTCTGCCTTTCGTCAACACCTCATGAACTTTACTAGTAGATTTAAGGTTCAATGGACGACTTACATGCAAGAACATTCGTCCACATGTTAGACTAAATTCATTTAGTATCAGGGTGGACACGAGGTAGCGATCGAGACGTTATAGTCACGTAATGACTTGTACATACGTGACTCAGTGAGCCCCAGATTTCAATGAGGGCAACTCAAAGTCCCCTGAGACTTGCAGCGCCCGAACTGTGAAATTGTTGATTGAAACGAAGGATAGCACTATAAATAATTTCCAGATACCTCAACAGAGTCTTGCCAGGAGAAAAATGTCTGTTTAAACATAAGAAGTGGTCGAGAGAGGACGGTGTCAACATGTCGCACATTCTTCCGACTCCTGTGGTAGAAGGAAGTTTTTGAATCCTAAACCTGGAGGCAAAAAATCATCAACATAGCCAGCAGAGATGCGTGGGTTTGTGAAGTTGAAGTTGATGCAGGTCTTCCAGCTCAATAATGTCCCGAGGCTTGTCGGAGACCATAGATTACAGGGTTCTGGACCTCATGCAATTCAGGTAGATCGTTATAGTCAAGACTCACGCACCGAAAGCATGCGTTCATAGTGACAAATTCAGTCGACGGGAAGCAGAAAATCAACGAGAAGGGTAGCGGGTTCTGCCAACAATGGATAATGCTACGACTGATATTACTATCAAAAATCCATGAATGAAAAAAGGGAGAGGTTGCGACAGGTATGCAAATAGAAATACCTGGCTTGCTGGTTCCCCAGGTATTCAAATTCAGCACGGATCGAGTGGGGTAGCTGAGTGCTTCACTCCTGCTGATGGATACGACGATGTTGTTTTGCTATGACACCGTATTATTCACGATGACAGTCAGAAATCCACTATCACCTCAACCTATTGAAAATAACCAAATTAGTTCGTGATCTAGAGCAAAACACACACCGGAACGATGACATCTTTGACTTCCAAAACAAAAAATCTCACTAAACTTCGTCATATTCGCTCCCACCAGACCCGAGCAAAACGAACAGCATAAAGTTCTGATCTGCAAACCATGTGAGAATCAAGGGTTTTTTGCAAGGTACTTCTAGCAGCGAAGATAGTTCAAGGTTTGAGCCACACTTGCTTAGCGATTGAGAACTGTAAGGATACTATGTCCTCTACGCCCCGACCAAGACTTCAAATCAAATAACGGACTTAGCGCCCACTATCCGCGTGACTCACTGATGCGAAGAAGCATCACGCTTCGCATCCGAGTCGCGCGGACACATTCCTTTTCCTTACCCTTACTCTCTCGTTACTCTCAACGACCAGCTCACTCTTTCACCCTCATTCATACTACACCCTGGACTTATCACCAAACTATTTCTCGTCACTCCTTTTTAGTTTCATTCCTTCGCCCCAAAAGCAGTCAAATACCCAACGGTTCTCGTCATTCCTGTGCACGGCGAGCTACCTAATACCACCTCCATTCAAAAGCTGTCGTACTCTCACGGGTTTCCGGTACCCTGTTATCACTCAAACGTTACTCGGCTCCATCAAACCCTGAGGAAACAAGGTACGGACATCCCTCACATAATTCACAAGGAAAGGACCCCAGACCGATCTATGATGTTCGGTTCAGTCTACTTGTGATGGCATCACCCAGCTGTTTATAACCCTCAATGCATTCCTTCACCCATCTGCTTCCCTTCTGCCCACATCCCTCCATTATCCTCGTAACGGTGTTGTCCCTGACTCCCAGTTCTATTCTACATCAGCGCTCCCCTGGAATCGTCTATAGTGAGACCTGCACAGCGGGTATGGGTTTTATGGTGGTCCGGAGCCAGGGTTGCCTCCTGTAATATGGGGAGAGTGAGACATCGTTGGGGATTGGAATGGAGGCGCAGCACCATTTGGTCTTGGGAGAGCGAGACATCGTTGGGGATTGGAATGGAGGTGCAGCGCCATTTGGTCTTGGAGGGCCGCTGGGCCTCTGCTGCCCTGGTAGTAGCTGCGAGAAGTTTCCTGGTTGACCTGGAGGGTTGGTAGGTGTACACTAAGATTAGTAGCAGACTAGTAGTTGAGAAAATAGACACCTTGTTGACATCAAATCCGGGCTATATGGGAGAAGGGAGCTGAGTATTACGTCCGTGGAGTGAGATACTAGGGAGCGATGGAAGAATGGAGTCGGTATGAACAAGCTTGAGCGGATTATCTAGAAAGACTTGACAGCATTAATGGAGTTTACTTTGGTTATTTTGAAGCAAAGAGTATCAAAGTGTCAGGGTATAGATAGTCCTGGTAAATAGCATATGAAAGGTATAGATAGTCCTGGTAAATAGCGTATGAAAGTGTATAGGTTAGCGCCATCATCAAGACAGGGGAGGGAAATAATCAATGATACCAGCTCCAGGTGTGAGGGCGTACTCGAGGTCACTAACATAGCTGTTAGAATAGGCTGATCGTCGTCGGGGACAATTATTGCGTGCAGAATGTTGCCTCCATGGACACAGCTCCAGAACACCTTTGACATCTGGTCGAAGAGCATTGAAAAGCGAGTAGGATGGTACTGGTGTGAAGGGTAGGATTCTTCTGGGTGCTGGTTGCTGTGACAGCACATGCATAGCGTCATCATGCGGATGTTGAGTGACACGATGGCGCTGTGAAAGGGCTAAGATGCTGTCAAAACAATGGGTAAATGACGTAGACGAAGATTACCTTGACGAGTGATGCTTCTTGAGGCTCGGTAGGCATGAGTAGCATCACGATCACGAGTGCCGATGCCCAACGATGCATGAACGTCGATGCTCTGTGCCGCTCGGTCGTCAAAGGCTCGGCCTCTCATGATACCTCCAAGAAGTGTTAAGTGCACCCCATCACGGTTGATGTTGCGGTGGGCCTGCTCATTGCCGTTTGTGGTGGTTGGGCATGCACGCCAAATATCTTCAGGTATGAAGCTTGCAGGACGGTATAGCGCGGGAAATGCGAACTTGTTAGTCTGAAGTTTGTCCTTAAGCCATGCTTCAGCTTTTCGGCCGCCACCTCTGATGACACTGAGCGTCCTCTGAAAATTGGGATGTGCATCTGATGAAGATAGACTCAGCATGGCATTATATACCTCCTTCGACACCTGTGATTGAAGCGGCCGCAAGTTCCTCTTGAAATGGACGATGCACAAACGGTAGAACCGGCGAAGGTGATCGTAGGGAGTCAGATCGCATAACTTGCGATGCGGTTCGTAAATGCATGGAGTCTTGATGTTTTTGCTAAGCTCTGAGCAAAACAGTCCAAGTCCTACCGTGAAACACGTCAGCCTTGCTTGTAAGCCAAGGAAAGGAAAAAATACGTACCGAGACCCTGACCCATATGAGCGTCTGCCACTACTGACTCGTAGCCACTACCATGGATGTGTTTGAAAGATACCGGTGTTCCTGTGTCCTCACTGGCGATTGAAAAGATTCGGCGAAAAAGAACCAAGTGTGCCTGTGCAGATTGTGAATTTATGAATGCTCGTGCACCCGTAAGAGCTATACTTAGTATCAGTATTGATGAATTCAAGTGACATGAACATAAACTTACATCGCATGTGGTTGTTGTCCCAAGCTTCAATCTCAAATTCTTGCCAGCCGTGCAAGCGCTTGAATGACGTGTCAATTGACACACGGCGTGCGAGCAGTAGATGGCGCGACATCAAGGGACTCATACAAACAATGAGATGGAAATCAACACCACCAGGGAGAGTGTGTGTTTCTGCGCACCGAACATAGCGCGCATGACATGGCAGCTCGTTCTCCTTGTCGACGAGCAGTTTTGCACCTCGAAAGCCGGTCCCCATTGGATACTTGTCACGACGGAATTTATACATGAGACAATGCACATGATCGAGATTCGCTAGAGATGGGTGAAGGTCGGCAAGAGTTGGACTGCGGTCCTGTGTCCAACCCAAAGCCGTACGTAGCCCCCGCATGAATCCAGAGTCGCATAGAATACGTCTAGGAGTTGCATCGGCAAGCTCCCAATCCATATCCATTAGCAACGACCTGAACAAATCAACGAGCGGAGGTGGTGTTTTGATTGGCGCAGGGTGGCGGGTGAGAGTGTGGGTTGCGACACACAATAGCGATGCGGGGTACAGCAACAAGGTTGACAGGGACAAAGATATCGAATTTTGACTGGCAGTCAGTGCTCCCATTTAAGGAGACGACCACGTTCCAACATGCTGGCTGAGTTCCTGTGCCAATGAGCTGCACAAACACGACATCAGCTGAGAGACAGGGAGTTTGAAAAAAATGACCCACCACATGTTTGCTTGTGCTCGACTGGTGAAGCAACAAAATTGCAAGGCACCAGGGGTCCATAACCACAATGTTCCGCACGTTCTTCGTGAATAAGAATTGCTGCGAATGTCGTGGGCGAGCAATGCTTGAAGATAGTTGATATTGAATTCTTGAAGGTTCCAAAGGATGAGATGTGCCCGGTCAGTGCGTGAACGATGTTCACATCTACAGCCACGGTGATTGGATTAGCAAATATTAGAATGATGGCGACAATATACTCACTGGATGAATCGTTGATTGTATTTATCAGTGCGCATAATAAGGTTGCCCGAACAAGACATTCGGAGAGCGCGAGGATGCGGCGGTAGGAGTCACAAGAGCACGTTCGTAGTCGTTGGGGTCGATGTTTGAATCATCCAAGTCATTCTCGAAGTTGAAATCTGTGAACTCAGTGCTGGTACGGAAACTACAGCCGTGTACCTTAAGTGCACAGACAAATGCAAATGTCTTGGTGAAAACTTCCCGTTCTGCTGAATCATCAGTGGGAGAAAATGCTCTGGTAGGAGTGATAAGTTCGCTGATGTGTGCCCGGTGGGTGTATGAATGGGTGGCATTGATGAATGCGTCAGTGTTGGAGGAACATGCCTTCAGGCCCTTACCTAAGCACATCACTGAGCGTCACTGACATGATTCATGCATAGATTGACGAAACTTACAAGACGTCGAAATCCTGTTGCACTTAACTGGTTTGCCATCAGTGCTATCTTGAAGCAAATGGCAGAGAACGTTCTTCCGGCCTCCATGTCCGTCACCAAACGAGTACTGGAATGAAGCTTTAGGATTGTCAAACTCGTGAGTAATGTAGTTCGCAGATATCGAGAAAATGTGCGCGACTGCTTGTCCCATGACTGATCCAGTTTCAGGATACTCCACAATTGCCCCAAGAGGATGTTCAACTATGGCATCGACAGTCGTCTGCCGGTTGACACGGTGAGCATTTCATGAGATTTCGTCTGCAGTGAACTGACGCGCCGGCGGTGGAATGTAGTTGGAAGCTTGAACAATTGGGGAGGGCTCAGTGCTGGGTAACGGGGCGATGGACGATGCAGCAGGAGACGTGTTCGAAGTTGTAGGGGTCAAGGATCGGGTGCTAGTAGTTGGTGAGTAATCGAGATCAGACGCTGACAATCCAGCATCGCTAAGGATGGATTGGGCACGTTGGACAGCAAGACGTTGATGTTCTGAGAGATCCATTGGGGCACATCTGGTGGCATGGTTGAAGGTATATATCACTCTCGTACTCTATGTGTCTTCACTGTTCAGGGGGAACTTCTGTTCTAGGTGTCGATGTGTAAACTGTTTGTCATGCAGTTCGACTTTCCGATTCTCTCCACCACTCACAGAGCACTTAGCAGGCTCGTTTTTACTTGGCAACTCTATGCACACCCTCAAGCTGTCAGAAAATTCATTTTGATGAGTTTAAACAGACCGATCAGCTGGGGCCATTTTCAAACAAGGTTTCCCCCAAACTACTGCAACAGCCTAAAAATCATTCTAGGTTCATCCATCGAATTCCATGGCCATTCGATTGGACAACGTCCTCGCTTGACAAATGTCCATTCGAAGCGAAGAGTGTCAGACGAGAAAAAAAGGTAAAGTACCATTGAATTATATTTTCCGCCTCTTCTCACTTCAATATACAAGCAATAAAGCAGGACGGGCGACCTCGCTGTGGACGTGGACCAAGAGACCAGCAGCTTCAGCTGGGGCACATTATAAAAGGTGCGTGAGTTTTACTTCTGCTTGTCATCTCATTTTTCAACCATCTACCATGCCAGCTTCTAATTCCATGTTTCTGCTTTGCCGTCGCTACCAACGAAGCAGCACGGAGCTCGTCATCTACTCACGCGATGTGAAACAGTGCGTCGAAATAGCTTAGTGCGTCTGATTTATCCTATCCAGATATCATGCTAACATTTCGTTCATTTCAGTCCAGTTTCCCGCACAACTAGAACTCGTGTAACACCCGTGGGCATTGCCCAATTTTTGCGACGTAGGCGCACTTCTTGGGAGTGCTTCTGCAGTGCCGTGGAGGAGCGCGCAACTCCTGTTCGTTTTGTATCGACAATGAATGGATTCACGAAAGCTGTGTGTTATTTCCGCAATAACAAGTGCGGTTTTTCAAGTAAGTCTTTGAACTTTTTGACGACCTCTATCTCTACCTTACTCGGTTCACAGTCAATCTCAACGAGACGTGTCACACTGCGCACCATATTTCAACCTATGAGGATTGGCCTGTGTTTCAAGCTGCCGCCAACACTGCCGCTCTCGTAACTAGGTTTGAACTTCGATGGCTGAATTCACCTCTCCGTCATTCAGAAATCGCGCCATACTTTATGGACTATCTCGGTGCCCATCAGTCCATTCATCCTTCACAAACATGGACTCGTACAGTCTCTGCCATTCCTGCTTGCACTAATAATAACAGGCGTCGTCATTCTGGTGTTTTTTTTTTCATTTTCGTTCATCTTTCATTAACTCACATGAATTCGTCTACAGCTGTCTTTCCCACTGCGAGAGATCAGTTGCTTGGCCATGCACATCACCCAGTGCAACACCCAATGCAACATGTTGAGCCTGATGCTCTCGTAGTTCCTCCTGAAGATGTTCCTGACTTACCCATGGTCCAGGAAGGCCCTATCCTGTCTCCGAACGAGCAGGATCACTTGTTTAAGCTTGCAGCTGGTGGGGGTATTCACGAGTTTGATGCTAATTGTCTTTTGGAGAAGTGTGATGGTTGCAGATGTGTATTTATTCCAACCGCACTGAGGTTGCACATCATCGAAGGATGCAGAGAGAGATAGTGTATTGGCACAGACAGCTACAAAATTACAGGACCATGTACATATTCAAGTAGTCTATAAGTACGAAGTTTGTTTGAGTTCTGTCACAGAACTTAAACATACTTCACAAATAACGAGTAAACTTGCAAGGTTTCAAGAGCGAGAGAGAAAAAGGAGCTTAGAGGGACACATGAGCAGCGGAAGGGAAGGGAAAAGTTCTGGAGACAGAAGCATGTGTTGATGGGTGAAGAAATGAATGCGTTGAGGTTATATACGGCTGGGTGATGCCGTCACAAACAAGCTGAAGCGAACATCATAGTAAGAGTCTGGGGTCCTTTCCTTGTGAATTATGTGAGGATGTCCGTACCTTGTTTCCTCAGGGTTTGATGGAGCCGAGTAACGTTTGAGTGATAACAGGGTACCTATAACTCTACTCTCACTCATTCCCGCTACTCTACCCTGGCAGGCTCAGCACCACCATTCTCCGTCTCACATAACTCTCGTTTTCCGTAACGTCAAGGACCCTTTTACCTTACAGCTTAAAATACGCCATGTACATTGACAAGAATCAGTCTTTTGCTCTCCCGCTAGATTCACGCACTCAGTCCATCAGAAAGTCCTCTCGTTCAAAGTACATTCCGTCTCATCGAAACTCTATCATTTAAAAGCACGATCTCTTCTACTCTCGTTTTAGTATGACAATCCCCGTCGGACTCACTAACAGCCTTACAGAACCAAGCATGGGCAAAAACACGCAGGGTGGCCCGAAACATCGTCCTGAACCTAAGAAAAGTCTAACGAGAGTCATGAGGGCGGGTGGGCGCCAGCAACCTATTACGGATCAGTGCAGACGGTTTTCTATAGTCGAGAATGATGCATCGAGCAGATATGAATAGATATTTTATGTTAAAATGTATAGAGTTTGTGAGACGCGCTTCGAGGCTGCTGAAGAAGTCGTCGAGTAATCGAATTTCTTGTTACTTAGTCGTAAGAAAGCGGTGATTCAAATTCAAAACTTACATAAGTTGATTTTTGCGTAGATCTCGCACTCGTTTCTCGCTCTTAGAACACAAAATCAGTACATATGTATACTATCGCGGCTGATACTGAACTTTCAGTATCTCACCTTTTGCTGTAACGGCTATTGCTTTTCTCTAGACCTACAACCATATTTCCTCAGGATTGCGTTTACACATTCTCTTCTATTCACATCCTGCTTCGCTATCAAAAATGTTCTCCAATTTAAGGCGAATAATCAATCAGTAGTGAGACCTGAACCCAACCTGTTCATGTTCTGATATCTTTCTAGTGCACAAGACAACTAGCTTCTCGTTAGAAATCGCAAAACGTTCAACGGGGCCTGACTCAAACATTTTCAACAATCGGCACTTTACCTTTCCTTTTACTTCCGATATTCATCTCATCGCGGCTGTTCGTTCCTTTGATGCCAGCAAGTCCAACACTAATATGAACGAGCTCAAGGCAGATATCTCTGGTGGTTCTGTGCTTACGGATGTTATTGTGGAGCCTCTCGGTGGCATCAGTTGAGATCCGAGAGGTGAGGAATAATACTAAATCCAGGATTGCTGTATGCTAATCTTCAACATTTTTTTCTCTGTACTGCTAAGAGTAATATGATTAGTCCCATCGATGACAATATCGAGGTCGAGGTTACGAACTCAAGCATCTGACCGTGAGTACCTCCGCACTGCTTGCTGTGTCTGATACACTGTCAAGCATGCTGCACTAAGGGGTCGCATTTCTATTATGGCTTCCAATAATAATAAAAAAGTGTGTTTTTGAAAAAGCTGCGAGTACTGTCATGAAATATGAAAATTTATATCTTATCGTTGTACTAGCAAACGTCGTGGCAACGTAGTTGTCAATGCGGTATCTCACCGAAATTCGCAATGATTTGTAGATGCTCCGCTCGAATGTTAGCTGGCAGGAAGCGACAAATAGATAAAGGGCGGGCAGACACCTGACGACACAGTCGTGCAGGCGTTCACACAGAGTGCACAAGCTCCACTGCGCGCTCACAGACTTCATCAATTCCCCACCGCTCGCATGAGCTATATTTCATGTCCAGAATGCCACCCACCTCGTCGCACGCCCGCAACACGGTATCGATATCCTCCTTCGTGTGCGATGCGCTAGGACAGAGCCGCGCACGACCCGTATGAAGCGCAGTGGCGGGATACGCTATGACAACGACAGCGATCGGTATGGGGCGCGCACGCATCATACGCACGAACATGGGCAATTTTCCCGGGTTAAAGATAAGCAGAGGAACGATCGGGCTGGAGGGATGTCCATAGACGATGAAGCCAAGTTTTTTGAGGCCCGCGTGGAGATAGCGGCAGTTGAAGGCAAGACGGCGCATACGCATGCGAGCTTCAGACCCATCCGCGAGGGATGGACAAAGTTTCATCCACATCGGCAGCATGCTTGCAGGCCCCATTCCTAGGAGCTCCTCTGCACTTTCCTTCGGCGCGACAATTGAGTTATCAGGGCTGAGGAAAGGCGTGGATTTGGTGGGTTGTCCTGCAGGAGTAATACCTATAATGCTAGCCATTGACACAACAACCTGTGCGATCACGGATGGCGCTATGGCTTCCGCATACGGACCCGAATGACTACGCAGGCGAAGAGCATCGATCAGGGATTTTGGCCCTGAGATGTATCCTCCAGCAGCACCGAAACCCTTGCTAAACGTGCCCATCAGAACATCAATTGAACCAGGAGGGATGTCAAAGTAGTCCGTCACACCCCGTCCCCGAGAACCGAGCGAACCAATAGAGTGCGCCTCATCAATGTAGAGGTAGAACTTGAATGAAAGCTGAAAATCGTAGCACAACAGCAATTGCATTACATACTTTGTACTTCTGCTTCAGCTCGACAATCCTAGGGAGGTTCACAAGCGTCCCCTCCATGGAGTACAAACCCTCGACAATGACCAGAATTTTCTTCCACGCACGATGCGTCTTGGGCTGGCCTTGACTTATCATCTCACGCAGGAGGGACTCGAGGCTTGACATATCATTGTTCTTGAACATCCGGACATATGCGCCACTCTGTCGTGCACCGATGCGAATACTAGTGTGATTCAGCTCGTCGGAAAGGATGAGGGACCCCTTCCCCACGAGTCCAGGGATGAAAGTGGAGTTGGTGGCGAAGCCTATAGAACAGAGCAACGCGTCTTCCGTACCCAAAAAATGTGCAATAAGGGCTTCTGCGGACGCATGAAGATCGTTGCTCCCACTGTCAAGACGTGTACCGCAGCTGGAGATGCCGTATCGGCGGACACTCTCCGTGACTGCATCTGCCCAGCTGCCGCGGCCTTGCGAAAAGGCAAGGTAGTTGTAGGATGAGATGTTCAATGCGCGTGTCATGCCACCGGTGCAGATCTGGGTATAATTGTAATCAGGGGAGTAACGGTCGAGGAGAAGAACAGTGCGGCCAGGGACACCTGTGATAGGTTGGCTATAACAGTCATCTATGCGATGCTTGACCCGTCGAAGGAAAATATCAAAATCCGATTTTAACGGCGCGTAACCCTGCATATGGAACAAAATGAATTTGATGCAACAAACAAGGTTGAGGAGGACAGAAGATGCCACATACATTATGGGGCATAAGGTAGGTGAAATTAGACTTGACAAAATGCTTTCCAAAGAAGTCGCGCAAATGACCCAACAGGTAGAGAATGAGGAGGCTTATGTAGGTAGTGAAGTAAATATAGAACGGGGGCTTCTCAATGGCGTGATCCTGGAATGGCTTAGTGTAGTCATGCTTAGAGACATAACGATAGGTCTCATTCGCACAGTAACCAAACTCTGTGTGATGGGTAGTGAAGAGCTGCTCGGATGCGGGCGGCGTATGGGGGTTCACGAGACAGTTATCATCTTCATCTTCATTGAGGGCGGTGTCTTTGGATGAAGTCGTACTAACAAAGGAGGAAAAGGAAGGTGTGGGGGTTGATGCCATGTGAGGATCGTTGTGGGTGCGAGCGCAAAAATCTGCCAGCGCTTGTTGAACAGCAGAAAGATATGGCATTGCCTTCGTCATCGATGACAACTGGCTGCGTGATTCTTTCTCCTTGAGGATGGACGGAGAAGGGGATGGGGATACAGTCCGGACACAAAGCGTCAAATTTGGGTGTCAACCTAGATGAAAGTCCGGACATCTGCAGAGGGGGCGGTGGTATGCCAGGCCGAAGTCCGGACATGGGCTATTGTTTGATGGGTGTAAGATATGGTCGAGTAGTGTAGTGGAACGACACAGCTGATAATGTTGAACGCGAGAATTCGAATCTTGCTTTTTACAGCTTCCATTGGATGCTTTGAAGTTTGAATGAGCAAGTCGACTACTATATGTTGGTAACCTTGGTCAGAGTCCGGACAAAATTCACCCCTCATGTGAACCCAGGACGGCATCCGGACAGAAATGTGTCCGGACAAGTTTGGGCCTCAGCCGACCTGGGTTCCAAAGGGGTTCTCATGGGTCCTCAGTAACATCCCAACGAAAAGAGCGACAACAATATGGCGATCCAATGGCAAAAATGGTTCGATGAGTGTCAGGACAACTCAACAGCCACATTGTTACCATGGGATGGGATGTATATATCATTGGGAAATTAAGAACTTGTAGATATAAATTTTGGCAAGTTCAGACCAAAAGTCTACCAGATTATATCCGAAGACAAAATGCAAAACATCATGCCATCGAATGATCAATACGGACCTAACTTTGATGAATGTATATTAGTCTCGCAATGCCTTATAACTATGATGTTTGATAGATATACCTTTGTGAGAAGTTGCGCATCCGATTCAGTGGCCAGCTATTGCCCAAGGTAAACTTTGTTATGGCTGTTTGCAATTTCAATGAGATGGCAATGTGAATTACACGTAACACTTATCCAGAATGGTCGTTACTCATAGTCATGATAGACCCAGGGCAATACCTTGTCATATCCTAGCATTTTTCGACCGCAATGGTCACCCACTGCGGCCTAAGTGGGACTTCGTGATAATTCTTTGCGTTGTGGACCAGTTAGTTGCAAAAACAATGCCAGATTGACTCCAGCAGTGTAGAAGTTGCAGGTGGCATGGGGTCAGGCCTCGTGATGAGGAGAGCTTGAAGATGGCAAAATTTATGATAAATCACGCAAGACAATTGTACAACTTTGATAGGGAGCCTCTCGTTACGCCAAAGTTGTGTATTAGATAAGCTACTGCCACGTCTTACCTGAATGTACTTACGGTTGATACGCTCCATATCACTCTTTGTAATGCCGCGTATGCCGTATCCCACCTATGTATCACTTGACATGGAAATTCGTTGTTGAGATCGAGAAGCCTGGCAGTCACGGTCAACCTCACAGTCTTATTTGATATGAAGGACTCAGAAGACAATAATGCACCATTATCATTTCAAGTTGAAGCACACTACTTCAAGTTTGAGCCACCCTATGGCATTCTGCGGGATCGGAGCCGCCACATGGTTCTTTGAATCCATGTGTATAGAAGGTTCACTCGCAAACAGTGTAAGGACTTTTGGCAGTAACGTCAGAACTGTCTACTTCCTCCATTCTTTCCTCCCTCTTTCCACCTCTATGTCTACTACAGCAGGAGGCATGCACAACACTTCCACACGATCCAGCCTCGCACTGGTTGATACCGGGCTCTCGACCAACGAGTGAGTGGAAAATCAGACTGAGCTATCCATAATACTTATGTCAACAGCAATGTGATCAATGCGAGTGCAATAACTAAGGAACTCGCTGTGTCGATCAAGGCCGACCTTCATAAGAATATGTGAATGTCGAACGATCGGGATTAGGCATGGTATCAGTATATAATTGACTGACTCTATTGTCTTAAAGGTCAAGCATTCTGGGGCAGACCTCGGACAAAGAGGTCAAGCTGAATAACGCGAACGAGAAATCTGCCGCAGTGTCCATCGAAGGAAGCCGTAATAAGATGTGAATGTCAACTCATCAGCACGCTGCACTTCAAGTCTGACTATGTCTTCTCAAAGGTCAGACACGCTGGGGCACGTTCTCGATGTCCTCAAAGGATCAGCTATCGCAGAAGAACGCGGAAAAGATGACAATTCAAAGTTTCGAGCGACGTACAAGAAAGTCTCGACTGAGTATGACGACGACTTCCTCGAGCGGGCCAATGACGATATAGCCATTATTCTGACTTTCGTGCGTCTCTTTCTACGTCTCTCGATGTAACTCTCACAGGCGTATTAGGCTGGTCTGTTCTCAGCCGTTAATTCCACCTTCATCGTCGGGATGCAACCTGATCCAGGAGACACTACCAATGTCCTCCTCTTGTATCTAATCCAATTAAATGTTGACGGACCAAATTCATTACCTAACGTCAACACTCTTTCCTCATCGACGGTATTTGGCTCATCTAGGATCTGGACGCAAACGCTTGCCTCGCATTCAGCGTCTTGGCCGCGTTTGGAGCTGTTTTGGGAAAACAATGGCTGAACTCTTACAAGACAGCTCGAGGACGAGTGACGCTCGAAGAGCGCGGCATAGAGAGACAAACGAAGTCATCTGCACTACAGCTTTCGGCATTCTGTTCTATGTCGGCACTATCTTCGTGTCGGCCTTGCGCCCGGACAGTCCTTTCCAGACACCAATCTCGGAGCTACTGGTAGCCATCTGCCAAAAAATTCTTCAAGACAAATTCACATCTACTTCTAACATGTTTACCAAATCGTCTGCCATTCGCTGGATACTAGAGACATCGACGAACCCGGAAATTGTTGAGACCGCAGCTGCGATGGTACCTTTCGTGCAATGGTGCTCGAATCTTGATGCTTCAGCAGCCTTCGCACGTTTACGTGATATTTTTTTGGCGTGTCGTGACAGGAAAGAGCTATATGTATATGTAAAGTATGGCAAAGCCATGGCCCATCTTTGCACTCTGTCGGTGAACTCGGAGATCAAGAAGAAACTTTTGGAGTTTTCTCGCAATGATGATAAATTTAGATCAACCCGAAATCGTTTCATTCGCGATGCATTCATGGCTGGACGGGCTGCCTACGATCGGCTCAAGAATTCACCAAAAGAAGACGCTAAACTGAAGCCCATCGGACCGATACACGCACCGCTCTTAGAACAATGGTTGTCCACAGGCCGAGCTATCAACTTTTACGTCCGGACGATGAAGAGTTGATTATTCGATTGGCTCATCGATTACTTGGAGGTCGACGCAAAGAGAGACCGCGGGACAGAAGGTGACGCTTTACTTGTACTAAGTGCGATGTGTAGACTAGGGAGCTCTTCCAAGCGAGAGTCCTACATCAGGTCGCTTATCCGCTGCATGGCCCCCAGCAGACCTCTCCGAGTCCGGCATACCGCATTTAGAGCTGTCTTTGTAGCTCGTGAAGAACTAGCTTCTATGACAATTGCCTCGGTGCCACAGGGCGTCGATGCACAACTCCTGGATGAGCTTTCTCAAGCTCTTTGAACTGCCGTGCGTTTAGATGACGACCAGACAAACCACGACACTGGACCCGGCACCTTGTTTAACGACGAACGGAACAGTCACTACAATTCCCCCATCTATACCTTGACAAAGAACGACGAGTGGTGTCAACGCCCGACCCGTGATGGTCATCTCGCGTGATGATCCATTTCTCTATTTGACGATATCTGTCTTGAGGATCCCTATATGGACAACAAATACAACCTTACGATCTTTCGGCGCATGAAGTCCTCGGACAAGGATATTCCTTTCAGCCCTGTCCAGGAGAGATGGCGGCTGTTCATCACAGACGCATGGAGCAACGCACGATATCTCGACGACTACGTATAGCTCGGGCCAATGTTCACGCTGCAATATCTGATGCGCAAGACCTGTATGATTAGATAAGTCGTATGGTTGTCCAATGGTTCACAACGCAGAGACAACAGAGCTTCGGGATCGCATCCTTAGCGCAATACTTTTACGCACGTTGCAGTTCATTGCATAGATTAGTGCCTAGCTCATGGGATGGGTGTCGTTTAATATTCACAGAATGTGTATGGTACTTTACACTCCTTGTGTTTGTTACAATTTTGGTTTGGTTTTGCGTTAACCAAGTCTGTCAAGGAACCCACGAGTGACATTTTGGCGCCACACTGATCCAACCAGGAACGTCTCTCATTTCGAACCACACGTTGCGCATAAGTCCGACTTTGTTCAGGCATTAGAAATACAGGGTGACTATGGGTACATATACAAACTCAATGTGTACATCTGTGCAGAAAAATGAACAAGTGAAATATATCACGCTTGCGTGACAGAGGGAGACATCGGAATACTTTGTATATTCTGTGTCTTCGCCCTCGTGAGCCTGCAATTCGAGGGATCGTATGAGCCAGTCGCATCGCAGTAGAATATTAAAAGAGGCCTGCTTACTCATCAAAATGGGTACCTCTCTTTGGGTCAGCTCGTCTCTTGGCAAGTACTTTTCTGACCTTTCTTTCCGGGCGAACGACGATTATGGGTACGGGAGAATTCGAGAGACAATACTTTGATACACTGCCCACACCTGGCGCGCCGAACGCCGCACCCCAGGCTTGCATCATGCCGCGCTGGCCTCTTGTGCCCACTACGATTGAGTCTGGGCGGTACAGCGCAATTAACCGCTCAAGGGTTGTAGTGACTTTGCCAGCAATAAGCTCGACGATGATGGATAGCTACGATAGATACAATGAGAAGGTATGACGTAATGATAACGACCGCCTACCTTCCGCTCTGGATCGTGCTCAATACATTTCTCCTGAATCTGCCGCATGAGTTCGCGGGCTTCCTCTCGAACGACTTCATGATCCTTCTCTAAGTTGTGGTTTAATATTAGCACAGGGTTACATAGTACAAGCCACCTACCTAAATCCTCTGGATCGACACCTCTGAAGACGATCAACTCATCACCGTCCTGCACTAAACTTTCCAGCGCCCAGTCAAGGGCGTAGCGTCCGCTTTCAGTCCGGACTCGATGCACAAAGGAATACCCTTGTCGCTCTGCTCCTAGCGTATCCATCCGACTGCACGTGCAGGGTAAATGAGAACATGGACGCGGCGGGATTTTCGAATGTGTCGAACGACACTTTTGGCGTGTATCCTTGTCCGGCGACAGATTGAGTCGTGTTCTGCTGCATGTTCATTGACGGGGACCGCGAGGGCGACGCCGAGGAGGATGAGAGGGGTGGCAGTCGCGATATGGATGCTGGTAGTGTGAGGAAGGAAGAAGGAGGTGGCGACGACAATGGGGACGACGGCATGGAGGATAACGGGTGAAAGCAGGGTGAACCCGGCTGGGACGATTGCTTTAGTGCCGATCGTAACCATACAATTGGAATGTGTGTGTGTTGTTCAGACATGGCGGTGTGATAAAGGATTATTTTAAGTTTTGTGGATAAGTTGTTACATAGCCAAAAATAATAATCACAATATTGTTAACTCTCACCTGACTTTGATCTCCACTCTCATGTCGGCTTCTCGTTCAGCTAGTCCTACGGAGGAAGAAGTTAAAGAGCAGGTTGAGCAGCACACGGAGGTGACACCCAAGTCCACTGGCGAGTCAACCTCCCCAGAGGGGTCTGCTGAACCTTCAGATACAGACCAGGACGCCACTACCGCTCATGCTTACCTCCCAACAGCGGGATCGTGGCGAGCTATATGGTCTCCTGAACACAACACCTATTATTTCTACAACTCCGAAACCAAAGAAACGACTTGGGTAAACCCCCTTCAAACTGAATCAGAACCTTCCTCGTCTTCCACCCCCCAATCTGGTCCATCCACGATAATAGACTCTCACCACGCCGCGCTGCAAGCAAACGCGATGGCGCTGGGTATTGATCCATCCTTGGCCCATCTTGATCCTTCGCTTGCTTCCTCGTCGGGTGTTCCTAGCAACTTTATGTACACCGCCAAGTTCAACGCGAAGACTGGCGCTTTTGCGAAGGCGGATAGTCGCGATCCTACTCACTTGTCAGAGTATGAGCGTGCTAAGCGCATGAGCGAGTTCTACTTTGACGTTGGTGCTTGGGAGAGGGAGGTCGAGGCTCGCAACAAGGCTGAGATTGAGGCCGAGGGAGAAGGCAAGAAGAGAAAACGTCCGACGAAGAAAGACCTAGTAAGATCAGACATGGATTCCTTTCATTATCGGATGTTGATTTTTATTTTGCAGGAGCGGTTCAAGGAACAGAAGAGATTAAAGAAGATTGCAAAGACAGCATGGCTTCGAACATAGTCACCCTACTTACTGTCGTATTAGAAGAAATTCAAAGCAGTCTGTTAATTTTCTTAGATATATGTAAAAAAACTCATCAGCGGATTGTCAGTTTTCAATAGTACAATTATCTCGAGATCTGCGATGATGGGTAACTGCTAATAGCTACCACCTGGCGATATTACCATTAGCGTCCAAGGTATGTCCATTGTTATGCCTCATTTTGATGATACCCTACGTCGCGAATACGCCAATGATTTTGAAAGGAGGTACACTTTGCCCCTCAATTCCAAGTAGCAGGCATTCGATAAAGTGCGATCCTCTCGTGACAAATTGATCAATCACCGCAAGACTTGATGATCTATCAATGTCCGCACACACGAAAATAAAATGAGACACTCACGTCGGTGTCCCCTCACTAACGCGTCCTGCATTTCCTATAACTACCGCACCTCCAAAATTATCATCCACCCAACATTCAATTTCACTTCCTTCCCCGATCCGGCTCGTAGGCTCTTTCAAGTAATAGATCCCGACATCTCCAGCGCCCACTTTTATGGGTACGCGCAACCTGCTCGTGGGCATCGAGCTATACCAATAATATCCAGCTGTGATCATAGGAGAGGACCCTGCCGGAGGATGCGCTGCTGCCCAACCAGACCCGTAGAAAAGCGACGGAGGCACAGGGTTCACGAGGTCATTAGCAGACGCACAAAACGGTGCAATTTCTTCGAATGGCAGCGGGTCTTTGAGGCGTGTATTAATTCGAACAGGAGGAATTCGCAGTTCAGGGTAGATTGGTACAGAATGAGATTCTGCTTGGGCAAGAGCTAGCGCGTGTTTCTTCTCGGCTTCTGCACCGTCATCTACCGGGCGTGGTGGTTCAGGCACCGCAGCACCTTTCCTTGCACCAATTCCGCCAAAGAGATGCGTATCTGCACCTGGGAGGTAGCCATGTGACATCATGATAGGAATGGTCTCGTACGAGTGGCCACGCGCCGTTGACCACGCAGCACATATCTGAGATTGGAAGTATGATACGAGAACGTCGGTGAGAATTTCATGGCCGGCCGGAGTTGCAAGGATGGGGTCTGCAAAGTAAGGCTTGATGAGGTCAGGGTTTACCATGTAGGAGGGATATAGTATAGGTTTGACGCTTTACGTAGACGTCAGAAAATTTTCTTTTAATAAGTAATGAAATTGTACCTGACATGCGGTACGTCATAGAATTGTGCGACGATATTGTGCCAATGGTCAGGTCCTGCAAATCCATATACCTGGTGCGTCTGTGCACTAAAATGCCCCAGAATGATGACTGCAGGTTGATCAGGGCGGTCCAATATTGAGCGAACCATCAGCTCGAAATGTTCCATCGCACGCTGGGTGCTGGTAGAATTCAGATACCACATAACACTTTAGGTAGAGATCTGTGCTTACCCTTCATCGTCGACGTCAAATTCGAGTATCACCAAGTCGGTGCTTTCTGGGATATGATGTGAGCTACAGAATCCAAAGTAGCCTGAGTTCGTTCGCCTCATAGCACCGTTGGTAAGTTCTGAAGCGGGATGAGGGAAAACGCTCGACCACCACTGGAAAAAGCGTGAAGGATAGCAACTAGAAGACAGTGGATCATCTCCTGCTGCGTGACATGCAGATACTAGACAATCCCACCATGAAAATAAGTTCTTTTACGAAATAAAGAGCACGCACTAGAACCACCAAGCACACTGATAGTCACAGGTTGACCCAAAAGTGCTTTGTGAATAACCCTATGCACCCTCGCCCCACTCCCCAAATGCAACCGACTCTGCGACAACGGTACAACCCCATACTTATTCGCAATCTCATCTTTGGGCCCAAACACAGGACAAAAGTTGAACGGGTTTGCAACCTCGGACGAATTGCCGATAAGGCGGTTGGCTTCATGAAGGTAATTCTTTGGCACGAGGCCTTCCGTTGTAAATGACCCAGCGCTGGTATGGCTTGAAAAAAATAGAAATCGCGATAGCGTGATGAGTAGAACGAATCCGAGGATGATGGCCCATATTCTGTTAGTAACGCCTAGCAGCCTTTGATTCCACCTGTTAGCGTGTTTAGTTGAATCTGGGTCCATGCCCGTCAATCGGCGGTGATTGGGAGGGGTGATGCGTGCCAGAGCCTTGCCAGAGCCTAAGCGTCGTTGCATAAAACTGTTGAGACGAAAAAAGAGAAAATTACCGTCGAACGCTGCCGAAATACGAAGCAACGAGATGTCAACGAAAGTTCAGCCGTTATGCCTTAACTCCGCGTTAAATAAGGTTAGAGAGAGGAAACAAAAGGAATGGACACTGTGGGAGTTGAACCCACGACCTCACGCAATCTATCCGTGCCAGAATTATGCGAAGCGTGCGCGCTACCAACTGTGCCAAGTGCCCTTTACGACACGTTAGTAGTATAACACCTCGAGCACTTTACTCTATCTAGGGACAATTGCTTTGCAGGAGATCTGCCAATATTATTTCCCGTCCGAAGATGGGTATGCATGATACTTTCTCCTGGGTCACTCATCCTTTTAATTACCGCAATAACTGAACCTACTCTTATGGGTGACGTTGGTGTTCCACTCAGATCAGGAAAAGAAGTGGCAAGCAAATCGCAGGAGGGAGACAAGCGCGTTTGAAATTCCACTGAATCGTATTATGTCTCTGGCAGATATACCTTTGTAAGAGATACATCACGCAAACTAAATAAGCTCGACGCAATTAACAGATCATGCTACCCAGATGTCCATGTTATGTCCGAATGCATCACAGCTCGCTCATCTCCCTGTGATGCTTCACCTTCACAGAATCTGCATGTTGCGTGCGATCGGGCATGCGCTCCCAGATAGGATCTACATCAGGACCGTCTATATCACCTGCGCCATCCCAGCCCCAACACCATACTGTATGACTGGTAAGTCAAGGAACAAAATAAAGTGCGTATCACGTACCATGTGAAGGCCCGGGCACAAAATCAATCACTTCACTTTCCTCCGGCGTGAACAAGCGGTCATGAGGACCAAACCACGACCGGTCCTGTGGATCTGTCCGTGGATTGTCCGGAAGTCCCCCAAGACGCACATAACCACGGATGGCAGTAAGGTTCCGTCTTGAAGGATGTATGATGTCAAATACTCTCTGCAAAATTTCAATGAATCCATCAGATATCGAATCGCAGTTCGACCAAAACATACTTTATCGTATGCAAGCTTCACACGCGGCACCATCAAGATACGCCCATATCCAGCCTCCCAGTAATCATTGCAGATCAAACTACATTCCGAAGCAGAACATTCCTCGTCTGTGAGTCGAGCCATACGGAATTTGACATATGGAGGTGTATAAAATGGAGCAGAATCCAGAACTGCGATGCCATTCCAACATGACTGGACCTGTATGGGAAGGTGCATCTGGAAACGTTCGGAGGAGTTGGGATCATGGAAGACGTTTTCGAATGGCGCGTTTTCCAGTGCTGTTCCGTTGATATCGCGAGCGACCCAGTTATCATAAAACACGGGAGAGGACTATGTACAAAAATGGAAATGAGCTCAGGCCCTAAGTATAATAATGGGACTTACCAGTTCTTGATGATACATGTAGTCAGAAGCACAAGTTATACCGGCATTGTTCCGCCGACTCTGCCAGATAAGCTCAAGCAGGTCGTCCACGCATGGGAGGATATCGTTCATAAATATGATGGTGTCAAAGTACTCATTGTGCGAGTCGCGGAGCTCGTGGAGTGGGTTAAACGCCTGGTTCCGGACTTCTGCAAGGTACTCTATCCGGTGGTTGAAGGCACCTCGTGTGCGTGTAGAGGTTCGAATGGTTACACGCAGGCCTACGCTACGAGTGAGTGCGTCGAATATCCGTAGCAATGCCTTCGTCTGGTCTGTAGAGCCATTTTCGTATATGGAGACATAGACGTTGTGATACCCCAAAATAGCAGAGACTCGAAACAGAGTCGCAAATAAGTCAGGAATGACGTCGAAGGAGTTGTACAAGTTGATGGCGAAAAAATATTTGTGCTCTTTCTTCGGAACGTTGTGTACGTGTTGCGAGTCGGAAAATCCCCAAGAAGAGAACCAGGTGGATTCAGAAGGAGTTTTGTGTCCTATGAGGGAATCATATCGGTCTCGGACCTGTTGAACGTAAAGCGGCTGTGAATTTCGTGTGCACTCTGTTGTATGGTGAGGAGACAGCGTGGAGAGCAGATCTAGGACACGACGGCGCTGGTCGATGCTGGGCAGGGTGATTTGTTTGCGAGCAGACAAGCGAGACACGAATATGGGGTTGTTCCCGCCCGTTGATAAAAGCTATAAAACAATCACACGTTGTCATGATTGTGAGACGGTCAAAGTATAGACAGACATACGCTTGTTGGAAATGTCTTGCCAATCAACAAGCCTAGTAATACCCCAACCACGAGCGCCAAAGGAGTTCGTCTCAACTGAAATCGCCATGTCTTTGGTTGCATGGCGGATGTAGGAGATAGACGGTGAAGTGCGACCTCAGAATATCAGACGCACAGATCAACAGGCCCAATCGTCGATACAGCCTATGAAAAGGGGCGTAGGCTTGGCGGTAATTTCTTGTGATCTGCAGAAGTCCGACCTTGGAGTTTGTGGGTGATGAATCGATGACGGTCTGAAGTACGCAAAGCGGCAAATACAACTTTATTTAAATTGAGTCGGAGGCCATGCGCGCTTGTGCACACAAAATCAAATAAATTGCCTAACGTGGCATGAAGATAGCAGTTCAACTAAAATGTAACTATAAATCCCTCCTCTATCGAACCGCTTGCAAAAAATCAATCAGGTAGTCGTGAGTTCATGCTCAGTCAACCTTCGAAACGCCGCGACAAGGATCATAAAGTCCTAATGCGCAAAAGAACGCGAAAAAAATAATATGACTCGCAATCTCTTCATAATGATGCGGCCAGGATGGCAAAGGCTGCTACACCAGTGAGCATGCTAACGCTATGCGATGATGCAGCATTGGAGGACCTGGTTTTCGTTTAGTTTTTTAACTACCGAAAAATACAGTGAAAAAACGACTGACGAAGACTTGACTGTGGTACCTGTAGCGGTACTATCGAATGATGCTGAGGTAGATGTCGCAGCAGCGACACCAGAGGTCAAGGTGACGCCCTGCATTATACACTTTATCGCACATTCGAGAAACAAGGAAATACATAACATACCACTGCAGCACAAAGCGATTGGGAAGCTGCTTCGGCATTTGTGAGGTCAGACCCCGTACATGATGTCTGGATACAGGACGTGGTGCTGTTGATGAAAGCCTCACTGTGGCAAAGACAGTTGTCGTCGGTTTCAGAACAGTTACCGAAGTCAGCATTTGTCAGACAAGGAACAGCACAACCTAATGATATTAATGTCAGATGCCGTTGTATGATGACAAAGAAAAAATAGGCATACTAGGCAGGCTTTGACGGGTGAGCAACGCCGCAAACGCTGACGAGACGGCGACGGAGAGAGGAAGAACGACCACAGCGAAGCGCATTAGATAAAAGAGAGTGAAAGAAGAGGACAAAATGAACAAAGGTAACTCTTCGAAGAGACCTTATATACAACTACATGTAATGCACATGACAACAAAACAGACAAGCTGGGGAACAAAGGCAACATGTAAATCCAGGTATAATGCTTATCCTATTTTTAGCCTGCAGTACAAGTCAATTACTTCCGCATGAATGTACATCCTTATCACGTGCTTCGGATATAACCGAACAACTATCAAGTATTCAGCCACTCAAACCTTATGTCATCACTACACTAACCAAACATAACCAAAGTCAGTGCGACATCTACAGTTCCAGTTAGACGAGCTCGTCACACTATACATCCTCAAGACATGGTAAGTCGTATTTTTTGCTCTACCATCCGATTAACTGATTCGAACCCTTTTTAGGCCAGGACAAAAAGCGGCAAAGTATGTCCCATCATGACCTTCACCCGTGATAGATCTTTACATCTTATCATAGACTGGCGGCAAGCGCTCCGCTCTTCAAGACGTTGTCACTCGCGAATACACTATCCATCTACACAAGCTCGTGCATGGCCGCTCCTTTAAAAAGCGTGCTCCCTGGGCCGTAAAATCTGTCGTCGACTTCGCCCGCAAGTCGATGGGCACAACCGATGTTCGGTTGGACCCCAAGCTTAACCAGGCATTATGGGCTCGGGGTGTCAAGAGCGTCCCCCACCGGATAAGAGTAAAGCTTGAGCGTACGTGCTGTATTTCAAAATTGGTCATCATATTAACTGTCTATTTTTTACAGGCAAGCGTAATGATGACGAGGGTGCAAAGGAGAAACTTTACACGTATGCTAGCCATGTAGTTGTGACCTCCTTCAAGGTGTGTATTTCCCCTCTGCTATTTATCTTGTTCTCGACAACAACCTTCTTCACCCAGGGCCTGCAAACCGCTGTTGTAGACGCAGAGTAAAGCTGTCATCGGAAGGTCCTGTGTAGTTTTTCCCACATATTTCATGCCGCCATGCACTATCACACCCAGCACTATGCTACTACGTCAAAACTCTCGTGCATCTTGATGCTGTCCATGAATTTGAGTTTCTCAAACATCTCAAGCTAGTGTTCTTGCCCGCCAGCTAGGATCCTGCATCGGTTTTGAGAAAATACAAATGGAGGTGTGTTGATTTGTCTCAAGGAGATGGGGTGATTCTGGGGTGATTCACATGAATTACCACCCTCAATGTGACTGGTCGCCGCTGGAGCACTAGTCACGTGTGATTCGACATTAAGGAGATCGATCTCCTATTCTGAACCTTCGCTCATTAATTTCTACTTTTCATCTGATCAAGCTTTTGCGATCAAGCGAAAGTGTCGGTGGATGCATTCGTTCATTGAAACGTCTTTGACCCGGCCCTGGACTACATGCTCAGCCATGATTCATCGACTGCCAGTGGAAATTCTACAAGCCATATTCTTGCTCGCCGTCGACAACGGACCAGACTGTCCCAGTATCTTCTCATATGAAGCAACCACAATATCAGCAAATTTTGCTAGCCCGCCCTTACTCTTCACTCGAGTGTGCCATCATTGGCGAGACGTCGCACGTTCAACGCCGGAGATCTGGTCGCGCATTGAGGTCAAGCTTCCTCCAGTATCCGTCAAGCCGCTCACGCCGTTCTTTACCTCTCTACTCCAGTTTTGGCTCGCTCAGTCTGACAACCTACCTCTTACCATTCACATGGCCTCAAACTATTCCTCCTGGGATGGGAATTCTCGACTGCTCGAGATCCTTTGTAATGAGACGAGGCGTTGGGAGACAGTGATCGGCTTCGCACCCGCATTTGATTCTAGCGATAACTTCAATACGCCCCAGCTGAGAACGCTAGACCCAATCTGGGACTTATCAAACCTCACCAAATTCAATGCACCAAAACTCTGTCGCGTGCGCATCTGTTCATTGTATGATAACATCCTATCACTCAGACCTAATGCTGCCTGTGGAAACATACGTCATCTCTGCCTCCATCAGACTTCAGTCAATAGAATACACTATTTTCCAGACATATTCCCTCGTTTGGAAACCCTCGACGTGCGGTTACTTCAAATTGCACCTGATTATGTTCTGGATATGGAGAATCATTCGGACACGTATTCTTGCCTTGAATCGATGACCCTCCCCTTCGTCCACGGTCCTCCGGACATGTATGCCATGATATTTCGTGGACATCATTTTCCCGCGTTGCAGGAATTGATTTTGTTGGTGGGTGCAGGCAAACCAGAAGTCGAGATGATCACGGAGGCGCTTGCAGTTGCTGGGTCTTGCAATATCCGAGTGGTGGACTTTTGGCTGCACAAATCGCGGATGGATCTTTATGTGCCTACCCTTAAGCAATTACTATCGGTAGCGCAAGAGGTCGCGGTTCGTGGGGAAGTGGTTGTACGCAGGGAACAGTCTGGTCCATGAATTGAGGCACTCGGGAAAAGGAAAATTGACTACGAGTTCGTCGTATATTTGTTATGCGCGAGTTTTGCAGAGAGGCATGCATCAGTGATAGAGTTCAATGTGTTCTGTTCAGGATGTCCTAGGGAAGCGAGTACACTGGTATCATAAAGGGACAATAATTATACAGAATTGAACAGTAGGTGCAGTGCTGGCAAGTTAATGGCTCAACGCAACCTTAAAGGCATAAATATACCAACCCCAGTGTAAATTGACATGTCAGAACTGTAGGATACTGCCACATAACGGTTTTCTTCAGAACTCCAAAGACCCACTGTCCCTCTGCAAAGTGTTTGGGTTCTCGATCATACGACACAAATCGTCATACAAGCCCTGTACAGAGAACAGGGCAGCATCAAATGAAGCCTGATCCAGTATACCGAACCACACAAGGATATCTCCGCTCTGTGGCAATGCTTGCAAAGCCCCCTGCACGCCTGTAGTGAGTTCTGCTAACTCCTCATTAGGAACGCTAGAATCCCGGCTACGCAAATCATGCCTCGTCGCCGCCACGAGGGCTGGTAATGCGCCGGCGTTAATCGGACTACCATGGCGTGCGTACTCCCATGTTCCCCTGATGAATGCCCGCCACCTCTCCCGGGAAGGGTCGAGAGGAAGAAAGTTGTCTGAAGGATTGATATATGCGAAGATCCCAGCGAGGTAGCATCCGGAACCCCAAGTATCGAAATCAAGCTTAAGGGCATGCTCAGCTAGCAAAACACAATGCTCAAAATGACCATCACGAGCCAAACGTTCACGCCACTCATCATTCTGCACAAGGGCAAGAATGAGACGAGAGTAGCAAGTATTTTGATTCGTTTGGAAGGTGTCAAGCCCATTGCATTGGACTGTCTGGTCTTGCGAGTGATATGGACATATGGTAGTCAACAGAGCACAAGAGAGCTCGCCCAGGAGTGTTGCATCCACATCCTGTGGCATCGACTCATTTGTCATAGATGCCAGTTCTTCCCGAGCATCAGCAACAGCTCGCAGTGCAGCATGTCGTACTCGGGGAGGTCTGGAGGAGTCCATGCAGCGGATAAGTGCTGTGATGTATGAACGACGCTTGGTATAGCTTCCTAAGTTGTGCATGGCGCTCAGCGCAAGAAGAGCGTCACCTACAGTTTCATCATCTGCCATGATGTCTGTTTCTTCCGCTAAGTAGTCAATGAGCCAGTCGAATTCTTCACAGCTGGGCATGAGCCCGTCCGAGTCGTTGCAAGGCCACCGCAAATCACCATGCCAAATCAATTTCTCATCGTCCGGAAGACAAAAATCTCGGGGATCCCCGTGGACAACCAGTGTTCTCAGAGCCGTGCGTGCATCAGCTTTATGCTTCTCCTGGGCGTCTTGTGGCTGTGTGCTCTGGAAGCGATTGTAGGCATTACGGCTGTCCATGAACGCATCACGAATGAAACGGCTCTTGCCTCCCCAACAATCACGGATACGTATGGGTTTGAAACCAAAGTGTTGAGGAATTTCCAGCGACTGGCTGTAAAGATGGGCTATGGCCTTGCCACACCTTACAAATGTCTCTTCCATTTCATGACACGCTTCAAAGTTATCCATTAAGCGTACACAGATTGCGGAAACATCAAAGTCCGGCGGCCATTGCACAAGAGGAACCATTGCAGCCGCAGTCTCAACAACTTCTGGATGAGTGGATGTCTCTAGTATCCAGCGAATAGCGGACAATTTGATGGATACACCATCAGGAGTGAAAGTCAATCTGCCCGGAAGAAACTTTTTACAGATGGCTCCCATTAGTTCAGCTCCTGGCGTCTGGAAAGGACTGTCCGGACGCAATATTGTCACGAGGATAGCGCTTGTGTAAAACAAGATGCCAAATGCGGTGGTGCAGATGACGACACTGGATATTGTTGTTTGCTGGGTCCAAATGTTGGCGCTGAGTGACAAGCCGAATAAGAGTAGCGAGATCTGGAGGAGTACGAGGAACCCCTGCAAGACGGTCTGTAGGTGAAAATACTCCAGGCCGTCCAGTTTCCTCTGCCTATTTATGCCACGTTGCTCAAGAGACCCTCGCCCAGGAGCCGCTTTATAAGCGTTGAGCCATTGCTTTCCCAACACAGCTCCAAACGCGGCCAAGACGCTAAACGAGAGGCTAGCATACGCAAGCGTTTGCATCCAGACAGTCGAAGAAGGATACGGCGTGGAAGAGGAAAGACCACTGATATCATTTCCAGTGTTTGTGCCGTTGGCTGTCATTTGGATAAGGTGAAACAAGAGGACGTTGGTAGTTTCTGCTGGGTTAGGCTGCATTCCGATGATAAAAGTGGAGTTGACAGCTGAGAATAAACCAGCCTGGGTCGCCTGTTAGATTTGCATTGATGGATATGAACGAACGCACAAATGTTAAGATGATACCCATGTCGCCATTCGCTCGATGTAGAAAGTCGTTATCGTACTCCGTCGAAAACTTGTCATATGTCGCCCAAAACTTCGATTCGACGTCTTTGTTGTTGCTTTCTTGAGCTATAGGAAGCCCTTGTCGTTCGTTGAGGATCTGTTCATCGGTGTTTGACCTGTCACCCAGCATCATCAGACCTCGGGTGTTCCACACTGATTGATTGCTTGATACTTACACATTCTTAATAGGGTCCCCCACGACGGCCTCAGCAAGCTTCTCGCTCATTGAATGCGGCTTGTCAGTGATCCCGTTACTATAAATTGATAAGTGTTACGCTCAGCCCAGTCTAGCTTGCCACTTACTCGCTTCTTGGGAGGTCGGCATCGACAGGTGCAGAACAGTGTCGTGATGACGTGCCCTGCATGTTTTCGTCTACGGTGACCATTGAGATGTTGAAGGCGAATGATTAGGAGGGAGATGGTTGGTTGGTAGAACTCAGGCTCGGGGTGCTCCGCTGGCGACGGGCATCAAAGTAGTTACAACATGGCATCACTCTAGAAGTGTGCAACAAGATCATAATAATGAGTCAGAAAGGCTACAGAAAGGTCGAATGAGCAGGTTAGTATCAGTGCTAACCGTCTAATAAGAGTCGCCATGCTGACTCAAGGAACTCTGACTGGCATCCAAGATTTCAATGCACTGATCTATGGATCTATCATACTCGTCCGGGTCTATCAATCCTTATACTATATCAACAGCTGCTGTATTTCCAACTAAATTATGATCACCTGCAGTGCGGTGTCGGAAGATTCGATAATCCTGTATAAATATATACCTGTAAGGTCTCCGTCGAACGATCAAAATTCACAAGTTCATGCTGCTGGGTTCGGGTTTGAAGCCTTATCTCGAACTGGATCTTACTAGTATACTGATGTTGAGTAGTGGCTGATTTGAACCTCCGAGTATGGTGGAACTAAAGTTTAGTACGCTCAAATTCCTAGCACACATTCCCTCCCCTCAATGAATTCAACGAAAAAATTCTAGACGATAAATGAGACCGTAATTCTTAGTACTTCAAAGTACATGTCATCATCATCATTACATTATGGAAAACTCGAAAAAAACATATCATACAGAGAGATCAAATCAAAGTAGGAGCACCACGCCCTCGTACTTCATTATTGACGACAAGACACTCGAACGAAATAAAATCATGTAAAAACGAACGTGCCACAAACTATAACCATGTCTAAAAATTCAACTTAGGAATGCGTGGGATGCAGTCCTCGCGCATACGCAGATTACGAGGAGCGCATTCCCCAATGCTCTGAATACTGCGGCGGAAGTTCGACTACACCATTAGCATCTGCAGCATCAGTATGCACGATAATTCGAGTAGGAGGTTGGTAGGCTGTTTGCCTGCTAGCCGACGCCAGAGGACTTCCAGATGCTCCGTGCATATTTGAGCTGTCTGTGTCAGGGCTCTGATGGGATCTTTGTGTCTGGTTGAAGTGTGTGGGAGGCGCGACATTGCCAGCAGAGGTAGAGATTGATTGGGAACTGGGTTGAACGGGTGGAGAAAGGTAGACAGAATCTGTCTTCTGTGGTAATGGTGATGCTGGTCGAGCCCCATGCTCGATGGGCATCGTATATGACATTTGAGTGTCTCCATCGACAGCAGAGTCTGTGTTGGAGCTCAGGTGCAAAGGCTGTGCTTGATTGAAGGGTGCGTGATGGTCCCTAGTTGTCAAGTTGGCGGCCGAAGCATTGATAGGACTTGGCTGAGATCCGGATTGAATAGACGGATCAAGGTAGCTAATAGGACGCGTCTCCTCCCATTGTGATGACATTTCAGTGATAGTAGACATTCGCCTGTCAACAGATGCCATAGCCGAGCTACGAGCCTCTCCATACACAACAAAGTCTGCGTTTGAGCTCTGGAGTGAATACATTGTCTGATAGGACGGTGTGCGAGGGTCGTCGACTGCAAAGCTCCCGGTAGACAGGGGTGATTGGCGGTTGTTAGCGGATGATATGGTCGAGCTTCGAGCATCCCCGTAGACAGGAATGTCCGTGTTGGAGCTCTGGCGAGAATATTGCGTCTGGTTGAATGGTGGGGGAGGGATGCCAGCTGCGAAGTTGCTGGCGGACGAAATGGTCATGTCTGGTTGGATCATTAGGCTGTGTTTAATGGGTCGGGTATGGTTGCTGAGAAGGTCTGTCGTATATGGGAAAGGGGATGGTGGTGGAATGTCACTGTAAGAGTTGTCTTCGTAATTTGTATCTGTACGCTGCAAACGATGTGGACGGCTTTTTGTAGAATACTTAACATCCAAACAGCGAGGGGTCTTCCGTTTATGCCGCCAGCACATGCCGAGGATGACCAATGTAATAAGAACAGCTGCACCACCGCCTGCCACGCCTGCGATAAGCGCAACATTGCTGCTTGATGAGTGACTTGATGAATGACTTGATAGACTACTTGATGAACTGCTTGAACTAGATGATGGTGAAGCCGTGGCTGTGGCCGCCATACCTGGAGTAGTAGATGACGGCGAGTTGGCACTTAGGCACGAGGAATCACTCGATCCTGAGACGGGCTCGAATGGAGAGACCCCACCTTGGTTGCCCAAGGAGTCGTTGACAAAATACATGACATTTGTCCCTGCGATGACATCCAAAACCGATTTAAAAGTATTGCTGCCGGAATTGAACACGACTGATTGTCCGCCAGGGATGAGTTGCTGTGGCAAGATAAGTAGATCGTTTTAAAAGAGTTCACAATGATCTGACCCCAATAGTAATGGGTGGGACTGCACCACTATTGGCCGTAACGGTAAATTGACTACAGTGGCGGTAGGTCAGCGACACAAACCGCAGGCGAACCAAACTTACCTGCATTGCGTGAGCGAATTCGGAGACAAATCGAATGTGTAAGGAGGTGACGAAAGTGGAGAGCTGCAAATATTATTTGCAACAGAATTGCCAACAGTCAATTCGTTTGTCGTCCCACCCGAGCCAAATCCAGTGGCGTCAGACATAGTAAGTAGAAACGATGTTCCCGACAACAACAACAATTGCGGTATTGAATAAGAGCCTTTTCCATTGCTGAAGGCCGATGCTGGTACAGGTATATTCTGATACGGTTCGTCAGACTGGAAAGCACAAAGGTTAGCGCGCGATTGAGACAATAGTGCCAACGAACAGGAGTCAAGAGTATTTCAAATGGTGCTTGACCACCTGAGAAACCCGATGAAATTCAGCAGGAGCGTACGAGATGTACTAGATAAGCGCTTACCAGTCCATGAAATCATGAGAGAATCGCATTGAGTGGGAGTCCCAACAGTGACACTAAAAGCATGAGCAACAGAGAGACAAGAAGCAATGAACGTAAAGAAGCGAACGAAGCACATACACAAGAAATGAGGAAGATAAGAGGAAGATGGTAAGAAGAGACGCAGGTGTGGTCAAACAGTATATTAAAACAGAGAATCGGGGCAGACTCGAGGTGAGGGGAAATTGCGTCCCAGATAATGCTAGCCGATAAGAATCGATTAGAATGCGTTAAATATATGGAAATAGTATATAGATCACCTGTGCCGCAAACGCCGACGTTAGCGGTAGTACATTGAGTAGGCTCGACATAATGAGGGAACACGCAGACTCATTTCAAATGGTCTAGAATTCGACTGTGGGTAAGGCTGTGCTGATGCTCGTGTGATAACCAGTGGCAACGCCGATTGCAAAATTACGCGGAAACACAGTAGTTTGAACTTTCTCAGAAATGTCCAAAGTATGACAGCACATGAGCGACTCCAACACCAGGCTGCGAGAGATACTGGTCTTTACATAGACTTGCTTTCAATGATGACCTCACCTTCAGAATATTGAATCCCCCAACCCAGAAATACCACAATGGGAGGCCGCCTTTGTTGCAGAAGGCAATGGCAAAGTCAAAGCCAAGGGGGTGAGATCTACACAGGTCAAAGAAGTCGTTTTCATGTCTCCAAGTCCACATACCTTGATTTTCGCTTGCAAAACATGATAAATTGCTCTGCAAGGTTACCGAGAAGAAACGGCACACTTCGACTAGTATTAGGCCGTGAATGAAGCAAACCTTGTTCCAATTTCGAACGTCGGCCGCAAATCGACGGATCAGCGTCCTTTCATATTCGAAGCTATCTGGGCAATATTCATGAAGATGGCACGTCGTTCTTCATCCCACAAGGGAGCGCGAGCAGATATACCCCTGTGGCTGTAATGTAGCCCACCAATGTGCAGGGTGTGGAGAAGTGTATGTGCAGATACGCACCACGACGTGCCTGTAATTCATGCTGTAGCTCATCTAGTACATTGGTGGGATTTCGTTGGTTGCAACGCTTGCAACGATACCCGTTGTTGCATTTTCTCGGAGATGGCAATGTTGGCAAGTCCAAGTCGGCCGGATGGTTTTATATACGCGTATCTTTTTGACACCGAGTAAATGGCAGATACCTGCGATGGAATCTTACTTCGGATATTTCTGAGATACAATGTTTCCGGGTAATTTTGCAATCAGCTGTAACACGAGTGTCAAGTGAGAAGCGGTGCGGGGCTAAGTTTCTCACCTCTGAGTCAACAGCGCTATGTCAGAAATTCCCACCAATGATCATGATATTCGAAGTTCAGCTGGGAGTTCAGAGAAATATTGTCCTGATCAGAACCCGACTTAGTATACGTAGTAACTTAGTAGCCTGGAGGTTGGTTTGACTTATATTTAGAAGTCCGATGGCGTCCTACCTGTGAATTTCAAGTATCACGCTCTTGACACGTTCCTAGGCCCTTGCTTGTAGACCGACACTCGACCCTGGCCTGATGAAAGAGTGATAGTAGCAGCAGCAACTATGCCTGATCTAGTGCATCTGGGCTATATAATTAATATGTCAAATAATGCCATTGTTTCGTACAGCTCGAGCTTCAATGTACCATCAAAGCATGTGCCAGCAGTTTATGAAATATCAGACCTCGCAGCATGCCTCATGACATCTCTCCAAAAAATGGCGTGTTTCTTGGATTTCCAAGTCATTTTTTGTGAACAATTCTAGTGACGAGAATAGCACAACGATTTTCGGTTTGGGCAGTACCATGCTTGAGACTACTGGCGGCCAGTGCGCTCGGGGCCTCAGGGCCATCACTTGAAAGGTGGCGTGATGATAAATGCTCTCCCGGTGAGCAAGTTCAATTTTAAGTTTTGCATCCATCTTTTATGTTTGACTATAAATGAGCGAATTCAATTGTTGGTTTTACAAAGTAAACGACTGTGATTGCAAAGTAATTCGATGAAACGTGGACTAGACTTGAATAAAGGCGTAAAACATCATTCAGAAATAATCATCAATTCTAAAAAATTACCTGGATTTCTGAGGAAGGTGTAGTGATGTAGTCATGACGCAGACTCAGATTACAAGGCACGCGTTCCCCTATGCTCTGAATACTGCGGCGGAAGTTCGACTACACCGTTGTTGTTTGACATGGCATCATCAGCGTCAGTATGGACGATAATTTGAGTAGGAGGTTGGTGGGCTGTTTGCCCGCTAGCAGACACCATAGGCTGACCTCCAGATGCCCCATGTACATCTACGTTGTCTGTGCCAGGGCTCTTGTGGGAATGTTGCGTCTGATTGAAGGGTGTGGGAGGGTTCTTAATTGCAATGTTGCTGGCAGAGGTGAAGATTGATTGAGGTCCGGGTTGAACGGGTGGAGTAAGATAGATAAGGTCTGTCTTCCGTGGTAATGGTGATGCTGGTCGAGCCCCCACAGCCACCTGCTCGACGGGCATTGTGTTTGTCATTCGAGCATCTCCGTCGACAGCAAAGTCTGTGTTGGAGCTCATGTACGAGGGCTGTGCCTGATTGAAGGGTGCCTGATGGTCCCTAGCTGTCAAATTGGCAACAAAAACATTAATAGGACTTGGCTGGGATCCGGACTGAATAGATGGACCTAGGTAGCTAACAGGATTTATTTCCCATGGTGATGGCAGTTCCGTGATTACAGCCATTCGCCGGTCAACAGATGCTATAGCGGAGCCCCGAGTGTCTGTATACATAGCAAAGTCTGCGTTTGAGCTCTGATGTGAATGCAGTGTTTGATTGAACGGTGTGCGAGGGTCGCTGACTGCAAGGTTTCTGGTAGACAGGGGTGATTGGCGGTCGTTAGCGAATGGCATGGCCGTCGTTCGAGCATCCCCGTAGATAGGAGTGTCCGTGTTGGAGCTCTGGCGCGAATGTTGTATGTGGTTGAATGGTGAGGGAGGGACGCTAACTGCAAAGTTGCTGGCAGACAAATTGGCCATGTCTGACTGGGCTCCTGGGCTAGGACGAACGGGTTGGGTATGGTTGCTGACGGAGTTTGTCTTGTATGGGAGAGGGAATTGTGGCAAAGCATCACTACGAGGACTGCCTTCGTACTTTAGATCTGTACGCTGCAAACGATGTGGATGACTTTGTGTAGAAGACTGAGCATCCGAAAATTTAGATGCCTTCCGTTTACGCCGCAAGCACATGCCGAGGATGACCAATGCAATAAGGACTGCTGCTGCACCACCGCCTGCTGCACCCGCAATGAGAGCAACATTGCTTCCTGGTGAACTACTTGATGGATTACTTGATGAGCTGTTTGGGCTAGATGACGGTGAAGCCGTGGCCGTGGCCGAGATTCCTGCAGCAGTTGACGACGAGCTGGCGCTTAAGCACGAGGAATCACTCGACCCTGAGACGGGCTCGAATGGAGAGACCCCACCTTGGTTGCCCAAGGAGTCGTTGACAAAATACATGACATTTGTCCCTGCGATGACATCCAAAACCGATTGAAAAGTATTGCTGTCGGAATTGAACACGACTGATTGTCCGCCAGGGATAAGTAGCTGTTGAAAGATAAGTAAGTCATTTTAAAAATAATTTGCGATGATCTAACCCCAATAGTAATGGGTGGGACTACACCACCGGTGGCCGTAATGGCAAATGGACTACAGTGACGGTAGGTCAGTGCAACAAAAAGTAGATGAACCAAGCTTACCTGCATTGCGTCAGCGACGTTGGAGACAAATCAAATGTGTAAGGAGGTGAGGGGTTTCCAGCGCCGCAAATGTTATTTGCAGCAGAATTCACAATTAATATGTTTGTCGTCCCACCTGAACCAAATCCAGTGGCGTCAGACATAATAAGTAGAAACGATGTTCCGGACAACAACGACAATTGTGGTATTGAATAAGAGCCTTGTCCATTGCTGAAGGCCGATGCTGGTACAGGTATATTCTGATATATTCCTTTGTCCTGGAAAGTGCAAAGGTTAGCGTGCAACTGATGCGCTTGAGACGATAGTGCTGACGAACGGGAGCCAAGAGTATTTCAAATGGTGCTTGACCGCCTGACAAACCCCATAAAATTCAGCAAGAGCGTATAAGATGTGCTTGATATGCGCTTACCAGTCCATGAAATGCTAAGAGGGCCGCATTGAGTGGGAGTCCCGACAGTCACACTGAAAGCACGAGCAACAGAGAGACAAGAAGCAATACATACAAAGAAGCGAATGAGGTGCATACTCGAGAAATGAGGAAGACAAGAGGAAGACGCAGGTGTAGCTAAGTGATATTAGGGACGGACTAGAGGTGAGGGGAACTTGGAATTGCGTCTTTGTCTCTAAGATAAAGCTGACCAGCGAAAATAGATCACTATACTAGTAGCATAATTAGTAGAATACTACCCTGTCATGAAATTTATACCGTAATGGACACCAATGAGTCAATGGCCAAACAGCATTGATTGATGCGCGACACCGAATCATTGGGTCTGTCATCTGACATTTTGCACTGGTATTCCAGTGTCACCTCTAAGCTGGCCAGCCAAGAGTGGCTGTAAGTGAACACACGAAAGATGTGGCAGTGTCGTGTAAATCACCTGTACCGCGAACACCGGCGCCAGCGGTGGCAATATTGGGGTGGGTTCAGCGTGAGGGAGGAATAGGAACACCTCGCGGATGCAGTCACCGACAGCCTGTAGGATTCTGCATGGGTAACACCGCGGGTCGGAAAGCTGACACCGCACCCGTACCCGCCAACACTGTACCCATGACGAGTACGGGTACACACCAACCTGTCAATACCGCGGTTAAATGGAAAACACCGCGGTGTCTCTGGGTACATTAGAAAGAAGAGTGTATTAATGACAACCAAATACATACTACTACTTTTCCTCGTCGTTCTCCTCAGCCTCGAGTTCGTTTCGCTTCCGTTTTTAACTCTTTACAGAGACTAGAAGGTCCTCCATCGCCAGAAGATCACTTCTGCCCGGCCAGAGTCTTAGCACTCTTTGCAACGACCTTTTTGAGTGACTTGGCCTTATCGGAGATTGACGACGAGATGGACTTAGATTATGAGTGTGACTGGGTAGACGAGGCATCAGATGCCTTCTTTGCGAGCTTGGTTTTCATGGAGGGACGATTTGGTAGACTTACTGGTCTCAAGTTTTTGCCTCGGCTTTATGGTAGTGACTCGAGCTTCTCTGTAATAAAGTTTCAGCTCGATAAATGGTTAGAATGATTCACAAAGCACGAAAGACATGACAAAAACTAGTATAGCATTGGGTTGTGATCCTCGAGCACTCACTGGCAGAGTAAGCCGACACAGAAAATCACATACGGCATGGTGTCACGGTTCAACGTTCAACGTTCAGCGGCTGTCGAGGCTCCCGATTTGGTAAGCCATACCCGTCAAACACCTTCAACCCGCGGTAAGAGGTCGCGGTATGCATCTCCAACCAGATGGTGAGTCTTTTTCGTGAATAATTTCAGTGACGAAAATAGCAAAGTTTAAGCACTAGCTATCAAGTTATAAACGCTTACCCGGAACATGTGTGAGATTTTTGAAAGAATCCTGATGTTCGTCATGTGTACTAACTATGTCTCTAACCTGTGCAGCGCAATATCATGATCCGATGCGATCCTGTTGAATTTTCCGTCGTACTTCTGCGATAACCAAAAGGCTGTCCAATGAATAAAGGCGAATTATCAAGCGCAGCGCTTGCTCATGAGTAAAAATGTGGATAAACTGGTTTGTTTCGTGAGACGTATTTCTACGGTATCTACCAACAGAAAATATGTCTTTGACTTGTTTGATGATCTCAAAGTCGACGCGAACCTTCCCAACACGCTAGCAAAAATGAATGCTGTCCAAGGCGAACCATTGCATCAATATTGATATTGAACAGCGTCAGTGAGGCCGACTTCTACAGTTTAACCGCACAGTAAATTATCAGAGTCGTCAGTCACATCTGCAGAGTCAGGCACCTCAAAAAGAGTAGCACCCCGCCCAGGCTCCTTCCCAGTCTCCAATTCGAGTGTGGAGGGGCGACATGAATGCAGTACAGCGCCTCGGGTGCTGTTTACTCTATCGATTATTCCACATCATCATAGCAAAGGGATCACGGTCTTTACACACGTTCGATATTTTTGCGGTGATGTGGATAACCATCACACATCGTGGCCTACAACTAGAGGGTATGAGAGACTAAACAACGTATCATGTACACGACCGAGGAACATTTTACTATAACGAACACAAAGATAATAGTATCATTATGCAACGCAATAGAATGACTCATTCCGCACATCCAAGATGATTAATTACTTGATTTCTTCTCCACTCGAGTGTGGACTGAAGTTGACCAGGAGGAGGTCGAAGGTGTAACGCGGCAGCGAGAGCCGTACACATCTCGGCTAACATTTGTTAGTAAGATGGAGCAATTATCACTCTGAAGCACACTTACCGTTCATTGATTGGAGTTCTGCAAGAGTTTCGGGCTTCCCAGTTGGATAGGGAGTATCAGAGACGGGAGGCCAGATCAATGGATCATCCGATGAGCATCGATGATTGCAAATTCGAATAGGCCATAATCCGTCGCTAATAATTCAATCAGGAAAATGTCGGGAAGCGATAGAATAAATCAATGCTCACCCGTAGATCAATTCATCGATATCATCTTCTATCACTTCGACCTTCTCCTCCAATGCACAAATCCCTTCCACCATGACATCAAACGTTTCATCTATGCTATCAAGTATCTCAACTACGACATGTGACATCTTCTTGAGTGTCCCCGTCATTCCTTGGATCATCTCCTCTAACCAATCAAGCGCCTCCTCCATGTCATTGAACCCCATCACCGCGTCATCGAACCCAAGCTGCATACGACGGAGCCTTGGCATCACCTGTTCGAAGGCAACTTGAAAATTGAGGAGATAATCTACACATAAATTAGATCGATCAACAATAGCATCTATCCTGGCGGCAGCGTGTATCTCGGTGGAGTGTTCTGCGGGATCCAGTGGCGCAAGGCCTGGAGCGGGAGGTGCTGATGCGGCAAGAGGAATCAGTGACATTGAGTAGAGAATGAGAATGAGTTGCTTAGTTTTGCATCGGCGCAAGGAAACGTTTATGAATGATGATGCCACTGACGCGACAAAGGCGTTGAGGTAAAAGCAAAGTCGCGTTTGTTGGGCCTTTCCAGAGTGTTGCCCCGTAGGCGTGCTAGATGGTATCTATCGGCGCCGTTAACAACGAAGAGACTTTCAAAGAAAAGCTGTTATAAACTCTCGAGAACAATGTCATAGCTACCACGTTCAACCCTCGAGATAAGCTGAAGTGCTGCTCTGCTCTCCCGTAGGAGCTGTAGACATTCCTGTTGACGTTCCCAGTTGTGATCCACAATTGGGAACGCCACCAGGAAAGTCTAAGCAATAGGTACTTTCAATCCATACCAAAATTCCAGAAACGTCGCTATCGATTGTCTAGGCGATAAACAGAGGGAGAGGCCTGGGACTAAGTGGTTACAAAGAAACATTAGAGCAAGCAAATAGTACTGACGCTCTCCGACAGTGAATTTGAAAATGCCTTATGTAGGCCAGCTTGCTGTCGACACACCTCATTCATGATGGATGTAGCTGCAACTGTCAGCGAGGCTAGAAAGAACTCCTGAGATGGAATCTGGCCGCGAAATTGGCACAAGTAGGGGATTGATATGTATTTTGTGACCGATGAGATACTCCTTGACGGTGTGGAAGATGTGCTGGCAATGGTGCGCGAACACTTTATTAATCGTCTTTCGGATCTCATGGCTTCCCTTGTCATGCGTGCCCTGAAGCCTTTTTTTCGCGAGGGTGCGCGCGGCCCTGTTAACAGAACTGAATTATGACAGGAATTCTTTGCATCAAGCAGGTAAGGCAGAAATGTTGGCAAAAGCATCTCGAGCTAGGACCGACGTTGTCTGCACGATTGTCTGATGGCTGAAGGTAAGTTATCCTTCGTCTATAGTAGGACTCTATACATAAGAGAAAATGTATTTCCTTCAGGCTCATCAGCACTACGATGAGTTACTAAAAATTCGATTAGCACAGTGACATGAAATGAATACGATCCTCAACCATACGGAGCTTCTGATCGATTTCCTGCTTCTTGCACAATTTGAAGCCTTCGGTTCCCCTGTTCAAAGCTCTCCCGAAAGGTATCTTGAAATCTACAGGAACTACCAGGGCGGTGTAGGGCACAGCGAAACAAAGGCAGTTTCAAGCGGTTCAAGCTCAGCTTGAAACTATGAGGATGTGACTGCGGCTGGCAGGGCAACTGCATGCACTATTACACCTCCAGTACCTCTACAAAATTTGATACATAACCCTCTAAGTAATACGACCACATTATTATGAACGCGAGACGAGTTCCTCCGCAAGGTGCGTTTTGTGGCAGCAACTAGTCAAAGTGTGTACAGAAGACTTATGTCACAGCCTGGCAGGAGCGCCTCCGCCTTATGCATTCGTGAACCGCGTCTATGGCAAAAGTCTGCGTCCCATTGCTCTTGCATGTATGTCGTCGTGTAATCTCATCAATTCTACCATGCTCATAGTCTGCATTATGAAGTTGCGGTAATGGGGTTCATATGGGCTTTAACATGGTAAGTCTTGTCAGTTTGTTGTCGACGTGGCAAATTTTAATAACCCTCTTTCTAGGGTTGTAAGTAACTGCCTCCCCGTTAATTCTTACTCTAAGCTCGTCTGCAGGTTGCATCTTTCAAAGAGCTACAAGTCGATCAAAATGGTTGGTCATCACTTCGTTTCGGTACATACGTACTCGAGCTCACTGACTTTGTGCCATAGGCGCCTATCCTAAGCTTGCACCACTGTCTTTAGTCCAAGGCGTTCTCTATTCTGTTGCTCTTGCGATAGAAATATTTGGCATTTACAGCTTATTGATTGTGAGTCGGAGTTATCGTGCGATGCAATGACGTCGTCTCGGTTCTAATATAGACCTCACAGCAACGCGCCTGGATGGTTAGGATGTACGCGTTTTTGACCGGTATTGCAGGTCTTCTTGTTGTTGCGGTCGGCTTTATGCGTTCTATCACTCATTTCACCTACAAGGTGAGCTTATTTAACTACTCATCTTTAACGTTCTGGCTGACGATGAGTAGAATGAACTCATAACTGAATGCATAAATGTTTCGGTGAATGGTGCAGTGGACACTGTTGGTGTTTTCGTACAGCTTGTTTGTGATACCTGGCTTATTCGTGACTAGGCATTCGGGATATGGGGCTCTAACCCAGACCCGATGGACCAGGCTTCGGCTACGTCTTGTAAGTTTTGAGGCACGACCCTTCCATCTGAATCTTACCTTGCTGCAGATTGTGATAGCGAGTGGAGCCACGATTCGTGGACCGAGATCGTGTCTACTATATTCGAGATCAGTGCGTATAGACACCTGTTGAGTCTACAGTAGAGCTGACAAATTTGAAGTTATTTGCCTATTGTCCACATCTGTTGCCTTTGCCTATTACCGTCAGGTAGTGGATCCCACGAGCCCTGCAAATGCCTCGAGGGCACCCTCAAACCAGGCGCGAATGGACCTTTTCCCGCCACACTATAACCGACCTTATGATCCCGAATACCAACCAGCATACGCTCCACCGCTTGGACCACCACCCTCCGACGCCAAACCACCTGATTACTCATACGCGGGCGGAGAGTATTTGGGACTTGAGAAGGATGACAAGAAGCAGGACGACCCCTTTTCAGACTATGAAGGACCTAGTGTACCCCGACCGCTACACTTTGCCGAGGATCGAGGATAGGGATGTGACGAGTGCTTGATGCATATATCCAGCTATTTGTAGGTCATTTTTGACATCTTACAGTACTAGTGTAACGTTGTATGCTTTGATTTCGATCCATTCTCCCATGTAATATCACCTGAGGGTCATTGACTATGCCTCTTGCACGACACAGCGCATTCAAAGAACTGCATGCTGGCCTTGGTCTGGATTTTGGTGGGGAGGTTCTACATGGGTGCGATAAACAAAATAGAAAAATGCATGAGGATCCATCTCTACATATTATAAGGACGGAGCGATTGGCAATATGGTGTCGACGCCATGTGCGAGCTGCACTTTGCCTGATTTGTATATGCTTACATGTGAACTGTGTATTATGCCTTTCAGCGCAAGGGCAAAAGGCAAATCCCGGATATAGGGCTCGACATTACTAAGCTTGTAAACCTTAAAATACAGCCACCCGAAGTTTCAAAACATAAGTTCTGAGTTTCTCGATAGCGGCCTAAGTTCTTCGTCAAATCGTTAGTTGAGTACAGAAAGTGTGGTATAATCAGTTCTATAGAATACATCTAGATACTTATTTTAATAAGAAATGCACATTGGGGCACGTGGATAAAGGAACAATAATTTCTAGATGTAATTTCGAGAACATGTGACACAATAAGTAATACGACACGTCAATATCAATATATGTGTCGTGTTGACGTGTCCTTAATGTCTGATATCTCTATGTTGTCCTAGCATCATACCAGATTTCACCAAACCATTAGACTTACATTAGACCATTGCATTATGTATTCTACAGCACAGAACTATGGTAACAACTCAGCTCTTATTAATATCAGAACACATATATTTGGATCAAATCACACAATGGATGACAGATCAGATTTTGTTGACATGGACCAGTCGTCTGGATATTCTTCCAGTCCAATCTCAGACTTTGCTGTGCTACCAGATAGCGAAGGACCTTCATCTTACTGGCTTCCAGATTCATCTCTCAGTCATTCTGCCTCACCAGAGATATGGAGAAATCCCCCAATCTTGGAAATCAACATTTCCGAATAACTGGCATTAAATACAACCAAGGGACTTTACCAGGTGTTCCATGCTGGTGGATTACTCACATGTGTTAGCGCTCAGCAACGATGAAGTATCCGCTGCCCTGACTGTGAGGAGTGGTGTCAAACAAGTCTCCCACCTGGAATTCCTCTGTGGGACACTGGGCATTTCAACACTCTAAGTGCCCATCGAGGCAGTAAGAACTGCCTCCAGACAATTGCTCGAAGGCGCAAAGAAGCTGGGAACGTGTCTGATGAACTGATCACATGTTCCCCATCATTTACCTCAGATCAAAGCACGTATGTTTCATTTTGGTTTCATTTCATTATTTGTCTCAGCTAATCGAACAAACCTCCCAGCAATTTGTCTGCTGCTTGTCCTGACAATTGTCCTGGGCTCCTGGTTGTCTGGCCACAAGATCTTCCTCCCTTTGTCATGTATCTCCCTTGGGAACACTATCATGATGGCTTGGATGGGCTCCCCTTCATCATCAATCTCGCCCAGCCTAGCATGCCTTATATTCGATCAAAGCATTGCTTCAGGTCTACCTTGATTGAGGATTCACCCTGCGGCGAATGTGCTGAACTCTCTGCACATGTCGACCACCTCTCCCAAACCACATGGGATCCAAAACCTCATACTAATTACAAGTATCTAGGCCTCGCAAATATGCGAGACATTGCACAAGGCCATGCCGATCAAGCACGGCAATTGAGACTGCAGGTATGTTTCCTCTCATTCCATACATGGTCCTCATTAATTCAACTCCAACTCAGGGCCTTAATGCTTCTCACGAGTATATCAGTGCTCTCACTAGGCTCGATGATTACCATTGCCTTCTCATGGCAATTTCTGAACATGACATCCCCCGCCTCCAACAAATAATCCATGTTGCCTTGGGCAATGGTGCCAGTGTCTGGGAAATCATCAACAAGTTGGAGGATGCTCTGGAAGGTGCCTACCATCCACGGGGCTATGGTGCTGATGATCTGGATATTGCTACACTAGTCTACCGACTTGGGGGCTGTCAACTTCTCTTTGCCTTAAATCAGAAGCTTAGTATCCAATCTCTGTGCACTCTTCGCACTCAAGCAGCCTTTACTACCATCTTCCCCACTATCGGCACTATTCGGGATGAACACTTCGATGCAAACATCCAGTCTGGTATTCTTAGTACCTGCACTGATATCACGTCACTTCATGGAGTTAGCATCATGATTGACGAGATGGCTATTGAAGAAATGGCAGTGCATTATAGCAAATACAACAAGATAGGTGGACTCTGTTGGAAGCACTCTAATCTCATAGATTCCGGACCAATGACTCTGCTGTTGCCATAGCACAAAAAATCCACGACAAAGAAGTGCACCTTGGGAAGGAAGTCACTGTGATCGGTGCTGTTTGTTTTCGGCGAGGACGAGCTCTACCCCATCCTAGTTGCACCCACATGCAACACCAAAGATGCAACAGACATGGAGGGTGTTCTAAAGTGTGCCTTACAGCGCTGGAAGGCAACTGGTGCAGATAAAACTGTCAGGCCGATTTGGTCACTTGCGACTGACAGTGATGCTACTTGTCATGCAGTAGGCCATAGACTTTTCATGAAGAAGCCATTATCCTCAGAGTCGCCGCTATATGGTATACTCATCAATATGCCTGGCTTGAATATGTGGACAGGGGATGATGACGTAACACTAGACTTTGATTCAAAGCATATTTTCAAATGTAAGTTTTTATTTAATGTTTATTGAGTCTTTGAGTCTGACAATTCCTTGAATTTAGGTATATGCACACTAATACGCTCTCCTTCAGGCATCACACTCAACAATGGACGGGTCATCAATGCTATGATGCTCTCTCACTACCTTGTGTGGCTGCCTGCATATGATGAAGCCAGTGTCATGAAATTCTTGCATCCCGATGATCCACAAGACGTTCCCCGAGCAGTAGAACTTATTAAAGCTATCATCAAGCTCACCGAGTGACAGCACGACTTCCTGAATAATTCCTTTTCTCCCAATATCGACAGATGTGCTGACTTGATGTCAATCGCACTCTTTAGTGATGTGATTGAGTCTTTCCTCATTCCCTTCATCAATATCAATCTTTCGCTCACAGAACAGGTCCAGTACCTCAGCCAATTTGCTCATCTATCATTCACCCTCTTCCACTCTCACCGACGCTCCTTTATGTCTTATCAACTCTACTACGACATGCACACCATGGTCAAGAATATTATGTTTTCTATAGTGAAGCAACAGGTTCTTGATCTGCGTGCTTTCTTTTTTCTTGGTGACTCCGGAGATGACCATCTAGAACTTCATTTCAGTCGCACTCGGATGATAGGTGGCCATAACTCTGGATGCTCTTTTTCACAGGTGATCGATTGTTTGGGTGCCACCAAAGATATTGATGGTGTGTTCAAGCACCATCCTGAACTAGATCCAGGCCATTGTTGTCTGAGTCTGGGCACCCAAGTTGAGGACATAGACCACATCAACCATGGCATGTGAAAAGGCAACATCATCTCTGGGCGCTGTGATCTCCCAACTGCCTGGCGCAATGGCCGGGAAATGGCTATTTTTATTCTCAGTGCTTCACAAATCAATCTCATCAACTTCTTCTTCATTGAGCTCTTCCATGATCTGGGTATTGACATGCTGCATCTCTTTGGGGAAAATAAGTACTTTGGGATTTCAGAGGCAGATGAGGAACTCCTCCCTCAGAGGTAAGTTGCATAGTGTTGTAATGGATGTAGCTCACTGCTTGTACCATAGCCCACTTGTGCCCATCGTCACTTCCCATGTTAACGTGGTATCAAATTTTTGCCCAATCCCATCTGCTGAGGCTGACTCCGAAGAAGTTGAGGAAGTCATGCTGACCTTTGAGGAAGCATTGACTGCGGAGTCCATTTCCAATGCTCCACCTACTGGGCATCTTCTGCTTCTCATTGACCCATCTGCTCCCCCATTGCCTGAAGGTCCAGGAATATGTCCTGATGACTACGTATTGTTCAAAGGCCAGTGGATTTACAAGCAGACAGTGTGCCGTCTTGCCATCAATAAGGATTTCATTTCAAAGTCTCACAATCGGCTGGAGCAGTGACCTGCACCAAACTGGTCCGGTGCATGACCATGCGGTGTTAGTGAATATTTTTCGGGAATTTTGCATGGAATGAATTTTGTGTTATTTGGCTCGAAGATGACTCAGCTAGATTCTCATGCATCTGAAGCTTCCATGAAAAATATTTCCTGCATATGTTTGTTTGCAGGAACTTCCAGGAAACTTTAAATACACGTGTTACCCGGTTTTGCTTTATGACATATGCTACATCTCTAAATAACACCAAATACAAACAAGTTTCAACACATTGTGTAAACCATGTTCTCTTACCACAGTCAACTGATCTATGACTAAGCCTGACAAATCATGTTCACCTACGTACAATTCACACGGGTATTATGATCTATGACAAATAATGCAGTATATCTAGATACGTGAGAAAATGAAAATTGAATATACCTAGGTACGCGAGAGTAAATTAGCATAGCCACGTAGATTTGTCTATATAAGGACCTCCATTTTGGCCTGAAATGCAATCAATCAGACTCTCAGAGTCACCCTTTGTTACGACTTGGATGGTATCTGTTGGCGACGCTCAAACAGAGCGTGTGTCGTCAACGGTCGAGGACATCCTTGGGCTAGCCCAAGGTTAGGGGTCGTACTTGGCGGGTCTTCGGCAAGTACGATTTGACGCCTATGTCCAAATCGGGTAGCTTATGTCACGCGGGTGTGAGACGATAAGCTATATCGGCCTAGGCTTATGACACCCGAAGGTTAATCGTAAGGATCGTCGTTAATTAGAAGGACAGAAGTCCGACTAGTTAACAGGGGCTTTGCTCGTCGACGAAGTCGATGAGTAAAGGTCGAGACTATAGGCTTATCCGCGATGAGCAGATAAGAAGATAGAATATAGACTGCTGGCGAGGCAGAAGAATCACTCTGGTGAGAGTAGGAGGTCAAGAACCAAGTAGATTCAAGTTAGGGAATATGGTACATGGTAGCGAGTTTATATAGAGGACAGGAGACATATTAGTGGATGATAACTCATACTACTGGGAGAGGCAATCGGTAAAGGGTAAGACCATAACAGGAAGGCACGTTCGGTCGAGGTAGAACGTGCTAGATAAGAAAGTGAGTCAACGATCGAAATAAGAAGTGAAACGCGCAGGGGCACGATCGTGCAGCTGCAGATCTAAGTATAAGTTGCATGTACAACTGCGCACCAAGTCAGAGATCAGAAAAGGGAAAAGGGGATGCGTCGTGCATCAGATCATAGGTTACCGTCCGGACGGTAACGGCAAATAGACTGTCCACAGGATCAGTCAGGTGGTGGAACGGAGCATGGGTATGCTTTGTCAGCGAAAGGATCTGGCCAGATGTACTGGCTTTGCTGTAGCGATAGGTAGAGAGCGAAAGGGAATGCGAGGATGACAAGGATGACCAAGGTTAGGTCGGGGTAAGGGTATGACGCGAGGGCTGATACGAGGAGGATCAGGAGAAAAATGGTAGGGGCCCAGGCGTCTAGATGTTCTTGTAACACCCTTAATAAAATTGCGAGTGAGGTTTGTGTGTGATCAGCATCAGCAACAACCACGAAGAGTTGTTCGACATTGTCAGGTACATTGATGAGACAGTAGGAGCCATTGAGCTCACTGTGCTCAACAACCTGCAAGGCCTGGCTTATTTGTTTTGAGAAATCTCTTGTTTTTCTGAGTGTTTGTGTTTGTGTGCACGTGTCTCTGTTTCTATCTCTCTATCTCTGTTTCTCTAGGATTGGGATCTATTTCACTCTAGTCTGGGATCTATTTCTTTTATTTCTGTTTCTTTAAGATTGGGATCTATTTCATTTTGTCTGGGATCTATTTCTTTTAGTTTGGGATCTATTTCCTTATCTCTGTTTCACTAGTCTGGGTTCTGTTTCACTCTATCTGTTTCACTCTCTCTACCCATTGAAGGCTAACAGTCTGAGTGCTCGTTTATTGTTGTGTCACTAACGTGTTATAGATTTTAGCGAATATATACTGAGTGTTTGTTTCTTGCTGCTGATACTAACATACTTTTGATTGTAGCAAATACATTTGAGCCTTACCTTTGAATTCTTTGTGTTGTCTCTACGTCCGCTAAAGGCTCAGAGTAGCTTAGTGGGGAGACTTCAGGAGTTGATTATTGTCCGCTTGACCTCACACATCTGAGTAGTATACTGAGCCAGGATTGTTATTTGTCAGATAGGCTTTAGCTATTGAATAGGGGACTTGGTACTGAAATCCAAGGACATCCATTTCTGATTCTGTTTAATACTCATTGTGAGTTCCTTGGCAGCAGATTCAATATTAGGCTAAGAGTTCTACGGAAGCTTTTGACAAGTCTTGACCTTTGATCCTACCTGTTTGCACTGTGGGAGTGACCAATACAGCTTCGCACGACCGTTTCATAGTAAGTTTAGAATATAGCACCATTGATTGTGCCTAGTCTTAGTTCTCATTTCTGTTTAGCACCAGTGATTGTGCTTAGTCTTGGTTCTTTTTTTCTGTTTCTTTGTTTCTTTTGGTCAACACCATACCGCTGGGTTGACTAGTGTTTCTAGACTGATATCATAGAGTACCTTTGTCTGACCGTAGCTTGGATATACTGACAGGCCACCAATGAACAACCATGTTATCAGTCATTGGTATTTGTCTGAATCACTGACCATGGAGATATTGTTATGACTTGGATAGTATCTGTTGGCGACACTCAAACAGAGCGTGTGTCGTCAATGGTCAAGGAACGTCCTTGGGCTAGCCCAAAGTTAGGGGTCTTACTTGGCGAGGCTTCGGCAAGTAAGATTTAATGCCTATGTCCAAATTGGGTAGCTTATGTCAAGCGGGGCTCGATGATAAGCATATCTGCCAAGGCTTATGACACCCAAAGGTTAATTGTAAGATCTGCATTAATAGAAGGACAGAAGTCCGACTAGTTAACAGGGGCTTTGCTCGTTGATGAAGTCGATGAGTAAAGATCGAGACTAGAGACTTATCTGCGATGAGCAGATAAGAAAGTAGAATATAGACTGCTGGCTAGGCAGAAGGGATCACTCTTGTTAGGAGTAGAGGTCAAGAACCAAGTAGATTCAAGTTAAGGAACTAGATACATGGTAGCGAGTTTATATAGAGGAGAAGACACATATTAGTGGATGATAACTCATACTACTGGAAAGGGAACTGGTCAAAGGGTAACACTAGAAAAGGAAGGCATGTTTGAGGTGAGTCATAGGTGAACTGGAACGTGCAAATGAAAATGAGTCAAAGAATAGAAACAGGAAGTGAACCGCGCAGGGGCACGATCGTGTAACTGTGGAGCTAAGTATAAGTACAAATGTGTGACTGTGCACCGAGTCATAGATCAAGAAAGGAACCAGGGTAAAGGGAATGCAGCGTGCATTGTATCATAGGTTACCGTCCGGATGGTAAGGGTAAAGGGGACTGTCCACAGGATCAGTCAATGGGTGGGATGGAGCATGGGTATGCTTCGTCAGAGAAAGAGTCCGGCCAGATGTACTGGCTCTGCTGGAGCGACAGGTAGAGGGCAAAGGGGAACACGAGGATGACAAGGATAATGAGAGCAAGGTCAGGGTAAGGGTGTGATGCAAGGGCAGAGACAAGGAGGATAAGGAGAAAAATGGTAGGGGCACAAGCGTCTAGATGTTCTTGTAACAGATATTTGATTTTGTAGGTGTTCATCTATAGATCATCTATCTAAGAAGACAGTGGGTTTGTGCAGGTTACACCAAGGTCAACAAGTGAATTGACATGTCTGCTGGCTGCATAACAGACCAACACTCATTCCTAGTTGGCGACATCTTCCTTACAATTCTTCGTTCAGGTCTTACACTTTCTATCAAAATCTTGTGGTCGACACTCATTACATCACTCAATATTTCTCGTGCATCAATGAACATTGGCATCATGAAGGCCTCACAGTCAACAGAACACATTGTGGTCATCAGTGTGCCCGGTTCACTAGTTGAACCTGTTAATCTGGAGCCGATGTTCATCCGGTTTTGGGATGACATCAATCCTAACCAGTTCCAGGAGATCAAGGGCAGGCAAAGCACTTGGCAAGTACATCAATATACACTTCAAGCTGCTTGTGACATTTGATGGGTGAAGGCTGTTGAAACCAAAGTCCCCCTCAAATCCATTGTGCAAGTTTCACCTTCAGACATTGATATGTTTCCTTACCGATCAAATGATGGTACCTATTTGATCACATCAGTTGAAACATGTGTCGCTAATGACTCTTATCAGGTACACTAGCTATCATCTCGACCAAAGCAGGCCATCTTCTATCTGCATCCAAAAGCAAACATATCACTACTTGCCCCCTCTGCCACATGAAAGTCACCAATATCCATGCCCATGTTGGCCAGCATATCTTGCGCACGTCCATGAACACACCCAAGAAGATTAGTCCGAAAGAACCAGTATGTTTTTGTTTCAAATGCTACTCTACACAATTAATTAATTTGAATAAGGTTGGTGATGCTCTTCCATGCAGATTCTGCAGCCGTTCTGGACTTCCTGAATGTGCTATCACCATCAAGGTTCCTACGAGCAGCACCCCAGAATGGGAAATGAAGTGCGCCTACCGACACACATTCAAATATGGATTTGTGGACCACAGATTGAAGAACAATCCCTGCTGGAACATACCCTTGAAGTGCGGTCTGTGCCATCCAACCCTCCCTCCTGAACCTGAGAAAAATTCACACAAGTTGCCAGTTGCTTTTGTCCAAAGTGTCTGGCGCTACAATATGACCACCCATGTTCTCAGTGAGCACAAAGAGTACACCATTCCTGGATGCAGAGAGGCCAGTGCTCCTTTGCCTGAGAGTGTCTGGAAGTCTATGGAGTTGAGTGAGCTCAAACAGGCCTCTGCTAGCATCCCGACAGAGTGCAGGCAACCTTTGCATAAGGGGAAGGAGAATGTGCCAGCTTCAGGTTCTCACTCCCTCAAATGCTCAGCAACAGCATCTGCAGGACCCACAACATCCAAATGTGCTCGCCCTGCTATCCACCCTCTTCAGACTGCACATACTTTACTTGTATGATCATTCTATCAATTGTTTTCCCTTCATTATCATGTTTTGATTCGCTGAGCTGCTTTTGATCTGTTGATATCCTTCATACTAGTGCCTTCATTATGCTTTCTATGCTTTGAATTCATATACTCATAGTCTACAAAGTGTACTTGCAACTGCGATATCACATTTCGTCAATGTTGTGCTCTCACTTCAATCACTTGCATTTGACAATGTTCTTCGTATTATTTGGCCTTTGAAAGTCAGGAGTAATTACTATATACGGTCTAATTAGCATGACCATAACACTGTAACGGTGGTGGTGGTGGCATGGGAAGTTTGTCCAGGTTGATATCAGATATTTGAATTTCCCCTACCTCTTGTGTTCACTATGCCTTTGAAACAGTGCACTCAAAGCATGATTGATCAATTGCTATGTATAAGTAAAGGCATGTCTTCCAGTTCCAGAGGGAGCATTATGCAAATAAATTCAAACTCAAAAAACTACAAACTGTCAATATACAATACTGGTCATCGTACATTTGTTGTACATATATGAAAATATGGAAACATTGCCAAGAGATAAAGGAAACAATAGAAATTGTGCCTACATGAAATGAGCAGTCCAACATCTGTCAAGTATATATCGATAAAGGAAAGATATGTCCATAAGTCACAGATGGTCCATGATCTGCCAAGTAGATACCGGTAAGAGAAATACAAAGACAAAAGAGATACATCGAGCCATTTACATGATGGCAAAGATAAGAGAAGAAACTTGGGATAGATGGATGGGAGCTGCGGGTGTGGCCTTCAACTTCAGATCGTGAGAGACAGGAAGGAGGCCGTCATGTTGTTGCAGTTGTGTCGGAATTCGGTCATAGGGGACATCTGACATCGAAGACTACAGAGATATCCAGGCAGTGCGAAGAGATGATTTGTGCACGGCCAGCAGTGGCCTTCAACCTCACGGGCATTGAAGCTCCAAGTCATAGAGGACAGCGAGGGAGGCCATTGCAGGTCTTCAGTATTTGGTCGTAAGGGACCTGAGGAGTAGCATTGTGCATAGTAAAGATGTCAGTCTTGAATGATGACAATCGAGTTTCCTGGGTTGGGCATCTTCTGGTGCAGAGGTGGTGAGGCAGGCAACAGCACAGAGGTGAGTCCAAGCTGGGACATGGCAGTTGCCCAGCCGTCAATGAGAGTGGTTTGGTCGGCGAGGATATCATTGTGCAATTGTTCAAGGTGATCTACTTTAGGTCAACAAACAAAGCAGACATTACCAAAAATCACTCACGGATTATAGCAGCGTATTCTACCTGTTGCTTGGCGTAAGTGCATTCAATGCTGCCACAGACAGCAACCACGTGTGTGGATCTAGACACTTGCTAACAAAACAATGAGTGTGGTACTTTGTTTCACAAAGAATGTCCATACCTTGTGTCTGCCTGGGCAGAAATCCCAATGCCGTTTTGTATCCAGGGGTTTCAGCTGAGGCGAGACAATCTGAGGCATAATGCTGCCAAGAGAAAGTGTTGTGGTTATTTGAGTTGAAGCATCCACAAGAGGCAAAATGTTGGTGGTCGTCAGGGGCCCGTCCTGTAGGATGATTGGCTGGAGCTTCATCCACTGAGGGGGTCCACTGGAACAGTCATTGTCATCCTATAAAGATTCAAACATTAAGCGACAAAGCTGAGGTGACTGTACAACAACTTCATACCTGGGGACAAGTGCTTTGCTAAAGGTCCCCGTCAGAGAGATCCCTCACGAAATCATTATTGTGGTCAACAAGAGTGGTGTCAGAATTGATTGAAAGGCACTTTTCGTTCTGAATAGGCGATGGCAGCAGTAAAGTTGGCATGCATAGTGTTGATGTAGACAGCAAAGTGCAGCAGTTGGAGTCATTTGCAATTGGGTTCGGTGGAATTAATAGGCATGGTGGAGTGCTATAAGATTCAGTTGTGATAGGATTTGATGAAATTGAGTCTGATGCAGTAGAGAAATCAGATACTTTGTTGCAGATGAGAGGTGCATTGAGCTCAGCCAAATTGTGCTTTGGAGGGGATTGAGCTTCTTTACTGAGGAGTATCCCAGCGGTCCTGTGGGAAGCTAGAACTAGGGCCACGATAGAGATACATAGCTCGGATATGACAAGGCCAGCAGTTACGTTCTCTGCTTCTTTGATGGCCTTGGTCATGTGATCCACCATAGTATGTTTGAAAAAGAAGGCTCCAAGGCACCCAGCAACAGTGACATGGGCAGCACCATCAAAGATAATGGAAATCATATTGTAAGGCGAGTTGAAGTTGAGAATAAGTCATGAAGAAAGTAATGCACGTAAATCAAGGACTGGAAATGGGAGGTATAGCTCACGGGCACACTGTTCTTATACTCTGCCTTGTGGTTAAATAAGCACTGCCACAAAATAAACAAGCTCAATCGTGACAAGTCCAGTCATGTGGATGCAAAATCAGTTTGTGTCAGCAGCACCCAACACTTACAATGGAATGGCCTGAACATCAGAATGAGATGATGATGGTTAAAAACTGTCATGTCTAACCAGAGATGAGCTTCAGTCATCGGTCTCCTCGCTGAAAGGTGTTGTAGTACATTCGGCTTTGAAATTATATCAGACATACACTTTTGAATCCTATTTATTATTTTCTTGGCCCGCCAATCAGTGGACAATACATCCTGTGTACTTCTGTGTGCTAGAATTGTTAAGCTCTACAACCAGACCATCAGTCATTTCATCCTCCGAGTCATTAGCATGGACTAACTCTAGAGATACTACCAGACATTCAAGAATAATTATGAGTCAATCAAAAATCAATCACGTATCAGCACCTGTCATATCATAATTGGGGTGAGCACGTTGGTAAAAGAACCAATATGAACCTCACTTGATCTCTCGGTGGTCAATCAATTCCATGGTATATGGCATTCCAAAACACCTGCAATGATAATCTTTTGAATGCAAGGCTCACGTAGCACCTGTGGTTGCAATGATGCACTTGGGAGGTGAATGGTGAATGAGAGAATTGAAATCATATGGACAGGGAGTATGGAAGCAGAGTAGAGAGCAGGGCGCTCCTCCACGACATAATTTTAAACACCAGAAGGGAGAACTTTGGCTGTATATGGTGCACAAGCAAGGAGTCGGCAGGATGCAGGGGTGATGTTGCAACAGTGAGTTATGATAATATATATGTATGCCTATGTTTGAAAGACTGACATGATGTTGATGTGCTGGAGTAGCTGCTCGACATGAAAGACAACAGTATGGATGCACATGTAGGACAGATAGTCAGATTCAAGTGCTAGAAAGCACTACCTGTTGTTTGGATGCGATGGAATACATCCTGGAAGTCAGACACACATATGCACTGAGGCACTGTCAGCAGGTGTGATAATAGCCAGGTGCCTTCTTGCTGTGACAGCAATGTAATGTATCCTGGTTGATGATGTTGATGAGAAAGACACCCAAAATCCCTCTAAAGTCCACTTCAACCATGCTCAACACTATCCACCTCCAGTAAATGTTGAAGCTCATTTCAATTACCACACCCCCTGCGAGAGTTTAAAGGCCATGGAGACAGCATAAGGGAAGTCGCAGTGTTTCCTGATAAATGACGGATGATTACAGACTCTGACAAGACACTTCATCTATGGGACTTGAACACAGGTAATGTGTTGAACAAGATGGAGGGGCATAGCAGAGTGGTGGTGGGATTAGCAGTATCACGAGATGGGCAATTGATAGCAAGCAGTGATCTCAAGGGAGAGGTCATCGTCTGGCATGGAGAAACTGGAGTCTGAAGAGTTACTCACCAAAATCGGAGCCCACTTCAGTTATATCTCTTTGCTGGATTTTTCTCCTGATGGAACAGTACTAGCCACTGGTTCACAGCACATGCAATGAAACCACAAGGCTTTGGAACACCAAAACTTGGGAGCGACAAGGAGAAGTTAATAATACTGTGATGTCCGGCAGTAAGTAATTACGTGAATCTGGTCCAATTGATTGCAATGCACATTGAACTTGTCAATGAAAATTAATGTTATGTAGCCTTGCAGGGAATAATCAGAGATGGTGCAATAATACTGTCACTACGATGACGACATTGAACTGAGTAATCAATCATAAGACTCCATGTCATCCGACTCCTCTGCTTTGGAAGCACCAGGCATCATGAGGCATGAGATTGTTATGCCAGCTGTCCGACGTGGCACTGCAGAAGAAAGTCAGCACATTTCTCAAACAAGGATGAGTGAAGGGGAAGGGAAATGGGGTACCTTATTATCAATGTTGATCTAGCAACTTGGAGAGGAAAATGAATTGGAGTTGTAGCTTTAGATAAAGTAGGGTGTAGGCATAGTACAGATGGAATTTTTGACCTATGTGGCTGCGGAGTAGATTCTTCATCAATCTCAGGAACAGGTTTCAAAGGTGTATCGCTGACGTCCACATCTGCATCATGATCGTTGCCTTTGAGATTCTGCGACTGCCTGGCATGAGTTTTTGTTTTCGAAGACGATGTGTATTGGCCAATGTCATTGGCACTATGAGCTGTATGCTTGGTTGACTGTCTGACTCGCGGCTGTTCATATTCATCCATAATCTCTACGGTGCTGTCATCAGAAGCCTGCATGTTGGAAGAATGAGACTTGGCAGAAGGCATGTGGTATATCATCCTAGTGCCCATTCTAGAACGTGTAGATCACTGGCTCATACAATGTATGCTCAAGTGCTGTGGTGCTGGTATTCTTCAAAGTCCAACAAAAATGAAAACATGTACAAGCAACACATTTTGCAGAAACCCCTCCTAGGCTAACCACCCGTATTCAGTGCTGCAGCTGCTGTCCCACAAAGTAAGGTGCTGCTACAGCTTAGAAAGGTTTTACTACAATGATATTGACTCGAATACATTTACGGGCACTCTCTTTGCTCAAGAATATAAGGTCTATGACAGCTCCTGCTGTCCCCTAAGTTTAAGTGCTGTTACAACTAGAGCAAAGGGAGGCTAGTAGCCATATAATGACCGCTCCAAAAGGCAATTATTATTCACTTGCAGCCTCCTGCCTTCTGTTGGCTTTTAATGACCTTCTTGACAATCTTTGCCTCCTCTACAAGGAATGCTCATAGAATGCTATTCACAGTTTAGATAAAGGAAGATGAGGTAATGAAGGGATGCACCGCGACTTGACACAGTCTCCGCATCGCAAGCCACCATAGGCCCTGCACACAGTCTTTTGGCGCTTTGAAATTGTTGCATATTGGCGGGGACAGAGAGCAGGGACCTAGAACCACATACAATGAATCAAAGTCAAATTCCATCCAACAGCTTATTCAAAAGAGACATACACCAGGAAGACCAATACCGCAATCACCGCATTTTGGCTGAGTAGCGAGTTTCTTGAGGTGGTGGTATACAAGTTTTCCACCTGGGGTCTTTACAATGCATCTGCGGCTTGAGGTGGTGTTGTAGGGTTGACATTTTCAGAGGGTGACACGTTGAGCCATTTGGGGAGCTGTTGATAGGGTTTTGTTAGCAAATGTTGTCAAGGCTTTCTTTTCCGATTTTGTTGGCTCCTTCCTCATGGACTCACATTATTTGAGCCTGTGTTAGTATTAGCCTCATTTTGTGGTTAGATAGCAATGAGATGCACCTTGAAGAGAGGTCTTGAGGTCATTTGGGCCGCTTCAATACACCAATTCTGTTAAGATCATGCTCAAGGGTTTAATCCAAAGGGCTTGGCTTCAGCTCGTGCGCTGCGCCCCTTACCCAAGTACATGCCCCTAACTTCCGAAGGCTAATGGACGATGTCCGGAAGTATTGGATGATGTCCGGATTCCTGATTGTCCGATGCACAGGAATTCCGGCGGACATTTGGGAACAGGTGATAAGACTAATCCGGATGATGTCCAAACTAGAAAGAAAACAGTGGAGGACTACCAAAGGTAGAGGCAGAGGTGATAAGTCTATCAGGATAGACCCTAAGACTAGTGGAGGTCGATGAGAGAATAACTCAAGTCAGACGGAGGGGAGAATGAGCAGAGTCTAAGATAATATTCGAACTAAAGATGTACATAGATTCTACAGGGTTTATATACTATGGAGGACTTAACAGAGGACAAGCCAGCACGGTCCGAAGCTATGCAAGGCTGTGGACGGAGGGTATAGAAAAGTCAAATGCTAGTAAAGGGATTAGGCACGGAAGTTAGACATGGGTTGGATCCAGACATAGATAGAAGTCAGCTGGATCCGGATATCCAGAAATGAAGTGTGTGATACGCCCGGGTCCGGAACACGGGATATGACAGTATCCCCCTTTAGGGCCGAGCCCACAAGGCTTCTGATTTGGAAGTCTGGTCCAGAGTTGTATGAATGCGAGATGATGGGCGGAGCTCGTAAAAATAGCACTGAGCATATAAGTAGGCCGGGGTGCCCATGAGACGATTAAAAACTTTCCCCCTCACTCCTATTACTGCTTGATATGTCTAACTCCACTTCCAGCAACAAGAAGTCCGCCTGGCAACTCCTCGAAGAGAGGCAGGTGGAAATGGTAGCCAAAATTGCGTGGCTCGAGGTGGACACCCGGAGAGAGGCGGAGGAAAAAGAGTGCAAGCACCAGGAGGCGGAAGAGGAACGGAAACGCATGGAGGAACAGAAGCAGAAGGATATTGAGGAGACTCGGAAAAGGTTGGCTGAGTGGGAGCGGAAGCGCCTGATGAAGGCTAGGGCAGATAATGCGTCAGAAGTGAGTCGGATGAGTTGTTTTTATGTTTTCTGGAGGTTCATAGAGTTGTAGTTGTCTGGTCTGGCAGATCCGGAGGTCGCATGTGAGATGTGTTACAAGAACATCTTGATGCTTGGGCCCCTACTATTTTTCTCCTGATCCTTCTCGTATCAGCCCTCGCATCACACCCTTACCCCAACCTTACTCTCGTCATACTGGTCATCCTCGCATTCCCCTTTGCCCTCTACCTGTCATTGCAGCAAAGCCAGTACATCTGGCCAGATCCTTTTGCTGACAAAGCATACCCATGCTCCATTCCACCACCTGACTGATCCTGTGGACAGTCCCTTTGCCCAAACCATCCAGACAGTAACCTATGATATGACGCATGCTGTGTCCCTCTGCCCAGTTCCCTTTTTCAATCTATGACTTGATGCACAGTCGCGCATGTATACTTATACTTAGCTCTGCAGTTGCACGATCGTGCCCCTGCGCGTTTCACTTCTTATTTTGATCGTTGACTCACTTTCTTATCAGCACGTTCATGTTCACTCGTGTCTCACCTCGAACGTGCTTTCCTCTTATAGTCTTACCCTTTACCGATTGCCTCTCTTGGTAGTACGAGTTATCACCCACTAATATGCTTCCTATCCTCTATATAAACTCGCTACCATGTAACATATTCCTTAACTTGAATCTACTTGGTTCTTGACCTCCTACTCTCACTAGAGTGATCCCTTCTGCCTAGCCAGCAGTCTATATTCTATCTTCTTATCTGATCTTCGCGGATAAGTCCTTAGTCTTGATCTTTACTCATCGACTTTGTCGATGAGCAAAGCCCCCCTGTTAACTAGTTGGACTTCTGTCCTTCTAATTAACGACGATCTTACGATTAACCTTCGGGTGTCATAAGCCTTGGCAGATACTGCTTATTGTCTAGCATCCGCTTGACATAAGCTACCCGATTTGGACATAGGCGTCAAATCTTACTTGCCGAAGCCTTGCCAAGTAAGACCCCTAACCTTGGGCTAGCCCAAGGACGTCCTCGATCATTGACGACACACGCTCTGTTTGAGTGTCACCAACAGATACCATCCAAGTCGTAACAAGATGTGCGTCACCAGGCGCAAGACTTGCACCTGGGCAGTAGTGTCCAAGATGCCTAGGGTGAGTGATTGTTTTGTCCGGATCCGGATGATTGCTAATGATACCGGAAGATCCAGACTTGTGACCAGTGTGGCGCATCAAAGGAGAAGTGTGTCGGCGGAAACCCACCTGTCAAGGCGCCGGCCGGCAAAGGCAAAGGCAAGAAGCGCACATGTCCGGAGGGATCTCTGAGCCCCAAGGGCAAAGGAAAGAGATGTCAGCCGAGTCCGGAGTACATTGACAACAACGTGGAGATAGTCTCCAGTCCCCGGATGGTCATTGGGGAGGAGCAGGATTGGGCAGAGTATGATGACCAGGCCTGGGTTGCGGCCGCCAACAACATAGTGGTGGAATTGGCCCGGACCAATGGGCTGCTGGAGAGGGGTATTGGAGTGGCGGAGGGAAGTAGGGCTGCAATGGACTGGGTGAGTGAAAACATAAACATGCTCTGGTTCATGGAGGAGCAGAGGAAATTCCAGACCCTCTTCTTGGAGGGTCTGAGGAATGGATTCTGGATGAATGTGGAGGAATCTCCGGAGGAGGAAGTTGCTGAGGGGGCGGAAAAGGAAGCCGGCAGATCCGGCGGAGATATGGAGATGGATTCTTAGGTAGTCGGATCCGATGTCCAGATGTCGGACGCCTAAATAATGTACATATATGCACATCCTTTCCTTACTCTTTGTTAGAAGTTGGTCCCGGCTTATCCGGATATGCGGAGTGGAAATCCGATAGAAGTTCCGGCACATTTCCAAGTTTGGTTGCGAGTATCCAGGAAGTTTCTTCGTCTGTCCCCTCATATTAAGTATAATAGTTGGCAGTGACGTCTCTGGCGGTCAATTTTAGAGTCCAGAATTTCGGAGATTTCAGATTCCGGTTCTCCATTGACTAAGACTGGAGGCGGAGGCAGTTGGATGCGATTAGGAATGGTGTTCGGAGTTGCGGGTTCTAACTGGGAGACATGGAATACAGGATGTATGGATTGCATTGCGTCCAGAAGATGGATGGTGAAGGAATGGGTGCCGGGACGAGCGATGATGTCGAATGGACCAAGATTCTTTTCCGAGAGCTTTTTCGATGGTCGGGTCGAGCAGAAATATTTTGCTTTGACAGATACCTGATCTCCGACTTTGAAGTCTGGAGCGGGTTTCCGTCTAGCGTCCGCAGGTCCCTGATGTCGCTCTTGGGCATGCGACATTTCCTCTCAGAGGAATTGGTGGAGTTCATCTAAATCTATTGCATAATCCCGAGCACAGGCGGATGAGAGATCACGCTCCAGATGTATGGAAATGTTTGGGTGATAACCCTTATTGGCAATGTAGCGATGGTCGTGGTGTTGGGCTCAAAACCACGTATTTCCATACTCACATCAACACCTGAAACATATGCGCACATGTCCGATGCACTTTCGCACATGTCCGAGCCACTCCATATCGGATCTGGCGCATCGGACCTTCGGACATTGCATCGGCCGATCGCACTTTGCGCGCACTTGTCCATCCCGTGTCCTGTCCATCCGAACTAGCCTCACTAGGTGCGTAGTTATTCCCGTGCACATTTTCTGACATTCGGACCGCATTATTACATGTCCGCAGCACCTCGTGTCTTATTACATAGGACATCGGACCCAAAATATATCACTACTATCTTTGCCTGTAGTTTTCCGAATTTCTACGTACTTACTTAAATACTCTGTAGTGACCCGTAGCAATCATCATCCAGTAGTTAGGAGCCGTTTCCCGACTCTGCAGATCACCCAGAATATTCTCATAGTTCTTAGTTGCATTGCAAAATATTGCCATTCATTCACCGTCATACTCTGTCACTCATTATACTCGCACATACCGCTCGCAATCCAACACTCATTATAAAGTTTCCGACTCATTATTGTGAAGTCCGAAAGTCCGAAATCTCGGACATCGCACTTTGGCTTCAGACATTGGATAAGTACCTTCGGACATCATCGGATTACCTTCGGACATCGTTTCGCACCATCGGACATTTTGTTATTTGCATTACTGACACATTTTTACTACTAATACCATTTAGCAATCCCTTTAGGATCGAACGCACTTGCTCTGCAAGTATAGCAGCATAGATCGTGCTAAGATCTACCTAAATATTTGTTGTCTAGGTAGTACGATTTCTGCTGAGCCCAGCAGAAATCAGCTTTCTACAGTGAAGAACGGTGAAACTCCGGTGGTAGCACACAGAGCATTGTTGTAGGCAAACTCAGCCAGGGGTAACAGTTCCGACCAATTATCCTGCTGATAGTTGCAGTAGATCTGGAGGTATTGTTCTAGGGTTTGGTTAGCTCGCTCGGTTTGTCTGTCACCTTCCGGATGATATCTGGAGGTGAAACGAAGAACTATATCTAATACTTTTCCGAGAGACCGGAAGAAGTGAGAAACAAATTCCGTGCCACGATCAGAAGTAACATGGGCCAGGACTCCGTGCTTGGAAAACACATGGAGGAGAAATAACCGGGCGAGGTCCAGAGAGGCGATGGTGTTGTAGGTTGGAATGAATATTGATTGCTTGGATAGTCAATCTATGACTACCAGAATGGCAGTGAAGCTGGAGGAGTTGGGGAGTTGTTCGATGAAGTCCATGGATATAGAATTCCATGGTTTCTTGGGGATGGGGAGTTGTTTCAACAATCCATGTGGTTTGTGTCTTGGAACTTTGGCTCAGGCGCAGGTCGTACAGGATTTAACATAGTCCTTGACATATGCGCGGATTCCAGGCCAAGTATATTCCCGACGGATAACTTCCAGAGTCCGGTTCTGGCCGAAATGTCCGGATAGTGGGTGGTCATGCATATTCTGGAGCACTCGGAGATGGAGATCATTGGATTCTGGAATGTAAATACAGTTGTCGCAACGGAGGAGACCACTCTCGTCCACTGTCCATCTTGGGTCCGACGGGCCCAGAAGATGACTGGAAGCGATCGGGTCATTAGGAAGGGCGGACAAGATGTCCTTATGAAGCTGCTCAACATCCATCAGTACAGCCACCCAGAGCACCGGAATTGCTAGGTGTGATGCCCAGAGGGACGAAGTGAGCTGTTCTGTGGTAAATATTGGCCGGAGATTGTGTGGATTAACTTGAGCGAAGTCCTTATCCCCCTCTTTGGGGTAGACGTCCCAACGTCTAGTTAGGCAGTCGGACTTAGCTCTGAGTTTTCTGGGTCAGAAACAGATGATGAGGTTGAACTGATGAAGGTATTCCGACCAGCAGGCCTGGCGGCGGGTGAGGAGTTTTGTGGTGGCGAAGTACTCAAGGTTTTTGTGGTCCGTGATGACATCTATCAGCTTGGCAGAGCCTTCAAGGTAATGTCGCCAGGAACGGAAAGCTTCATAGATAGCTAGTAGTTCTTTATCATGCATGTCATAGTTGAGCTCCGGGAGTAAAAAGCAACTGGGCAGAGCTCCTGGTCCGGACATACTATAGAAAGTATTCCAGCGATCACATAATCAGAAGCATCTGTCTCAATGATGATAGGAACCTCTGGCATCCAGTGCGTAAGCACCAGAGCAGTAGTGAAGGCTTTCTTGAGAGTATCAAAAGATTTCCAGCAATCCTCAGAGAAATTCCAGGGAGCATCCTTGCGAGTGAGCCGCATGAGCGAGACAACAATATCCGAGTAGTTAAAGATGAAGCGACAATAGAAATTAGCGAATCCGAGGAACAATTGAATATCCTTAACTTTCCGGGGTTCCGGCCAGTCGCAGATAGTCTGGACTTTGTCCATAGACATGGTAAGGCCAGCCGGAGATAGGAGATAACCAAGGTATTCAACCGAGTCGGAATGGAATTCGCATTTTTCTGGTTTGACATATAGCCGATGCTTCTGGAGGCGTCGGAGGACTTCAAGGACGTGTTGCTTATGGGATGCAAGGTCTGCGGAATAGATGAGGATGTCATCGAGGTACACAATAACACAAATGTCAAGCATATTGGCGAAGATGGTATTGACAAAGTGTTGGAAAGCCACCGGAGCATTGGTGAGACCCTTGGGCATAACCAACCATTCATACGAGCTGTAGCGCATCCGGAAAGCAGTTTTCCACTCGTCTCCTTCTGCCATCCGGACTAGATGGTAAGCAGAATGGAGGTCGATCTTAGTGTAAACTTTAGTGCGGCTCGGAGAATCGAGAAGGTCAGAAATGAGGGGAAGCAGGTAGCAGTCTTTCTTAGTGATTTTATTGAGTCCTCGGAAATCTACACAGAGACGCAGGGAGCCGTCCTTTTTCTTGACAAACAGGACAGGGGCTCCGTGTGGAGAGGATGAGGAGCAGAGAAGTCCGGTCGCAATATTCTCATCAAGGAATTTGCGAAGAGCTACAAGCTCAACTGGAGAAAGGGAATATATGGTGCCAAGGGGCAGAGCTGCTCCTTCTTCTAAATCGATCTTTAGATCATAGGGACGATGAGGAGGGAGCTGTCCGGCTTTGCCCTTATCAAAGACATCCGCATACTCGTGGTATTCCGAAGGAATTCCGGATAGGTTCAGAGGTTCGGAGGAGAGTGTAGCGGAGCGGAGATTGACACCAGAAGGACAGACAAAAATACTGAACTGGACCGATCCCTCTAACTTACAGGCCCGGCAAAAGGCAACTGCATTGATTAGGGAAATATTGGGAATGGTGTTATCAGCAGAGGGACTCGGTGAGATCATGGAGGGGATTTCTGCTGGAGCCAGCGGAAAAGGGTTCGGAGAAGGTGAAGGCACTCCATGAGGAATCGGATGGAAATTGATGCTGCCCTTTACCCAGTTAATCAACGGATTGTGTTGGGTGAGCCAGCTATATCCTAGAACGATGGAACAGGATGAGTCCAATGGAGTAGCATAAAATGTTTTGGAGGTAACAACACCGGTCGGAAAACAGATCAGTAAATCTACTGCCTCGGTAATCGTGGCATTAGAAGTACCATCAAACAAATGAAGCGGGAGTGGAGGGATTGCATAGGTCAGAATGTTGTTTTCTCGGATTAGTTTGCTTTCTATGAAACAATGGGAGGAACCACAATCTACAAGAGCTGGGAACGGAGAGATATCAGGAAAAGTGGAAATGGAAACATAGGGTAATAGAGAGTTCGGATTGGAGAAGGAAATAGTGTTGAGGCGTAGCTCCATTGCACAGGTTGAGTCAACGCAACCCTTGTCCCACACAGAGTCAAGAGGGTTGTGGACTAATTTTTTGTCTCTTCCGAGACCTCTGGTTTGGCTTCTGGAGTTACCGTGCTGGCACGACCTTTGGCTGCACAGGAAGTAGACTTCAGGCAGTCCTGGGCAGTATGACCAGGTCTGCCGCAGAAGAGGCAGAGCTTCTTTTCCATGCACCTCTGGCGCTCCTCAGAGGTGAGCTTGCCATCTTTTCCAAGTTTGGACATTAAGTCTGGAAGTTTGGCGGAGGATGAAGCCGAGGCATTTCCGGACTTTCTGCCAGAGTACTCTTTCCAGTCGGAGGTCAGAGCTGACTGCTTGGCAGGAGGGGCGGATGTGGAGGGTTTGGATTTGTGGGAGACTTCTCCCTTGCGTTCCCAGGATCGAGCATTGATAGTCTGGGCAAGAGTTTTGTATTCAGGAAGTGTGGTGGGTTTCCCTTGACGACTGATTTTATCCTTGATGCAAGCTGGAAGTCCGTTATAGAACTGATGGTGCAAAGCTCCATCGCCCCAACCTCGGACTTGGGAAGCTAGTCACTGGAACTCTACAACATACTTGTTGATGCGCTGTCCGTCGCGCATATAGAGCTGTTCCAGCTGCATTTCCACATCTCCGACCAGGTCATGTGGTCTGAAGTTAGTTTGAAGTTCTAACATGAACTCAGAGTAGTCATCCATCCAATCCAGACGATCCGCTAGATCATCCAAAAGGAGGTCCGGCTCAAACCATTCAAGGGCCATGCCCTTGAGGTATGATTGCACGAAGTTGACCTTGGTACGGCCGGTATGGAAAGATTTTGGCTTAGCTTGAAAGTTAAGCTCACATTGGACAAAGAATGCCTGGAGCTTCCGGGGTTCAGTGCCATCAAAGGTATCCAGTTCTCGGATTTTGACTTTAGAGTCGCCGGAGGAGGATGATTGGCAGTTGTTACGCGCCAGGTTATTGATAGCTTGGGATAGGCGGAGGAAAACCAAGTCCTGTGGACCTAGACCTTCATTTTCATTGTCGGTCGGGTCTTCCAGAGGCTCATCATCCAGATCTCCACCACCATCTCCGGGCGGGTTTCCGCCTAGAGGATTTTCATCGTCGGAATTGTTGTTTGGAAGATTTCCGGCAGGAGTGGGTGTGGGGGTAGACAGATGTGGGCGATTCATGAGTTGCGAGATGCTGGAGGCAGGGCCTTGCGCACTAGCGCAGCGCTGCGAGAAACTGGTGAAGGCATCGACTATGGGAGTAGAGTCCCATCGGGCGGTTACTAAACCCACCACGTTGAGAACTGCCTGTGCCCATGTAGGTGTCATGAAATACTCGGTAAGGTGTAAGTTCGAATATACTGTTAAGATCGTGCTCAAGGGTTTAATTCGAAGGGCTTGGCTTCAGCTCGTGCACTGTGCCCCTTACCCAAGTACGTGCCCCTAACTTCCAAAGGCTAATGGACGATGTCCGGATTCCTGATTGTCCGATGCACAGGAATTCCAGCGGACGTTTAGGAACAGGTGATAAGACTAACCCGGACGATGTCCAAACTAGAAATAAAACAGTGGAGGACTACCAAAGGTAGAGGCAGAGGTGATAAGTCTATCAGGATCGACCCTAAGACTAGTGGAGGTCGACGAGAGAATAACTCAAGTCAGACGGAGGGGAGAATGAGCAGAGTCTAAGATAATATTCGAACTAAAGATGTACATAGATTCTACAGGGTTTATATACTATGGAGGACTTAACAGAGGACAAGCCAGCACAGTCCGAAGCTATGCGAGGCTGTGGATGGAGGGTATAGAAAAGTCAAATGCTAGTAAAGGGATTAGGCACGGAAGTTAGATGTGGGTTGGATCCGGACATAGATAGAAGTCAGCTGGATCCGGATATCCAGAAATGATGTGTGTGATATGTCTGGGTCCAGAACGTGGGATATGACAAATTCCAACAGAGGGTTGTGGCTGATTGCTAATATACAGTACTTCGGCAATCTCCAACTGGTCTGGCACTTGTTTAGGCTAGAGCTTTCCGGGCTGAAGTCCAACATCAAAGAACTGAGGCAGGAAAATGCTGGGCTCAAGAATGATATCAAAGAGCTGCGTGATCAAACGGATGAAAATGTCAGAGCTGTTTTGGTGTTCGTCTTGTGTTTTTTGTTGTTGCTGTTCACACTCATGTTTGGGCATTATAGGATAAAGTTGTGATTGATAGGATCCATCTGCAGGGCACTCCTTGACATGGGTTGCTATCAACTGCAGGAGATGATTTTTCCATCAGAACTGTGATGATTACAGCGGAAATGATGCGCACTTCAGGATTTCAATATGATGCATCAGAATATTGGAAGCTGGCTGTTGGGATGATCATTCAACTCTCTGGTTGTCCAATAGTCATACCCTCGTTAGGACTTGTGCAGTTGTCGCAGCATGTGCACTCTTCGACAGATAATGATATTACAGAGTGTGTTCTGGCTTTGACTACTCTGGGGGATAGGACTCGTATGATGAGCATTTCTATCCATTTTACAATAGGACCTTCTGCTGAAAATTTTACCTGTACTCACTCTTTCAGAGTCCAATAAGTCCACTCTTGCATTATCAGTTCACCTTTCCTCCATCTCATCTCACAAAACTAGGGCTTTGTTATCTACAAGCTGGAACTAAGGTCCACTTCTCAACTTATCTGAAACCCTTGACTTGTCTTGCCCATTGCAGTTGGAATTTTCACATTGTTCCATCTTCTCTCCTGATGTTCTGCCCATGTCCTAATACTGACTTCTCTTCACTTTTTTAATTCTACAGGCATGATTCTCAACTCTAAACCAGACGGCAGCGGTCCCCAGTCTACATCCGAGTAAATGTTCAAATAAACTAATGGAATAATTCTGTTGTTCCTCACAGGCACTTGTAAAGGCTGCAATTATTATCCTCCAAATTCCTTGATTTGGCAGAACAAGATATTTTATAGGAGATAAGTAATGCCAACACACTCAATGTTTGTGTCCCTGTTTCCAAGCTCTACTGACTAATTTTGCACTGATCTCCCTTATGAGTGATATGTCAGACCTACTACATGATACATAATCACAATCATGAGGGTCTAAAGCCCACACATGCCTTCAGAGGACGCAAATGCCGTTGAGTGCTTTGAGAGGTAACTAGATAAACATAAAATGCATCATCTGAACAAACTCAATAGCTACTTAGTCTAACTAACTAGTAATTGCAGTTTAGGCTGCTATTCCAGACGAGTCCCCAACCTGCCCTGCAGCTAGCGGATGCTGGGACAACCAACACATCGCTAGCAGCAACTAGATGAAATGTTTATGCGGGGTATTTCAAGTTGGCCATAATGGCGTGGAGTCAGCTACATCACATCCAGTTTATAATGATGAGTCCTCTTGAATCATGGTGAGTAGCTAATTCAATTACTTACCTTGGTCGCATATTTTGTGACCCTGGTACACATCTACTCACTCCCACCCTCCTAGCAAAAGTCAAGGCAGTGCCATCATGACCCAGAAATCTTTCCTCCTGTCATCCCTGATAACACATTTCAAGATGCTACGGCCAATTTCAATATTGATAGGAAAGACCTTCAAGTCATGAGTAGGTGGCAGGTAGTTCCAAAGAATTCAACAATTCAAGTCAAGTGCAATTGGTGTCTTTGGTCAGACATTACATGAATGCCTCGGGTAAGCACCATATTCATGCTGGGACCTTGAGTCCAGCTGGAGCATGTTCATGTACCAACTAGTAGTAGTGTAGGGAAATGTTAACCTACTATGCTCATTTTATATGACTGCATTTTTTGACACTATCTAAATACTCAAGCATAAGATGAGGCTGCAAACGAGTCAAGTACACAGGAACTTGGTGAACATTCTAATCGACAAAAACACAACAGAATATATGAAAATAAGATAGCTAGAACACAAGAATATATCAAGGTCATATTTACAACAGAATGAGAGAGGATCATGAATCAACAACATATGAATATGTGCCAGACAAGCAACACAACATGAAACTACACACCAATATGAATGAAAACCATCCTCTGCTTGAGTAGCACTGTCTTCTTCATGGCATGCATAGCATGGTTCAGTGCCCAGGCTGCCTTCATACAGTCCATCTCACCACCATCCTTCACATGTTCAAACATACTCATGTAGAAGGCTTTGACGATGTGTTTTGCAACAGCGTTGTTGACCTGCCACATCGTGCCAATTGCGCTCTTGAACCCTGAAAATTGGAGACCGGCTGCGAGGTGAATCACTTCATTGGGTGTCTCCTCATCGCCAACGGCAGTATGACATGCTGATAAGAACGCAAACTCAGTGTGCAGAATGTCTTTCTCCATAATATCAAGCAGCATCAGATCCTCATCTCTCATGATGAAATGTGAATGGTAAGGCTGTTCGGTGTCCTGCTTGTCATGACAAGTGAGGTGCATCCAGTTGTTTTGTTGCAAAGCTTCAAGTGCACCTGCTTGTGTGGCTGCGTCGCCAGAGATAGTGGTGCAGTTGGCTGTCACTGGAATGAGCTTATGGACAAGCTCGAACTCGCTGTCGATGGCCAGCAATGCCTTGCCCTTCCCTGCACCTGGTTGACCTTGTCTGACTGCCACGAAGGATGGAGAGATATGTTTCTTCATCGACTGTCTCAATCTCACCAAAGCCAAAAGTGTCAGCGTGTAAGAGCAAATGTAGAGATCCTCCAGGCAAGGCTTTTTAGAATGGTCTGCTTTTGTATTGAAGGGGTGAGCTGCATGGAGAGGAATGAACATGAAAGCTGCAGTCGGACACAGCCAAATTCAAGAGCAGGGCTTTAGTTTCAGAACATGCTCAAGTGCGTTGTAACGATGGTCATGGCGCTGGGCTCGGAACCAGCCAATCCAACACCTACATTCATACCATTCCCCGACCTCCCTTGACCTTCCAAAGGCCGCGCGCACTTGTCCAAACCTTCCACAGGCAGTTCTCGTGTTCCGAGACCCATCCAAACCTCACAAGTTACCATACCATGTCCTATCCTCGTCCTTTTGACTTCACTGGTGCATTTTCCTTTATTCTAACTATATGTTGACTATGTCTTAGTGCTACACAAATAACAATTCCATCAGCATCCTGTCGGGAGCCTCGGAATATGTATAAGCAGTACACATCGCGGCTTATTACATGTATACTTGCATTCCTGCACACCTCGAGGCTTATTACATAGGTTCAGACTTGCTTATCTCGCTACTAGTTTTGCCTATGGATTCCGGCCTCTCATGGAAGCAGGATATAATCTCGCTCACTGGCTACTGATAGGACACTTCACTTCCCATACTTTGAATAGTAATTAGTAGAGTCACCTCGGTATAATCGTAAACTGCGCAATCAATCCTTGTTCATTCGGAACGATTGTTTGGCTAGACCGCTGCCAATTTTGCACTTCGTTTATTCTTGAGTTCCAATAGATTAGCATTGTTCCGGACTTCAGACATTTCGCAAAGTCTTATACTGTTATTCGACACACCGACATACATTGACCTTCGGACAGCCTTCGCAAGCCTCAGAAGGCATCACGCTACTTCAGACAACACTTTCACAGCCTCGGACAACCTTCGGTCGCATTGGACAAGTTTCTCGGTACTTTGGAAGTAGTCTCGGAACTACGGACGAACTTTAAAGAGGTTTTCTTCCAATATCTTGTCTACTCTCTGACTGTATAAGACTTCCCTTGCATTATCAAGGTAGTTCTTAGGTTGTCTCTTGGGACGAAGCATACTCGCATCTCTCAGGACTAGGGACTCACATTCAGTAGAGCCCAGCCCAGATCTACTCTTTACAGCGTTGATGATGAGTAGCATGATCTTGTCCCATATTATCCATAAGAATACTACCAGATCCTTCCTGGGCTCTGCTGGGTCCATTTGAGATGTGTCTCATATTGCCCTGGTGAAGTGATCCTTGAGTTTTGTCAAATCTGCAAGACTGACAGATGGAAAGGGAATGTGATGGGGGTCTCCTGGTGTCAGGACAATGATGGTGCTGCAGGAGTATTCACTGGCAATGAGGATGATGACCGGGCCCTGGCGCGCTGCCTCTTGGAGGTCTCTGTATGAAGGTGGAAGCAAGAATTGCGAGAACGCCGGAAGGTCACGTATCTTGGCTATAGCAACTTCCCATTCCTTTATGAATTTCCTATATTCTGTGGCTGGCCGATCAGCAGTAGCTCTATCAGTAATGGTTGCAGAACTCTGTGCAGCATCGGAAATGTGCTTGCTCAGCTCTAAATAATTGTGGGCTGTTACAAGAACATCTAGATGCTTGGGCCCCTACCATTTTTCTCCTGATCCTCCTCGTATCAGCCCTTGCATCATACCCTCACCCCGACCTTACCCTGGTCATCCTTGTCATTCTTGCATTCCCTTTCGCTCTCTACCTGTCGCTTCAGCAGAGCCAGTACATCTGGCCGGATCCTTTCGCTGACGAAGCATACCCATGCTCCGTTCCACCACCTGACTGATCCTGTGGACAGTCCCCTTGCCCTTACCGTCTGGACGGTAACCTATGATATGATGCACGACGCATCCCCTTTGCCCTGTTTCCTTTCTTGATCTCTGACTCGATGCGCAGTCGCACATGCAACTTATACTTAGCTCCACAGCTGCACGATCGTGCCCCTGCGTGTTTCACTTCTTATCTCAATCTCTGACTCACTTTCTTATCTGCACGTTCAAGAGCTCACCCATGTCTCACCTCGAACATGCCTTCCTTTTATGGTCATACCCTTTACCGTTTACTTCTCTTGGTAGTACAAGTTATCATCCACTAATACGCTTCTTGTCCTCTATATAAACTCGCTACCATGTAACATATTCCTTAACTTGAATCTACTTGGTTCTTGACCTCCTACTCTCACCAGAGTGATCCTTTCTGCCTCGCCAGCAGTCTATATTCTATCTTCTTATCTGCTCCTCGCGGATAAGCCTATAGTCTCGATCTTTACTCATCGACTTTGTCGACGAGCAAAGCCCCTGTTAACTAGTCAGACTTCTGTCCTTCTAATTAACGACGATCTTATGATTAACCTTTGGGTGTCATAAGCCTAGGCCGATATAGCTTATTGTCTCGCACCCGCCTGACATAAGCTACCCGATTTGGACATAGGCGTCAAATCTTACTTGCCGAAGCCTCGCCAAGTAAGACCCCTAACCTTGGGCTAGCCCAAGGACGTCCTCGACCGTTGATGACACACGCTCTGTTTGAGCATCGCCAACAGATACCATCCAAGTCGTAACATGGGCTAGTGTTGGATTTGCTGACTCAAGGTCTTCAACTGGAGTCCTGAGTCGAGATGCCAGCAACCATTGCTGGCCATGGCCTTGCTCAACAAGTTCAACTGCCCGTCATAGATCGTTATGACATATAGCACATGAGGCAGCATCTACAGGAAGTGATCGTGCACCACAAAATGTGGTTGCAGCCTCATGCCGTGAGATTGTGGATGATCATGTCACCAAATGACCATCAAGAAGCTCGAAAAATGTCATGTAGGCCTCCAGCATGGAAGCATGACCATGCTGCTCTGCTGCAATGGTCCAATAATATGTCTGAAGGATGCGTTTCGGAAATCCTTGAGTAGGGTGCCTTGAAGCGAGTCTGAAGTTTTCTATAGTGAGTGACAAATCAGCTGGGTTGTGGAGAATCTCATAACAAGACAAATAGGCCTCCTGCAGCCAAATGTAGCTGAAATACCTGTCTGGGTGCAGTGAAGACAGAGCCACCAATGACTCTTGGCAAAGAGTGATGGCCTCCTCAACATATTCATTCTTCTGAGATTGTGTGAAACGAGAGCGGAGCACCCAGCTCAGATTCAAAAGAGTTCTATGGCGCTCTGGATCATCAAGCAGCTTTAAGTGAAGGGATCCACAACACAGGTCAATGGCCTCATTAAGATCCTCACTAACATGTGATTCGTCATATCTGGTTTGGAGCGCAAGGGCAAGGTTGTTAAGTGCGGTGTCATGTTTTGGATGCCCAGGTGGGCACAATGTCAGTGCCTCACAATGAAGGCTAATAGCTTGATTTATGTCATCAATGTCACCACATTTTCTAAAATGGTCGAGGAGGATGGCCCCTAGGTAGTGTTGTTGGCAAAACAGCCGAGTTTTGCCAGGTGGTTGTGCCAGACTGGTTGTGCCTGGCGGTCAGCAAAACTCATGCAAATGGAGGGTGGCACAACTTGGCAAAACTCCAAATTGCGGAGATATAACTTAGATATGATAAGATTTACTTTAAATCCAATAAAACATAAAAATCAACATTCCTAGAGCAAGATTGCAAAACGGTGGAAATGGGACATAGTTATGGCAAAAAAACTCTCTGATGACCTGCAGGCCTATAATCAGTCAGTAGCTCCATTTGCTGGTGGCCAAGCAGACGGCCTTTCTTGGTGGCAAAACCTTCCAATCAATTCCGAACTCCACCCCCTCAAAGCCTTTGCTGTCACGATCCTCTCAATTGTAGGGCATGCGGGCGAAGTAGAGCGCACATTTTCCGATCTCGGCACAACACAATCTGCACGGCAGTGTAATCTGTCAGTTGAAACATTCGAGACACTCGGCAAAATTCATGCAAACCTTCGACACCAGTCACACCACAGCGCCATAAAAGCGGCTGAGGCTGGGAAGTCCACTCGCCATCGACATGCTCACATGCACACTCGTGAAGAGGTTGGCATTGCTGTCAAGACTGTGCAGGATCTTGAAGCATCCTTTGAATGGACACCTCCACTGTCGGCTGAACCTCGTGACGCAGATGACCTGCTTGCTGGTCCAGAGAGTATCTCACCTGAGGATATTACTGCCGAATTTGCAGCTCTCAAAGAACTGAGTTCTGCCGGTTGCAACCAGCAAAACTGACTCCAAGTAGTTTTGCCCCCCACACTACCCCTAGGTTGTCTAATGAGGAATCTCGATATTCGTGTCCAACAGGGCGCAGGCACAGCACTTCTTCATGCAGAGAGATGGCCTCGTCGAGGTCATTAGGGTTGCCTTGGTGTTGGAAGCGCAACTGGAGGGAGTAAGCCAAATTGTTCAGGTAGACATCATGTCCCTCGGAACACAGAGATACGGCTTCACGACAAAGCTGTATGCTCGTGTCAAGATCATCGATACTGCCATGCTGATCAAAACGTGCTCTGACTGCTGCTGCAAGCTCGTCGAAGGCTCTGTGACGAAGGCGATGGCCCAGAGGACAGAGCTCGAGGACGACTGTTCGAAGGTGGATGCCTTCATCAGATGCGTCTGTTAGAAGATTGATGCATTCAACGATCACATAATCAACACCATTTCCCCCTGCCGCGATGTTACGAAGGTAGGTGCCCTCTGTACAGAGAGGCAGTACCTCATGATAGAGTTGGGCGGATTCGCGGATGTCGGCAACAGTACTTTTCTTGTTGTGGCGCCAAGTCAGCGCTAGGATGAGATCATATAGAGATAAGGGATGATCGGGATGGGGCTGCGGACGCAATGCAAGGGCGTCACGGAAGAGGGAAGTGGTGGCATCGATGTCTTGAAGACCATCTCGGCTGTAGCCTATAAGGCGGGCCCACGCGAGGTTGGTGAGAGCTGTTGCATGGTCTGGATGGCTCACCGGACACTTGTCCAGAACCAACTGAAAATGCTGTACAGCATTGTTCAGGTGAGAGACCGTCTTGCTCGTCATGTATTTGGCGAATTGTGCGTGGCCCGTATCTGTGTCTCGAGCAATCTCGCAGTCTATGAGGGACTACAGTTGACATTCTGTCAGAAAAAGCTGACAGAACAGTGTCCGTGGTCACTCACATCAAACAGTGCGCCGTCCTTATCGTCGCAAGCATATACAATGGCAGCCTTCAAAGTGAGGGAAGGGCAGACATCGTCATCATATATGGGTGGGAAGGGTACATCTACGATATGTTAGCACATGCGCATGAATGAAAAGTGAATCACTCACCGAATGGCTCATCTCCATGATCGAGTAACTCATCCCACGACATTTCAAGTTCCCCGATGATCTCTCCACCGCCTAGCATTCGACCACGCTCAAAGGACGCCCTGATATCCACTGACAACGCAGGTGAGGCATGTGATGATCTATACAACAAAGATCAGATCTCGCATTGCGTCAGAAAGTCTACATGAACTTTTACAGAGTTACAGTACTCCCCCATGTTACAGATTGATCAAATGATAAGACACTGGTGACCGATTTCCAGCGCCTCCTCGAGTCGACTTTGACAGATATGTAAATGCCAGCAGGAATGCGGCAGGAGGGGACTCGAAGATTCTTTCCGCTGATGACTGTAAATAGAGCATGAAGATCATGGAAGAAATGCAAGGGTAATATGGTGGAACTCGCCTTCAAGTCTGATGTATGGGTATTCTGAGCTACCAGGCATACTGGTGCGATGATGCAATTTGATGAGGATCGAAGATAGGCTGAGTGGTGGACGAAATTAGAGGGAAGGGGAGAAGGGGGGGTAAGGATATGGACACTGTGAAGAAAATTCGCATGCGAGGGCGGTTAAGGGTTCAGAACGTTCAATGTTGAGGTCGTGCTACACGTGTATTTCCATATTGCTGTGGAAGGCTATTGGCCGTTCGGCACGATATAGACGCTGTTATGATTGCACCAAGCGCCGACTGCCTACAAAGCTCAAAATCGCCGGCGGAATTAGCCGAGAGGCAGGCCCGACTGTTCTGGTTCATAGCCCAACGAGCCAGTTCGCCTCATGGAACACACAAGTAATTAACCGAACAATGTTTGAGTCAAAAAAACGCAAGGAAAACACGGTACAAAAGCATAGCATCTCAGTTTCAGAACAGAAGAACTACATTAACAAAAAACAATCCCCTCTAGTCAAAGTCTCTACCGCCGAGAGGACTGGGAAGTCACTTCATAGCCAGAACACTCTCAGATGCCGAAAGTTCCATCAGAGAAAGCACGAGTCCTTTTGACACACTACCAACAAACAGCGCCTTATTACTGACAATTTACAAAGAGAATCGGAGCATCAATGATGACGTTTCGGATCACGAACTTGGTAGGTATTTAAGGGGCGACCATGAACATTGAAGACTCATTACCGGGAGCACCAAGGCCATACCAGCCTTCCGGTGACACAGCGGCGTACTACCACCAACCCCAGAAAAACCAGAACATATTACCTTTCCACTAACACACTCGTCGAGTCCTCCGAAAACACCTTCAGCACAACCAGCCAGAGCACTGGCAAAGACCCAAGCAAGACCCATCACCATACATCAATGTCAACGCCTTCAGGCAATTTGCCACCTCTATTCCACGGACACTATGACGAGAATTCGGCCAGCTTCATACGAAGCTTCGAAAGATTCATCATCATTAATCATGTTACGGATGAGGCGACAAAGATGTTGCTGTTCAATACATTCATCTCCGCAGGTTCAAAAGCGGATGTGTGGTGGACGAATCTGAGCACCCAAGAGAAAAGCACATGGACAGCGGTTAAGACTGCCTTCCTGACAAAATGGCCAGCAATAGTCGTTGCGGTGAAAACCCAGGGGGAGTATCTGAAGGATTTGTTAGAGCTGCGCTTGAAGGAAGATGAAGTTGGAGAACGTATCGTGGTAGCAGGGGTCACGACATGGGCACACATCTATTTCCACCACAAGCTAAAGGCTCTTGTGAAAGACGCAGGAGTGGAGAGCGTACCCGTCTTAATCCAACCAGTCCGCGAAGCGCTCCCTCGAGCCCTCAGGGACCTGACAACCGTAGACCCAGCAGATTGGAATACTTTCCTAAACGAGATCAAAGACGTTAACGTGGACGCTCTGCGGGAGGCACGATAGTAATCAGTACATGAGACCAACCAGGAAGGGCATCATCGACACCCACACTCAAACCACTTACGTATTTTGTAGCGAGCTCAGGCTACATCGTAATAAGACAGCAAATCAAACCTTTTAGAGGCAATTCGTTCCTACTAGTAGTAGCCACGTATCATCTCATCCCCAGTTACCGTAGCCATTGACCATTTAGAAAAATCTACGTTTCGAGTGCGAGTTGACGAGATCCAAAAAGTGCACTCGTGTAGTAGAATGGCAGATGCGGGTACTAAAATTTATATCTGTATGAAAGATCTCAATGTTGGGCCGGTCATCTACGCGCATGACTGCAGAGAAAAACGACGAACGATTTGATCCACGCAAGAAGCTAGCACGCAAAGCCTAGTAGTACTAGGAATAGGGCTAAAGAATACACAGTGCTTCCGGCAATGTCCGGCATCTTCGTTCCACGGTGCGGAGTTACTTGCAGTCATTCTTTCAACATCTTCAAGTAGCAGGTGCGGTACATACTGAGCTGAGCCCCGCTACTACTCGTTAAAATGCCCGCAAAAACGGTGGTTTCATCCTCCACAGATGGGGCTCAACATGCATTCTTCCCATACGCAAGGTACACCTCCGTCGTGGGCGTGCACACCAGCCTCGTAGCATTCACAGCCCTCTTCCTACCCCAGACATCTCTCTTACTCTGGCCATCGCTCGCAGATTCCGACCATCCAGAAACACAATTTAAAGACGCACTGACAGATAACCCGGTCATCACGCTCGCTTGGATCGTCACAGGACTGGTAGTTCTTCAAGTATGGTGGGCGGGCTGGATCAGGCATTGGTGTTTCGAGTATACTTCTCGTGGTGTTTCGAGCGATCAGATTAAATTAGATAGATATCAGTTCGATCGGGGGAAATTCTCGGTGTGTCTGCTTCCTCGTAGTTCGAATTCAAATTTCACACCTCTTAGAAATTAGGGAGAGCGGCTGTCTTCACTTCATGTGTAGCCTTGGTGTTTCACGCAACTATAGTATTGTTTGGTGTGCCTTCTGCAAGGTAACAATTGACGCATCCCATGAGATTTGTGCTAATCGTATTATGGAAAGTCACATCCCTCATACATTCTTGCTGGCGATCGTGCTAGCACTACTATCCGCGTTCGCACCAGCTTATGCACTGGGCTACCCCTCCTTCTCTTCCGATACTTCGTCCTTCATCACCAGACTTAACTGGACACGTTTATTCGCCGAGCTTTCGTGGGTTACTGTGTACGCCGTTTTACTCTTTGCCTGACATTGTGATAGCCCCCGGAATCCGATAGAAAGAGCTCTTGTTTATCCCGCTGTCGCCACCCTCCTTGGCGCTTGGCTCGGTGCCTTCCCAATCGCACTAGACTGGGATCGACCATGGCAGGTTAGCTCTAGCATCGTTTATCGAGGTTCAAACTTATGATTCCTAGGCCTGGCCGCTAACGCCTCTCTTCGGAGGGATCGCAGGCTATATAGTCGGATCTCTCTCAGCACTTTCCGTCAGCGCATTAAAGTGGCTGGCTGAGGAGAACATCAGAAGAGAGCAATTGGAGAAGCAGAAAACCACCTGAAGGACCGATTCCAACGGCCCTTATCCAAACTGATTTCTAGATATCTATAAATCACTCTTGCTGAGGCCCTTCTATGTGGGTTTGTATGAGGTCGGCATCTGCATCCTTGAGGGTTTGCTTCTATTTCGTTGGTTACCTTGTTTTGCGTGCATCGAGTCAACAATCGAGCATTTCTACGCATGTTCCTGCACAGATAACAGGGATAGAAGCTACCTGAAATAAGGGTGTGGTCGTCAAAGTCGGCGTTCGGGAGAGGTGGAAGGCATTGGTCACCGAGCTCGATAGTGTACTGGAGTTTTGGTGATAGGATGTACCCCGACGATGGGCCTTACTACATCCCTGCAGGCCTATATGATCGGTGAAAAAATCCATAAGTCTCACCGGTTTACTGATGGCTCGCCTGCTTCCACGTCCGAGAGATCAAACTTGGCTTCATAACTCATTAGTGACAGGGGCCGAAAGACGCGATTCCAGTCATGATCACAACGTAGCCTATACCACAAGAATCGCCACCGTCATTTGCACACAGGTGACCTCAGTACACATCTCGCTTCTAAAGAATCTACAGCCCCTTCGGCCAGGCTCTGAGTTGGGCTTCTGCTACTGCTCATTAAAATGCCCACGACACACAAAGACAGTTCTACGTTCACACCTCCTTATGCTCTAGGTTCCTCACCCATACTTCGTGCACAATAGATCTAGAACTTATAACAAGACCCGTTCATGTACTGAACGTTCGTAAATTTTCTCGACTCACAGCTTTTGCCCGACGATATGCCCTGCGAAATCCGATGGAAAGATTTTTGATTTATCCAGCTGTCACGGTACTCCTGGGCGCTCTCTTCATCTCACGGGACTGAGAACAACCACAACAGGCCAGGTTCTATCTATCATCTGTTGAGGCTGGTGCTCATGATGCTTAGGCCTGGCCACCAACGCCTCTCTTCCGAAGAGTCGCTAGCTATATAGTCAGCTCTCTCTCAGATTTTCCGTCAGCATACTCGAGTGGCTAGCGAGTGAAGAGAACATCAGCATGTGACGATCAGAGAAACAGAAGACCACCTGAGGCGCTGATTCCAAATCCAAATCCAGCTTCTTCTATTCAAATCGTGTTCTAGATATAGATATTCCTCGTGGGACCAGCCCCTTCTACGCGGGTATGTATGAGAAAGACTAGACCTATTGTCCATCAACAACACGAAGGTCTCCGATAGACTGGGTGACGTAGTCGGGTACTATTGGTGAAGCGTTTGGGCCAGTGATATCTTGCTTCGAAGTGATACCTACAAACCACAATGTTCATTACAAGGACTGATCATCGAATTCGAAAACGCACCAGTCAGGACCAGGAGCGTTGCCAGGCCCCCAGCTTGTCCGAATAGAATATCAGTATTCAACCGATCCCCAACCATTATCGTGCGTTCCGGATCGAATTTCACCCTATCATAAACGCAGAACCAGTCAACAAGACACCAAAAGCTAGCTAAGACGGAGATACGTACTTGGCCTGGATACAATCCAACATCGTCTTCGCAGGTTTCCCGATGCTTATCGGATCTTTCTCCAGTGCAAAGCGTAATGGAGCGCTGATAGCTCCTGCTCCAGGCAAGAGACCATCGGCGCTTGGGAATGTGCTGTCTTCGTTAGTGACTAGGAATTGACAGCCGGGGTTTCGTGTGAGGTATTGGAATGCTTTTGATATCTTCGTATAGTTTACGCTGAGGTCTAGACCGCAGAGGACAGCTTGGACATCAGGGTCGAGGGTGAAAGATGAGAGAAAGAATGGGCTGAGGGTGCAGTCTGCTGGATCCTGTGTGAGTGCGTGCGCGAGTGAGTGAGTTTGCGTAGTGAGTAGTGGGCTGTAAGGAAGGGATATCGACATACCGTGCCACCAATGAAAGAAACGCCTTCTTCCTTCAGCTCCTCCTCGATACCTGCCATCCCGATTACATACACCTTTTTATCCTTTGGAAGTTTCATGACCGAGGATATGTAAACAGCAGAAGCATATGCTGATCCGTATATCTCCTCCTACAACCCATCGCATCGCAACAATCAGGAAACGGCTTCTGAATTCACCAAGATCCAACCCGAACGAAACACCCACCACATTTGCTTCCACGCCTAAGAGATCAAACTTGGTTTTATAGCTCTTCCTCGATTTGCTAGCGTTATTGGTGACGAAAAGGACTCGCTTTCCTTCATAACATACATATCAAAAGGTTGCCGTCACCGTCATTTTCAATACCAAACTTTATGCGACTTGGCACGCACCTCGCTTCCGAAGGATATCTAAAACCTCTACAGCGCCTTCGATCAACCGATCGCCGTGCCATAATACACCGTCGCAGTCGAACATCCATGTGTCGTATTTGTCGATTAGGAGGGAGTATTCTGGGCGGGTTGTGAGGTGTGCGGGCATGATGAATAGGCGTGGAGGAGGGTGAGAATGACTCGGACTCTCGGAGAGTGAGGGATTTGGTGTTGGAACTATTCACGCGCTCACGGACTTCAGGTCTTGCATAAATCAGGAACAGTGATATTTGAGCCCAAAATCCTTACGCTACTATATTCAAATCCCTGAACAGTTTGGCACAATCAATGTAAAAGGAACGGAGATGTATGTGCGAGACGACCTCGACTCTGCCTCGCTTCACTTCTCGGATTCTATCATTAGATCAGAGAAGCAGTCGGCGTTACCACTGGCAGTAGCTATAGTAGCCCACTCAGTTCTGAAAGGCAAGCTCAGTTCCAAAACGTTTGTACCATAGAGTGCACGCTTGGATAAGTCTAGTTTGAGGATATGGAAATAGCTGAAAGAATGATATCCTAGGAACAAGTGCTATGTTGAAACAGCGAACCAGCATTCGAAGAGGATTTGTCGTTGAGACTAAGCGGGAATCTTCATGAAAGATGCGAAATACGAATCAAGGACCCCAACGCGATCCAGTGGAGCGATAGCTCCAACATGGCCATCAGGACGACCAACGACCCCTCAGATCCCACTCTACAATACGAGTAACCTTCTCCCCCGAAGCTACCAGTGGTATCCGTGTCATCGATAAACACCCTAAGAGCACCTCGGTCAATGTTATCACACTTGACATAGATGAGCAAGCACTTACTTTGACCAATGAGAGCGAAGAAGCGTAGGGAGCCGCAAGATATTGAATTTATACTTCTAACCTTTGCTGATCGTGATGATGTCGAATGGCGAGTTCCCAGGTGTCGCGTAACGATTCAGGAAGCTTGCAGGTTTCTGCATGTCCGTGACCATTGACTTGACCCTTGCTTGCTGCAGTGGATCATCAAATTCACCAGTAAAAACGAGTAACTTGAAGAGGAAGTCCGAAGGAAGAAGGTCCTGGAGCTCGAATGGTCATGCGCCTGCTGCCCGCATGAATTTGTATAGAGGGACGCGTTTGCCGAGGACGAGACCACCAGCCAGCTCCTGATATCTGTCATTTACTGCAACTGAAGGGTGATAACGTATCCCAATGCCACTGGTAAAATCTGTTTGAAAAGTCCTACGACCTCGCGGGATTAGCAACAAAAAAACACTTTTGGTAGAATAGTCTCACTTCAAGAAATATTCGGGCGAAACGCCATCGCTGTTCTGCTCAGTCAAAGGCTTGCCACCGACAAGTGTGGACCACATTTTATCAAACGCGATCAGTTCTAATGCGAATTGACGGCGCTCTGATTCGTACTATCGGCGGGGCGTGAGCAAGTGGTCAAACAACTGCGCAAGAGCTTGCCGTTGACAAAAGGGACATGTCTGCCCATCCCAAACAACTAGGGCGATTTTCCAAGCTGAGAAAGCAATTTAGCTCGATCGTAACAACAAGAACGAAAGACATACATAGATTATGACTATCATTGATACTCGCGTTCATCCCTTGGCCTGGAGGTTCCATTGTAGCCAGACCAGGGAAATAAACCCACGTTTGATGTTCTGTTGGTAGGCTGATAACTGGAATTCCGTGAAAGTCCTTCGTCGATGGCGGAATTTACGAACCTTGATACCCCCGTTCGAAGAAGGGTCATAGAAGGCCTAAGATACAATGAGTCAGAAATCCTGAAAGCCCGTCTTAAATGACATACCACTAGGTGTGCTTGGCAAGACTCCTTTAGGAGGCGCTCTGCAAGTCCATAACTCTATGTCCAGGTTGTCAACACCGAGTCTTAGTGAGTCAGTAAGAAAGCATACTCACCTCCAAAATTTCAATAGTGCGAGGTGAAATCTCCATCACCATAACCAGTAGTTACTTTGAAGGCCCTAACGGAAAGTTGAGCTCAAAACAGGAATGGAAGGGATAAACCTACTGACCTTTGATCGACGATCCGGACATTGACTCTAGCACATGCCAAGGCATTCGCGCACATGAGCCCAGCAGGGCCAGCACCAATAATTTGAACGTCGACTTCAGAATGACGTACCAACGGAACAGGCATTGCGAGATAACGATGATTCAGCGATGGGGGAGTGTCTTGATACAGGGGACGCAGGTCTACAGTCCTCAAGAGAGTATTCTTAAGAACGGCCCAACAGTGGTAGAATAAATCAAGATCAGTCGAGCCCATTACCGTTAGCTACTTGCGAGTAAGACCGAATGAATCAAAACCAATACTTGCTAAGGTTGACTTGTTCGCTATTCCTGTATACCAGTGATGTAGATAGCAATAATGCATTACCACGCAGACGACCATCATGATACGGTATTGCGATTTGGATATCTTTAAGCTTGATTGGACTAACCCAAATTGTTGAGCGAGGTAGACCCAACCGAATAAACCTCGTTTGTATGCAAGTAGGAGAGTTAAAACCTAGTGTCATCACTAGGATGATCAGCAACCAGCGCATGCGTTGAATGCGATTCTCCATACGATGCCAGAAGTCACAAGTGGCTTTGCAGACTTTTCTGCTGGTTATTGATGGATAGGTTCATATCCCGTGAACAACGCGGGACACTGAGGTCGAATACCATGAACAACGCAGGAAGTGACTAATTTGTTTTGCAGATTGCTGCCAATACATTGGATTTTGCGAGGTACGAGTGTTGTTGGTTCAACTTGAAGAATAAGGACTTCCTGTAGCGGCTGTGTAGCACGTGACTTCAACTCTTCTCCCAGGCCATGATAGCGCTCACCGGCGCTCTGTCCGAGCCTGCTGCCTTTCGTATCTTCTCTTCTGCTACATACTCCGATGAACTCTGATAACTCATATCCTTGTATGCAATGAAGGCAAGTCCAGCGAGGAAGCCGGCTATGAGTAGAAAGAGAAAGCATCCAAAGGTGCTGTCATGACAGCACTGCTCTTTCAAGCTTACTTGTGTAGGAAGTTCACCGTTATGAACTCTCATCAGATTCATTACCAGAGAACTTGACAAGATCCACACAACACCTTCTACCAGTAGCGAGCAAGAGTACCGTTCTTGCCAACACCTGCTACCATGCGCATGTGGATTCCCGCACTTTCGTAGACGCGGATGCCCTCATTGACGCAGACGCTCGCACCGACGCGAATCTCAGCATTGACGCAGATGCTTGAACCGGCATGAATCCCTGCACTTATGCACGCGCAGATGTTTGTTTCCACACAGACTCGGACAGATGCCCGCACTTAGGCTCATGCGGATGCCTTCTTACTAGCTTTGCTACTGTCTCCTCATCTAGCCTTAATATCGACGCGTCACCTTGCGGCTCCTACAATCTGGGGATCCGCGGTTCAGTTCTCTGCGTCGCGTTTACTCCTACTAATGTGGGAATCGCAGCTCACCTCGACTCACTTTTGCACATGCCGGGGTCTTTCCAGGGCTTCCAAACGACTATCTGCTTACATCCAAGCAGACATCTTTTCTCGTCTAACACAACTGCACAGGAGATGCACCCTGCGTGTCTTTCTATGACACGTCCTATACACTGCGCATGACATTGATCGTTATACATAGCTTGACATACGCACCTCGACCTTATCTATCCCCTTTACCGTATTCCTTTTTTTAGACGAGCTAGCAACTGACTAAGTCTAGTTCTACTTATTCGCTGATTGGACACTGCGTATAACATCAATCCTTATACATAGCCTGACATAGAGCTTATCTATCCCCTTTACCTTATTTCTTTTGTTTTTTTCAGGACAAGCGATGTGTTCAGTAGCAACTGACTAAGTCTAGTTCTACTTATACACGCTATAGCGGTGGTCCTAGGAACACCGGTCCGAGTGAAGATGCTTTCACGCACTCCCGCAGTGGGTGTGTGGGGCTCCGAGTGCACCACCTTGAGGCCTCGGTCGCAGATCTGGGCTTGGGTGGTATAATACTCACTGAAATCTCAGGGGCGATAGCCAAGTTGTGTAGTATGAGCGTCTGGGATGAGGACACCTGACCAGGTATGGGTCACTGTATTGTTGAATTTTTCTCGTTGTTATCTTGTCTAACGTTTATTATGGACATCCAGCGTTTAACTATGGGAGGTTCAAGCCGTTTATGGTTGGGTCGCATCTCGTGACCCAGATATCAGAAGTCTAGTTGACGCGCCTCAAACCTGCATCACACAGACCATCAATAGTGGCATCAAGTTGCAGTTGAATTTATAGTTGCTTTTATTCAGCATCCTTTCCCCGAATAGATATGAATCATCTCCCTTTTTGAGCTCAATTGTTGGTGAGCACCAACGCGCAATTTGACGCGGCAATGACGCCCTTGGTGTACTCAGAATTGCAATTGCACCCGTATTTTTGAATGACATGAATGTACATCTTTAAGCCCCTCGGGACTGCGGCTTGGGTACAATGCATGCGCAAGGGATATACCAGGGTCCATGACCATGAGCGAATTGGAGAATAAGTCGGTCAATATTGCACGTCCCTCCGACACTGTCTCTTGTTAGTCGTGGTTTGCCAAGTATTGCATCTCCCACGCCAAAAACCTTTGTAGCTCTATATCATACTGCAAGAAAGGTGTTTTCCAGCAGATTCATCGATATAATTTCCCGAAGGAACACTGACCGAACTCATGCAGATTAATGTAACTTAGCCAGGCGATCAGACCCATGGAATCGAATCCCATAAACCAGATAATGGTCTTCCCCGAAAGGATGGCGCGTGACGTCCTACTAGAAGTTAAGGACTGTTATTTTGATCCACGCATCACTCTCTTGGTAACTGTCACTATCCTGTTCCAGAACTAAATTAGACAAAATTCAGTATCACAGCGGACTTGTCACTGTAAAAAATTACTCATGCCAAGTGGATTCGAATTTCTTCATGTTCCGTCGATCGAGCTATGTACACCATTTAAAATTAGAGGCACATGCGAAAGACTTTCCTGATACAGTTCATTTACACATAGAAGCGTCTCGTCACAAGATACGCTCTGGTCGGTCAAGCATATGAAGGAGGCGGAACAAGGGCTGTCAAAGAGGCTCCGAGTCTCTGGGGAGGGTGACAGCCCGGCTTTTAAACTGCAGCCCTATTGAGACCACCTCAGTACTGTAAAACATCCACCCGAAACTACTGCAGGCGACCAACTGACATGATGTCTATTTCAGCGCCCTTGATGTGCAGTACGGCACTGCATCAGTGGCTCGTGAATAGAACATGGAACATACCTCCTCCGAAGTGCCATTGCCCTGGTTCCGCGCAGCCTCACCTATCCCACGTATCCTTTTCAAGGCCAACGAAGCAACCTATCGACTTTGAGCCAGTGGCGGCACCGACGCACTCTGATAAGTCGAGTATGCGAAGTGCAAGCATTTTCATGTCACCGAATGCATCTGCGCCTATAAAACTTTCAGTAAGGTTCCCAACCAGTTGCAACGACCGCTGGACGTACATAGATCTTAGTAACAATGCCGCTGAAATAATTTAGGATGTTGCGAAGTCGAATTGCAAGAATCGGGTCAGGAAAAAGCCCCATGCCAGTTGCTTGTCAGTTGCTATTGGATAATGACGTCGCCTACCATGTCAACCTCCAGATATAATAATATTTTATTTTCACATTCTGTGTTGTAAGCCTCGAGTGACCTTCCACAAATAATGGCAAGTGAATTGCAAAACCGTACCAGGATTCCGTTGAACATCACATATATGTGTACAATTATTACACATTATAACGTAGGTAAAACAGCAGGCAACTGCGATGCCGGCGAGTGAACTCAATTATCGGCGCCCGGAGTTTTCCCGACCGACCAGCAGCTGCTAAATTTAAACTCCGTGCTTCAGGCTTCACCGACCAGATCTCTCCGAGATTGACCAGCGTCACGGCGTATGTAAAAGCCGGGCTGGTCACGAGCCCAGTAATGCATTTCAGTTCAGAGTCACGTATCTAAATTAAGCTTGGCAAGTATCTTTCATCGTTTCAGTCATAATAAGCTAACATGACTCCAGGGACAATACTTGGCGCAACAAATATCTATTTATTCTATCACCGTTCCATCCTTAAGAATGCTGTCGTGAGGATTGTGGACTTTCATCCACTGTACTATCAAAGCATCCTTCTCTATCCAAGTTTCCCCTATTGCTAAGTTATACCGGTAGTCCTGTAACAATGCCTCTTCGATTCGTACGCCATTCCGAAGTCGACGTTCTCATCATTGGCGCTGGCCCCGCTGGGCTCATGTGCGCGAATGCCCTGGCAAATGCGAGAGTCAATGTCCGGATCGTTGATCAAAAGTCAGTGGGCCAATCCCTTCCTTTCCCGCTTTAACTCAATCTTCCGTCAGGGCCTTCAAAATAACTACTGGTAGTGGTGATGGAATCTCACCACGCACAATTGAAGTTCTGCAGGTGAGAATGCTTCCTCGTTGACTACCTAAGACTGGATACTAACATGCTGGACACAGAGTTATGGACTTGCAGAGCGCCTTCTAAAGGAGTGTAACCAAATCCATCTAGCGGTATACCTTTCAAGACGGACTTTCAGGATATATGACTCATTGCATCTTAGGCATTCTACAATCCTTCGTCGACCGGCGGCATCGAGGTTCGTAAATTCCCATATCAACGAAGGATGTTCGCTGAATGTCTGCCATTAGCTTACCAACAGGACACCAAACGTAACAGCTTCATCTGCAAGGTACCCATTTGAGGTGTGTTCATAAATTGCACAGAAACTATATCGGCTGAATGTGATCAAGGGTACGCTCGATCAAGGAGTCATTCAAGACATTTTCTTGGATTCCATGGCATCGCTTGGGGTTGAGGTCGAACGATCTACGATACCGACTTCAATCGAGCTCTCTAAGGATGAAGACGAGTTGAAGGATCCCACGTCTTATCCTGTTCGTGTTGCGCTTCAACGACTAGACAAGTCCAAGGATGAACAAGAAGAAATTGTCCACGCTAAATTTGTTCTTGGTGGTGATGGTACGTTACGAAAATGTCGATCTTGCCAATATAATCATTTTCCTTGATAGGCGCTCACTCGTGGGTCCGCAAACAATTCGGCATCACGATGGATGGAGAACAGTCTGGTGAGAATATTTATTACTCGAAATTCTCAGCGAGCTCAGTCTCGACCGATAGATTCCATCTGGGGTGTCGTGGACTTCGTGCCAGACACCGACTTCCCGGATATCAGGAATAAGTGCCTCGCGCAATCCAACCACGGCTCACTCTTCGTCATTCCTCGAGAGAAGGATTACGTTCGGCTATATGTACAACTGGAAGACAAAGATGTCATCGATCCAGCGACGGGCAGGGTGGACAAGGACAGAATGGGTCCAGAGCAGATTCTTGAAGTAAGCGGTATCCACTATCATGGCGTGGTCAGCACTGATCAATATTCTCCTTAGACTGCCCAGAAATTGCTTGAGCCGTACAAGCTTGTCCAGAAGAGTGATTTTTTGTGGTGGACTATATATAGCGGTATGCATCTTACTGCTACTCACTATCAATTCATGTTCGTTTGACATTGTTACTCAAGTTGGACAACGAGTTGCCTCGAAGTTTTCCATTAAAGATCGAGTATTCATCGCTGGCGATGCTTGCCACACCCACACTCCGAAAGCAGGTAAGCGTCTTAAATTTGGCCCCTTTTCTAGGTTTGATTCTAATGGAACTTGCAGGACAAGGGATGAACGCGAGTATCAATGATACTCATAATCTAGGTATGTCTTCCGTTCCTATCGTTATCTAGCTAAATTGCTTTTTAGCTTGGAAAATCGCTCTAGCTGTACGTGGGTGGGCGGACATGTCACTATTGTCAACAGGTAAGCTCCTGTGAAGTTGTTTGACTCCTTGTTCATGCCCAGCCGATAGTACGAATCAGAGCGACGTAAATTTGCGTTAGAACTCATCGCATTTGATAAAAAATGGTCCACCCTTGTCTGTGGCCAGCCCTTGACTGAGGAGAACAGCGATGGTGTTTCGCCCGAACATCTCATGAAGTGAGATTATTCTATTGATAGTCTTTTCTTGTCACTGATCTTGCGAGGCTGTAGGACTTTCCAAACAGACTTTACCAGTGGCATCGGGATACACTATCATCCTTCACTTGCAGTAAATGACAGATACCAGGAGCTGGCTGGTGGTCTCGTCCTCGGCAAACGCGTTCCTCCGTACAAATTCATGCGGGCAGCAGACGCACGACCATTCGAGCTCCAGGACCTTCTTCCTTCGGACTTTTGCTTCAAGTTACTTGTGTTTACGGGTGAATTCAACGATCCGCTTCAACAAACGAGGGTCGAGTCGATGGTCGTGGACATGCAGAAACGGGAGAGCTTCCTCAACCGTCACACAACGCCTGGGAACTCGCCATTTGACATCATTACGATCAGCAAAGGCCGGAAGGATAAATTCAATATCTTGCGGCTCCCTACGCTTCTTCGCTCTCATTGGTCAAAGTGAGTGTTTGTCGATCTCTGACAAGTGTGATAGTATTGATCGAGGTGCTCTTAGAGTGTTTGTCGATGACACGGATCCCGCAGGTAGCTTTGGGGGAGAGGGTTACTCGTATTATGGAGTGGGATCTGAGGGGGCGTTGGTCGTTGTTCGTCCTGACGGTTATGTTGGAGCCATCGCTCCACTGGACCACGTTAAAGTCATTGATTCTTATTTCGCATCTTTCATGAAGATTCCCGCTTAGTCTCAATGACAAATCCTCTTCGAATGCTGGTTCGCTGTTTCATCACAGGACTAAATTCTAGGATATGATTGTTTTAACTATTTCCATACCCTCATATTAAACTTATTCCCATACACTCTATGGTATAACGCACCAAGTTTCATTCTTTTTGGAGATGAATCGCCGACGCAGAGTGATAGCAATTCACACCTTTGAAATTGAGAATCACGTTTTAGAACCGAGCTTGCTCAAACTGAGGCATAAGAACAATCAACGCTGATCTAACAATAACTTGAAAACGCATGAATAAGCGCCTGTCAAATTCTGGGCGCAGAAGCGCACCCTCGTGTACAGCACGTCGCATGAGTGTAGGGCAGGAGAAATAAGGAAGCGCGTGGGCTTTCACCGAGTGACGGGAGGGCTTGAGTCAATGGTGCGGGCACAGTTGTAGTACGGCGCGGCACCAGGGAAGAGGGAAGCTGGGCAACGCTTCAAGGGAGAATGACATGAAAGAGAGCTGAGGATGCATGTAGCTCAAATGTAGCGTTGATTAGCAGCAAATTGGCAGTCTCGTAGAAATTCGATTTGCCGACTTGCCGCGCTTGATTTAAAAGTCCGAGCGGAGTATGATCGGCATGCTTGGGTCGTGACATTCTCCGTCTCGTTCTGCGGACGTCAGGACTCAGCAGTCTGGATTTACCTTCACAATGCCCCATACCCGTAGTCTACGACGAAAAGAGGCAGAACGCGCTCGGGCTGCTGCTGCAGGACACTGCACTTAGGTCTCTTCGCTCCGAAGAACTCTGCCTGCAGATATGTCATTTACAACCTCGAACAGCTGAGAGCTCCTTGTTTCGCAGACTGCAGGTTGCATCTGACTCGCATTTGACCCCGTGTCACAGAAATAGGATGGAGGCGTGGAGACTCCCATCGCTTATGGTATCAAGGCAGACGAACTTCACAACCTACGAATCACCACCACTGAAGCAGTTTTTACGGATAAAACCTGTTCAATAAACGTTCTTATTTGTTCATCCACTGTGGGATCGGTATTTTCTCAACCGGGTGCCTGACTTTGTAGACGATAAGATTGGACCAAGCCCAAGCTCCGGATGGACAGCCCTGACGAGTTACTGGCGGGTTTACCTGTAGAAGAGGAGCCTGACCAGGACTCACGAGTACTATTGCGGGTGTTCGTTCGCCTTGGACAGCTTTTTGGTCCATTTTTGCTACCGCAGCAGCGTGTTAGAAAATAGAAGGGTATCGCGTCGAACCTTGACATCATTGCACAAGTCAACATACCTTCCGTTGACCCATTGTCGGCACCACAGAAATACTATAGGTCCGTGTCATCTCTCATGCACGATTCACCCGCTGCATGAAACGGGCCGGTTTATTCGGATTCTCACTGGCGGGCATTGTGTTTGACAGTTCGCCTTATGGTGCATTTTTGCTATCGCGGCAGCACCGTAACGAAAGACGGTCGTGTCGGTTTATGATATCATTGCGCAGTTCGAGGATATGGCTTTTGATCATTTTGTGAGCTACTCTTAGAGTCTAAAAATATGCGAAAACACTCAAAACGATTCTACCAATCGCTGTTCTGCCATTATTTTGTATAACTCGCCCAAAAATATTTCTACGGGCCCGTTACTGTACCGAGGCATGGAATGTGCCGAATGACTGCAGAATATTTGCTGACAATTCAAGAACGATCAAATGGTCACAGGGAGTTGCGGTCTCCTGCCAGTTGCGATGGTGCTATATCGTTTAAGGCCTATACCATTATATATTTGCTGATTAATCATCATGCCATCAGTATTCGCAAAGGCGCTCGACACGACAATAAGGTCGTAATTCAAAGCCTTCAATAATAACGCAATACCACCAACATAATGGTCGGAATAATTGCCAAGAGTACGCTACCATCCTTCATCTACTGCAACGGAGGAACACAAGACCGCTCATGTTACTTTGGGGTTTGCGGACATCGTCACAACAAAATTAAAATATCCTTTGGTAGTTCCCATGATTGCTTTTCATAAAATGTCACGTAGTACAATGATGTCATAATTAATCAATCATTGGCAGGAACATACCAACACGTGACGAATAAAGTTTTAGGGTGACAGTGTGTGATAGTGGCTGAATGTCACGCTCAAGCAGCGCAGTCGCTATGCTTCATACGCACAATAGGTTTATTTCAAGAGCACCCTGAATTCATGTACCATATGGATCAGTGCACAAAGTAACGATGATGACTCCCGCGCTGTTCATGGTATTCAACCTTGATGACCGTCCGGAGGCAATCATCACCTCAACAATCCATCAATCTGCAGAAGCGGTCTGTAAAGCTTTTTTTTCACTTTGGCACTGCCTGGAGTCGCATTCGACGCCTGCGTTGGTCGCTGACCACTAGCCTTTTCTTTCTCCACTCGCATACAAAAGACGCCTATCCAGCTTCACCCGCGGCCCAGGCCGTCGTTCAAGCGCCCATTTAGGGTTAGTGCAATCGAACACCTTACAGAAATTTTGCGTATATCAAACTCAAAAATATCCAGATCACACCAACACATCATAATGACCGTCTTCAGAGTGATGCCATCTTTGCTATCTCTATCACTGGTATGCAAGATATTCCGAGTCGTATTTCAAACGACCCCAGAAAATATTTATCGATATCCGATCCTACCGGCGTGACGCAGACTGGGAAATCACTAACATGGCTCTCCTGGGACAGCAGGCGCGACTCATTCCTATTTATTTACCAATATGCTGTCCTTAAGAATGATCTCTCGAGAATTGTGAACCTGCACCCCCGGTATCAAGACACACTCAACATTTGCGCCCATTGCTAAGTTATAGCGATTTTGCAATGCCTATTCCGTTCGTACGCCACTCTGAAGTCGATGTCCTAATTATTGGCGCTGGCCCTGCTGGGCTCATGTGCGCGAATGCCTTGGCATGTGCTAGAGTCAACGTCCGGATCGTCGATCAAAGGTCAGTAGGTTTATCCCTTCCGTTCCTGCTTTTAGCTCAACTTTCCACCAGGGCCTTCAAAGTAACTGCTGGTTATGGTGATGGAATTTCACCTCGTACTATTGAAGTTCTGCAGGTGAGAATACTTCCTTACCGACTGACCAGGACTCTGCATTAAGAAACTGGACATAGAGTTATGGACTTGCAGAGCGCCTTTTAAAGGAGTCTTCCCAAATACATTTAATGGTGCGCCTTTCAAGACGGACTTTCAGGATATATCACTCATGATTTCTTAGGCATTCTACAATCCTTCGTCGACTGGCGGCATCGAGGTTCGTAAATTTCCCTATCAACGAAGGATGTTCACTGAATTTCTGTCATTAGCTTACCAACAGGACACCAGACATAACAGCTTCGTCTGCAAGGTACCCATTCGAGGTGGGCTCATAAATTGGACAGAAATTATATTAGCTAAATAATATCAAGGCTGCGCTCCATCAAGGAGCCATTCAAGACATCTTCTTAGATTCTATGACATCGCTCGGCGTCGAGGTAGAGCGATCGACAATGCCAACTTCGATAGAGCTCTCCAAGGATGAACATGAGTTGAAGGATCCTGCATCTTATCCAGTTCGTGTTGCGCTCCAAAGCAAATCCGAGGATGAAAAACGAGAAGAAATTGTCCACGCTAAATTCGTTATTGGTGGTGATGGTACGCTCCGAACATGTCGATCTTTCAAATATAATCATTTTCCTCGGCAGGCGCTCACTCATGGATCCGCAAACAATTCAATATCACTATGGATGGAGAACAGTCTGGTAAGATCGTTGATACTCAAGATTCTCAGCAAGCTCAGTCTCGATCGATAGATGACATCTGGGGTGTCGTGGACTTTGTGCCAGACACCGACTTCCCGGATGTCAGGAATAAGTGCCTTGCACAATCTAACTACGGCTCAATGTTTCTCGTTCCTCGAGAACAGGATCGAGTTCGTGCATATGTGCAACTGGAGGACAAAGATGTCATTAATCCAGTGACGGGGAGGGTGGACAAGGATAAAATGGGTCCAGAGCAGATTTTTAAAGTAAGTTGTGTCCACTATATGCTCAGCAGTCATCAATGTTCCCCTTAGACTGCCCAGAAATTGCTTGAACCGTACAAGCTTGTCCAGAAGAGTGATTTTTCGTGGTGGACTATATATAGTGGTATGCATCTTATTACTACTCACTATCAATTCGTGTCCGTTTGACATTTTGACTCCAAGTTGGGCAACGAGTGGCTTCGCAGTTCTCCGTCAAAAATCGAGTATTTATCGCTGGCGATGCTTGCCACACCCATTCTCCTAAAGCAGGCAAGCGTCTTGAATCTGGCTCATTCCCCTAGTCTGCTTACAATGGAACTTCCAGGTCAAGGGATGAATGCGAGTATCAATGATACTCACAATCTAGGTATGTCTTCCGTTCCCGTTGTCACGATTGAGCTAAATTGCTTTCTCAGCTTGGAAAATTGCTCTGGCTGTTCGTGGATGGGCGGACATGTCCCTATTGTCAACGGCAAGCTCTTCCACATTTGTTTGACTCCTTGCTCACGCCCCGCTTATAGTACGAATCAGAGCGTCGAAAATTCGCATTAGAATTGATCGCATTTGATAAAAAATGGTCTACCCTTGTCTGTGGCCAGCCTTTGACTGAGCAGAACAGCGATGGTGTTTCGCCCGAACATCTCGTTAAGTGAGATTATTCTATTGACCGTCTTTTTCTGTTACTAATCCCGCGAGGTCCTAGGGCTTTCCAAACAGACTTTACCAGTGGCATTGGGATACATTATCACCCTTCAGTTGCAGTGAATGACAGATACCAGGAGATAGCTGGTGGTCTCGTCCTCGGCAAACGCGTTCCTCCGTACAAATTCATGCGGGCAGCAGACGCACGACCATTCGAGCTCCAGGACCTTCTTCCTGCGGACTTTCTCTTCAAGTTACTTGTTTTTACTGGTGAATTCAACGATCCGCTTCAGCAAGCAAGGGTCGAGTCCATGGTCGTGGACATGCAGAAACGGGAGAGTTTCCTGAATCGTTATGTGACGCTTGGAAACTCACCATTCGACATCATCACGATCAGCAAAGGCCGGAAGGAAACATTCAATATCTTGCGGCTCCCTACGCTTCTTCGCTCTCATTGGTCAAAGTGAGTGTTTGTCAATCTCTGTCAAGTGTGATAATATTGATCGTGGTGCCCTTAGGGTGTTTGTCGATGACACGGATACCACTGGTAGCTTTGGAGGAGAAGGTTACTCATATTATGGAGTGGGACCCGAAGGGGCAGTGGTTGCCGTTCGTCCTGATGGCTATGTTGGAGCCATCGCTCCTTTGGATCGCATTGAAGTCCTTGACGCGTATTTCGCATCCTTCATGAAGATTCCCGCTTAGTCTCAACGACGAATCTTTTTGGAATGCTGTTTCATCACTGGACTAGTGCTTAGGATACAACTGTTTTAACTATTTCCATACCCTCGGACCAAACTTATTCCCACATACATTTTATGGTACAACATTATGTTTCATTCTTTTTGGAGATGGGTGAAATTTAAATTGGAGATCATGTCTTAGAGCTGAGCTTGCTTCAATAGTCGATGAGGCATCAGAACCATCCGTTGATTGAGCGAGGACTTGGAGCTTTGAGCAGACATTTAGGCATGTACGTTTCACCTGTGAATTTGCACTGGCAGTGTAACGGAGACTAGAAAGTAACCGAAAGAATAAACGAGTGTATTTGGTCTCACACCATGTCCGGATGTGTTTTTGAGTCGAGATAACAAAGTACAATGATGTCATGCGAACACGCGACGAATAAGTGACAGTGTGTGGCTGAGTGTCACGCTAAAACAGCACAGTCGCCTTCATGCATAATTAAAGGTATAGTACATTTATTTCAAGAGCACCCTGGATTCATCTGTCATATGGACTAGTGCATTGCAAAAGTCGCATCCAATGATGATGACTCCCGCGTTGTTCACGGTATTCGACCTCAATGACCGTGGCCGTCCGGAGCCAATCATTATCTCAACAATCCATTAATACTGTACGCAGAAGCAGTCTGTAAAGCATTTTTTCTCACCTTGTCACTGTTCAGAGTCCTAGTCGACGCCTACGTTGGTCGCTGATATGATCAGCCTGTCCTTCCGAGTCCCACACTTGCATGCAGACGAGGCTTATTCCGTCGGCTTCACCCCAGGCCCGTCGCTTAGTATTTAGGGTTAGCGCAATGAACACCTTACAGAACTTTTACCTCAAAAGATATCCAGATCACCATATCATAATGGTCGTCTCCGGACTAATGCATTTTTGCTATCTATATCACTGATATGCAAGATATTCCAAGTCATATCTAAAACAACCCCAGAAAAATTTCTTTCGATCAATATCCGATCCTACGCCGACTGGGAAGTCGCTAACATGGCTCCTGGGACAGCAGGCGCGACTTATTGCTATTTATTCTACCACAGTGCTATCCTTAAGAATGCTCTCTTGAGAATCGTGGACCTGCACCCCCTGTTATCAAGACACACTCTACATCTCCTTTATTACCAAGTTTTCGCAATGCCTACTCCGTTCGTAGGCCGCTCTGAAGTCGACGTTCTAATTATTGGCGCTGGCCCTGCTGGGCTCATGTGCGCGAATGCCCTGGCATGTGCGAGAGTCAATGTCCGGATCGTCGATCAAAAGTCAGTGGTTCGATTCCTTCCTTTCCCGCTTTAACTCAATCTTCCGTCAGGGCCTTCAAAATAACTACTGGTAGTGGTGATGGAATCTCACCTCGCACTATTGAAGTTCTGCAGGTGAGAATGCTTCCTCGATAACCGACTAGGACTGTATACTAACAAGCTGGACAAAGAGTTATGGACTTGCAGAGCGCCTTCTAAAGGAATGTAACCAAATCCATTTCGCGGTACGCCTTTCAAGACGGACTTTCAGGATATATGACTCATTGTATCTTAGGCATTCTACAATCCTTCGTCGACCGGCGGCATCGAGGTTCGTAAATTTCCCTATCAACGAAGGATGTTCCCTGAATTTCTGTGATTAGCTTACCAACAGGACACCAAACATAACAGCTCCGTCTGCAAGATACCCGTTCGAGGTGTGTTCATAAATTGTACAGAAACTATATCAGCTGAATATGGTCAAGGGTACGCTTGATCAAGGAATCATTCAAAACATCTTCTTGGATTCCATGGCATCGCTGGGCGTTGAGGTCGAACGATCTACGATACCGACTTCAATCGAGCTCTCTAAGGATGAAGACGAGTTGAAGGATCCCACGTCTTATCCTGTTCGTGTTGCGCTTCAACGACTAGACAAGTCCAAGGATGAACAAGAAGAAATTGTCCACGCTAAATTTGTTCTTGGTGGTGATGGTACGTTGCGAAAATGTCGATCTTGCCAATATAATCATTTTCCTTGATAGGCGCTCACTCGTGGGTCCGCAAACAATTCGGCATCACGATGGATGGAGAACAGTCTGGTGAGAATATTTATTACTCGAAATTCTCAGCGAGCTCAGTCTCGACCGATAGATTCCATCTGGGGTGTCGTGGACTTCGTGCCAGACACCGACTTCCCGGATATCAGGAATAAGTGCCTCGCGCAATCCAACCACGGCTCACTCTTCGTCATTCCTCGAGAGAAGGATTACGTTCGGCTATATGTACAACTGGAAGACAAAGATGTCATCGATCCAGCGACGGGCAGGGTGGACAAGGACAGAATGGGTCCAGAGCAGATTCTTGAAGTAAGCGGTATCCACTATCATGGCGTGGTCAGCACTGATCAATATTCTCCTTAGACTGCCCAGAAATTGCTTGAGCCGTACAAGCTTGTCCAGAAGAGTGATTTTTTGTGGTGGACTATATATAGCGGTATGCATCTTACTGCTACTCACTATCAATTCATGTTCGTTTGACATTTTAACTCAAGTTGGGCAACGGGTGGCTTCGCAGTTCTCCGTCAAAAATCGAGTATTTATCGCTGGCGATGCTTGCCACACCCATTCTCCTAAAGCAGGTAAGCGTCTTCAATCTGGCCCCTTTTCCTGGCCTGATTCCAATGGAACTTGCAGGACAAGGGATGAACGCGAGTATCAACGATACTCATAATCTAGGTATGTCTTCCGTTCCTATCGTTATCTAGCTAAATTGCTTTTTAGCTTGGAAAATCGCTCTAGCTGTACGTGGGTGGGCGGACATGTCACTATTGTCAACGGTAGGCTCCTGTGCAGTTGTTCGACTCCTTTCTCATGCCCAGCCGATAGTACGAATCAGAGCGACGTAAATTCGCATTAGAACTGATCGCATTCGATAAAAAATGGTCCACCCTTGTCTGTGGCCAGCCTTTGACTGAGCAAAACAACGATGGTGTTTCGCCCGAACATCTCGTGGAGTGAGATTATTCTGCCGACAGTCTTTTTCTGTTACTAATCTCGCGAGGTCGTAGAACGTTCCAAACAGACTTCACCAGTGGCATTGGGATACACTATCATCCTTCAGTTGCAGTAAATGACAGATACCAGGAGCTGGCTGGTGGTCTTGTCCTCGGAAAACGTGTCCCTCCGTACAAATTCATGCGGGCAGCAGACGCACGGTCATTCGAGCTCCAGGACCTTCTTCCTTCGGACTTTTGCTTCAAGTTACTTGTGTTTACGGGTGATTTCAACGATCCGCTTCAACAAGCGAGGGTCGAGTCGATGGTCGCGAACATACAGAAACGGGAGAGCTTCCTCAACCGTTACGCGATGCGTGGAAACTCACCATTCGACATCATTACGATCAGCAAAGGCCGGAAGGATACGTTTAATATCTTGCGGCTCCCTACGCTTCTTCGCTCTCATTGGTCGAAGTGAGTGCTTGCCAGCCTCTGTCAAGTGTGATAATATTGATCGTGGTGCCCTTAGGGTGTTTGTCGATGACACTGAATCCACCGGTAGCTTTGGTGGAGAAGGTTACTCGTATTATGGAGTGGGACCCGAGGGGGCGCTGGTTGCTGTTCGTCCTGATGGCTATGTTGGAGCCATCGCTCCACTGGATCGCGTTGGGGTGCTTGATGCATATTTTGCTTCTTTCATGAAGATCCCCGCCAAGTTCATACTATAGCAAGAACATTTAGATATTCGTCGGTGTCATTGGTCAGCTTGGGACGCAGGCCATCGAACAACTTATATATCAGACTATTCCACATAGTACACAGGACAAGGAAGGCAGGTCAATCAGGCGTCAAAGTTTCAGTATCATGCATAGATCACACATAATGATTGAACTTTCTATGATGCGAGTGCAGTCAAAATTGCGTGGTGCAGGGAGTGGACCCGATCTTATGAAGAGAGGTTGATACGATAGCGCATGGCTCTACAAGGGCCTTTGGGAAGTAGCTTGATCAATCGGTCTCGCTTCACAATCTGCCCATCCTTTCCAAAGTGGCATGCAGGATCGAAGGACCAGTGCAACAAACCAACAAACAAGTCCTGTATTCCTTGAATATAGATAAGTGCCTACCTATCAATCTCTTTTCCCCACGAGGGGAGGATAGCAAGTTCCTTTCTCGCGGTTGCCCAGCTCCTTAGCCGCAGCAAGGAAGAAAAAGTCAAATGCGTGGATGACACGCTCAGTGCAGCTGGGGCTAACGGTCTCTGTAAAGTAACCGGAAAACCCAAAGGAACATAAGGACCATCAGAAAGTATGCGATTGGAAAAAATGTACAGTTTACAAACCACTCCAACAGGGTCTTCGCATCTGAAAGTCAATGGGAACGCGTAATGCAGAAACACGATATTCATGCATTTCCCTCATATCATCGATGTAGCCGTCTACCGTGAATGTCCAGTGCAGGAGGTCTTGGAGATGGGAAGCATCTGTATGAAAGTAACAAGATACAATTATGTCACGTACACGCAAGGCCAAGAAGTGATGGTATAGAAGCCGTCCACGGAGGTTATCGAGCTCGTGCTATAGTGAATGCCGAGATAAACTGACAACAATGAGAGATGCAATTCGGGATATTGTCGTGTCACTTTTAAAACATGCCCATCTGGATGTGTCGAAATTCGGCCACGAAACGCCTGATAAGAAAGCGGTGAGCAGACGTCATAAGGCTGAAATTCACCTACACCACAATATTGGATAACTGAATGACTACCCGTAGGCAAAACAGAAAGCGTACTTTAGAAGATATTCGCAAAAGACAAGCCGTACAGAAGATAAAACCGTAACATACAACATCTCAGTGAAAATCAACTACCATAATACAGTCTGGTGGACGATGGGGAAGGTATGCCTTCTCTTGATAACGAAGACGCGAGAATGTTAGGAACCACACTGGATGCTGGAGTCGTATCAGGACAATACAGCAATATTGGAATGGATACTGCATTACTCGTACCCTGGCCTGTTCAACTTAAGCCACAGCGCTCCGGAGGCATTTAATAAGCTGCCGATGGAGTGAAGGAGCTGTTATGGTACGGTTTGTGAGGCGTGGGCGGCGATGTGGGTATATGGAGTGACACCCTAAGATGAGGGAATAGATAATAAAGATGTTGGTTGCGAAAGGGCCATCCAAGTCTATTCGACACCATTGCACGTTTCTTGGTAAATTGATTGAGTTTCATGTGGTGTACATGCGGCAGTATCAATCCATATCGTCAATATCCGTAATTTCTGCACTAGTTCCACTCTAAGAAAGTCTTCATTTTGATTTGCGACCCGGTATAACCAGAGGCTGGTTTTTTACGGTCGCAAGACGTTCCACTGCACCCATTCTAAATGTGGACGGAGCACGTATGGTAGCTTTCGAAGAATCAGAAATGGGACCAGAAGACGGATGAACTGGCCCATATGCTGAAGCCGACCGCATGGGTGTATCGACGGATCTGGGGGAAATGACAAGCTGATCATCTTCGACCAAGGCAGAAGACGACTCTTCAGACGATGGTGTCGGGAAAAACAGCTTGAAAGGCAGTTTCTGAGGCTTGATGGCTTCTCCCGCCTTGACGAGACCATCTTCTGGCTCATCGAGATCAAATAACACAGGAATTTCGGTTTCGTCGGTTGCAATCTGACGCCAGGCCACGCCCCACTGCACATCGAGCTTCATTGAATGCGCCCGAATGCTCTCGAGGCCCGCACGGAGGTGTTGTATGAGATCGGGGAGGGGCATGCGGTAACTCAGGAGAGTAGGCGACATAACATATGTCCAGTCTTTGTTTATGTAAGAAAAAGAGACAAGTGAACATCATTCTCATGACGTACCTTGGAGAATTAGATGCCTGGTAGGCGCAGGATTCGATACCAGCCCCAGATTAGACGGGGTGATCGACGATACCAAGCTGGCAAGTTTTGAGTCGCGACGCATACGATCAATATTTTTCTTGGGCTTCCTAACAGCGCTCGAGGATTCTTCAGGCCCACGTTCCTTACCCAGTTGTCTGCTATTGTCATTGTCTTTCAGCTCAGCATCAGCACCTCGGGCAACAATGAGCTCAAAAGCAGACCTGATGCGCATCGCGATCCTATTGCGCACCACTGCCCTCTTGTTCGTGTTCTTTTTCGAAATCATGAATACTATGCTCATATCTACTCTCTTCGAACTGTCCTTCCGTTCCCCCCGCGGTACCATGGCAGGGCGCTCCATCTGAGAGGAACGCCTCTCAAATTCTGGGCGCAGAAGCGCACCCTTGGGTACAGCGCGTAGCGTGAATGCAGGACAGGAGAATTGAGGAAATGCGTGAGCTTTCCATCGAGTGGCAGGGTGCGTTGGATCAACGGTGCGGGCACGGTTGTACGGCGCGCTACCAGGGAAAAGTACTGGAAGAGGGGAGCCGGGTGTTACATTGCAACGCTTTAAGGAAGAATAATGAGAGAATGTGACATGAAAGCGAGAGGACGCACGTTGATTGAACGAATACCTGGAGCCTTGGGTAGTCTAGAGAGGTCAAGACATTTAGGCATGTAGCTTGCTACCAGCGTTTCACTTGGTGAAAGTTCGATATGCCGATTTGCCGCGACTGATTTGAAAGTCCGAGCGGTGTTTATCCCAGCCGACACAACTCACATCTCGGACATGTCCAGCTGAAGCACAAGACGCTACAGATTTAACTCGACATGATCCATACCTTCAATCTACGGCGAGAAGAGGCAGAACGCACTCCGGCGGCTTCTGCAGGGGATCTCCACACCTTTTCATTTTTGTCTGAAGATCATATTCGCAGACAGGTCTCTTCGCTGCGACAAGATCTGGCATTGCAATTTATAACCAGCTCGAACAGCTGAGAGCTCCTCGTTTCGCAGACTGCAGGCTGCATCTGACTTGCATTTCATTCCGTGTCACAGAAATAGGACGGAGGTGTGGAGACTCCCATCGCGTATGGTATCAAGGCAGACGAACCTCATAACCTACTAAAAAGACCCAATTCAGATAACCCGTTCAATAAATGGTCTTGTTTGTTCATCTACTGTCTGATCGGTATCTTCTCAACCGCCGGGTGTCTGACTTTGCAGATGATACGATTGGACTGAGGTCTCGGATCCGATGGACAGCTCTGACAATTATCTGCCGGTTCGCCTGTAGAAGAGGAAGCTCTCACGAGCATTATTGCGGTTGTTCGTTCACCTCGGACAGCCTTTTGGTCCATTTTTGCTATCGCGGCAGCACGAAGGAGGTTGCATCGGATCATTGCGCAGTCTACAGATATGGTACGACTTTTATTAACTACACATGATGCACACTAGAGATGACTTTACTGTAGCTATATGGATCCTTTCATTACGAGAGGCACGCCATCTGATTGGAAAATATGTTGCGTCGCCGAGCTTATTGTATGAAGTTGACCTGCCATCCCATGGATGATAGTGTCCAAGTTGCTGCGGCCAAAAATAGTCTAAAATGTAGCATTTAACACTCTGGAACATAAACACCTGGCCGTGAGAGTCGAGGAGCCCCTCGACAAACGAGAGGCCAAGGATTTTGGCCCCGTGGAAGAAAACGAGCATAGAAATATTGAGCCATAGGTGGCCTGAACATTCGAACAATGAACACGCAAATACAGAAGCAAAGATGCACCGAGCACGATGTTCGTTCTACATTTAATCTACAAGATAGTATATAATAGGACGTTTCGGAGGCACCCCTGCCTCAAGTATGGCAAGACAAGAGATTGCTTGTAAGTCTACGCACATGCTCCGGCACATGGTTCTGCAGCCATTCCTGGAATACGATTTCATCATCCGCTGGAATGGACGTGGATGGGCTTAGTAATTTGATGATCACGTCTAAGCACTGAAGTAGTACTGAAGGGCAACTTTGAAGTTCCCTTCGTGCGATCGCGTCGGATGTATCCTACATAGCACGCACGAAAAGCTCATTTTTTTCTCATGGCATCCCATGGCATCCCATGGCATCTACTGTCAGCTATTCATCCAGTGGTCTTCCCTTGCTGAGGAGCTTGCCCTCATCATACCGAAGGCAGACCCAGATGAGGACCCAGATGAAGGATTCAGCATCATGATGGTACATGTGCTCGACTTGGCCTGCGATGGCTTCTGGCATGGGAAGGTCCAACGCCATGAATGGTACCGTTCCTGTGCGTTCGAAGCCTTTGGGAGCTTCTTGAATCGATGACAAAATCGCTTGATCGATGACAAGTCGAAATCATTGAGGACGCTCATAAATCGGCCACGTAAGCGGTATCCCATGAGATTGCTGGGGCTGGTGTCGCGGTGATGCATGCCCCTCCTCCAGAGGGCGCGATGGCCTGTCAGAGTAATGAGTGGATGATGAATAACAGGAAAAGGACACTTACACTTGACGACTCCCCACCATGCAAGGAGGAACTCTTCCCCGCTTAACGACGTAATGGGGTCAAGCTTTCTGAACACGATGATATATAGGACGCGGCTGCCCGCGTCGTCGATTCCTAGTGCCTTTCCGATTGTCGCGGTGGACGTCCCTTCAAATTTGTGGAACCAGACCATCTCTGGAACATGACCCAACATATCAGGATCTTCATTCGCAATCTTGTACACCTCTTCGAGAATCTCGGGTTCGCTCTGGCGTGCCTCTTCTGGCCAAAAAAACTTGGCAAAAAATTCGGTGGATTCGTTGAGAAAATGGGACCGACGCGGCAGAGCCGAAAGCGCCTTGCTCCTCACTGGAAAAACAGTAGTCGCACGTCCGCGTAGACCGAAATGAGTCGTGCGCTTGTCAGAGTTCAAATCCAATGATCCTGGCCTCCCTTATTTCGGTTGTCCTTGTCCGTATTATCCTCATACTCGACGATAATCTCGCCTTCATACCCAGGTTCACGTTCGAATAACGGGTGGAGGCCCCATTGCTTGTATCCCATGCGCTGCATGATGAATAGCAAGACCACAAAGCGCGGAAGGTCCTGAACAAAGTTGATGCCAGCGCATTGAATCGTGTGCTGACGATCGAACCACCAGATATAAATGATGTCGTCTGGAATGAGCGATCAGTTCGACCACAGGACAACGGGGTTGCATCCGCTTACTGTTTACTATGAAGGAGATGACGTGCTGGCGCGCGGTATGAGCCGCGAACATTTCTGCAGCATACAACCCATTCTGGATGATAGGATGAAGTTTCTTCGACTTCTTTTTCTTCATATTCCTCTCCTCTTGCTTGATTTGTCTCTCTTCGTCCTGCCTGGATCGTTTGCTGGTGGATGGCTCATTTGAGCCTAAATAATCGGAGCCACGTTTGTTGCTTCTGAGTCGGTCGGATATACTTTGTACTGCGTCGCACATGTCAAAAGAAGTAGCGGAGATACATGCTGTGCGGTTTACGCTCGTTCGACGTCTTGTGGGAGATATGAGAAGGACCAGTGGCAGACGTTGAGTCTGTTGGCTGAGCAGACGCGTCCGTTTCTGCCATGTACTGCATATACATGACAGTAGGAACCACGTAGTCCTTATTGTAAGTAGACGGCGGATGAGGCAGATGTATCTTCGGGCGTTTAAACTCAAATGTCGTTCGAACCTCCATTCATTGGAAGTTCTCATGGTCTTTGGTGGGCGGCTTGCACGCAGACTGGTAAACATCTTTGGATTTTCCCTCAGGTATAATATCCGCAGCGCTCTGGTGAGATACAACGACGATGTCGGGCTTGCGGCTAGACTTCTCGCCCTGATGTTCTTGATGTATGTACGATGGATCATTCACATGAAAGAGCACGTTGGTTTCGTCGTCATCTTGAAATGCAGGTATTCCAGGTACGTTCACCTTCCTCAGTCCACGAAGTGCACAGTTGGCAGCCTCAACGAAATCAGTGTGAGACGAAGTTTCGCTTTCAATATTACAACTTGATAATGACATTAGTCGTATTTCAGGCTGCATGACCTGGCACCATTAAAATTCCAAGCCTACCGACCAGTATTAATTGACCTCGATTTGAAAGGTGATATCTCACTCTACGCAAGATTGCCAACAGGGTGAGTTTTATGTGGCGATCTGCTGGCATGGCAGACACCATCTGTTCGATACGAATTTCAGGTGGATAATTTCTCACTATATTTTAAATGAAGAAGAATCTCGACACTTTAAAACAAGGTGATTTCCTACCATCATATTTGATCTCATACCACATCCTCGAAACAATGCGTCTCTCCTTTGTCCTCGCTGCTGTTGTTGCTTTGACGGCATCAATGTCTGCTAATGGGAACTGTCCTTTTTTTTGCAAACATGATAGGCAATGTGCAGGGTGCGGAGATGGGACATTGTGTGTGAGTGGTCTGTATCCTGGATCTATCCACATGACTTACCGGCATGGTAGACTCTTTTTTATTGCGACACTTAATGACAGTGAATCATTGTGGGAATGGGGCAGGACGGGATACTTACACTAAATAAATCCAGTGAGTGGATATGAACAGGTTGTCGAGGGGCCTTCCATCTTATCAAGTGGCCTCTGTTCAGAGCGGGATTCCCTATGACCCCACATGGCAGATATGCTTGATGGAATGCTCTCGTCGACGGAGAACAGGGATTTGAGCTTTTAAATCATTTAAAACAGTGCGCGGCAGCATTGGATGACACAGACTCAATCGTTGATTCAAGGGCTGTTCAGTGTAAATCTCTCACTCATGTGCTTACGGGGTTCTTGTCTGGCCATTTCCGATGCGTAAGTTTTGATTCTGCGATTCCTTGCGAGCTGTCATTAATTGGCTTCGATTTAAATGACCTGGACATATCTCGTACTCACAAACACCTATGTACATGATGTGCCCAGCCAGCTGTAAGGTTCCAGAATTCAACGGGGTACATGAGAATTTTTGGACCACCGGACTTGTTAGGACTAGTCAATAAATTTAAATTTCGGCATACTTACCATATTGCATCATCTTGGATGAGTTGTAACTTGTACTAAATCCCATTGATGACAGAAGCAATGACGAAAGTTAAAACATAATGGCTGAAAGAAATTCACATTGGCATGACGAGGGAGAATAACGACATGGATGCCGCAGCGGGTGCGGGAAGATCTTCACATGATGTCAACAGCGGGCCATACTATAGCTTTAGGAATTTTAACAGCGACGTCGTCAAGCCCTTCCCTGTATCATCCATGTTGTCGAATTTCTCCGGATGAATGTTGCATCTTCGATGGCCAATTCTCGCAAGGAACTTGGTTCTGGCGATCATCGGCAGGGTTATGGACTCACGGTAGTTAGGACTCGAAATATTTATCCCGCCCACACTCTACGCAAGATTGCCAACAGACTTCCCTCATAGGGTGGGTTTTATGTGGCGATCTGTTGCCAGTGGCATTGCAGACACCATCTGTTCGATATGAATTTCAGGTGGATGTATTTAAATAAAAAAGAATACTTGGCACATCAAAACAACCTTCCTACCATCTGTCAGAAATTTCTGGGTTTGATTTTAATGCGTTGTAATGCATTCTAATGCCACAATGACAACGCACCCGTGGCAATGGAAATGAAATGTAAGCCCCATTTTGGAATGCCGACAGGTGCCGGTGGTAATGCCGTGGCAACGTGACACCAATGCCCATTGTCGTGACCATTGTAAACTTAATGTGCCCTTTGAAGTACTAGCTTACAATTTAGTCAAGTGTTGCTTGATCTTTTGCGCCACACCTGGCCCGTTGCAGAGGTGCAGGACAGCTTCGAGGGAAGTATCGAGTAGCATTGACTTCTCACTGGGAGGAAGGAATTGGGTAGGATCTGCGCACATTTCAAGGAGCTGCTGCAGCATTTCGTCTGCCCTGCATCGCTTGAAGTTCTCGACGTCGTGTGCGAACCATGGACGAACATCACTGACGCTGCGTGAATAACGAAGTTCAGTATGGATAGTGGTGGCCGGAACAGAAGATCTAACAAGTTTGACACCCAGAGTATTGATGTGTTCGCTGACAACAGCGGAGTCGATTGCGTGTGGGGTGGACTTGAAGTCTGGGGGCAAACCAGAGTTACGGGGAGGTGTGTTTGTCACTGGAGCAGTAGCGCCAGTATTATTGGCCAATGGCCATAGCTATAGTGGGGCCTGCCGCCTGAACACTAGGAGGACAGAAAAGAAAGGTGAACTTTGGGAACAAGAAGACGAGATCTAGGCTCAATTCTTAGGTTAGCGCAGCAGAATTGTCAAACATTTCGAGTCAAGGTCCACAGGCTGATAGTAGTTGAATGCAAAGATGCAGGAGTAGGATCTGCCAATGTGAGGCATAACTATGCCATCCTGCGCTTAGACTTTGGAGGACCGAGAACCATGATAGTATAGAATTTTCGGTAGCAGGTAGCACGGTGAATTTGTTGCAAACGCGTAAGGTATACAAAAATATCGCTATTGTATGTAATCACGGTGAAATAAAGTTTAAGCCACAATCGGCTCGTTCCGAGTCGAAACTCGATAAGGAAATCTAAATAATCTAAATCCAACACACCCCCTCGAGTGAAGACTCGAACAGAATAGTAAATGAAAATAAAATGCACCCCCTGAAATTAAAACGCAAAAGTTTCCTCTGTCACCGTTGCGGCCCTCTCAGCGCCTTTCCCACGAATCGGGGTCTCATTGCAGAACGCCCGAATGTGTCCTTCTTTCCCACACCGAAAGCAGACACTAGGTCCGCGCCCTTGAGCCGAGCTGACTAATGCAGTGCGCACCTCCTCAGTAGCGCCGCTGCCTCGCCGAACGTCTTCATTGAGTAAGCAGTTGACCACATGATCGAAAGTAAGATCTGCAGTGGCCGTTGAGTCGAGTGAGATGACAAATGAATCATACAATTTGTCGAGTCCAGTCGTAAGTGCAAGAATCCGGTCTTCATCATCCACAGTAACACCAATATCCTCCAAATCCAGAGCCATACCCTTGACACGACTAATCCAGGCAGACATAGCCTCTCCCATACCTTTAGTCGCTGTCAACAACTTCCATCGCAATGCCATCCTGGTACCTAGGCCACATGCACGATGGACTTGGGCAAGTGTCTCCCAGATGACCTTGGGATTGCAATCACGCATATGAGCAAGCTGATCACGCTCAATGCGAAGGATGATTTCTGCCCTTGCCTCTGCCATCTTCTTCACTGACCTCCTCACCAGCAACTTCTGCAACTCTGCCTTCACCTCGTCATCTGTCTTTCCATCCACATCCACCTCAGCAAACACCATATCCCATAAACCCTTTCGGATAAGCTCTGCCTCCATTCGGATAGACCACTCGCCATAATTGGTATTCCCGAGAAGCAGGAAGCAGGAAATGCAGTCCGAGTCGTCAGTCATGGTGATGGCGCCAGGAACGTGAGGTAATAGAAGCGAAAGAAGCACGAGTATTAATAGATAAGCCCAGAACCGTTGATTCCGAGACTTCTGCCGGTGATGGAATCACCAAATAGCTCCGAGATATGACCACAGGGAGCTCTGCCTGTTTGTGTGACACATTTGTATAGAATTTTCGGTAGCAGGTAGCACGGTGAATTTGTTGCAAACACGTAAGGTATACAAAAATATCGCTACTGTATGTAATCACGGTGAAATAAAGTTTAAGCCACAGTCAGCTCGTTCCGAGTCGAAACTCGATAAGGAAATCTAAATAATCTAAATCCAACAGATAGTGCAACCACCAACGTGGATCATGCCTATCCTGTAAGGCACCGTGACGTGGCTCATGTGAGACCAAGCATGATAACCCATTTCAGGCTCATTCAGATTTCTATGCGCAAGTCCGGATTATCAGTATTGGCAAATGTGCCTCATATTTGGTCCTGGTGAGAATAGGCCACATCATCCCTATTGCAATCATCGGTCTAATGCCGTGTTAAATATATATGTGCGTAACTCGATTAGGGGAGCTCACAGTAGGTTGCTTCTGCTTCTGCTTTTGCTCCTGCTTCTGCTGACACGTGAGGGACAAGGGTTAGCGGTGTGTTATGTAAGCAGTTAACTCCCAAACCCATACCACACATGCCTCACAGCTCGCTACATTAGAATCCTATATCTTTTTCCTGATCATTCAAGCACTCTTTCGACCTGCACAGACACTCAAAGACCTTTCACAACAGCTTACTACAGATATAAATTGCATATTGGCCATACAACAAGCTCGCCGAGTAGTGATGTTCCGGCCCAGCTTAGGCTTGGCTTCGAAGGGCTTAGGCTCACAAAAATTCAGAGCCTAGGCTGTGAGCCCAAGCCAGCCCAAAGCCGGGGCTTAAGCCCAACCAGGCTGTGGCTTTTCGCAGCCAACAGACAGCTCAAGACCACTGTGGCATTAGGCAGCATAATTACAATATATCTAGTAAATGTCCATCTCAGTGTCTGACACGTCCTCAGCATCATCACCCAAAAGCAGAATGTCCCAACCTTCTTCGTCATCACCAGTCTCTTCTACTTCCACTTCTTCGTCATTGTCGTCCAGGTGCTCCAACTCAACGAGAGACAATGGCGCAGGCTCACGGAACAGAAGATCATGTCGTAGTGCACATTTAAGACACTGGAGTGCTTCGACAATGTTGGCCTTAAGCTGGTTGTGTTGTTTGGTGATGGTGATACCACCTTGCGAGAACGCCCTCTCACTGGAGACCGACAATGACATAATGGCCAGATAATCCCGCGCAAGTGAAGCCCAAATGGGGTACCTCTGTGCATTTATCTTAAGTAGTAAGATTATCATTAGCATGAAATTTTTGAGTAGCGAAAAAAATATGTACACCCCACCATTGAATGGTAGACATGCCAGATGGTGGAGCTGCTTCAACTGTCTCGAGGTAGGCCAAAAATTCAGCCCGCCATGGTCTTGTCGGGTCACCAATTGAAGTAGGCACTGGGTTGGCTGATGAATCATCCTTGGAGTCACTGAGGACTTTGCGAATTAACTTCTTGAGACTGCCAGTTCTGCTGGGCTTAGTTGTGTGTTGTGACATCGATGATGTCACTTGGTTCAGCTGAAGATACCGCACTTTGAACTAGTTGTAGCACATTTAGATTAGGTTGATAAAATAAAAAAGATGACTCACCACTGTCTCCACAGTAGAAAGCACGTCATCGTGCAGGTCCTCTGGCCAATGCTTCGTGAAATATGACATTTTCCCTGTGGGGTTGAGTACTGAAGTGCAAATGTCAGACTCACAGTCGTTCATGAAAAAATAATCAATGTACACATTGACAATACATACGCAGCAGAGTGTGTCGTCTTCTCGTAATACTCGTCTACTTTGGCAGCTGCATCTTTGAGCGTGGGAGCAAACTTCGCATATTTTGGCCTTTCTGCGCGTGATGACCAAGCCTTGTGAAGAGTTTTGAGTGCCGGGATTGCAAGGTGTAAGGTTGAACCTTGTTCAGATGAGAAAGCTTGTTGGGTCACATCAGCATACTAAAAAACCAAGATAAGTAGAAAGCTTCAAATAAATAGAAAATAACGCACCGAGAGAAGATCGGCAAACTGCCCAACATGTGTCCATTCAACGTTTGACAGCTGCAAAAAGTCAATCTTCGCGTGTCTAGCTAAATCATGCTCTTGACGACCTATCTCATATACAAACATGTCAACGTGTTCCTTATTCATCTCTGCACGGTTGAGCATAATATAAGTGGAGGACCACCAAACCTTCATGTTGATTAACAGTTGCGTTGGCTGGGACATGCCTCCCTTGGTTTGAACATTCTGGTACAGCTCCTTTCATTTTGCAGAGGAACATTCCTTAATGCAAATGCTACAAACGAGGCCAATTTTATCTCGATTGGACAGCTCGTGCGCTTTCGGATCATGGGGGTTGTAATGAGGGGATTTGCTGTATGAGCTGATCAAGGTCTGTGTCGCAATGTTGATAATGTGGGCTAGGCAGCTATTAGATTTGTCAGAGAGCAATTTTGTTAAGCAAGAAGTGATAATCGAACATACTTTATTTTCCGCTGGCGCCAGGGAAACTCCTTATCATATTTGGCCTCGTATAGCCTTGCGAATTCCTGTAGGGTGGTGTCATTGTTCGCAGCATTGTCACAAGTGACGTGTCCAAGCTAGTGTGATTTATGAGACTAATGAATATACTTGCAGTAAACCTAACTTACCTTGTGCGTGACACCAACACGATCAAGGATTTTAAACAAAGCACCACCGAGATGCTTGCCTGTGTGGGCATTATTGACTTGAGTGAATCCAAGCAGCGCACTTTCGAGTTCCCATTGTGTAGTAGTCTTCTCTTCGATCCAGTGTCCTGTGACAGCAAAGTAACCATCAGTATTTTCGGCCTGCCATGCGTCACAGGTAGTATTGATGGTGCCCTTGACAGTGGCACCCTACATAGGTCCACATTAGTCAAGTAGATAGAGCAATATCATAAAATTTACTTACATTGAGTTTGCTCCTGAGCCCCGTAAGATGAGTTTTGAAGGTTCTTATTATCTCCGCACGAGTTGCCTTCCTGCCTGGAATTTTGATGCCGTTGGTTGTGCAAGCCGCGATGTCAATCATTTCTTTGAACTTTGGATGTTCGAGTGCTTGAATTGGCTAGATAAATAGACATTAATTCAGTTCAATCGTAAGAGAAATGTAGTACCTGATCAGTGGACACGAGCCACTTGATTGCAGCCTGTTTGAACAACCTATCCATATATGAAACCACTTGTTCAGCAAGCTTCCGCTCAGTCAGATGCGCATTAATACTCTGCTGCACGGCATTTTCCTTGCGGGCCTTAACGTCGCCAGGAAGCATCAACTCAAACAAATGTCCTTTGGCCCATTTCCGATATTTGGCAGAGAACTTTGCCTCAGCGTGATGATGGAGGGTAGATATTTCATTAACAAGAATACATTCTTTCCTATTGAGCATGCATCAGCACGTGAGTACAACTACAAATCAGCAGACCTACAGGCATGTTTTGCACTTCCTGTGCTTTTTCACTTTCCATTTGCCCCTGCATGATCAAAGGTAGCACCGAAAAATTTGTCGATGTCAGCAGTTTTGGCCTCTCGTGTCGACGCTGGTTCCATGAGAGATTGAACATCAATGTCGATTAGAATACCATCAGCATCAACTAATTCTGGTTCAGTTGGGACAACAGCTGATTTGCGCTGCTTTCGAGGCTTGGGATTAGTATGTGCGTTTTCACGCTCGTCATTGCCAGATTCTCTGTCAGAGTCTTCATAAGAGTCTTCAGGGTGCACCCTTTTGCAGGGGTTGACAGCAGATGATGCTGATGGTATGGGAGAGGTGCGTGGAGGTTCTGCAATTTTGGTGGAGGATGAAGTGGCAGCGCGCTTAGCAGCCTCTGCAGCATGGAAGTCGTGAATTGCCTTGGTTTGGGATGGCAGTGCTGCCTTCTCCGCATGTTGAAGAAGGGCCGCCATAGGTTTGGTTTTGCGTACAGGATGTGCAACACAGTGCTCGGTTTCTGTGCTCATCATAGGTAGGTAGCAGGTAGTTGGGATATTAGAGGGACACGTACCAACATAAATCAATTGAAAGATATTGGGTGGACAATCACACTTGCGAAGGTGAAGCACATAAGGCTTCAAAATTACCAAAAATATTGGCTTGTGCAGTTGAGATCTAGTTTGCCGACGGCGGAGTGAGTTATGTCGAGCTCACAAAGCACAAGACATAGCGCTGGCAGCTCACCGTGGCTTTTGCATAGCAACACACAAGAGAAAAGGTGTCAAAGGAGGGTAAATTGTTGGATATGTTGGACAGAGTAGGCTTTTCGACTGTAATGTGAGTAATGTCAACCAACCGAAGCACAAATAAGACATGGCAACTCACTGCGACATATGGACTGTCGAAGCTGATAAGAGTGATGGAAGTCAGAAGATCGAAAAGACAAAAATAGAGTCGGAAAATGTACCTCCGGTGAGGCTTCTATGGCAGTGCCACCAAACATGCCTAAGCCACGGCTTAGGCCGCTGGCTCAGGCTTTTCAAAATTCAAGCCCAGGCCCAAGCCTTTCTCAGGCTGTGACTTAGGCCTAGGCTGGGCCTGGCTTATTTGGGCCTGGCTTGGGCTGGCCTAGGGCCTCAAGCTGAGCCGTGCACATCACTACTTGCTACCTGAATTCTCGCCCTCCGGTCCTTAAATACGGCAGTCTACACCTCACGTGGGAATGGGCACAGAGTCCAGCTGACCACCACCGCTTCATCAATATGTTACGAGTCTCTCCGGAGGTATTTCAAGCTATTCTAGGATTAATTGAGGACCACCCGGTTTTTCATAACAACTCAAACCAAGCCCAAGAGTCAGGTGGAGGTTCAGTTAGGTGTGACACTGTACCGGATGAAAGTTGACGGTGCCGCTGCTGTGCCGACGTGTGACACAACATGACTATGTCTTGCAGAATACCAGTCAGACCCTGAATTTTCTCGGCCTTCATCCGACACTCCACCAAAAAATCCTTAAAATCAGAAAAAAACATATTCATATAGAGTAGCTACGAATATATAATGGTGCAAATCAGTAGAAGATAATATGATGCGGTTGAGGAGTTACAAAAGATTTATTGAAAATGTTGCAGAACCCCAGGAGTGATAGTACCTCAGCACCTGTATTCACTTGCGAGAAATCACAAAGAAGTCGTGGTGTTGTGCAAACACTTGTGCCTTTAGGATATACAGTCATTGACCGTCATTTGAGTTTTCACCATCATTTGCGTTTACCTTGTATGACACTCAAATTTGATACTATCCCATGTAACATTTTAGTTCTATCATATGAGTTATGTGCCTAACTACATATTGGCAGTAATGATAGGTATAAAAGACCTCGAACAAATGTGCAATGGTATGTTTTGTTGCGAAATTTTCACTATTATGCATCCCTGAAAGCAAAACAACTAGAATCGGATTCGTAAATTGAATAAATACCTGCAAACAACCTTCAAGCATATCACTGTTCTATTCTGCAAGGGAGCTGGTGAGTGTGTGTGTTGCCAGAATGTTGCCGGTGCAGAGTGTCTCAATAGTATCTTATCAGCGTCATGGAAGCAAAATAAGCGAGATCCGATAAACACGAACATGATTATATAAGGAGGAGTTGAGGCAGTGGGAGGAAGAGTGAGCAAAGGCAAAGTTGGAGAGATGACACATGACACATGTCAAACCGAAGCTTGGGAGACTTGAGGCCCCACTCCCAAAGCCCACTCACCCACATTGACGAGGAAGAGGATGAGTCAGATGATAGTGAGGAAGAAGATTAATCTGTGTGACTAGGGAATAAATCTGCCTTTTTGGGTGAACTCAAATGATGGTGAACATACAATAACACCAAGATTTACACACTTTTCATTGCGGAATAATGTCTCGTTTGATGTTCTTCAAAATTTTATTCGAAGTAGATTAGCTATCTATCATGACATCCCTGAAAGCAATTTTCGAGATTGTGTCGGGTTGTGTTGTGGTAGACATCCAAAAATTTCGAACTCAAATGATGGTCAATGACTGTAGTACCTTGGCTTGAGAGCTTATACTAGTGAGTCATGCTTCACCTTAGCACCTTACTTACCATTCATCCAATATTTTGCATGTTTCATCATGGATAGATACCATTACATTTATAGCACCTCATGCGATGAATTCTGTGTGCATGCAGTCGCGACTGCATCAGCTTAGTTCATCCATGAAAGTACAAAGTTGTTGTTGGGGAATGTTAGGTATTTACTGGCTTCATTTTGCTATGCTCGAGCAATTGCTGACCTAGTACATAGACTGAATAGATATCCTGACCTGTCTATGTCTACGAGTTGGGTATTACCTTTCAGCTTTCTTGTAATTCTCAACATGTAGATGGACGGAGAGAATTGATTCCAACTTTTCCCTATGTCATGGGGGTGGGGCTGTCATTTCGATGGTTTTATGATTGTTGTTGCCTCACATTCTCTGTAAAATCATATGTTTTGGCACTTATCACACTAGATATTCTCGATGCAACCTATGAAACACAAGTAAGGGAATTCACCGGCTGTAGCTCAACCTGTACTCTGTAGACTGTTCACAACATGTGAACAAGGTGCAGAAGACCCAACCTGTTGCTCTGATTCACCAGGCATAGCTTAACCTGTAGCAGCCCCCTTTTGTTGCTTTCTTATGGCACGAGCGCAAATAGTCAGGCGGCCCTATCACTCCACATCAAACAATTAAAACTCGGTGCAAATCATGACATTAATTAAAAGGGTAGACAAACAACTATTGTAATGTAATAATAAATGGTTGGAACGATATGTGAACTACTCAGATTCAAAAAGTGCATCATCCAATCGTGCCCGCTGCATTGCGAGAGCATTTACAGACATATGAGCCTTGGCCGCATCACTGAGTTCCATCCAATGACTTGTTCCAAAAACTTTCCTAATAGAAGAGATCAGTTAACAGCTGTTGACTTGTAATCAATTTACCTCGTCCACCATGTCAGGAGTCAGTCCATATTGTGCTGCACTGTTCGACCAGGGGGGTGTTCAAAGAAGTCCACTATATTGCACCAGAACTGCATGTAATCAAAGTTGCCGTCTACTGACTGCCATGACGTTACAGAGGAAAGGGTGAATTGCAACTACATGTGTCAGGATTTGTTAGTGCTCGGTAAGGACACGCAAAACTGACCACTTACTTGACACGACACATAAGCGATCAAACGAGGTGAGACTTTGTGCATTTTAATGATTTGAGCCACGTGTGTTTTTACTTTCTTGCCCAAAACATCCTTCTTTGCGCATCTGTTGTTTTCGATGATGTTGGTGCCATCTTCATCACCAGCAATGTCCTCTGTTTTAGTATGATGAACCTGAACTAAAAGTTTGCTTTTGAAGAGACCCTCCTTGAGATTATTCAGATTGGCTGTATATCCTGCATAACGAAATGTGGGCCATGACATTTCCATCACAATATGGCCATCTATGCAGTCCCTAATTCCTGCTCTGACACTGGCAGAAAATTAGTGTCTAGTAGAGAGATCACAAGTGCAATACTAACATTGGGTTATTCCAGTCTAGCTCTGTTGGACAGAGCAGCCTGCCACAAGCATTGTTGGTGAATCCACGGCAGTGTTTATCTTCAGGGTCGACTGGGGGATCAGGTTTCCACTCGCAATTGACCCAATCAGGGACAAGAGGCTTGAGCTTTGAAGTGTCATCGCCTTGAGCACCATCTGCACCCTGTCTAAGCTGAAAAACAATTTAATATAAGGTCAATTGTTGGCAGAAGGGAAACTCACCGGGAAGCTAACAAAAACTGTTCATGTTAATAGTCGAGAATCAAATCAGGGGGACTCACCAAAGGTAAAAATCCTACTAGATGGCATGCTCCTGATTGAGGTAATGGTCGTGCATACTTCATCAGATTGCCAAAATACAAGTAGAGCGGCCATGCCTTAGCAGTTCCAAAATTTGCTAAGTGAGTGGCATCAGAAAAGAACATAAGACCCGCTATGATGCGTTCTAATGAACAGCCAGGCTCTTTGAGCAACTTCTGGAGATTGTCCTGAGCTTCTAGCCAGGTATCAGAAGCGTAGAGCTAATTGAATATTCGCTCCTGGTGATCGTCCATTGGATCCTTCCATAGTCGCTTAAAAGGTAGTAGATAGAATGCGCCTGCTTGGATGTCTGCAAATGCCACGCAGATCACTTCAACAAGAGGGCAATAATGGAATCTGGAAATACTATACACCTTCGGTCTTTCCTCCCTCAATCTCATAGGGATGTCGATGGTGACATCGGTCTTGATCCAGTCATCTGGGAAGGTGACTTTCTCCTCGCCCTTATCTTTATCCAATTCTTTCAAGTTCTTCTTCACCAAAAATCCCTCAAGATGCTTAATATCAAAATTGTCAGCTTGGAGGACATCACTGACAAGTCACTAGACCTCATTCTCCAATTTCTGGTGACTGCGCGAGCTCATCCACGTCATGAGGTGATAAATGGTCATATTTGGAAATGGGTAGGGTGGCAGAAAGATCTTCGATGGAGAATCAGTTCCTTGGACAATTATTGGACATGAATTGGCAAGTAATAAAGACGGTATGAATCTATTGGGCTCAAATGAAGGACGGTGAGGGTATAGACGACAGATCCCAACTGAGTTAAAGGCAGTCTGAAGAGTATCTCTCAGCATGAGAAGGACACACCAGATTCTGGACTAGGCTGGGAGTGGTTAAACAGGAACATTATTGCAGTCATTGAGATCCTCAGCCGAATGCTCAATATCATTGAAAGACCTTGGAATGTGTCTCCTAGGAAGTACGGGAACTTCTAAAACTCGGTAGAGTGATCAGCAGACATCAAATATTCGGACATAAGATCTCACAATGACATCCATTTCCAAGATTAAGCCCGTCATCCATGTCAAAGTCAACATTTTGTCGCCTTTCCAAGTCAGAGTTATTAAAGGGGTGCTGCAACTTGGGACCTTTGAGACTCAGACTGGGGACATCAGAGGACATACAAGCTGCTGAACTAGACCTAGGCCTGGCCATGGGCTTACAAGGGGCACTGAAAGGCTTCAATGGTAAGATTCTCTATTGACAAGTTTAGTGATTCAGCTCTGACTCATTGGAAGCCAATCGACTCACTTGTGAAGCATTTGTGGACATATTTGCAGCTAAATATACTGAAGTCACATTCCTTGCACGCTCTAGTCTTTTCTGTGTTGCAAGAACACTAGATCTCCTGAAAAAACTGCAGCTTGCGCGATGTCTGTGGAGTCCTTGATTGTCAGTTGCCTTCTCCCAAGAACAACCTCGAGCTCCGCAAGACACCATTAAAAAAAAACAGGATCCAAAGTACTTTTTGTGAAAGCCACATGAAGTATTACTGACACTGGCTATACAGCCTTGTCTGAGCTTCCAAGTTCCGAAGCTTTCAAGTTCCCTAGAGGCGGTACTAATCCATGCATCCAGTGAGAATCCAAGTCGGAGTTTACTATCCACATTTCAAATTACTTATCTTTTTGCCTTATATGATGTAGGTTCAATATGGGAATTACAGTTATATTAATAATATGTATTATACATACACGTACTCATAAGCAACTGTTCAACATTCAGCCTTTGAAACCTGCATACTTGCCTCCCTCTTGATCCCCTGCCCACGCTAAACATGTCTTTTCTCAGTCCTTCACACTCTTCCAGAGTGTCTAGTCATGAGTGTGAGGGCAGTGATGGGCCTAGTCATCATATGACTGTGGATACACTTGAACCTGCTCCAGTCCTTGATATGATGACTGGTAGAACTTTCAGTCAGCATATCCCGCAAACCAAACGTGCAAGGTCACCATCATCAGACGAAACCGACAGTGACATAAACGAACCTGTAACCGCTCCCCCGATAATCCACCATCTATCTCATTTTGTCAAGCATGCAAAATCAAACCCCAAGCCCTACAAGAGAGATGGGCCTGCCAGATCGGAGCACCGCTTTTTCAACAATCAGTTGCATCACAATGACTCAATGAGTCAGGAAGATGCTGAGAAGGTATGTTGTGGTATATGAATGTATAACTTGCTTATTTGACAAAAACATACCAGAGCAAAGATGTGCTCAAGTGTTGCCTGAGAAGGTTGTCTCCTGGGGCTGCAGCTCAAGCTGTCGCTATGATGCATACTGACATTGAATGGAGGTGTGTGTGTGCTCTGGCAACGGCGTGGGAAATCTATGCTAGTGAGGAGCACTTTAAGTTCCTTCACATGGTTCTGGAGGATGAGGGGGAAGAATACACAAACACTTCCCAGGAGCCTCTTGGAACATCAGTCCAGGAACTCATAAGAGTTAGTGAGATTGATATCAAGGAACAGATAGACTGCGGTGTCGCAGCATACAGCAACAATATTGTATTGTTCTCTGTTGGGGATACTCAGCTAGATTATCTTGAAAATACTCGTATGTTTTTTATCTATTAATGTGAGTACTGTCGCAGCTGATGACCAGCTCAAAGTCACAGATAATAGCAACTCTGACGACTCGGGCATTGCTCTTACAAACTCAGAAGAAGACCGGTTCCGAACAACCTTCAAGTTGGGAAATCCTGCTGATGTCAGCTGAAGTAATCGGCATTCCTTCGAAATCACCTGACTTTGCACTGACTGTGTTGGTGACAAATAGATAGGCCATCATCGTTGAGCCATAGCAACAGGAAGGCAGCAGCACTCTCTTTTTTGTGATGGATCATGCATTAGCGGGTTGGATTGTGCCATGGAATGCTACAGAGCGCTCTGTAACACTAGCACTAAATTATGTTTCCCTGATGCTGGGACAAAATTTCCCCTGTAGTTACATTGATGCAGGCCCCACTTTTTTTATTTGTTCTGCATTCATTCAAGTTGTGTCAGTATTAGTTATTTCTTCCGGGTCACTCAGCCATCTATTTGTTACGATAGCTTACAACATGACATGTACCATCAATGACATTACAGCTATTGTGGACAACTTGCTGTGAAGCCAAACGAGATTCTATGGCACTTCAGAAGTTCAGTTGAGTGCGTGAGTAAGGTTGAATTATTGGATTATCCATTAATTTTAATTCTGAAGTTATAATACCGGTTGTGTCTGAGTCAGTTGATCGCAGCCGGCACCAAATTCAAAATTGGCTGACACGACTAATTTGGACTTGGTGGAAGGTTCCGAATTTCATAGGTGTAGGCTCGGTATATAGCTGTACAATTCAATTGAACTCCATTTGGCGACGACACAAGGTGACAAGTTGCACCTTGTTCCACCCCAAACCTCACAATAGCAGAAATTAATGTAGGCTGCCCTTCTGACGTGTCGACTTGTCAAATGTGTATGCATCTCAAACAGGAAATAACAAGTAGGTTCCTCCAACTGTGTTGAGCTACAGGGGCCAGGAATGAAGATCTTGATTCAATGATATCGAAGTAATATTATTGTAAGTCTTGATTCTTAATAACATTGTCCAATAGATTCGGTATCACGTCCGGGATGCCGAGCTTGAAGATTTGACTACCAGTTGGGATACGAAGGATCACAGTCAAAAATTCCCCCTCCCTCCACTCACTGCTCGCAAGTCATTATCAATCAGACTCTCTGGTAATGGATACATCAGATTTTGGATGGCAGACACAGTACGTTCGCGACCTACCGGCTCTTAGTTAATCTGCGATGACATGGTCTGGCAGCCTGACACACCTCTCAGTGGGTCACTCCAAATCAGGCCAACTTCAAGTCGAGCAGTCACAGCCTGGACTCAGTTTTCCAGCAGGCAGATACGGTATGTTTCTCAATTCAACATCTGGACATTGACATTAATGTTTATCCCACCAAGTTCACAATCTTGAGTTAGGGTACAACATTCAGGCTGAAAATGCCTCAAATGTTTTAGGACATACTCCAGATAACCTACACGCCACCTTCAGTCACGGTGATGGTAAGCTTTTTCGTGTCACATCAGCCTTCTGCCACACTCACAATCTTCAAGTCCATGCAGGACCCAGTGCAGGTCATCACAATTATGATGGCTACCCAAAACCCAAGGCAACGTCGACTTTGGATTGGAGCAGCCAGTCCAGCAGTATGGTCCTGGTTCCCAATTCTCTGTCGCAGCATATGCTCCGAGTTAAGTCAGTGGCCATCTCGAGCTGCCAATGCACAATAATAGCACCAACCTGAATGGTATTTATTTTGTGTATCATTAATTTCTGCCGTCCTAACTTCGATGATTTCAAGTTCAACACGGTAACTACTTGATGCCCTCGGGTAGCAGCCAACAGGGCGTGCAAACGATGCTGCTGGTTTCTTTCCCAGGGCATCATGTGGACGGCCATTACGATGGCAGTCACAACTATGACTCCAACTTGAACGGTATTGATTTTGTGTATCATTGATTTCTGCCATTCTAACTTCGACAATCTTTAAGCTCAACACAGTAACTACTTGGTGCCCTCAGGTAGCAGCCAGCAGGGTGTGCAAATGACGCTGCCACATTCTTTCCCAGGACACGATGCGGATGGCCATTACAACAGGCGGTCACAACTATAATTTTACTGTATCACATGGCATGAACAATCCTCCTCCCCTTCCTGATACCCACCATTCTGTGGTATCCCACAGCTCAAACAACTCTCAGCCCGCCATGTCTAACGACATCTACTACTTTATGAGATTCAACAACTCAAACCTTCAGGCCCCTCTTGACCCCATACCTGAAGTGACAAGAAAGTTGATCCATGGTAGGCATACCTCCCGCAAAACTAAAACTGCCGCCTCTACCCAGACGAAGTTCCTCAAGTCCAAATATGTCACCCAGGAATCACCTCTGTCCACAGAACATGTGTCCTCATTGTTTGTCTTTTTAACACCGACATTACTCCAGGATTTCAAAGGGGACGTTCAGACCGACATGTTTAAGAAGCTGTTCAAAGACAATCTCTTTCCATCTCCAACTGAACTTTCCACCATTGCCAACGACACATTAGATGCAACAATTGTGTGCTATACCACTCAGAACACCGATCACGGGCATGAGCTCACCCATTGGAAATCAGGCTCAGATGCTAAGAAGCTTCTTACGAGGCTCAAAGGAGTACTGAAAAAGATACACGGCAACTTCGAGGAAATCACCAGTATCTCTTGGATATCAGCCTATGACTTGAGCCTTGATCTATCCCTTTCAAGAGACGAAATGCAAGCAGTGCGGGTTGCAAATATGACATCCCTGCTATCTGACTTTCTATTTGCAGACAAAATTGTTGAGGTAGGTCTGATTTTTATGATCAAACCTTACGTTTTCAGTGTTCACCATACTCTACATTTAGGTGACCATGGACGATAGGCAAATTATGTTGTGTCGAACTCCATGTGGCCACAACACCATCTTCAACCTGTTAGAATACATCATAACCTGCAAGCAATACTCTTGGTATATCCCCCTTGGTACAGTCTTGGATACCCCCCCTTACCAATGCCATCGCCCTTGCAGTAACCTCGCGTGCTTGGTCATTGAAAAAAGCTTTAGCGGGTCCTTGGTCTGCAACTTTCGACCTTGGCAGTGAGGAGAACAAGGTCTATTACATATCCACAAAGTCTCGTCTATGCATGTTGCCCGAGGATGAACACTTGAGATTTGACACATTGTTGATTAACATGTGTCGTGCACTATGGTAACTGCGCATTTGGTAGTAATTAGTAGTACATCTCTTGCCTTACTACATATCTACTGACTAGTAGAGCTTGCATATGTTTTCGTCTTGTCAGACTGACAGTCATACTAGCTCCTCGTTGTGCATCGGATTGTATTCAAGTTGTGTCGATGTCATACTTACAAATCTGTTGACAACTATCTTGCCAACTTCGAGTCCGTATATAAGTACTTGTCTCCGAGCATCTCCACTATCTTTGCGGCATGAGTTGTTAAAGCGCACAGAATTTCAAAACATTTCTTATGCATTCCAGGTGGTCCAACACTCTTGCTCGTTCATCTGTGCCTATCTTGTTTTCATGAGTTCATTAAGTGCCAACTCTGACCGACGTTTGTCCACATTCTACAAAGGTTTACAAGCTTATTGGCTCACAATGGGCTGACCAAGGGACCACTTTTTGTTATGGACAATTCAAAAACGAGACTAACCAGGCTTTCCTTATCGCTCGCTCAGAAGTCCATTTCGACAAACTCATCCTGACTACTCGCATCCGCACCACTGACATCTATCAATGCCAACAAGGTCTGTTTGGTATATATATTTACAAGGGGATCTGCTGATACCTACTCATGTGACCACCAGATACATTGATTGTCTGGACGGAACTGGACGGTGCAGATTACGCCTTGAGCTTCCAGGACGCAGATGTTACAAGAACATCTAGACGCTTGGGCCCCTACCATTTTTCTCCTAATCCTCCTCGTATCAGCCCTCGCGTCATACCCTTACCCCGACCTTACCCTTGTCATCCTCGTCATCCTCGCATTCCCTTTCGCCCTCTACCTGTCGCTTCAGCAAAGCCAGTACATCTGGCCGGACCCTTTTGCTGACGAAGCATACCCATGCTCCATTTCACCACCTGACTGATCCTGTGGACAGTCCCTTTGCCCTTACCGTCCGGACGGTAACCTATGATCTAATGCACGACGCATCCCCTTTGCCCTTTTCCCTTTCTTGATCTCTGACTCGATGTGCAGTTGCACATGCGACTTATACTTAGATCCGCAGCTGCATGATCGTGCCCCTGCGCGTTTCACTTCTTATTCTGATCTTTGACTCACTTTCTTATCTGCACGTTCAGAGCTCACCCGTGTCTCACTTCGAACGTGCCTTCCTTTTATGGTCATACCCTTTACCGATTACTTCTCTTGGTAGTACGAGTTATCATCCACTAATACGCTTCCTGTCCTCTATATAAACTCGCTACCATGTAACATATTCCTTAACTTGAATCTACTTGGTTCTTGACCTCCTACTCTTACCAGAGTGATCCTTTCTGCCTCGCCAGCAGTCTATATTCTATCTTCTTATCTGCTCTTCGCGGATAAGCCTATAGTCTCGATCTTTACTCATCGACTTCGTCGATGAGCAAAGCCCCTGTTAACTAGTCGGACTTCTGTCCTTCTAATTAACAACGATCTTACGATTAACCTTCGGGTGTCGTAAGCCTAGGCCGATTTAGCTTATTGTCTCACACCCGCTTGACATAAGCTACCCAATTTGGACATAGGCGTCAAATCTTACTTGCCGAAGCCTCACCAAGTAAGACCCCTAACCTTGGGCTAGCCCAAGGACATCCTCGACCGTTGACGACACACGCTCTGTTTGAGCGTCGCCAACAGATACCATCCAAGTTGTAACAGCAGAAGGGTGTGCAGAGGTGTGGAATTTCATCATTGAGGTCCAGCGTCACATGAATGTTGTTGGTATGTACAACCCTTGACCCTATGCCGCACTGCTTCCTTTCTGGTTTACTTCCTGTTGTACTATCTAACTTACACGCCTTCAGGAGAAAGTAGTGTTGGGGGTTCATCATCTCCTCGAAGTGACCACTCTACAACAGCAGCAATTATCCGCTCCAGCCACTTGCCTCAACCAGAACTTGGGAATATTCCCAATATTGAATGTGCCATTAAAACACTAGTGCGTGGACAGGCGATTAGGGAGAGAATATGCGAGTATATCCTGCGCGAGGTCCATTGTCAAATTATCAAATTCTTCACGATTAGCCCGCTAAACTTTGAGCAGGAATATATCATGAAGATGATAGAAGTCTTCAAACTGGCAGAAGACTTGGAGAATGCAGAGAATCTCCAGGCACTGTGCAGTCTCATGCAAACCATATGTGCATTCATCTGCCACCATGACAAATTTTTATTGATGATATTTTGTAGTAGTAATGATTCATGATCATGGACTATACGAGCATATCCTTGATAACAGTGTATTCTTTGGTGCTGTAGGTATGCTTGAATGTATGTTTCTTGTTGTTCCTGCATAATGTGCACAAAACTCAACCCGACTTCCTCAAAGATGGCCCCAAGTTCCCAAATCACAAAGCGAACTACTGAGAGTTTCTCCATGTAACCTCTAAATTTTACCAACCTATTCCCATACAAGACATCATGATTCAGAAGAAAATCCACCACACCTACTGTCTACAGTTTCTTAAAGACGTCATTCTTGTGTGTGTTCTCGACGACTCCACCTTCAATGTCCTCAACTCCTGCATTATCTACAACCAAATCAACATAATCAACCATGTCCAGCAGGATACCATGTTTCTTTGCGAAATATTGTCACTATATGTGAACGAGGAGGTTTTGACGGGAGGGAAAGACAAGGATGAGAAGCGCAAGGATATGGATGTTGACGGCAAACCAAACGGCACCCGTGCAAATGGCTCAACCCCAAGGCCTTTCTCATTCTGCCCACCAGATAATCTCTTGGAGCATGAGTTGACCCTCCGTAGAGAAGTATTGGTGCTTATACAGCAGCTTTGCATCATGGGTAAAAATGTGCCGCTTGCTGCTCATATCTCTCTCTTTCTATCCCTTGTCAATCGGAGTATCCTATTCGCTGTCCGGTGGGCGTTCTCACTTTCAGAGAATGACCCAGAAGTGAAAACAACAATCAGCATTGCGGGTGAAGTGATGTCTGCACTGCTCAATCACGATTTAAATGGTGTTCAAAATCACATCACCAAGCAAGCCTCAGCTATTAAGAGGGAGAGTAAGGAGGTATGGCCGATGGGAGAGCAAGCTGAGATGCTTTTATGAATAATGTGCAAAGTATTGACACATACTCAGGATTTGGCATTGCAATGTCAGGTTGGAGATGCCCTGAAGACCATGTTGGATGTCTCTCCCAAGGATGGTCCTGAATTGACACCTGTAAGCATTGTCTGATTCACATATTGTAAACCATCTCACAGCAGCTTCAGGCTGGTTTGAACATCAAGCTACTTTGTCTGAAAGATGACCCAGGAACTGAGAAATTTCTTGATTACTTCTACAAGAGATGCATAGAACTCCTATTCAAACCATTCCACAACATCCCTGATTTCAAGACCCAGACTGGTTCGTTTCTACCTGACATGTAGACTACGCTTTGTGACTGATTCATTTTTCACAGAGCCAGTGTTGAAGCTTTTGCGTGAGAAGACTAACCTTTACCTATACTTATCCAACTTAGTATGCAACTTTGCTCAACAGCATGGCTTCTGCATTCATTTTTCCATGCTTTCCTCTAACATCTCTGCTCGTATGGCCTCATTCCTCAAAGCCCAGGACAAGCACTTACGTCTCAGTACATCTCATTCATATCGTGTAGTATGTATTTATACTGACTGGAGAGTGCAGCTGCTTTTTGCTTTTTCCGAATATGCCTTCTTCATTTTCTGTGCTAATGTTATGGATTCACCATACAGATTGGCTTCTCCTGTGACAATCGATCCAGAGACAGGAAAGCCTTATGGCCCAGAATTCCCTCAGACATCGATACACGATGACATGCAGTGAGCAGTCTCTCAATATCTTGAATGGTCTCTGACCTGGTTCATTGACAGACTGCATAAGCTCATTCTTGATCATCTTGGGATTTCTAGTGTCGCTGTAGTCATTGGAGGCTCCATGGGCAGAATGGCTGTACTCAAATGGCCTCTGTGCACCCCTCCAGGTTATGTCCGCCATATTATTACTTTGGCTACATCTGCACAACACTCTGCATGGTGTATCAGTTGGGGAGAGGCACAAGGTCAAAGCATTTAGTGATCCACTTTATGACGACAGATACTATATGAAACAGCCTTCGATGGGTTTGGCTGCTGCTCAGATGGCCACACTTTTAACCTATCAGTCATGCGACTCTTTTGAGAGTTGCTTTGGACGTCACCCTCAAGTTACCCCTGTCCTGGAATCTAGCACTGTCGCACCTTCTATTATGCTCACTGATTTACTCCTTCTGAACAAAAGGAACTCGCAACACATATACTTGATGCAGAACTTGTAGTCATCCCATCACCTGATGGCCACGATGGCTTCCTCCTCGAATTCGAGCAAATCAACATGCATATTCTTAGGTTTCTTAGAAGGGAGTTTCCAGGTTTATATGAGAGAGGTGAGGAGGATTTTTCCAAGGGGGACTTTGTAATCAAGAAAACGAGCCTGTTTGGAGAAGCTGAGGTCAATATCACAAGGTGGTAGGGCTCGCGCAACCAGCCATGTCTACTCACCCCAGCGTCAATATCAAGTACTAATATGGTTTGAATACATGTGTCAGATTCTATAGACTTAGTTCCACAGAAACATTCGTTACTAAGTTAAGTTACAGCATGATGTGGTGGACAACATGCTGGTGGTTATGCGTGCTTAGATACATTAGAAAATAAGTTAAGTTTTTGCTGTGTGCTTAGAAATAACCTGAAAGCCAGAAAGATTGAGAAAAATCAGCAAGGTTAAGATGAGTGCACTGCTGTCCCTTGCACGTTGTGATGGCGGCTTGTCACAGCTTTTTTATGGTGTGCATGATATCATTCTACATTTGTTGTCAAGCGACAAAGGTACCTTCTCATGAGAAGGTCTTGAATAGCATTATAATCCGACAACTAAATAAGGCCAAATGACAATGCACGAAATGATTGGGATGAGTGTACTACCGCCCCTCATTGGCTGCAAGGGAGGAATGTCGCAGCTTTGAGGCTAAATCTAATGGTATTCTATATCTGTTGACAAGTATCAAAGGCACTTTCCATGACAAAGCCTTGGATAACATGGTAATTAAAAAATGAGATCTGGTAAGATGACAAAGCTCAAACCGATTGACTTGGGTATGCTACCATCCCTCATTGGCTACAAAGACGGAATGTCCCAGCATGGTCATGAATCGTTCATGTCAAGCTGGGTTTGCAAGCATCCATGGGTATGTATGTGAAACTCAAATTGCTCACAACATAAAAAGTAATATTTAGCAAGAGCAAAATTAAATCGTGTTATACTTCCCACGGCTACAATATCGAGGACTCATCAATTCACTGATGATATTTTACCGAGTGATGAACGAATTTGATTGGTTGATTACGTTCTACACACCGTGCTTATATAAGTGCATCTGCAACGGCGGTTGTACACCGTTGTACTTACGAGTGACCGTGTCAGTTTCCCAGCAACGTCTCAAACTCTTCACGATGGATGGCTCGACCTCCGTAGCACTTGAGCCTTTGCTATCATTCCTGGCGTTCTCCTTGTCAAAACTGGAGTCTGGCTTCTACAGAATTCCAGGCTCAGCAGTCGTTGCACGATATGTCAAGTCTTCTCACCAGAACGATCCTGGACGAACAATTCTCGAGCTTATTCTCGTCATTTTTGCCATAAGGACTCTACTACAGTCCAGGACGCGTACCGATAGGTCAGGAAAACATTTTATCAAATTTTCTGAAAAGGTTATTTGATTTATTGAATTGCGCTTCTTGGTCCCTAACTGATGTTCTTATAGGAAATAGACGAATTAGTGGATGAATGGGTGCCCGAACCTCTTGTACAACCTCTTAGCGAGTGGGAACAGAAAGATCTCAGCTCAGTTCCCGTCATTTCTGGCCCTAATGGCCCCAAGCCAAAACTCCTCTCAACTGGTAAAATTGTAACCAACCTCGCTAGCTTCAACTTTGCTGGACTAGCGGGCAATGAGAGGGTCAAGGAGCGAGCCCTCGAAACCCTCCAGAAATATGGTCTTGGGAGTTGTGGACCTCCCGGATTCTACGGAACCATCGGTGAATGCGACTGGTAGCGACGTGTCGTGGTAAGCTGACGTGTAATATGTATTAGATGTCCATCTCGACCTTGAACGTGATATCGCCGAGTTCCTGGGTACGGAGGCTTCTATCCTGTACTCCCAAGGCTTTTCAACTATTTCGTCCGTCATTCCCGCCTTTTGCAAACGTGGGGATATCATCGTTGCCGACCGTTCCGTGAACTTTGCCATTCAAAAAGGCATTTCAATATCCCGTTCGACCGTTCGTTGGTTTGACCATAATGACCTCAAGAGTCTCGAGGATACCCTCATCAGCGTAGAGAAGGAGAGGAAAAAACGCAAGGGTCCTCTTACGCGTAGATTCATTATAACCGAAGGTATCTTTGAGCGTGATGGAGAAATGGTTGATCTTCCTAAACTGGTTGGTTACTTCATTCCGATCTCTTTAGTTCCATGTTGAATTTTGGTTTGCAGGTCGAACTTAAGCTGAAGTTCAAGTATCGTCTCATCCTAGATGAAAGCATCTCTTTCGGAACCATGGGCCGGACTGGGCGTGGCCTGACAGAACTGTACAACGTTCCCGTGGGTTGGCTTCTCCTTTTCTGAGGATACAGCTCACATGCACGCTTTCAGGCTTCGCAGATTGACATGCTCGTAGGCTCTGTTGCTAACGGTCTTTGTTCTGCAGGTGGCTTCTGTGCTGGTTCTTCTATCGTAGTGGATCACCAAGTAAGTACAAATTGCTTCACATTCGTGATCCTGTACTGATGCATCAAACAGCGGATCAACGGCACGTCCTTCGTGTTCTCAGCTTCCATGCCTGCTCTCCTGGCAACCTCTGGGTCGGAAGCAATAACTTTTCTCCGGAACAACCCTTCGGTACTTCTCAATCTGCAAGATAACATTCGGGCTATCCGTGCAGTGTTGGAGAAAACCGAAGGCATCACGCTCCTCGGTCATCGCGCCAGCCCTATCATACATTTCTGCTTGCGAACCCAACAACAATCGCTTTCTGTCACCCAGCCCACCTATGACTACGAGGCTGAAGAACGCATCCTACAAGACATTGTCGATGATTCGATAGCAAACGGTGTGCTACTGACGCGGGCGAAGCACTTACGTGGACAAGAGATGGTCGAGTCTAGGCCCACTATACGTATCGCTGCCACTGCGGCTCTTTCGAGGAAAGAGGTGGAAAAGGCAGCGGGCATTGTTAAAGCCAGTGTTACTCGTATTTTGAGCAAGAGGAAATAAATCAGTTTGGGTCGACGGTCCTTGGTGCATATATACCAATCTACGGATTTTATTCTGTTATTACAAACTTTTCGTCGTCGATCCGTACTATACACATTTAATTGCCTGAGGCATACTACTGTCCGACACCGCTATATAGAACTACATGACTTGAATGATGACATAGATAATACGGATATGTATAGCTTTGTTGTCAGCTGATCCTTATTGAACTATCCTCCATAAGCCTGACGGCTTCTTTCAAAGCATCATCTAGCTCCGTCAGCCATGCCCATTCCCAATTCTTGGTGATCGTCTTGCCGACCTTGTGTAAAGGAACGTTGGTTTGAAACGCGCATATTTGGCCATTAAGCCTTGAGCGTAGAGCCACATCCGATGTAAATGGCCGTCTCAATTTGTCATATATGGCAAGGGCCCTGGGTACTGTGTCCAAGGTCGTGGCTTTGTGTCCGAGAACAGTTGCGAGCAGGTAAGCATCCTATCAAATCAAATCAGCACGGTATGAAATGGGAGCACAAATGTGCGCAGCTGACCTCTATACTCAGACCAGCGCCAGCGCCCTGGAACGGCAGCATTGCATGGGCAGCATCCCCCAAGAGCGCGACTCGCCCAAAGTTCGTTGTCGGTAACGTTTTTACGGTGTGCACAGCCCAAAGCGTGCCTTTTTCTACGCACTGCGGAGATTGTCGGTGAACAGTGAACGACAGATATGAACGACAGACCTCGAGAAGGAGCTTCGCATCTTCTTCGAAGTCTTCGAAAGGCTCAACGAATTGTTCAGCCGTGAGTTCTCCGACCCACTCGTTGTTAGCCTTCCCTTGGAAAGACCGACGAGAGATTCGTGGATCGGCTTCATAGGCCGTGCTAACGAGATCGGGTTGAAGCGTGAACCCTGCGATATTGATGTATTTCCCAAGAGAAATTGGGTATCCGAGGAAGAACTAAGACCCGTCAGCCTCTATATGATAAACAGATGATAGATAAAAATATCTCACAGCATCTTTTCCCAAGTACTAGAAATGAAGGCACCGCTCAGTCGATGCTATGCCACGTAACTAGAAGATGTTTTACCTGAGTAATCCCTCCCGCAAAGACGCGGTGGTTAGGACAACGCGCGCGCAGCTTCTCCGCAGGAATCAATGTTCGGTATGCAGTGACGCCACTCCAGACTGGGTTGATGCATGAGAGCACAGATTGCTTTTGGCGGGGATCTATGACATCAGCCAGCTCACGCATCATGCAGGACCTGACTGCAGATTTGATCCCGTCAGCACCAATTAGAACATCGCATGTCGCGGTCGATCCATCTTTAAATATTAATCTGATTGGTGATTTTCTTGAACGGGGCTGAATATATGATTGTAGTCGCTTGGCGTTGTGCGTTGTACAAGACGGCGAGAGATGGGAGAGAAGTACGCCATGAAAGTCAGCTCGATGAAAACGCATTTGATTGCCTGTGCTACCGATTGTGGTCAGAGTGAGATGTATTTGGATGTGCAGGGAAGTTGACCTTTCGTCACCAAATCAAAAAGCTGAAAGCCAGCGGCTTGATCACTTTTACGGTGGTTGATACATCGGACTAGATTTTTCTCAGTGAATTTGAATATCTGTCGTATACAAATTATCACTGACCATATTCTTCTGTGCATTCGTAACCGCAACGCTGAATTAGCTGTTGCTCCAAATCATGCCCAAGTTTTCGCAACACCTAGATGATTGTCTAATGCCAGCATCTTTTATTTTCCGAGATCTATACCTTGAATGACCTAGGCCAGATACCCAAACCAGCCCCAACTTCACAAAAGCTCTGAGCGGCTTCGTACACGTCGACGACAATATCCGGGTACTGGGATAAGGCAACGGCTAGTGTCAAACCACCTACGCCTCCTCCGCTAAGGCAATATTGTGATGAGCATGACTTTAGCCACAAGTTGAAGACGCCTCACCAGATGGCAATCCTGAACTTAGGTGTAGACATTGTATTTGAAGATGATTATTCCGGAGTGCTAGTGGTTTATTATATATGCCGCGTCCGCATGGGAGTGAGAATTTGAGTACCGCACTGGCGACGTACCGTGACCAATTCTACTCGCATTGTAACACGAAAAACGCGCCACATGATGTCAGGTAAGCATCAATATGTTCTTTCTTGAGCATGTCCGATTGAATCGTGTCATTAGTCGCTGGCCTTCATTTAAGCCGTTGAAATCGCATGAAAAGCATTGACGGTAACAAAATGTTACCAAACCAACCCGAAAATGATATCGACTAGTCGGTTGGAATCAACCCAAATCATGTCCATCAAAGTTGAATGCGTACTTGGGTTAACAGGAGCTGCGAGGCACACGGAAAAGAAGCAAACCGAAATATCCTAATTTGGAAAATTGGAGATCGATGACAGCGATCAAGTGGCACGTGACATGCGGGCTTGTCACAGCAAACCACATTGCAGATTGGCCTGATTCTGACCTCCTGATCATGACATTCACATACGTTATCGGTGGGCCACTTTAAACATGCTGAAGAAAGATTGAATTGATCTTTTTTACGCAGAACACATGGAGGAGGATGAAATAACCCCGAAATCTCTCCCACCCTGGGTTGAGCTAGAATATGCGGCACGTAATAGACTCCTCACCGCAATTCGCTCAAGGACTCAAGGTTATTTTAGCATATGATCATGTTGGCTGGAAAAAACGGTCGCGTTGAGTTTACGCATCTCTCGCACAACTCTTGTTCATTGCTCGATACTCGGTTAGCCTCTATCAATGAACCCACTGCCGCATCATACCATGTCCATACTCAGTCAGTAATGGAGCTGCTGGAGAAAAATAACATTCCGATTACGAGGGTATGTCTTCTTGACCCGAAAGCTCAAACAGTACTCGCTCCGGAGGACGCCAAAACTTTTGATCATTTCTTGTTTGGGGTGAGATCTATATCTGCTGAAACCTTGGGCTCGTTGTTAAACTTGACTTCTGTCTGCAAGGGTATACTAGGTAAGCATATCGCGGCTCCTTTCCGTCATCAGATTATTTTGGACATTGCACGCCAGGTGATGATCCCCCTCGTGATCGAACATCTGAGCTCCGCCAACTTGGTTTTCCTTCGCGTCATCTGGGTCCAATGCAGATGACAACAGATACCGCCCTCGGTGTAACGAAGCGAGTTGTCGATGACAAAGGTGACTCTTGTACTTCTTCAACAGCGAAACCGTTCAAGCCGTTTTAGTGCAACTGAATGCGATACCATACGTGGTGTGTCGCACGATATTTACAAGCATAATGAACGTTCATGGCCTATCTAGGACTATCCAACCATCACATTCAATGCTAAAGAAAGCGTTGAAATGCCTTTCCGTCAGTGAAACTTCTAAATCACGTTAGTGTCAGGACTAACCGCATCTTTCACCCGCGGCTATCGTGGAATTTCAACAGGGTATATTGCCAACGGAAAAGAACCCGTCTTACCCCCCGGAATGCGGGAACTTCTGCACGAGGATCTTAACAAAAGTGTCATCTTCTAAAACCACTTACAATGTTACATAGCAATTGCCGTCATGGGGTTCACACGTGGTGGTCCTTATATCCCCCCTGGACCCAGCATCTTTCAGTCTTTTAGTATGACTGGCTGAGTTGTACCATGGAATGGAACTTTGTCGGATATGTGTCTTATCACACAGAACTGCTAAACGAGTAAAGGATATTGGGTAAGAAAAATCGCAAGAGAACCACAAGACGAGCTTTTTTTTTCTACAATTTTTGGCCTTTGCAGAGTTGTACTCTATGTAGGACACTACTTTCTAAACTGAGAGACCCCGTGTCCCATTTTTTCCCGAGCGCGTGAATGCCCTGATGTGGGGCGTACCCCCATCAGCGCCGTTCCCGCCGGCTGTTTTACAACACAAGCTTACTGGCAGTCCATGTCAATAATATGAACTATCGCCACGCTTGAGGGGAGTATAAAACAGGACGCAGCTGATCGACAAGCAAGTGATTATCGACGTCCCGCACAACGGACAGTGGAAAAGGACAATGATGAACACACGCTTTGACGTGCTGTGACCTACCGCGGGTACTTTGCATTCTTTCATTGGTTACGATCTATTCAAGATAGATCTCTATATATTTCGCGAGTCACTTTTTTGGCGTGAAAACGTGATTATTTAAATGGTAACGGTATGCTCCGCTCAACTCACGTAAAATGTCAATCTCGTGGCATGAATGCCACTGATGGATATTTGCTCACTAGGCAGAACTAATTTCGTCAGGTGTCTGGTTGCGATCATAAGGCGTCGCGCAGTGAGGTAAAACATCCATACGGCATAATTATAATCAATGACCCTGGCGCCTATGCCCTCGACCCAAACCGTTGGTCGAATGTCCGCCTGCTAGGAGATTCATTAGCCTCTGCCAACATCACTAACAAGACAAGAAAGCGAAAGTGCGTGGACTCAATGCCTGCGAGCCAAACAACCCATCACAGTAGCACAATGGAGAGATGCTCGTGATGAGAGAATCACGAATCACAAATATTGAACTGAACTGAAACTGCGGAAAGAAACCGAATGGAAAAAAAGGCTCACCGACAGAAGGTACCAGGAAGGTCAAAAGGACCCGAAGTAAGAGCCCTGACGCCTTATAGAGCGTCGTCCCGAGGTAGACCACGTCCTTACACCTGCCGCAGATACCCGTCTTCTATTATGCAAGTCTATTGGCTAGGGCTAGAGGGACACTAGAAGAGCAGGTGGCGGTTTTGAACCTGCAAAATTTCTCGTCAGGGCCTGGGGGGCCTATCATACCTCGCCGTTCTTTTCGTTCGGATAAGAAGCAACCCAGCGGGAATAAATGGTCCATGCTCTACTGCAATCAAGTCTATACCTGGCCAGCGGCTGCATTCGGTACTCACGACCTACTGGCAGGGTGATTTACAGGTTTGGAGAAGGGACTAATGGGGGGATAAGAAAATTTGTCCCCCAGGTTCGGTCAATGTTTAGCATAGGCCGAACTCCTAAGGGACCCATGCACAGCCGTTTCTGAATCGCACTGTCCGTGCAGAGACAAAATTAAACCATAAAGCGCAGAGATTGGGAACGGCAGGGCTGTACATTATCTGTTGTGCTACTCGGCAACAGCAAACTATATGACAAGATGGTGAGACCTCGAATCCGAGTAGTGATGAAGAGATGTCAGCCGCTATCAGATTCGGGTGTAATCAAGTGCGATTATAGCGCCATCAACTTCTGATTTTCTCGGAATTCGACATGATCATGACTGACAGTGCCTCATGACGATGTGGTAAATCTATCGTAAGTTTCGGTTCCATGATTTGAAAAAGACATACCTGATTTACAACGGGTGCATCGCTATCTGGATCTATCTCATCATGATCTGTTGTCCACGCTTCATCATCCCTCGCTTCCTGAATTACCTCTTCCTGTTTAATCCGAGCTGGTTTTGATTTCCTTCCATCATCAGACTTGCGCCACTTGGGGGCGCAGTGTAAAATGTCCGAGAGCTTCAGTGCTTTGTTTTGTAAGCAGCGAAACGATGCCTAGAGAGCGATTTCTGTGTGGGGAAGGTCTTGTCGTAGGCAAGGTATGGTGCTCCATCTTGATCGAAGCCAAGGATTGATGAGGCAGTGAGAGAAATGACTCAAAAGTTTATGAATTAATATTATATATGAAAGGCAAAACATTGTTTACTGCGCTCTCGACCCTGCTGGCCAGCTGCCTATCGGTGATGTTGCAGTGGCAGCATCATCCTTGGCTGTGGGACGGGAAAGTCAGTCTATGTCTACAAATGACATCGGACTTGAAAAAGGGGAACATATACTGTACTCCTGGATCATCATGCCTGAATAAACAAAGAAAAGACATACTGAGGAATCACATCACACAACCTTAAACTTCAAGCCTGAGTGCGCCACCATAATTCATAGCGCGAAATGGATGCCATCGGGCCGTGGAAAGAGATGAGCGACTGCGTTGCGATTGCACGGTCCACAGTACATTAAGAAGATCTAGATTTGGTTGAACGTGAGCAGAAGCTAAGTGTACAAGTGAATATTCATATTTTACACTTTGCCACCTCGTCTGTTTCAGTCAGTCCTGACTCCTGAATCGCATGCTTTCAAAAGGGATCCTGGATACCTAGTAGGGCACTGAGTACCGTCGGATGTACTTGCAGAAAGAAAACTGCTCACCTCGTCCAAAACAGTTGGTCATCATCTTCGCCATGAATCATGTCTAAATTACTGCGTCGTCCAGTGACAAACGGTGTGCGCTCCGTCATCCATAACTTGAAATACCGCGTTGACTGTCTTGAAATGGGGCCCAATCAGGCTCATCAGAGACGACACTGTGGTGCATGACGGGCCATTATCCTGGATGGATGACACGTCTAGGGCGAGAATTGAAGACGACTCGACGAGCTCGATAGTGCCGCAGTATCCGAAGAGCTTCCCGAGGAGGTTGTTCTTGGCTGTCTCGGAATGATGTGCCTCCGCAAATCACATTCGAGTCGACATTAGACTGGGACTAGACGGTCTAGACCTGCCTCTGTGCTGCACAGAACTTGAAGCTGATCTCGTTCTTCGCTTGAAGGGGGTTGGAAATACATTTGCGGTGAGAAACAAGCGCGAACACAGCAACCAATTAATAATGTTCAGTAGTTCCTGCTCATCATCTTGTTCATATTTCTCGTTCATCAGATATATGGCTTTTCGCAGTCAGCTTGGCACTTGCTCGCAACCCTTGATATTCGCCAAGAGAGGAATGAAAAAGAGGAGATCGAGCCTGTTGTTAGACTTTAGAGTGCTGTTTTTAGGTGGGTTTTACTTTTGTGTTTTTGCTTCAGGTCGGGGGCGGGACTCGGGAGTTTCAGTTGTTTCTACTTGCATCAACGCATTCGTTTTGAGTATGAGGTTGTGCGGCAGTCATGGTCGTGGTGCATACGAGACAAAGATGATTCAGTTCGAGGATGCAAGCACTTTCGTTTTTGCCGAGATCTGGGCGCTTTCGCTAAGCGCTTACCCTCGCTTATAAGCACCGTTATAAGTTTTTGGGATTTACTTTTGATGTCTTTCGTGCGGACCGTGACAAGATTTGTGATCTCACATTTCCTTCCTTTTGCCCGCTTCTTCCTTTCACTCCTTTCAATGCACACATGGCCCATCCCAGCACAACACCCCCGCTATGCTGATTCCTGAACTAGTAGGGACTGAATGGAGGTCTTAGAGGGTTGCTCAGTTCTCGCCTGGGATGTACTCCATGAAAATCACCGGCGCGACCTTCACCGTGGCCTGAAACGACCCGACCTGAACCATAGAGCTGGAGGTTGGTAGAGCCTTGAAGGTGCCCAAGGCGTTTTAGGCTTCGGCTTCGTGTGCAAACGAAGCCTCATACTTGCGGGTAGTATATTTCTTGCCACAATGAGCCATCCAAAAACTTTCTTTCCTGTCGAGGGATCGCCTGATGCGAGTGCACGACGGTTAACTGGTAGCGGCCTTCTCGTTGATAGTCTGAACTTCTGTGCTAGTTCCCAAACTTCTGATAACTTGGAGATTGAAAGATTGGGGAATCAGCTCAGCTCCCGAGGGAGAGCTTGCCTTGGGGACTCGAAACTATTGAGATTGCTCCAGCGACACGTATCTTTTGTAGTCGGTTTCAAGGAACGCTAAATATCGTTCCTGAGTTTTAAAGCGCGAAGGCGGGCAGTTCGATTTCCCCCTAAATCCCTCAGAGATCATGACAAGGTGCGCGCATCTATTTTCCTGTGTACGCGTGTGCATCTCACGCGCTTACATTTAGACACTGTCTCTCACTCGTCGAACCACATAGTTACATTACTGACTTCGATGAATGAAACATCGCTCAGGCGGTGTGAATTTATTTGCCTTCCCAAACTGTAGATTCATACTGGCAACTCTGACAAGCCATGATGTCCCTCCACGCATCAGACTGCCAACTCAGACCCGGAGACCCAATGCTGATGATGCTAATATTGGAAGTTCATCAAGCAGCAATGGTTGCGTACCCGTGTTGAGCAGATGACTCCCCCTACTTGTGTGCCACCCCAAGGTAATGTTCGGACCAGCTTAACACATTATATCGCCGTGTAGACGACTTTCACTAGCACAAAACCGACGTTACATTAAGCATACTGCTTACTCGGACGTGAGCTCTTAGTGAGCTCGCACTTTGAGAAGCCCAGGTTCGTACAATACCGACCCAGAATGTTGTTGACCCCCATTTTTCCTGCTACAATTCTCGTTTTGCGAGCATAAATTATTGCCTATACTGAAGCACTATATACTCAATAGAATGGATCAATACTGTCATTCAGGCCACTAGTACTGTCCGCCCTGAATATCATAGTCGCTATCGCTAGAATCCTCGAATGTAATGTGCGACACTTGCTCATCCCAGTGAAACGACCCAAGGTTATCCTCAAACCATTTCCTGTCCGTTTTGAATAACGCTGGTCCACCCTCAACGGATATCAATGTGATGGGCGCCACAATCGGAAATGTCCAATCAATAGCTTCTTGATCGTGTGTCCAGAAAATGGATCTGCGTGCTAACTTCCTCCGCTTTCGCACCATAGTCTTGAGCAATCTCGGAGAAAACTTCGTGCAATTGACAAGGTATAATTCTTTCACCCCCTTGCATGCGAAGGACTGGTCGTGTGGTCCTCCGTCCATCATGTCTCGCAGGAAATCATCATGGAAGCATTCACAATCGACAAGCGAGAGTGTGCGTCCCCGCCAATGTGCAAGAGGAACCATCAAATTCTGGTCGTCTGAAAGACCGCGGAAGGCGACGCCACCAGAGAGTAGGGAGTGGTGGCAAGTAGTGATAGCGCAACGAGAAATGCGAGTTGAATCTGGGACACTGTCGACATAACCGATGATTTCGGAGAGCACATCGCCTGATAGGTCCTCCAAATTCATAGATATTAGGTCTATACTAATATCATTTACTGTGGTCCAAGGACGCAGGCGAGAGAAGTGCAGATCCTTGAGCTCCAAGAATTCAAGGCCAGGAGATTCCTCTACTGCCCTCAACAGCTTGTATAAATCAATGCCATTGTCTGAAAGGGGGCGATAGCGGGAAATTGAAAGTGAGCTCAAGTAGTGTAGGCGCCTGAGCCAGTTGTTACGGTCTACACAGACTTCAAAAAAATTTCGAGCATCAAGATAGAGGTGGCGAAGACCGGGTGCATCAAAACTCCAGTGCACAAGCTTCCGAGGCGGAGATCCACCATCGTCAACTTTACATTTGAGCTCCAAGGTAAGCAGGTGAGGAGCCGTCTCCCGATGAAAGTCGTGAAGTATGGACGGCAATGATGAGCTGTACATCACGTTGAAGCGGATGCTTCTACATCGCTCAATATGCCTGACGAGTTCGCGGGTCGCTTTGAAGACTTTTGACTTTTCCCTCTTGTCATCTCCGTCGAATTCATCGCGATGTCTGGTGATGATAACATCTAGATGAAGATTTCTTGACCACTCGAAATAATGTCGAATATCTTGGCTTTGTGTATGTTGAGAGTCGACTCTGATGACTACGCGAGTCCAGAACTCTGGAACACTTGACAACACCAAACGCCACATCGAACATACTGCGGCCGGAGCGTAAGGGAACAACGATGACAGAGGTTCGTCTAATCTCCATATCTCACCGGTTTGAGTGAGACGATGAGATGACCGATAAAGATGGGTGAATATCGCCAGCAAAAGTTCGATGGGCAGGGCTCCTATAAAATTTCGTGGAGCAGCCGCGCAAGATTGGGCTTGTGTGGAGTGGTAAATGGCGAACAGTGACTCGTCAGGACAATAATCTTCATCAGTTGGATTCGATGGATCAAGGAGCACCTGTCATACGCCGGGGTTCAACGTTAATGTTCAACTTCTATAGGTGGAAGGGCGACGTTGACTACAAACTCACTTGGTGGGTCATGGCAGGCAATCGCACGGTTCTAGGTTATATCAGAGTTGTATGCTTGTTTCAATGCGGTTCCTGATTACAATTGATTTCGGAAATTTGCGAGAGAATTGCCTTTTTTAATCATTGGCAAGGCAAATCCCCAATTCCTTGTTGTGACATAGTTACGTAATGTCACAAATGCATCGTCAGACACTCGAAGTTTCACTTCAAGCCCCTTCACAAGGGCAGCGACTGTACGTGAACTAATGAACGCCTATGCGACTCAGCTAGATAGTCAGCTTGGAGCGGTGGATAGGTGAGTTTTGGTTGAGTGATGAAGCATGTTTTTGATCTATGCTAAATGCCTCCTAGCACCTGGCACGATTCCCAGGAAGACTCGGACGTCTCGGAGTTGCATAACAGTACCGAAATGACGAAGGAACGATTACGGGAGGATAAATCCTTTGCTGAAGAGGAACGTAGAATGAAAAGTCTCGATGGGTTAATGAACACACTCTTGCTCTGCGTGAGTCCTTCGACCTTTCCTTCCAGAATGACGCAACTAAAATTCAGTATTCACGGGCAGGCGGGTGCTACTGCATTCATAAATAAATTTGCTACCATGCAGCCTGGCTTCCGCCTATACAACAGACAGACAACCTTGGTAGCTGGGGTGAATGACGTCTTCCGCACCATTAGCAATGGCACGTTCACCAGCGGAACAATCCTGTCGGTCTTCGCAGCGCCTTCGTTCACATTTTTGATTCTACAAGGAGTGATGGACGCGTGTCTCTTTGTCCCCCCTTTTATTGTGGCTATCACTATCTTTGGGAAGTGGGTTCTAGGCCATTTCGCCACGAGCACGAGCGAGGACAACTATGAGCAGATGAGACGAAGACCATTGCAAGACTGGCCTCAACATGCGCGGACCCGCATCTTGTCATGGTCAGATGCGTTGCCCGTTTTTTTTGGTCTTTCTCAAGCCCTCTATACACTATGTTGGCTCCTCGGGCGGCAACCGCTCCTAGCAACCTGTCTCACCACGGTGCTCGCTTTGTGGTGTTCGATTACCTTGTTCGTGTTCAAAAAGACTCTTACACCCTCATCTTAATTGTATGGTAGCTTAATATTAATTTAGTGGAGGCTGCGCTTCCTGCTCCGCAGTCGGAGCTCTTATCAGAGGGAAGACTATCCAGAATTTCACACAAAAGTATTCATATATCACTCAATATGCGAACGCCAGCGTGCTGTATGTTAGTGTCAGGGAGGGAGACTGACTTCGACCAACCGAAATTTGTGCAAGGTTGATACCGTCTCAGGTTCATCAGGGAAAACCTCCCTCCCGAAATCGAGATAATTCCAAGTAATTCCCTAGTTTCCGTAAGATTTCAAGTGATTTCAAGTGATTTCAGGTTTCGCTGAATTATTTAAGTCCGGTAGCTCGCTTAATGAATTCCTTTGAATTCCGAGTAGTTTCTTCTGAATTCCATCAAATTCACTTGTCGCTCGACAGATTATTCTGAATATCGTCCAATTCACTCAATGATTGGTCGATGTCAAATTACACGAAAATCAACATTATATTGATTAAAATAGCTTCGTTGTCCTGGGACACGCTGATGTGTGTCGGAAATTTGCGAAAGTGGTTGCAATGAGTCATTATTTACTATCACTCCTGGGGTTCTGCAACATTTTCAATAAATCTTTTGTAACTCCTCAACCGCATCATATTATCTTCTACTGATTTGCACCATTATATATTTGTAGCTACTCTATATGAATATGTTTTTTTCTGATTTTAAGGATTTTTTTGGTGGAGTGTCGGATGAAGGCCAAGAAAATTCAGGGTCTGACTGGTATTCTGCAAAACATGGTCACGTCGTGTCACACATCAGCACAGCAGCGGCACCGTCAACTTTCACTCTCCAAGGACTCTGAAGCTCGTCGTTGCACATCGCTTTGAAAATGAATATAATTGAGGATCATGGTCTATATACTAATAATTGTGATTATAATGGTACTGTTGATAGAGTCCTGACTCATACAGCTGACGGCCTGCATCACTAGAGCCCCCAATGTCATACATCTGCACTCCACCAACTCGAAAATCCTGAGACATACTAGTGAGAGGTCTACCAACTGGTGCGAAGGGAGGGTGAAGAACAGGTGGAGACCAAGGTACAGAATGGTGCATTGAATAATATGGAGGTGCATAGCTGGGTGGGGGCAGATCCATGGCTGACATTGAGGAATGAGTGACAGGCACTGGCAGCCACAGTTGATACCTGGATGGTTGTTGAATCGAATTTGGGGGAATCATATCTTGCGGGAATTCAGGCACCACACTATTGTCATTTTTGAGATGGCGCCTGCGAGAACAGGGGGATTAAATAAACCATCATAGCATTGATTTTTCTTGAGTTCGGGGTGGTCGTTGAAGTGCTGTAAATTTTGCTGTAACAATTCACTGGCGGTTTGGAGGCATTACGAGGATATGAGAACAATGTGAATGTGACTGACTGGACAGTGCCGTGTATCAAGCCGAGTGTGCCGTAGAGGAGATTGAATTTCTTACACACTCTCCTATCTGTTGTCACACTTTCATACATGTCCACAATCCTCCATCTATAGCATCTTAAAACAAGAGAATGACCTCTATCGAAATTGTGTTCTGACACCCTGACAAGGTGTTTGATATACCCCGGGTGTAATTTTTTGAATATCTCTCTAGGATCTATGGGATCTGGATCATTTATGATTATACAAGGTTGCAAATTACCACTATTCTGTCTCTCGCAGCTGCAACACTCAAGAAGTTTTTATTCTACTTGGACAGTACATCATCTCTAAGTAGCCTACATGCATCTAAATTTTTAGGTGATTCAAGCAGCGCATTGAGGTGTTTTGAACAATTTGCATATTACATCCAGTTGCAGATTCCCAGGAATGATAGTACATGTCATTTCAATGCACCCTGAAATCATGAGGTAATGCTACATGCTGAGTTTCAATCTATTGCAAGCTGATTGATATGATGTCTTAGTCCTTATTGATACCCATCAGTGCATTTTTTGTTTTCACCAACCGTCAAGTGTAGTATCGTCAATGAAATGGCCCCCGATCATCAGCAAACTACAAATTTCATGACAGACCATACAAGGTGTCACAAGCTGCCACAAGACCACACAAGGTGTTACAAGACATCACAGATCTTACAAGCTTGACAGACATATAATAAAATATTACACCAATGCTTCTAAGCTTATTATAGTCTCTACTGGTGTCCTTAACCTACTATATGTCATTGTAATGACTGAAAATATAGTTGAGATATGTACCATTAACTTGATTGAACCTCCTATAAATACTAAAATTGCAATATCTCCTGATCCTGTGGACCAAATTTGATGAATGTTGGATCATATTAAAGCCCTGATTTTGCTGCATAAAACAGGATACAAAGTAAACAAAGTGTTCAAAAAATGGCTGAGATATATCCTAATCTTCATTGTACAAGGTCTATCATCCCTAAGTGAAACAGGATTTATATATATTAAATATAGTTTATCATTCAATTACATATCCCTGTGAACACCCTTAGACTCATCTCCATCTGCTTCTCATCTACAACCTCCAAACTTCCAAACTGCCACCCATTCCTTCCAACAGCAACAGCTCTACATAAGGTTCACCTTGCACTCACACCTCATGTTATTGTATCCTGTCCAGAGGCAGACCCAGAAGATTTCTCATGGCACCTCAAGATATCTTCACCCCCCTGCCCCCACCATCACACAAAACAGAATCAACAAGGCAAATTATCTAATCCCAACATGGATCCCATTCCTATTCGAAGGACAACTGAGCTCAAATCAATTTCTGATGCAACAAGTAGTTCGTCTCCACCGTGCAACAACCTCACTTCCCATCAGAGGGACACACCAGCAAACTGTCAATTATTCAACCACAGGAAGGATGATCCCATAAGATTTGCGGTCCTGGCCTGTCCATCATCAACTAGTAGCCGGCCTCCACCTACACCCAAGTCATCAGGAGACTATGTCTCTGCATCCTTGACTTCCTCATACTATCACTTACTACACCTCCATGATGGTCCATTGTTTCATAAGTCACACTCATGTCATGAATAGTAACAGCCAGTCACACCCGCCAAATTCACAGTCCGTTTGGCAGACATTAAGAAGTTCGTGAGCAACTGACTACTAAGGACACTACTAGTAAGTCTGTGAGCTACAGTACATACGAAGAATTAGTATATAGCTATAGAACCATTAAATGAAATTTTTTTACGCTGTGTCAAATGATGCTGAAAGCTTGGGAATGTAGTATGTGGATGTAGGTATTGATACATACTAGTACTAGGTGGATTGTAAAGTCTGTGACTTGAATGCGGGGTTGAGCGCGTGGTTGACTCGAATTTTAAACTGCTGATGCTGTAACTACTAACGGCACTTGCTCATTTGAAATTGCCCTCAAGAAGTCCCATAAATCTTGGCTGACTGGCGCACTCAGGATTTCCTGCAAGATAATCTTTAATTCATCCTGTCAGTTCCATCATTGTCCCATCTCTGGGTAGCGAAAGAGCACCGGCAATAGTGATGAGGTTGCAATGAAATGCACTGTTAAATTTAATGTCCAATGTTGGCAGCCATGGCAGGTGACACCAGTCCGTGATTTTTGCTGCTGTCATGCTAAAAACACGATCTCCACCATTTCTCAACAGATTTATTTTGTTTCACTTGTAATATGCTAGTATAGTGTGTAGAGTATACTCAGTGAAGTAGCTAAGTAATGACTTTGAAATTGAGTGCTGTAGACAAAAATCACAAAATAGTGGACCATCACAGAGGTGTAGTAAGTGATAGTATGCTCACTCATTGACCTCAAGCTTCACCCTTTCATCTGGAATGACAGATAATTCATCTGCATTGTCTGCATTATTCGATAGCAAGCCTCATGAAGATGCAAGCAATAATGTGTTCGCCGTTCAGCTTAAAAATCTGTACCACAACATATCCACCTTAGAAACAAAGATATTAAATGAAGACCCTGATGATCTCGTAGATGAAGGCTGCATTGTTTGACAAGGACAAGGATGCGAAGTTAGTGACAAAGACCTCCAGCAACAAAAATGGACGAAGCTAATCTCAGACCATAAACAGTAAGTAGTTTTTCAGTGGAGATCTCCCTTGCACCATTCATTCCAATCTGGCTGGCTCAAGGGTCTAGGTGATCTTGCATGCTATCACATGGCTGTGGCACATTGATCATTGATAATAGTTGGACACAGTATGTATTGTACTAGTATAAATTTGCTTTTAATTGGACTCAATATGTCTTTATTAATGCTGGTTGTGTGTATCAGGGTTTTGATCATGACTGCGGATACGTAAAAATGCTGGAGGTGTTATTACATCGGACGTCAGGGTAGGCATCACAAGCATCATTTAAAGTGCCATGGGCGACTAACAATCTTGTGTCATTGTCTTACCCTCTGACAGAATCATCATTCAAACTCTTGTGAAGACATGTCGCATGTCACTATGAGCACTACACACCCAAGCTCAGACATGGAAAGTGACTGTGATGCTCTGGGTGGCGATCCAGAACATATTTCTATACCTGGCCCCAGTGCGTCTAAAGGAGAACTCTTGGAGGTAAGAAATCTTCAATCTGTCTAAGTATTTACTGACTTGATTTGCTTCAGACTCTCAAAGCACTGCAAGCCCAAATGCAGCGGCTTCAAGCAGAGAACAAGAGTATCAAAGAGGAGAATAAGACGCTGCACACTGACAAGCCCAAATAGAAGTGACGTGCCAATGCACACCATGAGTTTAGCATCCATGAGGACACCATTACCATATATGCCCACAATTATGGTGTGATGGTTGAAATGTTTCCTAGCAGTGAACTCCTCAACAAGAAACGTCCAGCATCTCCAACTGCTTTCAATAGCTCCAAATGATATGTGACTGCAGCCACAGAGGAATCTGCATTCTTAGATGAACTTTATTGTCACTTCCCTGAATTGCTCCACAAAGTCATGGAAAGCTCTTACTTTAGTGATCTGGTATGTCGAATTTTCACTTGTTCACTTGCTATATCACTGACACAACAACATTCTTATTGTAGGTACTGAAAAGTATTCCCAACACCTGTGCTAATGAAATCAAAAAGCTTTGTGGCATTGCTGGTGATATATTTGGCCTTTCTGCAAAATATTTCACCAATCCTCAATACGACAGAGCGTCTGTCCCCAAAATCTGACAGCTACTTGGTGTTACGTCCGCTTCAAATGTGGTCTACAAAACTTTTCCCCCAGTGCTATTTCCGAAGTTGATAGAAGACAAGTTGCTTAAGACCGTGTTTGGAAATTGGGAGCTATTGGCTCGAGTGCATCTATACTACTGTTAAGGTGTTGATTATCTGACATTTTTTGGTGATGACACTACTATCTAGATTTTGAAAGCTTCGTTGCGTGGAGTTGCCTCACTCCATCAAGAGTTGAGTGGTGGTGGTGCCCATACTAACACTCTCAAATGGAGTGTCCACCAAATCACACCAGGTGTTACAAGAACACCTAGACGCTTGGGCCCCTACTATTTTTCTCCTAATCCTCCTCGTATCAGCCCTCGCATCATACCCTTACCCCGACCTTACCCTTGTCATCCTTGTCATCCTCGCATTCCCTTTCGCCCTCTACCTGTCGCTTCAGCAAAGCCAGTACATTTGGCCGGATCCTTTCGCTGACAAAGCATACCCATGCTCCGTTTCACCACCTGACTGATCCTGTGGACAGTCCCCTTACCCTTACCGTCTGGACGGTAACCTATGAGATGATGCATGATGCATCCCCTTTACCCCATTTCCCTTTTATGATCTCTGACTCAGTACACAGTCGCACATGCGACTTATACTTAGATCCGCAGCTGCACGATCGTGCCCCTGTGCGTTTCACTTCTTATTTCGATCTTTGACTCACTTTCTTATCTAGCACGTTCTACCTCGACCGAACGTGCCTTCCTGTTATAGTCATACCCTTTACCGATTGCCTCTCCCGGTAGTACGAGTTATCACCCACTAATACGTCTCCTGTCCTCTATATAAACTCGCTACCATGTACCATATTCCCTAACTTGAATCTACTTGGTTCTTGACCTCCTACTCTCACCAGAGTGATCCTTCTGCCTCGCCAGCAGTCTATATTCTATCTTCTTATCTGCTCTTCGTGGATAAGCCTATAGTCTCGATCTTTACTCATCGACTTCGTCGACGAGCAAAGCCCCTGTTAACTAGTCGGACTTCTGTCCTTCTAAATTAACGACGATCCTTACGATTAACCTTCGGGTGTCGTAAGCCTAGGCCGATATAGCTTATCGTCTCGCGCCCACGTGACATAAGCTACCCGATTTGGACATAGGCGTCAAATCGTACTTGCAGAAGACACGCCAAGTACGACCCCTAACCTTGGGCTAGCCCAAGGACGTCCACAGACCATTGACGACACAAGCTCTGTTTGAGCGTCGCCAACAGATACCATCCAAGTCGTAACACCAGGGTCAGTAGCGTGGGTGGCAGTCATTGTAAGGCAACATTTTAATTACATGTTTTTCGAGTCCTCTGAGATGTATCATTGCAGGTAGTCTTTTTACTGTCACCAGACACCAAATTTTTGAGCAGCGGCACTGGAAAGAAATCCAACATCGGTTACTGGAATCTCTTCCACCTCTACAAGAAAGTCCTCATAACTAAGTGGGCTACAAAGCACATTGCTAGCATTGTCACCAGCATCAATCATTACATTTTCAAAGCCGCAAAAGCTTCAGCCTTTGATTCTGCCGAACAAGATGATCATGCAGATGCAATCAATCACGTACTTGCAGTGCTCGATATGGACAGTGATTCTGAATCAGATGCCAAGTTTAACAATCCTGTCGAGGACCCCAAGGCTATTCATAATATTGGTCAGAGTCTATCAGCCTTTACTGAACCTGATTCTACCACCAGTACCAACACAGGAGATTCAGAGCTCTGGAATTCACATGTTTCTGACCCGGATATTTTAGGAGGTGAAGATGTTGAAGGGTCAATCAGCAACAGTGGATGAGGGCAGGGAAAAATGAGAGAGAGGAAGGCAGCAGCTTCTGGAGGCACAGTTCGTCGAGGACAGTCTCACAAATAGTCACAGTAATATTTCTTTACATTGTCACTACATACTCTGGTCATGTTGACAGTGGTCTTATGTTTGCAATGGATATCAAATCATTATTAATGCTCACTGGCAACCTTTGAATCAAAATCAATACATTAAAATAATTCAATCGGAGTTTAAATGCAAACATTCAGACTTTACAACTAAATTTCAACTGCACTCTGTCTCTCTTTCTTAATCTCTCCTGATGCTTAAATGGTCATTTTGATCGTCCTTCAATAGACATTTGCACCTCCAGTCAGCCATTTTGTCAACAGAATCAAGGTAAGCACCCTGCACCCTGTCTTTTATCAACCATTGTTTTTCATGGACACCATATTATCACAGGATTCAGCCAAGACCTGTCAATGGACTGTTGACGTTCAAATTTTCCTTCAACTCGAATGAACCCAGTGACCTCATTGTTGGTGTGTCCTCTGCAACACTTTTGGCTCTCTGAATCTAATATTTTGCATGTTGTTGTGTTGGCGCCGCTCATCCCTGTTTGCAGAATCTGTCCCATCGGTCCAGGTGTTTTAAATTCTGTTGTATTAATCATTACCAACACTAATGACTGTTACTGCTAATAGCTGATCCAACGTCTCTCTGCCCAATCAACAACTTGTTACAGTGCACTGGGTGTTCCAAATGGACTTTGTGCAATGCTCAACTATTAGTTTCCAGTCTCATTCTCGGGGTATATAGAATTTCTACTAGGGTATTACTGTAACTATTAGTAATTGTAAAATGTATAGTAATTTAATTATCCACCCAATGAAATGAATAATACCTGCCTCACAATAAATTTTCAAAGATTGCATCCTCATTTCAAAGCTGTGTGTATATATCAAAATTTACGTCATAATGTCATTGCAAAGACAATTACAATGACAGTGGTGCTATGGAGCACGTGATGCAATGATGATGACAATGACTTGCTCTGATTGCAACCGTCATTTAAATGACGACTCTATTATAGCAAACTATTTAAAGACTTGTTCTGCATTTGGGCATTGAAACCCATTGTCGGGCACGTTCAAGCTAGAAACAATCAGAAAAGCAAATTTCTGATAAAAAAAATCTCACCACAACAACACAGAGCACGATAACGCTGTCCATGCCTTTACCCAAGGCAAGCTCATCAGTATATAATGCAGGGACATCAGCATGATTGACAATGGCGCTGAGATGAGTGGATGCGATCATTCGCAGTACAAACACTGATAGGTAAGCTGTGTCCTGTGATATATTGTCTGGGTCCCCATACATGAAGGCATAATTCTGGAGGAGTTACTTGGCAATGTTGGTGTTTGGTGCATCTGTGATGCGTGAGCAAAAATCAACAATGATGGCAAGTGCTGTGGAACCAATGTTGCTCCTCCACTCTGAGAGTCACTGTTGCACCTAAAACAGTGTATGAAAGATGCAGCACAAAATATATCAAACAAACTTACTACTGCAAATACTGCACCATTCATATTTACTTTGTATTTGACGTCAGGGTATACCATACCAAAAATCTCCTGTAGTGCATCTGCCATCGTGGACTCAGGTATTTCCCATGGATTAGGCTGACTTCCAGCCCAGAGAAGTGTGGTAGACAAGAAAGCCTTCACCCACTTTGAGTCAGCAGGTATGGGAAGATCGTTGTTGCGATATTGACCATGGGGCTTGATGACCTCTTGTGCAGCAGTCTTCCCAGCATTTGATGGGACTTGGATGCTGGGGGGAGGCACAACATCATCATAATAGCCTGCCAGGACCTGAGTGGAGGGTGGAGGCATGAGATTGTTGTCATCGGTAACCTTGGAGGCTCTGGAGTGCCCTTTCTTCAATTTTTTTGGTGGGGGAGGGGTAGCGCTCTGAGATACAATGGTAGATGCATCAAATATACAAAATGAGTTGGTTATGTAAGAGATAAAAGAAACACATACTGATGTAGTCTTGTAAGGGGTATATTCCTTCTTCTCTGAGTCAATGATGGCCTCAGACAAGAGACTTGTCATTTCCTGTGAATCATCAATCAAATGTCAGAATCATCCATCACCTCGGATGCAGTCTTGTCAACAAAATATGCAACATCATCCAAAGCCTTATGCTTGATACCACCAGACTCTGCAAAATAAGTTATCTGCTCCAGCTCAGAGTCACTCTCGCTAGTGGGAACAATTACAGTAGACTTTTAGAATTCAGGTTAGTCCTTGAACAAAATGGTTCATGGAAACAATGTCTTACTCTAGCTGCCTGTTTTCCTTTCTTCTGAAGTGCAACTGGATGCCATTCCAAAGCATCAGAGCCATCAAGGCTATCATCACTAACCATCAGGACATTGTCGGTAGATTCAGAGAATACATTGAGTTTGGTTGGCTGCTTCTTATTGATGGCTGCAGATTTGATCTTAGAACTAGTGTTAGTACTAGTGGTAGACAACACTGATGAGGGTGGAGTGGAAGCAGCTTGAGATGCAGAATAGTAGATGTCTGATTTGAGACTGGTTGTATCAGACTTTGGGTCAGCTTGTGGTGGGACATTGTTGACCCAGCTATCAATAAAACTGCTGAGTGACGATTTTTTAGCCGTCCTTGAAACCGCACATTTAATAAAGAATAGGGTTGACTTGGTGAGTAAAAACATTGGAAAGCAAGTGTGTTGACTCACGATGCCACATTGTTGCCTTTATTGTTACTGATGGCACGTGCATCTGAAGCAATATTATCAGCCTTGAATCCGGAATGGGCCTCTAGGTAAGTGTTACTACTCCATGTGGACAACTAGATGATGAAGATGCACTCTGCCGATGCAAGGCACATAGAGAGGCTCTTGTCGGGGAGGATACATTTGGTGTGAATATGCTGCGGCATGAGTTCAGTATTGTTGGAGATGTTGTGGTACACTTCATTCAGTTGCTGCAAGTGCTCACAGGACTTATTTATGTTCAGCCTTTTACGAATGACTTCCCTCATGCTGATATCCATCAACTCATCGCCCCAGATATCCTGCACCAAATCATTAAAGGCTGTTTCAAGGATCATCTTGTTGTGTGGATGGAAAAATACCTCCATTGTATCCATGGGAAAAGGAAGGCTGAACAAATTATGGATGACATAGACCATCATCTGGCTGTTACTGCCCCATTTACTGGCTTGCAACATTTTCCACAGGGCTGCGGATTCAAACAGTGGACTGGGGATGACTTTAAAGTGCTCATGAAGGTATGTGTATGTTTTCAATTGACATGAGACTCAACTGATAAAACATATGTTCGATGACATCTAGATATATCTACCTGCAATGGAAGGCCACGTACCAACAGACATTGTCTGTACATTTCGTGCATTCTTGGAGTTCTGCTATCTCATCTGAAAGAATGTTATTATGGAGGACACAATCTTGCAAATAGAGGATGCCCTTCGCCGGTTTCACCACTATCGTCCAATATTCCTAAAGCTCAGCATTGTTCCTACATTCTCGCTCCCACACCAGCATGCGATAAAGCATTACCCTGACCTTATCTGTCTTTTTGGAGCACCAAACAGTCTCTGTTCATCAATGACAGAAAATAAACATATTAAAGCTGTAAAGCAACCATGGCGCTGGTCCAACAGGTACAATGCACTCAGACAAATGCTTGTGACAAATCAGCGACTCGACAAACTTGCAGCATTGCACGTAGACTTTACCAAACATGGTATGCTCAACAGTACATGTCTTAGTGATGCTTCAAGCATGAAAGGTCAGTGAATAGGGATCACATTATTATTCCTTTGCTGATTTCAATTATGTCATGTCGATGATCCAGGCGATAACTTGAATGAACCTATGAATGACATTCCCAAGACTATTCAATCCAATGCTGCCGATGACAACGACAATGACAGACTTGATAATGGTGAGATCGATGATGGGCCAACTGAGATTGAGGCTCATGTGCAGCTTGCTCAAACATGTCATATGTGGTTTGATGCATCTGTTATTAAATAACTTATAATTATATTAGAATAAAACCATGCTTGAACTGTGGTGGCACTTGCTATTGAGCTTGTCAGGACCAATGGATGATTTGTCCGAAGGCATCCAATGGTCTGTTGTCAAACTGTCAAAGAGTTTATTGCAATCGTCATGAAGAGATATTGGTACCTGATATATTTTCTCTCTAGCTCAATACTTAAGATACCAGATGCCAGATAACGCACCTCAGTCTTTCTCCCATTGACTGAGGTGTATATCAATCTTCTTTACTCTACGATGCATGTACTTAGTTATCTTTACCTGCAGACTCGTCACCTAGTTTAACAGGTTATGAGCCCTGCTTAAAGCAGACAGCTCTCTTGACTCTTGACTCCACTGCACGATGCCATTCTCAGACTCTCTATCTAAAACTGAAAAATATCTGCATGAGAAGCTCAGCCTTGATGGACCTAACTACTCTCAATGGGCGACTGGCTTCAAAATGTGGGCAGGAGGCCTTGGCCTCTGGCCCCACATCAACAGCAATAAAAAAGAGCCATCTCCACCAGCCTCACTCTCAGATCCTGACCAAAATATCCTTCACCAGGAGAAGCATGCTGAAAACATGAAAATGTTCAAGCAATGTCATCTCCTTGCACTCAGCACCCTCTTGACAGCCATTGATGCTCAAGATTTTATCTACCTATGAGACACGGATGATCTGCAGGTTGGATGGGATGCACTCACAACCAAGTACCTACCACAGAAGGCCATTTGTTTCAACCAGTACTTAGACCACCTCTTTGCAATCCCTAAAGCCAATGACAGTGTAACGATCTCACAGGCACTTCAGGCACTTGCTGTTCTGAAAGCGGACCTTGCGGCACTCACTGACAATTCCCAATCCACCACTATGACACTGGCTGTCACCGCTTCACCTGCAGCTACAGTACCCCAAAATGACTACAAAATCCCTGATGGAATCTTTGTACACATCCTCTTCTGAGCACTACCTGATTACTATGATCCTTTCCGACAGATGCTCGTGAACAGCATCACATCACTTGACTTTAATGATGTTGTTAACCGACTGAAGACTCAGGAACTGCATCATGCCAGTACAGGTAGTAGCACTGAGCATGTTGTCATGCTCACTGGGCATCGAGGAGGCAGTATGCTACAGCAAAAAGGAGACCGGGTCCCCCCAAAGGGCTTTGATGAGGCTAAAGGAGATGGATGGATTATGGGTTGGCGCCTGAAATGCGGCCACTGCTCTAAGGCTGGGCATGTTTGGGTTCAATGTCATACATGGCACTCCAAGGACGACAAACCGCTGAAGTCAGCATCACTTCCCCTTCCCCAACCTTCCACTGATGCTGACACTCACTTGGCAGGGACAGCTGATGGCACCACACACCCTCCGGCACATCTCACATTGGGTGACCTCTCACTGCACTGTCTTGCCTGAACCTATTCATGTGACACTTGTGGACAATCATATTGTATTTGCCCCTGGGTGGAGAACAGTGGACCTTGTGCTGCACCATGGTGTGAATAAGACAAAACATACCTTAGAATTCCTCCATGTTCCTGACTTACGCTGCACACTCATCTCAGTCTCTATGCTAGCATCTGCCCGCATATCATTTGTCACTACTTCACAAGGAGGGCAACTTCGCTCCAATGATGGTACAGGTGCCTGGTTGGCAATGGTCTCTGTCCGTCGTGGACTCTATCTCCTTGATGCTACCTATGCTGCGTCCACTCCCCCAACCACTGTCGCGACTGCAATGCTGGCCACCAAGTCTGTATCACCCTCTGGCTTTTCACTGACCACCTGGCACCATCATCTTGGGCATGCCAGCTTCTCTACCATCCTGAAGGCTGCAGGATGTGTCTTCAGGCTGCATCTTGATCCCACCACTTGTCATCCACCCGCGTTGGGTGGTGACACCATTGCCTGTGTCTCCTGTACCATGGATAAACAGTGCCGCCTGCCTTTTCCCTCATCGAGCCATCGAGTGGGTGCCATCGCCGAGCTGATTCACTCAGATGTCTGGGGACCGGTCAACATACCTGCATCCACCGGTGAATCATACTCCATTGCTTTCACTGATGACTACACCCACTACTCTGTGGTCTACCTCATGCATCATAAGTCTGATACCCTAGATTGCTTCAAGCACTTTCTGCCTTGGATTGAAACCCAGTCTGGGGGTTGTGTTAAGCATCTTCACAGTGACAATGGTGGGGAGTATGTTTCTCATGAGTTCACGTGTTACCTCACAGAGCATGGGATTGAGCATGAGACCACTATGCCCTATACCCCTCAACAGAATGGGGTTGCTGAGCATGGCTACCAGATGCTAGTCACCTGCACACTGAGCAGCCATCACCTCAGCGGTTTCCTGCACTCATTCTGGGAGTGGGCTATCCTCAACTCCACACATACCCAGAATATTCTCCCATTCTCTGCACTTGATGGCAGGACTCCCTTTAAAGCCTTTTATGGTCGCCAGCCAGACATTGACTACCTCCGCTCTTTTGGTGCGCTTGCCTATGCTCATGTCCCTGATGATGTGCGCCCCAAGTACTCATATGTGTCACGCCACTGTTTTCTGCTTGGGCATGTTCAGGGTGCTGGTGATGTCCTTTGGGATCCTGATTCCAAATGTGTTGTGCGCTCACGCCATGTCCTTTTTGATGAGCAGATCTACTATGGCATGCCCTCTACATCCCCTCTTACATCACTCTTGCCTGACCAGTCTCTACCTGCTGCTGCTAAGCCCCCACCACGCCCATGTAATGATCCCCCCCCTGGTGTGTTGCCATTGTCAGTGGGAGCTGCAGCACATGCTCCAGTTGGTGAGCCGCTGTAGCGATGGTCGCGGCATTGGGCTCAAAACCATGTATTTCCATACTCGCGCCAACACCTGAAACATATGCGCACATGTCCGAGCCACTCCATATCGGATCCGGCGCATTGGACCTTCGGACATCACATCGGCCGATCGCACTTCGCGCGCACTTGTCCATCCCATGTCCTGTCCATCCGAACTAGCCTCACTAGGTGTGTAGTTATTTTCGTGCATGTTTTCTGACATTTGTACCGCGTTATTACATGTCCGCAGCACCTTGTGTCTTATTACATAGGACATCGGACCCAAAATATATCGCTACTATCTTCGCCTGTAGTTTTCCGAATTTCTATGTACTTACTTAAATACTCTGTAGTGACCCATAGCAATCATCATCCAGTAGTTAGGGGCTGTTTCCTGACTCTGCAGATCACCCAGAATATTCTCATAGTTCTTAGTTGCATTGCGAAATATTACCATTTGTTCACCGTCATACTCTGTCACTCGTTATACTCGCACATACCGCTCGCAACCTGACACTCGTTATAAAGTTTCCAACTCATTATTGTGAAGTCCAAAAGTCCAAAATCTCGGACATCGCACTTTGGCTTTGGACATTGGATAAGTACCTTCAGACATCATCGGATTACCTTCGGACATCGTTTCGCACCATCAGACATTTTGTTATTTGCATTACTGACACATTCTTACTACTAATACCAATTAGCAATCCCTTTAGGATCGAACGCACTTGCTCTGCAAGTATAGCAGCATAGGTCATGCTAAAGATCTACCTAAATATTTGTTGTCTAGGTAGTACGATTTCTGCTGAGCCCAGCGGAGATCAGCTTTCTACACCGCCATGCTTGAATCCTGCCAACACTGCCATATCTGCAGCTTCAATGGGAGGTCACGATACACCGGACACTAACCAAGATCCACCACCTCCTGCTGTTGCACCTACTGCACCTGCTCAACCCAAAACTCTCGCACCTACTGCACCTGCCCAACCCAAACCTCTGTGTCGAGGCTCCTGCAATCATACCACACTGCACAGCAATCCCTCAGTGGCCATCTCAACTCGGCGTGTCCCAGTTTCTGAGCGATGGACCTATGAACCTGTTGAACCCCCAAGATGTGATGGAATCCCTGACCATACCGAATCTGCCATGCACACATCCACAACTCAGCTGAATATCCCAAAGACTATCTGCCAAGTGCAGCTATCTCCTGAATGGCCACAATGGTCTGAAGCCTGCAAGTCTGAACTCAAATCCATGCATGATCTGAATATGTACCAGTTAGTTCAGCTCCCCACAGGCCACAAGGCAATCAGATCATGCTGGGTCTTCACCATCAAAATGGACGAGAATGGTGACCTCATTCAACATAAAGCTCGCCTAGTTGCACAAGGGTTCACTCAGGTCAAAGGCATGGACTACACTGAGACGTTTGCAGCTGTTGCCAAGTATGATATGGTCCAAATTCTTTTAGCACTTGCAGAAAAGTTCAACCTTGAACTGGATCAGATGGACATACGCACTGCATTCCTCAATGCCGACCTCAAGGAAGATATCTATCTCGCACAACCAGCTGGTTTTGAAGATGAAGAACATCCGGATTGGGTTTGGAAGCTCAACAAGGCACTGTATGGACTGAAGCAAGTGGGCTATGAGTGGAATCAGACACTCAATGAATATCTGCACAAAGAGGGCTTCAAGTTCGTATGAAGCAAAGCTGACCACAGCCTGTATGTCCTACACGAAGGTGATAAAGTCATATGGCTCATTGTGTATGTTGATGACATGCTGGCTGCATCTAACTGCCACACCTACCTTGACAACTTCAAACAGCAGCTTCGACAACGCTTTGACTTAACAGATCTCGGTCCAGCTCATCACTTCCTCAGCATGCACATCACTCGAGACTGCGAGAAGCACATCCTTATGATCAGTCAAAAGTCCTACCTGGAGAAGATCCTTGAGAATGCCAGAATGTCGCAATGCAGGCCAGTTGGTACGCCAATGACTCCTGGGCTCACTCTGTTATGACTTGGATGGTATCTGTTGGCGACACTCAAACAGAGCTTGTGTCGTCAACGGTCTGTGGACGTCCTTGGGCTAGCCCAAGGTTAGGGGTCGTACTTGGCGTGTCTTCTGCAAGTACGATTTGACGCCTATGTCCAAATCGGGTAGCTTATGTCACGCGGGTGCGAGACAATAAGCTAAATCGGCCTAGGCTTACGACACCCGAAGGTTAATCGTAAGGATCGTCGTTAATTAGAAGGACAGAAGTCCGACTAGTTAACAGGGGCTTTGCTCGTCGACGAAGTCGATGAGTAAAGATCGAGACTATAGGCTTATCCATGAAGAGCAGATAAGAAGATAGAATATAGACTGCTGGCGAGGCAGAAGGATCACTCTGGTGAGAGTAGGAGGTCAAGAACCAAGTAGATTCAAGTTAGGGAATATAGTACATGGTAGCGAGTTTATATAGAGGACAGGGGACGTATTAGTGGATGATAACTCGTACTACCGGGAGAGGCAATCGGTAAAGGGTAAGACCATAATAGGAAGGCACGTTCGATCTAGGTAGAATGTGCTGGATAAGAAAGTGAGTCAAAGATCGGAATAAGAAGTGAAATGCGCAGGGGCACGATCGTGCAGCTGCGGATCTAAGTATAAGTCGCATGTGCGACTGCGCACCGAGTCAGAGATCAAGAAAGGAAACAGGGCAAAGGGGATGCGTCGTGCATCATGTCATAGGTTACCGTCCAGACGGTAAGGGCAAGGGGACTGTCCACAGGATCAGTCAGGTGGTGAAACGGAGCATGGGTATGCTTCGTCAGCAAAAGGGTCCGGCCAGATGTACTGGCTCTGCTGAAGCGACAGGTAGAGAGCGAAAGGGAATGCGAGGATGACAAGGATGACAAGGGTAAGGTCGGGATAAGGGTATGATGCGAGGGCTGATACTAGGAGGATTAGGAGAAAAATAGTAGGGGCCCAAGCGTCTAGATGTTCTTGTAACACACTCTCCAGAAGAGTGCTTGAGCATCTTCTGAGGAAGAGGCTAGCACTATTGCATCGATCCCCTACCGCAAAACTCTTGGGGAGTTGAACTATGCAATGTGAACTTCCCATCCAGACATAGTGTACCCCATCTCATGTCTCTCTCAGTACATGGAGAATCCTAGTATCGATCATCACCGCCAGCTCAAACATCTCCTATGGTATATCCGTGGCACAGCAGACCTAACACTTGTTTTTGGGTCATCAGACTGCGGGCTTGTTGGTCATTCAGATTCTGATTATACAGCAGATCAAGATGACAGCAAATCCACCAGTGCATATGTATACACACTGTTCAGAGGACCTATCAGTTGGAAATCTCAGAAACAATCTGTCGTTGCTATGTCTTTGACTGAAGCAGAATACATTGGCCTTTCAAATGTGTCACGAGAGGCCCTGTACCTAATACAACTCTTACATGATTTCCATCTTGATCCTGCGCTCTATGACCCTGTGTTACTGTATGGCAACAACCAGGCTAGTATCGCACTTTCAAAGAACCCAAAGTTCCATGAAAGAGCAAAACACATCCAGGTCCATTACCATCTTATTCGCGACCTCGTCGACACAAAGAAGCTTGAGCTCCAGTACAAACCTACATCAGAAATGATAGCAGATAGCCTGACAAAGGCACTTCCGCACCATGCAGGTGTGCACCATCGAGAAGAAATGGGCCTTCGACTAGTGGAGAATCTATCAGATACCTCGACGAGTGGGAGTGTCAGGACCGATGGATGATATGTCCGAAGGCATCTGATGGTCTGTCATTGAACTGTCAAAGAGTTTATTGCAATCGTTGACCTGCACCAAACTGGTCCGGTGCATGACCGTGCGGTGTTAGTGAATATTTTTCGGGAATTTTGCATGGAATGAATTTTGTGTTATTTGGCTCGAAGATGACTCAGCTAGATTCTCATGCATCTGAAGCTTCCATGAAAAATACTTTCCACATATGTTTGTTTGCGGGAACTTCCAGGAAACTTTAAATACATATGTTACCCGGTTTTGCTTTATGACATATGCTACGTCTCTAAATAACATCAAATACAAACAAGTTTCAACATATTATGTAAACCATGTTTTCTTACCACAGTCAGCTGATCTATGACTAAGCCTGACAAATCATGTTCACCTATGTACGATTTACACGGGTATTATGATCTATGACAAATAATGGAGTATATCTAGGTATGTGAGAAAACGAAAATTGAATATACCTAGGTACGCGGGAGTAAATTAGCACAGCCACGTAGATTTGTCTATATAAGGACCTCTGTTTTGGCCTGAAATGCAATCAATCTGACTCCCAGAGTCACTCTTAATAAAATTGCGAGTGAGGTTTGTGTGTGATCAGCATCAGCAACAACCACAAAGAGTTGTTCAACATTGTTAGGTACATTGATGAGACAGTAGGAGCCATTGAGCTCACTGTGCTCAACAACCTGCAAGGCCTGGTTTTTTTGTTTTGAGAAGTCTCTTGTTTTTCTGAGTGTTTGTGTTTGTGTGCGCGTGTCTCTGTCTCTATCTCTCTATCTGTTTCTCTAGGTTTGGGATCTATTTCTTTTAAGTTGGGAATCTATTTCACTCTAGTCTGGGATCTATTTCTTTTATCTCTGTTTCTCTAGGATTGGGATCTATTTCATTTTGTCTGGGATCTATTTCTTTTAGTTTGGGATCTATTTCCTTATCTCTGTTTCACTAGTCTGGGTTCTGTTTCACTCTATCTATTTCTTCAGCTCAGGATCTGTTTCACTCTATCTGTTTCACTCTCTCCACCCATTGAAGGCTAACAGTCTGAGTGCTTGTTTATTGTTGTGTCACTAATGTGTTATAGATTTTAGCAAATATATACTGAGTGTTTGTTTCTTGCTGCTGATACTAACGTACTTTTGATTGTAGCGAATACACTCGAGCCTTACCTTTGAATTCTTTGTGTTGTCTCTACGTCCGCTAAAGGCTCAGAGTAGCTTAGTGGGGAGACTTCAGGAGTTGATTATTGTCTGCTTGACCTCACACATCTGAGTAGTATACTGAGCCAGGATTGTTATTTGTCAGATAGGCTTTAGCTATTGAATAGGGGACTTGGTATTGAAATCCAAAGACGTCCGTTTCTGATTCTGTTTAATACTCATTGTGAGTTCCTTGGCAGCAGATTCAATATTAGGCTAAGAGTTCTACGGAAGCTTTTGACAAGTCTTGACCTTTGATCCTACCTGTTTGCACTGTGGGAGTGACCAATACAGCTTCGCACGATTGTTTCATAGTAAGTTTAGAATATAGCACCATTGATTGTGCCTAGTTTTAGTTATCATTTCTGTTTAGCACCAGTGATTGTGCTTAGTCTTAGTTTTGTTTCTGTTTCTTGTTTCTTTTAGTCAACACCATACCGCTGGGTTGACTAGTGTTTCTATACTGATATCGTAGAGTACCTTTGTCTGACCGTAGCTTGGATATACTGACAGGCCACCCACAAATGACCACGTTATCAGTCATTGGGATTTGTCTGAATCACTGACCGTGGAGATATTTGATTTTGTAGGTGTTCATCTATAGATCATCTATCTAAGAAGACATCGTCATGAAGGGATATTGGTACCTGATATATTTTCCCTCTAGCTCAATACTTAAGATACCAGATGCCAGATAACGCACCTCAGTCTTTCTCCCGTTGACTGAGGTGTGTATCAATCTTCTTTACTCTACAATGCACATACTTAGTTACCTTTACCTGCAGACTCGTCACCTAGGTCTGCTACTTATTAATATCAGTCTTTCTCCCGTTGACTGAGACTCGTCACCTAGTTTAACAGAGCTCTCTATCATGCACTTACAAGAACTCATTGGGAGCTTTCTGTTTGAACAGCTTCACCCTCACGACACTTGTGACCATGCTACTATCCCAGCTGACAGCTTCCTTGTCTACAATGGGAAAGTCTCAGTAGTCAATTCAGCATCATCAAGATTCTATGCACCTAGCAATTTAAGTGGGGTTGGAGGGATGTGAAGAGAACACATTCAATCCTGCCCAAAATGGAGGAATGCACATGCCTGCTATGATTGCGTGTTTATCAATTCACAACCGGAACTTAACAGAATGCAAGGACTTGCAGTAGTGTGTGTACTATGCTTCTTTTCATTCAAAGACAAGTGGGTCCTATATGAGTGTGCTGTTGTTCATTGGTTCAATGTCATCGGTGATGCTCCTGATGAAGACATGGGCATGTGGGTAGTTCAGCCATCCTTCAATGATCACTCTCCAGATATTTCAGTGATACACATTGACACAATCTATCATGCAGCTCATCTCCTTCCCATTTACAGTACTGATCCCATCCCTCATCATCTCAAATTTTATCACTCTTTAGACCACTTCTGTGCTTTCTATGTCAACAAATTCGCGGACCATCATGCATTCAAGATTGCATTTTAATTGCTCCCTCCTGTATTCTCCTCACCCAGTTCAGAGGGTTTTAATCTCTGCATTTGAAATCTCCCTTCGACTTGCACATATGTGGGGTGTCAATCATTTTGTTCCCCCTGGCTCAGTGCCATTGAAAACTTATGAGATTCTTAGTTGTTACCATTCATGTTGTAATGATGGTCTTCACTGTAGAGATTTGCACTATTGCAGGTCTGCAACGCATTATACTTCAGTGCATACCACCCATGTTCGCAGCACCAACTCACAGCATCATTCCCTAGCTTTTTCCCAGCTATGTCCATATCGGGTGATGCTTTCCCGTGCATGCGACCCTCGCACATCGCTCGCTTTCCCACGCTTTCATCGCCCTATCATCCAGGAGCATCCAGGAGCATCCAGGAGCATCCACCCACTGTCCAGCAAGTCTCCCTGGTATGTATTTTTGCTTTTATTCAATATGGCAACATATTAGAGCATGGACCCTGACTTACATACCTTATTACATACATTATCTCACACTTGGCTCACTTAGCGAGACACATATATAGGTCTGCATTTTTCACCCTTACCACATTACACCACTCCTTACCTTAGTGGAGTTCCCTCATGATGTCCATAGCCAGATTCAGAATTTATTAGCAGTCTTTTGTTTTCATTGAGCCCTCATTTATTGCTCATTGCATTTCGCATTTTCGCATTTTTGCTATTTCGCATTTCGTGTTCCCACGCCTCGCGCGCACATCGCTCGCTTCACACAGCCGCTGTGCGACTGTGGATTTGTCTTCTTTGCTTCCCCTTGGATCAAACGCGCTTGTCCCTGCAAGCATAGCAGACTAGGTGTCACACTGATCACTATATCAGCTTCTTGTGTCCCTCCCCTTGCATTCACCATTTGACCTAGAGCTGAGTTGATTCACCTCCATTGCGCTGAGCTCAGAACCAGCATTTTCAATACATATGTCAAATGCTACTCATTCCAAGTCATCTGCAACATGTCTGAATCATTCCTAAACATGTCTGACACATTTCCGCACATGTCCAAGCCTTTCCGCATCAGATCCGACACACTTAACTTCAGACTTTCACACTTTCCATCAGACATTGTTGCACATCATCGGATATTGTCGCACCTATGTCCAGTCACATCCTGCTAGCCCCTACTAGGTGCACACATGGTCTTATCTTCTTTGCTAACAGTGTAGACACTGTTATTACATGTTTTCCCATAGTCCACAGTACCTCGTATCTTATTACATAGGACATAGGACCCGAAAATTATCACTACTACCTTCGCCTATAGTATTCCAGATTTCTACATACTTACTTAAATACTCTGTAGTGACCTGTAGCAATTATCTACCGGTAGCTGGGTCACTTTCAGAATATTTTTGTAGTTCTTGATGTATTTGCGAAATATTACCATTCTTTCTCAGTCACAAACCCATCATTTGTTATACTTGCGATACCGCTCACAACCCGACACTCGTTACACAGTTTCTGACCTATACTCGTGAAGTCCGAAAGTCCGAAATCTCGGACATTGCACTTTGGCTTTGGACATCAGATAAGTACCCTCAGACATCTTTGGATTACCTTTGGACATCATTTCATAGCTTCGGACATTTGTTATTTGCATTACTGACCCATTTTACTACTAATACCAATTAGCAATCCCTTTAGGATCGAACACGCTTGCTCTGCAAGTGTAGCAGCATAGGTTGTGCTGAGATCTACCTAAATATTGTTGACTAGGTAGTACAATTTCTGCTGAGCCCAGCGGAGATTTACTCTTTACAGTGTACTAATATATTTGTCAAAAAAATGACTTCATTCACTTTCGCATCTTATACTACAACATTGATTTGAATCAAGTTTTCAAAAAGTGGTATCAGTAGAATAAGTAACATCAGAGGTTTCCTTTTTTTACTTAGCGACTTTTTTGAAAGACCAATAATATGAACCAGACCGAAAAGGGAATGTGAGATATTGCTGATGTATTAAAGGAGTAGGATACAGGTATAGCATGGTAATATTACAACAGTAGGGATAAAAGGTAAAGGAAACAACTAAATTCAAGGGTGACTCAAGGAAGGAGCTACTACAGTAAAAGGAGACACAATGAGGGCCAGTGGAAAGAAGAGCCAGGGAGCCAGGAAGGGACCATAAGGAAGGACCAGGGAGCCAATGAAGGACCATAAGGAAGGACTGGGGACCCAGGGAGGAACCACAAGGAAGGGCCAAGGAGCCAAGGAGGGACCATAAGGAAGGACCAGGAAGCCAGGGGAAACCATGAGGAAGGGCCAAGGAGAGACCACAAGGACGAGCCAAGAGGATTTGAAAAAGAGTCCTTGCGAGAGACTAATTTTAGTGATGTTCTGGCCCGGCTTGGGCTCAAAGCCGCAGCTCAGGCTTAGGAAAATTAGAGCCTGAGCTGTGAGCCCAAGCCGGGGGCTTGAACCCAATAGGCTGATGTCACATGGCAGGCAGTTGCAGAGGATTAGGCAGGTTGGGAGTGGGCAGTGCACCTTGTTTGTCTCCTCAATGACTTTCTTTCACTCATTCCTCTTCTGCTTTCTCTTTTCCCCAGCACCTTCCTTTCTCCTTCGCCAAAGTGTCATCCGCATTCGCCTTAGCCACGCCAACAAATGTTGGCATGTGCTGGGTGCATGTGCTAGATGCTAGTTGTTGCTGGAGTGGGGTAGTGGTTGCAGCAGGTGGTGGTGGACCGTGATGTTGGCGGGAACAGCAGCACGCTGGTCATTGTAGGCTGTAGTAGGTAGATACAACACAAATACACGTACCATATATAAAAAATCAAACATGATTCAAAAAAAGATAATGTTTGCGAAGGCAGCGAAGCTGAAGCGCCAGGCAAGACTGTATTGAAGGTGCATGGATTGCTGAATGTTTACTTTCAAGACCAGGGTAAATATCAGTGAGCTTTATAACATGACAACGACGACTCACTGTGATTTTATTCTGACATACCTCATTGACTGAGAAGCTGATAGTGATTGCCAGATGACAACATAAAAAGAAACATATACACCAAAATAGATCGGTACAAAGCCACGGCTTGGGCCAGCGGCTTAGGCTTCGCAAAATTGAAGCCTGGGCCAAAGCCCTGGTCAGGCCGTGTCCTAGGCCTGGGCTGGGCCTGGCTCAATCAGGCCCGGGGCTTGAAGCCGAGATGGAACATCACTAGCGAGAGTATGTGCAGCTGTGACACTAGCAGTGGTAATGAACCAAGTGGAAACTCAGTTGAAACTTCAAGTGAAAATTTCAAACAGCTTACCTAAGTGTTCCATAAGCATACAGGATTGTTGACAACACTGGTGCAAGCGGTGGGTTGAGAAGCTAATGGTAGGTAGCAGTGGCCACCCAAGACCATTTTTTGTCACTATGGTAAGGATGTTGTATTTTTCTATCTATTGAGGATCACACTTGCAAGCCATGACATATTCCCAACACAATTGTGAATGTCTTATGCCAATTTGCCAATGCTTATGTATCACTTTGTCTAGCTTTACCCTTACATACAATTTGGTAGATTTTCAATCTGATCTTACCAAATTAATCTTGGAAAAGCATCGTCTCGTCAATTTCGTGATGGAGCTGTTGACCCATCAACTTTGGAAAGGGCTATAATACAAATATGATTGGTTAAGAAACGATGCCTGTGCATAGTATGTATGAATGGTATCGTAGGGGTAGGTTCCATGTGCGGATTCATCAAAGATTCCTTCGGAGATTCTAATGGGCTTAGTAGCCTTAGTCATTAATAGTGCTTCTTCTCAGGTTTCCTAATTTGGACGAAGTTAGGTCGGCCCAGGCGGCACTCCCTTGAAGTACTCTCCCTTACAGCTTACCTTTGCTCTCAGATAGCTATTGTTCTTTCATACACAGTGACGGCGTTCAGCGCCTCTGCTCTCGCGGGATACCGCTATACCTCTTTCATTAGCCACCAACCCCTTATCATGGCCTCAGATAAATCTACGCCGAGAAGGACAGTCGAGGACGACGAATCACGTCCATATATAATAGTCAGCGATATCGGCAAGGGAAGTTTTGCAACCGTTTATAAAGGATACCACGAGGTGTGTGCAAGTTTTGTCGTTTATCTAGCTTTTTGAAACGATGTGGCACTTGCAGGGAACTCATCACCAGGTCGCCATCAAATCCGTGCGACGAGATATACTTACTGCGAAATTGTTTGATAACCTGCAAAGCGAAATTGAGATTTTGAAGTCGTTATCTCATCGCCATATCACGAAGTTGATTGATATTGTTGTGAGTGACTTTTCATTATCTACGTACAACCATCCTGTACTATGCTGCGTCCCGAAAGCGGCAGAGATACTTGCAGTCCTATTCAATCATTCTTATTTCCTCCCACTTTTATCCAAGCCTATATCATGAATTGCTTGTCATTATATCCTTATGGCGCTTTTCTGATCACCTGATTTTAGCGCGCAGAACGCAACATATACCTTATCATGGAGTACTGCGCTGGTGGCGACCTAACAAATTACATAAAGAAGCGCGGTCGCGTTGAGGGGCTGGAGTACGCGCCCTCACTAGGAGCTGCTCTTCAATATTACCCTCACCCGAGAACGGGCGGTCTAGACGAGATTGTCGTGCGGAGCTTCCTGCGTCAGCTCGGTGAGAGATGGTAGTTCCTTTATCTTGCATTGATCTGAACTTTGCAAAGCACGCGCTTTAAAATTTCTTCGACAACGAAATCTTATTCATAGGGATATCAAACCCCAGGTATGTTCGTTCGGAAAATACGAGGTGTCTAATATCTCATTGTCTACAGAATCTGCTCTTGAATCCCGCATCACCAGAGGAACTTGCAAAGGGCCACCCTTTGGGCGTTCCAATACTCAAGGTCGCTGATTTTGGGTTCGCACGCTCACTCCCAAACGCTATGATGGCAGAGACCTTGTGTGGTTCTCCGTACGTTCCCCTACTATTGTAACGGCTCGACTTAACCACCATGATTTGCAGTCTTTATATGGCTCCTGAGATTCTGCGATACGAGAAATATGACGCGAAAGCTGACTTGTGGAGTGTTGGTGCGGTGTTGTACGAGATGTGTGTTGGAAAACCACCTTTCCGGGCTCAAAACCACGTTGAACTCTTGAAGAAGATCGAACATTCCAAAGGTGTCAAATTCCCAGATGAGGATCCTGCACGTATATCTTCTCATCCTTCCACTCCACCTACAATAAAGACAGAAGAGCCTACGCCTGTCCCGGTTGACATTAAGGACTTGATTCGTACCTTGCTCAAGCGGCAGCCTGCCGAGCGTGCTAGCTTTGAGGAATTCTTTAAGAGCAGAGCACTCGCAAAGTCCAAGTTTCCTCGTCCTGCACCCGAAATGCAGTCACAAAATACGACGCAAGCAGAAGACGAAGAAGTCGACGAAATCCTCCCTGGACAGATCCCTGAGCACCATAGGATCATTCCACCAGAAGTGCTCGATCCGAAGGCTATGATTCCACCCAGTAAGTTCCATTTCCGGAGAAGAGACACTGCAGTGGAGGAGGTGTCTGCCATCCCTCCTCCGACGAGGTACGGGCCCTTGACGACATTTTGAACATGTTGATGATCTGAAAATGAATCACACAGCCCATCACCTGAAAGAATGCAGACGACGACTACCAAAATCGATCGAATACGAACTGCCTCGAAGCCACCCGATCCTGAAAAGGAAAAGGCGGGTCCGAAACTACTTGCGAATGAAGGTTTCATTCCAGAAGAGTCAGAGGAAGATGGTCTCATCCGGAAGGAGTACGTTCTCGTCGACCCACGTACAGCCGAATTTCCTCGTGCTATTGATGGTGAGTCATATTCCCTGTCATCACTTTGTAAGCTGACCTATCCTCTCAGAATTAAACAGTGCACGACGACCGCTACGGGATCGGCGTATTCCCTTATCACCTCTTGCCGGCGAAACACGTCCGCCAGATCACACAGCATCATCACCATCGGATTCCCCGCTATCCGCACCCATACCAACATTCCCACCGCCCCCTCACCCTCTTGCCCCCCCACTGTCATCATCACCCACGCGCGCCGCTACAAACGCTTTGAGTCGTGCCCTCTCTCTCGCCTCCCGCAAGCTATTTGGTACATCGACACCCAAATTACCTACTTCTCCCGGCTCCAACCACTACCACAAGTCTTCGTCGCCTCGGCGTCCACAACTCATTCTCCGGACTCCCTCTGAAACAGAAACGGAAATAGACCCAATGGAAGACGAGCTTCTTGCTGATCTAGAAGAACTTGCGCAGAAGACAGATGTCCTCACGCATTGGGCCGATGTGATGTATGAGGGCGTCAAGGCTGCACCTGAGAGTATGTATCCCCTGCCCTCCTGTATGCTAAGCTGACCTTTTGCAGAGCCACTACCTGATCTAACGAAGTTTTTACGACGTGAGGGCGAGTCTGAGAAATTTGCAAAGCAACGGCACAAGGCAGATCGGGCCACCGAAGACAATGCTGTGACATGCGTTGCCGTCTACATACTCCTCATGTCTTTCTCCCAGAAAGGGATCAACAAGCTGAGGAACTTCCAAGAGCACCTACGGATGCGCCACCCTGATGGTGAATTCGAGGTGAGTGAAGGGTTTGATGATGGTATGTTCTATCTCCGCCTTCATAACATAGTGCTCACATGGTGAACGAAGCTCTATTGTGGTTCAAGGAGCGCTTCATCAAATGTAGTGACCGAGCTACGCTGGTGAAGACGTGGCTCCCAGTGCAATATGATGGCCCTAAGATATACCTCGATCAGTTGATCTATGACCATGCCCTGCTTCTCGTACGCACTTACCTTCATATTGTGGACTGTTGTTCACAGCCCGTTTATAGAGTCGTACCGCGGCTCGTAAGGAACTCCTCGACGAAGCAACAGCCCCAGACGAATGCGAGAAGTTATACGAGGAATCGCTCTGGTGCCTGTACACACTGCAAGATGACCTTCAAACTGAGAATCCTTTCGTGGAAGAGGACCGTGCTACCATCGCAACCTGTACGGATTTTGTTTGTTTGTAATGCATACCAACTTGGAACTGACAACATGTTAGGGATCACGCGAACGAAGCTTCGTCTCATTCGGTGTCGCGCACGCATGGGCATGAACGACAGAGATCGGTTACGAGATGCGCTTGCTGATCAGAATCTTGTGGATGCCCGGTATCCTCCACCATGGGACCCTCAAGCGGTACAGCAGTTGCAACAGCAGCAGCTCCAACAAGCTGCTGCGTCACATTCATAGCGAGCATGTTGCAGTGTAGACTGCTTGTACTAGTGATACTTTGGTTAGTGTCCACTGTCGTCTAGATCCTCTTGGTTTTTTTTCTGGGCATTTCTATACCCTACTCTTTTGTTTATTGATGCATTATCTGCACGAACATCTTCTGCACTGCTGTATTTTAATGGTATTTTATGTATTGCATGCCATTACCCGTCTACATGTATATGCACAGGACTCCTGTATTCCCTCATTGATATTTTATTCCTTGTCATACGTCTACTAATAGGACAATGCGTACGACTGCCGACCGAAGAAAGCACTTCGTACTATCATCAATAATTTCAGAAGCGGATATGTAATACATAGTGCAGAATGAATTGAACCAGCCAAGTCCATGCAAGACACCAGTCGCGTGCGTGAATTCGTGTACTACAAATGATGACCTACATAAAATTTGGAATATTTGCCACAGCGAATGAGCGAATGGCGTACTTGGATGAAAAGTTAAATGAAAACGAGCTTGATACACTGGAAAGGCAATTGACGACGCCTCCAAAGAACGAGGAAGGTCACTATAAAGGGAGGTAACGCGCAACGACGAATGCTATGCCAAGAAGAAGTTGGTTTAATATGAAGATACTTGGCAATGGTTTGAGAATCAGCATGAGTCCCCTCGACACGAATGGCGACAGCCTAAGGAAAGGTTGCCTCCGAGACTTGCGGCGAGCTGTCATGTTAAGGCAGAGATCGTTCCGACCCATGGAGAGTTTACCCAGTATTGCGAGGAATGTGAAGAAGCAGCTTGATAAGATGCTGGTCTGTACAAGCCTGCGGGAGAATGTGTATAGAGGCGATTTAGACGTTTGTGCCAACAGGCTGTGAAGAATATCATTCGTGGCCGTATCGTGCGTGATTTCAATCAGTTTTAAATAAAGTTCGTGTGTTTTTGCATCCCCAAACACTGCGAAAGCAGATGACCGCAAGTACGACACGCCCAGTAGCATGGAAAACACAGCCTAGTTTCAGACCAAAGTACATGTGATCAGGGTATCCAGACTTGTTTCAATGATTTAGACTTACCGTTATCAGCACCCAATCAAGTGAGACAGCAAGCCTGTCAAGAGCAAGCTCGGCGGGGTCATTGATGTGTTCTTCGTTTGCAAGAGTATCCTTGATCGCATCCTTGATCCGTTCCAAGCATGCCACAAACTCTTCCTGTGTTAGGGTGTCGCAAGAAGGAATTTCTTGGAAACGACTTTGAGACCTGAGTGGATAAGAAATCAGAATAAAGTAAAATATGGCAGCAGGAGATTGGGCTTTCCTGTCATCCTTTTCTCCGGTTGTTGATTTGTCTATATTCAAGGGTTGGTACATTCTTTAGTACTATGAGCGGCTAATGGCCAAGTGGGAATAATTGTAATACGTCACGGTTGTTGCACAAGATTAAAGCTTCGACGTGCTCCATGACTGCGGCTTGCTGATTCAGATTCAGGATTCAGAGATCCAGTTATGTGTGTTGGAACTTCCCACGGTTGCCACAATTCTGTCTCCACACCGCCCATACTTACTGCCAGCTGCCGCACAACAGGGTACTAGTAATTCAGTAGGTGACCAAATTAATGAGCCTCGTGTTGAATCCTAATACTATATAGCCGTGCAGATCAACTCGAACACGAGGTATGCATATCTGCTATTAGCTAAGGCTGAACTAATTTATTGAATAGTCGAGGGCAACAGGCGCCTGGTGTCTCGATATGCCGTATACTCGACATCTTTATTCGCCTGCAGGGTTTATCAGATAATGAGGATGAACCCCTTAGCTTGGCAGACAACGACGGAGTTGATCGGACGCCCTGCAGGCTTGGCCAAAACGCGGAACATCCGGTGCTTCAGGCCTACGTTCGATTCTCACTCCATACTGCACCGCGTACACAAGTTCTCAAGAGGTGAAATTCACTCGTGTTAAATTTGTTGCCCTATCTCCGAAATTCCGCTCCAAGTGCCATCTTTCAGAAGAAATCTGAACCTTGGCATAAGCAGCAAACAGCGCGCGGGTACCTTGAGCAGCAGGTTTGTGCGTGTATTAAACGGGGATTGTCCATAACATGACCCATGACATTTCTTGATGGGGAAAGACAGGCTTTATTGATATTCCAGAATATCAATATCATAATCAGTCGCCCACCGCGGTTTAAAATTTCCACCAACCACTAGCAATTATTCGATTACTGCGGCACCAAAGGCATCACCTTGGTCAGGTCACCCGTTAGTCCCCGATCGTCAAGATATGCAACTATTGTCCGTTATTCACTATCATTCTGCTGTCCTCCACACTGTGCACATCACACTGAAGGCTCTCATGTTCGGTTCTGAATCTCGCCATGCAGTGCTCCACGCTGGACCCTTGCAATGTCATAGACTGTGTTGAAAGTTTTGGGTTTGATGTAACCAGATACGATGATACCGGACTCTCAGGGCACACACGAACATGTCAAACTCTTCTTCGCTTGTATCGGGAACATCAGGGAAACATAATTTGCTACAGAGCACTCTGTAGCGCAATCCACCCCGCTGATGAAGATGGACGCGCTGTTGTTGGACATGGTCACTCGACACGATATCTGTGGGCGCACAGCGGAACCTGAGCACAGGCGAATTGTCGTCATTTCGAACCTGTAAAAGCTCTATGATACAATCCCTACATCAGTAAATTAGTATACCATCCACCCTTGCAATGTCAATTAGTAGATGATGTCATCTCTTGAAGTCCCTTGACTCCTATTCGCTTATTCGTTGGATGAGCATTAAACCCAAGGCCTCCGAAGCACCTCCCTTCACGAAGTTGTGCTGGTTGGGGTGCTAATATGTTTTGATTTACATTTCCGCTATCTCGGCGGGGGCACCCGAGTCTTACCACCCCTCACAAAAAAAAACACAGGAGAACCTTATCTTGATTCCTGATATAATGAACAGTCGGAGACTAACCTTGAAGCTCGATCGGTCACATTTCTTGAATCATTACTTCGTCCATGTGCCATTGAAACCTTCTTTGCTTACAGCGTGAAGACATCATGGTATTGCGGTGCACATACTCTTGCCCACACCCACAACCTGGTCCCAAAATACTACGTTCGGTTACGACGAACAGCTATTATGCGTGACAACACGAGGATAAGGCATCGTACTAACGAAGCAAGCACACATGTAATATCTTTCTGTAATAGCAGGAAGCCTTTAGCTGAAAAGCAATGATAGCAACAATCAAAGATACACGAACGAAAACCAACCATTACTGTGTGGTATATGGTCATGAAATAAATCTGAGATCAAGTCAGCATGTAAATTTAGAAGGTCGTGAGATGAAATCGTGAAACCCAAACATTATCGCAAAGATACAGCATACACACTCAACGACGTTCCGAATCGAAGAACGCAACGAGCTGTCCTACAGGAACCTTCTTTCCTGGCCTCACCAGAGGCTTCTCTTTACCCTTCCCTGTCTTCTCCCGTCGTAGAACAAGTGGATCTACAAATTTATTGGCTTGATCGCCACCAAAAGTGCTATCTGACCGGAAGTCAATGGACTGCGATCGGAAACGGTGCGTTGACTGCGCAGACACCGCTTGGTTACTCTGCAATGGATTCGAGGACCCACTATATGTGGACTGCGCGCGCGTACGGTTACCCGGGCTGTTGTTAGCAGGTGCAGTGCTCGCTAAATCACCGCTACCGAGTTTGGCAGCAGTCATCGCACGGAACGCAGATTTCTTCCCTAACGTCTCGTCTATGGCATTTTGGTAATCTTCGTCGTCGTCGTCACTGCTCTCTGTTGTAGAGGAAAAAGACGCCGTGCCAAGGCCCGAACGTTCGCTCCCGTAGTCAAGTTCGACTTCAGGGGGCGCTACGATGGGTCCACCAAGGGCGACAGTGTATCGCTTACGCCCTGCTTGCATAGGCGAAGGACTCACGCTGCCTCGATGGGGGCTGTGCATGCTGGGAGCTGGCAAGCCACTCAGACTAGGAGATGGTGCGCGGACAGGCGGAGTATTTGCGGCGGGAAGTTCCAGCGGACTGGACAAAGCTGGTAACCCGGAAATTACCATCGAGGCAGGACGTGCCGGTGGTGGAGGCGAACTGGCTGGAGTGTGAGGTGGGGATATTAGTTCTCCCGGGCTGGTGTAGTCGCCCGTTGGATATGGAAGACGTGTCCTGCTCGCTGACGGTGCATGACGGGTAGATACCCGAGCGAGGGGTGGACTCGTCGACTCGCGAGCTGTAAGGGACGGTACTCGGCGGGGAGTGGAGAAACTACAAATATTTTCTAGAGCCGAAGCAGTATTGGAGGATGAGAATTCAGAGATTGTGGTATCCGCTGCGCTAGAAAAGGTGGATTCACGAGGGCTGACCATAGACGACTCCATCGGAGGAGTAGTGCTCATGACTGGGGAGCTACGGATGGCGCTGTTAGAAGAGAGAACGGCAGGTGATGTCGCAAGGCGAGCCATCTCTCGGCCAAGCTCCGACACGCGTGACTGTAGCTCAGTTACGTCTCCTTGAATAGCAGTCAATTCAAATTTCGGAGAGAGTTTGTCGTTGTTGGAAGACTGCCCCTCTTTTCCCCATTGATTTTCCTTATCGACCAGCCAGCGCTCGACATCACCCATGCGTTCTTCGAGTGCACGCACGTGGGTGACGCTCCATCTCTCAAGCTTCTCGAAACGCTTCGCAATTAATAGCAGTGTACCTGGTATATCCAGAGTACCTGAGGGTGTGAACGAGGCGTAAAGTGGAGGTGGTTCACGTGCGGGCGAACCGCCTGGAGAGGTCCCTCTCTGAATCGAGGCGGGTGAGAGATTTATAGGAATTTGTGTGACACGCGCAGGAGACAGGTTGACAGATGTTCGAATTGGAGTCGGGGAGGTAGGAGACGACGTGCGAGGGGGAGGGCCACCTGGGGGTATCTTCAAGTTGAGATAAGCGGGGTTGGTGTATTTACTGGCAGAACAGGCAGGCCATTCGTTGTCCTTTCCTTTAACACTCTTCATTTCCTTTTCACGAGCCTTAGTTTCTTCTATGACTTGCTGGGCTGGTGTGAGTTGTTCTTTGTCTTTTGTAGGAGTCAAGCGTGCTTTGGCGGCTGTCCACCAACTGGGGCTACTGTCCTTCTGAGAGTGCGCAGGAGATGGAGGATTTGGCAACGTCTGTGACCTACTTCGAGGAGGGGGGAGTGATTGTGGAGAACTATTCATCATAGAGAGGAGACGTTCCTCCATGGCTCGCCTTTCTTCTGCTTCTCGTGTGAGTATACGTTCGGCTTCTCGTCGACTTCTGTCGCGCTCTCTCTGAGCTTCAGCTTCTAATTCTTCATCAGACGGGAGAGGTCTGCCTGTTATCGAAGGACTGATGAAGGAATTAACACGGTTTGCGAGGTTTGCAGCGAACTGAGTGACTGAGGTGGAAGTAGGGGAACGGCTGCGTGGCCACGTGATATCTTGGTCTTCATCTTCATCTTCGTCATCATAATCATCTCCGGAATGGCTTTCATTTGACGATCTTCTGTGGGTGAATTCATTACGAAGGGGCGATGGTGGTCGCCGGGGTGATGCTGGGGCATGCCCCGGATGTCCATAGACAGGTTCGGGCTGCACGACACGTTAAGTTGCCTACACAGTAGCAACAAAAAATCAATGAGCAATACCAAATTCAATGATGTTGGAGGTGGTAGGGCCGAAACTGTCATGCGCCGCTGCTGAGCAGGCTTTGGAGAGGATAGGGCGTTGAGATTGGCGAGACTGGGCGATAAAGACGTGGAGGATGCGGTGTTAGAAATCGAGTGCGATGAAGCGATCTGGGAGGCCATGGTGAAGGTGGCGTGGTCGCCGTCTCGGACGACGACGAGAGTCCTTCGGTCACAGTTGAAATTTAGGATAATTGAACATCTATCTGCATGCGTGAGAAATAGGTACCCTAAGAGCATTAATCGATGCTGCAATTTACGTAAAATAAATTTTAGCGGACTCTGGGTTGTTAGAGAGGAATCATATTTCGGACTCGCAACAATCGCTTTAGTTGCAACTCTCAAAGAGAGAGTTAATTCCATGAAATCGCAAACATGGATTCGAGACGCGCCGAGACGTACGCCTGCTGTTTTTTTATCTGTCATTTTTTGATGTATTTGGCCGACTTGTTGCTGCTTTGACAGGCTCGAGGCGCTGTCCGCCTACATACAGACTCAGAAATCTCTGTTAAGTCGTGCAGAGGCAGACATAGACAGACTTAGGAAGCTCAGGGCAGATGCCCTCAGCCAACCCAAGGCCTTCACCGAGAATATCGGTTCGAAGGTATGCACTTCACCGCGTGGTCAATGGCACACCTTCATTATCTTTTTTACAGTTCAATAGTCCTGGCTTCAGGTTGTCGGAAAATAACGAGTGCTCCGTATCTCCCCTTGCGAACGAGGTTCATTGGCAAGTCTTCTCTTCGGCTGGTAGGGATTTTATCCTTTCATTTGCCTTCTTGCAACCTTAAATCCCGTCTTTATCGCAGACCCTACGCCTTTACGAACATTTACAGTCCGAAAGCGTCTCGCACACACAGAGTGGAGCGTGCCGCACACTACTCAACACTCCCCTCTTTCTGCCCTCCAACAACTCGTCAAGGATGCACGGCGAATCATTATTGACCCCGTCTTGGGAAGCTTAGACCCTGATAACGCACCCTATCTTACGTCTAATTCTAATCTGACCGCATCTCCATTCCATGCCAGTCACGATCAGCCTACGTTATCCGAGGACGAAGCCATGGAGGAAGAGAAAGAAAGAAAATTACCGCCCGCTCAAGAATCCTTTACAGCTACGCGCAGGCGTGAGCGTGCACATGCGAAAATACAGAAACTCAAAGAGAGAAAGATTACATATGACGCCGCTACTGAGAATGGAGAGGCCGATGCAGTATTTGTCAGGAATGATGTGAATGACGAAAGTGGGGAGGTTGATATCAGCGAGGGCAGCCTAGGGCCATCAGGCAACGACAGTACCTCCATGGATGTGGATGATTCCACGAATACGACTGTCTCATCCACCCCATCCACAATAGTACCACCAGAGCCTGCTCAGCCTTTAACATCATGGTCCAAGAGACGCACTTCGACTATTAATCAACGCCTTGTCACACATTCTGACAGCCTCAATCGATCTTCCCGTTCGCGCAAACCACTCCAGCCTCAGTCACTCGACAGTAACCTGGAGGCCAACACAGAGTCCATGTCGATCACCATCCCCCCTCTTTCTACTCTCGGAAAACGCTCTCGTAACTCAGCTAAGGTCAAGAATATCAACCACAAGGTTAAAGCCGAGCCATCACCACCCACACCAGAACCAAAAGTATATACAGACAAGCCAAGACCCGAAACTTATAAGCAGGCATGGTCAATATCCGAACAACATCTACTCGAACGGCTCCTCGAGGAGATTCCAGATGGCGAGCGCAATCGGTGAGTGTTCATATACTTGTCTGTGCTTCAAGCCTCAAGCCATTATAGATGGGCAAAAATTTCGCAAGCCATGGATGGTCGCCGGACACCACGCCAGGTTGCGAGTCGCGTTCAAAAGTATTTTGAGAAGTTGAAACGCTTTGGTGTCAGTGTTGAGAAGAAATCAAAAACGAGTTCTAGGGGTTGATATCTTTACATATGATATATACAGTTCCAAGTCTATTGGGAGATGTCGCAGTTCCTTTGAACAATACATTATAAAGGCTCAGTAACAATCACCATTCTACTGGATTTGCCTAAGAGACTAAGTACTTTGAAATTTAAAGAGGCGTACTAGATTGCATGCGTCCTCTTCGGAGGTAACCAAGTTGTATTTGTCACTACTCACACGAACCGCAGTGATTTTCTCACCATCTACTCCACAGTACTGACCTTCTGCAAGCCCCAGAAACATAAATGTCGACTCAAAGCTTTGATCCCAACAATGCCCAGAATCTCATCGAGGTAGACCAATTGTCTTCAATTCAAACGATCTTTCTGTGCTCATCATTCGTTATCATTTCATGGGAGCATAGATAGAGAAGCAGTGAGTGCCGAAAGACACTTCGGCGTCTAGTGCAGATTGATCTATGCCAAACTTGTCAATCTCCGCAGATTTGCAGTAAAAGCGGTCGAACATGCTCAGGTGCGGGAATGTCGAATTATTCGGATTTTCACTGCAGCTGATTATCATGTAGACATACTGGAACCTGCTTGAGAAAGTTCCTCCGCGTTCACTCAAGTTGACAAAGTGAGGCTGAACAATTCAGACCATACAGCGGCTCATTGGGGTGGATAGGCTTGACGACGAGATATACGAGCATACCATGTCGGCGTTCCCTGAGTTTAACGAAGATAATCATGCACACCTCGTTAAGCTCGACGAGGACTGGCTCAAGAGCGACATTGGGAAAAAGAAGTGGAGAGAGTTTTGTCAGGTGTGAGTGCTATTGGTATGCATTGAGACTCAGCTGACAGCTCGACCCAACTACAGATATGAAAAAAAAGTGAAGGATTACAACTTTGGGTCTCTCATCCGTACAGATGCAAGGAAAGAGTACGGGGAGACGAACACTATCTTTGGTACGCCCAATACTCTCTGTTGATGTCCTTGATGCGAACCTCATGACGTCTAGTCACACGAATACAGTTCTACGCTATTGAGGTGAATTAAGAGCTACCCCTACTAATGACCTTACGGCTTTTTTCGCTGACGAAAACGCCCCCAGCTTGCCCGGAACCGACTGGGACTAAATGATGGGGCGCATGAAATTGCCAAGGCAGATGCCGAGAAGGAGAGGTTGAAGAAGGAGAAGGCCCTGAAGAAAAACGGCACATCATAGCATCATCTTCGCAAGGCTATGTACTGCTTCTCCTTAGTGTCGTGTAGCCTTTGTGAGTAACTCGGCCTCTAACGATGGGTACCCTCTTCACGAACATCGTCCAGAAATAGTTTATAGATTTTTGCGGGATTTTTCAGGCCCGGGGTGTCTGATCGTTCATATGGATCAGCTGACGCGTAATTCCTCCGTTCTTCAGTAGCATCGAAGTGCCTGACTTATCCAGAGCCCGACGACGACGCTACTTATGCCTCTACTTCCATGATACCGAGCACGCGCTGCAGCAAATACCTTGGAGCGCCTGGCAGCCACAATGTAATATGTTTTGAGCAATCGTCCCCCCTCGTTGTTCCTCGTGTTTTAACCTTTCTTTGCCAATTTATAGCCACGCTCTGCCCGCGGTCCTCCTTCAGGTCCATGACAAATGTTTATGCTTTACACTCCAAGAGTCGTTACATACTGATACCTTACCCCGCTGGCATGAGAAAGAGAAGCTCATCTTCTACAGGATATATGTCAAATGACATCGTTGCAAATATCTGATACATCATATTCCATCGAGCTGCTGATAAAAGTGCTGTGGCGTATGTATGAGGAACGCATTGCTGCACTGAGTGACTGCCGCTAAGCTGCCATCTCGTGTGACCGCAAACGGCAAGTGATCGCCGGTAAAGTCCCAGGCGTGACGGAGACCGCGTAAATCTGAGGGAACAACACCGGGTACCGGTACGACTGGTATATGCATCTCGCGCGTAGACTTGAGTTTGTGTTGTTCGTCTAGTTAGACTTGTAATTATAGCTGATTGCAAAATTATTTATGCGGAAACCACAAAACTTTACATCACGTGGCGTGACAGACCGCGTGTCGTTCATTCGCGTCGAGCACCACAATTCATTCGGTTCACCGTGACAGGACCGCTCGCCCATGGACAATGACGTCGTTTCCATTCACTCATCCCACGAATCTGGCGTGGATGAAGTCGACAGAAGAGCTATTCTCGAGCCTGTCGTCCAACGAGTCGTCGATGCACTTGGTGGTTATGAAGGTGGTGCCTACCGCATGGGCGATGAAGTCAGCGGTTGTCTCCGAGATTTGAAGAAGCTTTGGCGGAAGGACGACACGGATGACGAGCGCACGGTGGCGCGCATATTTTGGGAGACCCGAGTCCTCCCAAATGACCTTGTACCGATATTGTTAGCGACTGCAGGCAAGGGACTCGTAGAAGACAAACGGGCCATTGCATGTGCAGACTTAATGACTGCCATGACCTGGCCAATTGATATGGCGGAGGAGCTGCAGGAACTGGATGAGGAGCTTGATAAAGGGACGGACTATACCCAGCTAATGCTCAGTCATCTCAATTACAAGGCTGCGCTTCTCAAGCCAGGCGTCATGCAAGCTCTCTTCGGGATTGTTCTCCCCCCAATCTCAAAGCCCGCAAAGGAGAGGAAGGAGCGCGACGGGCAGATAGTGAATCTGATACTGCATCTCATCCGGAACTTAATATTCATCAAGGACCTCCCTGCAAATATGCACCTGAGCGCGGACCAGGCGGAGTACTCAAGTTTGCAGACTAGGCTTGTGAAAGTACTCTCGGAAACACATACACTGGACTTGCTTCTGACCATTGCTGCCAATACATCTAACGATCCTCTTTTTAATGCATCAAACACTCTTGTACTCGAGATATTCTACCTATTATTTCGCGGCGTGAAACCTCATCTTCTAGCTGTGAACCAGTCAAAGGTGGAGTTCCTTCTTATTTCTTTTGTTGCATCCTAACGCCACTTCAGCAACCAGCGCAAAACCTTCATCGGCTGCTTGCTGCAGAGGACAAGAAAAAGAAAGATTTAGCAAGGAATGCATCTTCACGGCACTCCCGTTTTGGGACAACTATTTCCGTCCAGCTTAGACCGAGCAAGAAACCAGTAGCTCCAGATGCAGATACCGAAGGTCCAAACGATCCAACTTCCGGTTCCAGGCCGCTTGTCCTTCATCGCCAAGCAGCTATCACACGGGAGTCTGGAAGCGTTCTCGATTTTGCGAAACGTCCGAAAGCTCACAAAAGCAACAAAATTGACGAATTAGCTCGCGAGGACAATCTATCTGTAGAAGCCAAGATAGTCCTTCAGGGTTTCGCCCGCGAATCTGTGGAGTCATCATTTAATCGTCTGTATAGTCATTTTTTATACTCCCAGTCCTCATCGTTCTCTCGGCAGCGTTCCTCCGCTCTCTGCTCAAAGACATCAAGTCCGAACGCCCGAAGATCAAAGAAAAGGATCACCTTCGGTTGCTCTACATCACGAAGTGGTTCCTTGATTTTTTTCTTACATCCCGGTCCAATGAAAAAGCCGTCGAAGAACAGCGAAAATGGAACCTCGGGCTAGTAGCGGAAGTTACCGACCGTGGGTGGATCATTTGGGTCCTGAAGCGGATGAGACAAGCCATGGATGAAAAGGTATTGTGAAAGTCGAAGCTATCACCTGTTAAGGTCGCTGGCGGCTCACATTAGTTTTTTTTTTTCAGCCAAAAATGTGGAACGAGCTGCAAGCGGGAATAGAATGCCTTACTCAACTCCTTCTCCTGATCGACATCATGTCTTCGTCGGTAATCTCCGACCCTCAGCTCAATGAGGCTGCAGCTGTTTTACAACAACAATTGATCTATAATGGCGACGTTCTTGACATCTCACTCGAAAGCCTTCGATCTTACAAGGAAGGCACGCAATCACTAGCCTACTTAAATGCTAGCGTGCACCTTGCTTACGCATTGCTACGGATGTTGGAGCGATGGGGGAAAGAGAATACTGGGGCAGTGTACGTCAGGAAAAAGAAGCCGGGTAAGAGGAAGAAGACCACGAGTAAGCCATGCATTTTCCACCTTCAGTATGTCATTTTAAGTTATCGCAGGTCAGGGACTGGCTGATGAAGATGGAGTGCCTGACGTCGAGAACGAACCTGATGGGGATAGCGAGGAGGAGGTCGTCCACGAGACAATGTTCACCTTTGATGCCTTCGAAATGGTGCGTCGCGTGATCGGAGTCGAACATTGATTGACAGTTGCTTGATTGATGTGCAGAAATTTGCGAACTCGGCGATAACCAAGACCCTTCTGACATATCTTTCGCGCTACAGAGACTTCGATTCCCCTGAGTTCATGAAAAGGGTGGTGAACTTGATCCACCGACAAGTCGTGAAAGCTAAGGCAGAAGGGCTATATTTCAATGTGCGTTGCAATCAGGTGTTGCTTGTTTGTTGGTATACAACTTCTTGTAGGTTTCGACACTCCATCTTTTTAAAACAATTCTCGATGATCAAAAGTCACTGCCGAAAGGCCAGTCCTCCAAGGACCTTGTGAAATTGGTCAATTTCATTTTGCACAGGTTCTTCAAGGCGTTGGAAGGAGAGCCATTCCTTGCGGTGGAGGTGAGGTTTTCATTTTTGTTATCTCACGTGTTTTGAACACTCACAATGCTTATCTGTCTCAATCTGAATCAGGCATTCTTCCCCAAGAACCGCGGACACTGGAAACTGCACTCAAGCTGGGAACCGGAACGCAAAGGCCGCCATGAGCGCGAGATAGTAGAAGATACCAAATTCCCTCCGGAGGTGCAAGTGAAGAAGGGTTACTCGTGGAGCGAGCAAATCGGAATTGCGATAGCGGCCCTGGTGGACGATGGCAAGACTGAACTCATAGAATGGGTCAAAGACGTTCGTAATCGTATCGATCATCTTCACCGAAAGAGACTGATCATTCCTCAATTATAAAGATTTTGATGCTAGTCATTCGTCAGCGCAATAAGATTATTGAGGAAACGGATAAAAGGCTCAAGGACGGAGACAGCGACCTGGACGACGACGAACAGAAGAAGTTGACGCCTTCTGCAGAAGCAATCTCCAAATTCCTTGATTACCGTGAGTGGTCCTGGACAATCTTCGCTCTACGCTAATGTCTTGTCAGTAATACCATACATCAGCGATGAACATGCGGAAGCCGCAACGAAGAACTCGATATTGAAGCTCATTTTTCGCTTGTTAAAGTTCACCATTTATGACGATGGTTCGTTCTTTCGCAACATTTTGGGCAGTGACTAACTGATCAGTTTATAGATGGTGATGAATTGCAGTGGACTGTTCCAGCAGCAATTCTTCCTTCTGACCTCCTGAGCAGCCTTAATATCATTGATCAATTCCTCAAACATCCCATTGATCTTGACGGCAAGAAAGCTTCAGAGCTCCTAAGCAAGAAACCCCGTCGGCGACGAAGACGTCGATCACCCTCAAACTCCGACGTAGAGCTTGTTGACGATGACGAGCCCCAACACAAGAGACGGGAGAAGAAAAAGAAGGAGCAAACGCAATACAAGTCAGCACAATTCATTGAGGACAGCGATGCAGAGTATGGCGATATGGAGGCCTTCCTCGAAAGGGAAAAGGCATTAAGAGATAAAGCTGTCATGGCAGCCGCGCAAAGTGGTAAGATCGGAACCATGCGAGCGTCGGGAACTAAAAAACGGCGGAGAAAAGGTAAAGATGTTGAGGCTAGGAAGCAGGGTAAGGTGGAGAACTCCGAGAATCAACCGGCAGGAGAGTCAAGCGCCGATGAAAATGTCTCAGACGGTGAAGATGACATCCTCGGAGCCCTGCAGAGAAGTCGCTCTAGTACACCAGAATCTCAGCCCGCGCCTAGGGTACGCCCAAGACCCCGGCCGGTTCCAAAACGTTCTGCAAAGCGGGCAATACCAACAGACCCCATGAGCGAAGACGATGCAGGAATGGACTCAGTAGACGTACGACGTAGTGGGACGGGGCGGCTGGTCCTTTCCGAGGATGATGAACTAACATAACAGTCCACCCGTCATAACCGCATTTTGTTATTTCGTTCAGATGTAGTACTGATTTATCTTCATGTTTTGGAGTGTTGCTCAGATGCTTATTAAATGCATCACAAGGGCCCGCCAAGCGGTAATTTATTCATCAGTGTTTCTCTTTTCGTTTCCAGCGTCAGACCCGCGGATGAGCTGGTATCTTTAGGAGCGATACAGTCGGTGCGAGCGGCCGTGTCGATATCAGCCAGCGTTGCAAATCTGAGGACGGTAAACGTGCAATGTGTTGGTTGCACGTGGACAAAAAGAAAACGGACGCGTCGCATTTCACAATTATATCTGAAACCGACCGGACCCGACTTACCAACTTTGCTGGATACAGCGTCGCGGAGTCCATACATCTAGGTACTTCGCGTTGCGATCAAATCGCTTCCAACGTGTCAACATTTTTGCCCTTACGGTGGACCGCACCAGAGCAGAGCAGCTCGGACTTGGTCCGTTTGTGGTGCATCCCTTGTTCACTTTATTGTAGACAGCGTAGCGATAAGTAAATACATCTGGTTACATTGTCGGATGCCACCTGCCATTTAAAGCAGTGCGTGGAGGCAAGGTAAACTATTGGCTCCATTCCGAAGTGCTCTTTTGCTACTGCAAAAGGAGTAGGTAGCGACCTATATCAATTGTCCCCGTTACGATTGGGGGCCGCATTATTATAAAAGTTTACAACCTTCCCGAAGAGTTCATATTTACATACGAGGCGCCGGCGCATATGATGACCGTTCATCTCAAACTTGTCTTCGGGATTCGACTCGGAGCTCTAGCCTAGGAGAAACATTGTCCCGAAGTCAATATTATTTACTTCTTTCGCCTCAAGCGGGAAGTTTAGGCTGATACCTCTTCCCATGCAAATCATGGAAGTAAAAACTTCATCATCTCGCTTAGATATGCCTTGAGCTTTCCATGAGGCTGGAGGAGAGTGTCCTGAGATAGCTTAATTGCCGGTGATCGCGATATCCGAGAGCTCAGGAATGTGAGGATTAATACCTCCACGATCAGACTCGTGGCCGGGACTGGCGGGCAAATTTTCCGGCGCTAGACGACACCACCATCATGATGTCCTGGAAGCACGCGAAGTAGGGGGATATACAATAATACACATATCCAAGGCTAGAGTGCTTCGATCAACGAACGTGAGCTTGGGCCAGAAATAAATTGATGAAGGTCGAATGAGGAAGGAGGATGGTCGGGCACTGGCCACCGAGCCGCGACCCCATATCGTACGGTGGAAAATTCCACGCTTTGCGCCTATCAAAATTGGAACCGCATCTGGGGGGTCAATGGGCGACCTGCTCGCCCTTCGGCTCTTACATGCCTATATTGGAGGTTCCGAACCGCAGGGATAAAAAGCGCTCGAGCTAGCCTGGTGCCAAGTCGCAAAATGGGTCCGTGTGTACCATTGTTAGGCTTCGCTGCGGCGATTATAATTAGGTTGAACCTGAGCGACCATGGGAGAGACCCTCGAACGCGACTACGAGGCGTTGAATGTGAGTAACATGACGTACAAAGGCAGGATATTAATGCGGCAGATATACCTAGGTTTGGACAATAAATGAAGATCACTGAGAGGCTTGGATCGGAAAGAAGTTTGGCGTGAAGAGACTTGCACAGCCTTCGCGTGGGAGGACGGGGTTTGCCGATTGAATTGGTGGGGTTCAATTTTTGAAAGTGGACTTGGTTAGTAGTTGAAAGGGTATATAGGATCCGTCAATCACGGAGGTTGTTTGGCAAATGCTACTTGGAGAAGTACTGCGGCGTTTCTTTTGTTGAAGGGGACCCCCCGGGGGGAGACTAGGACTCATTGGCGGAACCGGATCTCACCGAAAGGTACGAAAGAGTTTGGATGTTTTGTTCGGTTATGTTCCCAAGATACGGATATGTGGCTAAGAATTTTCGATTAATTGGGCACCGATATATAGCCGAGGTTGGCAGGTGATTGGCACCTCACCATTTCTGCACGGTGTAGAGAAGATGAAAAATTCCCATCGAGCGGAAGTTGATAGCCGCTCAATTGTGGATGAAGACGTCAAATGAGTGTGCATTTTGAGTTGTAGTCGAGGGGGGGAGGAGTTGAATATGGCCGTGGATATCCGAGTCCGAGGTTCTATAGCGCATCTCAGCGAGTCTGGAGAAGTGGCGGAGTATCGCGGAGTTCTGAGTTTTAAAATTGAGTAGGGGGAACACGCGGAAGTAGATTATAATATATTTTTATTGATCGGGGATCAACACACGAACTCATCCCTAAGGCACAGCGGCATTAGCCTGATGGAACAACCGCAACTTGCCGCGACGACGGCGAAACTCACTTTGTGAAAAATTATTATCTTCAACTTGTGTACATAGGAAGGTAAGTTGCGGTACGGGGACAAGGTAAAATAATTGAACAAAGGATTTCCATGACTGGTACGTATCTTCTTGCAATGCATTTGCGTACAGAAGGTTCGTTGAGATTTGATTCAAGATTGCAAGGAATCAAGCTTGCCACCAGGGTCGCATTGAAGACATGTCGGCTGACTTTTCAAACCGAATAATTCGGAATCCGAGGCACTGAATTCTTTTGGAATAGTTGTGATGGCTTGGGCGTCTGAGTGGAGTCCTGAATTCAACGTACGCCAACTATAATAACCGTCCAATCTTTTTTTTACAACCCCGAATTGTCTTTCCTCTCCCAAACTTTACGTTATAACGTTACATGTCCTCGATGGCTCACTCCGCTGCTGAATCTGTCTCGTCACAACCCGATCGTCCAGAGCGCAGCCGTAATGCTAAAGCTCAAGCTCGCCATCGTGCAAAGCGAAAGGCCTACATCGAGCAGGTCAGTCCTCCCCGCGAACTCGACGCGTTTTCTAACAATCTCTTTTTCCAGCTCGAGCAGACAGTCACAAAACTACAAACCGCCTTAGGCTTCACCCCAGACCAGGTGGCGGCTTTACCGCCCCCCTTGGTCAAAATTCGCGAGCTCGAACAAGAAAATACTCGCTTGCAGAAAGAAAATGAAGAAATGAGACGTTTGCTCGAAGCTGACCACCGAGCTGGTCATTTATCCTCTGACTATCGTCGGCACTCCATGTCCAACTTCCACGATAATCGTAACTGTGACCGCGACTTCAAGAAACGCAAAATGGATGATCTCTACATGGTGTGTTTTTAACATACCTCAACGCCATTACTAGTCTGACAACGCCTTTTACCTAGCCACAAGACGCCCCTCATGGTGATCGACCCCCTCCACTTACCATTCCGCAGCCAATTTCCCATCACCAGTATGGCAATATACCCTCCCACAATGGCACATCTGGTCATGGCGGTGTTTCAGGCAACTCCTCCTCACTCTTTAATTTGCACGCTCCCGCTTTTCATCACCTTCCTCATACTCCGTCCGGATCAAGTTCAACTTCAAGTCCTCCATTTTCGGCGAGTGCTTTTTCCTTGCGCGAGTGACGTAATGTCCTCCATCTCTATGAGAACTCTCTGGATCCTAGTGACCATTGTTTTCTGTTTCACCCACCAGCAGCCTACCCAAATGCAACACTCATCGCATTCCCCGGTCAACAGTCGTCCAAGTTCATTGTCGCATCACCCGCTTCCAAGCAACTACCATTCCAATCATTACGGGTCCGTCAAGGTTGAGGACGATCATTACAGCGTAGGTGATACGCAATCAATCTCGCAACCGCTCCTTGACTCGTTTTCATAGTCATCAAACCATCATAATCATAATGGGCCCTCCAACCATTACCACACCACACTCCCTCCATTTGCTCAAACTGTGCCAGAAGCTGAAGTGGATAACTGGCATGCTTATTCGGCTGAACGTGCCCAGGTTCATCGGTAGAACCGAAATACGTCGAATTGTTCTCTTCTTCTGGACTTGATCGGTTTAGATGATACCCCCGCTCTATTGCTATCATTGTCTCGTTGCATTTCGACTAGCTCTCTTTGCCGCATCGCTATTTTCTTTGCCATTCTAGAGCCCTACGACAACCTATTACTTCTAATTCTTAGCTTCCTAGTGTAAAAAGTTATCACGCATTCTAGTGGATATATGTGCATGAATTGTATAATCTTGATACTTATTGTAATGTAAGTAGGTGTGTTATGAGTAACACTACGGAACCTATCAATTTTGCGTCGCTTCGATCAACTGAACGTTGATGCGGCTTTGGTAACCCCGTCAATTTGGCCTTCGCGGCTGTTTCAAATGATCTGCCAGATTCTTCGATGTCTGTTACGTATATCCTTTCGTACACCCCGTTTGAAAAGCTCAGCGAACTCCTACTGCGAGTTGGCAAGAGCTGACCTCGGCCATCCCCCAACCATCGACGTTGCTGACGAGTCGATATCGATTTTTAAATATCCGTGTTCTCCCAAACGCCAAGCGCACACTAGAACAATCAAGGCAGTGAACATTCTGATGGAAACGGGTACTTGCTCGGGCATAATTCCAGACCCTTTTTGCCTTTAAAAATCACTGCCCTCTTCATCTTTGGACTCTGCGAACAGCTTCGGACTTCCTTTGGATGTGCCCATCGGATTCGCTGGATCCTTGATTCATGAAGAGAAGATTCAGAGGTTCTGGACTCGGACTAACGCCGATTCGAGCCCCCCTCCCGGGTTACGGTAAACCGACATAACCTTCTGGGCCACTACCTGCAACTAGCAGTTTCATCGGAACTTTTGAATTCATGCAACGATTGGCTCGTAGCTCCGTGTACTACTACTAGACGACTTCCGAGCCATGGCATGCAGCGCCCTATTTCTGAGGAGTCCTACGCCCACTTACACAGTGTTTATGAAGCTCGTTTGACCGTTGATACTGCGGTTGACTATTATGATCGGTTGATCATGATCCGAAGAATATATCCCCGAATCAACAAACGTGTCAAAGCCGTTCAGATCTGTCAAAGCGTGTCTAGAATGAAACAGGGTGGTGCCTCTCTTTATCTCCCTTTGACAAAAAAACTGCTGCGTACAAGGCTTTTGAAGGCTGGCAAGGCATCAAACCTGCCCATCGACAATGAGCCACAATGGGTCTATCCTCTACGTTTTGCGAACGTTCTGCTGTCTTAAAAAAGCTGATCAGGGATGCAGGGAACGGTAACGATACCTATCCCACAGAATGCCCGTCCCTAGCGCCACTACCGATGAATATCTTCACCATCCGCAAAAACCCCGTCGGACCGAATGGCAGGGTACTTACCCTATCTCAAGGGAGGACAAGATTAAGTTAGACCTATGGATGAGCACCCACTATGAGGCCCTACCTGAGCCCTCTTCCAACGAGGCAAAGGAAATGGGGGTAGTCCCTTCGTTTCCTTACAAGGATGTCCCGATCTATGGCGATACAGCTGATATTATGGGTATGTCCCCCTGGCTGTGTTACTGGATGTGATTGATTGAAGTTATGAGTAGCATTGTATTTTCGTGGCGTTTGGGGTTGCTTGCTCACCCCTAAGAATGTCAGCGACCTGGTAGATACGACTGGCATTCGTTACCATGCCTGGGTCGCCACTAAGAAAGTGCTCGAAACATATCCGTTAGTCTTTGCTTTCCCATGTTTGTGGGGCATCAGCGATCATTTCACAGACAAGGCTCGAATGCGTTCTATGTGAGGCGTGTCCTTCGACAATTCGTGTGTTAGGCTTCTACCCTGCATGGATGCTTACTGATAGATAGTCTTGCAGCTTTTTGAACTCGGTCTGGCCATGTTAGGCGCCGTCCAGGGCCCTGTAGTGATATTCGTAGATTCGCGCTTTCACAACAGCAAGGCTGCCATGGTGGACGAAGCCCGCGCCCTCGTTGACCTTTTTGACCGAGCTGATGTCCGACGATGGAGAGTTGTCATCACGGTAATGTGCTTCCAGTAGTGTGTATACAGCCTTTCTTTAATCGTCCTTTAGCTGCCAGCAACAGAAGACGGTATCCGTGCTGCGTACGAACTCACCAACAAATACTCAATAGGTATACATCTCTCAATGGTGACCTGCCTTGCACATACTCGCGCCTGCATCGAAGCCGGAGCGACCATGCTGAGTATGAATCTCGCTCCAGTAAGTACTTCATCACCGCATGCAATTATGCCACTGTTCAAAGTCGCTTCTGCTATCAGATCATGACATGGTTCGAGAAGAAAGACAGGGTCGAAGTCGAACACCCAATTGCTCCCGGTCATCCTGGCATTAAGAAAATTCAATCATGTATCAATTACATCCGCCAAAACTCTTTGAACACTTCTCTGCTAGTAGCTGACATTCGGGATGTAAGAAAATCTAATTCGTAATTCGCTCCCGCCGTTCGGAAATTGCTGACTTCCAGCCGATACCCTTCAGTGGGATGAATTGAAGCAATTGAGTGGGATTGACGCCGTCGCGCTGAATAAAAAACTGCTCGATCAGATTTCCATGCTTGGGCTTACGACCTGGTTTCCGGAAATCTTGGAAGACTACGAGGTTTCACCTGTCTATCGAGAAGCCAAGCGTCCTTCCGACTTCCTGAATCACGAGAGAGGTTTTGGAATGACTTTATCCGCTGGGGATCGTAGCCTTATGTCGTCTGTGGTTTACATTCAGCTTGGACAGAACAAAGTTTTCATGGAGAAGATTGAAGATATCATCAGAAAAGAAGTCAATGAGCGCCTCTACGTCGACGCCTTCGATCCGCAACCCTACTCTATATGGCGGTAAAGAGGGGAGCGAAAATACAACATGCACCGGGACAGCTTCTCCAGGAAAAAAAACCAGGTTCCGAGACGTCCTATGACCCTGAGAACTACGATAAAGGAGGTCTCAAAGAGAATAGCATAGTGATGCTCTCAATTCAGGCATGTCGCCGCTAGAAACTTTATAATAAATTCAACGTGTCTGGTCCTCATTCCTGTTTCATGCCATGAATACAATTAGCTGTTTGCACGTTCCCCGGCCCCAACATCAGGCCAAGGAAGGCATATCAAGGGCAATCAGAATGACTCCGTCACAAAGTTCAGCGGTTGACAGCGGTATCCGGCGCCACCAGCCCCAGAGTGGCCAGGGTAACACCGTTTGGGCGCGCAAATACCCAAATTAGTTGTAAATATTGATGAGGATGGACCATGTAGCTCCATCACGACGATGATTGGAAGAAAGAAGTCACGCGTACATCCATTATTCCCTTGTCCCGTGTTTCAGGCCGGAGATCAGCAGAGCGCCGGGATTGAGCCAATGATTTTTCCCGCGCGCGAACCGCCCTTCGCGACATAGTAGGACCTCATTTGAACCTGCACGACATGAAACGCCGCGCGAACCTTAACGTTCAAAAGTAGGTTATCTTATCTCGCACACAATTAAAAGCAAATACATGGGCTCGTGATAACCAAATATAAATTAATTTGAGGCCTTGAGGTGCAAATAACATGGAGGCGAAAACTTTGTTATATTTATGCCATTTTCGAAAGCTGGGAAGACCTACTGTTTCAGTGGTAGACTACTCAGAGTGCATCCCAAATTCTCTGTATTCCAGAACGTGGACCTCTGAGCTTTTCCCGAGCAAGGAACCGTGCTTCTTCTTCATCAATTTCACGCTTTCCGGTAATAAGATCGGCTTCGATTGCGGGGATTGTCAAAGTGCGGTAGTAAAACTTGTATCCACCCCATAACGAGAAAAAAATCGGTATAGGGATGTAAGATCTGGATTGTAATTAGTATTCCGGAAAATCACGATCACCCTCGCCACTGACGTGATAAATGATGACGATACAAAGGGTAGAAAAGCGCTGAAACCTGTTTCATGCAATTAGCTCGATTTGTAGCCATGCTCAGATAGGTGCTACCATTGAAAAAGAGCACGATGCCTGTGAAAATCAAGGCAAACCATGAAGCATATGGCTGGAAGGGTGCCTTGTAAGGGAGAGTGTTTCGATCTATCCCCTGAGATTTTAAGGCGCGCATGAAGGCACTAAAAGCAATTACATCAGAAAATGACAACCCACTCAGCATAATCAACATACATGTGGGTATAAGATATACACATCCACGTAATAGCACCAAAACTTGCAATAAGGCTTGCGAACCAGCCGAACGCTACCGAACAAGAAGATCAATAATTACATGCGATGAACAGACGTCATCCATTACCAACAGAACTCGACGAAGTTGCATTCAGGAATGTCAAGAAGCAGACCAAAGTGTTCAGAATGAGCGAGGGCCAAGGAACCCCAGCGCGATTGACCTTCGCAAATATACGGGGTGCCTTACGTTCCACAGCGAGGCCGTAGAGCGTCCTGGAGCCGATATAGAGGTCTGAGTTTGACGCACTAAGTACAAAGATTAACACCACGGCATTGATGACATGGTTTAGGACTTTGATGCCGACGATGGTTGTCGCTGATCAATGAGACGTTAGATTCCAGAGTCGCATAGTCCACGGGTGGGCAAAAAGCACGTACCTACGACGAATGGTGATGCAGCAGCACCAGCCGCAGACTTACTAGCCACAAAAAGTGCCTACAACAAAGTCAGGAACAGCCCCTTCTACACACAGCGCCACGTACACTGCTATTACTCGGTACCGTCAAGCTAATGACAAAAGTACCACCCACATAAAACACCAAGATACGAAAGAACATCCTACGAATAGCCTTTGGTACATTTTTCCTTGGGTTTTGTGTTTCGCCTACGGTAACGCCAATCAATTCTGTACCGATGTACGAAAACAAAGCTGTGGTCAGGTTGCTCCAGACTCCAAGAAACTGGGCGACGCGAGAGTCGTGTACTTCAGCGATAAGATATTCATGGAGGGGTCCGTAGGGCGCTCTCCAGTATCTGAAGCCAATACGATCGTGTTGGGGATTACCACCGAGGTCGATAATGAGTCCCATCAAGATAAGACCAACTAAAGCGACGACTTTGATGCTGCAGAACCAAAATTCGACTTCGCCAAAGACGCGAATACCCAACAAGTTGATGAAGAAGACTGATGTAAGGCGTGTTAGCGGGACTAGTACCAACCCGGTCAGACAGACGTCGCACGTACTCAGCGCAATGTAAATCACTGAAACCAGGATCAGGTCATCTGCATAGTTGGATTGTAAAAAGATGCACGCACCCATCCAAACCTCAATCGGTACACTTAAGGTCCAGTACTGCACCACAGCGCCCGCCGCATTAACATTGTTCGTAGTTTGAATAAAGTATTTGAACACATAATTCCATCCAAGGGCGAAGCCAAAAGCAGGATCGACATATCGCGTGGCATATCCAGCGAAACCCTTCTTATGAGGCAGATATGCACCCATTTCTCCCAGAGAGATCATGACGAAGTAACAGACTAAGCCCATGAAGGAGTACCCAAACCAGAGACCTAGTGGTCCTCCTTTGGCGAGAGCAGTACCTGAACCGATGATGAGACCTGTGCCCAGCGAGCCTCCTAGCTAGGTAGATTGAAAGAGTTTCAGTTTGAGTCGGAAGATGCATTATGAAGGTTTGCAATACCGTAATCATAGATACATGTCTCGCTTTCAAGCCGCGATGCAAGCTCAACTCCTCGGAAGGGTCCACTAGAGCGGGGTCTAGATCGTTACTAGCCTGAAAGCTATCGATTTTCTTCTCGGTATCATCACTGTGAGCATCCATATTGTGGTTGAGGGAAAATGATTCGAAGAAAGATAAGGTCGCGCACTTTTAACCAACACTTGAGGAGTATGTCATTGTTATCAGTGGACCCGCGTGCAATGGAATGCGCCAAGGTGTTCACAGAGAAAGACTATAAAAAAACGTTGCATGAATAATGTCAGGCCTACCGCTGGCCCTGGATTAAAAATTTCGACATACCGTAGGATGTCTGACCGCTCGTGCAGAGACGTTGTGACTACTCTCCCTTGATCGTCTAAGAAGCTCCCCAGTTTCAATATTTCCTCAAGGTCAGTAATCATGCCTCGCATCGTCGTCTAAGACGAGAAGCAGCGCTTGGTTTAAGTGATATGTCATCTGCAAAGTTCAAACCATGACTGGTGGTTCTAAAAAAGGCAATCATAGTAATGATATTAATCGGACGCCACTGCCCACACTGTCAGAGGCGGAAGCCCGACTCCAGCTCTGCGTCCATCATACCTAGGCCTCACCACCCCACCTGTCACCTGAATGATTTGGGTGTTCGACGGTGACGCCGCATTATGGCAAAGTGGACGATCCAAGACGGAGTAGAAGTTCTATATATCATGCTCATGCTCCTCGTGTCAAGTGAACTTCAACTTCGAGTTGGAGATCTGGGCATCGTCTTCTCTCACTTCTTGTTGTAAAACTTCAACGACTCTACTCATAGATCATCATGTACTTGAATGCCCTTGTTGCTCTTGTTGTTGTTGTTGTGTCGAGTGTCCCTGGTCTCGCTGTTCTGCTCACACCTCGTATGTCTCTCTCACATAATCACCGAGCACACCCACTGTATGCATTATTAGTTATCCACAGGTTACTTGACGACAGCTCCACCATTCATTGAAATATCACATCTTTCCCATAGTCGGTTTTCTGCCAGTGCAGCCATCTTGAGTGCGATCAACACCAATGCCTCGAGAGTCGACAGCGAGAGACTCTCGGGTCGGGTCCTACACTCATTCAATACCAAACGTGACGACGGCGCCAGTATCCATCCGTTAATTAGTTATCCTGACAGTGCAGCATGTTGAGTACGATCAATGCTAAGTTCTAACGTCTCGACAGTGAGAGTTTCCCAGGTCGGGTTCTAGATCCTGTTACTATCAAACACGACGACGGTTCCATCATCCAGAAGTTGTACTCGTCGTTATTTATCCTGCACATACGACGTGTTATGTGCAATCAATGCCAACGTCTTGACAACAAGAGATCCCAGACCTTACCCGCCGGAGACGCACAGGGCACTGATGGCAATAACAACCAGGGCGCTGCCAGCGACACCAGACGTCGATCAGGGATCAGCACGACATGGGCCTTGGAGTTGAGGGCACTAACAACAACACATAATGTCAAGCGTATTGTATCGCTATCTCAAAGGAAGACTAGGCCACAGAGGTCACTAGCGGCAGGCGTCAAGCGCTCCTGGAAGGGAGACCGCACCGTATGAACTTTGGAATCGGAGGGCGCTAGCGGCAATAGCACCAAGCGTCAAGCATCTCTCATTATCCCAGAAGGGGGCCACATCTACATATGCTTGGTAACTGTCACTGCACGACTAACAGCTATGTAGTCGACATATAAAGTCTACTCGTTCTACATGTCTTAGGGCATTTGGTCAAGGCGAGTTTGCTCTTGTTTTGCTTGCGGTACGAGCTGATAGCCTTTGTCGTCGTGCATAAGCGTATTGGTGTGGACGATGTACGACACCATCTTTCCAGCCTGGTATACTTACTGAAGCGCTCAGACAATAACAACGTTTTCAAAGACTTGCGAGGAATTCCGAGACCCAACTTGAATGAAGGGACGAAAGAGGACGAGGAAAAACCAGATTATTTCACCGATCCCAAAAGTACACTGCAAGCTTCGGGCACAAATCGATCACGACAATGCATAGAACTGCACACGGTATGAATGAAAACCTCTTCTGCTTGAGCGGCACTTTCGTCTCCACGGAGCACATAGCACAGTTGAGGCCCAGGCCGCCTTCGTACGGTCTCCAAATCCTTGAACATATTGTCATCAAAAGTTTAGACGACATGTTTTGCGACAGAATCGTCGACCACCCAGCGTGCCAATGACGCTTTTGATTTCCAAAAACTGGAGTTCAGCTGCGAAGTGAATGACTTCGTCGGTTGTCTCCTCATCACCAACAGCGGTATGACACACCGATAAGGATGCGAACTCAGCATAGAGTCGTTTTCCATGATGTCAAGTAATATGGGAGGTCCGTCTGTCATGGCGAAATGTAAATGGTAAGGCTGCTCGCAGTCCTGCTTTCTGCGACAAGCGAGTTGTACCCGGCGGGTGTTGCGTCGCAAAAGAGTCGAGTGCACCTGCTCGCGTGGCGTCGTCGCCGGAGAGTGGTGGGGCTGGCCGTCGTGGGGACGAGCTCAAGTTCGCTTTCAATATTAAAGAGCGCCTCGCCTTGCCCTGCGCCCGGTGAACGTTGTGAGATTGCAGCAAAGGACGGAGAAAGATGTGTCTTCAGAATGCGTGTAAATTTGATCTGATCTGAAAGTGTTGGCGTGTGAGAACAGCATGATCTCGTCCTATACCGTGTGCAAGACAATTTGCAATTCCTTCCCCATCTTCCCTGGGCGCATGAAAGATGCAAGCCATACCGCCATACAAAGTCATCCTTGAGCCTCTGGTGAGATGTATAGGTGGTGAAGCTAAAAGAGCCTGTACTACAGAGGTGGGCATGGTCAATAGACAGCGTAAGCGGAGGCCATGGAAGAGGTTTGCCTATGCAATACTGTTATGTGAGCTGTCACGGTGTTCCTTAAGCTCTTGATTCCTGTATTGTTTATCCGATGAAGACTCAGCCACTACTAAGTGTTTCCACATCAACCGCCACGAAGTTGCCTCAGTCAGGCGCAACCAATCTGCCAAAGCAATGGAACTTCCAAGTTTTGCATACAACCCCATTTTCAGAATATAAAAGCAAGTCATGTCCACCTCAGAGTTACAATTGCAAAGCTTGCGTCACTTCACATAAATCATGCGTTTTTTCTTCCTCATCGTTACTAGTGCTTTGGCAGCATGTATGTCTGCCACCGCATGCTTCAACGAGTCCTATGGCTGCAACACTAACGATGATTGCTGCCCTTACTTGTGCTGTATTCGGACAGTCGTGAGTACGGGTTTGCTTTGTATCCAGGATTCAACCCCGCTGATCACCCCTTGTCCCTTGCAATGTCAATAGCTCACCCAGGAACAATTCTGCCATACATGTGGCTAGACCGCTCACCGATGGGCTGGCAACCTGTTCATGAGCACGTCTGGACAATGAGTCGTGTTTCTGTTGTCGCATTCCATGGTCGTTGACGTAGTTCATTGCTGACTTGGAGAATGTGGTTCTTGGATTGTGCCTGGAGTATGATGAATTTTCCCTGCTTCATGGGCAATGAAGGCACTTTTGAATTAATTTAAACACTCGATATTGACTCCTTACTAATTCGAAGAGACGTGAGGAGCGATTTCAATATCCAGAATTGTGCTGCATTATTCAGAGCTTAAAGCCTGAGTACTCGAGCACTCATTGACCGTTGCCAAAGTCTACATTTGATGTGCATGACGGGCAGAGGGGCTGTAGCAGTCGAGGCGGGAATTTGATCACTGCCAAAGGCTATTTTCAATGGCTGGCATTCAACGTTGTCTCCAGGACTCACCGTTACCTAACACTATATTGGTGACGCAGTTGATGCGGTGTTGTTCATCACTTGGCACTAAATACTTCCGAGTCTTATATCTAGTCCCTTGGTGCACGCAGCTTGGAGTGCCTTAGGATCTGCCGGAGAATTCAGAGGTGACGCAGTGACGCACCATGACAAACTGCAGACACCCTGCTTATATCGACTCGCCCAGTTGATTCTCTGGCTAAATTAATAGTAAGACAAGCACGACTGGCGAACGGGCACAAGGCCTACTCTGGGAAACCTTTCCATGCAAACTAGATCTATTTTCGCTAGTTGTCAAGATTAACGACAGTGGTAGCAGTCTTGCATTTCATATGCGCGCAGGGTCAATATGCACGAAAGAAGCAGACCAAATCTGCATAAAGGCCCTTTCTCTTCAGGGAATTCTACTCCCGTTGTATCACAGCTAATAGCCCAAGACCTCCGAGAAGCGCGTATTTAAGTTGCGGGAAATCATTCTATGTAGCATGATCAGCGTTATTGGGCATGAAAGAGAAATCCACGACAAACGAGCCACCAAGTGACATGTGCATGTTCAATAAGACGGTGAAACAGCCTTACCATGGCGATTGTCACGTAGCCAATGTACGGAACAAATCTGGGCATGAAGTGTGAGCAAAGTAGATGTGTAGTTAGAAGATTGAGTAGGAAAAGAGACATGTCAGGCCATGCAAGTGAAAAAAAATCGAAAAACACATACCCGCAAGCTTTGCCAATGATATGTCTTCGGTCGATCCATTCGAGGCCCCGGTAGAGGTCAACGTCATCAACATGGTTGTTGTCGCCTTTTGTGAGCATCAGTTGGTGTTCCCCTGGTGGAAGTTTGCTCTTTGCAAGTCTGAGGCGGGGTATGGTTGTAGTCAGTCATCGAATGTCTTTAACTTGACCCCCGCAACAAACCACATATACCACCCTGGAAATACTCACCTGTTCTTGATGATACGATTTTCTGTAGAATTGTCGAATGGGATGAAAACATCCCGGGTCTCTAGGACGCGGTGCACGATGGGTATTTCGGCGCCAGGGATCCTGTACACTGTGATATCACCTGTGTGGTAGCGTTGGCCTGGAGGGTTCGTAAGAAAAAGAAGATCGCCACGGTAAAACGCCGGTTCCATCGAGCCACTGTAGATATAGTAAAAATTAATATGGAGGTCACAGTTTAGGGTGAGCAAAATGGAAGTATGCCTGATTGAACGAGGATCATACATGCCTGAGGACAACGACAATTGGAGATTCTGTGTTCAGAATCAGGCCGAGGCCTTTCCATAGCATTAGGCCAGATGCAATGACGGAGGCGAAGTTGAGAATTTGAAGTAGAAACTACAACCGAGAATGATTATCAGCATTAAGGACACGTCGGCAGTGACAAATAAAACAAAAGACAAGTCAGTACTCTACAGAATGATTGAAAACGCCAGAACTAACATGTCGAAAACCTAATCGACGGAACGTCTTGAGCTCTTCTGAGAACATTACCGCACGAGTAGAAGTTTGGTAGAAGAGTCAAGACGACTGGACGAGATGCGAACACGTCGTTTATAACACTGGTAAGTAGTACTTAGTGTAGTAACACAAACATTGTCACGGTATGTGACGGTATCTTCACTGGCCAATCGTCACGTTGAATATTTGACGAAAAATAGTTCAAATGTGTACAATATGTTGAATTGTAATCGTCAATGTTGAATAAATTATAATGCGATGTTGATGTTATTACAGGATAAATCATATGTCTAAACAATATTCTACTCTACCTCAACCGTTCTGGCTATGTCTAATTTTCACTGGGATTGAAGGATGATCCGTACCCTAGAATTTATTACAGTGCCGCGTCACGGTCGCGTTATGGCCGCGGAGACTCTCTCTACTAAGTTTCCCATATCAATCGCCGTGAAGTTCCGCCATTCAGGCGCAACCAATCTGCCGAAGCAATAGAACTTCCAAGTTTTGCATACAACCTAGTGATGGCCAGGTCCGGTTCTGAACCGCGGTTCGAACCTGAACCGTTTCGAGCCTGACCGAAGTCCGGTTCAAGGTTCGGGCAATAGGGAGGACCGAACCGTTGGTCCGGTCCGCGGTTCGGGGACGTGCAGAATTGCAGAACCTGTTCGAACCGATGGCAAGTCAGTATGTAGTTTAAGTGTAGGACTTATAGGTGGAGATGACGAAATGTTTGGTATCCATATCATACATAATGCAAAAAGAACAGTTCGGAATGCATCAGCATAAACGAGGGTAGAATCACCAGTAACTGTATCATGGGCACTGGATGAGCTGTGGTGGCGGTGGAATAAATGCCTGAGAAGTGTGCTTCTTTGTGGTTCTGAGGAGTGGGAACGGCCTTGTGCAGAGGACTGAGAACAAAGAGGTCAAGAAAATGAAATTGAAGTGATAGCGATGACACACATAAGCTGGTGAGACTCCATTGAAAAAACCATGGGGTACCTGATGAGCAGGTGGACATTGTTGGACCAGAGGTCGTGTAGCATTAGCCAGGATCAATCACTATGACATTGTTTAGATGTGTGATTCTCTGCTCAGGAAGGAAAATCAAGGAAAATGAGAGAAAGAATGCAAAAACAAAAGACACGCAATTGCAAATGAGACCATACACAGGAAAGCTATAGAAAGTCTTTGCATTGTCTGGAGGCGGCAGCTCATGAGTCACGCTGCGATTGTACTCCTGTATGACACCTGGGTCTGATTCAGAACATGCAGGTGCCAATGCAAGCCAGGAGAGTGCAAGTGAAAGTAGCATTTGGTCTTACATGATGCATCTGTTGTTGGGCATGTTTCAATATAATTTTTCTTGACAAAATTTTTATATATAGTTTGGATGGTCCAGTTCTTGGTTCGAACCCTCACTGAACCAGAACCGGACCATTTTCGGACCGAACCGATGGTCCGGTCCACAGTTCTGCTTACTAGGAGGACCAAACTGATGGTCCAGTCCATGGTTCTCCTAATTTCCTGGAGAACTGGACCAAACTGGACTTTTCCATCACTAATACAACCCCATTTTCAGGATATAAATGCAAGTCCTGTCCACCTCAGAGTTACATTTGCAAGGCTTGCATCACTTCACATAAATCATGCATTTTTTCTTTATCGTTACTGGTGCTTTGGCAGCATGTGTGTCTGCCACAGTGCCACCGCATGCTTCAAAGAGTCCCATGTCTGCAGTACTGTATAGACACGCACTTAGGTTCGGCCTTGTTTAGGTGTGACCAAATGAGCATTAGGTTTGAAGGTTCGCAGGGGGTGTGTGACGTGTGACATACTGTGATTAGGTTCATTTGTGCTACGTGCTGAGCACTGACAGTGCTGATCCTCAGGCTTCATGCTCAACCTGGAAGTGCTTGCTCTACAAACATTGCCTCTAATTTTATTTCTGCCTGGCAACACAAGATCTTCTCTATATGTCGTTTCAGCGTCTGTCTCATCAGTGTGGATCCTCCCATGTTTGGCAAACCTGAGCACTAAGCCACAACTCGCTTGACGAGATGATCAGTCTGAAAGCATCTCCCCTCAACATTCATTCTATACCATGTCTGATCTCTGTGTCCCCTCAGATGCTAAACTCCAGGATGTGCTATCTATACCTGCACCATTCTCCATTGCCCCCTCTGGCCAACTTTCTGTCGCTGAATTACTACTTCTAAACCTGCATACAGTGTTAGAAAATGATGCACTGGCCACTAGAATCTATTTTTCTGAAAATTCCCCTTTGCTTGAGTTGCCCACAGATTTCGCTTCATGACCTGTTCCACCATTTCAAGCAGCGTCATCCCTTCACAATTGTGCTAGCGGTGCATTCCGAGACAGAGATAAGTCAGTGATCCATCCTTTATTCCCTGATGATCTGCTTCCTATGTGGGTTGTGTCATACTGGGCTGCCATGTCACATGCACTCGAGAGTCAGTGTGATTGGCGCACATCTTATGACTGGGTCTTAGACCGACTTGATGTTGTTCTAGCTGATGGACAAGAGTTGGAAGTTGTTGATGAGGTGCTAGATGTCTTAGAGAGCCTTCCATGGGATGCCCCTCTCAAGGGGATTCGGCACTCAGACAGATTGTCACGAGTACCTTTAACAAATCACTATTCTTTCTTGAATCTTCCTAAGCGCCAATACACAGCACCTAAGTCAAATTCCTAACCCTACCCCGAAAGCGTCTACCAGTTCAGAAATTCCGTTAGCGCCCACGACACGTGTCTTCGATGTGACTGATGAAGAAGACGAGTTCTTTGATTGTGAATAGATTAGATAAGATACGATAAGATAAGATATGGTCATGTGATGCTTCTTTAACATTCTATGATGTTCTATGGCACAATTCCCTTTTCTATTTTATGATTGGCTAGTAGTTGTAGCTCAGTTTCAATCTCCGTTTCAATAGTTGTATATAGGTAGCACGTCTTGGTCGATAGTTCCTTAGTTCAAGCCTCTTGTATCTACATTGTAGCAATCCAAGATGTACTTGCTCCTTTCTCTCTTGTCCGATAACCTTAGTCGAGTCCTAGTCTCTGCCCAAGCATTAATTCGTTATTTGGGTTGTGACACAGATCTAAGGACTATGGAGCTCTGACCCTGTTGCCATCATGCCTGATTCATGGATGTGTTTTGGACTCCATGATTGCTGCAGTTGTCCAGCAAATGCAGGCATCCGACCTCCAGTTTGTTTCTGTTGAAACTCTTGACTTTGCAGATATCCTTTGGCTCAATGAGAAATGGTGGAATAACTATGAGACGGACAAGGCTTTCATTCGCCTTTGCACTATCGGCTCTGCATTGCATGATGGCACACTTCATCGTATTCTCTTCCCCATCAATATCAACAATGTTCACTGGGCTGTCATTGAGGTCAATACTGTCAACCAAAATATATCCTATGCTGACTCCCTTGACTGGAGCTGGCCTAATGACAACATCAATACTATAAATTGTTGGCTGGGCTATCATGGTTTTGGCAAATTTGACAGGGCAACCACACTCCAGCATGGCGAGCAGCGAGACTCATTCTCATGTGGTATCACAGCTATAAACATAATCAAGCATGCACTGTTTCACGACACATTGTTCACTGATAATAGAGCATTTTCCCTCCGCATGGAAGAATTTCTTTATATTGCTTATGATCACCTTGAAGTATGAATACCTCATTCCCAATGACACAAAATTGAGACTCACTGATATCTTTACATGTTACAGCTCTCTGATCCCAACAACAATTCAAATGATGGCAATGGCTCATACTCAGACAGCAACAATTTTGAGATAGAAACTCAGTTACCATCCCTGCCAAACTCTACCTCCGCTAAACCAAAACTCAACCTCTGTGCTTCCGATGCTGATCGAAGTGCTGGTCTGTTCCAGTTTTTCCTAATGATTTCACATGATGAGCATCTAAAGTTCATCTGGAAACCTGCTCCAGCGCTCAAGGATTGGGAGCAGCAGGAGTTGGTCTGTTACCAGAGAAGGATGGATATATTTGAGAAGACTGCTTGGAAGCATGAAAGGGCAAACAAGTGTAAGAGAAAGCAGTGAGCACGTGAAAAGGCCACAAAGGAGGTAAGCATGTATCGTTTTTCATTTCATCTTAATAACTCGCATGTTGTCTCATCAGAAACTGTCAATCGATTCATTCCTTCATGACAATTAGTGCAAGCGAGAGGACAGAGGTGCTTTATGTGTCAACTGGCAGAGCCCTCTCTGATGGCTGACTGTTGAAGTGGCTGCCACTCGTGTTGGCTATGGAATGTCACCGATTGAGATTGAGCGTGAGCTTAAGCAAGTTGATCCCTCTCGCTTTTGTGGTATTTTTGCACAAGTTATAGGAAGATGGATTGACCATAGCGGGACACAGCCAGTATGGCATGCCAATGTCCTTGCTTGTGTTCAGAAGGGAAACCTTCCCTTGACCACCGGAACACCACCAAGCATCCTCTCAAAGTACCCCAATGTCACAAAGGCCATTATTGAAGATCTCTGTGCTTTGCATACTGTTGGTGTGGCTTTGGACACAATGTGCTGTTGTGGTCTAATCATTGCTCGCCTCGCTGTCTCTTGTCCTGAAATCTTTGAGGCCACTGCCAAGGACGGTTCAAGCTTTTGATGCTCTGAGTCTTGGGTCAAGAAATTCGTACATCAGAATCTCAACTGGTCGTTTCGTCAAGCCACTTGCACTGCACAAAAGACTCCTTCCAATGCTGATCAGCTCTGTCTAGACCAATTTTATTGTCTAACGTTAACTATCCATGACTACGCAATCTTTGATGCTTCCTTCTATGTCAACATTGACCAGACAAACATTGTCTATCAACTCACAAACACTGCTACATACCAAGATATTGGTGCCAAGCAAGTTGTCATCATCAGACAGGAGGAAAAACGAGTGTTCACCATGCTTGTTGGCATCTCTGCATCTGGGGATGCTCTTTTATTTCAGGTCATCTATTGTGGTAAAACTGCTTGCTCACTTCCCTCAAAAACCATGCCACAATTCAAGGACACACAAGACTTGGGGTTTAAGCTGTGCTTCTCCAATACCAATACTTATTGGTCAATGTTCCCGCTCATGTGTGACTATGTTCGTGATATTCTAGTTCCATACTGGATGAGAAAAAAGTAGCTCATTGGGGCCCCTGATGATCAAGAATGTATCCTACAGCTAGATGTTTGGTTGGTACATAAGTCTGTGCAGTTTCACACTTGGCTTGATCAGCAGTACCCATGGATCAAGTACTGCTTTGTTCCTGGCGGCTGCACTGGAATTGCCCAGCCATGTGATGTTAATGTCCAGTGCCTGTTCAAGCTTGCTATCAAACGATCTCAACACACTGACATTGTTGAGGAGTTACTGTCTTTGCTGAAGAAAGACGAAGCCACACATGTCATCTGACTGGACACAACATTATCCACTCTCCATAATAAATCTTTATGCTGGCTTATTAACGGTTACCATGCTATTAATAAGCCCGACATAGTCAAACAAGTATGTCGCTTACAATGTCCTTGTTTTTCTTGCTGACATTGCCACACTCAGTTGTTCTTTCAGTGCAAGGCTGGCACAGCATTCAATCTCTCTTTCGAGAGCCTCACCAGTCATGAGGCTCTCCATGCATTGTGTGACGTGCAGAAAAATGACACCGCAACTTGGGATCATATCAAAACTGGAAAGCATATTATGTTAGGATGTGAGTGTAATGTATCTTCTCCCAGTTTAATGTCACTTATCTGTTTGAGTTAGTTTTGCTAACCGGGATATGTTCCTGTATTACACTTCCCTAGGTGTAGGACACCCAGTAGCTTTGCAGAAGATTGTCAGAGACTGTTTTGGTCTCAAGTCAGCTGCATTGGCAGTAGAGGCTATGGACATTGATGAATGCAAAAGTGATAATGATGAACAATGGATGGATGGTGGCATTGAGGAAGAGGAAGAAGTAGGAGAAGAGGGAGAAGAGGGAGAGGAAGATTCAGAAGGAGACAAGGAGGGAGACAGGGAAGAATTTGATGATGAGTATGATGATGACCTCTCATTTTAGTATTGGAAATATTATTCCAACCAGCCTTTCACAGTGTCACATCAATATAATATGTTCGTTATCGGTGCACTGATCTTACTTCCAAACTCTCCGTTGCATTTAATACTCAAGTGGAAATGAGGGTTGCACATGAAGGATCTTGGAAAAGTTTGATTACTCCTACTCGCAATATTTACATAGTATTGATGACCTGACCAAAAAGTACCCTCCTTGATAACTTCAAATCCTATCAACCATTCATCTTCCTGTCTAGTAGGCCAGCATGACATGTCAGCAAGTCTAAGCAATTGCCGGTGTGGGCCACATTATTATTATGTAAAGTTAACAACCTTCCCAAAGAGCTCATACACTATTTGTCCATGATTATTCTAGTGCTGTACTCATCAATAAGTCATGTTGATACAATAGCCATCTTCACAGTGACAAAGAGGTTAGTTTCTATTGTGATCATTACAATTGAGATGTTACTGTAAGTCTTTGATGTATCTACTGAAGGAAATCTAACCATTTATGTAAGCAAAGTAATTGTCACCATGTCACTTAGTTCCTTACACTGATACCCTAACTGTCTCTGCATCTACAAAACAGTGGGGATGAAATTTTCCTCCATCCAGAGTACCAGTGAGGTCACTTGTGGTGTATGAGAGGAGTCCAAGTTAACTGAGTGTGCAAGTTAGATACAGAATCACTGTGATCGGACTATCTTGTGCCATGTGCTAACATTTAATCTCCACTTTGTAAGGAGACATCGAGGAAACACCTTTCCCCCTCATATATGCTCAATGTTAGTCATCAGAATAGTAAGTGGCCTATTTTCCAGTGTGCAAAGTTTATTAATTGAGCCCCAGAGATCAAACACACTTTTCTCTCGTTCACTGAGTGAAACCCCTTCAACGTGAGCAGGCTGAGGTTTCACTCAGTGCTTTCAAGTCATGAAGCCCATTCCAGTAACTTATATGGAATGCTAAAGAAATACCTTGGCAAATTTGGCAAATGCTCTATTAAGACTCCTTCCAAGCATGGGGGAAATAACACCTTCTGTTGGATTGATGTGGAGAAGCCAACTACTCTGCACTATCTGCTATGCACACAAGACTTGCAAGAGTGGACTAAGTATTTAAAATGGGGTACAGCACCCTAGTGAGAGCCTTCAAGTTTGGCTGTTGTTTTGCTTGACTTTGTGAAAAAAGTTACAGAAATAGAGCATAGCAACTATACTTTCATGTTCAAAATGGTATGCCTTACTGTTATCTAAATCAATGGTTGCACCATACTGAGCCTTCTTGAAACTTAAGCAGAGAGACAATGACATTCAAAGAGATGATACATTAAAGCTCAACACTCCAGTTTCACACTGGGTAAATCTTGAACTAAGGCTAACCTCTCTGGTTGAGCCCAGCCTCTGCAGATCATGAGGATGACATCCAGCAGCCATGATCATCCACTGAACACACAGCCACAGATGGCTACCCAGTACTGTGCGCAGAAAGGTTCTGTACCCACTTATTTATTGTCACACTTCTCTCTCATATACATGTAGCTCAAGTAAGGAGTGGACTCAGCCCATGGTGATGACATGGGCACTCTTAAAGAGCTCGTGGCTTCATGGGTTAATGTCAACTATCATCCCACTCCACTCATTAAGACCAGTGACAAACATTATCAAGGTTTCATAAATAACGCCTGCAATAAACTGCTTTGCCTGGCGGAATGGTCTTGGGAGGATCCAGTGTGAATGGCAATCCTGTCTTCTGTATTCACATGTCCTTGATATTTGAACCAGCATCCGAGCTACCATTTATGACTGCGCCACCACTTTCATTGTTTTTGATGAGTATTCTTGTTCCAGCGGCCAATTTTGGCACCTGCAACCCTGGTTCATTAAGGTATGGGCTCAATCCAACAAATTCACTGGTCATTTCATAATTACCATTCAAGACACAATACTCAGGTAAGCTTTCATTCTTTTACTATATGACACAGCGGCTGAATAGTTAAACTCTGTCCATTAGGATACAGGTGCTTGATCTGATACATCAGTTCCAAACTATCACCCTCAAGGTATGATACTTTCAATACAAAGGTTAGCTTCCACTCTTAGGACAATGACACAGTGGGTTAATTTCACATAATTGGCAAGTACTCACATTCCGGATGACAAATACAGGGATCTCGGCTGCCACAAGCCATTCATCATTGATGTTAATGTATTTGCACTAATAGTTCCACCAATTCTCCTGCCCTGCAGCCTCCCTCTGGCTGCTGACCATTGCATGAAGAATGGCTGTTCATGATGACAATAGCATCACCATTTCATGAGCGTTTTTTAGGTATCCACCATAAGCCACATGTGGCAGCGCACCTATTTAACTCCAATGAATTTGAGTGGGGTAGTGATAGGCAACAAAGTCCATGGATAGAATCACATTCCTGGAGAACAACTGAATGCAGTTAGAGTGTCTTCAATGTATGTGCGCAGGATGACTTTCTCTGCCCAAATGGTGATTGTATTAGTGTAGGCTCCTAGATATGCACTGAAAAACTGCAGGTCATCGAAAATGAGGCAAGGTATTTGCCGCGGTATTGCCGCAAGGTTCGACCAAGCATCATGGATGCTGTGCTATTGATTGGAGAGCCACCATAAATGCAATGTGTTGCATGTTATTTTTGAACCACTGACAAGCTATATTCTTGTAGACATGAAGGGCCCTAAGGGCGGGACACATCAGTTTTGAACACGGTTGGTATAATTCTCACAATATTCTATTTTTAGAACCTGGTGTAACAATGATTGCAGTGCTGGGCTTGGAACCAGGTATTTTCATACTCATGTTAACACCCGAAACATATGCGCACATGTCCGACGCACTTTGGCACATGTCCGAGCCACTCCACATCAGATCCAGCGCATCGGACCTTCGGACATTGCATTGGCCGATCACACTTTGTGTGCACTTGTCCATCCCATATGTTTTCTGACATTCTGACCATGTTATTACATGTCTGCAGCACCTTGTGTCCTATTACATAGGACATTGGACCCAAAAAATATTGCTACTATCTTTGCCTATAGTATTCCAGATTTCTATGTACTTACTTAAATACTCTGTAGTGACCCATGGCAATTATCATCAAGTAGTTAGGAGCCATTTCCCAACTCTGCGGATCACCCAGAATATTCTTGTAGTTCTTAGTTGCATTGCTAAATATTACTGTTCATTCACCATCATACTCCATCACTTGTTATGCTCGCGCACACCACTCGCAATCTGACACTCATTACATAGTTTCTGACCTATATTTGTGAAGTCCGAAAGTCCGAAATCTTGGACATTGTACTTTTGCTTCAGACATCAGAAAAGTACCCTCAGACATCATTGTATTACTGTCAGACATCATTTTGCAGCTTCAGACATTTTGTTACTTGCATTACTGATGTGTTTATACTACTAACACCAATTAGCAATCCCTTTAGGATTGAACACACTTGCTCTGCAAGTATAGCAGCATAGGTCGTGCTAAGATCTACCTAAATATTGTTGACTAGGTAGTACAATTTCTGCTGAGCCCAGTAGAGATTTACTCTTTACACCGGTGAGCCAGTCTAACAGTTATATCTCGAATGTCAGTTATTTACTTCTTCCGAGCAGATCGGCTTCAGGGGTCTATATCCAAAATTGAACATGTATCACGTGAATGAGCATGTGGGTCACCTCATCAAGCACTTGTTGCGCTTAAGAATTCTCAACAAAGGTTTGACATAGAGGCACACAACAGCTAACCTAATTGAATGGATGCCTCAACAAAAATGCCCCCTTCTCGACGCTAAGTAACTTCTGAGGTATATGTAAATTAGAAATCCATCATCCGTGAGGTATACCAAACTTACCTTGCTTTAGTTCACGGGAACTCGGCTTCACACTGTGTCATACCTGTGCTCAATCGACTCCTGACTGGTGCAACTGAAGGACACATTTAGGCTCGATGTCTTCTTCTAGAACCCCACTCTTCTACCTCTGACCCCACCTTGCCCCAGCACATCCTTTGGATATCCCACATCAACTGGGAATCTTCACCCTCTTTTGTAGATGGCAGGTCTTGCTGGCTGGGTCAGAATTTTGGCTGATCACTACTGATCGCCTCAGCTATCACCCACAAACACAACACAAGGGTCACTCACAGCATCTTGGTGAGACATCTTAAAAAAGATACAGAGTAGTAAGTTATAGATCATTGATATGGTTGAGTTCTGAATGTAGGTGCTGCAGCTTGAAGGCTGTAACTCAAATTCAGCTTCTCCTGGCCATTTCTTTTTTCAGATGTGACCACTTTTTCCAGCCCTCACCGCATGCTTGAGTGACTCATTTCTCTATATTCATACACCTGCCAGTCATTGGGATTTTCTTTTCAAATTTTGTATGTCTCTTTTTACTTCGACGTTGTCACATTCTAAAGTTTCATAGAGTCTGTCTCTTCGCTGTACATCTAGCATCCAACACATTTACCATAGAGATTGGAGTAAACCTCCTTCTCGAAGGTGGTTTTGTACATGTACCCTGATCCAATAATGACATCAAACTTACATTAATTACTTTGTGAGGTGAGCTCATAATTTGAATGTGGTTGTCTTCGTCCACTCACATTTTCCACATGCTAGCTTTCTTGCTGTTGATTGCTTCTGTATCGATTCATTCTCTCCAATGCTTCTGTCACCAACCTCTACATGCAACCATGATTCAGCATTCTGATAGAATGCATTTTCCCTGCGCATTCAAATTTATCATTGAGGTTTTTTAAAATATTCACTGCAAGCGAGCCGTTGTAGAGATTCACATAATTACAGGCTTGCAATGCATAACACTTCAGTCCATACCACCCAGTGTAGAGATTCACACTATTGCAGGTCTGCAACACATTATACTTCAATGCATACCACCCGGGTTTGCAGCACCAACTCGCAGCATCCTTTTCCCAGCTATTTCCATATCAGGTGATGCTTTCCCATGCATGATGTTCTCGCGCTCGCTTTCCCACGCTTTCATCGCCCTATCATCCAGGAGCATCCACCCACTGTCCAGCAAGTCTCCCTGGTATGTATTTTTGCTTTTATTCGATATGGCACCATATTAGAGCACAATCAATGGTGCTATATTCTAAACTTACTGTGAAACAATCGTGTGAAGATGTATTGGTCACTCCCACAGTGCAAACAGGTAGGATCAAAGGTCAAGACTTGTCAAAAGCTTCCGTAGAACTCTTAGCCTAATATTGAATCTGCTGCCAAGGAACTCACAATGAGTATTAAACAGAATCAGAAACGGACGTCTTTGGATTTCAATACCAAGTCCCCTATTCAATAGCTAAAGCCTATCTGACAAATAACAATCCTGGCTCAGTATACTACTCAGATGTGTGAGGTCAAGCAGACAATAATCAACTCCTGAAGTCTCCCCACTAAGCTACTCTGAGCCTTTAGCGGACGTAGAGACAACACAAAGAATTCAAAGGTAAGGCTCGAGTGTATTCGCTACAATCAAAAGTACGTTAGTATCAGCAGCAAGAAACAAACACTCAGTATATATTTGCTAAAATCTATAACACGTTAGTGACACAACAATAAACGAGCACTCAGACTGTTAGCCTTCAATGGGTGGAGAGAGTGAAACAGATAGAGTGAAACAAATCCTGAGCTAAAGAAATAGATAGAGTGAAACAGAAATAAGGAAATAGATCCCAAACTAAAAGAAATAGATCCCAGACAAAATGAAATAGATCCCAATCCTAGAGAAACAGAGATAGAGAGATAGATCCCAGACTAGAGTGAAATAGATCCCAAGCCTAGAGAAACTGAGATAGAGAGATAGAGACAGAGACACGTGCACACAAACACAAACACTCAGAAAAAGAAGAGATTTCTCAAAACAAATAAGCCAGGCCTTGCAGGTTGTTGAGCACAATGAGCTCAATGGCTCCTACTGTCTCATCATTGTACCTGACAATGTTAACAACTCTTCGTGGTTGTTGCTGATGCTGATCACACACAAACCTCACTCGCAATTTTATTAAGGGTGACTCTGGGAGTCAGATTGATTGCATTTCAGGCCAAAACGGAGGTCCTTATATAGAAAAATCTATGTGGCTGTGCTAATTTACTCCCGCATACCTAGGTATATTCAATTTTCGTTTTCTCACGTATCTAGATATACTACATTATTTGTCATAGATCATAATACCTGTGTGAATCGTACGTAGGTGAACATGATTTGTCAGGCTTAGTCATAGATCAGCTGACTGTGGTAAGAGAACATGGTTTACATAATATGTTGAAACTTGTTTGTATTTGGTGTTATTTAGAGATGTAGCATATGTCATAAAGCAAAACCAGGTAATACGTGTATTTAAAGTTTCCTGGAAGTTCCCGCAAACAAACATACGTGGAAAGTATTTTTTATGGAAGCTTCAGATGCGTGAGAATATAGCTGAGTCATCTTCGAGCCAAATAACACAAAATTCAATCCATGCAAAATTCCTGAAAAATATTCACTAACACCGCACGGTCATGCACCGGACCAGTTTGGTGCAGGTCATCACAATGCCCTTGCATTGCTCGCTTTCCTGCACTTTCATTGCCCTATCATTCAGGAGCATCCATCCACTGTCCAGCAAGTCTCACTGGTACATATTTCCACATTTTTATCAAAATGGCACCATATTAGAGCATGGACCCTAATTTGCATACATTATTACATACATTATCTCCTACTCAGCTCACATAGCGAGACACATATAGGTCCACATTTTTCACTCTTTACTACACCACACTTTACCCTAGTGGAGTTCCCCCATCATGTCTATAGCTAGAGTCAGAATTTATTAGCAGTCCTTTTAGTAGTCATTCATTGAGTCCTCATCTTTTGCTCATTGCATTTCGCATTTTCGCATTTTTGCTATTTCGCATTTTGCGTTCCCGTGCCTTGCATGCATATCGCTTGCTTTGCACAGCCACTGTGCAACTGTGGATTTGTCTTCTTTGCTTTCCCTTGGATCAAACATGCTTGTCCCTGCAAGTATAGCAGACTAGGCATTGCAATAAGATCATTATATCAGCTTCTTGTGTCCCTCCCCTTGATTTATCATTTGACCTAGAGCTGAGTTTTGATTCACCTTCACTGTTCACCTTTGAATGTTTACTTTAATAATGCCATGGTCACTCGCTGAGCAGAAACATTGTATTGCAGTCACGTTTAATGACTTCCAAGTCAGACCCTTCAGTCACTTCTACTGCAGAACCTGTTAATAGGACATGTACATTGGCCTGAAAAACCTGATGTACAGAACACCAGCCGGCCTATGCACTACCTGTATAGGCCAGTCATACAGAACCATGGTAGGCCGATGTCTTATCCAAAGAATGATATCTCTGCACAACCTGTATAGGCCGATGGTGCAAAACCATTGCACCTGCAGTCTGCAGGAAGGTGTTGGCCGGCTGAACAATCGTTTTGAGCAAATGGGCCAGCCTCCTTTGGCAGGGTGTATGTCCTGGCTGGCTGGCCTCTTTCTGTCAGATGGTGCAAAACCATTGCACCTGCAGTCTGTGGGAAGGTGTTGGCTGGCTGAACAATCATTTTGAGCAAATGGGCCAGCCTCCTTGGGCAGTGTGTATGACCTGGCCAGCTGGTGCCCTTCTCCCATATGATGATGAAGCCTACTGCATCTGTATTTTTTTTTGAGGGGGGAGTTGGCCAGCTGGACATTATATTTGGGCCAATATCAAAACTATTATAATATTGGGATAATCAAACAGTGGTTGAGCTGTGGTTGATGTGGCATTCAAGTAAGTAGTCCAGAAAGATTCAAAGTGAGGAACATTAAGGCTTAAAGATAGTCACAACCATGCACAAAACAAGTTTGGTGCATATCACTGTCCAGCAAGCTGGAGTATAGGTGAAAGCCAGGTTGGCTGGCTCAGTATTACATTACCCCTGTATACAGACTGCATAGCCTGTCTGGCCGACTGGGGTATATGTGCCTCCTATACCGGCCAGCTTAGGGGTCCAGGCTACAACAGCAGGCTGGCCCATATAGAATATGGCACCATATGACCAGCTGTCCACCTCATACAGATTGTAAGGTCTATCTGGCTGACTGGCAATGGTGCCATATTCTATGTAGGCCAGCCTGCTGTTGCGGCCTATATCTCAGGGCCAGCTGGCCTAGCTGGCACCTATACCCCAGTCGGCTGGACATGGTATGCAGTCGGTATACAGTGGCCAGCTACCCATCCCACATACTATTGTAGCCTGTAATATAGGGCTGGCCTACTATTACAATATTTGGGAGAGGACATCTAACCTCATCTGGTATGTTTAGAAGTAATTATATTATGAAGCCATCTTCAATATCAACTTGTCATGCTCTATTTTTCCTAAAACCTCTTTATGCCCTCAGCTGCAAACTCAGCCCACATGGAAGCCTGCTTTTCAGCATATGCCCTATGACCATTCTTACTGCTTTCATCTGCTTTTGCTCGCTACTCCAACTCCTGGTTCTGAAACTACTGTACTGTCCAACACATTTCATGCTATACTAACTTCAACTCCTCGCTCCAACGGTCATATCGTGCTTTTGCTTTCAACCAATTCACTTGATAAACTAGGAATAGAGAATATAAGCTCAGTACCTTAATAAAAATCAGATAAGATTAAAAATCACATTTATTCATCCACTCGCTCTTCCGGCTCTCCTCTGCACTGTTGATTCGCCAAAACCAAGCCAGCCTATCAGAACTCTGACCATGCCTATTTTTCTCAGTGACTTCTTTGCTCACTGTAAGGTCCTCAGCCTTTAGGACTTGATATGGTGCCAATGTATCAGGATTAGCCTCTAAATATCGCATTGCTGCCCTTGATCAGCGAGATTCTTGAGCATGTTTGTTGATGGCCAAAGCTATTTTTTGAAGTTCCTTTGTCAATCTAGTACCCTGATGATGGACCATTTTTCCAAGCTGTCATTTGCTTGACCCTTTTGAAGCTCTAGTTCTTCTTGCCATAATGCCATGATGACATCAGATGCCTCCCATGACAGCATCCAAAGTTCTGCAACCTCTGGATGAGAGTCAGCATCATCTCTAAGGTCCAAATTACCATCTTCCTCTATGTCGTCAATTCCTGAAAAATTAAATCCTTCAGCCTCCCCCAGGCACAGTTCAGGGTCATCATATTGCAATCTCTCTTGTTCTTCTACTTTCATACCATTTGTTATGACTATAGTAGTCTCGTGAAATTTATGAATCTGAGACAAGAGCTTCTGTCTTTTTTCTTCTATGATGATTCTCTGAGAAGCAGTTGGATTGTCTGACTGTTGTCTTATAAAAGATCTTAGAGTGCCTCTAGTATTATAATTTGAGTCAATCATATTTTGTGAAGTTGAATGTCTTACTGAGCATTTTCTATATTGATACCCTCAATCAATCATGAAATGGCCCTAGTTCTACCATTGGTAGATAGTTCATTTTCAGTCAACCTCAGCCTTATTTTAGCCATGATTGGAGCTTTTGATGATTTGAAATGAGGACTAGATCAAAGTTCAATTTTACTGAACTTGCCTTTATTCATCTTAAGCTAATTGATATCAAGAAGCTCTCCACAATCAAGAGCTGCTAGTTCAGCTTGCTTCTTCTATTTCTGGACATCATTGAATTGAGAGAATTTGTTAATTCTTCATATGGACCCTGAGTATTATTAACACCCTGTACAGCTTGATGATATTTTTTCAGTAATGATTTAACTATTTAAATATCATGTTAGTTAAAGTTAACACATTAGAAGTAAAGGCACTTGCCAATTCCGACAAGCTTCTTCTAATTCAAATCTCTCATATGGTCATCCAAGACTTCCTTTCTGTGAGAGAGAGTCATGGATCTTGCAGTAGGGGAAATTTTATTAAATGGTGTCTAAAGGGTCTCCAAGATTTCTCCATCAATATGACCAGCTCCTGTAATAAAATTGAGGCTGTATCTGGCAAAGCATGGTAGCTTATGAGCACTCACATGAAACTTGCCAATTACTGGCAATATTTTGATTGATTGAGGAAGAGACAGGTGATAGCTCTGATCCATCCATTCATAGAAGTTGACACTCCACTGACATGCAACATCATAGATTATGAGTGCACTGCCAATATCTTCTGATGGATATTTTAGTGTATTGCAAATAGAATAATTCATGTTCATTTGCCTAACTAGATAGTTAGCAAAGGTAGTGATACAATGATGTAAGTATATACCATTCTCCTTTCTGAAAGTCTACTACAGAATGAGAAACAAAATAGCCATGCCTAGCATATGCTGTTGCCCCAACACCAGTAGCTCTTAGATTGCTACAAGATAATTTCTGAGATTATTTTAGATGTTATTTTCCAAGGAAATGTGTCATGAAATATGACAACTTGCCTCGTTCTTTTTGATAGATCCACTTATATGAGCTTCATAAGGTTCTTCTGTTACCATGTATCCTTTTCCATCTGCCAGTGAAACATCATCTTCAGGAGTCTTCATCTTCACATGTTGCACTGTAAAATTTCCATCGACAATATACCTTTGCATAACCAACCAACTACATCCACTAAAATTAGCTTGTTTAATGATTTTTAATAAGGAAACTTACTCATCATAAGAATCATTCCAAGAAGAGGGTAAATTGATGCCCGGTTGGGGACATGCCAGACAATAAAGAGCTAGATCCCCTGGTGCAGGAGGTTTGTCTGTCTCATGTCCAAAGCCAAACTATTTTCTTGTCAGCCCTATTATTGGTCAGCCAATGTACTTCTGCCACATTATGCATTAGGCCTGCCTGCCTCTACAATATGTAATTAAAGGTCAGCCAGCACCAGGTTTTATTTTGGCTACATGGGCCAACCTTGTTGTGCAGTATGTAGGGTTGGGCCGGCCAATATACTTCTGCCACATGGTGTGAAAGTATTAAGTCTCAGGTAACCAGTAAGTTCCTATATTGATATGTACCTGTGAAAGTATTAAGTCTAGTAGTAATGTGAGTAGCTAGACAGGTATAAAAGAATATGTATCTCACCTCAGGTGACCAGTAAGTTCCTGAGGTGTACCGCTATGTGCTGGGAGTTCTAAGTATGAAAAAGATTATGTAAGCTATATCGTCACGTGTCCATTACTATTGTCACTGATACTGATTATCCTTATCATCATTTGTTACCTTCAACACTCCCCTTCAAACGACGACACGGAGCCCTAACTTGATGGCAAAATGTTTCACCTTAGCGCTTGGCAGCACCTTCGTCAACGTGTCCGCGACCATTTTGTCCGTTGGACAATAGAGGAGTTGGATAGAGCCGTCTTTGATGCAGAATCGGATGTAGTGGTAGCGGATGTCAATGTGCTTGGTGCGTGCATGATAGCTTCCATCTTTCGTGAGTGTGATTGCTGATTGGTTGTCACTGTATAGCGTCGTTGGGTTCTCTAGTGGTCAGAAGACCTCTCCAATAAAACAACGAAGCCATTGGGTTTCCTTTGCTGCGTGAGTGGCTGCTACAAATTCTGATTCTGCCGTTGACAATGTCACTAGCTCTTGTTTCCTTGACCCCCATAGTATTGTGCCTCTGTTGACTAAAAATGCGAAGCCAGTTATTGCACGCCGGTGCTCCTGACTCGCACCATCAGCGTCTGTGTATCCGACTAGTCTGCCTCTGCTCATCCCATAGGTAAGTCCGAGTTTTCTAGTCTCCAACAGATAGCGGTATACCCGCTTGACCCCTTCCCAGTGCACCCAACCTGGATTTTCAGCAAACTGTGCCAACGTTGAAACAGCAAATGCGATGTCAGGATGTGTTCTGACTGCTAGGTACATCAGTGATCCTAGCGCTGACTGGAATGGAACTCGTTTCATTTGCGTGCTTTGTTCAGTGTTGGTAGGTGACTGGTCTTGTGAATACTGAACAGTGGGATCCATAGGTACTGCGGCTGGCTTTGCTTCGGTGAAGTTATACTTTGCGAGAATTGCTTCGACGAACAACTCTTGGGACAATGTGATTGTCTGCGCTTTGCAATCGCGAACGACCTTCATGCCCAGAAGCCAACTGATTGGCCCTAGGTCAGTAATCTTGAACTGTAAGCCTATTTCCTGCTTAAATGCGTGAATTAACTCTGACAAGCTCCCCGTTACAGTACAATCATCAACATGGGCTGCCAAGATGAGTATGTCCTGCCCAATATGCGTGACAAAGACTCCCCAGTCTGATTCCATGCACGTGAATCCTAACTTGGTAAGTTCTGCGCACAAATGTTTGTACCATTTTAATGTGCCTTGTTTAGATCCATATAATGCAACTCGAAGTTTTGCAACTTCGTCCTTTCCTCCAAGGTTGGCACCAGGTGGGAGTTCCATGCATATCTCTTCGTCAGTGTCTAATTGGCCATTTAGAAATGCGCTATGAAAATCGAATACATCGATATCCCAATCCTGGCATGCTGCTACTGCAAGGATTAGGTGCAGTGATGCGAGGTGAGCTACTGGTGTGTAGGTCTCGTAATAGTCAACACCATAGACTTGGGTAAAGCCTCATGCTACCAGCCGAGCTTTGTACTTATCTATCTCTCCTGCAGTGTTTCTTTTGATCTTGAAAACCCATTTGCAGCTGATGATGTTCGTATTCTTCAGCTGTGGAACAATGTCCCAGGTATGTGCTTCATCAAGACTCTTTAGCTCCGTACCAATGGCATCTTCCTATCTTGTCCAATCAGGTCGCATCTTCGCATCTTCTATGGTGCTTGGTTCCAGGCCTTCAACTTCACTCATTCCCACAAACATTGCATAAGTGGTAAGTTCTTCTTCAAGTCCTAGTCCACTTTCTAATCCTTCTCCAGATGCTCCCCTGGTATCACCATCACCTCTCTCTTCTTCTACTCTCTGCATTCCTCTGGGGATAATTGGATCTCCTCCTCTACCATCATGTGTGCCCTCACCGCTTCGCAACATGCACATGTAGGATGATTCTGTCCACTGATGAGAGGATTGTCTTGGGCCTTCTGGTTGCTGTTCGAAATTTGGCCCGAGTGGGTCAGCTTGAGGTACTGGGTTTGATGGAGGGTTTGCATCATGGTGTGTATTTGTTGGAGTCTGGTGATTGGTCACTTGCTGATTGGTCTTTATAACTCTACTCTCCCCTTCAAGCAGCGAGTCTTTCTGCCCCAGCATGGGTCCCTCTAATCTCTCGAATGAGATGTTTTGTTTGATGGTGATGGTCTGACGATCTTCAAGGTATATCTGGTGTCTATTGCTCTCTGGGTCGAATCCAACCCACCGACCCTCATGCGCTCTCATATCGAGCTTCAATCCACTCGTATCATGCACCCAGACCTTTGTTCCCCAGATTGGTAGGTCCCTTACATTCGGCTTCTTTCCCTTCAACATCTCATAGGGTGTTTTTCTATCTAGCGAGTGTGTGGCTGTGCGGTTCTTGACATAGACCACATGCATGATAGCTTCCCCCCAGAGGGTCTTTGGTAGTTTGCTTTCATGCATAGCTGCATGAACACGTTCAACCAAGGTCTGGTTTAGACGTTCAGCAATACCGTTGTGTTGAGGAGTATCATGGGTGGTAAGTTTTCGCTCTGTTCCTTTTGCTCGTAGGTGACGGCTAAACTCATCACTTAGGTATTCACCTCCGCGGTCCAAACAAAAATGCTTGATGACAGTGTTATGTTGAGTCTTCAACCAAGTCTCGTAAGTCTTGTATGACTCAAAGGTGTCGGATTTCGCTGATTGGAGATATAAATTCATATAGCGGGTGAAATCATCTGTGAATGATACATAGTAGCTCTTGCCACCAGGTGTCTGGACTGGAGAGGGTCCCCATAGGTTGCTATGGACTTCATCACCGAGGTTCTCGCACCGTTTAGGTTCGCGTTCCTTTCCTATTGGTTTTCGAGTGGCCTTTGCATACTCGCATGACTCACACTGACCCATCTGCATTTGATCAGGGTCAAGCTTAATCCCTTCTACCATTCCTTTTGCTATGATCTCACAAATTGCAGAAGGTGCGATGTGTGAAAGTCTTCGGTGTAGCTCATCCATTGACATCAATTTGTCAGCACCTGCGGCTCCTGCAAGTAGTCCAGCTGGGTGCCGCTTCACCTGATATAGGCCATTTGAGAGTGGGACTTCGCCAACTTGAGTCTTTCGTTCGTCAAATATTCGGCATATACTGTCATGAAATAGTGCAGTGTATCCTGCAGTGGTGAGTCGGCTGATTGATATGAGTGTAACACCCATTGATGGTGCATATAGGACATCGTGAAGCAAGATACGAGTTCTTGTCTTGCCATTAGGAACTTCTATGTGGAGGTCCCCTTTTCCAATGGCATTGAAGGTTCGTTTATCTGCTGCTTTGATGGGACAAGGACTTATAGTTTCAAAGTTGGTGAATTGGTTTCGGTATGGAGACATGTGCTGAGAGGCATCACTGTCATACAGTTCAGTCACTGTGTGATCTGTGGCTGTGCAGCTCTGTCCAAGCACAGCACTATCAACTCCCATCTCATAGGGTTCATGTGTGCTCTTTTCGTCCTCAGCCATTGCGAGCCATACACCATCAGGTTTGTTTTCATCTTTCTTCTCAGATGCAGTGTTGGCTCTGGAGCTCTCGGCTTTTGACTTCTCGTCCTTTGCAGATTTGTCCTTCTTCCCTCGCGATTTCCACCCCTTCGGCGCTTTGCCAGCTTTGCCATCACCATCCTCCCAACAATTCTCCTTTTTGTGGCCTTTCAAGCCACAATTTTTGCAGGAGTAGGGGAACTTTGACTTGAATTGACCCTTTCCCTTCCTTTCAGCTGAAAATGCAGCATCATCGCCCTTCATTTTCGACTTTCCACCATTCTGCAGGAGTAACCGGTCATATTCATCGAAAACAAGACTTGTGAGGTCATCCGTTGTAAGTGTCTTTTGGTGCAGTTTGATAGTCGAAGATATGGCTGATAGAATGTTGTTATAGCTGCGTGGGAGTGAGGCAAATATGATATTGAACAGATCTTCATCTGGGACAGGTTTTCCCATCGAGGCAAGGTCTTCACGGATCCTCATTATTGACTCGATATGGGCTCGTGCATCACCATTCTCCTTCAGCTTCATCTCTCCAAGCTGTCTCCGCAGTTCGACACTAACAACAAGCGAGCGGCTTTCAAATTGGGTCTTCAAGGTATCATAGTACTCTTTTGCTGTCGGTTTTGAAAGGAGATTGATAAATAAGCTGTCTGGAATGACTACAGCAATTTGCTGTTTCATGACTGTGTCCTTCTTGAGCCATTCTGGTAGTTCTTTCTCATATGTTGCTACTGCCTGTATTTCAGCTTGCGTTGTTGGTGACCATGGTTGTGTCTTCCCAGCAGTTGGATCTATTGGCTTTTTTTTTGTCCCATTGAGGTGCCCTAAGAGCCCTTGTGCTGTTAGTGAGAGTTCGAGTCTGGCCTTCCACAGTGGCCAGTCTTTCCCTGAAGCATCAAGCTTCGGGACTTTCAGGAACTCATCTCCCAATTTCATCGTAGAGGACATAGTGCAACTTTTGAGTGAATGAACTTTGATGTGTCTTTATTCCTTTCAGTCACAGAACGCAGGGCTCATAACCTGTGAAAGTATTAAGTCTCAGGTAACCAGTAAGTTCCTATATGTACCTGTGAAAGTATTAAGTCTAGTAGTAATGTGAGTAGCTAGACAGGTATAAAAGAACATGTATCTCACCTCAGGTAATCAGTAAGTTCCTGAGGTGTACCGCTATGCGCTGGGAGTTCTAAGTACGAAAAAGATTATGTAAGCTATATTGTCACATGTCCGTTACTATTGTCACTGATACTGATTATCCTTATCATTGTTTGTTACCTTCAACACATGGTGCAGTAGGCCTGCCTGCACTACAGCCTGTACATAAAGGCCAGCTGGCGCCAGGTTTTATTTTGACTATATGGGCCAGCCTTGTTGTGCAATATGTGAAAAGGTGCCAGTTGGAAGCAGGTTTTATTTTGGCCACATGGGCCAGCCTTGTTGTGCAGTATGTAAGAAAGGCCTGACCAATGTACTTCCGCCATATGGTACAGTAGGCCTACCCACCTCTACAGCCTGTAAAGGAGGGCCGGCCAACTGCAGGTTTCTTTTTGGGATGTAGTAGGTCTGCTGTAGTATGTAAGGTTGGGCTGGTGAATGTACTTCTGTCATATAGTGCATTAGGCCTGCCTACCTCTATAGGATATAGCAAGTACAATCAACCTCATTATAAAAGCTGCAATTGATGTAGCATTTTAGTAAGCAGTCCAGAAAGATTGGGCAGAAATTGCAGCTGTCTTGTGCACTTAGAAGACAGCTGGGCCAGTCATTCTGGACTGCTTACTCCAATGCTATATAGCTAGCCAGTCTTTCAGCTGCAATTGATATAACATTACAGTAAGCAGTTTCAGAAAGACTTGTCAGAAACTACAGCTTTCTGGTGTACAAGACCAGTGTGGCCAGTCTTTCTGGACTGCTTACTCTAATGCTATATCAATTGCAGCTTTCCAGTGAAGTCAGCCAAGTGCTCTTTGATATAGCATTTGAGTAAGCAGTTCAGAAAAACTAGGTAGCTATATAGCACTCGAGTAAGCATTGCATAGCCAAAATGAAACCTGTTGCTGGCCGACCCTTTGTTACATGTTGTAGAAGCAGGTGGGCCTAATGCACTATGTGGCAGAAGTACATTGGCCGGCTCAACCTTACATACTGCACAACAAGGCTGGCCCATGTGGCCAAAATAAAACCTGCTGCCAGCCAGCCTTTATTTACATGTTATAGAAAACAGACAGGCCTAATGCATCATGTGGCAGAAGTATATCGGCCGGCCCAATCTTACTACTGCATAACAAGGGTAGCCCATGTAGCCAAAATAAAACCTGCTGCTGGCCAGCTTCTTTTCACATATTGCACAACAAGGCTGGCCCATGTAGCCAAAATGAAACCTAGCACTGGCCAGCCCTTATTTACAGGCTGTAGTACAGGCAGGCCTACTGCACCATGTGGCAGAAGTATATCGGCCGGCCCAACCTTACATACTGTACAACATGAATGAAACCTGCTACTGGCCAACCTCATTTCACATTCTGCACTAAAAGGCTGGCTCATGTTGCCAAAATAAAAACTGTCACCAGCTGACCCCTTTCACATATTGCAGAGGCAGGCAGGTCAGATATAAGGCAGGAGTATGCAGGCCGACCCCCTTCTATACCTCTGTTATTTCTTTATGTAGGGTTCGGCCTGCTAGGGTCCCTACAGTGTCGGCCAAGTCTAGTTGTGCATAGACCAGCCAGTATCTGGTAGTCCAGGTTTTGCAGGCAAATGTACACATCCTATGACAGGGTTCTACAGCAGAAGTGACTGAAGGGTCTGGCAAAATTCCTCAAAGACAATAAGACATTAGATTCATGTGGTACTGTGAGTTAATCTGTTTTCTTTTTTATTTTCACTTCTGATCTTGTGTTGATTTAAAGGGAACCATCCCATACATGTCTTACCACCTTCTTAGGCTTATGGGAGATCTTCTACCTCTGACTGTGATTAATCATTGAGCCTCAGATGATCTAGAATCACTCTTTTATATCTTCCTAGAAATTACCATTATATATGAGGGACCCAGTGGCAAGAGAACTGATGAAGGAACACAACCTATCAATGCCCCTAGGTGGTGCAAAGCTCACATTACAATGGACTGAGATGGTCTTGGAACCAGCGGAACTCTTAAGAAGGATTTCTTCATCAATCAAACCCCAAAGTATGAACTGGCCTCATACTTTCAAGCTTGCCATCCCATTCTTAAAGAATGATGTAAGACAATTGGAAGTGCAATATTGAGTTTCAAGGATATCTCTCATGAAGATGTTCGTGAAATATTCAAGCATGGAATACAGAGGATAGAGAGCTTACCTGTTGTCCAAGTTGCACCCTCTTCAGTGTGGCTCGATGCCGCTGCATCACATCCTCTACCAACTTTGTTGTCTGTTGCTACCCCTCAAATGTCATCAGTGATTGCTGCACCACCAGCTTCATCATCTGCTGCTTCTTTATTGTTTTTTCCTTCTTTGTCCGCAGCCGAGGAGGCTTCTTTTCAGCCTCGTTGTTCATCACAGAAGAACCTTATGTCACCTCCACCTTCACCTGGTGTGCCACTTCCCCAGCTTCTACCTCAATGGCCCAGAAACAGCCTCGGCCTTGTCGTTCCATGCAGAGGAGGCGGACCATGAACTAACTTCCTATTATTATTCAATGATTTATTGATCTTGTATATGGAGCTCAAGAAAGTTGACATGTATATCTATTATTTTTTGTTTTTGTTTAGTAGTATGTAGAGATTGTTTAGCATGGATCATTGTATGTTGTCTCCTTGCAATTGTTTACTATAGATAATGCCCACTGGCGGCAGACTTCTTTGGTAAAGCATGGAGTGTCAGAGTCCATACTGCAACCTTGAGAAGAGTCATCAACTGGCTGTCTAAGCTAATCGCCATCAGCCACTCTGTGTACCCCATCTCATCTACCAAGTGCAGGAAGGCAGAAAACTGCTTGAGCATCCTATCTCGAAGTCCAGCAGAAGTCCAGCAAGTCCACACCATGGGCCTAATCACGTCTAGCATCCTGCAGGATATATCTGTAGTATTAAAATTGTGGATGTCCCTGATCTAGCAAGCGGTGTAAATCAGGGTTGAAAGAACCTTATATCACATACTTACTTGAGGAAGGACACAATTGAAACAGTGCTTTGTTGGAAGCATCAGGACTCTTTTCTAGCACTGGTATGCAGTGTCAGCAGATTATCTCTTGATGCACTTTGCATTGTGCCATGTCATAATAAGGTACATCATCGAGCATCCAGCAGACTCCACAATTTTCCTTGCTAAAAAAAATATCTTTGAAGGGACTTATCCCTTTCAGTATGTCACTTTGCTGGTGGTGAGTGATGGCACTTGTTACCACTGCCTGGTTCACTACCCAGGATGTGATGGCAGCAGAAATCTGAATAGCAATAGTAGGTGTGAGGCTATCAATGCTACTACTACCTGGACTGGTCCGATGGGCCTGATTGATGTACATTAACCTGCTCAATGTATGAACATGTATTACTTGACTTATGTCGTCAGGTGGTTGCAGTGTCTCCTCGCAGACATCGCAGATTTGGCAACTTGTGATGTCCAGGCAGCAGCTATTACAGACTTGGATAGTATCTGTTGACGACACTCAAACAGAGCATGTGTCATCAATGGTCAAGGACGTCCCTGGACTAACCCAAAGTTAGGAGTCTTGCTTGGCGAGGCTTCGGCAAGCAAGGTTTAATGCCTATGTCCAAATCGGGTAGCTTATGTCAAGCGAAGCTTGATGATAAGCGTATCTGCCAAGGCTTATGACACCCAAAGGTTAATCGTAAGATCTGCATTAATAGAAGGACAGAAGTCCAACTAGTAACAAGGGGCTTTGCTTGTCAACGAAGTCGATGAGTAAAGATCGAGACTGAAGACTTATCCACAATAAGCAGATAAGAAAGTAGAATATAGACTGCTGGCTAGGCAGAAGGAATCACTCTTGTTAGGAGTAGGAGGTCAAGAACCAAGTAGATTCAAGTTAAGGAACTAGATACATGGTAGCGAGTTTATATAAAGGAGAGGAAGTGTATTAGTGGATGATAACTCATACTACCGGGAGAGGAACTGGTCAGAGGATGATACTAGAAAAGGAAGGCACGTTCGAGGTGAGTCATAGGTGAACCAGAATGTGCAAATAAGAAGTAAGTCAAAGAACAGAAACAGGAAGTGAAACAAGCAGGGGCACAATCGTGCAACTGCGGAGCTAAGTATAAGTACAATTGTGCGACTGTGCACCGAGTCATAGATCAAGAAAGGAAACAGGGCAAAGGGGATGCAGCATGCATCATATCATAGGTTACCGTCTGGATGGTAAGGGTAAAGGGGACTGTTCACAGGATCAGTCATTGGGTGAAACAGAGCATGGGTATGCATCATCAGAGAAAGGGTTTGGCCAGATGTACTGGCTCTGCTGTAGCAATAGGTAGAGAGCGAAGGGAAATGCAAGGGTGATGAGGATAATAAGAGCAAGGTCCAGGTAAGGGTGTGATGCAAGGGCTGAGATGAGGGGAATAAGGAGAAAAATGGTAGGGGCCCAAGCATCTAGATGTTCTTGTAACAGCAGCCACTATCCTTGAAACCAAAGAATAAGCTTAAAGCTAAGCGCCTGCATACCTTTTTTAACAGGCAGCTACCAACCTCGCCGGAACCCATTAGTGGAGCCTCAGGCTCGTCACCATCCCAAGCTGTTAGCTGAGGTTCTGAAGTAAAAAAGATAAAGCTGTAACTGTGCCTATCATCGCTAAGCAGCAAAGACAGTGCATCAGCATAGTAGATGAAGTTGGATGGTTCGCTGTAGTAGATCACCACCCGGATTTGTGTGGCATTAAGGTTTAGCAGAAGGGCTGCAGAAGAGAAGAAAATATGATGGGCACTGTGTAATGTCCTCCATTCTTGAAGTATTGCAGCCTTGTGGTCCTGAGCCAAGTGGGCATGGAAGACATCCTTAGAAAACAATGCCACAATTTGGTTCGCTTCACCTTCACTGGGGCATATAACCAGAATTAGCTCTGTCTCTGTCGTAAGATCCTGAAGGCTCTTATTGAGACAGGCCGACAACAGGCCGACAAGATTGTTACTCAGTAGGGCCTCAAAAGCAGAAAAATAGATATTCCAAAGATCCATGCGACCACAATGGAGCTGGGCCACCAGGGGATTCATTTTGAAGTATTTGAGAAGTTTTGGGGCAGCTGTTATGGCCATGGCATAAGTGAGCAGGATAATGGGCAATCTGAGTTGTTGCAGGCATTCAAAATGAGCTATTGTACACTGATATTCCCAATATTGAAAAGTGTATTCTGTGTGACTCACAATGATTCTCAAAATATAACTCTTTGCATTCTTCAAGAAGGTCCAGAAGCTTGTACTCCCCAGGCTCTCATAACCAAACAATACAGTATGCACATCATGATTTTTAAGTTCTGAGGACCAAATCACTGCATAAAGGCCTTTCTTCTTGAATTGAGCCTTGAGTTCCTGAATGTGCTCTAAGTCTGGCAGCATGACAATTGACATCAGACCAACTTCCTCTGAGCAGACTGCAGGGAGCAGATAGAATAAACTCTTGTCCTCTCTCAAACCCAGCATAATAATGGCATGTACCATCCATGTTATAAGAACCCCCACCACATCTGCCTGTTGTCGAGACTGAAACACTGCTTGAGGACCCATGAGAAGCCAGAGGTCTCTGAATCTGTTGGGACTAATACAGCGTAGATTATCCAGCACAGCTCGACTTGTAGAAAATTGATTGATAAGAGGTGTATTTGAAGAGGGAGAGGACACAGCCATGCCATCAGCAATGGCATGATGGATGATTGACAGCATGGATATGCTAAGATAGTGTGAGATGACATGGGAGAAAGACTTAAAGTCAATCTGCTGCTTGTTCACAGAAGATAAAACATGGGGAGATGTCAAAATAGCTGAAGATACTGGAGGAAAGATAAGGGCGTGATAAGCGTGGCTAAGAGCCACAAACTTTTGCAGGTGCTCACTCAAGACGGACAGACATACATGCAATCAACCGCATAACCCCTTGCAACCTCCCCCTGGTGTCCACTCTGCTCATCAAAATAATATTCCAAATACAAATCAGCCATAAGGTGCTTGCAGTTCTTACACATAATTCCAATTAGAAGATGACGAATATTGGCCAGGTATTATATCCCATATATCCGTGCTTCTCATCCGGACCTTGGACCCTAGATCTGATCTGATCCGATATACAGATCTGCTTCCAATCTGAGATATGATAAGCTTCCTATTTATTCCCTGTTCATATAATGTTAATCACAGCCTATTCCTTCATTTGGTATTCCTTGTTCCTGGTATCTTGGTTATCCTTACTTCCAGTTATGCTTTATGATCCATTAAACTGTGCTAATTTCCAACTCGCGTTTAACTTGTGATAAACTTTGCTTATACTTTGTGCATAGCCTCGGATAGTCTTCTAGTATATAAACCCTTGTATATGCCCTGTAGTACCTCAGTTCGAATATCATCTTAGTTTGTTCTCGAGACTTAAGGATTGTATCCTATAAGTCTACATCTCCGACTCTATCTTCAGATAGTCTATACTCTGTTGTTTTCTAGTCCGGACCTGTCCGGATTAGTCTTATGCGTGTTTCCATTATCCGGACGACCTTCAGATATCATTACAGTACTCATCTGATCCTCCAGACGTGTTATATCTCCCTCTCTGAAATAAGGGGCAGTACTTGGGAAAGTGGCACAGCATACGAGCTGAGGCCGAAGCCCTATTGGATCTGTTAATATGAGAGTACGACCTTAACACCAGGCCCATGGGATGACCCAATCCACCCTCGGAGACAGGTCTACTGGTATGAGCAATGAGGATGTCGGAGAAATTGTCTGAATCCCATGACCCATGCAACCTGGTGAACAAGTGGTTTTTGTATCCAGTGGAGAGCTTAAAATTTTCCCCATCTAGGCTGAGGTAAAGAGCGAGCATAGCTAAAGTCTGGGATGAAGGTTAGCTACAGTATAGAAATGTGACAGAGTGATCAGAACCTTTGGGATGAACGTGAGATATGCTATCATCAAGTGAGCAGCTTCTGGAGGCATGCTCCATGAAATGACACACTCCTTCTCCTGGTTGGTCTGAGTCTTGTTGTAGCAAGACACAAAGTTTAAATAGCCAGAAAACCAGTAGATGTTCCTAGAATGAAGAGTGGTGTTTTTCCAGGACATGATGGCCAGCTTAGTGCCTCAAGCAGGCTGTCCAGAACCCAAATGATACAGAAGAAAAATCTTTTGGAGGTAGTCCCCAGAATCCTTTATCCAGTGCCTGGCTTTGATGTGGTTCCACACTATGCCGCTAGAGTTGCGTGTCACAACAAAATGGCCCATGAACATTAACATCATCATCACTTTCATCAATGCTGAGTCATGCTTGTAAAATCAGTTCTTTTTGTCAGAAATAAATGAGTAGCCTGGTTCAAGGTTGCTTAAATCGTCGTGAATGTGCTCATGGTCAATGTTTGGTAAAGAAGCCCTAAGGAGTACAACATTGTATAGCTGAACCTTTGTCTCTTCCAGGAGGTTATGGTACATGTTCACAAAGTTGGCGATGGGAATAAGACATCCATCGAGACTGAGAGCAGTGCCTTCAAGATCTGCCCACATCATTTGGGGAAGCAGGGACATGTTGGCTGTAACAAAAGAAAGAAAATGCCCTATCTCCAGCAGGTAGCCGCAAAGATACAGACAATCTTCTCTCAGCCACCTGTGAACTTCTTCGATCAAGCTGTTCGTCAAATCAAATCAGTCACCGGTCAAAGACAAGAGAGAGGTAACACTCATGCCTGCAGATTGTTTTCCATAACAAGAGTGGGAGCATGTTCAAACAACAGACAAATCTGATAGAAACCCCCAGCTCTCAAGCACCACCTCAACTCACTCAGAAACGGGTCAGATATTTGAATTTCCCCTACCTCTTGCCACAATAAGATATTTATCTACCTTGATGCTCATCATTCAAACATTCATGCTTGATACAAACATATGGACTATTTACTAACAACCTACATGTATGGTACATGTGCATTGTACTTAGAATAATTTTTGATTAATTCAGTTGCAAATGAGAGAAGTTCTATCGTCGGCATTTGCCGAAACCTTATGTTTCAAAACTATACAGCACTAAATTGGCTACTCACGTGCATGTAGTGAAGTCCGTCATCGTCAAGCACCATGGGTAAAGGTAAGGCTGCTCACACTCACAACCCCCGCATGTTGACCATCGCATCATGAACAGTTCACGGATCTCTCGCGCGTGCCGGTAAGGTTAAGTCGCAAACACCAAAAGTTGACAAACAAGAGAAGAAGAAAACGCCAAAGGGCCGTGCTAAGAAGCGCATCTTGTACAACCGCAGGTATACATATAATCCAAAACATTCTGTAGTTCAAGCTAACCGGCCTGATAGATTCGTGAACGTAACGACGCTCCCTGGAGGCAAACGGAGAATGTGAGTACTATATCCTTGATGATATCGATGAGCCGATCCTTCACACGCATCGCTTTCCCTATTCCTCGTCGTGATCTCAAAGTACTAATGAAACATATTTACTTTTTCCAGGAACCCCAACCCCGAGAAATAAATGTACTCGAGAGGCATTCTCTCCCTCGGCTGGCGGGCCGGCGGACTACTGTGATGATAGAAGTGGAGGACAGGAGGGGCCCACCCAATCATTGTTTGGCAAAACTTGCATCTTTCTATATCTTGTCTCCCTTTCCCTTGAATTGCAAGTGCAGCGCTTTCTGCATTTCAATCCCACTACTCGACGTTGGATTTTGGCTTCAGTTGAGCATTCACTCTGCAAAAATTGTAATTCCTGCATCATTTTTATGCTATGATATGCGCTATGTCCAAACCAACACTATGGCAGTTGTAAGATGGGTGCTGTAAGTTCAACTAACTCATTTCATTAAGGTCTCCAAGCTGTCGTTATTTTGAAAAGTGTTTGGATTCTCGATCTCATACGACGTGAATCGTCATCCAAGCCTTGTATGGAGGACAGTACTTGCAAAATCAAAGATAACCTGAGGGACTAGATACAGGTCCACAATATTGTCTTTTCTGTGTTGGTTTTCAGGGTGACATGCATGTGTGTAGCGAGATATGTCAACTTCAAGCTCCGGTCACCTTGATTTGAGCCTAGTAAGTTCTGCCTCGAAGGACTAGTGTTCTGACCTAGTCACTCCGTCACAGGCGATGTGCTAGCCTCCGCAAATTCTTGATAAATATCCACCCCTCTCCTCGGCAGGGCTAAGAGGAAGAACGTTGTCTGAGGACCGAGGCACGCTAGCAAGGTCACATCTGAGAACCGACCCAAGCTCAAGAGGTTCCTCGAATAAAAAAAATATACTGTTCGAGGTGACCATCACAGATGAGACCGTAGCATTCATGCCACTCATCGTTTCTGCTAGTGCAAAGATGAGGCGGACATAGCAACGATCTCGGTTCTGATGAAAAGAGGCGTCGACTCCAATGCTGTGAAATTGAATGTACTGCGGTTAAAAGCGCGAGAAAGCTCATCAAGGGATGTTGTATCCACAAGCAGACTGACATCCAGTCATTCATGATGAAATCCGGTTCTTCTCGAGCATTAGAAAACGCAGCATGTCGAATCCGGGTGGGTGCAGCCCATACAACCGATAAGCGCCAAAGTAGGAATGTTGCTTGATAGAGCTTCCTAATTCCTGCATGGCACTCAGTGCGAGCAAAGCATCACCTTCTGTTTCTTTGTGGCCTGCTTCATCCACTAGGTAGTTGATAAACGATCAGATTCTTCACGCTGGGCATAAGTCTGTTATTGTGACGCCACCTCAGATCGCCATCCTAAATCAAGTCTTCATCCGCAAGTGAAACCCAATGGAAATTTCCGCGGGCAACCGTTGTTCTCAGAGCTGTGCGTGTGCCCTCTATGTTCGTCGAGCGGCTTCTTCCTGTGAATCTATATGCTGGTGTCCAGGAACGCATCGCGAGTGAAAGAGCTCTTGCCTCCCCAGCGATCCTGGGGATACATGTATCTCAGACAAAGGTCTTGACGTATCACCATATATGCGTACGTAGATCGAGATCCCACAACTATTGCACGACAAGTACTTTCCAAGATGCAACCTTGACAATTTCCAGTTTTTTTGATATCTCTAGCGTCCAGCATATCAGGCAGATAATTTAATGAATGCGCCATCAGGATTCAAAGCCGATCTATCCGGGAGAACCTTTTCGAAGATACCTCCCATTAGGTCTGCTCCTGGTGCCTGGAAAGGACTGTCCGGGCGTTGAGGGTCACGTTGCGTAGAAGAGGATGTTGAACGTGGTGATGCAGATGATGATGCTGGATGCTGTCATTTGCTGGGTCCAGATGTTAGCGCTGAGGAACAAGCCAAATAGGAATAGTGAGATCTGGAGGAGCACGAGGAACACATGCAAGACGGTCTGGAGGTGAAATGCTCCAGCCCATCCAATTTCCTCTGTTTGTGCATGCCGCGTTCTCCAAAGACCCTCGTCCACGAACTACCTTATAAACGTCGAGCCACTGCTTTTCCAAGACAGACCCGAACGTGGCCAGACGCTGAACACGAGGTTAGTAGCATAGATGCATCCAGACAGTCGAAGAACGATATGTCGTAGACGAGGGAAGATTGCCGTTAGTCGTAGCGTTCGGGTACTCAGCAGTGGTCTGAATCAGATAGCAAGAGGATGTTTGTAGTGTCTCCTGAATCCAAAAACCTTTTCGTCCGAGTCAACCTTTGATCCAACCTTGTCAGAACTCAAGTGTCCCGTACAGAATAGTTGAGACTCACATTCTTAGCAGGACTTCCCTCGACGACAGCTAGACGCAGGCGAGAGAAACAGTGGAACTTGAAGTAAATAATAGTTGTGCTTGGCGTCAAAAAGTAAAAGTTGATACATGGTTGCGGAGACACTCATTGAGCGATAGAAGGTCTACTACTTGTAGCTTGTTCTATCAAAATCCTGCTCGAGAAGCTCCAGCCGTACTAGCCTGAGACAAAACGGCCTTGAAGAGTAGCGTAAAGAATCATCCATATAGTACTTAAGTACTATGATTATGATAATCTTTGCAATGAAGAAACCAGTTTCGATGAGATTCGCCGCGCCGTGACCTTTGCAGAGATCAACAGTACTATATTTTGGGCTCTAATCCCTACCTACAACATAGCAGTAAAAACAGCAAGATGAAGCCATGCCCGACAAGTCACAAATAAGTATAAAAACTCGAAAAATCCTGGCTCGTACTAATGACGAGCACGTTTCCTCCTGTAAATAATTTCATTCGATGGGCCCTGTTCTCGAGGGGCTTCATCTCCGGGGGTATTCACGTCGCCATTGGCTTCGATAGTTTCTTCAACTCCACTCTTCTCTCCAGCGTCATCTTCATCTTCGTCTGTCCTCTGCCGCTTTCGTGTAGGTGGAGGGGTCAGGCCATTAGATACAGGAGGGACAGATGGTGTCTTTGTCGGTGACCTGCCATATGTTGCTTGAGGACGAGGATGGCTCTTCGGTGTGGCTAGCTCTTGTTCGTGCTCCGCCTGGACCTCCGGCTCAGGTTCGGGCTGTTTACTAGATTCTTCCTGGATCCCAGCCTCTGGGTCGCTTGTTTCAAGCTCCGACAGAGATGAGGTGCTAGGAGAGCGCTGGCGGCGTAGAGGACGCGGTTTGGGGCGTGGTTTCGGGACGGGAGGTTCTTCCTCAGCTGGTTGAGGTTCTGGTTCGCTTTCTGATTCGTCGCTGGTGACCATTGCTGCACTCTTTGCGCCTTTAGCCTTTCTACCCTTTGCACCACCTGGTAGAGAGGATGAGTCAGTAAGCCTGTCTCAAGTACGTAACACGTGCTTTTATCCTTCGCCATAATTGAAGACAACTTCTTCTCGTACGCTCGCTGGGGTTCCCAAATTTTGGATGATGGCGGAATCTCGATCTTAGCCTGGGCAAGAACTTGATCCATATGTGCTTTGCTAAATCATTCTGCCAGTTAATCACCCTTCCTTTTGAAGCACTTGTAACCTACATCTTTAAGGCGTCTCGGCTATCGACAGCTGCCAGAAGAGGCTGCAAGACCCTGAAGAACACAATAGCCATTTTGCGTGCCTTTTTATTCTTGGCAGTTTCATATGTGCCAATGCGCTTCACAATCCAAGTGAGGAGGTTCGTATGTATTTGCACGATGTATTGGCTGTCAAGCTTCTTGATAATCGAGAGCTGTGCACCTCGGATCATGAAGCTCTGCCCGAGCTGCTTGGCGAGAGCAACCACATGATCTTCCCCGCGAACAATAGAGTCAAGGACAAGTGTAAATGACTGGAATAAGTATTGTTTAGCGACCGTCTGCAAACAACGCGCACAGGACATACCTCCTTCAGTGCCTGAGTCACAACATCAACCACAAAATCGCCATTCTCCCGGTACATCCCTTCTTCGCGCAGAGAATCGATGATTACCTTAGTGCAAAGATCAAACGCAGGTCCAAGCCTTCCATAATGCGCGAGTAGTATAGCGCCGTGTCTCACATGCACAGCGCCTGCCCGGATAGCCCTTAGGAACGTGGAAATCGTTCCCATAAACACGTACTCTTGTTCGAGACGAGTGCGCGTCAGTGGCTGCTCTGTATGTCGTAACCAAAAATCTCAGCGATCTACGAAAGTGCCTGGCATAGAAACTAACCTTTGATGACAGGCGACTTGGCTTTAATTTTGCCTTTCTTGCCCTTCACAGCCACATTCTCCTCGCCTGAGCTTTCTCCGCTCTCACTTGCCTCTTCTTCCCCGGGTGTTTGTCCATCTTCAAGAAGCTCGGCATACTGCTCGATCGCAGCTTGTATGAACCCTGCACAGCGATACTGCACTTCGTCATCAAGCTCAAGGGGCAATGCAGCAGTCGGTAGCACACGTCCATCCGGTGTCGTTGTCTGTTCCGCGCAGAAGAGAATGTGCAATGTCATAAGATTCTGGAAGGCCTGGAAAGGTGTCAATATCTTGTCAATATCTCCTGGATTGGAAAACTAGTGGAAGAGACATACTGCACGTTTGACAGCTTCGGCAGTATTCGACTGCGTACCAACTGCATATTCTACCAACTTCTCGAGCAGAGAGTCCCGTTGTTCGCGCAAAGTTTCTATATACTTCTCATCTTCGGATGTTGCCTCCTTAGCATCGGGCAAGCTCCGTGTCTTCCACATAATATGTAGTCCCAGGACCTGAAGCCCCTGCTCAATCATCTGCATTATTCCAATTAGTCACTCCGAAAAAGCACACAAAATAAAACGCACCCTCTCTTCTTCCCTATACCCCAACCGTCCCCGCTCTACAAGTGCAGCGATAATATCCCACACACAACTCTGCTTCCCGCCCTCACTCTCTTCCATCCACCCACACATATCTCTCGTCCCTATTAGTGCACACACCCGCGCGCACACAGCACCTAGCGCAAGCACCTCATCCTCGTTAAATCCAGCAACCTCGATCTCCTCGCGTCCGCCTACAGCATCCCGAAGCTGCGCTGCAAGCTCGTCCTCGAGCTCCAGAATCTTTGTGCTGTTGGTGTTGCTGAGCGAGGGACAAGACAGAATGTGCATGATGCAGGCGACAGCAGAAATGAGCACATTTGGGGCGGAGTGGGACAGGAATTGCTTGGTGATGTCGTCCCAGAGATTGGCGTAGGCCTGATGATTACACGTAAGTATCGCCGAATTGGCAGAGAAGAGTGTCAAAAAACGAGAAGAGAGGCTAAATGATTTCCGAACAAAAAAGGATCAAAGGTATTGAACACAACTCACAGTCATCATCCGCATCTCTAGATACAATTCTACGTTCATTAAGGGTGGTATTAGCAACACATTCGCAATCCGGTTGGCGTCTGTTTGGTACTTAATGAACATCCTCGGTAGACCCTTAATCAGTGCACGAGTGAGATCAGAGATCAGCGTTTCGTCCTCGCCCTGACAGCAATGAATCTTAGCCTTCAAGTTATACTCGATGACCAGAGGCACTCACCTTTTTCGCAGTACCAGCGAGAGCTTTGGCTCTTCGGAGCGACGCAATGAGCACCTCCAGCAACACACTTTCCTCTGTCTCAGTCAGACGCCACGCCTCATCTACGGTGGTTTTCGCAGAAGCAGCGATGGAGTCATCCGCAGCATCCAAATCCTCCTCGCCCCCTCCGGCAGAGTGATCGAGCAGTAGCATCTCAAGAAGCCCCTCCCACCCGCTCGCAGAATCTACGTCGTCCCACAGAGCCTCCACAGCAAGCGCTGTACGCCCCTTAATGTCTGTGCTCATATCCATGCCTCTCTGCGAACCGTCCTGGCTCCCGTCCTCTTCCTCCACACGCTCACGATCCCAACGCACAAGTAGCATTGCCAGCGCCTTGGCGCCCGCCCGTTCTTTTCCTTTCTGGCCCACCTTGCGCCCCGCCAGCCGTTCCTCAACAAGTTCATTCCAGAGACCCGCAACGAATCCTGCCACCGCATTCCTCACGCGCACCTCACCATCAAACACGAGCTGGCACATCTGTTCCCGTTCCTCATCTTCCAGCAAACCGTGCTGGTCAACTGCACCTAGGACACCAAGCACAGCGGTGCGTACGGCTAGCTCTGTATCGTGCACTGCCATCTCAAGAAGGCGAGGCTTGAAGCGAGCGGTGAAATTCATGAGGCCACCGATGTACTCAGCCTGTGCGTAGACTGCTGATAACGCACGGACAGCTTCAAGGCGGACGGACGTGGCACTGTCGGAAAGAACCCATCCAACGTAACGTAGGTAGGACGCATCGAGGAAATGGGCAGGGTAGTGTGTAAACCAATGACCCATTGCACGCACGCACTCAGCGCGGATGTGAGGGTCAAGATCGCGGTACCTGTGCACGAAGACACTGGTAAGAAAGCATCAGTTAAAGGAACTAGAGTGAATAGAGTGAATGAGACACTTACCCATCCACGATCTCCTTCAGATACTCTGCAAGGGCAGCACGACGTTTCCTCACCTCCGCTGCCTTGCCGTCCAAATCTTTCTCCCTCACATTTTGGGCCTTATTTGCTGCGCGTCTTTTCCGTTCTCCTTCGCGCTGTCGCCCAACAATTTCCGCCTCTTTCTCAACTGCTGCTGCTACTTGACACAGGGCGGTCTCCACTTCCAGGGCGACTGCCGTTGCCGTATGCCGGAACGCTCGAATCTGTGAACTGCTCATCGCAACGACCCAGGTCTGCAGTGTAGTTACTATATCACTCGTGTATAGCGCTCCGACGTCGGCTGCACTCAGAACCAGGCGTGAGATCAGCTCACTTAAGGACGCTCGGAAACGCTTGAACATTGGCAACTTGGATGTCAAGGGGTATATTGGTGAATTTTCCTAGGTGGTGTGAGCGATAGTTTATGTTTCAAAGTGCCTTGCTCGTACCTGTTTCAGCCCCTCAGTAAAGTTATCAAGCGAGTCGACAACACCGTCATAGTCTAGAACTTCATCTGCATCCACTGAGTCATTGCACCCACATGCCCGTAGAATACAGTTGATAAGCTCTGCCTGAGCAGCACCCGGAGTCTGGGCTAATGAATCCAAAAAGTCTTCTGCGGTGGACTGCAGCGCCGCGGACGGATTCATGATAGCGTCTGCAAAAAAATGAGCAAGGTAGATGCAAGGTATTGGTTTCGTACGCACTAAAAAGAGGATTGTCTGCAGAAATCTTGGTCTCAGTCGCCAGCTTGTCTGCATCGAAGTCTCCGTTGGCTCTAGCTTTACGTTTGGTTGGTTTAGGGGTTTTCTGAGGCTTCGTTGCAATATTCTTTGCCGTGCGTGGTTTCTTTGGAGGTGGAGGGCCCTTAGATTTCGCCTTTGCTTTACGCGGCACAGTGGCCTTCTGCTTTCGTTTGGCAGGGCGGGTGTCTGGTTCATCATCGCCGTCGTCAACTCCGTCGGCATCGTCCTCATCGTCTGCTTCAACATCAGCGTCACCCATTTCTTGTGTGTCTGCCTGGTCGTCCTCCTCCGCATTGCGCTTGCGCTTGTTCGGACTTTGGCTCCCTACCCGTGTATCTCGAATCAACGGTACCAACGATGAACATGAAGAGGCACGGACCTGAGGCATAGGGTTTTACTTGTTTTTTATCGCGCTGAGAGCGTCGTGGGGCTGGCGAGCCCTCAATGTCAGTCATTTTCTGAGAAAGTTGAATAGTGGAGTAAGTATTGAGAAAAACAAGAACGCGTCCGAAGTCGCGTGGACGCGTCAATCAACTCTTTTTGCCAGGATCCTCCCAAATTATAACCCTAACCCCAGGTTCTCATTTTTTTTTTTGCTGTTGTTGAACCGTTCGTATAATCGTATTACTATCGCCGCGGCAGCACTCGCGATTCGCCAATCCAATACGCCAGCGAGTCCGGTTATGCCGAGAGTCATGTACAAGGGTCATCTCAATGGTGCTCGCGATCGACCGTCGATGTTCTGGAGGGAGCGATTTTTTTCGATTGTTGACAACCTTCTCAGTCAGGTTGCTCATAACATGGCTAGAAGCCTTTGAAGACTCCAGTATCTTGCACTCAACCGAGTCAATCATGTGGTTCTCTCATCCTGCTTCAAGACCACTGTCTGTCCTCTGTGGTCGATACAAGTTGATCGGTCGTGAGGGGATCAGTTCGCGGAAGATACAAAGCTCGACTTTTGAGGTGCGCATGACTTCAAGTTGGAGGTCGTGATACTGGCAACTACCCGTAAGTAGTTCCGCCGCACGCTTTTGACCTTGCGTTGCCACTGATGTTCTTTCATGGAATAAGTACAACATAACCGATTCCAGATGTGTCTAATTACCTGGCTCTCGGGAAATATTCCCACTGTAGTTCCTGCTCATGTGTTTCATATCAGGCTTATCGATCATCTACAATCAACTACAATAGGCGCCAATGCAGAGGCCAATGGGCGCCTGTCCTCGATTCAACTTGACGCTGCCAAGTTGCATTTTTTTACTGTCCACACGGACCCCAACACTAGTCGCGACTTCGCGTGCCACTCTTGGTCAAATACAGAGTTGGTACTTTAGAATTTATGGTGGCCGTGTTTGAGGTTTTGTTGTAGGTTGCTACTACTAATGTGTTTGGATCATTGTCTGTTTTTCCCTGCTGATTTTTGACGGCAGGGTCCAGACTCCAGACGCCTTCGCTGTTCTGTGGGCTTTACGGCCGAGCAATCTTTCTGACGTATGTGTAACAAAAGATTGCGTCTGAGTAATTCAGAGCACCATGATGTTGCCAGGCAAGTTCCAATTAGTATTTATTATACGTAATATTGCTATGGTCTGAACTCCGAACTTACCCCAGTTATTCTATCCTTACCAAGCCCCAGGAGCTCATGGGCGATTGTTTGTTCGCAAGAATTTGGAAACATATCGAGCTTTGACAAGGGGTTTGCAGGTTCATGCGATTAACACTGTTTTTGTCGGATGTTGTCTGGGATAAATTTGCGCCTCGGATATTATCATGTGAGCAACTAAGTCTCTTATATTTATACCTTTTGTCGTTCAATGTCTTGTCGAGAAATGATAGGCGCGTGACGGTTGTTACATTTCTATGGTGGTACTTATTGACATGAGCGCACTTATTTTTAGAGGTATTGCCAGAGCCAAGATTTTTACGAACAGCCATTATTTCTGCTCGTTATAACGTATATGTGAAGATGCGGTGTAACTTTGATGCGTGTACCTGTCAAGACATCATATCGTGGGTGTGAACATGGTAGGAACGGGTGAGAAGCATAGCAAGTGTATTGCGATGCCATCGACGGGAGCGTCACAAGACCTGGAGCCCGCAGGACTGAGCTTATAATGTTCAGCATTTGTCTAGGTGGGCCTAGAATTCAAAGCGACCGATCTAGATGCCGATATGATTGCCAGGCGTCGAGCCTTGACTATGAATTAGGGATGAGTATACCAGTATCTGAGCCGACATGAGAAATGCTGCCGTGAAGCTTTCAAATTTGGCCTGTATGTATATTTTAGAATCGACAGATGGGCGTGCGTAGTACATGTTCGCAGGAAGGCACAAGGTACTTTCATATATACATAGATGAGTCATGACCACATTAAAATTGTGATGATAGTCATAGATCATTCATGCGTAGTCTTAGGTCGTTAACTTCTGTGCGACCTCCGAACAAGCTCTGGTAGATGCTCCAGGATTTTAATGAGCTCTATAGCAGTGATACACCAAAATTAATCATTGGCTCAGTAATTAAACCTCGGATCATGAGAAGGATACCTGAGTATTAAGAAGGTTACGAAGGTCGGTGGAAGGAGATAGCAACGTGGCCAACTTGCATGAGTCCTAGAAGTGTAAGTACTTAAACTGCAGGCACCAAAGCGGAAATTATAGTTGAGTCGTTTGAAGTTTGAACAGGGATGTTTATTTATCCTGTTTGAAGGGTCTTCACGGGGTCTCGGACCTGGAGCACCGCCGTAGTGGAAGTACTCTCGTCACCTTTGCTATTTTCTTCAGCGCTTGTTCTTTGCGTCCTATCAAGTCAAACGACGACGACGACGAACGAACCAACGACAGCGACGAATTCGTTTTATTGGCTACTTAGATTCTACTCGGAGGTCTACTTCTCATGGACCCGAGTAGTAGCGGTGAGCACCTTGCCCAAGCAATTGGCCCGTGAGTCCTTCTTCGTCTTCCTTTCAATCACAACCCTTCTTTTTTCTTCTTGCTAATATCCCTGCAGACAAGTTCGCTCTCGTGTAACCGTCGTTTGCGCAGAGGTTTGTGCATTTTTTCATTGCTGTGCTAACTCACCTACTCGTTTAATAGTGCAAACGTCTTAAGCTGAAATGTGATCGTCGAGCCCCATGTGGTTCTTGTACCAAACGCGATACGGTCGCCAGATGCATATACTCCCCTGCTGCCGCTGAGAAAGTGTCCGTTCATGCCTTCCTTCTTCTCTTGCCAAATTTGATTCCCCCATCCCAATAGTGACCTTCACTCCCTCAACAACAGACTGATAGCAGTCGAGTCGCAGCTCGCTCAAATATCAGCACCGGGTGTCCGTTTCCCTTCCTCTTCCTCATCGTCTACAATCATACAATTACCTATCCACACCGTCAACTCGTACAATCTACACGAACCCACCATGGACGATATTACAGCTATTTGGTCGGAAGAGATTGACATGCCAGAGCCGCTACCAGGACAATCGTCTAGTTCTGATTCACGGGATGGGTATATTAAATCTGAACCTGCATCTCATTCATCACTGCTCTTGCCTTCTTCCAATCCCCAATCATCCCTTCCTCTCCCCCTCCTGCTGCCTCCAATCTCCTGCTACTATGCCCCACATCCATCCTCATCTTCTCCACCCGTTTTCATGAAATCCCTGCTTTCCCATCTCCCATTCGCCCCACGCCGCCGCACTCGTCTATATGAACATGCAGAAGAAGCTCTCAGGATGATCCCCGGGCCTTGTTTCAGCTGGCGCGTCTGGAAAGAGCGAGCAGAAGGCATATGGAGGTGGGTGGAGTGTGAGAGCACATCATGTTCAATGAACAACTCATCAGACGAGCCATCTCGTTTGAGTGCATCCTTAACGAACGCGAGCACCTCAAACGCTTCCTCTCGTACACCCGTGGATACAAGTAAAACAGACACAGCCCGCACTATTTTTTTCGGTCCACCCCCTGCTCCTCCACCTTCGCCTCCACCTTCGCAAAAGGCTCTATCCCAGACTTCAAGTAAAGTTCATACTCCGTCTCTCCCCTTGTTCGCATCTGTTTCGGGTGCTTTCGCCTTGGCATTATTGGTTGAAGAGAGCGCCGCCTTTCAGAGCTCTAGCCCCACTCAGCCCGGACCTCCTGAATCAACAGGACCTGAAAGGGCCGCACACAACGACAGGGTGTGTACCTCACTAGGGCCAAAGAAATCAAGGAAGGATCCGTCACCGAAAGAAAACCTCACCTCTCCTGCACTTCTTCATGCGTTGTCTCGACAAGCGCTCTGTGTGTGGGAGGGTGGTGTGGCCTTGTCCAATTCAGGGTCGAATTCAAATAGTGCACATGCGAACGAGTACGACTTGGATTATGTATCTGCGATTGTGCTCGGTGTGCTGTTTGTAGTGCTTTGCGATAAAGGATGTACGACGGAGAGACATGGAAATAGAAGTGCTTTGGGCAATACGAAGGAAGGGTGGATTCTAGGAGAGGTGAGCCGTATATTCCCCTTGTATCCAATCTTTTGCGATCTGCGATAAATCGGAGTGGGCATGTGACTTCTTGATAGAAGTTGCGCACGGAGCCTTTCAGCTTTACTTCCCTGCTCTGGAACCGGCCTCCACGATCCGCAGATCCTTCCCATCACATCATGATCATCATGATCGTTCCTTTTCTGGGTGTTGACTGTTCTTGTGCGACCGCTTCCGTCGCATATCGACTCTAATGTTCATGTGTTTGAATTATTCTCTCTTCCTGTCCTATTTCTGCCTCGTTCTTGTTGCATTTGACTTGGCCGCCCCCACTGTATCTCCACAATTTTCCGCTGCCTTCAGCCATAACGAAATTCCGACTGACTCCTGCTCTCACAGATCGGCAAACTTGTCAACATCGCACGTAGTATGGGACTCGGCGTTGACCCTGATCTTACGCCTGGCAAGTATGGCCTTTATGAGAGCGAGGCGCGCCGGCGGGCATGGTGGGATATCTGGTGGTGGGATGCGTGGGTTATTGAATCCCATTATCTTGACCACGTTAATTTAGTTTCTCTACAGATATACGTCCACGCTATCTTCACGTGCTCCGCTCATCCCCCTGCACGCGTTCAGCACTCGCCTGCCTCTTGACGTTGACGAGGAAGTGTTTACGTCAGCGTGTACGTCTGCACCTCTCCTAAGCCCGACGGGCAAAGAGGGCGTGGGAAGATGGTTTGGGATGAGAGTAAGGTCAGTGATGCCCACCTGTCACCTTTGTGCGTCACTGATTTTTTTTAACTCCTCTCTCACTACAGACTCGCACAACTCGTAAAAGACATCAACTGCCGCACTTCCCTATTATCATCTCTCGAACATCCCTCAGTCCTGTTATCCCTCGAGCACGCGTCCCAATGCGAAGCCGAAATCAAGCAATGGCTATTGGATCTCCCACCCGCATTTCGGATAGGGAACGAGGGCATGGGCGAGGAATCTTGCATGCCCCCTCACTCTTCCATGGCGATGTCATCCAACGCAAGTCATGGAGGCACACCACCGACACTCCTCGCTCAGCGTCTCGATATATTGATGACAACGCATAGACTGGCTATGGGGTTGTACCTCCCGTCCCTGCGTCCTCATTCGTCCCCGACATCTCAATCTGACTCTCACTTTAATGTGAGACACGAAATTAGCCCGCAGATTCATCAAGCACGCGTGGGCGCGCTCACAGCTGCGCATGGACTCCTCAGGGCTGGGAGATATTTTGTTGAGCTTGCGTGTGCACGGCCTGATTTGGTACGGAGGAAAGACGGGCTCGGATTAAGTCTTTGTTGCGGCCTCGTCTATGATGTTCATTCAGGTATACTATCTTCGTTCTCTTTCTTAACTCGGATTTCTGATCTCGTGATAGGATTAACCGGGGAGTTGAAATGGGGTATTCGAAAGCTTTGTTCGACGCATCTATCGTTTGCGCTACCAGTGCTCTCCGTGATCCATCGGCTGTATGGGCACGCACGGCTGTAGAGGATGCTAAGTTGGGTCTTGGGCTGCTTCGGGACCTTCGGGATTTTTATCCCGCACTGGATGTAAGTGTTCTGGAGGCGCTCATCCGGAAACTCGATTCGGGTGGTTCAGGCGCTGGGAGTGGGTCCAAGAGGAAGAGAGAGGGGTGGGATGAAGGTGATGGCCGGGATGCTGTTCCTGTACCTGGTGGTTCTGGTGCTGGTAATAATGGCGAGGAAATCGTTTCTCTTACCTCGATCCCTGTTGTTTCTGGCCAGGAACCCAAGCTACGGTCTCCATCTCATGTTGGTTCCAATCCCAATGCCGCCGAGAACGTCTCGGTCACGAATGATGTCAACAAGGATAATTCAGCCTCAGAACCAAGACGGACATATCCTGCGATTGTCATTCCATCCAAGTTTCCACCTCGGAAGGATCGCGTAAAAGATAGAGATCTGCTCAAGGATGGTCAACGTGAACGAGAACGGGGGGACAAAGACAAAGACCGCTCCAGGGAAAAAGACAAGGACCGCAAGAAGGCCTCGTACCCGTCTGTTGGGTTTCGCGTGCGTCCCGGGAAGGAGCCGTCTCCGCTGGCCAAGGTGCAGCCTGCGAGCGTTGGCACGCCTACGATAACGACGACACAAGGAATATCTGGTCAATTGATGCCGATGTCTGACCAGCCGATCCCAGTGTCAGATCAGCTGATGTCTAAGTCTAGTCAACAGATACCGACGTCTAGTCAATCAATGTCTGCGTCCCAGCACTCGGTGTTGTCTCAGCCACCTTCCGCAGTATCCATACAGCCGTCTTCCCTCGTCTCAACGCCCATTGATCGGTCTTCCTATCATTCTACGCCTACTTCTATGTCGCAAGAAGGCGGGGTTGATTTCTCGTTACCGTTCGGGGCTGCTTACGAGCATCAGCCTCAGGTGTGTTTCCCATCCGTCTTTTACACAGCCGCTAACCCGCTCAACGCAATTTTAGCCTGCCCAAAAATTCACCCCTTACGACTATGCCAGCTCCTCCGCTTCACCGTTTTCATATCCAGACACCCCTCAATATGCGCAATTTAGCGGCCCTCCCTCCACGCCTGCATCGTTTGCTCCTCCGTCCCAATTGCCCCATTCAAGTTACTCAGGAGCTGCTTCACAGCCACAGCCATCTTTTCCTACACAAACACAAACGCCTCAGTTTCCTGCATCTCAAGCGCCCTACAGCGAACACTCCCTTCCATCTCAACAACAGCAACAGCAACCGCCGGGTCGTTTCAGTTTTGGTCCACAGTACCCTGAAACTGGCCTTGTGAGAGATTATTATGGATCGCAGGAGAAGCAGCCCGCTCAACGACAGGAATATCAGCAGGAATATTCTGGGGAGCAGCAACCGGTGTATGGCGTCAAATCGTCGATTAACCAGCACCTCGCGTCACAACAGGGGTATGCGGGGGGACAGCAAGGATATATGGAGCAGACGTGGACTGAAGGAAACGATGGTCAGTATTGGAGCTCGTATCCTGCTCAGTCTCAACTGCGTTATCAGGAATGATCCTGCTTCCCTTCCTCTCTTCTCACTGCTCTTTCCTCACCCCTCCAGTTCCAGGTCTTCGCTTGTGTAACTAATACGCTCGTTATGCCCGTTATGCCTTCATGTCGCTCTTTGCCAATGCTTGCCATCGCCATCGCTATATGTACGTCTAGGTTACCCATCGTATTTTCCGTTTTTCGCTATCGTAACTTCCTGGAATTCGTCATTAGCCATATAGCTGCCTTCATGAATTTCTCCCGTGACAGCTCCTGTTTATTCCTTTCTGCTTATCTTGTCTATTCGTGCTGTTCTCGTCCATCCATCTCTATCTCTATCTGTGCACATATCACGCCGCTCTGACTAATGGCTGGAATTATTGTCTTTCCGTTTCAGTGTATTTTTGTTTCTTTCGTGTATTTCTTTAAATTACTATCTGTCTATATACGAGCATCGTCATTTATTAAATCCATAGACCTACTTTTGCTTCTTCGTTGTAGCTGCGCGAGTGGTTCTTAATGCTCAGGTATGCTTTTCCGACGTATAACGCTTCAAAGCGAACTTTAATAATTGCGCGGTACACGACATCAAGTACACGATACGCTTTGTCTTGAAGACACTTTTTAGTGTGTCCATTGATTTGTTTGTCTTTTTTGTTCAGTTCTCCTTGTTGACCCGAAACAGGACCATTATCAGACCAAACCTATGGTTCGCTCCACGGTGGAAGGACCTGGCCCAGACCCATCCATCACTACCACTGAGTTACTTCCATTTTCCAAGCGTTCTTCGACATGTTGGCATGCCGCCAACCATCTGATATAATCTTCGCCTGGTATCTGCGGCCTGATAGCTCAGCTGTCCCTCATCGTAATAATCCCCAGTCTCAGGATTATTTCATTGGTGACACGAATATTGCCATCTGATCTCTTGTGCCCTACTCCCATCTACTTGACATTTTTGGCACATAATGATTATGGAGCCTCCATTGTCTATACCTTGCTACTACGACTTCCTACCCTAATCAAACTCTTTCTCCTGTGATGCAAATTGATATTAAGTGTTGAACACAACATTTGTGGGCTGTGCTGCACACTTCAGTATGTTGTATCGTACATTCGTTGTGTGCCGCGCACTTAGTAATGGCCCTATCGCGCAATTATTAAAGTTTGCTTTGAGCATTCTACCCACACAAACTTGAATTTTTGCGCGATACAGCGAAGATTATATTGCATGGCTGGGGCTCTACGAAGTCAAGCAGCATGGAGACATGACGGAGAACACTTGGAAAATTGAAGCAACTCAACAGTAGTGATGGATGGGGCTGGCCAGGTTCTCGGAGCTCATAACAAGCAAACCCGTCGACCGAACCATCAGTTCGGTCTGATGATGATACACCAAGGACTGAACGAAAAAAGACAAAGAAATTGACTGACACAGCGTAGAACTAGATGGAGGTGACTGGTGACCTTCCAGATGAGAACATAGCAGACGAGAAGCAAACCCGATAATGGCCCAGTTACAGCTTTTGAAACTAAAATGAGTAATTCGGGGTGTGGTGAGTGTCACTGAATGGCGAGAGGGAGAAACGAGGAAAGTGAGCGCTGCAGACAAAGCTCATTTCCTTACAAGGCTGAATTATGTAAGCTGAATTTAGCTTTAGGTCTGAGTCCAGTGGACTCATACCGGCCCTCACATTATCGTCTTCCTAAATTTCTGAGATGTTCTCAAATGAGCTTAAGACATTCCGTCAACTAGGATTCCGACACGTCCGTCTTAGCATTTTCAATTATTCTGCAGAATACTGACTTGTCTTTCATTTCATTTGCGCCGACGTGTCCTGCCAACGTGACCCCGTATGCTTCTATCGTCCTCTGTTCCTGCAGTTTCTGCTCCAAATTCTTAACTTCGCCTCCGTCATTGCATCTGGACTCATGCTATGGAAAGGCCTTGGCCTGTTTTTGAACACAGAGTCTCCAATTGTCGTTGTCCTCAGGTGTGTATGACACCTTGAAACCTCCACTTCTCCCCACCCTAAACTGGTTAATTTATCCTATATCTACAGTGGCTCGATGGAGCCGGCGTTTTACCGTGGTGACCTCCTTTTCCTCACCAACCCTCCGGGTCAACGCTACCACACAGGCGATATCACAGTGTACAGGATCCCTGGCGCCGAAATACCGATCGTGCACCGCGTCCTGGAGACCCGAGACGTATTTATCCCATTTGAAAATTCTACGGAGAATCGCATCGTCAACAAGAGGTGAGTATCTTCGCTGTGCCATATGTGGTTCGTCGCGGGGGCCAAGTCAAAGACATTCGATGACTAACTACAACCATACCCCGTCACAGACTTGCAAAGCTCAAACTCCCACCAGGGGAACATCAACTGATGCTTACGAAAGGCGACAACAATCATGTCGATGATATTGACCTCTACCAGGGCCTTGAATGGATCGACCGAAGACATATCATTGGCAAAGTCCGCGGGTATGTATTTTTCGAATCGTTTTTATTTTTTTTCCTTCCCATTTGAAGGCAAAGCTTGCACAATCTGCCACATCTCTTTTCCCATTCAATCTTCTAATTACACCTTCAATTCACTTACACTTCATCCCAGGTTTCTTCCGTACATTGGCTACGTGACGATCGCCATGGTAAGCATCTTCCATGGATCTCTCGTTCATACCCAATCACGCTGATCATGCCACATAGAATGATTTCCCGCAACTCAAATACGCGCTTCTCGGAGGTCTTGGGCTATTAGCTATCATACAACGGGAGTAGAAATTCCCTGAGGAGAGAGGGCCCGAAAACTAGCAACAAATCATGATTGGTATAAAGGGGATTCGATGCCTTGATAGCTCAAGAAAGAATAACGAGCAGGTGATCAAACAGATCACGCAAGATTAGAGCAACAACATATGCGACGCGTGACTGAGAACATGACCGGAATCTGTTAAGAAACGAGTCATTCGATGGGTCATACTAACAAGTACAGGTCCAATCTCTTCACAGCTTTTCAAGAGGTCTTTTGGCATCGGCTCAGCTTGTGTGCATGACAATTGTTGCTATACTAGTAGTAGTACTATTAGTTCTGTTTTGTTCGTTTTGATATGTGATATCATGACGAGCCTAGACTGTATTGGCAGGATGATATCCGTTAGGACTGGGAGATCGCCAAGCTTTTACCATAATTCCATTTGTAACCCCTCCGATTTGTGCCTTCCTTGAACTACATGTTCCACGGCTGAATGGTTCCATCATGCTTCCCGCACGAAATTGTCCTCCCTGCTCAAATATATATCCCGTATTCCCTACTACAACCTTTAAAGTTACATACAAGTTCCCCAACAGCACGCCTTGTATTGTAGCTCCACTTGCGCATTCAACGTGCCGTCTAACGAAGCACTGACAATTTAGATACTGTCGTGAAATACTAGCAACAACGTTGTTACGAACTCCTTATAGTAGTCTGAATTTACAAACATCCATGCCAACAACTCAAATTTCTCGCAGTAAAAATGGACATGCTGAAGCAGAATTATATAGTTCATCACACGCCTACATTATCAAGGACCCATAAATTCACTGATGGAGTCAGGGTACACGCAGTATTATACTAGTGCCTACTAATTACCCGACTATTAAACGTGCAGCTGCATCCAGTACTTGGTATGAATTAAAATTTTATGTGCCCTGGATGTCTTTGACATGCAGACCAGGTTGACCACACTTCGCTTATCTCAATGTGTTCAGAGTCCCTACTCACGTTCTGGCAAGCTCCGCAGGGCTTTCAGCCTGTCAGTGATAATCAGTTGGACTTGGAGGCACTCCACTACACAGGTAGCAGATCTCAGCCTGAGGCAGCAGCCGGGTCAAAGGCAGCTGATGATGCAGGATCTGGAGGCATGAATGTCGAAATGAATAGCGAGGAACATGACCTGAGGGAAAATATGTGAGAGCTGGATCACACTGGACTTGTCATCAAATTGATATTGATGCTGCTCATTACAGCCTTGCGAAAGCCCCACTACGTCTCTATGACTGCGAGAATGAGGTTTTGAAGGATCAACAAACATACCTTCGAGAAACAGGGCATACCATTCCACCTTACCTTGTGGTTTCGCAAGTGTGGGGAGACATTAAACACCAGATGATCCTGCCCACTGTCGAATGGCCCATCGCTATTTCAGACCCCGCAAAGTGGGATATGATCCTGGCATACTGCAAGGCAGATAAAAGGGTCAAATGGCTGTGGATGGACGCTGTCTGCATCAACCAAAGCGACAGCCGAGAGGCAGATGAAGAAAAGGCTGTCGAGATTCCGAAAATGAACCATTACTACCGCGGCGCAATAGCCTGCCTCGTGGTGCCCAAGGACTACTTGAAATTCCCGTCGGCACACGCACAACTCGTGGATCTATCGTACAATATCATGGAATCCAACGCCTCTGTGCAAGATAATGCATTGAGGATTTGGGAAAGTATTGCGGTGCTCGATGATGTGATCGGAGATGAATGGTTCTGGAGAGCATGGACATACCAGGAGTTTTTGTTGCCAAAGAAACATGTCCTCCCCGATGGACAAGAACTGCGGGTCGATCTATTGCGACGCTTACTCGACTGGTACCACAAGATATTGCGAGACGGCTCTCTGAAAAAACCACAAGGGGGAGCCGATTACGACTTCATTCATCCAGGCAAGGAATTGGTCATCTCTGCGCCACGCAATTGGCAAACCAGAAACCTGCGTCCCCAGATGAAGGAAGAACTCGAGCAAAACGGACATGTGAACGTGATTAGCCTCATCTGGCAAACCAGTCACAAACAATCTACGTACCCTGTGGACCGCCTGTTGGGGCTTTATGGGCTGCTCAGCGACGAAGAGAAAGTAGTAATCGATCCATCTGAAGCCTCTAGTCGCAGTTTGAGCACCGCAGCGCTTGAATCTATATGGGAACGCATGATAGCAAAAGCCATAATGTCAGGACAAGTATGGCCATTACTGCACGACTCCCCGGAGTCCGACGCAGCAGATGGAAGACATTGGATGCCCCATATCACAGCCCCTAATCTTTGGAACGAGCGGTATCCTGGGGCCGCTCTCGCAGGACTCCACCTGGAAACTATACACCATCACAACCAGGAGAATATGAAGATAATTAACGATGGATTGCACATCATGGTGCGGTTTGTAGGGTGCGTAATTGGGACAAGCATCAACTTTGGGGATGGGGGAGGGGAGATGAACAAGATCATTCTTTGTACCTGGTCTCTGACGGCCAATGGTTGCAACACAGATCCGATTATACAGCAACTCCAGCATGGCCTAGCGACATCAGACGTGGTCGCATCGGAGGAGATCCAAGGTTCTCAAGAAGCACTTTCGGCCGCACTTCATGCGAGTTCCTCAGACGATTGTTTAGAACTCATGAAGATAGACTTTGGGCGAAAGTTGACTTATGGTTATGAGATTACAGGGTGGAATAAGAGGATTCTGTGCTTCCAAATCGAAGGCCACAGCACACCATTCGTCGTCTTGGCATGGATCCATTGCAGCAGCCCTCCACAAATGGGGGATTGTTGGATCGTAGACGTCACCTCGCAACCAGCTCATACGGTTCGTCGTTGGATTGTGGTGAATAAAGTGGGCCCAAAGACTTTCAGGAAGATCGGTACAGCACGTGCTTGGCAACCTATCGGTGCTATCTTAAATCAAAGTTCGGTATCTATCATCCTTGACTAGTACTATAGAGGTCTCTCTTCCCTTAATCATGTCTAAGTGAACATTAAAAATGCGAACAAGATGGGGCTGGACGTAGCTCAAATGAGAAAGGAAATCAACTGCATGCCTATGCAAGGGGAGTCGCAACCCAAGCGAAAACCTCTTGTCTCCCTTTCGCAATCTCACCCTTCTGACCCGAACTTGAGTATGCAACTCGAAGACGCTCCGTGGCAAGCTCATCTAGTAACTCCAGGTTCTTCGGTGCACTGGTATTCGATGGAGACTTCAAGTTTGCATTCTGTGCTATCCGACGAGCACACTTTTTTTCAAGAATTACATTGATGTTGAACTGAGCAAATAGCCCACGCGTGAGAGAGAAAAAAACGCACGAGTTTCACGCCAAACCACGCTCGTACAGTAATCCCGAGAGGCGTAGACTCTTGCAAAAGCTGTTCTGAATCATCAGCATCGGTCATGTCGACGACGGTGAGGAACATCTTTATGGCGAGAGAAAAGTCTTCGGAGGTGTAGGCTGTTTCAGCGGCTTGGAGAACGTAGAAAGGATTCTGGGGTGTTAGGAGCAAAACATGTGAGAGCGCCTGGAAGGAATGATCATATCTGTGCAAGAACACAAAATGAATAAGATGCGTGATGGTATTATAGAATGGAGACTCACTGGTTACACGACGCATAGATGTCTGCGAGTTCTAGCCACCCTTCAACATCCGTATAGAACGTGTCCAATAATTGCACGAGTTCGTTCGCAGCCTTTTCGACCTTTCCTGTTCTCCTCAGGACCGATATTCGCCGCTTCCAGATCGCCTGTAGTGAGAGTAAGCGCACGAAAGACACGTATATGAAAGCACGCACAACATTGGCGGAGTCGGCTTCGAGTATGTCAGCGTAGTATTTAAGGGCTGTTTCTGGAGGCTCAGTAGCTTCCATTCGGATACCTATAAGACAATCGACGCGTGGGGAGTTGGGAAATTTGTCGGCAATGAGCTGGAGGCATTGCTATACAAAAACAGTGTTAAGCTTAGAGCGATGTGAGTACGTGGAGCAGCAGAAGGAACACACATCTGCTATATCGAGTCGTCCGACGTCTATTGAGGCCAATGTGAGTTGTTCTAGGGATGTCCAGCCTGCACGAACACCAGAACGACTTGAGTTCAAATGACAGGCGTGGACGACTACGAAATGGCTTGCCGTCATCTCCCAATTTTTTGAAACTGCCTTTCTGAAACACCAGAAGTCCATTGCGGAATATATCTTGCGAAGCGCGGGTGTTGTTGGCACGGTACGTAGCTAATCGTTCCAAGGCTGACTGTAACATTAGTATAGGAAAGAACACGGTCCAGTCTGTTACGTAAATTCTCAATTCGTCGGTAGCAGCCACATCGTTCACTGATCATCATATAGCACAAGTTATACGTCTGCTCTTGCTCAGACTGTACTACGCTATGTTGAATTTGAACCGACCTTTATCACTCGCTGCTCGAGATACAATTGAGACTCCTCCAACGTAGTTTACGAGGGCCCTCTCAACATCAGCATCTGCCAAATTTCATTTCGGAACGCCTCGCTTTACGTCAAGAGTCTAGGTAACGATTCTGATTTCGGGGTCATCATCTTACATGTTCAATATGCAGATTCAAGCTGATCGCTGACATCACCATGCGGACTTGCGGTTGGGAAAGTATAAACGGAGGAACCACGTCCAACCGTGTAGAGGCGCCACGATATCAAACGTTGTTTCTTAGGCCCATCCAAGTGAAAAAAAGTCCTCGAGGCAAACAGGGCTACCAGGCCCGTGTACTTGCTAATCGGTCTTTCCTCGACAATGCCATGTGAAAGCGGTCAACAAATTTACGCTGATTGTGGCGATGCTTAACAATATATTACTTTAAATATCATTCTCATTTGTTCAGCGGTTCACTGATGCTCATGGGTTCATTCACCGTTGTGGGGGCAACGGATATGGGTACGGTATAGATGCGTTGCCCCGGGCCCGTGTCGATGTGCACAATAAATAGGTGGATAAACGAGATGGTACGTTCAGGACAGGGCGGTTCATGTCGAAGTGTTTGAAAACAGAGCCTCTAGAACCAAAATACCGTCTGATATAACGTCACGATCAAAAAAATGTGCAGGCCTTTCGCGTTCGATCGATGCTCGAGCGCTCTTAGCAGGGCAGATGAATTCACGATGGACAGTCACATCAAGCCCATTATTTTCACTCTCCCACCCTGATCTTAACCGCTAATCATATCAATGTAAGGTATGACCGTTGATCATATGAAAAGAAAATTTATTTTTTAATATTTTTTTCGATCCCTTTCCTTGATGCGGGTTGCGGCTAGTGCAAACCTAGCATCAAGGATATAGTGAAAAATACTGTGTCATTTCGTCCATGGGCATACAAATATTCAATGCACCAAGACAGATGGTTTAACATGCTGCTGGCGACAGATTCCTGGTTCTGCTGATCAGTACGACGCCCTAGAGGGAAACGGGGACTATCGAGCCATGTACGCGGATTAAACGGCAATTACTCACGAACGCACACGATGAGCTACATCGCTTATATCTCGTGCGAAGTAACCCGCTATACCGTGTATGCAAGATTGCAATCAAAATATTTGATGAGTCTTCGTCAGGCCGTATCATCGCAGTGACTGATCTCGATTGGGTCGGCCGAGTGTACTATAAGATGTTGGATATGCACGGCTACACATTCTACTTCAACCAAGATATTGGAATTGCTCCTATCTCATTCCAGCCCACATTACATCATGATGCTGGAAGCTCTTACCAGTGTCAACTATGCCGCTGGCGTTGCCACAGTCGTAGCGGTACTCTCTGTGTTATACAAAAAATTCTCGCCAGCGGCCAGGAAGGACATCCGGCTTCCACCTGGACCTCCCGCCTGTTGGTTCTGGAGTAACGCGTTGCCTACTGTAAAGTGAGTTCTGGCAATGTTACACATAATGTCGTAGGTTGATCGTCCATCCAGCATTGCTTATGCACTGACCAACTTGGTTCGAGAGTATGGGCCGGTTTTGTCGTTCAAACAAGGTAGCCAGGTGATGATCGTCATTGGCAGTGTGGAGGTAATCTGCCCATACCTCGAGCCTCCTCCGGTAATGACCCATTTATCAGGCAGCTGCAGAAATTATGGAGAAAGAAGGTGGATCACTGGTAGATCGGCCTCGTTTCGTTGCTGCAGGTGAGATGCTCTCAAATGGACTGAGTCTCACCGTGGCTCGTTCCGGAGAACGCTTCCGTCGCCTCCGAAAAGCAGTGCATCCTCATGTCCAGCCAAAGGCAGCACAAGCATACCAAGATATGCAGCGCGAGAACGCGATGAACTTTGTATTGGATATGCTGAATGACCCAATGAACCATCAGAAGCACGCACAACGGTACATCACTACTGAAGTCTTTTGCGATCCTTTGATAAATATGGTATTTCAAGGTATGCAGCATCAGTCGTTCTTCGGGTGACTTATGGGAAGTCTGCTCCCACTGCCAACGCCGATCCCGAATTTGCCCGTCTCAGCAGAGTCGTTGAACATTTTCAAGCTACAATTCGCCCAGGAGCTTATCTAGTCGATCGTGTGCCCCTTTTGCGCTACTTGCCTGGTTACGGAAAGCAACTTCACGAGTGGCATAATGAGGAGCTTGAGTTATTTAGACATCATTTAAGGCGCGTCAAGAATGAAATAGTGAGAGGTTTTCTGTTTCGGTAAACGTATCTCACTTATATCCTGTTTTACCCAGGATCAAAACCGAGCTGGCCCCTCTTTCACCAAGGCACTATTGGAAAACACCGAAGAGCACAAGCTCTCTACAGACGAGATGGCGTATCTCGCCGGATCACTCTTTGGGGCGGGAGCTGATACGGCAAGCCATGCATCTTATTTATCTCCGCAAACTTACTTGTGGTTCAGACAGCTATTGGAATTACAGCTATTATCATGGCTGCGGCATGCCACCCATTGGCTCAGGCAAAGGTGCATGAAGAGCTAGATATGGTAATTGGGTCGGACAGAGGTAATGCCAAACCAAAGGGGTACAAAGATTTTGATTTATCAATTAATCTCTCGTTGTAGCACCGACATTTAACGACTCAAGCTCCCTCCCTCAATTGCACGCGTTCTTGTTAGAAGCTTTGAGATGGAGACCTATCGTCCGCATTGGTAAATTAGAATCTCGACACGCTCCTGGACGATGCTGACATATGTCTCAGGATTTCCTCACCGTGCAACCAAGGATGTTTTGTGGGTCAGTGTCTTATTTTTTTGTAATCCATATTCTCATTCTGGTACACGTGCAATCAGCGAGGATACTGCATTCCCAAGGGTGCAACAGTCTACGGCTGCCATTGGTATGCTGTTGCTTCACGATGCATCTTGTGTCCGTTAAGCGTATGTTTCCAGGACTATTTCTCGCGATCCTATCGTCTTCCCAGACCCAGAAACATTCAATCCCCAACGCTGGCTTGATTCAGAAGGCCGGATTAATGACAGTAATATGAAGTTCATAACGTATGGCTTTGGTAGACGGTAAGTCGTGCCGACGTCGGATTTCAGACACCAATTAACGAAGTCTATCTGTCATTAAAAGCGTATGTCCCGGCTTGCACATCGCAAACCAATCGTTGTACATTACACTCGCACTTCTCTTGTGGTCTTTTCGCATTGTTCAACGACCTGACGCACCGATCAACACGCACGCTTTCGATGATACGGTCACTCCCCATGCAGCGCCATTCGAAATCGATGTCATTCCCCGGGTCGAGGTTGCGAAGCTAAGAGCGATGATGGACGGGTCTATGGATTAGATCTCAACAGATGCAACAGAAAAAGTGTCACTGCCAGACTTTCATATGCAGTTATAGAACACAGTATATCATACGCTACAATGTTATGATCGACTATACATCCAGTCACATGGTAGCACAAGCGAACACTAGCTTTAATGGTATCGATACCCAGACACGCTCATGTGCAAAACCACCCACGAAAAAAACACCCGAATGCTACCACTCCTCGATATCACTTGGTCCGTCCAATAATAAACCCGCAGGGCGAATAATTTCCCGAAGTTCAGACACTCGTGTCTCATCAATGCGATAGAATTGCATCACCTCAACAAGTCTATCCAAGGTATCGCGATCCATACGTTCCAGAATGGTCAAGGGCCTATTACAGTCCTGAACCCGAATAGAAACTTGTTCACTCATTGGAGAGGCGAGATAGGAATTGACTGTGAGCTTGATGACCCTAAGAGTGAGTGGCCCGGTTGGTAACACAAGAAAAAGTGTTTGCAACACAAGAGTTAAGTGGACGGTGTAGGACATGAAGCGCTGGAGCACCGAGCCGTCGAGGGAGAAGTGTCGATATGTTCTTGTAGGTCCAACTTCGACCATTTTCATCATCACTGTCCTGAAGGCTTCGCTGTGCAAGTACTATCACAAATCACGTTAGGACGGATGCGAGGACGACGAGTGAGATAGTGATTACACGATGAGCATCATTGAAGTTCCACACTTCGACGATGTCGGTATGAAGCACATGTAGACATTCACATATCTTGTGCTTCATGAATATTGTGCACGATAGAAGCACCTTCCAATATCCTGCAAGACATGAAGATTTAGATGGTACTCGATAATTATCAACGCGAAAATAGGACAGACTTCTCTTGCCAACCCTGACACTGCGTAAATCACGAGATAAGAATGAAGCTAGCAAAACTCACCCAATTGATGCCCGTATTTTGAGTCCGAGGTCCGCTCGCTGAGCGATGAGGGTCATCATCGCGACCTCGGACGCAAGATACTGACCAGCACAATATTCAGTTAATTGGATGAGGTTGGTGAGTGTCCCTTTATAGTCTTCTTTGGCTACGATATCACATGTTAGATGCATGCATGAACCTGCCAGAGTATTGATACACACTAGAGATCGTAACATGGGGAATATCAGGCCCTGCAAATTTCTGTAGAGGTCGAATGCAGATATCTTGCAGCTCGGCTTCTGCTCTGTTATTGACGAGTTCCTTGATGGCTTCGTCGCTCAAGCCATCAAGAAAGGTTTTATCTAGAGTTCGCTCTACACGATCGACGAGAATATCGTATTTAGTAAAAACGACGATAAGGGGAACTTTGACAAAGTGTGAGCTCTACCATAGCAGAGATACAGTTATCAATCCATTTACCGTTTCCCAGAGTCCCCTTCCTTTTCAACTTGAAGAATTCCTCTCTTCCCTCATGCAAACGTTGGCCTGCACGAGGTATCTCAATGCAAAGCCTTCCATATTTGGTCAGTCCACTATAAAGGGATACCCAAGATAGAATCCCTACCAAATAGCATGCAATTGATGTTCCGGAGACATGTTCCTCCGATGTTCAATGAAATCTCGGACTATTTCGAGCCTGCCTGCACTTCCGGCCTCAAAACCCTTGCTTTCGTGGAGAATAAACCTGTCGTTCTGAGATGAGATTAACTCATGATCAATACTAGCCTCGCCTATATTATCGTGCAAAACAAACTATTGAGAATATGAGTAGCTGTGCTTGTTGAAGCGTCATGTTCAGCCCACCGCTGGTTCCACTCCAAATGCATGGTTTATCAGCGCTGTCTTGCCAACGTTAACCTATTAAAAGCACATCGTGAATGCTGGCCTAAGATCAGAGAAAGCTAGATACCTTTCCGACCACTAGGATTCGGAACCTCGAGGATGGCACTTTATACTCGACTCGATGATGCTGTGACACCTGAGATTTTTGAGGAGTTGCAGGTGGGTGCTCACTGGAAGGGACAATCTGATTTACAACTTAGACGGGTTCGATGCCAGACGTAGATCCTTACTTCGGCTCTAGAAAGGGCGATAGTGATCTTGATTTTTTTATGGAACTTGATGTATTCTATGCACGTGTGTGAGTGATTTGGTGAGAATGCGACGACTCTTGTTTCACCTTGTTTTTTGCTTACATCATACACATAGAAGATGTCGTCTGAGTTGAAAGTAGTTCCCTCGGTCTTCATCTCTAAGCACTGGCACTTGTCAATGTACTTCATACTCAAGGAAAATATATCCCCATGAGAAAGCACCCTATGGTAAAAAGACACAATAGCAAGTCAGGTGAGAACTATTGAGGTCGAGTGCTCACTTACATAGGTGGAGAAAACACCTGTCGCAAACTCTTTTCTGCTCTGTATTCATCATTTGGCGGATATAATTTTCCAATCCATGCATCAGCAGACTCTATATCTGTTTTGAACTGGCCGAAATTGATAGTGATTCCTATTGGATGTATTCAGAGGAGTTGATGATAGACAAGAATTGAGTACTTGAGTACCAAAGATGTGGAGAGGGCGGGAAACTGTTGAGACGTCAAGAGAAGTAGTCATGCTGATTTGATTTAGGGAAAACACCGATATAAACTTATAGTAGAGGTTGAGCGCAAGCCATCAACGCTGTCAGCGTTGACATCCGTGATACCCACTCAATCTAGACGCTGGCTTCGGGATTTAATGCCGAATTCACATGCTGCAATGACATTGATAGATGGAAGCCTATGAAACTCGGCTCGAACGACTCACTGGTACCTGCCTTGTGATGACGCCCACTACCACTGTATACAAATAGTGAGTAGGTTACAGCATGTATACCGTGATACCCCCATCCCAATAATGCGCTTACTAGTATTTTTCTTCATCTTCCTCGAGTTCCTTGCTGGAGTCATACAGGCTGCACCTACAACGAATACAACGAATACTACTACTAGCGACAACGTGGAAGCCCCATCTTTCACAACCAGAACCTTATGGACCATCATCTCCAGCTCCATTCTCACTCTTTTTGCATGCGTTTACAGTGCCATCCACCCCAATATCCCGAGTCATAAGGACAGTGGCTACCCTCATATCATATGGCGACAACTTAGCATGATAATAATGGCACTGATCGCTCCTGAACTAATCGTTACATGGGCTATGCGCCAGCGGTTTAGCGCTGATCAAGTTACAAACCAATTCCAAAAATTAGGGTATCCTGAGGTTCAAGTTCGTCCAGAGTCTGAAAGTAAGTCGTGTATTTGGACCTCTACATCTCACAACTCACTATACACGTTCTTAGAAAAGGAGTCTGACGAAACATCTGAAAATAACTTCCTTCGCTTTCTTCGCTTTCTTCGCCTCTTGAAGGAGGGTTTCGTTCGCCTCTTTCTCCTGCTTACTGGCGTATTATCTATGTTGGTGTCTCTTTGCCATGTCCTTTATGCTCCTGTAAGGTGGGTCGTGAGGTGGATCAATAACTCAGAGCAATCTGAGTCTGAATTGGAAGGTAAGCCTAATCTGTGCTCACTTGAACATTGGCTCATGTGCATCCTTAGATCGTACTCAGTGGACTCAGACCCACAGCTTCTTTGTGCTCATGGGCGGTTTCATGCTTTATGTGGACGGTGAACCCTACTGTACACTGCAACCTAATCACATTCTCAAACTGATACACGAAAAATGTATCGACGTCCCTACCCTAACGGCAAAGCAAATCCACGACAAGAGCAAAGGCAACGCGATATCGAAAGGAGTAGTGGTCCTTCAGGTGGCCTGGTTTGTTATACAGCTAATCACGCGCGCCATCTATCACCTCGAAACAACCCAGCTCGAAGTGGGGACACTCGCTTTTGCAGTTCTCAATTTCCTGACTTATGCTGCATGGTGGGACAAGCCTCTCGATGTGCAATGTCCATATCCAGTGCACTGGAAGTCGACCGGCTCGAAGGCAACTGTGACGCCAGAGTATTATATTGAGTATGTATGCGCCTCGACAATTATATCGCTGCTGATTATGTCTGCCTTAGTGAAAAATATGAAATCACACAGTTTGGCCCCTTGTCTCCATTCTTCCGCCCGATTCTAGAATTAGTAGGCTATCCTGGCATTCCCGCATGTTGCAAGCTCCAAGTTCCAACATTCGATGGTAGCATCAAACTTGTATCTTATTCGGACAAGATAGCTCTTCTGCTTGCTGGATTGCTTATGGCAACCATATTTGGCGGCATCCATGCTATGGCGTGGTTTTTTGTCTTCCCCACATATCAGGAACAGGTCTTATGGCGCATGAGTGCCGTCGCTATAACTTGTACGCCCTGGTTTGGTTTACTTACTACAGCGCTCCTTGCAGCCATGAACGCACCACTTAAATTGTTCATCCTTCTCTATGCATTATGTACCTTGTTTTACATCATAGCCCGTGCCGTCCTTTTAGTACTTATGTTCACCACTTTACGCAATCTTCCTCCTGATGCGTATAAAGCGCTGTTGTGGACTAGTTTGGTGCCGCACTTATAGTTCTTGCTCAGCGGCCCACGGTGCTTGTCATAACCTATGTGCTTTGCAACGGCCTGGCCGAGTAAGAGATCACGTGATCGCGATTGCGTGTACCATGCGATCCACGCCTCTACTACTCTGACTACAGTAATTCTGTGGCTTGAGGCAGTAACGGCCCCGTGCCCGGGGACTCTCCACGGCTGAAGATTACTCCGGGGCTGGCTTGCCCGAAGATCGCCTCGCTTTAATGGATCAAGCGAACTACTCTATGCACACCCCTAACTGACTTACTCCATAATTTGAATTGTCTTGGCAACACCTAGGGCTTGATCAATGATCATCGCCGGATTTCTAAAGTTGGCTGATCCTTTTCCCGGAGAACGTTCATCAGTGGGGTGGATTGTGCTGCAGAGGGCTGCAGAGGGCTACAGATGGCTACAGGGTACTGCAGAGGGCTACATGACACCCTGTAGCAAATTGTCTTTTCCCTGATAAGTGGAAATAGTGAGTTCGAGATCCTTGTGTTGTAGGCTAATCCTGCTTCCAGTCTAACCATCTCGAGGCTACCGGACCGCATTCGTTCTCGAACAACGCCGGCCACGTCGGAACGCCATGTCATCGCGATAGCATCTCAATTTGCTGTCAAATAATGCGAGGTATTATAAGATGCTGGGCACGCACGGCTTATCAGTCACGCATTATTACGATATCAGAGTTGTATGCCCATCTTATTCCAGCCCACATCATGTACATTATGATCCTGCAAGCCCTCACCAGGAGTACCAACTATGCCGCTGGCATCGTCATAGTTGTAGTGGTACTCGCCGTGTTATACAAGAAATTCTTCTCAGCGATGAAGGGCATTCCGCTTCCGCCTGGACCTCCCGCCCGTTGGTTCTGGAGCAACGCTTTGCCTGCTGTGAAGTGGGTTTTGATAGTGTTATACAAATCACCCTAGTTGACTTGGATTTTCCACTCAGCATTGCCTATGCGCTGACCAACTTGGTTCGAGAGTATGGGCCGGTTGTGTCGTTCAGACAAGGCAGCCAGGTGATAATCGTTATTGGCACCATGGAGGTAATCTGCCCATACCTTGAACCTCCTCCGATAATGACCCATTTACCAGGCAGCCGCGGATATTATGGAGAAAGAAGGTGGATCACTGGTAGATCGGCCTCGTTCGATTGCTGCGAGTGAGATGCTCTCACATGAAATGCGTATCACCATGGCTCGTTCCGGAGAACGCTTCCGGCGCCTTCGAAAAGCAGTACATCCTCATTTACAGCCAAAGGCAGCACAGGCATACCAAGATATGCAGCGCGAGAATGCGATGAACTTGGTATTAGATGTGCTGAATGACCCGACGAACCACCAAAAACACGCACAGCGGTACGTCACTACGGAATTCTTTGTTTGTGATTCTTTGATAGATATGGTATCTCAAGGTATGCAGCATCGGTCATTCTTCGGGTGACTTATGGGAAGTCTGCTCCCACTGCCAACGACGATCCAGAAGTTGTCCGTATCCACAAAGTTGTTGAGCGCTTTCATGCCACAATTCGCCCAGGAGCTTATCTTGTCGATCGTATGCCATTTTTGCGCTACTTGCCTGGTTACGGAAAACAACTTGATGAATGGCATCATGAGGAACTTGAGCTATTTAGACATCAGCTAAAGCGCGTCAAGAGTGAAGTGGTGAGGGGCTCTTTGTTTCAATAGATGTATGTTACTTAGATCTTGCATGCAGGATCAAAATAAAGCTGGCCCCTCTTTCATCAAGACACTATTGGAGAACACCGAAGCGCACAAACTCTCCACAGATGAGATGTCGTATCTCGCCGGATCACTCTTTGGGGCAGGGTCTGATACGGCAAGCCATACATCTTATTAATCTCCGCAAACTTACTTGTGGTTCAGACAGCTGTTGGAATTACTGTTACTGTCATGGCTGCAGCATGCCATCCATTGGCTCAGGCAAAGGTGCATGAAGAACTAGATATGGTAATTGGGTCGGACAGAGGTAATGCCAAACCAAAGGGGTACAAAGATTTTGATTTATCAATTAATCTCTCGTTGTAGCACCGACATTTAACGACTCAAGCTCCCTCCCTCAATTGCACGCGTTCTTGTTAGAAGCTTTGAGATGGAGACCTATCGTCCGCATTGGTAAATTAGAATCTCGACACGCTCCTGGACGATGTTGACATATGTCTCAGGATTTCCTCACCGTGCAACCAAGGATATTTTGTGGGTCAGTGTCTTATTTTGTTGTAATCCATATTCTCATTCTGGTACGCGTGTAATCAGCAAGGATATTGCATTCCCAAGGGTGCAACAGTCTACGGTTGCCATTGGTATGCTGTGACTTTACGACGCATCTTGTTTCGTTAAGCACGGATTTTCAGGACTCTTTCTCGCGATCCTGCTGTCTTCCCAGACCCAGAAACATTCAATCCCCAACGCTGGCTTGATTCAGAAGGCCGCCTTGATGACAGTAATATGAAGTTCATAACGTATGGCTTTGGTAGACGGTAAGTCGTGCCGACGTCGGTTTTTAGACACCGATTAACGAAGTTTATTTGTCTTAAAAGCGTATGTCCCGGCCTGCACCTCGCAAACCAATCGTTGTACATTACCCTCGCACTTCTCTTGTGGTCTTTCCGCATTGTTCAACGACCTGACGCACCGATTAACACGCATGCTTTCAATGACGCGGTCATTTCCCATGCAGCGCCATTTGAAATCGATGTCATTCCCCGGGTCGAGGTTGCGAAGCTAAGAGCAATGATGACGGATGTGTATTAGACCTTTTTTTACCATGTAGCATTATTCAACGACTTGGCGCACCAATCAATACCCATGCTTTCAATGACACGTAGCGAAGCTGAGAGCAATGATGACGGATGGGTGTATACGTGTGCCAGTCCACGAGATCATCGACGGACGTGAGTATTAGAAGAATCAAGTCGAGAAGGCAGCAGGGACTAGTACCTGTGCCTACAAGAGCATCTCGCTCATGAGAGGTTTTCAGTAACCAATCACATAGCGAATAAAATTCCAAATAAAACATATAACATCGATTATGGACTCAGACCGAGGCGGGACACTATCACCACCTGTTGGTATGCTAACATTACAGACTTTGACGAGGAAGTGATGTTTCATGCCGGACGTCAGCGGCACACGGCCATTTTCTTTCTCCGAAGGAAGGATATGCCATAGAATTGATGAGTCCGGTTTGCTGTCAGAGGAGAACTGCGGATGATGATAGTTAGTCAGAACAGCGAGGCCTCAGCCTACCCTCGGACCTCAAGTGTCATTGTCCAACTTCTCGCGGCGGGTGCCAATGTGCTAATGAATATCCTTATCTCATCAATCAGACGGGCTGAGGAAAGTGTGCTAAGAGCGGCCAGGCCCATTCTATTGCTTTAAGGTTAGTATGTAATTAGTACCGGTCGGGCGCTTTCTCAAGTTGTTTGAGCAACACGATGTGCTGCGAAGCTAGTTTAGGGACGAGATTCGACAAAGGTGATAGTGAAGCCAACAACACGACTTACCAACAGTTCAGGTTGTTGTGTGTTTGCGAGAGGCGACTCCAATCTCGATGCCACGTAGGGGAAAATTAGTTGTCCATTGGCATTTTGTGACAATACAAACTTACAAGCGTATTACATCAAGGAGAGGGACGATGACATTCAGAAGCACAAGATGGGCGCCGTTGGGGGTATCAAAACTGGGGAAGAAGTTCCTGGAATGCTTGTGGTGTTACATACATGCCGGTACCTTTCTTCTTCTTGCTGTGCTGCAGACAGTGACCATTCATAGACGGCATAATAGTATAGCTGGCATCTGTAGGTTCTCGCCAGAGGGCTGGAATATTTTTTCCTTTGAGTCTTTCACCTGACCGAAACCCCTGAAGGAGTATCAGTGACGCGGAAGGAATTCACTGTAAACGGATACCGTACGTGGATCGCATGCGTGGGTCCACCAGCGAATTTCCCTCTACAATTGAATTTTAAAAGCTCTTATGTAAGCGCTTAAACCCTTCGCACACGTGCGTACTTTTGAAGAGCCAATAAGATCATCCAAAACCAGTCGTGCGAGGGATTTCGAGAGGGCTGCCAGTAATTATAGGCACGTTGGATAAGGAGGATTACAAGCCTTTGTGATGCTGTCCACCCCTTACGGGTTCCAGGATGACAGCCAATCACCGCCTGACAAACGTGTCGCATGTCGTTCATAAGCCCATGCGGATGAGAAATATGGGAATATGAACTGTCATATGCATCCCTTCCGAGTCCGACCCATTGCAATTGCACCTCTCAAAGGTCCAGGAGAGATGGACATATATCCTGAAAGTACTCCACGCAGAGCAAAGCGTTTGCGTTCAGCCTCGGGCGCTGCTGTCACAGCTCCGCAGTCAGACAATCCTCGATTGTCTAGCCCAATGTCTAGCGACGACCAGGCTGAAGATGACGCTTACAGCACCCCTCCAGCACCACAATTCAAACGTCGCGGCCGCAAACCTGGGGCGCTTTCACGCGCAGCACGTGAAGCTCAGCGGAAGATCAATCACTCGCTCATTGAAAAAGCTAGGCGCACCAAAATTAATGATGCCCTGGCCGCTTTAAGAGAGCTTGTGCCTGCGAAATACAAACGAGTCAATGAAGCTCTAGAAGCCAGTGATGAGGATGAAGATGATGAACATAAGAAGGGCAAAGGAAAGCCAAAGACAGGAGAAAAGGAATTCAAGCTCGAGATTCTGGTGCGAACGGTGGCGTATCTTCAGGACCTAACAGAGAAGGTGAAACGTCTCGAGGAAGATGGGTGCAAGCAATGTATTTGCCATCCATCTTCTTTTGACGCCAGAGCGTCCAAGCGAAGGAAACAGGACGCTGAACAAGATGATGGTGCAATGACTGAAGTGGTGTCCGCTGAGGACTCGTCCTCCCGCTTGCCATCAATTTCTACCTGGCTTCCACATTCATCGCAAGAACGGACTCGGACAGCCCTGACTTCTTCCCAGTCACCATCCACCCGACCAGTTCCGTGCTCTTCGAAGTCCCCATCGCAACAACTCCCAACACCTCCAACTTCCGCAACATTCATGGGCTCCTCCTCCGTCTCTGGAGTCCCACCTGTTCTGACTCTCCCTTCTCCCAGTACATTCCTTCCGCAATCGGGAACAAACATCCACCCTTGTTTTTCGGGTTTTGTTCCACGACGGAATCGTAGCGACACAACATCATCCTCGCCAGTGTACACTCCAGAAGATGAAACTGCCGCATCGCTATTGTTGCGCATCAGTACCTCCACGCTCGTAACCTCACCACAACTGCCATCAAAGCCAGCGTCCCCGTCAAGTTCCATAAGCGAGTCACGAACAGGACGACTACGAGAAGAGTCCGTGCATGCACTGACACCAAGCCATTTATTAGGCTTGACAGCAGGAAAGTGAAAACAAATCCTGGTGGGAATCGTGACGTACCTCGATCTGACAAACTTGACGCTTATATATATCTTGTAACTTACAATTTTGCTCGCACCTCAGTTGTAAGGACTGTTAGTGTAGGAAACATCATGCATGGCCTTTTGCTGATTGTAAAAATATGGTAACTATATTTTGACTATATGATCGAATCGGTGTACTAGTACTGTAGAGTCTCGAGTTGTTCAGTGTTTGTAATTAATACTTCTTTAGAACCTTTCCGTCCGGTTTTCACTTCTGAAACTCGTCACTTGTATGTTGAGACCATTCTGCAGGTCTCTACCCAGACAGAGACGACTATTTCACTGCAGTGGCCCAGCGCGTCAGCAAGCTACGAATGGTGCTATAGAGACCCAGGATGATGATGATAATTTGCAGGATCACCTTCGACGGCAACGAAAGACAGAGTGGAAGCGAAGACAAGGGGTGAGCCGCACTACTTCTAGGTATACGCGTACCACCTGATAATAACATCGTGCAGGGCCAATCTTTCCTCGACAACCTCATAATCAACGTCCGAGGAGGTGCGTACACGTCTGAATTAACTCATGCATACTCAACACCATGCAGGCAAAGGAGGTGACGGATGCGTTGCTTTCCACCGAGAAAAATGGAAGCCTATGGGCCCTCCTTCAGGTGGTAGCGGCGGACGTGGAGGCGACGTCTATATTCTCCCTACACCCAACCTCACAACTCTTTCATCCATCCCAAACGCGTACGAGGCGCCGCAGGCGGGAATGGCCAAGGGACATGGCAGAACGGCAAAAACGCACCGCCAACGATCATAAAAGTTCCTCTAGGCACAGTGGTACGCGAACTTCTTCCAGGCGACTCACGGCGCGCGAAGGATGAATGGGAAGCGGAGGAGGAGTCGCTGGAAGGACTCAGTCTTGAGGAACGCCGTGCGAAGCTTCGGGATGGCAGATGGGTGCATTATCCGCGGTATGCGGATGATAATGTCAATCGTGATGTGTTCAAACAGGCGGAGGCAGCTTTGTACCGCGAGGAGAGAGCCAGACGCTGGGCTAGGAAACAGAGGCTACTATCCCCCGTCAATCTCGACTTGGACAAGACAGAGCAAGTTGTGATTTCCGATGATGCACCTCTCGGAACGGGTCAGCAGGAGTGGCTGGGACATGTGGTCGCGCGGGGCGGCAATGGTGGATTGGGCAATCCGCATTTCTTGTCACCCATTAGTCGTTCACCCAAATTTGCAACGCGGGGACACGAGGGTGAACGTCTAACGTTGTATCTCGAACTCAAGATTCTCGCGGATATTGGACTTGTCGGAATGCCTAACGCGGGCAAGAGCACTCTTCTTCGCGCTTTGACTGGTGGTCGAGCGAAGACTGAGGTTGCTGGCTATGCGTTTACCACACTTAACCCCATCGTTGGTGTAATTCGTGTAGCAGAAGACGGAACTTTCGAAGGCGCTCTTCAGGGTGAAAATATTTTCGATGAAACTGCTATTGAGGAAGAACGCTCCCGGGAGCGCGAAATCTCTGACATAGAAAATTCCGAAAAACAACTGCGTTTAGAAGATAGTCCACCTGATTCCCCCAGACCTGACATAGAACCAGGTCACGACTTTGACGTTTATGAGACTTTTCGCTTCACCGTCGCGGACAATCCTGGGCTCATATCCGGCGCATCAGAAAATGTTGGTCTGGGTCATTCTTTCCTGCGCTCAATGGAACGATCCCTCGCGCTTGTCTATGTGGTGGATTTGTCTCGCCCAGAACCATGGGACGAGCTTAGAGATTTGAAAGACGAGCTAGAGAAATACCAACCAGGAATGAGTGATAAAGCTCATATGGTTATAGCGAACAAGGCGGACTTGCTGGGTGGCGAAGGGGATCAGGACACGGTAGAGGAGGCGCGTAAAAAGTTGAGAAGGCTCGAAGAGTACGTCAAAACGGATATGATCGTGAAGACTCCGGACGGGGAGCGCATACTCGATGTCATTCCTACCTCGGCAAAGATGAGCCAAAACCTCAAGAAGGTAGTTGTGCTCATGCAGAAATATGTCCAGCAGGCTAGAACGGTAAAGGTTTAGTGGTTTAACTTTGTATGTGATCATCTCATTCTCTCTTGTGATTAGACTGATGAATCTATTGCAAAGCATTTACCTTGATCAGACAGTCATTCGAGCCCACTAGCTAGTTATTGCTATATTCCGGACAGGAGGTATGATTGTAGCCAACATCTGGGAGGCAACGTACAAGGCGATGTGCGTACTATTGTGAGCTGGGGTGCGAAGCAACGCATTTTGTCCACTTCTATAGAAGTGGGCCCCATACCGATCACTGCTAGCGGGATGTTCAGCCATAAGAAGACCTTATTCGCCTTCAACCCAATATCTCGTGGTTCTCTCGATGCTGCACGAATTTCCTCAACCACCATGTAACGTTGAGATGAAAACGATCTCATCATTATCGCGAAGTTGGTAGGAACCCTCCCCTTCAAGTTCCCAGTCCGTGTTGTTAATCAGCACGAGGATCCCTGGGCGGCTAGAGAGACCATGAGGTAAAGATTAAGTAGAAACAGAGACAACGCACATAGTCCCGTTCTCCATGAACAATTCAGGGCGCTCTTTGAGTAAATGATCGCGAAGGTGATATATCAAGTACTCCAGGTCTGCCGCCTTCGTCTCTACCGTGGAAGGAGTGTCGTTGTACGATGAGGGAGTGGATGAAGATGAAGACGGAGAAGAGTGCGTGGAATTATCAGATGGCACAAATGAAGGGATGAGAACCGATTGATTTCGCTCGTTGCCAAATAGCAGCTCGAGTCCACCGTTGAATACAAGTTTGATCGTTATCGTGCTAGTCATCGTGGACGTTGTTCGAGTTGATCAAGATTCACGCTCATGAAATATATCTGATGAGTCCTATCAACTTTATGAAAGCAGTTAAGCCTTTGCTTTTCGTGGGGCATATGGTGTAGCTGGTTATCACATCCGCTTAGCATGCGGGGGGTCTCCGGTTCGAGTCCGGATTTGTCCACTGTTTTTGCTATAATTCGTAATTTTCACTCAATACCGCTACGTGAGCCCACACCACCCTTGTGCATAATACCATAATGATCTACACTTTTGCCCACCATGACTTGTTCTCCGACCCTACCGTCTGGCAGCGTTTAAACTCCATTCGAAGTCAGCCCTAGACGTCTAGACTTCGGGCTCCAGAGTCTAGGTGGAGCAACCCCGATGATCGGAATTGGCCAGCGTCGAATCGCGCGCCAGGCCCACTCCGAGTTCTTCTTCTAGATCTCCGCATGTACACCCGCATATTCTTTTGAATCTCTTTATTTTAGAAAATTCAAGCGCACGTCTTCGAGTCTATTAAACTCTACGTATTCTCGTTAATTCGCGCTATGAGCAACACCTCGAATCGTCTGTTCTCCAAAGGGAGCCTGCCGCCGGATCTTTAAACCCTGACAACGACTGCAGGCCACGTCCGAGGGAAGTGTGGATTTACTTGTCAACACGACGGGGAGAAAACAAGGACAGACCTTCGACTCTTGGAGGATAAAGACTTGGTTGTGGCAAAGTGAGAGAACCGCTTGGACCGTCCCCAACGAAAACGGGTTAGCCAACCGTGCGGACCCGACCTTCCATCGAAGAAGCTGCTAACGCTTAGATGCCCAGATACTTCTATTACTATACTCGCGCCTAGATCTTTTTCCAATAAGATAGCGAGCCCTTAAATCCACGAGCCCGGGCCACAAAGTAGTCGAAGCTTTGCTCAAAAACCAGTTCCTCTTCGAAGCCTTCTGCTACTAGTACAGTTCCATCCTCCTCATCTTCTACGCACGCACTCATCTTCAATGACTCAGATACCGTTCTTACGAAATCCATCATGATTGATCAATAATGGGATTCGCATCTGAAATACCTGGATGCATTCTAGAGCACGCATTCATGTTCCACTCTTCACTGGCGAATCAAGATGACGAAAGGTCTTGTCCTGGACGTTCAGCCTTTCAGTATTTAGCAAGCACTCATTTTACTTTGCGAATCAAATAGGAACAACTGAGAATCTTCCTCATATTCTTTTGTGGAGCCAGAAGATGCCTTGGCAGCTTGAAGCTTGCTTCCTTGACAACAGTCTCAGCATTAACGAAGGACAGGAGATCAGGATTTTGTACTAGGCTTTCAAGTTTGTATAAATAAATGATACATAAAATGCATGCATGCATCAGAAGCATACACATATTAAGAGAACTAAGCAGTACAATACAAATCATGTACTAGTAGTAGGGTTCACAAAGTATTAATATTGTGGTAGAATGATATTGCCATGAACAATCCAACCATGCCATCAGTGCATCCTGTCAACGATCCTTGAGTTCATTTTCGGGAAAACCAAGTTCCGTAACTCTGACCTTTTCATGCAGAAGGAAGAGGCACATCCCCTCGGATGGTGTTAAATAGATGATGAGAGATGAGCCTTTCTTCCACCATCTTCGCAAGGAGGTCACGCATCCAGACGCGACTTTCGGTGGTGACTTGATCATATTCTACATCCGCTGCGAGCTCAAGCAGGTGCTCGCGCTGCTCCGATGTGAATATTCCCAAGGATATTGTGTGGTTGCGCGAGCGTTCCTTTGTGCTGACTTTGAGCGCGTTGGGGTAATGGTACTGGTGCCAATTCCCGTGCATCTCGAGCTGGGTGATATCCCAGACTTCAATGCCACCGCTAAGAGCGGCGTTCACCCAGTAGATGAGGACGTGTCTAGGATTACTGGGGTCAGAGTTTTTGTGAAGCCCAGTAGCCTGCAAAAAGACTTCTTTGTCCGACCAGTCATCGCCATACATCTGGGACAGATCACCAGAACCTCTCGTCGGTATTGGGGTAGTTGACATGGTGTGCGAGGTTTACGCGAGAGTCGTCGAAAAAGACTGTTGACTGTCAGGATAAGCTCAATACCGCGCTCTTTTTATTCTACAATGTGCCACAACTATGCCACTGTGGCCACTATTATCCTGTTGCCGCAATGCTCCCGAACCGCAATCATTCTTGTCCATTGTGTCGGCTATTAACTTGTAACAACACAACACGTAGACATTGGTGAGAGCAGGAAATTCAATGAGAGGTTGTAGGAATGGGAAGTTTGTTCTATAATCATGTCCGTCAGCCGATGATTACCAGCTGTCTTCTGACGTCAACCTACTATCCATGGTTACGACTGGTTACAATCTCCGGAGGCAGTGATATCATAGGTAGAGCCGGTTGGATCCCCCACGGTAAAAATCGAATCCTTGTGATCCCGTCCTCGGTTACCTGCGCTAGTTCTGCCAAAAGTTTATATTCCAGCATGACGGTCAACGACAGATTGTGGAAAGCTAAAGACTTGAAAAGTGATTGACAACTTACAAGTGTCAGAGTGCCAATGTTATCACGTAATTGTCAGGGGTTGGTTGCAAGGTTATACAAAGCGACTTTGAGCTCATGATGAAGATACCGCATTCGCATCGAGGGAGACTCGAGCTTCCAGATAAGCTGCATTGTGATGCGACCTCAAGTCTCCGTCGAAGTTCACGTCTGTCATGTACTTGAAGTTTAGTAATTGTAATGACTGTGTGCATCTGACCCACCTGACCAGCACTCTCCCTGACGTGACAACTGCAGCATGCATGTGCTGCTAAATTATTTCTTTCTTCCGATACCAGGGTCGCAAGCATGATTCACAGCACGTCAGAGGTTGTATGTACATATATGCCGGCGGTGAAGGGCTGTATACGGACGATTGCGGAGAAGTGCGGCCATTAACCTGGCAACGTTACATTGATTTTGCCGTTGAGATCATGATTCGTGTCAGATGGAACCAGATTTGCGCTACAACGTTCGATGGCCATTGTGACACTTGGACGCATGCCGAATACCATCCCCGTGTTATGTTAGGCAGTGTTAGGTCAATGCTTTCAGAGGCTGGACAGATCGTGTCAATGAAAAGGTTCAGGAAGGGTCGACTTCGCGACCAGCACCGATTGATGTGCTCCACATGAGTTCGTCACGCCAAGGGGTACTGGAGCATTAACGACACCAGCGCACACACAAATCCCCACAAACTAATATGACGTGTCATGGAGCACATAGAAATTCGACTCCCATTCTTGTTTTTTCTCTCGGGTATAATGCGTAGCCAGAATGGCATTTAAATGGCAGTACCTATGAAGCGGAGAAAAAGGGCTTTGGTTGCTTTGACACGAAGATAAAAAGGATGTTGCTCACTGGCACTGGATCCTCATGGAGACCCTGAGGTTGACTTCTAGAGGGATGATCAAATGGATGTCAGTGATGTGACTACTAGTAATAGTACTAGCTCGCTGTTCGGATATTAATTACACACGGGGTTGTTGTAATGTTCGCCAAGTTAGCGCTTGAGACCGCGACGGTCATCGTGAACCACTTATCCGAGACGAGCAGGAACGCCCTCGGAAAACGACTCATCATCAACTGCTGATCCTGTTTGAACGGAGCTGGTGTGCCCATGAGGGTTCAATGTAAAGGATACCGTAAACTGGGAAATCAAATGGAACGGAATTCAACGTGGGAAAACCAACTTCGTCATACGTAATTACGTAACTCGTCTCAGATTCTTTGTGTAAATGTTAACTTCCATCCCATTCATGGTTACAACGTTCCTCGCTTCCCTGAGCCCATAAATTCAACATTCCTTCATTACGCTCCCTCAGCTCTCGCTCTTGTATCCCACCAGCTCCAAAAAATTTGCTTGTACTAAGTACCGAGACCCTAATTCACTCGAAGCCCCTTTCACGATGTTTACTTTCAAGACTCTTACTTCTTTCGCTCTCCTTGTTTCCACGCGTCTTGCGCTCGTTCAAGCCGCTGTTTATGTTAGTCGTCGTGCCACTCACAAATAATTCTGATTTTTTCTTTTTGATCTCAAACAGGTCACGAACCCGGTACAATCAACTGTTTGCCCAGCAGGTCAGCCCTGTGAGGTGGATTGGGTTGACGACGGTCAGAGCCCTCTCCTGAGTGACATCGGAGAATGCACTGTTGGCTTGTATAACGGCGAGATGGTAACGAAGTTGCAGCCCCAGTGGACTACTCACGCATGTTGTCTTGCAGGTCCTGACACAGTCGCTTACGTCCGTCAACGTTGCGGACACGCATTCTTTCTCGTTCACTGTACGTGTCTTTCATTTCATATTCATCGCTTCTCTAATCACCGCGTATAATCGTACAGCCCGGCTCATCTATTGGCGATGGCGGCTAGTGTGTTCAACTATCCTTTCAACATGAGTTTGCATCTAATAATTGGCGCAGTTACCTAGTATTCACCTCAACCAGCACCAGCTACACGGGCTGGTCTGGTACTTTTGCGTTAGTACCCTTCCTTTTGTTTAATATATCATATCGATGACCGTGAATGCACCTTACAGCGTTAGCGGTTCGTCAAAAAGTTCTGCTTCTGAATCAGGTACTTCTACCTTTACGTCCACTGCAACATCGGCATCTGGAGGTAGCTCGACTACAGTCTCCACCCTAGATGGATCTTCGACCTCAGTAGCTAATTCTACCTCTGCAGGTGGTTCTAGCGCTGGGTTAGTTCCTTCATCTGCTCACGCTTCAAGTACCTTCACGTCAACTGTAACTACGCCCGTTGTCCCATCTAGCACGTCAACTGCTCCCCCCAGTGCAAGCACCCTATCTTTGCCGTCATCTTCTGTTTCCGCTAGCGCAACCACGCACAGTGGCACTTCCACCACCAGCACTAGCACTAGTGCGACTTCGTCGTCAACCCAATCTGGGGCTGCCATCCGCGCTGGTGCTTCAACCTCGTTGGCTGGTGGTCTTGTTCTCGCCTTAGCTGGGGCTCTCGTATTCTGAAATGTTGGTAGCCTAGAGGGTTAGAGGACTGTGGTCGCCGATACCTTTATTTTCTTTTTGCATACCCTTCCAGAGACGTTTTGATGACTTGTCGATGGCGATGCATGTACACTTTATTGTATAGTTCTCAGTTTTCACGTGTTTGCTTGTTGATGCTATCGTAGCGATTAATTGATCGACGTCAGTTTTACGAATAAAGAGGCTAGGACTCAGTCTTGGATCAAAGACTAGATTAGCTATGGATCATACTACCTACAAGGACTAGGTATGGTAATGGTGTACGTAGAACCGTATCTTCAGACGTGTTTGCGGGTATCTCGAGTCTCCTCCCGGATAGTGTTGTGACAAGGCCTCGCACGCGCACTAGACAACCTCGACAGTCCCTTCACACTTCGTGTCCTTTGCTCTGAACTGGCGACCAATCAGGGCAGACATGGCCTTAAGAAATTGCATCTGCTCCACGTCATAGGGGACTGGGCGCTTCTCGAGCAAATTTGAAAACCTAGGGGTCGTCGGCGTTGCACCCAAGCACGACCTCGTGGATTTAATTTTCTCGTAATCGTGGTCCAGTTCTTGCGAGCCTGCAGCACAGTCAATTACCGCCTCTACCGTCATTTTGTTTTGCATAATCAACACATCCTGCATTGAGTTTGCTCAGGGGAGACTGCGTGTGGTTGCGGTCCACTTGCAGGCTTGCAATATTGCGGTGAGCGGCTCATTATAAAGAGTGCGAGCACAGAAATCTCAAAAAAAAAAAAAAAAAGCCAACTGTGCCTAGTTTGAAAACTTGCAGTGACTTTTTGATGGTAAGTGTCACTCACTCCACTGACCTATAGATCCGACTCATGACACTGATGATCTAGATGAATTTGAATTTCTTGCCAATCTTTCTCCTGGCATTTACAGCTGTCAGTCCTCTTGGTGCACGAGCCATGCCCGAGACCACTGATGGCTTATGCACTTGGGAGCGATGTGGGATCAAGTGTTTGGGTAGGAGGATTGTGAACGCCGGTCCATGCATAATCGGCGGACGTCCCAATACTCAGTCAGTACTGTTGCAGTATCACATAAAAGTTATTGCATCACCAATGAGGGGTATGTCAGCGATCAAGCACAAAGTTCCAGAATACGTACTGAACGCAAAATAGGGATGAAAACAAGGTCTGCTCAAAAGTGCCTTTCTTGCCTTCGACTGTTCTGGCAAGTTCAAGAACAAAAGAACAAGATATATGATACTGCGGTTGTAGAACAGATCAGAACGAAAGCAGGGGAACAAAACTATAAACAGTGTTTGCTACACACGTCACCATGCGTGATGCGTGATGGTCCACAAACATTGTCAGGATCTCGAGTGAAAGATACAAAACATGCCGCTCTGCATTGCGCAACGTGATTGGCATGTTAGCAACTTGGGCAGTAACCAGCCATATGCGCCAGTAGCGTGATAATTCGACCGCTGTGAAATTCAAGCCTTGACATTGTTTTGTTCTTGGATCGCAAGGGGAGTGCGACTGGGGAGTTTGCCTGAAACTGACGGGTCAAGTCCAAGTCAAGTCGAACATCAAGTACGCGTGAGAGTAAATTACCAAAGAAGCGTGTACTGCCGTCGAGGCCACAGATTACCCCCTCGCATGCAAGTGCCGTTGCAGTTCGATGTCCGTTGCAGAACCCAAGCGCAATCAAGCCAAGCAGAAGCAGAAAGATCAAAAGACTCAAGCTCCAGCAAATGCAACCGAACGCCTGAAAACCGTCGTACGCCGCCTACCTCCCAATCTCCCCGAAGAGATATTCTGGCAGAGCGTCCAAACATGGGTCACAGATGACTCTGTCACTTGGAAAGTGTATCATGCCGGGAAGTTGCGCAAGAGGTGTGTTCTATTCACTCTATGCTTGCGGCGTGAGTGACTGACTCAGTGCTGCGGTGTGTTGGCAGGGCAAATCAGGAAAATGTCCCTTCGCGTGCGTATATTGCATTCAAGAATGAGGAGGTGCTTGCGACGTTCAGCCGTGAATACGATGGTCATCTCTTCAGGGACAAGACAGGTTCGTAATATTTGAACATAGCGCAGTTGCAGTCAAGTGATCTTTGCTGCAGGCAACGAGTTTCAGGCAGTAGTCGAGTTCGCTCCGTTCCAGAAGATACCCCCCGAGAAGAAAAAGGTCGATGCGAGACACGCAACGATCGATAAAGGTGCGGTTGGGTCAGGAGTGAAATTCCCATCGTACTCAAATGATTTATAGACGAAGATTACATCTCTTTCCTCGAAACGCTCAACAATGCTGAGAAGTCTGAGCATGTGTCCCTTGAAACATTGAGTGAGGATCGTGTCACGTTTAGTAACATCATTTTTGATGTCAGTTTTATGAGCAGTCGCAGCATCTCAACCACCCGCCGCGCCAAAAACTACGCCTCTTCTTGAGGCACTGAAGGCAGAGAAGTCAGCTCAGAAGGACAAGGAAGCCATCCTCCGTAATCATGCACACTACAAGGACATTTCTGTCGCATCTACCATTAGGAAAGAAGAGGTCAAGAAGAAAGCTCCCGCCCCTGCTGCAGCATCGCAGAAGCAACCCGAAGTCAAACCTGCTGCTCCCCTTAGTCGTAAAGCGAAAAAGGCCGCTGCAGCAGCAGCGGCAGCACAGCAGTCTGGTTCTCCGGCTCAGACCACGCCAACGATTCCCCCTGCGCCGAAAGGCACATCTGCAGGGCATGCTAATTTGCCAGCCAAGCCTCCTCCACAAGCACCTGCTGCTCCTCGACAACGCCCTGCCTCACAGAGTCGCCAGCAGGCGCCTAAAGTGCTTGCTGCGCCTCTCCCTCCTAAACCAGCGGTACAACCTACTCCTGCCAGTGCAGAGGTCACGCCACCTGCAAACAGTCGCAGGGGACGTCCAGTCGTTGGTCTGGGACGACAATTCGAGGCAGCGTTAAATGGTGCGGTCGGCCCTGGCGGAGGAAAGAAACGCGAGAAAGATACTCAACCAACTCCTGCGAGCGAGGCTGTGCAAAAAGATGTTGCGCAAAAACCTAAGGATATCCTTGCATCGTCTTCTTCCAGCCCCGGTGTCCCTAGTATTCTGCAACGCGGGGATGGACACCACACTGGGAACCCTACGATTATGCAACGCCCTCAGCCTAGTCATGTTCCTGAAAGTCCCGCTGCTACTGAATCGCATATTAGCAGAGGAGGGGCGCCAAGGAGAGGGCGTGGCAGAGGTAGGGGAGCTCCTCGTGGTGGCTAGGTGCGGCACCAGTCTGCAAGCCTGGTTTTTGTCCGCCATAAATGCCTCGCGAGATTGGTGGAGATCCTTTCTGTTGTGCTGCACGGTTCACTTTACTTCGTTGCAAGGCAGTTGGCAGTTGGAATCCAACCGAGCTACGAAAGGTAGTGACGTGCTATGTATGTTCACTTTGCGCCGGCCCAGCACCAATCTCTTGCGGCATGACTGATCCTTTTACGAATCCCTTTGAAGTAGATTTGACGTCGGTAGTCAGACCCCGTACCTCCATGCATAGTGTTCGCTAGTCGTTCTCTTACACGCAGAGGAATTAGCAATCAAGAAGGTAGTTCTGTTCCTGTTATAAGAATATGTTCTATTGTCACGCTATCTTAAGACAGAACCTCAGCATCCCAAAGCAAACGAGTCCAACTGTATCCAAATTATGCCATGAAACATCGATCAAAGACAACCTAATATATGAAGACAAATCGAGATAAGATAATCACAGAAGCATTGCGCCGAGGAGAGATGCAGCAGCGCCAACGAAGCATGTGATGCCAGTGATGCCAACCTTGCCTGCGGCACCAGTCTTGGTAGTAGTAGCAGTAGCAGTAGCCGAAGTTGATGTTTTTGAGCCGGAGGCAGAGGCAGTGGAGGAGGTGGAAACGGTCTTCATAGATACAGAGGCACTAGCAGTTGCCGTCCCGCCAATGGGAGCCGTCGATTGTCCATTGATTTCATTTTGGACAGTAGAGTTGAACGTTCCAGTCATGCCAGTCATCCTGTGACGCATTTGGTGGGTGATCTTTAGCCAAACACGAAAATCACTCACGAGAATTTAGCAGAGAAGGCCTCAGCAGGGAATTGAGGGTTGGCGGCATCTTTCAAACTGAGCGACGTGAAGCGAACAAAACTAAGAAAAAAGTTGAATCGATCTGGCCGTAAACAAGACAGTGCGGGTTTCTTACTATTCACTGCTGTCAGGTCCAATGGACCCATCGGGGGTGAAGCTGATTGACGAACTGGTCGACACGTCAACGCTGGGGTTAATAGTTTGCAGTAATGTCTAGCAAAAATAAGACTGCTGCCTCATTTACTTCAGGCTAATAACTGACCTGTTGGTTGGCATTGCCAGTGTAGATACCAACGAGAGAAGCGCCGAAAGAAGCGAGGTTCGGAGACATGCCATCATCTTGCCAATTGATAGTCGCCTGCTGACCAGCCGCAAAAGTGGAAGTTGCCACAGGGGAGGTGATCTTTACAGCCAGGTAATCATGTCAATTCGACGATAAAAAATCCAAGAGAGAATACGCACGAAGACGTTGGCGAGCGCAGAGGCTGCGAGAGCAAAAGAAATGATAGCCTTGCTGAACATTGTTTTCTACTATGAAGAATGAGCGTTATTCAAGAGAGTGTGGAGTGCTTTAAAAAAGCAGCGTTTGTGAAAACTGATACGAAAACGACAGATAGAGGTGAGCAAGGGGACGGGATTGAGAGGACAGTCAACGGAGTTCGAACTTCTTATGACCTAGGGAAAAAAGAATATCAGACGTCCAACTTGAAGCAACCGTCTACTGTCCCGATTATTTCCTGTAGTGCCTGGCTAGGGTAACCCGAACACTGTTCCTCTCATCAGCCAATCATAATAGTTTAATGATAAAATGGTACTGAGCGCACGGAAACTATACTTGCAGTTGGGAGAATTTCAGCTGAGCTATGACTTACGAATGGCAGATTCAGTGTTTAAATTTAAAATCGCGTGATGGCAAACCGATATAATCTGACGCGACGGTCGCGACGCCGACATGCGATGCGGGTCTCCCCGTCTCACGAGGTCTCACCTATGGCGGATTCAGATCTTCTTTCAAGTTGCTTGTGATTCCGCGCCCTCGGTGATGGACTGACGCATTTCTACAGTACTTGGGTCGGCTCTGAGCAGCCCTGCAATGGTCAGAATATGGTGTTCGATGTGTCTTTTTGACGTCTTTAGCGCCGTGCAATGAGGTGATGATGACGGTCGACGTAAACGGTAAACCGCGGGAAACTCCATTCTGGGACAAAAAAAATATTATTAGCTGAATTATGTACATATGTCTCATTAATCTGCTGAGACAAAAGAAATATTATGACACTGTGTGAATTATGCATTTCGGTCTTTTTTCCTTTGTTCTCGCGTTCGCTAAAGGGCCTCCGCGACCTGTAACTATTTGAGGCGCCAGCCACGGCAAGATCTGACGGATCTACCGCAAAAATCAGAAAATTCAGACGTAGACCCACTACAGAGGTAGCGGGAATAGCCTCGGACACGGCGACAAATAAGGCAAGTTATTTTCACGCACGTGCGACATGTCATCTATTTTCTACCGAATTCCCATTAGCGGTTGTCGGCCCACTCGATCATTCCGGAGAGTCGAAGACAGTCCGCATGACATGATCTACTTTTCTCCCAGTATGCTTGATGAATCCCAGGTAATCTAGCTCCTGAAGGGCCCGGATGAACCGCAATTGAACCTCCATGAGCCATTCCTCTTCATCTTCTCCCGCGTCCTCATCAATGGCCTCATCCTGTTTCTGTTTTCCCTTCTTCCTCGATGGCGTCCTAGAGATTCCATTCGCACCATCAGGAATAGGAGTCTTTCCAAGACGCCGCTTCTGAGCTTCCAAGAAGACCACGAATGCCTGAAACCAGTCATAGACATTGATCATCTTCGCGCTTTCTAGGTAGCCCTTGAATAGGATACTTATGTCGGGCAGGTCATCATCCTCATCATCTCCACTTCGTTGTCCGGCAGACATGTAGTCTTGGGGATGAATCAATCCCGCGAGGATGGATGCGCGAGGTGATGGATTGATCAGCTGGAACATTTAAAAAAATTGGCAAATTAGCGTGCATCCATTTATTAACAGCAAGGTTTAGTCGTCGCGTACCTCGGACGGAAATGGCGTCGAGCCAGTGTACCAGATGTCCCATAACGGGGCGTCTTCCAGTGCAACTATGCGTAGCCTGAGGTTTATAAATTATCAATCAACCGCAATGATAACTGCGGTACATACTTGAAATACTCTGAGAGCCAGTTTCTGAGCAGAACGGATATGTCCTGCGCGTTTGCATCCCGAGAGAGCATCCTATATGCTGTTTCCACGCGCGAAATGACTTCAACTTCTTCCGCTTTTACGTCCTCAGGAACATCCTCGAAGAAATCGTGTACTACCTGCACAAAGTCTTCAAGTTGCGCTGCGGGCAGCTTCCTACAGAGATCAGCAACAGCTCAATCAGCTACCCCTGTCGAGAGTACATACAAGCAAGATTCACATACATGACCACGGAACACAAATGACCGTATACACTGCCCAGACGTCCTCGCAACGCCAGACACATCAAATCGGGCATCGTTTGGTCACCCTGGACGACCTTGTGCCCATGCACCAGCATGAATTGGCGGATAAGGAGCACAAGCCGAAATGCCACACGCAGCAGCTTCGCGCGCATTCGGAAAGTATCGCGTGCAGTGTCTACTGAAAATAGGAGTGCATCGACAGTGGCATCTCGCCAACTAATAGCATGTTCTACAGGCATAATGAGAGTCGATTTGTGCACCCGAGCAAAAAGGGCATCGAGGAAGGAAAAAGCATCAGATGTGAGAAGCACTTTTGCAGCATCTGTGGACTGTCCTAACGCTTGAACAGGGGCGAGGACGCTGAGGGGCTCTTCAAAATGCTTCATGTGAGCCAGCTATGGCTTGAATTAATTATAAACCATTGCAGGAAGGAATAGCATACTTGAAGTATGGATAATAGACCGTCAAGTGACGAGCTATGACGAGTAAAAAAATCGACTGCGAAGTCGATGGTCGTTGGGCCAATCATAATTTCTGGCTCAAACATAGGATCAAAAAATGTCTTGAAAGATCCCGTTAGTGTCTTCGTGGTGACATCGAGATTCTACAAACCTCCAATATAATGTTGTGCAATGATTTTTCAGCTAGCGGGAAAGGGCAATCTCTCACTCGCAGTAATGCCAGCATAGAGTGAGGGTATGTGGCATGGATATAAGACGGGGAAGGGGGTGAAGCCAGTGCGAGGATAAATACCAGTGGTAAGCATGGGATATGTGAGCTAAGCATTGTTTGATAAGAAGACAAATATCAGCAAGAACTGTCTGACCTGCAAATTTCAAACATGTCTTGAACCACCTGAGGCTCCAGTTGTTCAAAGTCATGCATCACAACTACCAGACGTGACCTGTGATGATGATCGTCTTTTAATTTCACTCAGCGAACGGCAGGAAAGGGATTATTCGAGTCCCTTACCTCGCGCATCACATACAGCTCGATACCATGCCTCAAGGAGGGCGATATCATATGCTGCTAGTGAGGTAGATGGCTTGCGTTTTATGTCTGCGGGTATTTAAATATCAATAAACTAGAAGGCCAAAGAGAGTCGTGCGCAAGTACCTTGTCCTCCGGTAGGAGATCGGGATACAAAACCTGACACGATTGTCTTCATAGTTCCGGTAATAGTTGCGCAATCGCTTGGAAAGACGTGTATGACAAAATGATCATTGAAGTCGTCGAAAAGCTCGTCTGTACTTTCCTCTAGTCGGAAGGAAATCTCGTCGAAGAGAGAAGATGACGTGCTGGATGCTGTCAGAATAAGAATTGAAAGGCAGTATCTCAACCCGAGCAAGCAAACGTACATGTGACAGATATGACTGGTAACTCGGGGTATGGTAGTCCCGGAAGCTCATCCGTATAAGACTTCTTAACTTGCTCAACAACACTCTCCACGACCGGTGCGTGCAGTGCGCGAATAAGTTCCTGTTTACGTGAGATTTTCAAAAGGAAGAACGAGCGAAACACATACCTGCATCCTCTTCAAACATTTGCCCCAGGCTGCCCTGCACGCTTGAAAGCGAAGCTGACATCCTTGGGGAAGATCTCGCTCGGGGAACAGGGATGACGGTACTGCATTGGTGTTCACATCGTCTGAGCCATCTATTTCAGCTAGATTTTACGGACAGAAAGTATTTTCATGCTACCAGAATCATTGAATGGAATGTAGACTGTGGTCTGACAACCAAAATCAATAGACATGATAGACGTTTGTGTAGGACTTGCCTGATTGACATCCTCTAAATCTGTATCGACTGCCATATGGACTGAAATGATCGAGGTTCAAGGAGTGCCATAAGCCTTGTAAGCCTTCAATGTTTCGGACGGGCTTTGACCTGCCCTAAAGAACACACAATTGACGCGTCGCGACGCGTCCAAGCTCTGCAAACATTCATCCAAATCACTGCAGGGTGGTCAACGACTCAATTAGATCTTTTCAGAATGTCATCTCCTCCAAGAGTTGATTTTCCAACATCGGACATCGATGATATCGAGATGGACGGGCCTCCTCAAGATGGCACCATCGATCAATCACTGTCCATAGCTCCTCCTCCCCAACGTCTCTTTCTACCGGGGACACCTTCTGCTGCAGGCACTCCTGCGCGACAAAGATATGCTAACAGCGTTGCAGCTACGCCTATGAGCGGTATTGCTGCCAGACGGGCGCTTGGGATGAGCACACCTCGGCGAGCACCACGAACACCGCTTTTTGCTCGTGAGTGCTTGCTAAACGTATAGCTAACTGCCACTTATTTTTCATGCTAGCCGGAAGCTCCCCTCTTGCATTCCCAAGCTCTTCACCTGCTAAGACTCCTCGGAGGAGGGTCGCGATCGATTCTGATCCAGCTTTTCCAGACTCTGAGCCTCTTGCCTTTCCTTCGTGAGCTACTTTTGTTGAAATATCTTCCAATTTGTTGATGATATGTCAGGAGTCCAGCCGCTGCTTTTGCTACGCCTGTCAAGAACCGTCGCGGGGACATCCACTCTTCCCTTTCTTTAACACCATCCGCACGGCGATCGAGGCGTGGCGATTATAACAACGATCTCAACGATAATCTCAACTCAGATGGAACGCACCTCTCCATACCTGCATCATCTGTACCGCACCTCTCGGCACCCGCTGCACCCACAGATGAACCCGATGAAATTCGCGCTATCTGGGGAACTACCGTGAACTTGGCAGAGACGATGAAGCTTTTCCGCGACTTTTTGCGCGGCTTCAAGCCCAAATATCGTGTTATTCATGATCGTCAGGAGAACCTTCGCACTCGGACATTTGCCACCCCAGACGAAGGCGAAGTCGTATTATATGAGACGTACATGCGTCGTATCCGCCAGACTGGCGAAACGAATCTCAACCTCGACATGATCAACTTGCTTTCCTATCCGCCGTGCAAAAAGCTGTTTGCCCAACTGCAGAAATACCCGCAGGAAGTAGTGCCTGCGATGGATCAAATCCTCAAGGACCTTATGCTCGAACTTGCAGACGAAGATCAGCAAGCCGGCATGGACGGAATGCAGGGCGATCAAGGCGACGAAGAGATCGCCGACATCATGGGTAAAGTCTACAAAGTCCGTCCGTTCGGACTGACGACCGTGAATATGCGTGAACTCAACCCATCTGGTATGACGTTTAAAAAGTTCAAACGTTCTTCTATCGTCCTAATGTGCTCTAGATACCGATAAACTCATATCTATAAAAGGCTTGGTCATTCGCGCCACACCCGTGATTCCAGACATGAAGGTCGCGTTCTTCCGCTGCCTCACATGTTCTCATACTGTTCAAGTCGAAATAGACCGCGGCAAGATCGAGGAGCCAGCTCGGTGCCCAAGGGATGTCTGTGGAAGCGTTGGGACGATGTCTCTCGTGCACAACCGTTGTGAATTTGCAGACAGGCAGGTCATCCGGCTGCAAGAGACTCCTGATGCAGTGCCTGATGGCCAGACACCACACACCGTGTCACTAAGTGTATACGACGAGCTCGTTGATGTATGCAAACCCGGCGACAGGATTGTCGTCACTGGTATCTACCGCAGTGTCCCCGTCAGAGTGAACCCTCGTCAAAGGACGATGAAAAGCTTATTCAAGACCTACCTCGATGTTGTTCATGTCCGGCTTAGCACGGGTGGCACTCTAGGACTTGACCGCAGTACACGTCCTGCGGGCGGAGACAAGGTCCCTGGTATAGGTGGGGTTGGTGATAGTGCCGATGATCAAGAACTGGAAGAGCAAATTACCCAAGGGGGACTAACACGTAAAGCTGCACTTGAAGCGAAACTTATCGACCTTAGCAGGCGACATGATCTCTATGATCTCCTTGCTCGTTCCCTCGCGCCGTCAATCTGGGAAATGGACGACGTGAAGAAAGGTATACTCCTCCAGCTCTTTGGTGGTACCAACAAAAGCATCGCAAGAGGTGGTGGCGGAGGCGGACCTCGCTACCGTGGGGACATTAACGTACTTTTGGTCGGTGACCCTGGTACCAGTAAATCACAAATTCTACAGGTATGTTGGTCTCTGTCTGCAGTAGCAAAGCTAAGCCAAACTCATTGTTAGTACGTTCACAAAATCGCTCCTCGTGGAGTCTACGCATCTGGCAAAGGCTCTTCGGCAGTGGGTCTGACCGCGTATGTAACCCGAGACCCTGATTCCAAGCAGCTTGTCCTCGAAAGGTAAGGAATGCATCATCGTTATCTTGGATGTCGTTGCTCACGGATCTGCAGTGGTGCCTTGGTGTTGAGTGACGGCGGTGTCTGCTGTATTGATGAGTTTGACAAAATGTCTGATGCAACTCGTAGCGTTCTCCATGAAGTTATGGTCAGGCTCATCCCGAGATTCTTTTGAATGTTATTGAAACATGTTCACCAGGAACAACAAACTGTGTCAATAGCCAAAGCGGGCATTATTACTACTCTCAACGCCCGTACGTCTATTCTTGCGGCTGCGAACCCTGTCGAATCAAAGTACAACGTCGACCTCCCCATCACGCGTAACATCGACCTCCCTCCTACGCTCATCTCCCGTTTCGACTTGCTATATTTGGTACTCGATCAAGTAGATGAAACCCTCGACCGCAAGCTTGCCCAACATTTAGTCGGGCTGTACCTCGAAGACGCACCCAACACTGGTGGCTACGATGTTTTAGTGTGTCTTGCATTACCCTTTTCACGTACTGAGCTCACCTCGTTTTAGCCTCTTGACGAGCTCTCAGCATATATCGACTATGCACGCACGAACATTCACCCCGTCCTGAGTTCTGAAGCAAGCGACGAGCTCGTCGCTTCTTACGTTTCCCTACGCTCCATCGGCGCATCAGACCCCCGCTCGTCTGAAAAGCGCATAACCGCCACAACTCGCCAGCTCGAAAGTATGATCCGCCTTTCCGAGGCCCATGCCCGTATGCGCTTTGCTGCGCACGTCGAATTGCAGGATGTACAAGAGGCATGCCGTCTCATGCGAGAGGCCATCCGCACGAGTGCCATGGACCCCCGCACCGGCAAGATTGATATGGGTTTGCTGAACACCGGTACTGGTGTTGGACAACGCAAGATGCGGGATGACATGCGCAGAGAGCTGTTAACGATGCTTGATAATGGCGCTGGAAAGGGCAAGGGCTTGAAATGGGGCGAGGCGATGAAACGCCTTGCAGACCAGAGTAGTATCCGTGTTGATGCTGCCGAGTTTTCTGAAGTTATCAAAGTGATGGAGAATGAGGGAGTGCTGACGGTGGTTGGGGAGCGGGATAAGAGGATGATTAGAAGAGTTGAAGGAGCGTGATATTGTATTACAGGCATGGATCGGCATAACCTGTTGTTTTTTGGCTTCAAAATATTCTTTTTGCTTGTTAATATGCTATCAGGATACTTGGCTACGTGTGTATCGATACTATGTGGATCTATAGGATGGAAGCCGCTAGTATGTATGGCTCCGAGTAATAATCATTCAACACAATTTGCTACTTGTCCGAAATCTGAACTTGAGAGCAAACAAGTTCCGAACCAAGTGCGATTGAGATTAAGCAATGTGATATCCTATGGTACTCCTTCAAAAAACCTAGAAAAATGAATAGACTGATATTCCAACTTTAAATGATAATTCATCGAAACATTCCCACTGCCTCCCAATAGTCTACCCATTGCGTTGCATTGGCTGACGACAGGGGCTCCAAGTCTTTCACCGTCGGACTGACGCGCTGGGCCACATCAGTCGCGAATGAGGAAAGACCACCTGCTTCTGAGTGCATCTCCCCAGACGCTCTGATTGCGATATCTGATCGAGACATCGGGGACAAAAAGTCGAGAAGCTTGATAGCAGGCTAGAATGGAACACCATGTGGGAAAATATTCAGTCAGAAAATGACACAAACTTACGATGCGTTTTATGTCTGCCTCGCTTGCATTCTTGGCACTTAATTCGACCTTCTTGAACCACTCCGAAAATGGGATGAGGGGCAGCGGGGCGCTTGTTATCCTGCGCTCAGAAATGGCGTCCGCAACAGGTCGCATCAGCGTCCCCCACGCTACTGGTCTCGGATGCACCAGATTAACCGCGATGGGGGGCTCTTCTGCTGCAAAAGCCACATCAAGAATAGCGTTCGACACCGCGTGAGTAGGAATCCATGACAAGAGCTAAACCCTCCGTGTCATTGAGGATGAATACCCCACGTTGAACCACACTCACCCCTTGAGCTTCCGGGAATACACCCAAACTTACGCTCGACTTGACGATGATCGGCAGCCAGTCCGTCGTCGACCAAGCTCCTCGTGGAGGTCCTCCCGCTATTTGTCCGATTCTGAACGAGCATGCCGGCAACTTGCTGTTCACGAGGACCTTGTTCAAGGCGGCATTTGTCAGATCGGCATACACCCCTAAGGTAGCGTACGACTCACCCTTTCACAAACGTATTTGCTCGCACCATAGCCGAAGCCTGCTGCAACGCCCGCATCACACTGTACTTCTTCCGGGAAAGGCCCTTTCGATTTATCCCAATTTTGCGCAGTCGATATAGAAGAGGTGAATAATATACGCGGCTTCGGATGGCGCGGAGAAGACAAAGCCAGATCGATAAGATTGCGGGTTCCCCGAACATGAGGCTCGAAGGACGACAGCGCCAGGTTGAAATTGAGCTGCCAGGCATTGTGAATGATGATAGTGACGGACGTGCGGATCTGCATTTGCGTTTTATTAGTAGACTAGTCTGCAGAGCAGACTGGAAATGAAACGAACTTTCTCATACAACTCTTTCTCCAAACCCAAGTTATCACCAGAAGTATCCGTTTCTATGTACAAAAGTTTCTCTGACTGCAGGAGAGTGACATCTAAACCGCGGTCATCGAATCCATTCTTCTGTCGTTCTTGAATGGATGTAGCGCCCCTCGATGAACGATTGAAGGCATATACCACCGAGACATCCTTGCGCTGTAGCAAAGATGCAAGCAGGTACGAACCAAGACCACCTGTGGACCCAGTCAGGATGACTACATGATTGCCTTGACTGCGTCCGTTGACAAGAGTGGCAGAGGTATCTATGACAGAGTCCCCACTGAATCCTACTGAATACTTCTCGATCATGTTCTTGATCTCAACTTTGACATCGACGGTCGGACTGTTCATATGCAATACTGCGTAAACGACGCTTCTCGCGAGCTGGCGAATCGAAGGACTTGAAAAGACGATGTTCTGGTCAATTTGTGATGCCGAAGCCTGGACATCGCGATCTGATGATGACCTGAGGGAACTGATGATCTGGCTTCTGAGGAATGTCGCAGAAAGACTAGAGGTAGAAAGTCGGTAAAGCATGAGTCTTGATTGACTATCTGCTTACCTGTCAAAGCCCTGAGCAAAGAAGTCTGCATCGGGATCGACCGCCTTGCCAGCGTTCACAGAAACGGCATGCAGCATGAGCCAATTCTCGACGTCTTCCACAGTCCAGCTCGTAGGCAAAGGCACATTGATGCCTGTTCTGCCGCTCTCCACCTTGTGGTATCTGACGCACATTAATATCATTTTTAGATACTGGTGAAAGCACCTTCTCACAATGCATTGATCTCCCCCTCATATGTTTGGATAACGGCTTTCTTGGCGATGGTCCCTTTTCCAGTTCGAGGCATAGGCTTTCCCCTGGACGTCACAAGAACCATTTCCTTGAAGATTCTGCCAAAGGCAGGGCCTTCCTTGTTCGCTTCTTCTATCTCCGGCCTTCAAGAGCACTTGAGTCATGAGAGCCGCATGCGCTTTTACGAGGGTCTTACCAAACTCGATTCCTGAACTCCGAAACCTGTGCCTCGTCTTTGACGTCGATTTTATGCCCCGCTCGTGGCTCTATAAGGACGCCAACCTGGCTACGCCCACGGCCAAAGATGATGGCGCCATTCACATAGGGGTTGGTCCCGATGACGCATTCCATGGGTGCTGGTATTACTTTCTCCCCAGACGAGAGCGTCAATACATCGTCCTTTCTTCCTGATCTGCAAGACTGATATTAGACAATTCCAGAACACGAATGACACAGTTATCAGTCGCACATCTTCCACAAACCCTCGATTGTCGGATGCTTGATAAATAAATCCGAAGTCGCATAACCCTTGACGTCCGGGAGATTCTCTACCGACACATGGTACGTCGGAGTTGTCTGCAAGGAAGAGTTCATATTGAGAGGATGTATGAAGACTGAGACGCACTAAAATTTGGCATTCATACGTTTTATCGCCCTGATGAACCCATCTGATCTTGACGTTTGGGATAAATTGCAGCCAGTCCCAAAGCTTTTTCTCGACCCCATACCGCAACAAAGGAGTGACAGGTCCAATTTCTGTGGCGCCGTAGTGAGGGAATATATTGATTCCTGCATCTACCAGGGCATTTCCCATCTTAGAGGCGAGTGGACCGCCAGTATAAAGCTACAACACCATGAGTCGTTCCTTGCCAAAAATAGACTTGTGACATACGACATATTTAAGATTCTTCAGAATATCAAGAGCATTAGGAGATGATACCCATTGCTCTAGGAAGCAAGGCATAGCCCACAACGCGTTCGATTTGGTATCAAGCACACATTCCAAGATATTTTGGGAATTGGGTGTTATGGGAGCAGCTGATGGGTCGTGGAGGGATGTGGGCGGGTAAATAGATATGCTGCTCAAAGATGCAATGGGTATCAGCAGTTGGATCAGTATGCCTGAGGTATGGAACGCTGGAACGGATGCAGCAGTGATGCGGATAGGAGTGGGAGCGTTGATGTGGTCGACAATGGATGCTGATACCAGCCTAGTTAGCAGTTTGCTTCGTCGATTGTGTCGGTGGCTTACGGTTTCTACACCATTCAATGATGGTCTGATTGGTTGTTGGAATGGCTTTCGGGAAACCAGTGCTACCAGAGGAATGTATGTAGTATAATATATCGTCCTGAGACGGCCGAGAAGCTTGGGGAGGGTATGGGAGAAAACCCTCGTCTACAGAGCCTGTGCCAAGCATGGGATATAAATCTTTCAGCGCCGGCATCATGTCAAGCTGCAGCTGGCTCGCTTCAATGCCATGAGATATGCTACCCGCTTTGACTTCGTTGAGCAGGGAACTGAGAGAGTGGTGAGTGGTGACTAGACGACAACACTTTGTTTTTTGCATGAGGTTTAGGATTGCCGCCGCCGAATTACGAGGTGAGATGGGGAATGGCTTTAAAAACAGCAATCAGAGATATGTTCGAGCAGAAAAAGACGATCACATACAATCAGCCCAGCGAGGATGATACCCATGACCACGGTCTGGTAAAGGAGAGTGTCTGAATTGGCGATGATGCCAACCACCTGTTTGTCTGTGCCTGCACGATCTGGTCTAACCTGATGTGCAGCACGATGACAAGCTCGATAGAAGTCTAGATGTGAAATAGAGATGAGGTCGTTGTTGCCAGGTTTGTTGTAGACAAAGAATGTGACGCCCGGGTTATGTTGGGCATTGAATTCGAGCAATTCAGGAAGGAACAGAGATCCGTCAAGAGGAGGATGATTAAGAGAAATTGGGTGTGAATTGACCATGATTTGGATGCTCAACTGGCGGTCAAAGTTTGTGAAGGGTATACATACGCGAGTCTTTTTAACAAAGCCGGCTAAGCGCCTCCGACATATTTGTTAATGACCACGGTCATTTTGAATTCGGGTATCTTCTTCGAGTCGTTCACTCCGTCAAGTGATATACGTTAGTTTGAGCCAGTTGACCGGGACCATTGGCGTCACGGTGACGTTCTCAGAATCTCCGAGTGAGGTAAATGTTTCTATCGGCCTCCGACGTGGAGTGTTCCGTGTGTCAATGACCTTCAGTTAGGTGTCCGCGATGAGACTTCAGTCGAAGAGCTGGACAAGCCTGAACTTCGGGATTTCGTACTCGGGCCATCCTAGTGTGAATGAGAGCGAAGGTTTAGGTAACTCCGGCTAGTCTATACAGACAACAAGGTTCAGGCTGGTCATTTAACCGGTTCAGGCCTGTAGAGGTATACTGCTGGTACATGGCAACCAGACGCACACATATAGCCCCCGGCCGGGGTCAACGCAACATCGTTCCCTGAAAGATACGGGCTTCTAGTCTTAGCCTGGATATTGTGAACCTTACCAGGCCTGATGTAGCAATTTTGATTCATGTATCTTTTGTCACACCTTCCCTTTGACTTTTAGTTCGAGCGATAATGATCTTGAAGTTCTATAGTCAAATCATGTAAAACTCCTTTCCTATATAAGAGCAAATATGATAATGTGATGCTCGGTGACAGAATTACGCTAATTATTGTGATATATGACCATGTATTTTCCTCACCAGTTCACTGATGGAGAGCCTATTCACAAAAGTTGGCTTGCTTTGCTTTCCCAAATATTGACGTGACATCAATCATTCTATCAGACGTGCGCGTGATGCACGCTAACTGTTAAAAGAGTTTTTGTCTGGTAATGTACTAGGACAACTACTAATCATGGACCAAATTCCTTTTCTTTCGTTTTCATAAGAGTCACGGTCGGGCTTGGGTCGGGCGAATGACACTAGTACTGAGGCGGTCTGTCATGTGCACTGCCTGCCGCCCGAGCGATTACACTATTCGCTTCCTTCGTCCATTTCACTGAGTTCGTCGTGTCTCGCACTCCTCACTCGCAGACAATTATGTTATACCCACTATTCACACTGTAATTCGCCCTCTGTACTGCCTTAGTCGATAGTGTGTCATGCATTCCCAGGTTACTCGAGGGGTAGATCGAAGCAAATATTCACTGGCGACCCTCCCGTGACCTAATGAATCATGTCAGGCGACTCTCGGTCTAGTCGAACCTGCTACACACCAACAACTCTCACTCCTCTTCTACTAGTGAATTGGGTAGCTCAAGTATTCCTAATCTACACCATGAAATACCTTATCATCCCACTAATCCCACTGTACACCCAACCCATAGCAGCATACCACCATATCATCAATTTTCCGGACATTCTATACCATACCATCATTTGCCACATCATGGAGCACATCTTTCACCATACAACCATTATAATTACAGCCACACTCCCTACCATATTCCATGCTATACCGGTCAATCGCAATCATAATTTTTCGCTCCAACTTAACCGACATCTCTGAGGCATTGCCGAGCGGGCTTAGAAATGGCAGCTGTGACAAACTGTGACAAAAGCGTTACTTGACGACTTGTGGAGGTGACGACTCAGCCGGGATGGATAGTATCTGCCTAAACTTTGGTGCATAATGAATAATTGTCGTGATCATGATCTTGTATAACCACAAACTGTAAAACATATTAAACACTTGAGATAGACGCACACTGAGGGAGGCTATCGGAAGCAACAAACTCTCGAATCCTTTGCCATCCTGGGGGTATTGTTGATGCAGCAAGGAGTTGCACTCGTAAAGTTGTCGGCGGAAGAATGGCTTGGAGTTCAAGCTATTCTCCCGGTGACGGCGTCTTTGAAGACCCCTCCGCAGAATCGGTCTTGACTCATCTGGTAAGATCCTAAGAGATCATGGTCATGATACAGGCAGGTTGGATACGACTTGAAGACTTCGTTTCCACAGTGATCAAATTCCCATCCGACGAGATATAATATCGCAATCTCGCCGTACGGAAATTTGGATAATGTGGATTTCGTCAATGCGAATAATTGAGCTTATCGCACTGCACATACGTTCAGAGCAAAGATGAGAAATGCTGCCGAGTTGGATGAACGACAGTTTATATAAGCCGCCCTTGCCGGTGGTAACCGGTGGTACTGCCCTGTGGCCCGGAGCACGCCGCTGTCATCACATGACACAGATTGACAAACTATGAATTTGATAAGCTACGGCAAACCGCGGAGTTTGAACTGACGATTTAAATTTTTCAACAGAGCGAAAGTCATCACTTACTGCTTCGTCAAGAGTCCCGCCGCTAGCCCCAACTTTCAAGTAAGTAAACCCATCCATCGTATTCCTTGGTCGTTTCTGCTTGGTCCTTTTGATGAATAAATATCACATTCAAGCTCAACAGTCTTATAGACCTCTGTGTCTAGCTGCTGACTACCATTACTTCTGCAATTCTGATACCTATCAGGCATTCCAAGATCGTGATTTGATCAAGTGCTAATGTTCTTTGTTCCAGGCGTCATCTGTATATCTTAGTCCTCTGGTTCCCTGTGCTCATAGTATTACATGTCCAATTAATGCGATGTAGTGGCTTGCCACGCTGAATCTACTGCTTTGATCACGCATTCCGAGTTGCTTCGTGCAGTACACCAATTGTATAAATCTCAATAATGTTATAGGATGAAAGTAAATAAATGCATGTGGTCTGAATACATGTGCAGCGAGGGAGGTGAATGACATTCTGGCGGTCCATAGTCATACCATCATAGTGCCGTTCCCCGCTCGAAACTGGCCCGAATCTCCGAGGTATATTTGTCGTAGTACCGCGCAATCTGTTACTCTTCATGAGCTCATATTTCAAGAGCAGGATGTACAATGACATACCTTTTTGTTGAACACCCGATTCCGCTCATTGATGTAGGTAATGTCGCCCTCATCCTCATTGAGTCTCTTTCGCGAGAATTTGCCTTTCTTGTCAATGCTATGGCGTAATGTCAGTGCTACGGGAGAGCCAAACCGGACAGCAACGTACTCTCTGTTGATCTTGCCAACCACTCTATCGATGGCGTCTTCAGTAGGCTTGTTGTCAGCGTACAGTAGAGTATTGGCATCCCGGTAGAAACTCTCTGCAGCCATCCGTTGTTCGGGTGATGGAACCACCTGAAAAATGTATATAATAAGAAATAAAATACAATGGAAGGTTCGATAGCACGCACCTGTCCGCCCGAAGGATCAAATGTTGTGAGAGCAGATGACGACGGCGTACTACTCCCAGACTTTGATAGAGACCCTGGTGCCAATCCTAGTACGGCCTCCTTCTGTCGGTTGTATGCAGCAAGGTCAGGTTTGATGAGGTCAAGGTCTTTCTTGTAGCGCCGTCGAGCCGCGTGAACATCATCTACACAAGGATAATGAGTGTCATCATGCAATGAACAATATAAAACCCTACCGTGAAACTCGTAATCTGCTCTCCGTGCCTTCCTCGCTTTCTTCTTTTCCCAATTATCATTATCCTCTATCGTCCATTCCCAGTTCTTCTGCCGCTCCACGTCCTCTCCTCGATCCTCAGCTTCAGCCTGCATGCGTAAGACCTCCGCAAGTTTCCGCTGCCGTTCTAGCCGTGCAGCATCTCTCGCTGTCATCTTGGCTTTGGCAGACTCTTCAATGAGAGAGGCGCGATTCGCTTTCGTCGTTGAACGCTGTGAAAGAGCAGGTAAGGGACGTTGAGTATGACGCAGAGGACCACGCACCATCTTTGCTCTCAGTTGCTCCATCTTTGCCTTTCTCTCCTCCATAGTCATCGTACCTTCCTCTACCGTCTTTTCTTCGCCGCTGTCTGAAGTCATTTGTTGAGCGCAAGTGAACAATGCTGGACCACGAACTGCCATTGCCGAATGTGTAAACGTCGCTTATGTAATTCCAAGCTTAACTGAACTACAACATGGAACGGTACATAGAATTGGGCTGTTCAGTAAATTTACTTATTTACAGTTTCTAGTGTAAAATAGTAGCAAGGCAGTTGTGCATGATTGGGGAGATTCTGCAGTTTCGAGGCAGCGTGTTTCGAAATGAATTGCTTGTGAAGGCAAATGCCGATGCTACGGCCCGGCCGCCCGGGGGTAATAGAGGGGGCGGCGCTTGAACTGTAACTTTTCCGAGTCCAATCAATTATCATGCCATCATTCAAATGAACTCGTGCGCCAGAAATCTTCCAAGACATGCATATTGTGGGCGCCCAGACCTGCGTGTAGTTTGACTTCTACTTACTGCAGAGACAACAAATAAATGGGCAGCCGATGGTCAAGCTGGTCAAGACCCAGCACATGGGCGGTCTAGTATTCAATGCTCGTCGAAGCACGTAGTTCGCTTTGATGCAAGAGCCGTCCAAGCGTGCATCCAAGCGTTTACCTTGCCCTGATGTCGCGAGGGACCAAAGCGCTGGTCTACCGCGATACTTAAGGCGTCCAGATTGCGCGACCTTGGTTTCTGTACCACACAGAAACAAATCACCCATCGCTCACCGTGACCAGTATCCAATTCTATCTTATCCAAGAGATGTCCCTCTTATCTACAGATATTTCTGCGTCTAGCTTGTCATCGTTATCCCCAAAGTTCCTAGAGATCGCTTCTATTCTGACTGCCCAAGCCGATAAAATAAGGCAAAGAGATCAATCGATCATCATGATGCAGTCGAAGTTAGAGTGAGTTATTTTCATGATGTTATTTGCTCAAAGTCCCTAATAAATACTCAGTTCACAGCAGGCTGTCATAGAGGAGATTCGTTCGGAACAGCAACAGTTAATATCATCCGTTGCATCCTTCATGGAAAGCAACGAGCAACGCGCGCAAAAGCAGAAAGATACCTCAGCAGCACTTTCCTCGCCTATCGTTTTGGAAACGCCAGAGCCTGCGACACCCGATGCGAACCCAGGAGTATCCCCATGCACTTTCTCAGTGCCAAAGTTACCTTCCTCTCCAACAACTCCCACACCCGCATTTCACCCTTCATCTTATCGTAAAAGCACTCCTGCTGCGTACGCCAACTTGAGGACTGCCACCGCTGATGATGGATGGAGAGTTCCGGAGCACTACATTAAAGCACAACGAGGTGGCCGACTTCGGCGCCAGGGTGCTTTCTATGGTATTCCCGATTGGACTACTATGTCAGCAATCTCTGCTAGTTACGGCGTGCATGATTCTGGTGCCCCTCCCTCTCCTCCAGCGAGCTCTCAGATCCAAGAAGAAGCGGAGAATTGTCACGCAGATGTGCGCACGCCGGTGGAAGTTATGCTGGAAATAGATGCTGCTGTTGATGCCGTGAAGGCTGCACTAAGCAACGAAAGCGATAGGGCCCCTGGTACCTCTTCCCGTGACTCCTGCAAGCGTTTCCGAGATCTCGACGAGCATGAGGCACGCAAGACTGCAAATCGCACGCACCCCTACTTGAGGACTGCCACCGTTGATGATAGATGGAGAATTCCGAAGCACTACATCAAAGCACAACGGGGTGGCCGACTTCAGCGCCAGGGTGCTTTCTATGGTACTCCCGACTGGATCACTATGTCAGCAATTTCTGCTAGTCACGGTGTGCATGATTCTGGTGCACTTCCCCCCTCTCCTCCAGCGAACCCTCAGGTCAAAGAAGAAGCGGAAAATTCCCGCGTAGATGTGCACACGCCGATGAAAGTTACACAGGAAATAGATGCTGCAGCCGACGCCGTGAAGGCTGCAGTAAGCAACGAAGGCGATAGGGCCTCTAGTACCTCTTCCCGTAACTCCTGCAAGCGTTGCCGAGATCCCGACGAGCAAGAGGCACGCACGACTGCAAATCGTATGGACATATCTAGCATCGTTCATACTACGCCCGATCGATCTTCTTCCTCCGTTTTATCCTCTTTGTGTTCCACTGGACATGGTGCTGGTGGCTCTAACCGCGATGGCTCCCCAAAGCGCAGACGTGTGGCTCGAGAAATCGTTGACTCTGATGCGGTTTCTGACACGAAACGCCCGATTCGCAGAAGTCTGCGCCATGCGATGCCCCGTTGATACCGTTTTTTGCAACTTACGTGACACCTCTTGTATCATATTTACCTCGTTAGTTCCGCCCACTGCTCAAGGATGATCGATGGGCGCTTGAGCGGTCTGCAGGGTTGTATTACTATATATATGAATCACATCGAGGTTAATGAATGCTTTTTAACATGATGCGTGCGCTGGATTTTTGAGTTGAATTCTGGTAAATCATGTCAAGAGAATGGCCGGTATTCCCAAGCTGTTCGCCGAGTTCCTATCGACCAAAATGCGGCAGCAATTGATGTTCGTTCTAGACGTCACAACTGAACAACTCACCAACTTGCAATTGAAGGTCTGAACTTTGTAACGTCATTTTCATTCCCACTGAATGATATTCTTTGCCCATTGAGCCATGCATCCTCGCACGTTAGCAAGACTCACCTCCCTTTCCACTCATCTCCGTCGAACACCTCTCCCTTCTGCTCATTCGAAGTTAATGTCATGTACTACAATTCCGCCAGATAATTCAACCTTTCAACTGCCACCGTTGAACTTTCCAATCTCTGCTGTGCCAAAGAAGAATCCACCCGACAGGGGACGGCATATAAAGACTGCTGCAGCGCTCATCATCGGGTGCGTATGTATTCTGAATATGACGAAACGGAAAAACTGAGAGCAAACTTGTCAAGGGACGAAATTCTGAATGGAAAGACGCTCGACCGGAACTCCAATTACTTTGCACGATTCTGTTTTGAGCATGGTATCCAACTGTGAGTGTTGCTCCCTGCATTGGTCCGCCTTGCCTCGTCGCCCAATTCAAACGTGCAGGAAACGCGTAGAAGTGATAGCAGATGACGAAGATGAAATGTACGTGCGTCGCTTGTAACATCTCGTATTGCAGGGGCACAGCTGCTCAGCAGAACCCCAGTATCGAGGCCAGTCGGAGAATGGTGCAATCGTATGACTTTGTGGTGACGTCGGGTGGTATTGGGCCTACCCATGATGGTACGTTTTATGTGAAATATTATTTTTGGCACACGACCGTGACGCTATTCGCTCGTAGACATAACATATGCGTCTTTGGCAAAGTCTTTTGATCAGGGCCTCGTATATCACAATGAAACCCTCGCTCGGATGGAGGAGTCTGGTAAGCAACGAGCTTGGATATCAAAGCAGAGCGAGGAACAACAAACGGCACGGAAACGTATGGCATTGTTCCCTGATGCGGCTGAGGTGATTTTCGTTGCAAGCGATATATGGGTGGTAAGCATGCTTAAATACGGCTCCAAGATTGGTTGCTGATTTCGAAAAGCCCGTCGTTCGCTTACAAGGGAAACTTTGTATATTTCCAGGGATACCCAGCCTCTTCCAAAAGATGCTAGATAACCTAAAACCTTTCCTTCCTCTCCCGCCTGAAGAGGAGCGACCTTTCCGGCTCCAAGTGTTCACGGGGTAAGCATTTCATGACCATGCGGTTCGTAATGATATACTGATCGTAATTTTAGATTACCCGAGTCGTCCATTGCCCCGTTCCTCACCGACCTTCAAAAGCGAGTACAACCTGAGGGTATTCGGATAGGCTCCTATCCAGTCCTACAGAAAGGTGTGTACGTATCGCTCATAGGCGCGGATCGTGGCCGTGTACATCAGCTTGGCGTAGAGGTCGAGAAAGAAGTGGAAGGACGTGTCGTTACCGAGGCAGAAGCAGAAGCCAAGCGGCAATTGGGCTGCCAGTGATTGAATGTTCGTTCTTTTGTATCATATACTTTCCGGATGTGCGGACCACATTGGCGCGCTGTATTTTGTTGCCTCTTTATTTTTGCATACAATCCTGCACACTTTGCTTCATACTTGCCCACTTGTTTTCTTGGCTTAATTCCATCGTTCTTTCGTTTCTCCTGCTTGGTGAACGAACGCACGGCGGCGTTAATGAGGTACACGCTACCTGAAGTGGGGATCCTTCGTCACCGTAAATAGGGTCTTTGTCAAGTTTTTGATGATTTCAATACTTGTCTTCTCATCCTCCCTACCATAACACACATCCCCGTCCTTTCCGAGTTCTTTGGGATAAGTTCCGACCATCTAAAATTGACCGTCCAAGTCCTGCAAATTTCAAAAGCCTGTACCCCACGCCTGCAGGAATGATAACGACATGCCCAATGTTAACTTCTGTTTCTGCCCTTCCAGGATTGTCCTCTTCATCAAAACATAGCCTCGCACGACCAGATGCGATGCATAGTATTTCAAGAGTAGTGGTGCGGAAGTGCGTCGAGCTGTACGTAGTGTACCTCCACTGGGGTTCGACAACGCCGACGGACCTTATATTGGCAGTAGCTGGTATCGACGATGGGAAACATTCATGATTTATGACTCATAAGGTGGTTTTCCAGTGTAGTTTGCTGATTAGTGGAAGAACTCAGGAGAATTCGGAATTACAAAGTTTGGTCAAGCTTGTTCGAGACATGTGTTCTTCTACTAATTAAACGTCTTCAATGCTTGAGCAAGGTGAAATTCGTTCACCGTGACAACCCAGCTAGGACTCGACAACGAACGGCTTACATGTCGTCAACCACACTGTACCGAGCGAGAGTGGAAACATTGGGTCAGTCAACATCGGTTCACCCGAACAAGACAGGCTACCACGCCGGTAAGCCGCGAGGTTAGATGAAAATTACTCATACTCACTACATCATTTTCAAGCAATAATGGCTCACATAAATCAGCACCAGGGCAACATTACCAGAAGATTACAAATATTGGTCTATTTATTGTGTTATCGATGTGGCACCGATATATCTGCAGCGGATCGTTTAACTGCGATAATCTCGAACTCGCTCCACTACCACCTCGATCAGCTGAATACTAATGCCCCGTTAATACGCAGTTTTGGTCTCTAGCTCCAATATCTAAGAAGGTGATCACATCTTTCCGATGAAGAATCGATAACGGCGTCTTTGGCACACGCGATCTACGTTGATCAACAATGTCTCTAATTGGACTTCGCTTTCGGCAGGTACTCAAGGCACGATGTGACGGGGGGAGCTTGGTGCGAGAGCATACAGCCAGCATTCACACGCTCTTCCTTTTCGGTTGGTAGGTTCGACGATATCCATTCTCCTTGGTCCAGACTGATCTCTGCACTATAGCTAGAGAATCGGGCTTGTTTATTCTTGTCTGCCTCGTGATAGTTGATCACCCTCGAACAGATCATCATGTGCTATTGCCTTGTCCTAACTCGGCTCACGATCTGGCTTCCAAAGAAAGAATTTTGATAGATAGAAACATGGAATGTTCGTCTTCGTCCAGAGATGCGCATGTTGATCTACCATGTACAGAGAAACTGATTATTTTGCAAGCCAAATCCAAGTCATCTTTACGATGCTACCTTTAATATCCATAGCCTCATGTTCAATCAATCAGCCTTCAGGTAGCCAGTCATTCTCCACGACCCCAATTCTCAATGGAAATGTCAAGCCACACGACAACGCATTTGCCTAACACAGCATCCAAAAAATGGTGACTAGTTTACTTTCACTGCTTAGAGCGTCAATGACATTAAATCGAGTCCTTTGGGGTCAGTCACCCTACATGTATCTTTCCTTTGTATATAAAGGTCCCCGAGACTCACTTAACAGTTGACTCGTTCGCATTTCTCATTCGAATCTGTCTACTACACTTCACGCAATGTCTACTCCTACTTCCAATGAGGTGCACCGCACCAATGCGCCATTGTGAGGATTGCTTTGATGCGTGAAAGCTGCAGGTCGCTGATCGACTCAGGGATATCTTGTTCCTCCAAGACGCTACAGAGACTCAACAACCCTACATCGACACTGCACGCAACGAGATCAAACAGATTTGTAACACCCTTTTATCCGGGGGGAAATTCGCCCCGCAAGACATCAGATTCGGTCTTGTGGCCTTCCGCGACCACCCTCCTCAAGAGGACAGCTTTGTTACACAAGAATACCCCTTCACGTCTGACGTTGCAAGTTTTGCGTCTGACTTGGCCAGCTTAACCGCGGAAGGCGGTGGAGATGAACCCGATTGTCAAGGCGATGCTTTGGTCGCTGCCTACAAGGCTGACTGGAGGGACGAAGCGACAAAGGTTGTTGTGCTGGTTACTGATTCACTCCCGCATGGAGTCAGACCCATGAACAACGACGGCGACGGCTTCCCTCTAGGGTGTCCACTTCGTAAGTCATACTTTTGTTCTTGAGTCATAATGGATCAGCGACTAATGCCAAATTAGAACATGACCCGCTCAGTATTGCGACGAGCATGGGAAAGGCTGGCATCACTCTGGTATGTCGATCATCTTACATCTCGTGCTAGAGCCTAATGTCAACACAGTATGTGATTGCGTGCGAGCCTACTTTGAGCCAGAATTATGGGGTTAGCTTATTTTCTTTATGCTGCCGTGTCAGATATTTTATTGATTACCCAGAGAGCGCGCGGTTTCTACCAAGGATTGGCGAAGAGAACGGGGTAAGACGATCACACTAGCTTCGATAATTGATCAACAAATTCACTATTCGTGATAGAGGGAAAATGGTCGATCTGAGCGATCTGAGCGTGTTGCCCACTCTCATCGCTGGTTCTGCTCTAGAAGCAGTCGACAGCGAGCTTTACGTTACAAAGCATCGGGCTGAAGTTCGCAGCATCGCGGACAAGGAGAATATCAACGTCAACGAGATTTCGTTGAGGCTACACAAGGACTTGGTGGCTGCAGGCGTGCAGCACAGCACTCTTGTCGTCGATAACGTGTACCACAAGAACTTCGAGGCTGCAGGCGTCCAACAGAGCACCCTCGTTGTCGATACCGTACGCGAACAGCAAGACCAGCATGTCGACACGTGGTTTAATGCTGAGAATCTTGGCGAAGGGAGGAACAAGATCCAGCAGGTAAGTCAAGTGTCGATGGATCTTCTTGATTCTCATAACTCCATCCAGGTTGGAGGCGATCGTGTTGTCGAAAATTACCAGGCCAATGTGGTGGTGGCGGAACAATCAGCTGCTGTGGAGACGCAGCCGATCAGCTTGGCTCAGGTGATTTATTCCTCGCTCGTATCGATGTCGATGTTTTTAGTGACCACTTTTACAAGGTCGAGACTGTCGTTCACAAGTGTCTTGTGAGAGCATTATGAATGTTGTTTTCGCGGATATGTACTAGTATTACCCGGCTGGAAAAATGTAACATCATGACGATTTTCACTAGTTGCCGGTATTAAGCTCTAAATCCAACAACAAAGGGAATATTATGGGCGCTAAAACTTTTTGATATTAAAGAATCGTGAACGTGGATGGAACGTGTATGATAACGTGAATGCACGAAAGACGTATCTATGATATTCAAGTCTGGAAAGTCTATTGGGGGGCCTCCCCTCAATAGCGGCAGGACCCCTGATAATGCCTATGGAACCCAGTCAGCGATCCGGACAGAAATTGACCCAAATGACCATTTGTCCCAGGTTACGATCCGGACATCCATGGCTGATTTTAGGGTCAACCTGGGTGCCCCATCCGGACATCAATGAAGATATGTGGTCAAGGTACAATGGTGTAGTGGTTACAATATGTGTATGATGTTGATCAATGCTTGACTGCACAAGTTCGAACCACGCTTTTTAGTACTGTCTGTTCAAAAATTTATGAATCAGAGCCTGATTTCTGATGAAGGCTGACATATTTATCTGACGTGCGGGTCAAGCAAAAAAATAAAATTAAACGAAGGTTCTCTGCCCGATGCAACTGTCATCTTTCACTGCCGTCAATTTGCCTTCCTTCCCTCTACTGCCTTCCTCTGTATTCTCACTCCTGCACCTCAGACGACACCCTCAGGACTTGAACTGGCGCCCGCTGATGTCTCCGTGTTCGAAACCTTACGTCACACTTTGCCTCGACTGATCGAAGCAGCAAAACTTTTCCGCAAGCGAGTGGGCCAGACCGGAGTGGATGAGGATGCTGAATAGCGATAATTGTATGCTCGTATATCACCCTAGCTACTCTTGAAAAAAAAAACGTGTTTTTGAGAATTTTTGAGCACCCAGGTTCGAATCCGGACAAAATTTGCGCTCATGGGCGAACCCAGGACGGGATCCGGACAAAATTGGCCAGAATCCATCCGGACAAGTTGGGGCCTCCGCCAACCTGGGTTCCAAAGGCATTATCAGGGGTCCTATAGCGGCGTGGCAATATATTTATTACATGATAATCAAGGTTTTTTCGAACCTGGGGGAACTTGAAGTCATCGATTCATCATCCACTGCAACCGTGACCATATAGAGCGGCAACAAAGGGGCGACGAACTCGGACTAAGATATCATTCTACAGCAATGAAACTCTGAATCCCTTACGGTAGCGGGAATAACCGAAGCTACCCACGTACTTAGGATGGTTCAAGTTCATCAACTTCTCTGTGGTGCCATTATGACACTGATAATCTCGTCCTTCTATATAACAGCGATATATGCGTGGGGTTAGCAAATATGCCCCCGCACCTTCGTGCATCTGCAAGGCTGTAGACGGCTGCAGATCTTATTTTTGCCATGGCTTCAAACATGTCATTAGATGCTACGTGTTTACTGTCATTAGCGCTCGAGGGCGTGACATATGGTGAGCACTACAAGCACCTTCTTCGTCCTATGCCCACCGGGCTGAACTCACTTCCCTAGGTTTTTCAACCCTCATGTTTATCGGTACTGTGTGGGCTTTGGCCTACAAACAGCGCATACAGGATGTCAGTCGCCCAATCATTGTGGTGGCCATCCTGCTATTCATACTGAGTACTGCGGTATGCACTCTTTCCTCTTACATATATTGACATGTGTTGACTTTCTCAAAGCATATGGTCGTGAATATCATTCGCGTTGAAGATGGACTAGTGAAGTATCGTGACACAATCCTGGGTGGACCAGTGGCGTTCTTTGCCGATCCTTCTCAATACACATTTACGATCGGGAATGTGTTATACGGCTTGCAAACTTTACTGGGTGACGGGGTATTGGTGAGTTCATGCTTTTCTAGCAGCTGAAATGCCTCTGGGCTCACACAGAACCGTCCGGCTGACTCGGAAGATTTATCGATGCTATGTTGTATGGCAATCAGTCTTGGTCATCGTCGTACCGAGCATGCTGTGGTGCAGTGTTGCAGGTTAGTTCGCGATAATGTCCACGATTTATGAAATTGTGTTTTCTGACGTTACATCGCAGTGTCTGTCATTGCTGTAAACTACACTTTTTCGCAAATCAAAAGTGACTCCAGTCAAATCTATGAAAACGAGCGTGGAGCACCTGCACATTGGGTTAATGTATTCTACGTGTCGACTATCGCAACAAATTTATTGAGTTCAGGTGAGTCAATTTTTTTGGGGATGGTGCCAAGGCTTGAACATGTCTAGGGTTACTTGCGTATCGCGTCTGGATGATCGAACGTGATGTCTCTCCAGGTCGTGCCAGGAAGAACAATATGATGCCAATTGTGCGCGTGCTTGTGGATTCTGCTGTTTTGTACTCTGTGGCGCTCTTGACCGCATTGATCACTTATGCGCGCTCGAACAATGGACAACTTGTTATACACGAAATGGTGATTCCGTCGTTGACATCTGTTATTCGACAAAAGCTGAACTTTGAACTACTAGGTTACGCCCATCATATCGATCGCCTTCTATATGGTCCTTATTCGCGTTGCAATCAACAGAAAACACAGTCATATGTCGACTATAGGCCCGGGGATAACCGATTCAACAGACCCAGGCACTTTGCAGCAGTATCCTATGCGGCCCTTGCAATTTTATAGATCCACACATAATGACAATAAAGCAGTTTATGGAATAGGAAGCGAAGGCCGGCCATCGACATTCGCAGCAGAGTCCCGAAAGGGCTCCCTATCGAACTTGCAACCAGACTGAATGTATCTTGTATGTCGTTTGTTCTGTATTTTCCCGTAGGTTTGTTGTGCTTCTACTATAACATATCACTATGCCTGCACACAGCTCTGCAATAAGCGGGATGATATGAGATTGGATGACTTCCCGCAGCGTTTAGAACGCTGTTCTAGTTCTAAACACAGTTCATGTCCAAACGCTGTCTACTTCTGCTCCAAGAGCTTTCTCCGGTTTATTGACCATGTCGTTGTATATCCGCGAAAATGGCATAGGCCACCCCGAGGATTTTTACACCAGAAGAGAGCAGCAGAAATAATGTCACTACCACGTATTCAGCATTCAACGCCATGTCCCGCAATTCCATCAACGTTTTTCGAAATGGCTGGATTCAAGGCATGAAATCACAAATATCCTTCGATTAAGTGAGTCTTGGCTCCCACCGCGAGTCCTCTGAATAAATTAATTCTTGCCAAAGCAGTTTTGTACGGTCCATGCGCATGATCGTGCACTCCATCACTTACACCACGACAGTTGACGCTATATAACCTCAATACCATCGAAAGATACCAGGGATCTCGCCATGAACAGAAGAGTCCAGCCTGAAGATATCACTCATCACAGTAGCCTGAGGCACCAGGGCAGGAAGAATCGAAGGAGGGCCCAGTCAAACGGAACTGAATAGTCATCGCGACTCTTGAACCTACAAAAAGCTTTGTCCATTCTGCTCGCGAGTCACTACCCAAGGGTGTTGGGTCGGAATCCAGTAAGACGCACACCAGCACTTGTCTAAGCGTATGTTGGCCGGTACATCTTATTTGATACCCGACAAGATATGCGCCAATTTACAAAAGTATGATGGGCAGTCAGACTCATCCACAGACATGTACCAGACCTGTCCCAAGCTATCTATGACTATATAAGCTTCCACGGTACGTTACATTAGTCTTTCCCTCAGTCCAACAAGCATGGTTGACGTTCGATTTTAGCCAACACGCGCGGCACCTACTGGTCCGTCACCCCTCAGTCATACATAAAACCACCATCTTCTGGGGGAAACTCCAAACGTGCGGACCCTGTCGAGCACCACGACATGTAAACCATTCCAGAGGGTGTCTCGCATCCCTACATTCTCTTGTTTGTTCTCAAACATCCGATCATTCGTATGGAAGACCTCGGAAGATCGAGCTTACCTCCATCTACAGAAGTTTCCGATATCACTGCTTTTTAATGTCAATTAGATAGGTAGGGAGGAGAGAAATTTTGTCGTTTCCATCGTATTCTGATTGTTCATTGTAGTTCATGTCTTTACCAACGCTCTTATTAAGACTTATTCGACATAAGTTGTTGTGTAATCCTTGTGAAAATAGACACCGTGTGTCAACCGTGTGTAACTGTTGTGTCATGAGCCATACGAGCCCTCGCTTCGTGTTTGTCACGGTTCGCTGTTAACTCTCACCGCGATCTCGTTCTGTACCACAGGACAGCTCTCATCATAAACCAGATCACCTCTACTTCAGGACGCACACTAAGATCTCCCAATGGCAACAATTGACGCTCAGGTCCTCAGGGAAATGATTAAACAATTTCGAGTTCTTATCATAGGAAGAGCAAACGCAGGCAAAACGTCCATTCTTCACAAGGTCTGCAATACCACGGATGAACCAGAAATTTACGATACCAAAGGACACAAGGTACGATCGATGATTTATGTGAGATGTGATGCACAGCTTTATTGCTGATAAATTGTGGATAGATCAATGCGGCCGTCGTGGAATCATCAATCAAGGTGCTTGCACAATTTTCCCTGCAGGCATACACACTCTGACAGACGATCAGCGTGGAAACCATGACATCCGAAACGAAATGGTGTTCAAAAGCAATCCTGGTTTAGTCTTCCATGACTCATGCGGTTTCGAAGCGGGTTCTGAAGAGGAATTCGAGGATATGAAGAATTTTATCTCAGAACGGGCAAATGCGACGAGATTGGAGGACCGCCTCCATGCGATTTGGTAAGTGAATCCATCCTGACGTTCAGCGCTTGTTGATTTCCATCAGGTACTGTATTCCGATGGACGACCATTGTCGAACATTTCAACGATCAGAGGAGAAGTTCTTCTCAGAGTGCGACACTGGGCACAGCGAGTTTTCAGGTCTATTTTCCTATGCTTTTCTCGGACTAAATGATCCGTCTTCAGTTCCTGTGATTGTGGTATTCACCAAGTTTGAAGCTTTACGTCCAGTCGCGTTCGGAGAACTCAAGAAGCAACTGAAAGGGGCATCAGGAGAAGAGCGCTCAAGAAGGATTGCTCAGCGGGTCGAAGAACTATTTACTAACACAGGTGTCTTGGATCGGTTGTGCGGTCCTGACAACCGTGCACGTCCTAAGTCCCATGTACGCTTGGCGAGTAAGTGGTTCAAATTGACTCATGCCACATCAAAGTTGATATTAGTCACCATCCTAGATATGGATAAACCGGATACAAACTGCAACCTTCTACTGGAACACACCACTCTAGCATTGGACAACAAAGAATTGCAGTTGTGCCTGATTTCGACACAACAGTCAAACCTGGAGCTTTGCATCAAGTGTGCTGTCGGGTGAGTCGCACAGTTGCAAGTCACATATTTTTGTTTCAACATAATCTAGAACAATCGTTGAACGTGTACAGCAATCCGGGCCAATTGAAGTCGATCAGTATTTAATTACTAAGTGGTTTCCACATCTGAAAGTAAGACGAAGATTGATTCAATCCGACGATGCCCTTGTAATAGCGCTCATGAATGGTAAATATTGAAGTGCTGAAACTGTAGACAGTCTGATAAATTTTCCTCGATTGTAGTTATCTATCGTTAACAGCTGGTAAGATTGCGTTTTAAGAAGGTCAAACAGCATGAACAACACTGATGGCTTGCACCTGTTCACCTATTGACAGTCGGTAAGTGCATTGAAGGTTTCGAGTCCTGGACCGATACTCATGATCCCCATCCCTTGCTGCTGCTCGCCTGTTGACAGGGAGTAAGTGCCTTGATGGTTTCGAGTACTGGACCAATGCTCATGATCCCCATCCCTTACTGCTGCTCGCATGTTGACAGTGGGTAAGTGGCTTGATGGTTTCGAGTCCTCAACCGATGCTCATGATCCCCATCCCTTGCTGCTGCTCGCCTGTTGACAGGGAGTAAGTGCCTTGATGGTTTCGAGTACTGGACCAATGCTCATGATCCCCATCCCTTACTGCTGCTCGCCTGTTGGCAGCTCGTAAGTGGCGTGATGGTTTCGAGTCCTCGACCGATGCTCATGATCCCCGTCCCTTACTGCTGCTCGCCTGTTGACAGTTCGTAAGTGCATTGAAGGTTTCGAGTCCTGGACCGATACTCATGATCCCCATGCCTTACTGCTGCTCGCCTGTTGACAGGAAGTAAGTGGCTTGATGGTTTCGAGTCCTCGACTGATGCTCATGATCCCCATCCCTTGCTGCTGCTCGCCTGTTGACAGGAAGTAAGTGCCTCGAATGTTTTGAGTCCTCGACCGATGCTCATGATCCCCATGCCTTGCTGCTGCTCGCCTGTTGACAGGAAGTAAGTGCCTCGAATGTTTTGAGTCCTTGACCGATGCTCATGATCCCCATCCCTTGCTGCTGCTCGCCTGTTGACAGTCGGTAAGTGCATTGATGGTTTCGAGTCCTCGACCAATGCTCATGATCTCCATCCCTTACTGCTGCTCGCCTGTTGACAGAGAGTAAGTGGTTTGACGGTTTCAAGTCCTCGACCAATGCTCATGATCCCTTGCTGCTGCTCGCCTGTTGACAGTCGGTAAGTCGCTTGATGGTTTCGAGTCCTCGACCGATGCTCATGATCTCCATGCCTTGCTGCTGCTCGCCTGTTGGCAGTTCGTAAGTGGCGTGATGGTTTCGAGTCCTCGATCGATGCTCATGATCCCCATCTCTTGCTACTACTCGCCTGTTGACAGAATGTAAGTGCCTCGAATGTTTCGAGTCCTCGAGACCGATGCTTATGATCCCCATCCCTTGCTACTGCTTGCCTGTTGACAGTACGTAAGTGGCTTGATAGATTCGAGTACTGGACCGATGCTCATGATCCCCATCCCTTGCTGCTGCTCGCCTGTTGACAGAGAGTCAGTGGCTTGATGGTTTCGAGTCCTCGACCGATGCTCATGATCCCCATCCCTTGCTGCTGCTTGCCTGTTGACAGCCGGTAAGTGGCTTGATGGTTTCGAGTCCTCGACCGATGCTCATGATCTCCATTCCTTGCTTCTGCTCGCCTGTTGACAGAATGTAAGTGCCTTGATACTTTCCAATCCTCGACAGATGCTGACAATCGCTGCTGCTCACCCGTTGATACTAGTAGCACGTGAGTCACTTAATTGTTTTCTGCTTGTAATCCATGTGCAGAAGTCTTACATCTTCCTATTGGTTGTTTGGCAGGTGGTATGTGCCTTGATCATATCTTGTATTGACATAACACTGAATACTTTAACTCGTGTTCATAGTCTCATGTGAGCATCTTCTATTCTCTCATACAAGTCGAATCACGATTACTCATATGCATAGTTCGTTGAGTGCCCCTCACCAGTGATGGCTTATTTTCCATATTCACATATCTTGCATATTCTCTTGCCCCGCGCAGAATGTGAATCGTTTTACCCTCATACTGTGAAGCATTAAATGTATTGATCATTTTGACTGGTTCTTTCACTCTGTAGGACGTAAGTATACTTCAATCACTCGAGGACTCCAACCACATAATCTCCTGTATCCATGATATGTTCGCAGAATGTGTGTAAATCATGTCCCGTCTGGATCCTATATTACTCCACTGACAAATAATCTTATTGAATCAGCTTGTACGTCCATGAATGGTACATCTTCGCCGTTATGTAGTGGTACTCATCTGGTTCCAACTCTTGACAGTTTGTGAAGTCACTTATCATTGTCTACGACCCTGTGGTTGGTTGTTTACAACTGTCACGGTTCGCCAAATAGAATGTGCGTCTCTGTTATTAACCATATATCAATGTGCAACCTCATGATTCTGACCCTTTCCCGCAGAATGCAAGTACTTTTTTCTTTGGGGTTGATTCTGATACCCACACCATGAACTTGTTGTCAGGTGAAGACCGAGATAGAGGACACTATGCGCATCCTTCAGCCTGTGGTAGGTTGGTTTTGCTCCGCGTTAATACTCAGTGCTGTAAGACTGTGCAACAGGCTCTGGGGGGATCATTGTTTACTGCTTATTCAAACATCATCATTCATACTGGCCATTGGTTAGTTTCCCAGCGCATGATCAGTTGTAGTTCTTATGACAGGAAGCAGCTACTATCATCGTTCTCGAGTAGTCTGCCTTTCTGCTGAATAATGACTCCAACAAGCTGGAGAGCGTTAGGTCTGCCGTGGACCATTACATGAAATCTCCGACGGCCGTCGCTGTGGAGAAAGGAGCGAAAGAGATTTCTCGCTCAGACTACAAGAAGGAGGAACTAAAGATAAAGATTCTTGACTTCATCCTTGAAAATCGCATGTGTACGTCCCTCGCTTCGTTGTGAACTCGAAGTTAAACAACTGCCCGCAGCAAAGGACTTGGCAGCAAAGAAGTAGATGATTCTCGAGCCAAGTTTCCCGCTTCTTTCTGCGTTTTGCTCATACTATGCGCTCCCATTGCGTACGATACCAAGCACGCCAACTTTAACTCCAGAGCGGTGCGGACTGTGACGTTTCCTTGTTTCCGATGCTCTTCCTCATGTTATGTACTATACTCGACACTTCAGCTTCAACTGCTGGATGCTGTAGACTGTATCGGGTTTCAACACCTGTTTTTCGCATCTCATCATATCGCGTTCTGTTTTGTACTATATAGACCGTGACTCAGGCTTGCTCTCGTCAAATAATCGCTCTTCATTCTTATCTTCAATTATGAGAATTCGAGAACTGGCTTGGTATGATTCAATGCTGAGGTGGATGGGTATGGCAACGACAACATTATGTTGGGACAGCACGCCGCCTGCGGGAGTAAGTCATGTACATCATGAAACTCTGGGAGACTGTTGTCGCAGGCCAAACGCATTTCAAGTTCTTTTTGCACAACTTCGTGTTTTGTTCGTCAACTAATTTGTTTATTGCTGCACGATATGGTAATTCACTACCAAAATACCTGACTAGAATTTTTGTTGACCCCAACAGTTCACCCGTGTGCGCCTACTCAGCTTCAAATTATCACTAAAATCATGCTGCTCGTTCAGGTCTATTCTCTATTTGCTGGCAAGCCGTTGTCCTGCGGAATGTCTTGGATAACATTAAAATCGAGCCAATATTTAATGGGAACTGAGGTCAATCAGCGACGTCAACGCTAGTGAGCTTCCGTCGCTTACTGGTCACGAAGATAGCGTGTCACTAATACTATTTTGTTGTCAATCTCTATGTGCTATCAATAACACGACGGATGCCATTAGGCCTATATGTCCATTAATGCGAAGGCAGCTTGTTACGACTTCGTCGCAGACTCCTCTAGCGAGTCTATGTTGAATCTTGATGACCATCCTTGGCTAAGTACGATCAAGTCAAATTTCTCGAGGGGAGCTGAATTATATTAGCCTACAGCTGCAACGGCTACAATTTCAAGGACTCATGCGTTCACTGATGCTATGACCTCGGTCCTCATTCGATAGCAAGCTCTCGGTCGTATTATAATGCACCAAGTATTCATTTACTACCAGCGTGGTCAATAGCATCACCGGTCTAGGCACAACGCATCGTCCTGTGGGGGCCGGTACAAAGGACCGTGGGATCACTGTATATCTTTTCACGAAACTTTGCCTTCAGATACTGTATACTGAATCACTCTCCTGCGCCTGTTCCCCACGCCTGCAGGAATGGTAACGACATGCCCAATGTCGACTTCTGTTTCTGCCCTTCCATGGTTGTTCTCTTCATCAAAACATAGCCTCGCACGACCAGATGCGATGCATAGTACTTCACGAGTAGTGGTACGGAAGTGCGTCGAGCTGCACGTAGTGTACCTCCACTGGGGCTCGACAACGCCGATGGACCTTAGATTGGCAGTAGCTGATATCGACGATGGGAAACATTCATGATATATGATAAGGTGGTTTTCCAGTGTAGTTTGCTGATTAGTGGGAGAATTCGTCAACCACACTGTACCGAGCGAGAGTAGAAACATGACTTACTGTGGCTCGGTGGGTCAGTCAATAATCGTACACATATACCAGACAGGCTGCCACGCCGGTAAGCCGCGAGGCTAGATGAAAACTACTCATACTCACTACACCCCGTTTATTCACCATTGGCTCACATAGAGCACCGGGGCAACAAACAGGTTTGCCGCTGCCGCAGTAGAAGGGACAGTCACTCTCATCACTGACAAGTGGCATAGACACTGTCAACTTGAAAGCAGCAGCAACGGCGAGGATGAAGGAGAGACGCATTTTTTGTAAGATGTGAGATGGACTCTAGAAAAAAAGTTGAGGGGGACGGTAGGAGGACAACTTGCTTTTATGTCCTGTGCAGTGTGCACCCGAGAAGCCCCATCGGATAGATGATATTTGTATTGCCAGCAGACCTCCGAGTCATGCTCTGTACTTGACATTCTCTTAGCAATAAAATGCTGATGGCACACGTAATTCCGACCCGTTGTTGCATACAGTTTGGGATAGGTGACACGACGATTCCTGGAGCTGTGATCAAATTTGGGATGAAGCTGGGAAGACACTCGAAGAGGTTGTCAAGATAAATTAACCATTAATTATCATTTTATTCGGAACGACGAATATTCACGAAAACTTGGCTTGTAAGACGCGTGACGTCACCATCAAGGAGACTCTGTCATCAAAACATAACCTCGCACGACCAGATGCGATGCATAGTACTTCATGAATAATGGTGCGGACGTGCGTCGAGCTGTACGTAATGTACCTCCACTGGGGCTTAGATTGGCAGTGGCTGATATCGACGATGGGAAACATACATGATATATGATAAGGTAGTTTTCCAGTGTAGTTTGCTGATTAGTGGGAGGATTTGTCAACCACACTGTACCGAGCGAGAGTGGAAACACGACTTACTGTAACTCGGTGGGTCAGTCGATATTCATACACACAAACAAGAGAGGCTGCCACGCCGGTAAGCCGCGAGGTTAGATGAAAACTACTCATACTCACTACACCCTCTTCATTCCTCATCGGCTCACATAGAGCATTGGAGCAACAAACAGTTTCGCTGCTGCCGCAGTAGAAGGGACAGTCACTCTCATCACTGACAAGTGGCATAGACACTGTCAACTTGAAAGCAGCAGCAACGGCGAGGATGAAGGAGAGACGCATTGTTTGTAAGATGTGAGATGGACTCTAGAAAAAAAGTTGAGGGGTACGGTAGAAGGACAACTTGCTTTTATGTCCTGTGGACCCGAAAACCTCCTTCAGATAGATGTTTGTGTTGCCAGCAGACCTACCTCCGAGTCATGCTCTGTACTTGACATTCCCTTAGCGATCATTTAGATGCTGGTGGCCAACCCCTTGTTGCAGTGACAGCCTGGGATAGGTGACGCGACGATTCCTGGAGTTTGGATCAAGATGTGTTTGTGATGAAGCTGGGAAGACACTCGAAGATCTGGTCGTTCGTTGTCAAGATAAATGAATTATTAATTATGTGAACTTCTGATTTTGGTTCGACGAATATTCACGAAAACTTGGCCTGCGACGCGTGACGTCACCATGAAGGAGGCCGAGAAGTATCAGGCCTTCATGACCCTGTAGTTCAAGCGAACAGGCTTTGTAATAGGCCCCAAATCTCCTCCCGAAATGACCCGATCGAAAAATACGGCTCCTACAATGTACATAATGACACCACCATCCTCTATCATTATCTAATCCATTGTTAACTATTTAAAAACCAGTTGCTACCAAAGACCAGGAAATTCTAGTCTTCAAGTTTGTTCCCTCAACTAGACCATGTTCAAGGCGCGCCTGAGTGTTGTATGTGGTCGTGTGCAACCTCGCCCGGCAAAATCGTCGGCCACCGCGGCCCGGACGTTTACTTCGTCTGCACCACGGAGTAAACAACGTTTGGTCATATTGGGTTCAGGCTGGGGAGGCTACGAGATTCTAAGAGCCATCGATAAAAAGCGTTGGAGTTAGTCTCTGACTGCGTCCGCGTGAACGTGGCGTTGACGGCCCCCCTTTCCAGATGTCACGATGGTTTCACCAACCAATGCTTTCAACTTTACGCCTTTGCTCGCCAGCTGCGCTGTTGGTACCCTCGAATTCCGCTGTGCGGTCGAACCGGTGCGTCATATCATACTTCCATCACATGTCCTCACATTAATATCAATCTCAGGTACGGAGGTTTTCTCCACAAGTAGTAAGTCAGATTTACTAGGGATGTATTGGTCCGCATGCCACCGAGAACTAATCCATGTTTGACTTTTAGGCTTGTTACCAGGCCTGGTGTGATACAATCGGTCTGTTTACGCTTCCTTTGGCCATCGTAGGGATCTAATCATGATGTTTGTTTGTTTAGACTTCAAGCAAAAGACCCTGAAATGCGTAGGTACCCATTCAAAAGCCTATGATCATGATATACTAAGCAACACATTTCAGATGCCTGCAACGGCTCCTTTACAATATGAAGGATCTGCCTCTGCCCCTCTCGCAGGCACAACCACAACAGACACTTCGTACCCGGCGAGTACGGGTAACGCGTTCAACTTACGTTACGACAAGTTGGTCATAGCTGTTGGTGCTTACTCACAAAGTACGTGGACTGTACCGTGATCCATATCATTCTGACAAAATTAATGATAGCATTCAACGTACCTGGCGTCAAGGAGCACGCACATTTCCTCAAAGACGTGCGAGATGCTCGGGCAATTAGGACGCGCATAATAGATTGTAAGTGTATCTACTCGTTGTGATAGACATTGCTTACCTTGCCTAGGTTTCGAGCAGGCCAATCAACCTGTCCTCTCTGACGTCCAACGCCGAAACTTGCTCAACTTCTGCATTGTCGGTAAGTATCTGGTCTCTGATGACATTTAATTCTCTATGGTGATATAACACTTCATAGGTGGTGGACCCACGGGTGTCGAATTCTCGGCAGAGTTGCACGACTTGCTGCATGCTGAGATTGAGAAACACTATCCGACACTCGCACGTATGGCTAAAATCACACTCTACGACGTAGCGCCAAACATCCTCGGCAATTTTGACAAGTCCCTGGGAATGTAGGTGGCTTGTGTCGTTCTCCGCTATCCCTGACAAGCTTCGAATTTACAGTTATGCTGAGAATAAGTTCCGGAGAGATGGTATCAGTATCAAAACGAGACATCATGTGGAGCGTGTTGAGAAGGTCCGAATAACGCAATACAGTTATTCCAAATCTCGACGCTGATTATTATACAGGACCGCATGTTCGTTAAAGAACAAGGAGAAGGTCCGCAGTCAACATTACTAATCGTTTAGTCAACCTCTTGCTCACCACAGCGCTGTAGTTCCATTTGGTCTCCTTGTTTGGAGTACCGGATTGGCTCCTAATCCGCTTATCCAGTCAATTGATTCTCTTGAGAAACATGATAAGACACAAAGGTCCGCAGCCATGCTTGGTCAGCCGCGAAGCCAGGCTGATGCATGTGGCTGTCTCTAGTCTTTTTACTGATCAAAACCTTAACGTGCTTACAAAAGAGGGCCACGCAGATCCAGATGTTTGGGCTATCGGTGACGCTGCGAACATCAAAGGACAGCTCCACCCCGCCACAGCGCAAGGTCCGTCTGCCCTTAACCCTATCTGGCGCTCATGGGCTGCGGGTTTCTCGTCCTAACAACGTCTATTTACAGTCGCGAATCAGAAAGGAAAATACCTGGCGCAGAAGCTTAACAAAATTGTTAAGGATCAGGAGCACACAAAGCCCTTTGAATTTCAAAACCAGGGGAGCTTAGCTTACCTGGGAGACTGGTGCGTGGCGGTCCATCAGAAGGCGAAAATTTCTGATTCGGCTCTACAGGAAAGCAATCTATGATCGGTCGAGTGCTGATACTGTCAAGACTAAGGAGACCGGACGTTTAGCGTGGCTCCTATGGCGTTCCGCGTATTTCACCATGACCCTCAGCGTCAGGAACAAGTGCGTGGCTCCATTTCGCAGTTGATTATAGGGCGTCTGATGTATACTGCTTAGAATTCTGGTGCCTACGTATTGGTGAGTTCTGCGTCATTCCGATTGACATTCTATGATCTCATCTTATTCCTGTACAGGTTCCTAAATTGTATGTTTTTGGCTGTGTACTCCGGTGATATCATGATGCTAATACAGGACGCAGGGATTTTCGGCCGCGATCTGACACGCTTCTGATTTTCATGGCTGCGCCACCTACACCACGCTCATTTCACTCATAGGTGAGTCATGATCTGTTGCGGTGGCCACCTCGCCTAATTTGATAACAGACTGTACAGACTTAGAGATATTACCATACATATGAATTCGTGTTGTTATGTTTACCGCTACAGTGCCAATAATATGGTTGATGACATACAAGAAATAATGCATAGAGATCATTCAAGAATCACAAGCAAGGATATTAGTGAGTCGAAAGTACCATAGGAAAGACCAAAGATTGCCAAGAGATAATCGTAACAACGGGACGGAAAGACACGTTACAAAATGGTAACAGCTTTTCTTCGGATTTTGCGCTTTTCAGGTGGCACTGGGGAGGTTGCTACACAGGTCCGATATTAGCAAAACAACTTCTAGAAACGGGAACGCCATGACTCACGCTTGGGCTGCGCAGCTGCTGGTTTATCCGTAACTGCCTTGGCACTAAACCCTCCCACAAAATCCTTCTCGTCTTTGACGATCTCAGGCGCCACCCCACAACCCTGAAGGTCTGCCATCAGCGTCGACCAAGCAGGTTTGATATTCTTGGAAGATTCGATGATACCCCTAGTGGCGATTCCGACATGGGCCACATGGACAAAGGAGTGGGGCGCGGGGCTGGAGATTATCCGAGGGCTCACTGGAGAAGTTTTAGGTACCTTCTGCTTTTCTTTCTTGTCCTTGCTAGATTTGAAGAGGAAGGGCCGGAAGACTAAAACACGTGTTATGGCATGGCAGCAAGGGGCGAACATTTACTGAAGCTCACAATGGTGCCGCGTCCGATCCGAGACTTTTTTGTAGAAGACGCTTGCTTCTTCATCTTCATCGAAGCAAAGTCCGAACATGCGACTCTGACGCAGAATTTTCGATTTATTTGCAGCGTGGTAAAAAAAAAGGTAACAAGACGTACTGTTCCGGAAAAATAATGGAAGAAAGGTTTGTCTTTGGTGTATTCGAAGACCTCGGGGATGGAGAATGTCCAAACCACACGGTCTGTCTTCATGTCAACGAGGCGAAACCAGTATTTCTCTTTGAGACGCATACCATGACCGCCTCGCTTCGGAGGAGACGTGTCATGGTGTGTGTCTCGGTCGCGTCCGAAGACCAGAATTCCTTTGAGCTTGGAGTAGCTCCAGTTTAAATGAGGATTGTTGAAAGGCGCGTAGTAAATTCGAACTCCAGCGGTGGCGACGACTTTCTGTACGCTGGGTTCGAGAACGGATGAAATGTATGGGTGGCGTTGCTGGTCCTCAGCGGTGAACGCTGACGAGGGGTCATGCATATGCGTTAAAAATGTGTGATAATCTGGACAAATAGGTGGTTTTGGAGTTGGTGATCGATCGCGGAAAGAAACAACAGAGACGGAACGTGTGTTTATGTATCGTTCGATAAACACAGGAGAGCGCCTGTGGGGAAGAGAAGGATGCAGCGTGGCCCCCTCGTGTCATTATAATCTCTCACCGGTAACGCAGGACCGTTTAAGGTATGATTCTTGTTGCTCAGCTGAGGGCATACCGTGATCTAGTGGCTGTTCCCGGTGATTGCCCGTGAAGATGAGCCAGTGCCTCCTTGATCCTAGTGTCTGAATCCATTTTAGCAGTCAAGGGCTCAAGTGCCCATCGCAGCGCTAAACAAGCCGTATCTTTCCGGCTGTAAATGATTTTTCAACATGTAATACTGCTCGTGGTGTAAATTGCAATTTCACTGATTACTCACTTTGCCATCTGCTTGTTAGTCGGAGATGACTCGGAGGCTTACGAACGGGGCGTGTTAGGTTGCCAGGGAGGAGGTCCCCAAAAACAAGTCCTCATGCTGAGGATTCTCATACGTACACATGAGGATGAGAATGTGATCGTTGTTGAAACGTCGAGGAGCAGCCTCGCTTCCCTACCACAGGAATCTTGGTCATCCCGCGGTGGACTGTTTGGGCGGAAGACCGGGCCTCGACGACCGTGACATAACAACTTCAGATTACGATAATGTTACGTGTTACCCAATTCCATTAATTAATGGCTATGAAATCGTCCGTATGTAGGTTGTACTATACAACGTCTAATCAAGAGTACCTGACATTGTGCCCCGAAAGCCCCAAAAATGTCACTGTCGGGGACACATGATGTAGTGATACTGAAGTTGCAGGCGATTAGCGAGTGTGAAGTACTTGATCATGCTACCAAGTCAACATGGACCGCAAAGCAACCTGCCATTGGCAGAGAAATTTTCGCGAGCTGCACGAGTTCAACAGTCTGTTGCATATGGAAATCACATCACTGAGTTTCGTCTGTCACATTCTCTGATGCTTCTTCAGCAGCGCAGTCATAGCAGAGGCCTGAGCTTCTACATTCGGAACAACCACTGGCATTAATGCACGAGAACTTGTCGCAGCGTGAACAGCAGCAAGTGATATCAGCAGCCCTTCATGTGCAACAATCACATATGCAGACAGCTTGATACACGCACCATTCACAAATTCGGCACAAACATGACCACAATCGAAAGGGCAGCTTGGATCCCAGTGACCACGGCGTAACTCCGCCAGAAATGGAGGATGCTCATCGCTTTTAGGAGACTCGGCCTATCTGGCAACATTCATAATCAAATAATGGCGGGTCGCAGTGATCACAATCCGAAAGTTTCGGTGAGCCGATGCGGGCTATAAAGTTTTGCCACTTCAATAACTCTGCCGCCAATCACATCAAGACAATAGATCGATATGAATAAGCTCTTACTTGCACCTTATCTTGTTTCCTCCGACTTACTAGGCGATAACATTATTTGTTCTCGGATGTCTGTGATATCGCAAGAGCAAAATCATAGATATCCACCACAATCGGCGCGAGGGGGAGGATACGAAGATCTTGCACCTTGTATTCGATCTGCATGTCCTGTAGTATGGGGGACAAATCGCTTAGAAGTATCAGTGAATGGATGAAAAATTCTGAATCTACAAATGTCATAGACAAGGGTCATGACTCGGACACTATGGGTTCTCTGTATTGACAATTTGAGTCTGTCATGCGGTTCGTTTTGAAGGTCCAAAATTCCGCAGGTGATTTTCATGATACGAGAAACCTTCGTAAATATCGGATGATTATCTGACACTGCTAGTCGGTGTACATGATTGTCTGGCCAGGGCCCATGCAATGCATTATGATGGTGGTGGAATCCTGGACGAAGTTCGAGTGATGAAACTGAAGGTTGTGAGAGTCAGTCACGTGATTGGGGACTCAGTAGAGTCGCGTGAGTCGGCGTCTGAACTTCTCTGCGTTGTCAACAACGCGCTTCTCCTCGCCCAGACGACCTCCTTTCTTCTCTCCTGCATTCCCCACCTAGCAGATCTCTGATACTCATCCGCAAGTGCTCCTTGTGCTCGCTCAGATTCTGGGGTTCTTTGCTCTGCTTCTCTCTCGCATATGAGCAGCCCCCCCTCGTCGCAACCCGAGTTCTCGTTCCTCTTGTTCTCGCCCAAATCCCTTGGCCCTCTCGCCCTTCCTCGCTTGTGATGCTATAAACTTGACGTGCTTCCTTCCACGATTCTCTTCGCACTTCGCAAGCTCCTGATGAAGGTAATTAGCGCAGCTTGCATGGTGTACGATTTCTAGAAGGACAATTGCACGTATTTGATTAATCTTCTGTGATCGTCTCCACGACATGTCTAGTTGTTCGAGTTTTCCCGTAGTAAATGTTTCGAATCTTCAATGCTACTGAAGCTGTTGCCAACATGTCCAGAGTGCTCGTGGTCCAGCATCCAACGTTTAACCGCCAAGTCTATAGGTTTAACCTCGATGTTTATCTCAGGGATCCCTTGTTATATCTGAACAATCTGTTCACGCACCTTCAAGCCCATCGCACGTCAAAGTTCAAAGCGCTCGATAGCCGCCAGGTCAATTGAGGATCAGTTTCCTTCCATACTACTCCCCACTTTACATCAACTCTACATGGGTCATCGATCTTGCATACCCACAATTATCTATTGATTTATACACAAAGCTCTACTGCACGCTCGACGTCAAGCTGGCGACGAAGGTGGCTGCATCCCAGAGCAGTACATGGATACAAAGTGGGTGATGGAGGCGGTATGTTTGGCACGGAGTGGCGTAGCATCAAGGAGTAGGTAGTGGGGACTGTCAGTTGCTGCGGACTGTGGAGGGTATAAAGTGGTGATAGGGCTAGATAGTTAGTACGAGGCGATGTGCGTCGGAAGAAAGGCACTGCGGCAATGGAGGTCAAAGATGGGCATGATAAGCTGTGGGATGGCATCACGGGTCGTGTGTGGTGGACTATGTATGACCTAGTGACCAGCTAGTGCAGCAGGTCGGAAAGGTCAACATATAATGTAAGATGCACTGTCAGCATAAACGGCAGGTAAGTAACACTTACTATCGATGCAGACACCAGAGAGGGAGCGATAATGTACCACAGCATGGTGCGCCACATTTGTCCCGTTTAATGCATTGGTATTCATATGACACCAATCAGTACACTGGAATCAATCAACACAGACACGGATATTCATAGTGCGTTCCCATCATGCTCACTCTGGCAATAAAGGTGCTGGACCTAACGACGTAGATCTAGCATGAACATCGTCGGTATACGTCCATCAAGTTCGCCGCCGACTCACCCATCCTTCAAATATGACCCTACTAATTTCAGATGATGATAGTTCGAGTTGGTGGCCACTCATCACTCCGAATATTTTTTCGAGCTATTGGATAGGTTCGTGGAGTGCCGTGCCATTTTGATGATTCAGTGATCGAACATTCGCTGCGGTTTTGCAGTTGCCTCCTCTGCTATTGCGATATATGACTGGGGTGAGTAAGGTGTCGAATCCATTTGAGGTACTTGTATCCTTATGATCGTTCCAGCCCTGATAATTGGACAAGAGGTAGGTTTATCCATCGCCGGAGCAGTGATCTTGCTTAAAATGACATGATAGGTTGAACTGGTCTGGGTAAGCTGAGTCCCATATCAGAAGGTCGCAATGATTAATTCAGCACAGAGCCAACGCTGGTCCTTTATGACTATCTCATATCTCATCGTTCGTAGCCTATATTATAAGTGCACTTGATGCGTTAAACTGACTTCAATATTTTAGGTGCGCTATATCGAAATACCATACATTGCGTACGTGAAAGCTAATGAATGAATTGTCGCTGCGCTGACGAGTCATATTTTCACAATCAATCAGCATGAACCTGCTGCGTATGTCTCCCTGCATGCATTGCCCTTGTTTCTTTTGACCAATGGCATATAGAAAATCTTCCATCAGTCTCAGCGACAAATGCAGTAAGTATTCTGTTCCGACATCTCCCACTCCCATCCAACTGACTAGATGTCTATGCAGGCGTGAGTGGGATTCTAAATCAAAATGTCGATCCAATAACTCCAATAGCTGTGAGTTTTGTTAGATCATTTTACACTCCAAGACTCACACTGACTAGGGTTCTAGGCGAAAATTTCTTCTTTGCACAGCTTGTGATGTACATAGTCACGAATACCGTGGTGAGCGGTGAGTTACTTTGATATTATATCACCCCGGTGACTCAAACATTGTGCAAGTCATCGTGATCACTCGGTTACATGCAATGTATCAGCAATCGAAGAAGATGCTTATCTTTCTTGTCGTCATATTTCTGGCTGTCACTATTGCCTGCGTGGTGCTCGCCATAATGGCACTAAGACATATTTTAGGAGGTAACCATGCACGGATTACTTCGATGCACCAGGCTCATTGTACACATACCAGAGGAGCTCATTCTGTCCAGCACTTATCAGTGTAATATTTTCCTAGACGAAGGCGCCGCGCTTTTGGTAGCAATGATTTGGACACTCACTGCTGTATGGGAAATCCTCGCACTGTGTCTTGCAGTCTGGATTGCGGTAAAACACTTCTGTGAGCTGCGGCAAATACCAGGAAGAGGGATCATCCGGGATTGTTTCACGGTGTTGATACAAACTCATTTATTTTACTTTGCAAGGTGGGCTCGTAATTTATTGCGCTCATCTTTCTTGCTGAAGTTCTGCACGTGCCAGTTTCGTTGCTGTTTCTTGTCTGAGTCTCATGGTACGCCGATCTGTCGACTGACGACCACCTGCTCATGGTTTATGTAGGACTCATTTGCGGGAGCCGAGACGTCTGGCGGTCTTCGTGAAATTTGCTTGGTCATGCAGATATTTGTGCTGGGACCACGCCTTATCTTCAGCGTTAGAAAATTTCACGCAAAGCTTGTGGCCAGCTCCGACGAAGTAACCAGTATGACTTCAATTGCTTTCCAGGAGCGCGTACATGTATCAATGAACGGTAATGTGTAGAGCGGGAGAACAGGGTCATAGAGCTGAAGGATAACCTCGGGAAACAAAGCTGTACTAAGTACATAGACAGAAGAATCTCGGCCTCCTTGATGGTGACGTCACGCGTCTGGTTCAGTTGTCGTGAAAAGATATACGGTGATCCCACGGTCCTTTGTGCGGGATCACTCTATCAATTTCCTCGACGAGTTCCTCATCAAATCGTTGTAAATCATCCTGCTTATTGCAGAGATAGTGATATAATAATAATATTACAGTAGAAGCACAAACAAACTACGGGAAAATACAAAACAAACAAGATACGACACATTCAGTTTGGTTGCAAGTCCGACAGGGAGCCCTTTCGGGACTCTGCTGCGAATGTCGATGGCTGGCCTTCAATCTCTATTTCGTGAACTGCTTTATTGTCATTGTGCGTGGATCTATAAAATTGCAAGGGCTGCATAGGATACTGTTGCAAAGTGCCTGGATCTGTTGAATCAGTCATCCCCGGGCCTATAGTCGACAGATGACTGTGTTTTCTGTTGATTGCAACGCGAATAAGGACCATATAGAAGGCGATCGATATGATGGGCGTAACCTAGTAGTTCAAAGTTCAGCTTTTGTCAAATGACATATGTCAACGACGGAATCACCATTTCGTATATAACAAATTGTCCATTGTTCGAGAGTGCATTAGTGATCAATGCGATCAAGAGCGCCACAGGGTACAAAACAGCAGAATCCACAAGCACGCGCACAATTGGCATCATATTGTTCTTCCTGGCACGAACTGTAGAGACATTACGTTCGATCATCCAGATGCGATACGCAAGTAACGCTAGACATGTTCAGGCCTTGGCACCATTGGACACGCCAGCACTGCGTTCTGGAAAGGACAAGGACAACTGAGATGCTGATGTCTGCTGGGCTACACGCGACTAGCTACAACCAAAGTCCCCCGAAGACTGCCGAACCCCCTGGCACCCCTGCCTCTCGCTCTGCTGTCTCCCACTGGCCTATCTCTGCTCTGCTCCTGCACCCGACACGACTACACCTGACAAGGTGTACCACTACATCTGCCCCCCAAAAAAAAATGCGACACTCCGGGGGCACCTAATGTACTACTTGTCGGTTTCGAGATCTTCTGCAAGTTCTAGTTCTTCGTCTAGCGCTCTCTGCAAATCTTGCCACTCCTCTTCATATTCTTCTTCGTCTTCAATACCCGGGCTGTTCAACGTCTCTTGCAGCATTGCGAGTGTGGTGCCATTTCTTGGTACGAATCTGCGAAGGCGTCTTGCATGGAATAACCCCCTGAGTGGGAATCCTTCCAGAGTGGCCAATGTGTAGTCATCAGGAAAACTACCAGTTGCTTTTTTTACTTTATTTGTCACTTAATTACACGAAAAGGGACGCATAAGTCGATGGAGTGAAAAAGCGCGAGCCACTTAATTAAGCCCACTCGTCCTCTGGATTTTTACTTAATTCACTTAAATAAGCAGAAAAAGCGGTTTAAGCATTTGATAGCAGGATAACGAGGATACATAGAAAGCGTGATAAGCATGAAATTAAGGAGACTCTCAGTAACATAAGGAACTGGGGGAATGGGGGAAAAGGTGGGCATGCAGGCAAAAAAGCAGTCAGCGGCAGAAAACATGATAGCAGAGCTGGCGGAAAACATGATATACGGCAGAAAACAACCACAGGACAGCGAAATTCATGCACTGGCAGGTGCTGCAACAAAAACAAAATCCTGCAACAATGGATGTCAGTGAGAGGGCGCCTGAATGATAAATACTTACAAATCATAGCACGCTTGTCATCCTCCGACTCGTCATCGTCGATCAGCGAGCCCAACGGTGTTTCAGTGACATCATTAAGGTGGTACGCGCCATCTGTACTGTAGTTTCGAGGTACCCAGCAGGCTTGCCTAACAGAGATTTGATGTACGAATTAGTTGGTTTAAGCCAGAGAGCTGCCGAAAATAAAAACGGAATGTTGGTCTTTTTCCCAGTAACTTTGTTGAGGACCTTCGGTAGCCTGATGCTAACCCGACCTCTTGATGCGGATGACAGAACATTTTGAACTTCGAGTACTTCATTTGCGATCATGGAGACAGCGCGCTCAATCTGAAAAAAATGAGCATGATTAAGCCATTATAGGTTGAACTCACCGCTGCAGCAGAAAGAGCAAGAGGCCGTAACATCCCACTTGTTGCAAGTGCGCACATGTCGAATGAGGGAACCTGCACATAACCGGTGATGGCGTTGAGGTGTGCTGTGCCAAATAACTGCAGTACAAAGGGTGAGCGGTATGCAGTAAGTGGAGATGGATTGTCCGGGTCCTCGAACAAGAATGCCCATTCAACATTAAGAGATTTGGCCAGTTTGACAGGATTCACGTCGGAATTTCGTGATAAAAAGTCCATGATGATGACTAGCCCTGTGGAGCCAAAATTGCTGCGCCACTCTGAAATGCGCTGTGCAGTCTGTATAGATTTAGCTCAGGTCGCTAAACCTAGAATTAAACAGCTGACTTACGAGTGAATGTATAACTCCACCGTGAACAACCACTATGTCGAGATCGTTGTACACTGCGTTAAGAACAAGCTGCGCATGATGGAGAAGGACCTCGTCAGGAATACTCCAGATATCTTCATAGCTTCCGGCCCACAGCATTATGGTAGGGATAAAATTCTTCGCCCAGCGCTGATCCATTTGCATCGCTGGAGGTAGGTCAACTGTGCGATAGGCACTGCGTGCTTTGATGTTGTCTGGTGCAGTATCTGCATTCTGCTGGTGTGTGGTAGCAGGAGCACCACGGGCATGTAGTGCGGAAGATTTGACCTTAGCCTTTTTATGAGCTGGCGGCTTGCTGTCGACTATAGCCTGAGATGCAGTAACGGATGTCTGTACATTGTCAGAAATGAGTGCGATTAGGGCCAGAATCCTTACTGAATATGTTGTGCGCAGAATTTTCTCCTTCTTTGCTGCGTTAGTTTTGACAGGGAGTGGTGCCTCCGAATCAGAACTCATGATTGCGTCTTCTACCAGTTCCGCATTGCCATCAATCTCCATGGACCAGGACACCAAAGACTCCTCATCGTCTATGGTGCTAGCTTTCCGCTTCAAGAACATATGATTGTCTTCCTGTGTGAATGGCGCCTTAGGCTCCTGTGAGTACTGCTCCTCCGGTAATACTTGTGTCGACAGAGCCATAAGCTCATCATCCGAGTCGTCTGATGCCTCTGGTGGAGCCTCAGGCTCATCGACATCATAGTCCTCTTCGTATAGCGTGACAACCTGTGAAAGAAGGAATTAGTAGATTCGGATGCTGGCAATGAATCACTGCCAATAGTACCTTAGATTTCCCCTTATTTTTCTTGCTCCCCAAGAGAGCATCCTCACGCTCCAACGAATCGTCGATATCATCTGCAAACGCGCCAGTAAGAGTATCGTCTGCGACACCATCCGGAATTTGAGGCAAAGCTGCAGGAATCTTAGTCGGAAGCTCAGCGGCTGAAGTCGGTGCGGAGGAAGCATTGCCCTCTGAGAAAATTGATGACGGAGGTGCTCGAGTTGAAGTGCTATCAATGGATGGACATGACAGCGGCTCTGGATTTCCAGGTTTGACCCCTGAGATCCAGTTGGTCACTCGGCCACCTAATGCAAGTTTTGTGGATGTGTTGATACTGGAAGTAAGGTTTAGAAAAAAGAGTGTCGATTCAGTGAGGAGCAACATGGTAATGTGAGAGATAAAAGCCTTACGGTGATTTCCCATCAGCACGTGCATCATCACCTTCCACTTTTGACTCGGATGATTCAGTGAGCTTCTTTTGCATGTTACTGATGGCATCCCTTATCAACGTCTTTTCGACTTTCTTCGTCACCATCTTTTTCCCCCTTCCTGCAGCTTTATTTTCCACATCCCTGGCAATGTCAGTCTCTGACACTAGGTCCTCCAACATACCACTATCAGCAGGACTGTCACCACCACCGGTGTCTCCTACCACAGACTTTTTCTGAGTCACTTTTGGCTTTATCGCCTTGGCCCTAGGCTTGGGCTGAACGGGAGTCGCCTTTTTCATGATCAATTCCTTCTGGGCTTTCTCCATCTCAGCCTGCAGAGCAGCAATACACTCAACCCCCTTTTGGTGCGCTGCTTCCTTTGCTTCTCTCGCTTCTTTGATGACAAGGTCATCTGCAGCCTTTTGAGCCGGGGATCGCCTCTTGATCTTCGTGTCGAGCAACACCTTAGCAGGTCGGGCAGTTGCAGTCGATGGGCGGGTGCGCCGGGGAGCGTCTGTCATGGACATGACTGTGCAGATGGGGGAGACGGTGAGGGATAAGACTTTGCGGAAGAGGAAAAGAAAAGTAGGGTTTCAAGTTGAGAAAAAAAGTCGTAAGTCCCACCCCCAACAGCTGCCGACTGTGGTAATCGGGGTGTCACCTTTTGTTTAATAGTATCAAACTAGTACTAGTATGTGTGTTCGGCACTTCAAGTTCTCTGCCTTACTTTATTTTACAGTCAAGATGCCCATCGCTCGCAGGGACCATAGTTCTCTCCAGTTTCCCTGTGGTTACTTACACTGCGCACGTCATTTCAAGTCTCAGGGAGGGCGCAAAAAACACTGGAACACCTCACACTCAATATTCGGACCAGCTCCTGCTACCACCAGCGTCTCACACACTGCTACCACCAGCGTCTCGCACACCACTACAGTTGAAGAGCAGCCTGAAGTACTGGATGGCCACTTCTCAGCAGGTCCTGACAACATCTCTGCAGGCGGTGACAATTTCCCTGCGGGTACATCTGACCCAAGGTCAGGCACTTAATGAGCCTGACATTCCAGATAATTTGAACGCAGAATTTTTTGGGCCGGGTGATAGATTATACCGCAACTATCACCCAAAACTAAATGGTAGTTTCCACAAAGTCCTTCCAGCTAGTTACAACTAACACGTATATCAATATAAGCTCGTCCTTGCGACGTGACAGGACGATTCCTTGCAGATGGAGCGCCCCCGACACCACCTCCAATCAAGTCACCCGATGACTGGGCTCCATATCGAAATCGTGTCGAGTTCGAGACTGCAGAATTTCTGTACACGCGCAACCAAATGTCTGCCGGAGACATCAATATCTTATTGGATCTTTGGGCTGCAACCCTCCTCAAATACAACGACAAACCTCCGTTTGCGGACCACCGTGATTTGTATAAAACTATTGACGCTACGCCAGTGGGTGATGTCAAATGGCAATCCCTCAAGGTCCAGTACACTGGGGAGAAGCCCGAAACCAATGTACTACCCTGGATGGACCAATCTCACGATGTCTGGTACCGAGACCCCCATGAGGTTATTCAGAACATGTTGGGGAATCCGGACTACGCTACAGAGATGGATTATCGGCCCTACCGTGAGTATTTGACTGATGGCGATGAACGCCAATGGCAGGACTTCATGTCTGGTGACTGGGCATGGAACCAAGCGGTACGTTGTCTTTCATTGTTTTCTGTCGCTACACATGCTGAAAATTTCAGTAGGAAACTATTTCTGAAGATCCGGATACACTCGGCTCAACGTTTGTGCCGGTTATACTCGGAAGCGACAAGACAACAGTCTCAGTGGCGACTGGTGCCAACGATTACTATCCCTTGTATGTATCAATCGGGAACGTTCGTAATAATGTCCGACGTGCACATCGTGATGCCGTTGCCATTATTGGCTTCCTCGCTATGCCAAAAAGTATGTTTCACACTACTACTATTGTTCTGCGCTAATCACAGTCAAGCAGCTACAGAGGAGCACGCAAAAGACTCAAAATTTCGGAAATTCCGTCGGCAACTGTTTCATTCGTCTGTCGCCAAGATTCTCGAGAACTTAAGGCCTGGTATGACCACACCAGAGGTTGTACGCTTCGGTGACGGCCACTATCGGCGTGTAATTTATGGCCTTGGACCATACATTGCAGATTACGAGGAGCAGGTTCTACTAGCGTGCATAGTGCGCAATTGGTGTCCGAGGTATGTTCCTAAATTATCTCCAACATCCCTCTACCTTAATGCTACTAGGTGTATGTCACATCCTGACAGTTTAGACACGAAGTCACTGTGTCGTCGACGTGACCATACAGAAGCGTTAGTTGAAGAGGCAACCTATGGTGCTTTGTGGATGGAGTATGGGATTGTTGGTGACCTTGTTGTAAGTCTCGCGCATCTTTTCTATCGGAGTTGAGACTCAATCCTTTCTAGCCGTTCACAAACGATTTTCCACGCGGCGATATTCACGAACTTATCGCGCCGGATATCCTGCATCAACTGATTAAGGGAACCTTCAAGGATCACCTAGTCAAGTGGGTTGGACAGTATCTGCAACATGTCCATGGTACGAAAGAAGCGGAGAGAATTCAAGCTGATATAGATCGAAGGTGCGTCACTTTGTCTCGAGTTGATGATTCGAAAGCTCACATCATCAAAGAATTGCTGCGGTTGCTTCATTTGCAGGTCTCCGACGATTTCCAGAAGGTCGGGGATTCAAACAATGGACGGGCGATGATTCAAAAGCCCTCATGAAGGTTAGTTCACTATCACATTAACTAGGATATTGCAACTCGGCTAACAATAATTCAGGTCTATTTACCTGCCATCGAAGGTCACGTCCCAACAGATGTGGTGCGCACGTTTCGCGCATTTCTCGAATTTTGCTATCTCGTACGGCGCAACATCATTACAGAATCTACTTTAGGTCAAATTCAGGAGGCTCTTGACCGATTCCATCATTACAGGGAGATATTTGAATCTACGGGTGTTGTCTTCACGTTCTCTCTCCCTCGGCAACACTCTTGTTCCCACTATGTCCTCCTTATCCAACTTTTTGGTGCGCCCAATGGCCTTTGCTCCTCGATCACCGAGACGAAACACATCAAAGCTGTCAAGGAGCCATGGAGGCGCTCGAGTCGCTACAAAGCCCTTGGTCAGATGCTGGTGACAAACCAGCGCCTCGATAAGCTCGCAGCAGCACGCATTGATTTCAAGAACCGCGGAATGTTAAACGGCACCTGTCTGTCTGCCACACTCAAGGCATTAAGTAAGTTTTATAACAAGTTACATCTTTATTGTTGGCTTAAATTTACACTAGAGCGTTTGCGCTTAAATAAGATGCCTGATGCCAGCCAACCCAACGAGAATAGCGCCACGGTGCCAGTACTCTTCAACGCTGATGTTACTATACAGGGTGATAACGAAGAGGGCGAAATTGACAATGGCCCAACACTGGTGCAGGCCCATGTCCAGTTGGCAAAGACCCCTCGTAAGCTATCTCATATTTTACAGTGAACACTCTTCTAATAGAATCGCAGAACGCAAACGCGCACACACTATACCCGAGCTATCCACGGAACTCTCTATCCCCAATCTCTACAATGTCCTCCGCCGCTTCCTATTCGAACAAGTGTACCCAGACGACCAGCACCCTCCCTCTGAAATCCCGCTTTCGAGATGTCCTCGATTTGATGGGAACATCCAAGTCTTTAATTCTGCATCTTCGACATTCTATGCGCCCAGCGACCGCAGTGGAATTGGCGGTATGCGCCGTGAGCATATTCGTGCCTGTCCTATTTGGAGAAACGAGGCGCCCCGGTATGACTGTGTGTTTGTTAACACAGATGCAAGTGTTGAAGGGATGGTGGGCATGGATATAGCGCGCGTAATGTGTTTTTTTTCTTTCACATTCAATGCAGTTTCGTATCCATGTGCCGTTGTGCGCTGGTTTGACAAAGCCAGCGACGGACCCGACCAGGACACTGGGATGTGGATTGTGACACCTTCGTTTGATACTGACCATTCTTTTTCTGTTGGAATCATCCATATTGATTCTATTTACCGTGCCGCACACCTCATTCCAGTCTATGGAGCACAGATCATTTCACGCGACATCAAGCACCATGACTCATATGATGCTTTTCGAGCATTCTATCTGAACAAGTTCGCAGACCATCATGCTTTTGAGGTCGCATCCTAGGTGTTTTGGTCTTCTCGCTCTTGTAAGTTCATTCTGTCCGCTACTCGCATATGTGGTCTAATTACTGCGTCATCAAGTTTGCAGAGGCTAAGCCATGGCGCGTCAGACAGGCTATCATAGAATATATCCCCCTTCTCAACTCTACTTCGACAACGACATGAAAACACGCGTCTCGTCACTCTTGTGCCGCCCCCTCCGAGTCAATATGACCACGGCTCTGCTGTTGCGAGTACAGGTGATGGGGTCATCATCTGCGTGATCTGCGGCGACTTTTCAGCAAGCACTTCAGATCTAGGATGAGCTTGAGCGGAGTGCTTAGACGACGAGTTTGGTGAGCGCAACTTCTGCGCATTAGGTGAGTCTCCATAGTGCTTATTGCAATGCTCAGACCTAACTCCATCATTGAGTTTGCAGAGGCTAAGTCATGGCGCGTCAGACAGGCTATCATAGAATATATCCCCCTTCTCAACTCTATTTCAACAACGATATGAAAACACGTGTCTCGTCACTCTCGTGCTGTCCCCTCCGAGTCAGGATGACTATGGCTCTGCTGTTGCGGGTACAGGTGATGAGGTCATCATTTGAGGTGACGAAATCTGCATCTGCGTGGTCTGCGGTCATTAGTTTCAGCAAGCGCTGACGGGTGACTTGGACTTGGACTTAGTAGTAGTACTGGTAGTACTACGTGTACCCCACTTATTGCGCTTACAAAACTTTTTCTGCTTTTTGAGCTTTTTTGAATGGTGCCAACTTGTGAACTCTGAATTTGCTTTCCAGAAAGTGCATTAAGTCGGAAAAGTAACACTCCGAGAGAATTTAAGAGACAAAAAGTGAGATAAGTAAGCGGTGGTTTTCCTGATGTGCAAGAAGATCTCTTTCACAGTAGTCCATTGTACATTTCACTGAATCAATCTAAGTTATGTTCATGCTCTCTACCTCATTCAATGTGCTCTCTGCTTCATCAAGGCTTTCATCTTTCTTCCCAAATGGTTCGAGCCCAAACCCCACCCATTCACAGTAAAAATTGCAGATGTGCTTACTTTCAAACTCGCTGACAACCGCCTCGATATTCCCATCACCAAAAATATCACTCCCATCACTAACAGACCTATTGAAATATATTGAGTTGAGTCTTTGTCATTGAAATAAATGAAAAATACATACGGGTGGGTCAGGATCTGAGGGTTTGTTAACAGTGCCGTGCTCCCTAAACATACCATGTCAAATCAAGTGGAGCAAAGTCATGGATGAGATGTACATACCTTGATAATTGGATATGAATGCTAATTTCCCGGTCTTAACATATTGCACATGTTGTGAAAACAAAAAACTCCACCAAGTCATAGCCATAGTCCAATGGAGTTACTTGAACGAGGAACAGGATAAGTTGAGAGTGTCCCTACATGAAGCTTAAGTGAGGTACATACCAGTGGACAAGGCTCCCAAGTGTTCTAAGTTTGGCCAGTGAACACTGAAAAGGCATAGATAGAGAATCATTGTCATCAGGAAATTGGGGAGAACATTATTTTGTAGATAGGGTTGACAAAATTAGACCAAAATTTTATCATATTGTGTGCAGTTATATGATAATATAAAATGATGTACAGGCATGAGCAGTGACAGGATAAGGTATTATAAGAAGGTCACAACTCTGACAGAAATGTGTATTAACTCCTCAGTACGGTCATCATAAGACAAGATGATATATAAACTTTAGCAGAATGGCATGACAAGATAAGGTATTATAAGAAGGTTGCAACTCTGACAGAAATGTGTAGTAATTCCTCATTATGATCATATGACAAGATAATATACAAATTTTAGCAGAATGGTATGACAGGATAAGGTATTGTAAGAAGGTTGCCATTCTGACAGAAATGTGTATTAATTACTCAGTACAGTTTCATATGACAAGATAATATACAACTAGATAGTACTGTCCTACATAGAGTACAACTATCCATAGGACATAAATTGGATTCAAAATAAAAAAGATAATATACAAATTGTAGCAGAACACAAAATAACATCGAAGCCAGGCCATCTGCACAGGCGGTACGAATGAAACTGACGACATCCTCTGCATGTTTCCTTTCATTAATTATTAGGGTCAGCATTCATTGAGAAAGAATAAGGGCAGGCATATGGTGGGTCTGTGTCATCCCCATTGTGCGCATTGTGTGCTCAATGTCTTTTGAAACAGTCTGAAATGTGTCCTTGGTGCTGCGTGTACTGAAAGAAGTTAGTTTCCCCTCATAGTAAGTAGTTGTGGAAAGAACACGAGACAGTGCTTTGGATGCGTGTGACGCTCCATGATCTACGGACATGGGTTGTCCTAGCAATTATAAAAGCTGTGTTTGCTTCCTAATCACCACAGAGGAGCGAACAACTTCATACTGAAAGACTCCTATCAATTTGTGACATTTAGTTATTTTTATTTTTGACTTACAATGAACTCATGAACAGCGGTCAGTGTGGGCAGAAATAGGTCTGCTTTGCGCAAAGCAAGGTCAAGTAGTTGGATAGTCTGTCAAATACGGTCAAGTTCACTTCAAATGTCCATCGAAATTCTCATACCTCCTGGACTAGATGCTCAATACCTCCAGTGGTCATTTGTAGCCGATACTTGTAAAAATGATACCCATTGGACACACCTTTATGAGAGGTGTCTTTCTGATGTTCATTTGTGCCTTCATAAAAGCAGGCATTTGTTATATACTTAGACACTAAAAGTTGATAGAACATCGTGATTGTGACACTTGCCATGCAGATAGTACTGCCATGCAATCCCTGCCATTATGGTGATGCTTGTGAGCTCTGTCAGGGCAAGCATCCATTATAATTGAAGACACTAAAAGTTGATGGAGCATCATTGTTACAAGAACATCTAGACACTTGGGCTCCTACCATTTTTCTCCTAATCCTCCTCGTATCAGCCCTCGCATCATACCCTTACCCCGACCTTACCCTGGTCATCCTTGTCATCCTCGCATTCCCTTTCGCCCTCTACCTGTCGCTTCAGCAGAGCCAGTACATCTGGCCGGATCCTTTCGTTGACGAAGCATACCCATGCTCCGTTCCACCACCACCTGACTGATCCTGTGGACAGCCTTGCCCTTACCGTCTGGACGGTAACCTATGATATGATGCACGACGCATCTCCTTTGGCCTTTTCCCTTTCCTGATCTCTGACTCAGTGCGCAGTCGCACATGCGACTTATAGATAGCTCCGCAGCTGCACGATCGTGCCCCTGTGCGTTTCACTTCTTATTTCGACCTTTGACTCACTTTCTTATCCAGCACGTTCTGCCTCGCCCGTGTCTCAACGCAAACGTGCTTTCCTTTTATGGTTATACCCTTTATTGATTGCCTCACTTGGTAGTACGAGTTATCATCCACTAATACGTCTCCTGTCCTCTATATAACTCGCTACCATGTACTATATTCCCTAACTTGAATCTACTTGGTTCTTGACCTCCTACTCTCACCAGAGTGATCCTTTCTGCCTCGCCAGCAGTCTATATTCTATCTTCTTATCTGCTCTTCATGGATAAGCCTATAGTCTCGATCTTTACTCATCGACTTCGTCGATGAGCAAAGCCCCTGTTAACTAGTCGGACTTCTGTCCTTCTAATTAATGACGATCTTACGATTAACCTTCAGGTGTCATAAGCCTTGGCCGATTTAGCTTATCGTCTCGCACCCGCTTGACATAAGCTACCTGATTTGGACATAGGCGTCAAATCTTACTTGCCGAAGCCTCGCCAAGTAAGACCCCTAACCTTGGGCTAGCCCAAGGACGTCCTCGACCATTGACGACACACGCTCTGTTTGAGCGTCGCCAACAGATACCATCCAAGTCGTAACAATCATGATTGGAACACTTAACTTTCTTGCCATGCAGATACTCCTGCATAATCCCTGCCATTATGGTGATATTTGTGAATTCTGTCAGGGCAAGCATCCATTATAATTCAAGGGACTATGGCTAATAAATGGTCACAATTACAAGGC